TAAAGTTCGAGTTGTCGCTGTTGCGATATTTTTTTTTTTTTTCCTTCCCTCACACCCCGTTGTCGCGTAACAATGGCTAACAAGAACGTCCCCGCCACTACCACCAGTGTGACGAGGCTCATCCAACATGCAAGAACTGCGCCAAATCAAAGCGGGAATGCCTAGGCTACGATCCAATCTTCAAACAAGCTCCTCAAGGCCCTCCTCCAATTCAACCGGCTCCTGTAAATACCCCTCCCAGTCTAGCTCCAGCCAACTATGGGGTTTCTCCAGGCCCTGCTTTACCAATGCCTCATCATGGCCACCAGATGTCAATGACCATGCCTATGCAGATGCCGCCGATGCCACCAATGTCACATCATCACATGCCAACTTCGGCTCCGATGCCTTATATGACTAGCAGCCATGCCCTCTCCACAAACGGAAGCTCCCCACGCTCCCAATACGAGTTCGACCCTTACTCTGCAATCGATCCGGCTCTGGAGAGCGCGACGCTCCCTCCACCGAATCTCAGTCCGATGCTCGGAGAGAGGCTGACCTTACACTCCGACTCGAACGGATTTCGGGACTTGAAACGAACATATGATCGTGGTAGTCCATTCCCTGGGTCGGTTTCTGACACTCCACGGACTTCTGGTACCCCGATTCCGAGGTCGTCTACCCCTGGTGCATCTGGTTACCCGAACTTTCGAGACGACCTTTCCACTGGGAACCCTGCTAAGCGAATCAAGATTGACGATTTGATTGCTGGTTCTGCTCCACCTCCGCCGACTCCACCTCCAAGCGAGAATGCTTATCTTCCCGGAAACGAGGGCGTCAAAGCACTCTATAGCAATAAATATGCCCCAGCTCTCGACCAGCTATTTGAGACCGGTTGGTTCTCGGATGAGTGCATTTCCATCATGTCGCTTAATCTTGATCTGGTTAATTTCCTTGGAACCGTCTTTGACAGGCTGAACTCCGGAGAGGCTCCTGCCAGCGCCGAAACCAGCCTCGATCACCTTCCACCAGGGAAGGCAGCTCTTATCTTGTATACTGTCATGGATCTTCTCTATGGACTCGGTAGAAAGAGCGACGGGCCTCTTATCGGACCGCAGTCTTCCAGGGCCGAGAACATCTCGGAGACCCTCGACAGGGTCAGAATCATCGAGACTCTAGTGATGAACAAGCGTCTGGAAGATGACGATGACTCAACTAACATGTCTTTGGCTGACTTCAATCCGGAGGAAGAATCGCCTGACGTTCGCTCAACAAAGTTCTGGGGAGCTATCAAAATGTTTTTGAGACTCTCGGACCCCGGTTCTCCTGCTGCTCGGGACATCTTGAAAGCTTGCCACCCGTACTTGGAGAGTGGACTTGATAACAGGGAAATCATATACTCGATTGCGACGATTCGTCATCTCCAGGCCGCCTTCAAGGATTCTCGCGAAGACACCTATCCCGATCCAGAGGAGAGACGCAGGAGGGGTGTCAATCTAGATGATGCAAAGAGCTTCATTGAAGGCATGGCCCGTACTCCATCTGGTGAAATAACCTGCGTCTTCAGACGAATCTGTTCTCGGGCACTTGCATTATTCCAAAGGCAAGAGGCCAGCCAGCATAAACTCCTTTAAACCTTTCCACGTATTTCCTTGAACATTATTTCTTTTTCTCCCGTATCATGAGGAGAGGGGACCAACCCTCTCCTCTCCTCTCCTTCACTAAATAAAGATTGCTCATGGCATATTTGCATGGAATGGCGAATAAGGATGCTTGATTTGGCAATATACCAGATTGCTCTCCAATTAGACTCCCTTTTTCTTTTTCTTTATCCTCGATTTTCATTCTCTTTCTCTACGTGGTTACAGTGGTTCAGCCATTCATAAAATCGGGGTTCAGGTTTGATTTTTTCAATTCCTTCAAAATTTCCTTACTATTGTTACCCTCCAATTATAAACTCTTTTCTCTTCTCATGTCATATTCATCATTTTCCTACGCTTCCCGAGGAACGAATTTACGAGTTTCCGGTAGCTCCTTTGAATTCTTTTATGCGAGTGCTTTCTCTTCCTTCGTGCGACTTATAGAGGAGATGGGTTGTTTTTGATGTTTCTGCCTTTGTTCTTGTTTACTGTGCTTGGTTTCAACCACCTATTCTGTTCCATAGCATAACTTCTCTTTTTTTGTTATGATTCCTCCCGGGAAATGGATTCCAGGAGGGATTCTGCCAATATCGATATCCTCGTTTCTCTGTTTTGCTGCCCTCGCACATACGCCAAAAATTGTTTAGTCTTCTATTTCTACTAGCTTTTGACTCTGCTGTCTTCTTCCTAGGATAGCAAGGGGCTGACGGTCCAAAAAGACAGTGGATGCGGGAGGGAATATATGACCCTCCCCCCACCTTCTTCGAACCCTTTATCTTCGCTGTACATATTTTGACAACCCCTCCCTCCCACCCATCCACCCCTACTTTCACCGTTTAGGAAATACATATATACGTTAAGCTCTAGTTTTTATTGTTTAGTCTCCCCGCCCCCCTCTCGTCACTTGCCTCCCACCTCTATCCTTCTCTTTCTGTTGTTTATGTCTAAATTAACTCGTTCACGGTGTTCTCTTTTTCAAAACCTTGTTTTTTTTTTTTTTTACTTCTCTTCTAACCTTTCGTGTGTTAAATGTTCTCTTGCGTCCTATCTTTTTTTTATATCTTTATTATTAGAAGATCAGTGAATTTCGAAATGGATGTGGTTATTTTGTTTTAAGTTTATTTATTTATTTATTGGTTCCCGTGCTAAAGAGCTAGATAGTAATTGAAGGTGGCATTTTCATCTGATATCCTTGGTCTATCTGTAATATCGAATCTGAAAGAGAATCTAATAAAATATATAAAAGGTATAAGTTATATACATGGTCTCATTCCTCGGACGTCACAAAGGGAGGCGTGGTATATATATATAAGTACTTAGATATAAGGTATGTAGGTATACTATAGTATAATGAATGATGTATACACTCATCTAAACCCTTCAATTCCACGACGGCGTCATCGTCTCCGGCATCGTAGCCTCCGCCTCAAACGCCTTGCGATACAACTCCCTGCCAGCCGTCCACTCCTCCCAACTACCATCACTGCTAACCTCAAACGCCGGGTAAGGGTTATAATACAAACATCTCAACAATACAGCACAGACGACATCATCGTAAGGTTTCCTTGCGGTTTTACAAAACTGGAACGGGATGGCTTTGTTGATGGGGATTCTGAGGGATTCGTGAGAATCTTGGTCTTCGGCTTCACCGTTTAGGGAGATTGACTGTGGGGTTATGAGGGGTTGACCGGTTCCCAGGGGACCGCGGATTTTGATGGTGGTGGTGGTGGTGGTGAGGAGGTGGGTTATGTCCTTTAGGAGGAGGTGGGAGTTTTTTGAGGAGATTAGGCCGCGCCAGTAGTGCGTGTAGCCCATCCTTTCTTTTCTTTTTCTTTTTCTTTTTATATATCTTTTTTGTATTATTTCTTACTTTCTTTAGGGGAGTTCTTGGATACTTTTGTGATATTCCTTTTGATGTCGATGGGATGGAAAGGGTCGGGTCTATAAATCTTTTGGATCTTATGGACGTTGGATTCGAATGTAAGGTGGTCAGACCGGGCTTAGATCTGTCTTCCACAATATAATTACTTGAGTATTTAAAGTCGTTTGTAATCGATTCTAATTATCATAAATAAAAGTATCGTATCCCATTCAGCTTGAAAACTACGTTAGTTATACCTAAGTACATACGTCTGGATATCCGATTCTGCGTCTAGACCCCCACCATACAATCGCCTGCCTGCAATCCAGGTCATGGGATATGGATCCTCCTCTAGCTAATAATACAATGCATGAATGACTCAAAAAAAAAAAATCAAAAAATTAAAAGCTCGTCAACCTTTTCGATAGAATTGGACTTAAACTTCAGGTTCTTAGAGTCTAAACCCTATATTGGAAATGTTAAAGCCTTTTTTAAAAAAAGAACTCCGAGTCTCCGTGCGGCCATGTGAATCTAGAACATTAGATATCCAGTTGCGGTAGCCTTTCGAAGCGAACTAACTGATCGCTAATCTAAAATATCAAGTCCGGTAGATCTATAGATTTATACTTTCCGGCGCAAGCGAAATCTAAATAATAAAATTCTAGATAGCGAAAAGCTTAGTCTCGTGTTCGGACGAAAGTTATTTTTGGGATAAGCTAACTTAATGGCCTAGAGTGGGAAAATGCACATTTGAAACATTTATTAGATATTTACACGGTACCGGGTTTCCTTGTAAAGGGAAAGAAGTGAAGATGACAAGAAGAAGTGAAGATATTAGCTTTAGTTAACTTCAGTATTAATACGTACCGTGATCCGTAAGAAACAATAAGACTGGGATCAAAATGTAGATGTAAATGAAAAAGATGAGAATGAAAATGAAAAGGAAGAGGAAAGGAAAACGCCATGAAAAAATAATATGAACGCCATATAATGCCCATCTCTTTCTCATCCTGCATACGAGCGTATGCTTCCTCAAAACGCCTAACCTCTAATCCTCAAAATACAACAACTATAGAGACTTCGAATATCCCTTTTAGGCATTTTTCACTACCCTCAAGGCTCTCTTCAGCCCTTCCAAACGCTCCTTTTCTACAAGCACTTGATTCCTCGCCAGTCTTTTCACCGCCTCCCTCGCAAACTTCCCATGCATCTCATGGAAACTTGCTAATTCGACTGCCGCTACGCTTTGGCTGTATCGTAACTCTCGACTTAAAGCCTCTTGTCTTGATTTAGTCTGCCGAATATTATCCGCTGCACCTTGATGAATCTTCGCCCGCGTTTCATCCATCAATCCCAAGGGCCACCGATCCGACCTTCTAAGCGAGATCATGTGTTTTTCAACCTCTCTCTGCAGCATATTGATCTCTCCTACAATCTTCCTCGGCCGTTCAAGAGCCGTCATCATCCCCTGTAGACTCGAGTTGATACTTCTAAAGTCGTCCAGAAAATGTGCGATGGGGTTTGAATCGTTCGGGGAGATTGCGATAGTATACTTCCATAGCCCGCGGACCTGCTGACTACCTTCCATGAATTCACAAGCGTTCAATTGCTTCCTAGCTTCCGTTAATGCGTCTCCCAAGTCCTTTGCATTCTGAAGGAACTGGTTCGTTCGGCGGAGTACGATCTTGGTGTGCACATTGATCGCTCTCACGGTATCCCTTGCGTGTGCCATGAATATTTCCACGTCCTTTGTATTCTGTAAGGGCTCGAAGTCTTCTTGGACCTTCTCGCCGCGAATCTCTGACTTACGCTTCGATCGCTCCATCATGCCCTCAGGTTGCATATCTGGCATCAAAAAGAATTCCCATAGCAACTCGTGGGTCGAAAAAGTGCTATGGGATAGTAGTGTTCGAAGGAAACTGTCTAACTGTGTTTGTATATCTCGAAGCACTGCACGGGACGGTTTTGAGGGGATCTGGAAGGGGCTGCGATTCACATGTAGAGCCGGCAGCCACGAAGCGGGATGTTCGTAAGAAAGCCAATATGCAAGAAATTCGAAGTCTGAGAGTAACCGCCGGCAGGTTGTTATGGTATATTTCATATCCGAGGATGGCATGCCGCTTTTCAGGACAAGCCGTACCGTTGCATCTTCTACAAAGATGCCACGAACCACGGCGGTGATTCTGCGATCGGCTTGTGGAGGATACGAGAACATCACCATATCTGTGGGAGAAACTATTAGTAACCGGGAAATTAGAGAAACAGATGGGTGAAAGCATTACCATCAAATTTGTTCCTGACATCATCATCCTTTGCCAATTCGACTGCGGTCAGGCCTCTAGACTCTCTGGCATATATATCAACTCGTCTATCACTGAACAATGTCCGAACAGTATCCACCCTGCCGTACTTGCTAGCAAGCATCAACGGGCTCAGATTTTTCTCGTTGACCGAATTGACATCTGCGTCCCTTCTAAGGAGCATCTTGAGAATGTGCTGATCATGAATAATGTGCAAAAGAGTATTCCCTTTTTTGTCGACGTGGTCGTCGAGGTGTAGTCGCTGGCCGTCTGACTGGGCTGTTTCAGCGGACCTAATACCCAAAATTACCATGTCTTTGTAGCTCGGGTGGTCATACGACCGACAGAGCGCAAAGAGTGGCGTTTGGCCATTTTTGTCCTTCATGGTCCACTGGATTAGTCTACCAAAGTGACGGAGGAATGTTGGCTGACTATGTCAAGTTAGTTTTTGTGTAGTTCCTTTTTTAGACGGCTGATATGAATATACGCACCTGAAAGCATAGTGGCCAGCCGTCCGGCCATTTTCGTCGACTGCCTTCATATACTCTAGTATCTCATCATCCTGCGCTTTCATTACCTCTTCCATGATCACTCTCACTATGTCATAGTTTTCTCCCTGAATAGCAGCAGACAGTAACGTCGTCCCATCGTGAGTTCTATCTTGCAAGAGCCAGACAAGCGGGAAATAGGTTGACTCGTCGATCAGATACTCAAGAACATCTTGTTGCTGATTATTAACGGCCATCATGACGATAGATTCTCCTTTCAAACTCTGTGTTCTTGAGAGAACTTCAACGGACATGAGATCCTCTGTAAGCGAGATGGCGGAGTGTGAAAGGTGTTCGAGAGACTGAAAAGACGACGACGCCCAGCTATGGCGTGACATATCACTTCGAACAGATGTCGAGCGGGTTAATTTGCGGTGAGGCCGGGTGGGGATCCCTTCGAAGATAACCTCTGGGTTGAACTTGGTTTTGATAACCCCCTTTAACTTTTGAGCGTCCTCACCGTTCATATCATCATTGGTTGAGGGTGCTATCGTCGACTCAGTAGCTTCGGTAGAATTGACTGAAATCCCATCAGTTATAGTCTGTGCCTCACCATCTAGTTCCAATTCCATCTCCGTGTCAATCTCCGCCTCAAGAGTTTCGGCTTCAACATCGTCTTCATCTGCCGGTTTCTCCTCATCCGCTATTGGTTCTAGGGTATCAGGTTCTGCCGATTCCAACACTAAATCTTCATCATCAGGCTTTTTGCGTAGATGAACTTCGCTTTCATGCAGCGTCTCTTCCACGGTGGCTACAACTTCTGCGGGAATAGGGTGCCCGTTAGTGCACTCGGAACCACTCCCACTGCCCTCCATTTCCTTCTCATCGACCTTTAGGCCCCTTTGCTCCCCATCATCTCCTTCGCTTTCTGGCATCTCCAACTCTGGTATCAGCTCAGGGAGCTTATCTCTCGGACTCTCGATCTTCGCAAATATCTCTGGTAGAAGGTTGGCATCTGGAGCATCCATATTCGGGCTCAAAGACACACCATTAATCTCCGACTCCACAACTTTCAACCCCCCATTCATCCTCTTTTTCTCATCTGATTTCTTCCTTCGCCCGACTCTCTTCCCACAATTCATCCTCTGTTCGTCATCAAATCCCACAAATCGGACATCCGGCAGATCCCCTACTGGACTAAGAGCGGCACTATCGAGCTCCGCTATGTCTTCTTTCTTCTCTAACAAATCCCTGATCCCACCCACATTTCCTTTCCGAATCCGATCCCACAGTCTCCAATTCCTCTTGCTCGCCTTTCCCATATGCTCACTATCCATAGTAATATGGAACAATACACCCTCAAGCGTACTCAGTACATATCCCCTTTCTCCAGCCTCAATATCATCCACAAATACGAAACCCCTCATATAACACAGACAACTTTGTAACCCTTTGACCCGAGCTCTAATTACCACAATTAAAAGTAACGAAACTAGCATATCCGCGTTCATAGTAAGCACCGGATTTGTAGATTCGTCATCAGACGGCTTCTCGGAGATCCCTCCATCGCTAAATTTAGGGGACTTGAGCTGTTCCTTCAACCTCCTTGCTTCCTCCTCAGATTGCGTCAGCGCCTGCGCCGTTTCTAATAGAATATCCAGCATTTCCATAGGTGACCTAGCTTCCGCCATCCTCTCGAACTTCTCAACCCCACGTACGACCCTACTTGCCAGGTTTCGCCGTGTGTCGTGGTCGGGGACTTGAATTCCTACTTGTGCAATGTCGATGTACTCCATCTCTTTGATCTTTTGGTCTAGAATCTCGTTTTCGTCCCTTTTTAGAGCTAACAGGCGCGGGAAGATGTACGAGTCGTGAAGCTGCTCGCATATATAGCGCTCGATGAGGTGTTCGATGCTTGTACCTGTTAGGTCCGTTGTTCCTGCGAGGAGTTGGAGTTGGGATTGGTCAACCCGTTGAAAGAGTTCGACAGCGGCCATGATGGCGGTTTCAACTGTTGTGCGCATGGTGGCCTCGTCGATTGAAGCTTGAATATCCCAGTAGATATGTTTAGGAGGGGCCGGTGAGGCAGGCGACTTGGGGTTTGTAGAATTTGAGGCTGTGACAGTAGTTGCAGTCGACAAACGAGGGGTAGAGACGGATGATGATGCACCGGTACTGCTCGATCCAGCATTCCCAAGCTCTGGTATCGACATCTCGAGTTCCTGGAAGAGCGATTTGAGACCTGGTTGGAGTTGTCTTGCGATCATTGGGAAGGTTGTTAGTAGCTCCTCGAAGTTTTTGACTACTTTTTTCTTTTGAATGAGTGTAGCTGAGGGCTCTGGGGCTGGAGAATCGAGCTTGGGTTTTATCGTTAAAGGGATATGCTCTGGAGTGCCTATTAGTGACCTGGTGATGTAGTATATGAGCCATGGTTGAGATTCCATGGAGTTTGGCCAGAAGAGGATGTCATTTTGGAGCTGCGCTTGATTTAGGGTTCTAAAGCCTGTTGATCACAATTAGCTTCTATTCTAATACACCTACGATATCCTAGAGATAGAGGAAAGGTCTGGTAATAGTATATAAGAATACCTTTATTAGTATAGATCCATGTATCTTTGATAATAACCGTCCGTCCGTTACTAGTACTATACTGTCGTGCCTTGCCACGGTTCTCTCTGGCAGCAGCAATGACGGCGCCGTTGATTTCATCTCTAGGCGCACGGATGACATGGCTGCCGAGGAACTCGTCGGAGAGGACGAGGTCGGTGTAGTGTTGGTTTGATTCCCGATCGCGCGAGTGAAGGAGGACTTCAGTTGTGGGGACCAGGAGGATGTAGTCCGTGATCGGGGAGCAGTGGGAGGGTATTGTGCTCCGGAAGAAGGCACGGAGGAATGGATTCAACGGCATTCATAAGGATTTCCTGGCGAACAAGCGATTGAGAGAGTGGTAGATGGATACTTAATGCCCCTTATTAACTTCTGAAGTCTGTAGCTATCTTTTGAAGAAGGGTAAGTAAGTAAGTAGGTAAGTGGTGAAGTGGTGAAGTAGTCAGGTGGGTGTAGTTGAGAGAGAAGGATAGAGAGAAAGTGCCTGAACCGAATCGAGTGGACCGGGGTAAGTACCTACAATGCAGTTAGTTCGTCACTTAGCTTGAGAGACGGCGTTTCGCTAATAGCAAATTTGATGAGGCAGCAGCATTCGGGAATTAAAATACTAATAACCGGGACCAAGACCGGAGGACTACTTGAGTGAGGAAGTTGGTCGGAGTAGTGAGGGTAAATTGTAGGATGGCGATACCGTCATGCGCCAGATATGTTAGTAGCTAGTACTGGTCGGTGTGTAGGTCGAATGACGATAGCTTTCAACAACTGAAACCGGGGCGCATGATGGTGTTTCTGGTTTTAGTTAGTTCTTCCTTCTTCTTCTTCGATAGAACTACCTCTTGATTACTTAACTAGCATCCAGGGCCTCGGTAAATTTAAAGAGTCCGGGAGGATCGAATATCATTCACTCATTGGCTCTAGTTCTCGTCGTCTATGTCATGCCCATACCGAATCTATGCATACGTCATTGCCCCGGATTCTATAAATACGAATATCAAAGCTCCTCGAACTCGAACTTGAACAGACTTCTCCGAAGGAACATTACCATCCACCAGCTATATCCTGTCTTCTATTATACCCGCAGCTTTAGCTCAAATAGATCTTACAATTATCACCAATCGGCTACGAACTACCGACCGGCAGCCATGGACCCACCTTCAGCACACGTTCAGCAGCAGTGGAAGGACAAGCTCATCGGCAAGAAGATCGTTGACTCGCCCTCGGACCACCCTGAGGTATTTTCAATTCCAATTCCTTAATTACCTTTAGTACCGTATCTATAGCAGAAGTAACGGGTGGTTTTAATATTAACATTGATCTCGGGGGGAAAAAAGCATTTCTGCTCGCAGGACCTCCCGCAAGGCCCACAGGCCCATCGTGTCATCCCACCTGGAAGTATGGTCACAAAGGACTTCCGGCCCAGCAGGTAATTTATAATTTAACTTTCCCACCTCCTATAGCCTGTCCCACAAATTGGTAGATCTATAAATTTTATAATGTATCTGGTAATAATGCTGATGATACAATCTTGTTGACTTCTAGAATGAACGTCCATGTTGACGACGAGGGAAACTGCACCCATATCAACTTCGGTTAGAAGATTCATCGCAATTGTATACTATTTGCATTGATCACATTGCATTAGATAGAACGATAATGCATGCATGCATGGGTGACAACTAGCTAGTGCTAGTTAGAATCGAACAAATGCCATTCGCTAACAATACAATTGTCTATACCGAAATAACCTCCATTAAAACAATGTTAAAAAAAAAAGTGAAAATTGTATCCGTGAAAAGAAGTTCGCCTGTACCATATCATAGCCCCTGAACACCCGCTATTCACAGAAGAAAGGAAAAGAAAAAAGCAGGCTATTATGGGAGGGAAAAAAGAAGAAGAAAAATGCAATTCCCGTATCAGGGTATCTAAAGAAAAGGACCCAGATGCTAATCGCTTCAGTAATATTCAGCACCAACGCACCCACCCACCGATTCCACTCTCGAGTATCGTCTTGATTGTTTCATTTCTCTCAAGAGTATGGAGGAAGCTAGACATCCCTCATGTACATGTCAAGATCTTCCCCGCAGCAGCAGCAGCATATTAGCAACTTGAGACATTTGTATTCCTAATCAACCGTCTGATCAAGTATTGCTCGTTCGCTCTTGGGCAGCAGCCTTCCACTTTCATCCCTCTGGATTGCGGCTCTCATATCCTCTATCCTCCCGGTTTCCTTGGTTATTACCGTTTCGCCGTTGCTGCTTGTTGGTGGGAGTCCATGCGATGCCTTTGGGCGAGAATTCTTTGTGTCGCCTTCTGCCTCGCTGTCGCTCAGCCCGAACCTATCATCCATATCATGCTCCCATTCGCTCTCATCGTCAAAATCCTCTGGGTTCAATTGATCTTCCTCCTCGCACTCTGGTGGGCGAACCCACGCCTGTGGGACGACACAAGGCAAGGCGACACCAATACTCGCAGCACGGTTGATCCATTTGGGCGCAGGTTTTCCAGTAAGCTTTTCGCAAAGGAAGGATGTGAAGTGGTTGCAGTTTCGAGTAAGAACATTGTAAGACGTCCCAAGAAACTCTTGTGAAACTTCGACAAGAATTTCGTGTATTTGGTCCGGGGTGTACGATACGTGTCCGTGGACAATGCTTGTTCGAAAGGTGGCGCCTGGTGGTTCTTGCTTTGGTTTGAGGTAGTAGACACCGGTGACCCCTCGTCTGTCGTGGCCACCGAAAGCGTATTCGCGATCACCAATCGCGACCCCAGTGTGTAACAGGCCGACTCCGAGGTGCCAGAATACCGTCGAGAGCTTCCCAGGCTAGACAGACAAAAACACAAATGTTAGACAAACTTGATCCTTACAATAATATGATAACAAAAAAAGGGGAATATACCGGTAACAGGTCATAGACATTGATTGTGACTGCTGTTGAGGGGGTGTCCGAGTTGCGACGGGGATCTATCAGCATAGCGCCAGCCTCGGAATTTCGACGAGCATCCTGGTCGGACGCCATGTTGGATGGAGGGAGAGCGGAAGCGTTGAGGAAGAAGAATAAGCGATGCAATGCGATGCGATACAAAATTAAATAGCGACGATGGGGTTGAAAGCGTTATGTGGCGTGTAGTCCTATGAGTATTGATGATGTGGTTGTGATGGCGAAGGGAGGTTGTTGGAAGGTGTTATAGCGATCCCAATGAGGACGGTGAATAGAGAGGTTGGGAGTGAAGCTCTTCGAGATTGAATTGATGACGTTATTGTTTAATATCACAAACGGGACTCTATTTTGTAATGGGCGAGGTGTGATACGGAGTGGTGATGTGTGTTGACGTGAGCTGGTTTGAGGGGAGGTTGGAGGGCGAAGTCAGTGGAATGGCGATGGAGACGGTCGATGGACGGAGACGGATAAGGAGGATAGTAGGTACTCTGCTCTGTGTATTCTGGGGTGAGAATGTCCCTGCCAAGAATCACCAACGGGGGATGGGCCCGGTGTTGTCCCGGTGTTGTCCCGGTGTTGTCCCCGAATACTGTATGTCTCGGGGCGGGGCTGCCAAGTGCCGCCGGAATCAACCTCAAAATTTTCTCTCGAGTTCTCCTACGAGACTACGATTCTATATCCTTTTTATGTATAATATTATATAACCCCGCCCTCCTCTACCTTTCTACCACCACCACCATACCGCCCCTTCAGATCTCCCTCGTCAGCTGCGGCAGCAGGCTGCTAGTGCGCTTTGGCGGTCAATTCCCCTCCAAGAACACTACAAACACCCCACATCATCTTCATCTCCATCTCAGATCAAATTTCCAACAACTTTCCCCATCCACTCTCCGCACATTCACCTCGACCCCTCAATCACTCGCGAAGGCAAAGAAGAACAAAAACATGCCACCAAAGAAGGCTGCTAAGGAAGAAAAGATTTTGCTGGGGAGACCTGGTAATAATCTGAAGAGTGGTATTGTTAGTAAAAAAAAAAAACCTCCATCTGCTTTAGTCTTTATATCAGTACGATTGTGACCAGGTGGGGGTTCTAACTAAAGCTCACATCTACGGCATCCATAGGTCGGACTTGCAAACGTTGGCAAATCGACTCTCTTCCAGGTATTTATTCTTTGTCATTAGTATCTTATTGTGCCGAATAAAAAAAAACTAAAGTATAGTATTCTAGGCGATCACAAAGTGCCCATTGGGAAATCCTGCGGTATTTTCACACACTACCCTCCCCATAATACCACCCAAGTGCACTTTAAATTGACAAACTCGGCCAGAATTACCCATATGCCACTATTGACCCCGAAGAAGTATGCTATATAAACACCCTCCTTAACCCTTCCTAAACATTTTCACACTAAACAATCCTCTAGTCCCGTGTTATCGTTCCAGATCCACGCTACGACTGGCTCTGCGAACATTACAAACCCAAATCCCGAGTTCCAGCCCATTTAACAATCTACGACATCGCTGGTCTGACGAAGGGTGCCTCTACCGGTGCCGGTCTCGGAAATGCCTTCTTATCCCACATCCGTGCCGTCGACGCCATCTTCCAAGTCGTCCGTTGTTTCGATGACGCAGACATCATCCACGTCGAGGGTGACGTCGATCCGATCCGTGATTTGGAAATTATTGCCGACGAGCTGAGAATCAAGGATACCGAATTCACCGAAAAGGCCCTTGATAATCTTGTCAAGCAGACCAAGCGCGGTGGACAATCGCTCGAGATGAAGAAGTTGAAAGAAGAGCAGGCTATCGTTGAGAGAGTACTCGCTTGTTTGCAGGCCGGAAAGGATGTGAGAAAGGGAGAATGGGGTAATAAGGACGTTGAGGTTATCAACAGTTTACTCCTCTTGACCGCCAAGCCAGTTATCTACGTTGTCAACCTGAGTGAGAAGGATTACATCCGACAGAAGAATAAGCATCTCCCCAAGGTCTTCAAGTGGGTGCAAGAAAATTCTCCTGGTGACATGATTATCCCACTCTCCGTTTCATTCGAAGAGAGGTTGTCAAAAATGGAAGAGGCCGAGGCAAAGGCCGAGGAAGAGAAGGCGGGTGGTAAGAGTGCACTCGGCAAGTTGGTTATCAACATGAGGAAGGAATTGAACTTGGGAAGCTTCTTCACATGCGGTGAAGACGAGGTTAGACAATGGACTATCAGAAATGGCACTAAAGCCCCCCAGGCAGCCGGTGTTATCCACACTGGTAAGTCTTTCCCGTGATTTCTTAATACGCCCATAGATTCAGCCATCTAACAATTGATACAGACTTCGAAAAGACTTTCATCCAAGCCGTCATGTTCAAATATGCCGATTTGGTCGATTTGGGCAATGAAGCCGACGTCAAGGCTAAAGGAAAGGTCCAAACCAAGGGCAAGGACTACGTCGTTGAGGACGGTGATATGTATGTTTCCCTTTTCTTTTCGAAGTCCCAGCCTCATGATCGAACACCTTGATGCTAACAATTCCTTATAGTCTTCATTTCAAGGCCGGTGCTGCGAAGAACTAGGAGACTGACTAACTTCTGTAGAATGTCTTAAAAGTTTCCACTTTTTACCTTGTGTACTGTACTAGCCTCATATCAAGCACTTAATAGAAGAATTATCAGTACCCATAACTAATTCTAGTTCGTCCGCATAAGAGCCTGTGAGACCAGCGCATGCTGAGTCTAAGACTTAGAAAATGAATTTGTGATAATATGTAATATATGTCGCATTGCTGTAGCTAGATCTAAACGAACACTCATCGACGACCTTTTATCATAACAAAAAGCTTTTGGCAACCTCTCCACTCCAGTTATGGACAGAATATCTCGAACGCCCCCGTGAGAGAAGATACAATGTAAAAATCGGTATATCCACACAAAAAGCCAAAGGAAGAACAAGGGTAACAACACCGCCTCCCAAAGCGTGATCAAAGATAGCCGAGTAATCCTCCTTTTTTTTTTTTTTTTTGAACAGTCATAGCACAAAACTCTAGGAGATGAGACGTTACTACCGTCCATTCTCATAAATATTGTGCAAACTAACATCATTAGGACTAGGCTGCTGCATCTTGACCGCTGAGCCATTAACTACCGGGTGTCCGTTTGCCGTCTGTCCTGTTTCAAGTACAAGTCCAACATCATCTTTCGTAGCGACACCCGCATTGACAGCTTGCATCGCCGCTTCTTTTCTCTTGGCTTTACTCTTCTCGCCTCTGAGATCTTCAAGGTGCTTAAAGTATGCCGGATCGCAACCTGTAACGTACTCCCCGTTAAAGACACCAACCTCAAAGTTCTTGATCGAAGGATTGACCGATGCACAGGCTTTAATCAAGTTGGGGAGAGTCTGATAGATCACCTCGTCTGCGCCAATTTCTTGGGCAACTTGTGACTTAGATCTGTTGTACGCCACCAACTCTTTCCTATCGGCAAGATCAATACCGTAGATGTGGGCGTTGCGAATTGGCGGGGCACAACTAGCAAGATAAACCTTGTTTGCACCGGCCTCGCGAGCCATGCGAATAATTTCGCGACTGGTGGTGCCACGGACGATGCTGTCATCAACTAGAAGGACGTTTCGGCCTTGGAACTCCGTTGACATGGCATGGAGCTTTCGGCGGACGGCTGATGTTCGAGAAGATTGGCCGGGCATGATGAATGTCCGGAAAACATATCGATTCTTCACGAACCCTTGGACATACGGGAGGTTTAGCTGATCCGCCAAGGCTGAGGCCGAAGTGTTCGATGTCTCAGGGATTGGGATGACAGCATCAATCTCCTTGACTACCTGCTCGCCCAAAATGCTGGTCACAGTCTCCGCCAGCATCTCTCCCATCTTTATTCTGGCCGTTTGTACCGAGATATTATCAATGACTGAGTCTGGTCTAGCGAAGTATACAAACTCGAAGATATCCGGTGTGAAGGCGGCTTGAGGGCAAACCTGTCGAAAGACAGGTTTCGCTCCCTTCTTGATGAATACGGCTTCACCGGGCTGAACGTCTCGGACGTTTCCGTAGCCGAGAATATCGAGCGCGACGCTCTCGCTAGCGAGCATATAGTCAAAGCCACCGTTGGGGTTTTGCTTCTCGCCTAGAACCAGAGGGCGAATGCCATATTGGTCTCGGAAGCCGACGATGCCAAAGCCTGCCAACATGGCAGTGCAAGCGAATGCACCCTTGCAGCGGGAGTAGATCGCCTTGAGAGAAGTGAAGATATCCTCTTCATTCACACGAAATTTGCCAGTATCTTGTAAGGCACTGGCAAAAATGTTAAGCATGACCTCACTATCGGAGTCCGTGTTGATGTGCCTGTGGACCTCCTCGTCCAAGTACTTTCGTAGCTCGGCAGCATTGATAAGATTTCCATTCTGTGTATTCCTCGTTAGTAGCTGTTGCTTCAACTGGAAAATAAATTCAATTAATCGACTTACGTGTGCAAAGCAAATTCCGTAGGGGCTATTGACGTAGAACGGCTGAGCCTCCGAGTTGGCACTACTGCCAGCGGTAGGATACCTCAGATGTCCTAGTCCCATGAAGCCTGGGAGCTCAGGGATTCGACTTCCGTCCTGGAAGACACGGGATGCCATCCCATTTCCTTTACATTGAAAGATACGACCACCGTGGGCACATGTAGCGATACCACATGCATCCTAAATTTAAGTTAGCTCGCAGCACACAAATGAATATTAAGATAGTACACATCAAGCATACCTGTCCACGATGCTGAAGCAGATACAAAGCCTCATGCAACTCATAGGCTGCAGAGCCGTTCATATCGGCGAGCAAAACTCCGAGAATTCCACACATTGTGACGGATTGTTTCTATGAAGGCTAGAGAAATAGTCTTTGACAGCATCATAGTTAGCTCCGATACCACCAAGTTAAAACGATGACGAATACAAAAAGAAAGTAAAATTTAAAAGGCTAGAGATCAGCAAGCCATGCATAATATTTTTGTCCGCAGAATTTTTTCTCGGAAGTCTAACATCTAAAGATATGGGTATCATCATGAAAGCCAGTCGTAACCAGAGCTGTTACGGGAATGATAAAGAAGCTTTTTGAGGGAATATAATGGGAAATTTACATACTAACCAGACGATGTGGATCGTTTAATTGGGTCGGAGGCTAGATCGGTGATGTTGACAGACCCAGTTTGGGCAGGTGTTCGTTGGAGTTAGATGGTGCCTGGCGATCCAAGCAAACTGTACTGACTGGCTGGTCTGTGGGGGTCAAAGGTTCATCTACAGTGAAGAGATGAACGATGATAAGAATCTGAGACGAAGAGAAGGAAAAGAGAAAAAAAGGAAGTTTGTCTTCTAATCGATAGTTTGAAATGTTTTAGTCCGGCTGGCTCGGAATCTCAACCAACAGCGGCTAAGCTGCCAGTTGGTGGCAATTCAAGTGTGCACGACAGAAGCGACGGTAGACAGTTAATATAACGACAGTGACGTCCACATTGTCGACGCCGTGAAGCCAATTGAGTCGCTGAAAGGGGAGTGGAGTGTGGGGAGTGAACCGTGTTCATGATGTTTCTTGAAAGAAGTATCTTTTTTTTCTTCCGGTGGTGGAGGAGGGAAGAGAATTAAGAGGTGGTGGAAAAGAATTTTATTTTACTTTTGTAAGCGGGAAAAAAATCAAAAATTTCTTGGGCCTTTGCCTGGTGGGACTCTCCTCCCACCAATGCAACTTAGGTACCCTCCATCACCCCCATGCCTTGCAGATGGCAGACTGGAACGAAGCTAACCAACAGATACACGGCTATTACATGGTCATTACATGACAGGAAACAGGGCCAGGAATTGAAGCAATGAGCTCTCCTCTGCTCTGAAAAGTGTCCACGTGCCGAGCTTTCTAGCGTCCTTCGATGCGGTTTCTCGCCGATGAAGGAAAACAACAAGCGGTCCCTTTTGAGGATAAGAATTCTTCTTCGCTTTTTTTTTATCGAATCGAGCAGGGATGGTTCCTCAATGACCTACAGGTCGGCTAGATTGCCGCATCCAGGCGTCATCTTGCAGCAGATTCAATCCAACATCCCACAAGCACTGGACCAGGCCTGAAGGGTGTGTACATACATGTGCCGTACATAAGTACCCGTTTTGAGATGAGAAAAGGCGACGAGATTGTGAGACTACATCCGGTGTATCGGATCGGTTTACTCCTGATGCATCCCAGACTTCATGCAAGGTGATTCAGGAACTGGGCCTCGCCAAATCCAGTGATATCAGATACCGTTCGGCCCTCTGATATATACACATCCAAATTCGATATTATCCTCAGTTGGAGCAAGCATCAACTGCAATCGAAAGAAAGAGCTGATATCGAAAGATATACCGTTGGAATATGCTATACCCGACAATTCACCCTGCAGATTCTGATGCATCTGCAGTGCCGTTACTATTCCCTCGGCCGGGACAGGACCACCCACCGGATGAATTCAAATACTCAATCCAAATCGTCCCAACGGCCATTGGCCACCCTCATCCTCGCTATACGCAAAAAAGCAAAGGATGGCATTATTCCGTGTCCAGCCCGCACCCTCCCTGCGCTGCAACTGTAGCTGTATCCGCCACTGGCTCGGTTCCTGGCCATGTTGGGCTTTAGCTCAGAAGCGAGCTCATACATTAAGTCTTTCTCCAGCAATAGCTCCAGATTTCTCCAGCTTTTCGTTTAAGCTTGCAGGCTGGCGGAGATATGGCGGCAATGTTTGGCCAAGTCACCACTACTTATTCGAGGACTTACTTACCAAGTACGTTGATGGGTACCTAGTCTCCGTAAATCGGAACTTAGGTGGAGAAATATGCTCCGGATTGGCATGACCTGACATTTCTTTGGAGTCCTGAGGCTCGCTCGTCAAGCTAAAGTTCAACCGAGTCGTGGAGGTATATCAGCGTATCGAAGGCCCCGGGGTCTGTAGAGTGCTTACCCGGCCGGTCTCGAATCAGATTCAGTTTGATGACAATGCTCAGGCTCGAATGGCCGGAGTTTGGCTAAGTAAGATCTGATTTATATATTGCATCTCGGAAACAGCTCTTCTTTGGAACAAGGAACGGCTCCACACTGACTAGTTGACGGTCTAACCTACCAGACATGTACCTGTTCGCCAGAGGGTTAAGCTTCCAGAGCCTCTGGGTCTGGCTATGTAAATACCCGGCTGCCAGGAACCGAAAGATTTCATCAGTTTTCTGACTGTGTATTTCTGTTCTGTTCTTTTTTTCTTTTCTTCCCTGCGCTGTAGATATCCGGGTCTTAACTAAATCCAAACATCCCAACTGTTCGAGACAGGAAACGGAAATCAATTACATGAGTCGCCTGAAGTACCTTAGTACCTATTACTAGGGAATTAAGTATTTGCCTTTGTATCAATCGATCAATCAATCAATCAATCAATTGCAATCTTTCTCTTATAAGCTCTTCCCGTTCCCCCGTTCCGTCTTCCTCGATTGCTTCTTCTTCCAACTTCGCAAACTTCGATCTCTTTCCAGCTGCCTGCTCCCGTTGCTGCTGCTGCTGCTGCTGCTGCTGTTGTACCACCATCCACAAAACCCACACGATTCAATCCAAACCTTCTTTCTTTCCTCCTCTTTCTCTCTTCCTACCAAACCTTCAAACGATCTCGACAATCCATTCAGTCTCATTTTTCGGCCGCCATCCGATCAATAAATCTTTAAAGTCGTCCGCTTCGAATCCTAAAATTCTCCATTCGTAACCTCGTCACGAACACCATCATGGCAACACAGAAACCAAAGTTGCTGTTATTGGGCGAAATCGAGCAGTAAGCAGTGCAACCTTTCCCTCTACGATCAGCGAACCCGATTGCCATTCCGAGAAGATGGAACCAGGGATCCATATCCACGGGTCTCATATCCTTCAATTGATTATTTTCCCCAGCTCTTTTTTGTAATTTTTTGTTTTTTCTTCTTTTCTCTGCTTGTCGTTATTCGCGGTTCCGCCCCTCCTCGTATCGCAATCGATACCATAGCCGAAACCGCTCGCTGGGAGCTCTCCCTTTCCTATTCTTATCAGCTAACCGATATTGTGCTTTCTCGCATAAAAAATAGTGCCTTCGAGCCATACGCCGCCCTTTCCGAGTACGCTGAGCTTGTCACTCCAAAGTCGACGAACCGAGAGGAATTCATTGAGGAATGCAAATCCGGTGGGCTTGATGGCGTCGTTGTCGCCTTTAGAACATTCACCAGTGTCTCCATAACCGGGAGAATAGATGCTGAACTTGTTCAGGCGCTGCCTCAAAGCCTGAAATTCATTTGTCATAATGGTTAGCCTTTGCTGTCAACCTTCTTGAAAAGACATGATTCTTACGTCTATGATATGTGAAAACAGGCGCTGGGTATGATCAGCTAGATATCCAACCGCTCACAGATCGCAAGATCCGTGTTTCAAATGTCCCCACCGCCGTCGACGATAGTACTGCCGACGTCAATATGTTTCTCATCCTCGGTGCGCTCCGAAACTTCAACATAGGAATGACAGCCCTGCGAGCGCGAGAGTGGCGAGGGGCTGCGACTTTGGGCAATGATCCACAAGACAAGGTCCTCGGGATCATTGGGATGGGGGGTATTGGGCAGACATTGAAGAGGCGTGCTGAGGCCTTTGACATGAAGATTCAGTACTACAATCGTAAACAATTAGACCCTGACCAAGAGCAAGGTGCCAAATATGTTTCGTTTGATGAGTTGCTGGCTACTTCGGATGTCATCAGTATGAATCTTCCTTTGAATGTTAGTAAAGCCTTGATTGTTGGTTGGGAGGTAGTGTGAAAGGCTAGTCAAGGGGCTAATTTCCCTTCTTTTTAGGCACACACCCGTCACATAATATCGACGGCCGAATTTGCGAAGATGAAGGACGGAGTAGTCATTGTCAATACTGCTCGTGGAGCCGTCATAGATGAAGCCGCCTTGGTTACAGCACTTAATAGCGGAAAGGTTCGCAGTGTCGGATTGGATGTCTTTGAGGAGGAGCCAACTATCCACCCAGGACTTCTTGATAACCCAAGTGTCATGCTCATTCCACACATGGGAACCTTCACTGTTGAGGTTTGTTTGATCCTTGACAAATTTTGAGCTTGAGTGGGCGCTGTGGTTGCTAACCCGTATCTTTACATAGACTCAAACCAAAATGGAGGTCTGGAACATCGAGAACGCCAAGATGGCCCTTACTCAGGGTCAACTGAAGTCGCCAGTTCCAGAACAGGCTAACGTCACTGATTGGGATTGAGATCTTGACCTGAATCTTTTTTGTGATTTCTATCCCTTTTTGATTGAATAAGTAAGTCTTGAAGCAGGTTCTTTCGACATATTCATACACTCTATTATACATCGTACAAGTTTTATTATTCTTTATCATGGTGTGTTTTATCTTTCTAGCTCTGCATAGACATCTTGTGAGCTTGCTCTTGATCTATAGATAGCGGAGATCCAGGTTAGGGTTCATAATGCAATGTGGATAGGACATGAATTCATATCTGCCAAACGTACCGTTAGCACACATACCTAAGCCGTAAGTTCTGACATGGATGTGCTTCTCTATGGCCTTAGATTTCACAATAATGCACATATGATGTTTGTCAGATAAGCGTATACGATTGACTACTAATAGGCGTCACACCGCCTAATGGGCTTAGAACCAACTGAATAATCAAATATCCTCCCAAGCTTGTCTATGCTTCTAGACTTCCTAGTATATACATGTAAACACTACTACTACTTCCTAAGAATTTCGATTATGCACACCCTAACTAAGCTCATGAGGAGAATTTGTTGGAATTTTCAGATTCAGCGTGTTGCAAGTCCTCGATCGGTCTGCGCAGCTTAGTTTCAAGGCTAATCAGCCTTGAGTCGAGCAGCTTGAGCTAGGTCATCCTCGCGGTAAGATTAGGTAAGTACTTATGTAGAAGGCTCGTTGTAATGAATTTATGAAACTATGCATATGGTTAGGTTTAGAAATCGGTTTATTCAAGTGCTCAATTGCAAGCAAACGATGCAATGAAAAAGTACCAGTAATTCAAAGCCTCTAATGGTGCCTGATAGCTACTCAGTTTTTGGTTTATATGTTGCCTCCAAGCTACTTAGCTACAGACGCCTCTTACTCTGCAAGCTTCATGCTACGTTACACAGCCAGGGAAGCTGCTGTGTTTCCGAATTCCGATGTAACAGAAAGTCGGGGCTTTGAATATGTTGGGATCATTGGTTCCTTAATTGCTGCGTGTTAGCATGCTGTGGCACGCAACCGCGGTACCATATTCCCGAACTTCACGTATTTTCGAAACTAGGAGTTGGGCACTCACTTCCTTGATCCTGAACACCACTGCACCGCTGAGCATACATGTACATGTATATGTTCTTTTTCAAGATCTCATAAACCACCAAAGATCATTCCATTTTCACCGACCCTACCTTACAGCAACCATGGAGGCCATGGAGACCAAAATATGCATACATATCGCGACCGATCGCGAGACTAATGAACCAATATCCAAATCAATCACAGATCTCCCCCCGGAGCTTGTCGCCCCAATATGTTCTTACCTCAGTATTGATGACCTTGTCCGCACCATGCGAACCTGCAAGTACCTCCACGCTGTTGGATCTGCCCAGCTACCCAAAACAATTAATTGTGAACTCCAGTCCCTATTCTCATTCATCAGCCGGAGTCGCTATAGGACGAGTTCTCGCGATCCTATCAAATTAACCTGGCGAAATGACGATCTTTTGGCAAATGCGGAGGAGGAAGACTCGAACGCTAGAAGTGATGTCTTGCTTGGTTCTTTGTTGAAAGCTGTGAAGAGACAGTTGGCGAAGCCGGATTTACCTAGGGTTTCGCTTGTACCGCATATTATATCTTTCGACGGGGAAGGTAAGTGTTTTGATATTTTCTGGGACGTTCTTATCTTCCTGAATAAAAGGGACGACAAACCGAAGAAGAAGAAGAAGAAGAAGAAGAAGAAGAAGAAGAAGAAGAAGAAGAAGAAGAAGAAGAAGAAACGATTCTCATTTTGTCGCTCTGTCACTAACATCATAAACTTCTAGCTGTTCGAGAGCGCGATATATATTATGCCATCCTAGAGGTCCTGAGATATTATTCATGCTCCCGTTCTGAAAGAGAGTACGCAATGCAATCTGTCGAAGCTAGAACACAACCCTACATTATCACCCGCTTCTTCGACCTTCATAAACTTCGAAAACTCACCTTAAAGTTTCATATATCATCCTGGCAAACTACCAGGTTCTCGCGGGGGGTGGGGAATATCAACATAGGCAAGAATTATAGATTTGGGGAAGAATTCGAGTCTGATTACAGATCTACCTACTCCAGATCTAACGTTCGAATGCCGGATGGTGAGCCCCTCGAGCAGTCACTTGAGACAGCTTCAGACCTCGCGAAATTGTTGAGGAGAGCAGAAAACTTGTCCTCCCTCTCACTTCACATGAAAGTTGAACTCCACCATGAATACCGGCCGCTTAAAACCCTTCCTCCAGCTTTGGAAGCTCTTTCAGATGCTGTTAGAGGATTGAAAAGACTTCGATCGCTTCGTTTAAAGAATTTCCTATTCCACCCGGGATTTTTTCTTCCAGTACCAAAAAATGTATCCCGATTGTCTTTTCACAATATTCACGCATATCCCAAATCCTGGTGGATGCAATTTGCGAAGTTCCCTTTGAAAGGGTTGGAAGTCTTGATTCTACGTATTCACAAAGATTGTTGGCCTGAGAAACCAGGTTCAAGTTTTAGTGAGCTCTATGGAACCAATCAGCATGATACTGATGGGTCTCTTCGCGATCCTCGTGAGGTCGAGAAGATGGGATTTGAACTTGGTGATGTTCATATCAAGGGGCTGAGATGCTTCACGTACGAAGACACTTCTGAATATTTCCTCCCGAGAGATTTGATCCCGTGTATTTTGGCGAAGAATAAAGGTATCAGGGAAGAGGATATGAAGGGTTTGACGGAGAGCTATGGGAAAGTAATGGCGGCGAGGTGCAAACTAAGATGGAAAAAGGCGGCCGCTGAACAACATGCTAGGATGGAAAAAGAGTTTACGAAACGGCTCTTGGAAGGATGTCAGCATGAAGTTGACATCCGGCACCACCTTGTTGAATTTTCGAAGAGAGTTACTGAGTCTCTTGAGGGGGCCGGTCTCAAGGAGACGAGCTCCGAAAGCACTGCTAGGGGGGTTAGCCTTGAGGGAACGGACATCAAAGGGGCGAACATTGAAGAGACAGAATCCAAAGAGACGACAGATAAGACAACAAGCCTTGATGTTACGAACCCTGATGTACCCAAGGAGGATATATCCAAAAATGAAAAATAGCTTGCTTGCATTATTAGCTTTTACCCGCCTGTTTTCATAGTCAACCTTTCCTAGGCTAGATTTTTCCTAGTTTAGATTCACAGTACCCGGACCCAAGATATGTCCGGCCTTTATCGCGATATCGACTCAGATATCCAAATTTATGTTTCACCCGAATGACTGAGTCTTAAGGTCCGAACTAAGTCAGAACCCCGGATCAGACGGTGTTTTACCAAATCGAAATCCTACATTTATTTTTAGAAACATTCATCTTTATACGTCATATGACTAAGTACATAATAAGATAGAATGGAGAATCAAAACAGTAGCAAAAATAATAATGGATATTGGACTATCTAAATCCGGACATGAGCACCAGTTTCGAAACTCAAGCCACCCAAACTGCCTGCGTGAAAATACAACAGTCTTCAACGCACTTACGAGCTTAGTATGTATGGGATGCTTCAAGATGCATAAATCAAGGATAGATTGATATCATGATGTATTAGAAGTGACGGTAAACTTGAAGATGTATACATATATATTCATACGTAATAACATCGACGTCTCCGATTTTTTTCTATCTTGGTAGAGTGACAATTACCTACACCATTTTCTTAGCAATGGGGGCATATGTGCATAGGTATGTACGTGCGCTAGCAGCCTCTTAGCACCCTCTTCGACGTTCCCAAACTTGCAATTTTGTTCATGAACTCTATGAGTCACGATAGTAATCATTTCATGTCTTTTCGAGAGGTGGATTCCAATTGTCTCTGGTATAGTCCATTAGATCTGGTTGCAGAGCCGAACCTTTTGTTCCATCTTACTTTTGATCCTTTTCGGCCCCCTTGAACAGAGGCAGCCACGGGTCCAAAGACAAGTTGTAAAGTCGCCTACCCCAAAAATTTAAAAATGACATTATAGGAATATCATGAATCCAAGTAGTATTGCGTGAATAAGGTGTAATGAGTACGATAGTATCCTAGCCCCGGCGCGTGTAAGTTCCGCTGAGGATTTGCGTGGTAGCAGAAATCACCGAATTACGGATCGAGATAATTCTTCAAGTATATTAAAATCAGAACCACGGCAAAAGAAGCAGGTACTATAGTAGCTAATAAGTGTCCGGCGAATGCAACAATACCATCAAAGAATCAAAGTGAAAAAAAAGTCGAGAGGGAGAGATATCAAGCAAAGAAACAAAACAAAAGGTGGCGACCGAATATCTAGAACTGCTAATAGAATAATGAACGACGCAAATATTACGTTTTGCTCTCCCTGCCTGATCGTACGAGAGCATCCCACCCCAGGCTCTTCAAAAAAAAAAGATGCCCCGGTTGTGTCTGTTGACGTGTTGGTACAGAGTGTCCCTCCCATCTCTCTACTTTACCAATGTAGATGAGTAAAAAATTCCCGTTGCTGAAAGATTCACATCACCACGCAGCAACTGTTCTGCTTCTTCGCATTGGTATAAAACATCTTACTAGCATTACTCAAGTTATCGCTTCTCTGAACCAAGGTATCCAATTTCTCCCCTCTATCGAGAACGCTCTCAATAGTCTTATGCAGCACAATCTTAGTCTCGTCCAACTCTCGTTGAATTTTTGAAATATTATCGGCTTGAGATGGTTCTTGGTATTTTACTAAATATTCTTTAAGTTGTGGAAGATCGTAGGTTTTATTGGGAGCCCAGGTAGTGCGGGGGTGTTTGGTGATGAATTCATCGAGAAGACGGTTCAGGAGTTCGTGGGGGATTCGACGGGGGTATTCGGCATTGGTGATTACTATACCCGTGCAGTTCTCAGGGCGGGTATAGGCATGGACCATATATGCTGTTCCTCCCTCCTTTTGTTAGTTGTGATACTTGCAACTACTATACCATGCAAGGGTTTGAATAATTAGGGAAAGGAGACCTTACACTGCTCCTGAACACTTTGCCTGACATTAATTGCTGTTCGTTCAGCTATGGTCCCAGCGGTGAAGGTCATAAATTGGTCGACGCTTTATTTGTTTAACAAAAGCTTATTAGAGAGGTGGGTCATACACGAGATTTAGGAAGGTAATGACCTACTTGCTACGGGTGAAATAACCAAAACTCTCAAGGTTACTTTCGGAGATGAGCTTCTTGGCCGGCTTCTCGCTAGTATCATATATCTATATTATACCATACTATTAGAGGTCTGTGTGAATTGGGCGCAAGCTATGGAAGGGGCACTGGAAGGCAGGGAAATAAGAAAGGAAGGAAGGAAGGAGTGAATGAATGAAGGAAGTAAGTAAGTAAGCATACAGCGATATGATAGACGGCAGTGGTTGCTGCGGCACTGGTGGACATTGTGATGGATCTAGTCTGAGCTGAGAGAGATATCGGAGCTTCGTAGATCCGGAAGAAGCAGTACTATCGACTGTTGTTGTTGTTGTTGTCCAAAAAGAGAGATGAGGTTTTAAGTGGCGCCGATGGCAGGAGGGAAGTGGGATGGTCTACGTAAGCTGTGAGGCTATTATTAATATTGTCGAAGGTTCGTCTGTGGAGATTTGATGGTATTTTTTGTTTTTCGTACCGTTGAGGAATGATGATGATGATGATGATGATGTTGAGGGGAGGATATCATGCAGGAAGCGGTGATGGTTGAAAGAGGTACATACTGACTTCCCTTGGGAACTGCTGTGTGTATCTGGCTCGAGTCTTGGCACCAAACCGCAGCTGAAACAACAACCCAGCCTCGGCCCTCAACGACCCTCGAGACTACTTTCCCAGTTCAGAGGCAGACTGCAAACGACACCAAACTAACTCCAATTATCAGATGCAAAATACTTACACAGAGTATATCCCTCGACTCGTTTCTGTTGTATAGTACTTAGGTAATTAGCCAATACGGATGAAAAACTATTGATGCATGAGATTGATAATAATATTGATAATATAGTCTACGCGATTAAAGAGGAGAGAGTCACACCAGTCCGGATCTGACTAGATGCAGGTCGCAGATGTTGGAGGCCTCCCACGGATATACGTACGCTTCTCTCCCCGAGGCTGTCCCATAAGGCTGATTTATACAATCACTACAACGAAATTGACATGGAACGTCTAGTTAGTGGGTTATCTCCTCACTAGGTCGCATCAAGTCCATGCATAATTATTGTGCCTGTGGATGACCAGGGGTAGCCAGTGGAGTGTCCTGTGTAATGTGTAGGGCTGGCCATGCCATGGAACATGGGAGGAGAAACAAGACACTAAGCGCTCCCGTCAATGTGCATGCATCATATCGTCGGCTTCCATCAAGCCCTAAACTACCATATTCGACCACGACGACCGCGACCCACAGTAACATCGTTCGAAACACGGACTGTATGAGTAAGTAAGTTTCTATGAACGCGTACTTGAATCATGCGCCATGCCGACATGCATTGGGCATATAGCCAATTGAATCGACAGTATCAAATCTCAAATTATCCAAACTTTCGAGCACCCGGTCCAGCTGAGATTTCGAATTTCTTCAATTTCACGCCATCTTGCTCAAACATTAAACATCAATTATACATCCCGCGCGCGGGCGTCCGTGGCACCCGACTAACATTTGACTAAGCGGCAGTGCAGACTTGGCTCTTTTCTTACAACTGCCGCCCGCCCAGGCCCACCATGCCTTGTAATTGTATCAGAGGATAGTCGGTTAGTCAGTGGTCTTGCACGATCTCTCGGGCAAAAGCTTGTAAGCATCAATTGAAACTAAACCAAGCTAAGCTAAGGCGCATTTGACATCAGCATGCATTCCTCTCTCGCTTTTACACACACACCACACAGACTCTCTAACAAACCACAACCACAACCACCACAACCACCTCCTCTATCTAACTGTCTATGAGCATTAACCTGTCGTTTCTATCTAACTACCTGTTTACTATTCATATGAGATTAATATATAATTGCCTTTCAAGCCCCCAGCTAATTGAATAGTTTGATTCCTGGTTATCCAACATGGGCTCAATGTCAATGGAACACCGTCCATATCGCTCCCACAAGGTCCCCGCCTGCGCGCGTTGTCGCCAGAGAAAGATTAGATGCAAGGTGGATTTGCCCAATCAACCCTGTCTGTTCTGCCGAGAGAAGGGCGTCGCCTGCCAAATCCCCTCTATAACGAACTCTCCCGACGACTCTTCGCACTCTCAACTTTCCAATAGTTCAAGTACTACAAACACTACAACTTCAAGTACAAATGCCCAGAAACGTCGTCGCTATGACGCAGAAGCATTATTATCTACTACTTCGAATCTTATATCAATTAGCCAGTCCTCTGGAGGCATTGATGGCAAATCATCAATCATCGTCGGCCCTTCTGTCGCTGAAGATGTTGAAATCGTTCAGCGTCATATGAGCATAACTCCACAATCTCAATCTTCACAGCGTCACAATTCCACAACATATGCCACAGAGGACTCTTTAGGCTCAGTTGTCTACGTCACGGTCCCTAAATACCGTCGGGGCGTAACCCCAAAACTCGACACTGGGGACAAGCAGCGTGAGATCGTCGAACAAATCTTCGGTCCTTTTAAAAAGGAAGCCATAAGATTATATTTTGAACTCATACACCCTTGTTTCCCCATCATCGGGGAGGAACTGAGGTTACAGCTTTTGGGGCAACAGTGGAATGAGGTCAACTCTGCTCTGCTGTGTAATATCTATGCTAGTATTGTGCCTTTATGGGATAGATCTGAGATTTTAAGATTACATCCTAGACCGGACTCGGATTATATCTGGAACCTCGCTGTCAGAGCATTACAAGAAGATTCAACATCGCCCAGTTTCTCTACAATATTCATCTGCGCTATCAATGTAATCGGTAGGCCGTCATTATATTACATTGGTAACATTGCAAACTCAAGTAGAGTAGTCGCACTCTCCCACAGCTTCGGTCTTCACCGAGATCCCAGGAAATGGAACAAACCCCTTGCGGAGAAGGAAATGAGAATAAAAATATGGTGGTGCGTGTTCATCATCGATTGCTGGTCGAGTTTGAGTTATGGTACACCGCCAAATATCGCAAAGGGCTGTCACGATGTCAGATTACCGGAAATTCAATTATCGACAAGTAGTGCTAGTAGTGGAAGCCCTAGAGTCACTACTGCAGCCTCAACATACCTACCGTTATCTAGCTGTTCTCTATCATTCTACTCATTGTGTTCGTTAACACAGATCCTGGCCGAAATATTACCAATGGTATATCATCTAGACCCAGACCCTCGGGTACTAATGGAAACCCTCCAAACTACCGCCTCAATGGTTCGAAAATGGGAAGAATCCCAATCCTCGGAATTACCACCATCACCGCGCCGGCAGCCACCAGTAAGGGATAACGCCGGTAGTAACCTCCACTTCTGTTACCTCTCTGTCAAACTACTGTTCAGCAGACTGAGTCTCAGAGCAGCATGGCTACAACAATCTCATCAACATCATAACCCCGCAAACGCAAACCCGGCTCTTATAATCCACGACTGTCTAGTAGACTTACAACTAGCGGCTACAAGACTCCTGGAATACGTATCAAACCTTACGACTCAGCAACTACAGGAGTTTTGGTTACCATATACGAGTCATCTACTCGTAGTCGCAACAATGATATTATTGCGGTGCGCGGTTGAAACAGAGAATCAAGCTATAAAAGTCGCTTGTGCAGCGACTTTAATCTCGTTGAAAGATAACCTGGAATCTCATCGCGATAAAAACGGCTGGGAATTGGGGGAGTTATGTCTGGAGAGATGTGCGGAATTGATATCTCGGGTTCAAGCTACTGCACCACCGACTATAGTCCCGGTAATAACGCCTGTGGTTCCAACACCGACAACAGTAGCCGATGAAGATGCTTTCCAATTCTTAAATGATACTTCGTTGATGCCGTTTGATCCACTTGGGGGGTTTGATGCTATCGATGATATTTGGCAAAGTCTGTTTGGAAATGTTCCGCCAGCTGTTGTGGAGGGTACTCCTGTTACTGGTCCTTCATTGTAGTCTTCCCCCCCCCCCATCCCTAGTTCTCTCTTCTTTTCATTCTCCACACTGAACAAAGTACATATTCTTTTTTTAGTTTATTTTAATCATTTGAAGCGAGTTTGTTCTTTATTATCTCGGTGTCCGGCGTTCGAAGCGTTCATCGAGCCGTATATTCAAATAGTACTATCATGTATTATTAACATTACCAAAGTTCTGATCAAAAAAAAAAAGTACCAAAAACGAACGGAAATGATAAAAATGTTTAATAAAGCGGCAAAGAACCCTCCGTACTCGCAAACGCCTCCTCCATAATTTCCAATCCTTCCTCCAACTCTTCTTCAGTAATCGTAATCGGCGGTGCAATCCTAAACACCCCAGCAAAACTTTGATGTGTGCCCAACTGCGCCCAAACCCCTAAATCAGCCATCCTCTCTCCGATCCTGTTCCCCAGATCAAACCCTGGTGTCTTTGTAACCCTATCTGTCACAATCTCCACTCCAGCCATTAGACCCCTCCCTCTAACATCCCCAATACACCCATACCGCTCCTGTAATCTCAACAATCCCTTCTGTAACACCTTCCCAAGCTCTCTAGACCGTTCGACCAATCCATCCCTCTCTACTATCTCCAATACTTTATCTCCAACGGCTGCAGGTAGCGGATCATTCAAATGTGTCGTGTAATACATAAACCCATCCTTTGCCGTCTTCTCCGCAATAGCATCGCTAACAACCACAGCGCTCAAAGCAATCCCATTCCCCAAGGTTTTGCTCAATGTAAGAACATCGGGAACAACACCTTCATCTTCCGCGTAATGTTGGAATGCGAACATATCACCCGCACGACCAATAGCTGTCTGGGCTTCATCGATGATTAAAAGCATTCCTCTAGCTTCGCAATGCTTTTTCAAAGCTTTTAGGTACCCGGCGGGGAGAGGATGCATGCCGCCAGAACTTAAGATCGGCTCAACGATTACTGCTGCTAAGGAACCACATGATTGACGGTCGATAAGGGAGAAGCCGTAGGAAAGTTCGGTTTGCCAGTCGTAAGTGCCGTCTGGATGGCGGAATATGGATCGATAGGCATTTGGTGCCGGGAGGGCAAAGTTACCCGGCATCTATTTTATCATGATAGAGTGATTAGTTTTATGAAATCCGACTTAAAACTAATGCAATTTGTTGGATTTTATGTGTTGCGATGGGACTCTAGCGTGCGGGTTTATGCATAAACAGGCAGCTTGCAACTATTTTAGCTAGCTCAAAGCTCAAAGCTTGAGCTCGCCAGCTTAAGAAGCTTAATCAAGAAATTGGCCCTTTGCCACTCCATTGTGCATGCGCCGTTCATCCCGCGACCCGTAACCGCACTAATTCCGATCCAATCACTGGCGGTGGAAGAAGGAAGGAAAGTGGGTAGTAGGGGTAGGGGGAGTAGGAGGAAGAAGAAGAAGAAGAAGGGGTACTTACGACTGGTCCATACCCCGCTCTCCCAGAATGATACTGCGCACCAATCGCCGCAGCAGTAACCCCATGCCAACTAGCACTCAACCCCACGACCTCAAACTTGCCGGTATAAAACTTAGCAATCCTGATAGCAAATTCATTGCTCTCCCCTCCCGTACTCAAAAAGATAGCCTTGTCCAACCCGGGTGGGGTTAAAGCCGTAAGTCTCTTCCCCAGGTTGATAACCGGCGGACTCAACATCCCACTGAACAAATGGTCGAGTTTTGCGGCATGATGGGAGATCACGTTGACTATTTCCGGGTTGCCGTGACCCAGAAGGCATGACATTTGTCCGGAGGTCCAGTCTAGCATTTTGTGGTTTTCAGGAGTGTAAATGTAGAGTCCTTCGGCGCGGACTATGATGTTTTTGTGGAAGGGGGTGCCATAGTCTATCAGACAGGAGTGAGCGGCTTCGTGCAGTTCCTTCTGGTCGATCGGGGCTTCTACGTCCTCGCCGGTTTGCCCTTGGGCTTGAGTGATGGGGTCGGTGCAAGGAACCATTGTGGATCGATGTTATTGGGTATGTATATGTCAATTGACTGGCCAATTAATTGCTATAGTGGAGGGACCACGGCAAAGGTACGAAGAGGTATAAAAATAGATCTATAGATCAGACAGAAAACTATGGCGGGGTATAAGTGTGTATAGAGCTGTAGCCTGTGGGTGCCAGTGAGGAGGCCATGATTTACGTCTGGATACTCGTCGCCTTTTATATAAAATAATAAAAATAAAATAAAATAAATAAACCGAAAGGACTACGCTGTCGACGGTTGACTTATTTGCGAGTAAGGTAACTAAGGAGAAGTTCGGTATAGCAGCTCGGATGATGGGATGGCAAGCGTATGTGCGCGCGTATAGTGTGTAGAAGGTCTGCGACAATGGGAAGAGACCTTTCGGGAAGATCAGGTACATCAGTTGTCTCTTTAGATAATTTACTTCAAAGTCTTTAAGTTTCCCGTTGCGCGCCGACGGGAAACTTCAGTGTTCGCCGTTTTTTTAGACGGGGAAATGCATCTGTGGGCCCTGAGACTAGAGACTAAAGATGCATGGACCATGTCAATTAGGTGCACTCTCGGTCTCGACTAATGGACCGTGGCGGGGTGAGGGATGAAGAGGAAACAAAAAGAGGCAAAAGTTCACGAGCAAGCGCTTCAGAGACAGTACTTCGAAGGCCGTTTAGAAAAAGTTCCCGGTTTTGGGTTGTAATGATAGCTAGGCATGTATGGATTGTATGTCCGTCCGTATGCATATGGACGCGGGACCCACAGCTTATCGCTCTTCTTGTCGTCCGAGAGCCAGAAACTTAATTATAGTTCAGTCCATTGTACTCCGTACATATATGCGGTTACGAGAGAAAAGTGCAGATATCGTCGACGGGAGGCTATAGGAATTGGGTAAGGCAAGTACAGGATGCATGCCCAGGCAGCAATTGGGAGTTAGAAGAGCTCGGGGTGTTACATGTTATGACATGACCCGCCCGGTAAGCGGTGTTTGTATGTATATTGATATCCCCGACGATAATGATAATGATGATAATAGTATTATCATGACAATAGATACTACCGAATACTTCTGTTGTAGATAGTAATATCATGCCTTAATTTCTAGCTTCCCAACGTCCGGCGTTTCCTCCGGTGCATCGTCCTCGTCGTCCTCATCCATGCCACCCACAAGACCTCTCTCAAACAGCTCCCTCCCCGTCAACTTCTTCCCAGCGGTACCAACCCCACTAACATTACCACTCCTCCGTCCCTTAGCTTCGGCTTCTTCCCTCTCCCTCTCCTCTTGTTCCTTTTTCTCCTTCGTTTCTTTAATAAAGGCTAATCTCCAATTCTCAAAGACTTCCTTTGTAACCAGCTCTCCTCTAAACTTCTCCATTTCTTTTTCTTCCTCAATCCTTGCTACCTCCTCACGTATCCGTCTAGCTTCGTCGGCTCGGTCGCGAAGGATGGATTCCGCGGTCTCTTTTAGTGTTGTCGCTAGAGTGAAAACCATTGCCATCCCCATATTTTCTTCCACGGCCGTATCGAGGGCGGAGACTAGCGGGGCCTCGTCATCGGGGAAGGTGAGCGGATGGGTGGAGGGGGAGTCGAGGGAGATGGAGAGGTCCGGGGCGGCATTTGGGTAATCCGGTGTATATGTTACCCGGAGGAAGACGATAGCTATGTAATACAATTTGTTAGCCATGCATTAACAGAGTATATATATCATTATTATAAGAGGTGGGGCATCATACGGGCTTCATATCCCTCGGCGTCGACGTCAACGTCGGGTTCTTCGAGAGAGAGACGGATGCTAAATTCCTTGTCCGAGATTTCTAGCGAAAACAGTATCGATATTAGACAAAGCACGTGAAACCAATGGAATGATCGAGTGTATGCGTACTCGTTAACTCATCGGGGTAGATGGACTCGAGGACCTCGAGCTCTTGTTCCTGTTCTTCTGACGCCGACATGGTGGATGGAGATGGCAGAGAAGAAGGGCTGCATGGTTGCAATTGGATGCAAAGGGCAGGTGTTTGGTGGGGCGACAAGCTTTTTGCCCCGCCAAAGCCAAGCTTTCCATATAAATATCTCGACTTCCTCGCGATGAAATCGAATGATCACGACCATTAGCTATTGGGATATAATGATACGAAGTCTATTGAATGGGAAAGGCACACTTTTGTCTATTGATCGTGATATAAATACAAAGGAAGTAAATATAGATGTCGCCTATAACTCCAGTTCCCCCAAATATTCCCCCCCAATTCAAGAGCTATCAGTTGAATGAAGTATTAATCTCCTACGAATCCTTCATCTCCTCATCCTCATCATCATCTTCCCACTCCGCGTCTCCCTCCTCCTCATCCCCTTCCTCTTCCTCTCGGTCTTCCGGTTTTGCATCCCCTATCTCTTTGGCAATGTTGGCAAGTAACTCCGACGCATGGTCTTTGATACCCTCGTCCTCCCACTCGAATGCCTTATACAGCTTCTCACAATTCCATAGCCATTCCCTCGCCGCTGCTAGGGTGTCTTTCCAGTCTTCAACGTCTTCTCCATCTGCAACTTGTAATTTTCCTTGGTTCTCTTTGAGCTTTGAGCCGATCAAAAATAGACACCATCCACCAATATACCACAAATCGACCATCTGGTCGTCTTCCTGCTGTAATCCCTCAAGAACATCCATTGCTTCTTCGTACATCTCACACTCGATCAGAAGTCTTGTAAAACTGAGTCTGAATGGGTAGGCGGGGATTTTATCGTCGCCTAGTTCCAAGCCATTCCAGACTTCCAAAGATCGAGCAAGGGCTGCTCGTGCATCCTCGGGTTTTGATTGTGAGATTCTAATCGAGGCGAGAGTTGATAGAGCTTCTGGTGATGACGGGCTGACCAGTAGGGCTTCGGTGATGAATGTTTCGCAGCGTGATTCGGCGTCGGGTTTCATGCTGTGATTTCTTAGTCAGACTATTATAAAAAAGATGATGATTATGAGATGCATACCATAGATCCGTCATGTAAATCTCTGCCATACCACATAATGCAGAACATAACTTGTCCTTCTCTTCTCCATCTTGACTATTTCCAGCTGCTGCGACTACTTTTCTCAAATACTCCACTGCCTTTTCATACCACCCGATCGCAACTTCTCCACCTTCCAGACAAATCTGCGCTAACCACAAAAACTTCTCAGCACCGCTTCCCTCGCCTTCGGGATCCAATTCTGCGGCGGTTTTAAAACACCGTATAGCGGTTTCGCCATCTTCAAGCTCGATATTGATCTCCCCGGCTAGCTCCAATGCCTTTAGAGATGTAGGGTTCTTAGAAAGAGCTGATGTAATAGTTTTAAGAGCCTTTTGAGGGTCTGATTCTTCAGTTAGTTCTGATGAAGCTTTTGAGATCAAAGCATCGATATTGTTTGTCGAGGATTCTTGGTGCTTTGCGATATTCTGGAGAACAGAGGCAAGGGAAGCTGGAGCATCTTTCCGACGGGTCTTTTTTGAGGACTTTGTTTTTGTCTTTGCCATTTCTGTTTGTTCTCTTCTTTTTCTTCTTTTTGAGAAGATAGGTAGTGGTAATAAATTTGTAGATGGTGATTGATTGATTGATTGATTGGTTTGGCTGTTGCCGAGCAAATGTGAATGGAGTTTTTTGGGGAAAGAAAAAAAGAAGCGGCGACAGAAAAGTAGCGACTGCCAAGACCTTTCTTGCACTAGTTATCGACAAGGCTGCACTGCACTGTACTGTCATACGACTACTCTCACCTTGCAATTGTTCTTATCAAGTGAGTACTTCATTAAATTCAATCGCCTTCATCAGATCTCAAACCAAATCAAAACGTTTCTAATTATTCAAAAAGCATAGACAGAGTTAATATACACTTCTAATGTGGAAGACTCCACCACAAGATCATCCGTCTGCTGAACCGCAGCATCCGTCGTCGTCGTCGTCTCTGTCGTCGTTATCGCCAATGACGTCCTCGAATGACCCGCTTCTTACGCCACAGTTCTGTTTTTCAACATCCACACTTAAGGGTATATCACTATCATATAAGACAGCTACTTATTTAGTAGTTCTTTATATCTATGATAAAAGAGTACTGATAGATATTATCAATGATGATACATAGAATTCCTCCGTGTCTCCCGTTCCACAACCGATGACACTATCTCCCAACACCTCTCATCCCTCTCCCCGCCACCGACCTTTAACCCCTCGACAACGTCCCGGCGAACCCCCTCCCATCGTCTAATCCCGCCGCCAGCCCTCTCCACCTTTCTGTCATCGACAGTCTACCCGACTTGGTCTAAACGGTCCGAAATCCTAACCTACTGTGCTATTGTCGCTACCTCGCCGGATCCGAATGATCCGAACCTGGATGTCATATCTAAAGAAACCGAAGCCGAGAGATCTAGGATAGTGGATGAACGACTTGATCCCTATTCAGGCAGATTCTTCCCTACAGAGACCAGGACTCAGGTTTTAGCTGGGGTTGTGAGGAATGAGAGGGGTGTAGAAGAGATTGTGAGAGAAAGGTATATAGCTAATATATTTTTCTTCTATAATTGTTTCTCCTTCGTCACATATGTATTACAAGATCATACTTGTGTATGAAGAAGGAGTTGCATAGAATTACGGCTAACGGATTTTGTATAGAACATGGGAAGTAATTAAAAGCCGGAGTACAGACGGAATGGGCGGCAAGACGTGGAAAGAGGCTTACGAGGAATGGAAAACGTCATCATAACCACCTACCTAGGTACCCACCTACATCCTCCATAAGCCGATCTCGTTAGATTTGCTCCGGCCCGGACCTTAATTCATAAGCTCTATACCAACCATCACCAATCTCTTCTCTTTTTCTTTGGCATTAGCGAGCACACACACATCATTGGCGTCACAATTCTTATTCTTTTTCCCTTTGGCTGTTGATCTTTTTTTTTTTTTTTTAAAAAAAAAGAAGAAGAAAACTGACTTATTACGTATGGCGATTAAATATATAATCCACGGCGGCTGTGTATATATGGATTAGTAACAATTAGGAGGAGGAAAATGGAAAAGAAGGAAGGTGTGTATATATATCTCCTCACCATGTATACCCAGTACAAAAAAGCAAAGCAATTGGAACGGTATATATATACTATATAATTCAATATAATTCAATCTTAATAATTTAATTCTCAACCATTTCCCAAGTTCCATGGATCCAAGCAGAAAAAGAGTCGAATCACATTCAAGAGGTTGAAAATGTGATATATAAAAAAAAACCTCATACGATATCGCAACGCTTACAAAGAAAAATTCAAAGAGAGAGAGGGAGAAAAACAAAAGGAGAAGATGGTGCAAAAATTATCGTCAAAGGCGTGCCTTTTTATAAATTCGTTTATTCGATACGCAATTGGGTGTAGATATGGGAGTCTTGGAGTCTTTCTTTTTTTTTTTCGATCGGATGGAGTAATGGTAATTATAACCAGTTATCGCCGAATTACCCGGATAATACGCATGCATTTCCCAAGCTTAGCCTTGGTCTTGATCTTAGTCTTAGCCTTAGTCTCAGTCTCAGTCTTAGTCTGTATAGCTGTGGCATGTTGTCCAAAAAAGAATTCGCTCGATAGGACCCAAATGCTCGGAACGGTAGTGAACCGCGATTGGAAAAGTGTAGAATGCAAATGCAATGAGGAAGCACCAGCGCTGCCAGGGGTCAGTAAAGGGTTTTTATATAATAAGCAGTGCGATATCTCTCATTGCGTGCGAGCACGCAAGATGTTGTCATTGCGTTGTTGGTGTTGCAACTACCCGAAATAGCTCAAGGCTGTTTAAGCTTAGTTTTTTCTGGCGTTCGAGGTGCGTATGCATGATATTGCATGTGCCTTACATGTCTGTACAGCTTGACCTCGAGCTAGCTGCATGTCCGTCGGATAATATAATTGAGTTTGTAGAGATCGAATGGATGACGATGACAATGTAATCTCTTGTACATGATATGTGGAACCCCGGATTGTGACATTGCTCTCCAGCTCTAACGTGATGAGCTAGTACTCCCAATTCTTCAGAATATGGAGAGCCTAACAAGCTATATAAATCCCAGCTTTATCCAACAGTTTGATGTTTTGAAATTCGATTCTCGAGCTCCTCTTGATGTGCTAGGAGTGTTATACCAGTATAGGTTACACTCAGTTCTCCATACAGTTTCCTCCCCTAGTCCGGCTAGCTTGATTGTATAATCATCCATTGCAATTACCACTAGTATCCTAGACTCTAGAGAGACCCGAGGGGAAATTCGTGTATCATACTTGTTGGTTGTTTAGCCATCGATCGCAATCACGCCATCGTTGCTGGAAACCTTCTCAAAAAGCTTCTTTGTCTTCCTCGCATAACAAGATTTTTTTTCTCTTTCTTTCATACTTTCATCTTCTCTTCATTATTTCATTCTTCAGCTTCTCCTCTTCCTCCCCCATCTCCATTGTAGGAAAAATACCTCCAAAATGGGCACTTTGGACTTCCTTTCCAGCATCGTCCCTCAATGGCCCTTCGCATCCTCAATGAAGGAAGCTCCAACCTGCCCTGTCTCACACTCATCGGACCTCTCCAAATGTCCAGTCGACCACCTGGGCTTCAAGAAAAACTCCACAACCCTACCCACTGATGTCGTAACATCTTCTTTCACATCGCATGACCTCAAGTTCAATGCCGCTGCATCTCTCCAAGTGCCCGGAATCGGCCAGAATGTCGACCCAAAAATAATAGATACCGTCGATCTTTCAGGTCGTCTCTCCGAAAATCTGCTAGTTGCTTCACCGTACACTGACAAAGATCATCTCCTTGATCTCAACACTCTCGCCCGTCCGCATCAACTTCTTGCAAAAGCTTTAACAATCATGAATGCGAAAACCGGCGAGTACGCTATTGAACCGTACCACGAAGCCTTCAATTGGGACGAAATCCTCATCGCTCTGCGAAAGCTATCAAAGCGGGAGGATTACGTATTCCCCAGATCTGAATTCTATATCATTGTTTTCCGCTCAAGGCTTCCCTTTGATGCGGATCGCCGACATTTGGGAAAGTTGGACGAGGATGCCCATGTCGAGGCAGTGGAGAGCGGGCAGTTGCTAAAGTATTGGTTTGGAACGCCGCATCCCGTTACGGGTAGGAACCTGGCTACTTGTATTTGGAGACATCGGGACGATGCCAAATTGGGTGGTGGTGGACCAGTAAGTTCTATCAATGAAATGCTGAGCTGAGCTCTGAGCTGAGGTTGAACATATTGCTAATATGAATTGTACAGGGTCATGTCCGGGCCATGGAAGCTGTGAGGAATATATACCTCGAATGGAGGGTAGAGAGGTTGAAGTTTGTCGTTGAACATGATGCTAGCGAATGGAGTATCAGCAAGTGGGTCGATTAGGGAGGTCCTTGTGATTCTTGGCGGTCTTTTTCTTCTTGTCTTTTCAACCCCTCAGCGGCATTATTCTTTTGCTCCATAAACGGCGTTTTGTTTTCACCTTTGCTCTTTGGATTTGGTAAAAGGCGTTAAGGATACCACTTTTGTATACTTTATTCTTTATCTTGTTGTTTTCCCTCACAATTTTGGGGGTTTGCTTCTTAAAAGCATGGAGGATTCCTTCAGGGAATGTATGATAGAGAGGTGGATTTCGAGCTCATAGCTTGTACGTTAATAGAGATCATGCATTAGATCCGAAGGAAATTCAATAGTAAGCCGTCACGTGGCTCTAACAGTAGTCCCGAGAATGCCTATTCCACGTGTTTCATGTCGTCCGTTTCGATCCAGTCCAGTCCAGTCCAGTCCGGTCTAGTTGTCTGAGAACGAACTGAAGAGAGGGAGGAGGAAGGATATGTATTTTACTGAGCACCTTCTCCACCTGACCCAGATGCCGGATCGTTCGGATTGATGGGTTGGGACATAACCGTGTCAAATTTGCTCCAGAGAGCCTCAATTTCGGTGAATTCTTGTCCAACCTGTTTTTATTATTTGGTTTTAGTATATATTTTTTTGGATATTTATAAAACTGCAATGTAATTCAAAACATTTGGATTTCAACATACACCAGCGAGACCTTCAAGAGATCGATTTAGATGGTTGAGATTGAGGAGAACCTGGTCGAATGACTACAACAGGAGGGGGTTAGCTTTGTCGAATTCAATCAAATCATCATTATCGTCATCACCACTCCCACGTTGAAAATAGAAAACAAACGAACCTTGCATATCTCCTCGATGAGAGCCTCACGTTGAGTCTCAAAGTAGGTCTTCTCGGGACGAGTGGTAGTGCTCATCGTGATGATGGTGATGATGATGATGATGGTGGTGGTGGTGTTGATACTCTTGGCTTGGTAGTCCACAGTTCCAGCTGTTGTTGTTGGTGGTGGTACGGTACAACGCGATAAGGAACGAAGCCTGCAAGCAAGCGATAGGGATATCTCCAGACAGAAGAGCTCACAGCCAACCAATGACAAGCATGCCGGCCGGAACTGGCTGGACTGACTGGAACTGGAGCTGGCTGGACCGGACTGGGGTTCGATTCGATTCGATTCGGTTGACAAACGCCGGCAAAAACCGAACTGAAAAAAAGTCTATCAGCGGTCGAGGAGGGACAGGCAGCTCCGGGTACACTAACCAAAGGAAAAAAAAGAGAGGGGCTTTTGTAGGAAGTATAAGTAAAACCCTTCCAGACCACTTCTCTCTTTCCTTCTCCTCTTTTCCTTCACCAACCCCCTCCCATTGCCATTATCAATCCCTTCTTATCACGTCTGTAAGTTACTCTTCGATTCTTACAATGCTATCTATGATTAATTAAATTTAATTGGCATTGATATTGTGATCTATCGATTCTAATCGTGTTTTGATAAACTTATAGAAATCCATCCATCCATCCATCATGAGTGCCCCAGCCCAGAAGTTCAAGGTCGCCGATATCTCCCTTGCCGCCTTCGGCCGCAGGGAAATCGAGCTTGCCGAAAATGAAATGCCTGGTCTCATGGCCACCAGAGCCAAGTATGCTGCTGAGCAGCCTCTTGCTGGTGCCCGTATCGCCGGTTGTCTCCACATGACCATCCAGACTGCCGTCCTCATCGAGACCCTTACTGCTCTCGGTGCTGAAGTCACCTGGACCTCCTGCAACATCTTCTCCACACAGGACCATGCTGCTGCTGCCATTGCCGCCTCCGGTGTCCCAGTTTTCGCCTGGAAGGGTGAGACTGAGGAGGAGTACAACTGGTGCTTGGAGCAACAGCTCCTTGCCTTCAAGGATGGAAAGTCCCTCAACCTCATCTTGGATGACGGTGGTGATCTCACCTCCCTCGTTCACTCCAAGTACCCCGAGATGCTCAAGGGATGCTACGGTCTCTCTGAGGAGACCACCACTGGTGTTCACCACCTCTACCGCATGCTCAAGGACAAGAAGCTCCTCGTCCCAGCTGTCAATGTCAATGACTCCGTCACCAAGTCCAAGTTCGATAACTTGTACGGATGCCGTGAGTCGCTCGTTGACGGTATCAAGCGTGCTACTGATGTCATGATTGCTGGTAAGGTCGCCGTTGTTGCCGGATACGGTGACGTCGGTAAGGGTTGCGCCATGGCTCTCCACGGAATGGGTGCCCGTGTCATCGTCACTGAGATCGATCCCATCAACGCCCTCCAGGCCGCCGTCTCCGGTTTCCAGGTCACTACCATGGAGGAGGCTGCTTCCATCGGTCAGATCTTCGTCACCACCACTGGATGCCGTGACATCTTGACCGGAGAACACTTCCAACAGATGGTATGTTCCTTGTCACAAAGCTCCTTTTAATGAAGTAATATACTAATCGGATCTAGAAAAACGATGCTATCGTCTGCAACATTGGTCACTTCGACATTGAAATCGACGTCGCCTGGCTCAAGACTAACGCTAAGAACGTTGTCAACATCAAGCCACAGGTCGACCGCTTCGAGCTTTCCAACGGCAACCACATCATCCTCCTCGCTGAGGGCCGTCTCGTCAACTTGGGTTGTGCCACTGGCCACTCCTCTTTCGTCATGAGCTGCTCCTTCACCAACCAGGTCCTCGCCCAGATCTTGCTCTTCAAGCAGGAAGACGAGGCCTTCAGGAGCAAGTATGTTGAGTTCGGCAAGGGTGTAAGTTCTCCATTCTATATTTTTCAATCGTGCTGTATGATGATTGATACTAATGGATAATAGGGTAAACTCGATGTCGGTGTCTATGTCCTCCCCAAGATCCTCGACGAGGAGGTTGCCCGTCTCCACCTCGACCACCTTGGCGTCAAGCTCTCCAAGCTCTCCACCACCCAGGCTGACTACCTCGGCTTGGAAGTTGAGGGTCCATTCAAGTCTGAGCTCTACAGATACTAAATGCATTTTCTCAATACCTCCCTTTTTAATATAATATTCTCTCCTTTGTCATTGTCCTCATGATCATTCGCCATCTCAACAACCATCACCTCAAGGCCTTGAGTCTTCTTCATCCTCTATCTCTCTTTCCTTTTGTTTCCCTTTTTTCACCTTTTTTCACTATTTTATTATGATTTGACGCAAACCAAAAAGTTATTTTGTCCTCAACGGCAATTCATGGGAGGGGTTTCATGAAAAACCTTTTAACGACAAAGCGGTAATTCAACTACTGGAAGAAAAAGATAATCTTTTTTCACGAAACGCATTTAACATTAATCTGGGGGGTTTTCTATATAAAAAAAAGGAGGAAGGAGAGAAGAAGGTAGGGAAACTGGGGACTGGATGGAATGGGAAGAGGGATTGTGGGTGCTGTGTACCCTTCCCTTTCTTCTTTTATTTTCTTATCCCTCTTCTTCTTCTTCGTCTTCTTTCTCCATGGTGGCTTTTCTTGTACAAATTCGGCGCTCTTCTGGATTACACACTCTCGCACACACAACCAACCAACAAAAGAAAATTTGTAACAGCATGGAATCAGGGTAAAACAAAAAGCTTATTGGCGTTACAATGGGGTCTGTTTCAACACAGAAAGAAAAGGAAGGGATAAGGGCTAATAAAGGCTACCTTTCTTATATAGAGAATCTAACGAATGAAAAGAAAGAATCGAAATGAAATCTCTCTAGAATAACCTGATCTCTCTCTCTCTCTCTTCCTATCTGCTAGTATTACCGCTAGATAAATGTGATATCGTAACACTGGTACTTACAGTTTTAATTGCAATGGTATATAGGTATAGTGAAAAAAGGTTGCGCCGTAGATTAAGGAAAGTATAAGAAATTGCATTTGGATTCAGAGTAAGGTAAAAAGGGATTCAAATTAAGCAACCGTACACAAAAAAAGCTCCAAAAGATTGACGCTTTAGAAACTCCCAAGATGCCCTGAATTGCCCCCAAAAAAAGAGAAAAAAGGAAGTAAGAAGATTTAAATTTCCCTGATTTATCATGTAAAATCGGACAAAAAAAAAAGGAACAAGAGAAAAAAGAGTGACATCTCCACCCAAAGCATAACAGTTTTTTTCTTTCATAAAATCACTACTCCTCCCGATAGAGTGGTACACTCGTATCACCATAATCATTCTTTCGTACAACTCTGTTCGTTTTGGAAGGCTAAAACTCCTCTATTGGTACTTAATTCCCACTCCTCGAATCCGGGTTATATCCCAATGGCCTCCTCTCGTCCTCATCATCGTCGAATAGACCACCGCTGGGCCTTGTTTGATAGTTCTCGTTGTAGTCGGTACTCAATCTCTTGGCGTCCCTGCTAGTTTTTTCGGTACCGGTTTGTAAGAAGCTGTCGCTTTCCCGTTGGCCTGCTGGTGGTCTAACATCGCCCTTATAAGCTGTGTTCTGCTCTCCGACACCGGGGTAGTATGGTGGCGCCGGTGGACCTTGATCGATACTGCCTCTTTGTTGGGGTCCCGGGCCTACATTTGAAGACCATCCGAATGCTGGAGCTGGGGTTGGAGGGGGGGAAGCTTCCAACATTTTTTCATCGAGAGCTGGAGTTTCTGGGTAAGAGTTCAAGGAGCTATAAGATTCATTCCTCTCCTCGTCGAGTGGAGGAAGTCGCTTGCCATCCTTCTTTCTAAAGAACCTAGAAAACAACCCGGCATTCGCTCCCTTCGGTGTCCTCGGAGACGGAGAGGTGGGACTAGAAACCGCACTTTTCATATGGAAGGACCTAAGTCTCTTGACGGGTTTGATGTTATCTGGATCTTCGTCGACGATACCGCTCATACGACGTTGGTGGGCGATCGCGCGTTTGATTTCTGCGGTTGAAGTGCCTGATTTACGACGTCGGAAGACGGTGACGAGGATGCAGGCGCAGATTGAGACGACGAAGATACCGGCTAGGACGGCGCTGAGGATCATGGCCCACCGCGGGGCGTACCAGCGGTCGCGGCCGAAGTGACCTTGAGGGATCGGAGCTGGAATGGGGTTTTGGCGTTTGGTAAGGTCGGCCATTGTAACGAGGGAGGCGAGGGTTGCCATTGCTTCGTTGCTTTTGTACCTTCTTCTTCTTTTTTTTTTTTTTAAAGAAAAAAATTACCTATTGAGCTTCTATCTCCTGAGACAAATTTTGAAGAGGATTTCTTTGGTGGTGGTGATATCGTTATGTGGGTGTGGAATGTGGGTGTTCGAGCTGGCTGGTGGGGTTGCTGGTTGTTGGATTTCTCGATCTGGGCAGCCTTGAAGCTTCAAGCCATCCTTTGCAATGAATTCCTCACTGTTGAGACACACACGCACTGTTTCTTTTTAAGATCTTATCACCGTATCTTCGGGGAGAGAAGAAGAGAGAGAGGGAAGAAGGGAAAAAAGGAAGAGAATGTGGGAATGATAACTCTTTTTGATATTCTACTTTTTTTCACTGCACTGAGGCTGAGGTGGATGGGCAGAAAAAGCTAAGCTTGGTGGGTATAACCTAGCTACGAACTATCAGGTAAGAAGTATGTATGTACAGTATGTACAGAACTGACATGTATACCTTTCGAGCTAGTGCATAGTATTACCTGTCAGCAGAAGAAAAAGCCTAAGCTTGGGCGACCATGAGCATTTGGAATAGCTCAAGGACACCCATGTCGGGTCGTAAGCTGAAAAAAGAACAGGACATCATCCATGGGTCACTACCGCTCCCTCCCTCGTCTGTTCAGAACCTTGGCCTTGGTGAGAAGAGACGGAGAGGCATTGAGGCTGTGAGACTTGTGCCCTTGTTCGAAGAAAAAACCCACCGGTCGTTTGTTTGACGGTTCAGCCGCACTGATTGGCGCCAAGGGTTCTGTGGCCTGGAATAGAATAGAAAGTGCTGCCATGATCCTGCAGCTTTTTTTGTTCTCTTCGGTCTTGATGTAAGCTCATAGCTGGATTAGGTTGGGTTTGTTAGTAATGTCAGAAGTGTCAGTATATGTAGTGACTATATGGTTCGACGGTCGTAGATATCGACACTTTGATGTTCGTATTCTTGATGGTCGAAAAGTGATATGATTTGATGTCGCGCAAGTCGGAATCGAATTTAACTGGAATTCAAATTGAAATATTCGATTTGACAAACGCGTTCATGATCGACCGAACGAAGCCTCATCCGTGACATACGCACCGCTTTCTCCAATTTTTGAATTTTGTCATATTCCCAGTCCCTCTATTCCTTTACACAGAGTAACAGAGTACCCGAGGCATACTATACCAGGTGCATGTACGCATCTCCAGTTAACTGTACGTGTACGAGGTATTTGTGGATAACGTTAACATTCAAGTCGAGCAGCAGCAGCCGGTTGCTGTGCTGACTAATCAACGATTTCGAAAGACTCAATCAATTAACATTAATCGAATTCGAATCAAGGGGAACCAAATATCACATTACACCGTGCCACCGTCGCGTTTTCTGAAATTTAAAATCTTCTCCCTCAAGACGCGACTATCGAAAACTTCGCTTTCTAAACATTTTTTGTTGGCTCCATCAGAGGAATAGATTGTATCACAGACAAATACAAAATGCCGGAGATTTCAGAAATTACACGAGTTGTGCAGTAAGATTCACTAATAATCTGCATCCATACGTGCCAAGTGATGACCCTTGGCAGGGTTAAGTTTTGTCTATAGCTAGCTCGGGCTCTAACATCTTAGTTTTGGGGGTATAACAGCTATATCAATAGATATCTAGCTGGAAAGGTTATCAAAAATGTATGTCATTTCATCCTCCTCTCCTGCAGATGCTGGCTGTCGTCCTTCTTTGTGAAGGTTTAAATTAATTTTGTTATGAATATTTGTAGGTTGTGGCCAACGAAGATGCTATCGTATTCAAGGATACCACTTCATCTGCCTTTGTTAAGGCTATGTTGGGGAAGAAGGTAGTGGAGGCGAAGTATGCTTTTTTCTTTCTTTCTATTTCATACAATGGAAGGTTGAGGACTATTTTTGCTGATCGATTATATTATCAGGCAACAGGGCAAATACTTTTGGTTAGCAGCTAGCTACCTCGAAATGATATCATTCAATGGGATTTGCATCTAATACATATATATGTTCGGGCTAAATAGGATCGAAATGGACTCTCCGCCACATCCTGTGATGCAGTAAGTACTCCTATTTAACTCGATATAATGAAACCAGAGGGCTAAATGTGATATTAGCTTCGGAATGACCGGTTGGATCACATTCAGCAAGGCTCCGGAAGCACACTATCGTGCCGACATGGCCGAAGAAGACGATGATAAAGAAGAAATCGAATGGCCACCCAGATTTATGAAATTCGTGTTTGAAATGGAAGACGAAGGAAACAATGCTGCGTTTACAGATGCTAGAAGATTAGGCAGGGTTAGACTTATCGATGTGCCGGCAGAGCAGATTAGAAAAGTTAGCCCGTTAAAGGAGAATGGGCCTGATCCAGTAGTCGATGGTCTAGATGAAGATTGGTTCAAAGGTGTGCTTAATCAAAGGAAGAAGCCTGTCAAGGTAAGTATCTCTACATATGTTTCCATTTATTAAAAAAAAACGAGTGTGGGGGTTTAACTTTAACATAGGCACTACTGCTGGACCAAGGTTTTATCAGCGGAGTTGGAAACTGGGTTGGAGACGAGATCTTGTATCATGCGCGAATACATCCAGAACAATACTCGAATACTTTGTCAAAAGCGCAGCAAAAACAGCTATACGAATCGACGATGTACGTCTGTAAAACAGCATGTGAGCTACTGGGAGACTCGTCGAAATTTCCAGAAGACTGGTTGTTCAAGTACCGATGGGGCAAAGGGAAGAAGGGGAATGCGCTGCCCAATGGGGAGAAGATTGATTTTGTGAAGGTTGGTGGAAGAACCAGCGCTTATGTGAAGACCAGACAGAAAGCAACGGGTGGAACGGCGGTCAAAGAAGAAGCTAGGGGCAGTGATGAGGATAGTGGAGAAGTAAAAAAGAGCGCGAAGAAGAGGAAAGCTATTAAAACCGAGGAAGATGAGACGTCAGTTAAGAAAGGGAAGAGGGGAATAAAGCCCAAGACTGAAGATGAGGAAGTCAAGACACCCGCGAAGAGGGGTAGGAAGAAGGCTGCCAAAGTCGAAGAGTCGCAAAGTGAGGAAGAAGAAGAAAATAGAGAAGAAGAGGAGGAGGAAGAATCTGAAGTCGAAGTAAAAATTTCGAGGAAAGGGAAGAGTAGGGTTAAAGAAGAGAAGGCTGTGGTGGATGGTAGTACTGGTACGCCAGCCGGACGCCGTTCGTCGCGACTGAAGAAGTAGGCCTTTCAGCCCGAGCTATACGGTTATCCCATGTAGTAATAAATAATACTTCCCACTGTACTTACAATCGCCACCGATACCAATACCGTCTCTATCAATACCATCAGCATCGTTGGCGTATTGAGTAATTAACTGGAATTCGAAGGTTGCATTTTGGGAAGTGGCGTGTTGCGGTGTTTGGTGGGGCTCCGGTGGCAGACCGACGCACAAAAACGGCTGCGAATAATTCTGCAGGCCAGTCCCAGTCCCAGTCCAGTCCAGTCCTTGTCAATTGTCCTCGACCACCTCGACCACCTCGACCTCGACTTCTCCACCATCCCGCTCTCCTAATCTGGGCTTCTCCACCCATCCGACAAACCACAGCTGTTCCTCATCGCAGTTGTTCCATTGTCAATTATAATTACCGCCCCTCCATCAAATACATATCAATATCTCTCGCGACACTCTTCTCTTCGAGCTATCTCTTAAACCCGCCTCGTCTTGCACTAGTGTCAGTAAGCTGCTGCTGCTGCTGCCCATCCACATCCATCTCCACACAGAATCCCCCATACCCTTGACACAGTAATTTAATTTTGCTGCTTAAAATAAGACAACTCGACGAGCTAATGCATGCTGGCCTTCTTTTGAGTAGTAGTTTAAATCAAACCGCTTATATGTGCACGATATAATCCTTTCGCTCCCCACCAAACCGACGTTTTTAAACTCTATCATTTCATCCTCCACTCGCATTTTCTTCGTGTCGTCGACGACTCTTCTCCAACTATGCCCAGTCAACAACCGCTCGCCTCGAAAGAGGGCTCACTTTTTCGTAATGTGCTTAAATTCTACGAAACAAAGCAGTACAAGAAGGGTCTTAAGGCTGCTGAGCAGGCATGGTCCTCCCACCCACACTACTCGCACGAATTTTCCCAATTAACCATTTTCTTCTTTTGATCGAAGTATAGATCCTCAAGAAAAACCCCAAACATGGCGAAACCCTCGCCATGAAAGGCCTTCTCATAAACTGCCAAGGCAAAACCGAAGAAGCTTTCCAGATTGCCAAAGAAGCCTTGAAGCAAGATATGAAATCCCATGTCTGCTGGCACGTCTACGGTCTCCTTTACCGCAGTCAGAAAAACTTCGATGAAGCCATCAAGGCCTACAAAATGGCACTTCGCTTCGAACCGGATTCCCAACAGATCCTACGCGACCTTGCACTCCTACAAGTCCAGATGAGGGATTACAACGGTTATATCGAAAGTCGACGGTTGATGGTTATGAGCAAGCCCCAGATAAGACAGAATTGGACTGGTCTGGCGATTGCATACCACCTCGCGGGAAATCTATCAGAAGCCGAGAGCGTCCTTGCTAAGTACGAGGAAACTTTGAAGCAACCACCACCACGAACGGACCTTGAGAACTCGGAGGCGATATTGTATAAGAATTACATTATTGCGGAAGCTGGAGATTACCAAAAGGCGTTGGATCATTTGGAGGCTATTTCCAGAACCGCTGTCGACAAAGTTGCGATCTTGGAGGCGAGGGCGGAATATAACTTGAAGCTAGGGAACAATGAGGCTGCAGAGAAGGGATATAGGGTCTTATTGGAGAGGAATCCTGAAAAGAGGCTATACTATACAGGATTGGAGAAGAGTTTGGGACTTGAAGGAGAGGAGAGACTGAGGGTTTATGAGGAGTTGGCTGAACAGTATCCGAGAGCGGATGCGCCAAAGCGGATACCGTTGGATTTCCAAGAAGGTGCGGAATGTTGGGAGGAGTTGGGTGGCGCGGAAGGTGTGCTAACTGTTCTTTGCAGGTGATGCTTTCAAGTCTGTGGCACAGAAGTATTTGGATTGGAGACTGAAGAGAGCTGCTCCATCGACATTTACCAGCCTAAAAGCTTTATATGGAGATGTTGCGAAACGAGAATGTCTAGAATCACTCGTCGAAGAGTTCCTGGCAAAGACACGAGAAGAGAAGCCTGTTGAGAATGGAGAGAGCCTTACGAACGGCAGCTCAACCCCCAATAACAGCGTTTTGATCTACACTCTTTACTATCTCTCACAACATCACGACCACTGGCGGATACGAAATACCGAAAAGGCACTTTCCTATATCAACGAAGCGTTGGAATTAGCACCAGACAACGCCGACCAAGGCGAGTTGAAACTTGGCTTGGCGCGCATCCTGAAGCATGCCGGTGATGTTAGAAAGGCAATGGAGGAGATGGATAGTGCACGACAGAAGGACAAGAGCGACAGGTACTACAATACCAAATGCTCGAAGTACATGCTTAGGAATGACTGTAATGAGGAGGCTATCAAGACGATGGGTTTGTTTACAAGGGTAGGTAAATATTATGGATCAGTGAGAACGATCAAATTTGCTAATTTGAATTAGAACGATGTCAACGGCCCACTTGGCGACCTTCTGGAGATGCAGTGTGTTTGGTATATCACAGAAGATGGAGAATCCTATGTTCGTCAGGGCAAGTTAGGGCTTGCGCTAAAACGGTTCCACGCAATCTACAAGATATTCGAAGATTGGACCGACGACCAATTTGACTTCCATTCGTTCTCACTTAGGAAGGGCATGATCAGAGCTTATATTGAGATGGTAAGATGGGAGGACAGTCTGTGGTCGCATCCGTTCTTCAGGAGGGCCGCGGTAAATGCTATCAAACTTTACTTGCTGCTAAACGACAAACCGCATTTGGCTCATGGTTCCTTGGCGAATGGAACTGGTGATGATGCGGTGGATTTTGAAAGTTTGAGCACTGCCGACAGAAAGAAGGCAATGAAGAAGGCAAAGAGGGAGGCACAGAAACAGGAGAAGGCGGCTGCGGAGGCGGCTGCAAAGGCAAAGGATGAGAGGAAGGGTGGAGAGGAGAAGAAGCAGGATGATGACCCGCTAGGAGCTAAGTTGGCGCAGACGACAGAGCCATTGGAGAAGGCGCTATTGTGGTTGAAGCCGTTGTTGGAGTTCTCACCTACATTCTTAGAAGGTCAAACAGCTGGGTTTGATGTTTATATGAAGAGGAGTAAGTATAATCTGCTTGATTTGAGTGGCGGTATCGGCGGCTGACAATTTTGCTATAGAAAAGTACTTGCTTGCACTGAAGTGCTTGCTTGCGGCGCATAGCATTGCTCCCGAAGATCCGGTTGTGCATGAGCAGATCGTTCGGTTCCAAAGTTTCCGTAAGTGATATAAACACCTTAATTTGTGATTAGCACGAAGCTAATAGACGGAACTACACAGTGGACACGAAACCGGAACTCTCTCCTACAGTTCAATCGATAATAGATGAAACTTTCACACTAGCTCCAAAGGAGAGCACACTGGCGCAATTTAACGAGTCGTATCTATCATCCCAATCTGATAGTGCTAGAGCTTCTTTCGCGGTCGTGAGGGCTCGACAGGTCCTCGGTCCCTCCGAAGGGACCGATTCTGAGACGTTAATATTTGAGGCTCTGAAGAAGGAGGGAGCAACACTTAAGGATGCAGTTGATGGGTTAGCCCTCCTCAAGGAGCTGAAGGGTGATGTCGGACGATACACCGAGGAGGCGAGGCAGAGGTGGCCGATGGCGAATGTGTTCGAGGTGAAGGCTTGAAAGGGTAGCTGAAGTGATTTGTCGTAGGGTTGGGCTCCTACCATTACGGTCCATATTCCTACCTATGATCTAGGAGGCATGAAGTAGGGTTTTTTGTGTCGATATTTCTAAGTATATACTTCAATTTAGTATTTTCCCTCTCTTTCTCTCTCCCCCTCTTCTCCTTTCTTCCATTCTGCTTATCCCAATTCCTATGATATATGCATTTACAGGCGGCAATTGGCTTGTGAACTTGCGTTTTTTCTCCCCCTGATATGCATGATCTTTCCTTTCTTTCTTTCTCCCTACTTATATTATTGACTTTCTGACCCAAAAGTAACTGAATGTGGGCGTCGAAAACAAGATTACTCACTACGAATTATTGTCACTACAATTTTTTACGGCATCTAGGGAACTTTTAAATGGTGGTAATATTTATTCAATTCCATAACCAGCTGTCCCCGTGTAGGGTCACAGCAATGAGAGTATGTATTGATAGTTACAAAGAAAAAAGGGAGAGGGAGAAGAAGAAGAAGAAGAAGAAAGACAAATAAGGTAAAAGGACCGTCCAGGTCAGTGTGACCGCTCAAAATTAGGGTGGCCGACTTCCAAACACAGCAGTGGTGATGTTCATTCTGTGCACAAAAGAAAAACTTCAAAGTTAAAAGAGAACCAACTCACTGAATCCGTTTTTACGCTATGCCTATTAAAATGCCTCATGATGCCGCAACAAAAAAAAGGCTTCAAGTTGATAGTCACACCACCCCCATTCCGAAAAAACAGAGGTAATATAAATACCACGATTAAGTTTCATTGAAGGAGCAGTCCTCTTTTTTGTTTTTAAAAGGCACCTACTTGATTAGCAGTCGGCATAACCCACGGATTCACGAACCCCCCACTCTCGATCATATACTCCTCTTTACTAAACAACCCGTCATCACTACTGACCCCTCCCGGGTCAATCTCATCATAAAACTCTTCCCCGTCATCTTCCCAGTGAGGACCATGGTTGCCCTGTTGGTCGGAAAGTGACATGGCGTCATAGATCGGGTTATTGATCTCGTGCGACGGGATGGCACTGTACCGTTCCCAATCGGTTTCGTCCTCATCATCCGATGAAGATAACATCTCACGCCAGTTCACGGAGTCTACATGATGATCTCTGGGGATCAAGCGATCGTATGCGAACCGTTCGTCTTCATGGATGACCCCCGTTTCGACGCCAACTTCGTCACATAAAGCGGTTACCAACTGTGCGTCACAACCTCTGAAGTGTACGCGAAGGGTGGCAGGTGGGACTAAAGTAACGGGAAGTTCGCCAAGAGTCGAGAGTTTTCGAAGGTCACGGTAGACCCTAGAGATATCGCTGATGGCGTTGTTGAACTCGACGTCTAGTTCGTCCATGAACCCGCCGCGAGAGTTGTCGAGACAGGTGTACCCGACAGGATCGGATTCCGACATACAAGTGAACTTTGGGACGATGTGGAAGTCGATGTAAGCTCCTGGGGCGAGGCGGTCGGTGTTTAAAGCTGCCAGGTGCATTTTGATCTGTCCGCGTGCGTAGGTTGATGTGTTATTTCGACGCTTGGAGGAGTTGTAGGAGACGTCGCTGCCGGAGAGGATGAAAGCTCGCATCGCGGCGGAGACTTGTTGGACTACTTGAGCTGGAGCGGTGGAATGCGAGAAGTATCTAGCGTTGCCACCGAGGGAGTAGCCGTTCATGGAGCGGGGCAAAGCGCCGCATAACTTCGGTCGAAGCGTGGAAGCGAACGGAGTAGACTTGTTGATTTTTGAGACGGCAGTACGAACTGGAGTCTTGGGAGCAGGTCCACCGTTCGGATGACGGTAGGTTGTGAAGTTTCTAGAGAAAGTTTGGTAACCGTTCGAAGAACGGGATTGCTGTTGTTGCTGTCGGATTCGAGCGGCGGGTTGCTGGAGCCGTTGGGTGTTCCGGGCGAGGGCCGGTTCGATGGAGGCTAAATCGTGCCCGGCCTGCGGGAGCCTATCTCGAACGACGGCGATACCCTTCTTCACCACGGCTCGCAGCGCCCTTATGGCCGTCGGGATGACCAAATTGGCTGCCATGCCGGAGCGATGAGAGTGTCTCCAGGTAGATTTGGGGAGTTAGATCGAGATGTTTGTCTTGTGGAGAAGAAAGAAAAAAAAGAAGAAGAGAAAAGGAAAGAAAGGGAGGGTCGGAACTTACAGGGAGATATACTTGATGGATGGTTAGTTAGAGCATTGCATTAGTCAACCGGAATGAGGCATTAGATTGGCTTAGATCCGAAGTGATGACGAGGCTTTGAGCCTGCCAAAACCGCATCTGGGGCTGAGTACAACACATTCCAACTCAAGAAACAACACATCGACGTTGGAACTTCCAGATTAGGAATGTTTGTTGTATATACCGAATCGGGAAATGTTTGTTCCTGTCGCGAATTTTTGGTTTTTTAGTTCGGATGGCTGTTTTCGCACTATAAATTTTCTGTACTCTACTTTTTTTCTTTCTTCTCTCATCTTCACTCTCATCACCATCATTATCATCACGCTCTCTTGTCATGTTATAAGGTATGTTCCAACAACCATTCAAATCAATCCAATTGCTTTCTACTACATATGTAGTTTACTGTATGATGATAAACCTTTTCAATTGAACAATCCAACTCCTATTCATCTTTGAGGACTCGAAAAGAAATGCTCTAGAAGCACCCTGATCTTATATTATCTTCATTCTTCCACTTGAATTGGCTATATCCAACGATTTGAATCTGGTCATAAGCTAACATCCAAGTAAAGATCTAATAGTACTTCTCATTTGTTTATTTGTTCATCGTGTCTGCGACTATATGTAGACTTTTCATAAGGCAAGTCGCGCTACAATCCCCACGCCATTGATATCTTCCTTCACTTCCCCTCCAAACTCAAATGATGACAACGGACACGACAAATGTACTTGTACATTTTTAAATTCTTCCGAACTTTCATGTCGATTCCATGTTTATACTCAAGTTTCAGCCTTGTCTGATATCATATACCTTCTTCCAAACTTTACTACCCCCATCCCGTTTATCAATGGCCGTTCGAGGGTTTTATAACAAGAATCTTTTCTTTTTGCTAACTGTGGACGGTGCAGGTAAATACAATAAATACCCTTCGAATTCTTTTTTGTTTATATTATATATATTTCGGTCACATGAGGAAAATTTGAACGAACGGGCGGACAGTATGCCACCACCCCCACTTTAATTAGAGGAGCCGCCCGTCCACCCAAGTACAAATCGGACGGGCTGGGTAGGGAGGCAGTTGGTGAGATCTCGTCAGCTGATCGGATACCGAATTACTGCTTCTTAATATCTAAAGGCATCAGTTGTGGGATATGGTGCTGACGGATAGAATAGTAGTAATAGTAATCGTGATCTTGATGTACAATTAGTTCATCAAATTATCTAACGATCATATTATTTTGGTATTTATATCCCCCCCTTTTTTCACATTTTCTACCTTTTATATCTCTACACCCACATACACTCTCTGTGGAAGCCGTTGGCTTCATGTTGAAATGATGATATTTTTGCTATTCACACTGTTTGATGGCCTCCAAGGGTCGATGAAACGGTAAACAAAAATCTGATTTAATGAGGTAAGCTATTCCATCTATTCTCTACAGTCAAATCGTACTCTTGCTAACATGCTTTATAGCCTGATCAACATACACTTCATATATTTTTATCCTTCATCACACCGAATTCTCAGTTACTCCATGGGGGAAAGCTGCTAACTGGTGTCAACCACAAAGATATAGTATTTATATTTAGTTGAACAAATTTTTAAAAAAATAAAAAAAGGTATGATAATAACACTCTTTGCCCTTGTTCTTCTTTTTATAACCTACCTTCGGAATACTATGATGAGTTTGTACTGCGTTCTTACTGCAAAGGGTTAACACCCATTGAAGAGAACCGATTCACTTTAATTCACCTTGGAGAACTGATATATATTCCCTTTGTATCCTTTGATTTCACAACCTTTTTTGTTGCTGATCCATTCGCAATTCTGTTCGAATTGTTTCGAAGAACCCTGCTGACTGGAATCGAAGATTCAGATAACAGACACGACCATTATGCCGATGATATAGGCAAGAATCCGGTTGCTGGGAAGGGAGTGCTTCAAATCAAGCCAGCTTTCCATGGAACAGAAAGAAAGGAAGAAGAAAATGTATGGAATTTGCCGAAGCAAAGTAATAGTAATAAGAATCAAAAAGTCGCTTTCAAACGCCGTTTTTCCAATCGATAAGATGAAATGTGTGAACCCCAAAAAACAACGGTGACCGGCATATGCCCCGTAAATCAACCCACGCTTTACTTCAAGCTCATGTCCTTGTCGTTAAAAATCGAGCCGTACATATCTATCACAATGCCACCCAAGTATTAGTGAATCCAAAAAAGAAGCCTCCAAATATACATATCGATATATATTAATATATATCAGATGTGGATATGATAGATAAAGAAAGAGAGAGAAAGAGAGAGTAAAAAAACATACGCGTGCTGAACCCTCTATCCAACAACCTCTCTTCGATATTATGAACCTCCTCGGTGCCCCTCTTGGTCAACCACATTGGAACCCCAGCCTCAGTAGTTTGCATGATGCTAACATTATTACTACCTTGCAAAGCCGCAAGAGTCATCTGACTCTGTCGTCGTCTCCCACCGGTTGCAACACTACCCCCACTAGCACTTCCACCACCGCCAGCACCGACATTACCGATAGTAGAAGAAGTAGTAGAAGCCGGAGCAGCAGGAGCAGAACCAGTAGTACCCGTCATCTCGCTATTATTATCCATATTATGGAATGTGGCCGATGCAGTAGATGTAGAAGTTTGTAGAGTGGCAGTTGAGGCTGAGGTAGGCGCCGGGAAGGATGAAGGGCCGATACGAGACGCGTACGGAGTGTTATCTTGGGATTGAGGAGGAGTTTTGAGGTCCAGATGGGCGGGGAGATGCGGGTTCGAAGTGGTGTTGACGGGGGTTGCTGGAGAGGAGGGGGAGGAGATCATGTCCTCGTCGTCTAGATAATAATCCTAATTAGCTATAAATCCTTTCTCTATAAATAAGAAGGATGGTAAAAGGTACCTGAGAGGCTTTGGGACATGATGAAAGAAAAATGAAGGTCTGGAAGGGGGTGTAAATAATATTTGAAGTTAGTGAAGTCGAAAGGATCGTGTAAGAGTCAGAGACGACGGGGTTTTTTAATTGGAGTTCAGTTCGTGAAGCTTTGCTTTGCTTTGCTTTGGGGCCCCGGGAAGCTCGACGTGCAGCTTTGTCTTAGCTTAGCTTGGAACAGTCCCACCCCCGCCATTACATAGAACCTACTCAGAAACATCACCATCAAGATTATCGATCATCATTATATACAAAATGGCGACTTCACCGCCATACCAGAATATCCCACCAGTACCTCCATACTACGATCCCACATCGAGTATCCCTCCTCCTCCGCCTCCGAAACCAAACTCGAATAATGCATCTCGTTCGGGAACTCCTTACAACCCTTCACAGTTCGCCCCGCCGATATCACCACAACAGCAATTACAACAACAGCAACACCAACAACACCAGCAGCAGCAGATAGGACAGGTACCTGTCGGTTTATCTCAAAACACAGGTGCTCCGGCAGAGTTATTCATTCCCGCTGTTTTACAAGATAAATCGTACGTTTCCATTCTTTTCTCACTTTTCTTTTCTTTTTATGAGTAATAATTTGATGTTAATATTTGTATATACATAATTACAGTCGTGACGACCTCCTCCACATCCTCCACTCCCAACACCTCCTCGACGCCCTCTACCTCGCCCACCACCCTTCCTCCCCTCAAAACCTAACCTCCCTAACCACATCCCTATCCTCCAACGCCGCCTACGCAAAACGTTTGCAATCTCTAAACGCAGCAGTCGATCACCAAAGAGCTACGACTTCCTCATCATTACTAAAAACAAGACAACTAGAACGTTCGTGGAGAGAAAAGGAAAATGAAATGGATGTGGCTTTAAACCGATTTTCGGCTAGAGCTTTACATGCTAGGCTTGGTCAGGCGGTTGGAGAGGCCGATGCGGTTAGTAGAGCTCTCGAGGAGAGTTTTTTGGAAGATGATGGACTTGGTGATGCGGATGGGGAGTATATTGGTGGTGCTGGGGGTAGTGGAGGTGGTGGAAGTGGAGTTAAGGCTAGTAAGGATGTGGACAACTTTGTGAAGAGTTATAGAGGTGTTAGAGCGTTATATCATTTGAGGAAGGAGAGGAAGGAAAGGTGGGATGAGAATAGGGTCGGTGGATGGAGGTGAGAGTGGTCCATGGCACTCGGTAATACTATAATACTACGATTTGCGGTCGTTGGAAGTTATTCGCATTTTCCTTTGGGATTTTCGCAAAGGCGCTGGGCGGTAATCTTTTGGTCGATGTTTAGCCTGTTACTTAGATTACCTTGTATAATGATAGTTAGATAATAGCAGTTTACACCAGAAAAGGGGGAGTATATCGTCTCATGTTCCTATAGTTGTTGATATAGGTTGAATCGCGGGAGCTTGGGCCCAAAATTTTATATTAGTATTTATTCCAGTGGCATCACAATAATGATGCATGATGTGTAAGTGAGTAAGGTACACATGTAAGGTACAAGCCCATCTGATAGGTAAGTACATGTGTTAAACAGCCCGCTTGATAGCTATGCATACCGATGGTTATGCATGGGCCCATCGAGTCTAAAATCAAACGCTAAACTAGGACTATCCTGATGCTTGCCAGTTCTAAGTAAGTTAGTAAGAGGTATGTAATTACCAATTCGAATGCGCCTTTCTGCATATCAGAAAGACAAAAATACCACCCTCCCATAAACACCTTTTGTCAGTTATCACCACCTCCCGTATCAATTGATATCAAGCTTTGCAGCATCCTTCGCCAATTTATCTGCGATTTTGTTACACCCCCGTGGGATCCACCAGAAACAAATGACCATACCGCCGCCCCACTTCCTTTCAACTCTGCAAATATCTTGCTCTAATAATAAGAACAAATTAAGATTTGCCGGCTCATAACCACTCTTGGTTTTGAGCCCATTCTCTTTCCAAATTGGAAGCCATTCCGTCATCCCCTTAACGACGTACTGCGAATCCATCCCAATGACACAGAGAGGCGGTTCTTGTGGGGAACTTCGGCTGATATTTTGGTGCTTTCGCTTTCGAATATCTGGTTTGGAATTTGGCTCTCCGTTAGGCCCGTAGGAGTCGTAAAACCGTTCGATCAAGGCGACGGCCTCAATTGCAGCTCTGAGTTCTGCGATCTGGTTGGTTCGCTTTGGATTCCCATCTCGTTCCAGGGCCAAATCCGAGAAAGGCTTTGAGACATGAAGGTTTTTATCATTTTCCGCAGCTGCGACTCCAACGCCTCCGCGAGCGCCTCCACGGCCATTATTCAAACAGGCACCGTCCGCGAAGAAGAGCCTATGATGATGGCAATCATCATTCGGGTGCTGGCAGCACATCGCACCAAACTGGCTGCACCCGGGACATACAACGACCTGTTCTTCGAAGTTGAGGGCATTAACCGTGGGACAATTGATGAAGCGTCGGTTTTCGGTAGCCGACCCCGTCATTTTTTCTCTTCTAGAATTCTGTTCTCTTTTCTTTTATAGATAGATTTGCGATTGACTGAAGCAGTTACTACTGCAGAGTATTAGACCTTTTGGAGATAGAAAGGTTATACTTGGTTTTCACAGGGTTCAAATGCGACTCACTAAGGAATTCTTTAGTTTTATATATCGTATATCTTTTGATGGATTCCAAGAGTACTGGAGTAGGTAAAGTCGGAGCGGGTACCAGTGCTGATTCCTAAACACTCATCTGCTAGCTGCCTAAGGCTGGAAACGTCGTGATGGTGTCGATACAAATTAATGACGATAGAAAAGGGAAAAAATAGTTGCACGATTCGATCGATTCCCAAGTCTTCGGTAAAGGGCAATAGCAAGACTCCGTCGTTATACGGTCGTGTGGAAAGATCAAAATGAACAGTTGAAGAAAGGTAGATGGTTGATGAACTCGAAGAGGCGATGCAAAGTTGGTTATTTAATAACTGAGAGGTATTAATAGGTATCTAGGTGCTTTAGTAGTACTTGGGGGCTAAGTTAGTACTTATGTTGCCCGTCGGTGGGCAACTAGTAGTCTTGTATTAAAACGCTTCGGCACACTGCTGAGTCCGTCGGCACGATAAAACTTAAATTTAGTTGGAGCTTGGACTGGCGAAAATCTACACAAGTCTACCCTATAGCTAAGGAAGTCGGCAGCCGAGTACTCGAGTCCCTTTCATTGGAACGGGTGGTCGATGGGTTCTTAGCAGGAAAATAGAACAAAACTAAATTTAAAACGAGGCTTTGTTGGATTCACTTTGAATCTGTAAACCATAATTGCATTGATAGTAGCTATGCATAGCATGTAGACCTTCTTCTGTATCTTCAACCTTCCATGAATTTATATGACAAATCAATGATAGTGCCCAATGTCTCTGAATAGTTATTCTTCCGTATGCTATGATATCTTCTTGTTAATCGATCCTTTCGCTTTAAATTTTGCAAAATGCCTCCCTTGAACGCCGCGCCACTCCCATATTGTATCATTATATGTTACTATACTATTAATCTTTAAAAAATCATCATCAATACTTAACCCGTTCAAACAACCTGTCCACCTAGAACTTTCCCAAATATATAAGGGTTAGATGCTGGACTGGTATCCCTATCAAAACACGCAAATGTAATCTCCTTCCACCATCCACCCTGGAACTCAGCTTCCTGAAGCACGGACAAAAATATCTCCGCCACCCTTTGCTTAGGATTGCGGAAAGCTCCACAACCCAAAGCGCCAAGGACCAACCTACGATGTCCATTCAACGCGGCAATTCGTAGCATTTGGCGAACTTTCAAGTACATCAGATCTCTGACGTACGGGTCGGTGTAATCCTCCGTACCATCCGCAGCCGTGGTAGTCGCGGGTCTGCTAATTGCAGCGATGCTGATGACCGCGACCTCTGAGAGTGGGGGACCCGGTAAAGCTATTTGATTTGCTTTGGTTGGAGGCGGCTTTGCATTGAGGATTGCTTCGGCTCTTTCTAGTGCTGTATATGATCCTGCATCCCCTGGATTGGCGGGATCACCGGGGTTGTATTTCTTATAGACTGCGACGTATGGAGAGTATACTCCTTCTGTGTCCGTCCAAGGGTAGAAGGCCTGGTCGAGGGTTGCCCACAGAGTCGATCTATCGGGTAGTTGGATTAGTTAACGGTTGGATTTGAGAAAGATATATAAAATATCGAATTTGATTCCTTTCTTACCGATGCATAAGAGCTTCTTCCTGAGCGCTAGATCCGGAGGTGAATCCACCGCCTTTACTATGCGCGTTGGCCATATTGAGACATACAACTCCATTGTCGACCGGGTGCAGATCCGGTTCGGCATTACCCTGGTTTCTAGCAATCAACATTTGGCTTTGTTCGAAATTGTGGCGCTTGACCATTTCCTCCGCGCAGGTGAATGTATCTTGGTTTACTACTTTGATCCTACAACCGATCTGTCCGGCTTGTGGGTCTTCTGGGGGAAGTCTGTAGTTCGGACAGTAGTTTTGTCCGAGAGGTTTGATGTCGACAGCGTTGTACATATAGCCCAAGGCCTTTTGGCCGAATAAAGCTGTTGAAACTATTGGAGATTCTGCCTGGATTATTACTGCATGGGCGGTATTGAGTTTGTTGAGTGCACCTAGACTGAAAGTTAGCTTCTGAAGTTTTTGATACAGTTATACGAGATATTGGGTTTTAGACATACCGCTAGACGCCCGACCTGCACGTAACATAGTTGAAGTGCCCTGAGGGAAGGGAACGGTAACCCCCACGTCCACATCCATTGCATCAGATACTTCTTCTTCTCCTTCTCCTTCTTCTGTTTCATTGCCATTCAAACGATGTCCTCTACCACGATTATTCCTGTCACCTCCACGGTCTCTATTACTTCCTCTGAGTCTATAACCTCCACCCCCACCCCTTGATGACCCTCCTCCTCCTCCTCTATGTCGAGATCCGGACCCTGGACTGTTTGAGTAACGTGAAGATGAGTTATCTCTGCTGTCTCTGTTTCTGACAACTCCTCTGCCGCGAGATCCTGATTCTTGTGGTCTTCCATTTTCACTGTTTCCTCTGCCTCTGCCTCCTGGACTACTGTTGCTATTATTTCCACCTCGTACCCGTCGAAACATATCGATCAGGTTGAGTTGGGTGTACCCATCCGACATGGTTGGTACGACGGGTGAGGATTGGAGAATCCTCTGATACTCGAGAGAGAGAGATAGATATGTAACTTTTTGTTCGGTATTGTTCGTGCCCTGGGGAAATCGGTATGCTGTTTATTCTTGCTGTGTACGTGAGAAGAATAAAATAGATTATAAAGTAGTACCTGGTTGTGGAGTTGATTAAATGGTCATAGCTGTGTGGGAAGAAGCAGAGCAAGAAGCGCAAGTGCAAGGCAGACTCATGGCTGCATCCACGCACACACAAGTACAATGAAAGGAATAAAGATTAATCCGCGCTACCGAACGCACGGTGATAAAGGTAACAATGATAACAAAAAAATAAGGCGACGTTGACGCGGATCGTTGAAAGGGAAAGGAAGAAACCTTTCTCGCTTTGTTCCGCGACTCGATTCTGCAGCTGTTCGAGCACGAAGTCGCTTAATTGTGGTCAAAGAAGCAGTGCAAGCTTGTATCCTGCTTAGGTCAGCACCCGACGGTAACGGACAGGGGACCCCGGTAGACGATATTTCCTAATTTGTAAATATCACACGCAACACTAATCTTTATCCAACGTGGGTGGGGGGTGATATATATGGAAGCGAATTGATGAATACGATACAAAAGTATATTTTAATTTTATGAAAGACTTCCTTCAATATTCTGGTCCGGAGGTTCAATTTTTGAAAGTGCTTCGGGTAAACTCTTAGGTAAAACCCCTAAAGAACCGAGGTTGATATCTTCATAATCTTCCCAGACACCCCCCTTTTTCCAAGCAGCCCGTCCCCCGAGTTCCTTCATCGCGTTTTCCTTAGTCATCCCCGGATTTTCATTTTTCCAACTGGCCAGTAATAGTTTCACAACCTGCGGCAGCTCCTCATCCTTTCTGTAGAGTAGTATTGAATTCTGGAGTGGGAGTAAATCATCCACAAAGTCTCCCAGCAAGCCGTTCCCTACAGCACATTCGTGGCAATAACTGATTCCCATCACACGTGCCCCATAATTTAGAAGGGTTTTAATCCTACTAAATACAAACGCACGTCTGAGTGCATAAGAGTCTCCGAGCTGATATAATCCGTCATTCGCATGATGGTATATAGATAATGCGTAGGTTAAGGGCGTCGCTCGATTTTTCAACGTGGCGTTGACATCGGCTCCGTGCTTCAGCAGGGTCTCCATAATCCGAATATCTGCCTCACCCATTGCAGCTTGATGAAGCAGTGTTTCAAATCCTTTAGGGCAGTAGTTGGCATCTGCCTTGTATTTCTCAAGCAATAGTTGGACCATTCCAAGTCTGTCCCGTCGGATTGCGGCCTGGAGAGGAGATGGCCCACCCTCAAAGCCATCAGGATTAGCTCCCATTTCCAATAGTCTCTTAGCCAAATTGTCTTGGTTTGTATTGTAGACATTGCGATTCATAGGTGCCATCCGATCGATTACATGGTATAGTGGCGTCCTTTTGTCCTTGTCGTGACAGTCAATCGATATCGCCTTCTCCCCACAAATAAACCCTAGAACCGATGAGATTTTATCCTCAGAGGTTTCAAGGATTGTATATTCCAAAAAATAATGAAGAGGTATACGTTGAGAATCGTCACGGTCGGCGGGCGAGGCGCCCTTTTGAATCAGCTCGCTGATCAGCCAAATACGACCATACTCTGCCGCAAAATGCAAAGCTGTCTTGCCATCTTCATCCCTCGTGTTGTGGTATACGACGTAACCCTCCTGGTTCAACGATAGAATTTCAGTTGAACCTTCATCTGCAGCCAATACAGATATCGGCAGACCCTCATCATAATCCTCGCTCTCACGAATGTAATTCCAAGTAACATGTCTTCCAATTTGCTCCAAGATCTTAGCATCTATCGATGTTACTTTATTTTGGCCGTTTTCACAACCGGCCAGAAATATTTTCTTCAGCTCAGGTTCCGACAAAGGGACCCAGCATTTCCCCAGCAAGAAACCCACTACGTCTGAATTACCCCTCCACGCCGCTACAAATAAAGCGTCATGGATAGCTTCATCTCTTTCCCGTATATCTGTACCTGAGGTAAGCAGCGCAAGCACATTTCCGTTGGTCGGCGATAAACCCTCATGAATGGCGGTAACAAGGACCGTATCACCTTTCTTGTTCCGTATAGTGGGGTTTGCTCCTGCCTTGATGAGGAGTTTCACGATTCCCTCAGAAGTTATGGCAAAATGCAGTGGGGTGTTTCCTTCCGAGTCTTGGGCATTGAGATCGACAGCTACGCCGCTATCCAAGATAAGCGAGGCTGCCAGTTCGGAGCCATTCTCAGCTGCGATATGCAATGCTGTTCTTCCCTCTTTATTTCGGTTCCGTGCATCACATCCATGTTCCAATAAAGCCTTTATCACTGCGTCATGTTGCGGGTCCCTAATTTTATAGTGTTCTTCTTCGTAATCACTATACTGATATTCCTCAACCCCTCTGCAGGCAATACCTAGCGCATTATCGCCATTGTGGGATCTAGAATTGACAGAGAGTGGCAGAGCCTTCAGGATTTGTTCAACGCATTCGACGTGACCATACTCTGCCGCAATCATTAAAAGACTCAAACCGCCGTGACCTGTGCTAGTCATCCGAACCGCATTTAAATCATATCGAATCAGCATCTCCAAGATCTCGCTATAGCCCAAACTCGCCGCGATAAAGGACGGCGAATTCCCTAAATGATCTTGAATGCCTATACTCACACCGGCCCTGAGCAGTATGTGAACCATGTCGATGTGTTCATTCCACACTGCGTTATATATCGCCGGGCGCCTAAGGAAATCTTGGGAATCACCGTTATATGTACCATTGATATCTATATCTGTGGTGTCTATCCCCCGCCCCAAAAGGTACCGAATAGCTGCAACTTGGCCCCAGTAAGCCCAAAGATTCAGCCTATAGGAGCTTAGGGGATCGAAATCTCCATAAATTTCGGTAAAGCTCCTCAAATTTGTGGAAGCATCTTGGAGAAGTGAATAGTATTTCCTGAACGCAGGGGTATCATGATCTTTGCAAACTTGAAGCCCGACTTGGCCATATTGCCGACCAAACTCCGGATCTATGTTGCTCTGAAGCATTCGACAAATACTCTCAAATCCAAGGCGGATAACACCATCCTCTTTCTCTCTGATGGCCGCATGGCAAAGATCACCGAGTGAAATCTCCACACGCGGGCTATTGTACCACGAACTCACGGGCCTGTAGGGGGTTGGCGGTAGGCGGTCATAGCACAGCCACTCTAATATCTCAAAAGCCTTTGACCACTTGCCTTGGCCGCGATATGCCTCAGCACGGTCAATGGCCGCAGTTTCAACGCCACTAGCCGGAGGCATTTTGTTCGTCCCGCGTAAAATGGGAAAAACGCACATATACGCATCTTCTCTTGTTCCAAGTCCGCTCGATTGGAACAGATTTACTATAGCCTCCACGACTGTGTTTTGGAGTAAAACTGCGTCTTCTTGGTTGACTATTGGACGGACCTCCGTTGTTCCACCGATATCGCTGCCGTCAATAGTCCGGACAAGCGTCTCTAGAAAAAACAGAAGATATCCTGTGCACACAGCCGTATCAATGAGCTGTCGGATAGGCTTTCATTGTTAATTTTTGCGACTAAAGAATGGCCTGGGAAAGTCACCCGTCCCTTGGAGTACCCGAACATGTGTGTGCCGGCCCAGTTGTTCCCATATAATGGTTCCCGTCGATCTCCATCCGGTATATACTTAAATTTTTCAGTAATATGAGACCTCCTAGTTACCCATATATTAGACCACCTTTCAGCAGATGAAAGTCTTTGCTCGGTTGTGGTGGTGGTGTCGTCACTGCCATCGAGGGCAGATAGAATTCGAACACTTTCCTCATAGAACTTGTGCGGCCTCGGCCTCGGGTTAGGATTGGGATCGTTTGATTGGGGTTGGTCTACGGGTCCACGTGATATCCGTAGTTTCTTTTCTTCGAGGTAATTGCCTCGGTGTAGTGATAGCGCCCATAATCCCAACAATGCCTCCAGTTCTGCCCCGTCTGCTTGCCAGAGACCATTTTCTTCCGATTTAGTAAGCTTCATCTTAATATTTTTCGTGTCCAGTTTCCCCGGGCTCCCAAAGGTAAGGCTTCGAGCAAATATTGGCCAAAAACATTGCGTTTTGCCTCCGAAATCTTTAATTGTGGGTGATATAATCTCTAGAGTACCGTCGATAGATGATTTTAGAGAGGATGCAACATTCCTGACCTCAAAGGTAGGCCATTTGGCTAGCTGCGCAAGCTGACGTCTGACATCCAACAATGAATCGTCCTGGAGTTCCTCCAGTTGAATTTCCTTGAAGTTCGATGGAACTTGTGGGCGTAAGCTGGCTGGAACACTCTCCATCGTTGGTTCGGGTCCTTCTCCTTCCGATTCTGAATCTAATCCTAGTTCTGATCCCGTTCCCGGCCCCGACTCCGATTCCTGATCTGTCAAACCTGGCTCTGATTCTAATCCTTGGGGTGTCGGCTCTGGATTTGGTTCTTGGTCCGGTACAGGCACTGGCACCAGTCCTGGTTCTACTGGGTCGTGATTTGGCGATTCTAAAGTTGTGATACTAAATGTTAGCTCGTTATAAACCTTAAGCATTGACTTGGTTGCATTGTTTGAGTCTTAGTTCACACCGAATATAATTTTCGCGCCCTCTGCGGCACCCAGAAAAATCATGTCGACCTTGCAAACTTTCATCGCAAGCAAATCTAGCTCGTGGCCATGGAGTATTTCGGGGTTTTCTTTCCACGGCTCTATCATCTCGGGGTCTATCATTTCGGGTTTTGTCGTTCCCGACCCTATCGTTTCGAGTTCTATTCCGGGCTCTGTATTCACCGACGCTTCGTCTTTCTTCTCCCCGGAAGACTTCGAAAATATTGTATTACTTTCGTCATCCGAGCGTTTCATGCGCAACATCGCCCGAATGATTGACATTAACAAAGTGGCACCAAGTTGTGCAAATATTACACTAGAATGCAGCGCTCGCAAGCCGACGAATTGCAGGACGAAACCAACCAAAGAGCATATTAAGGCTATCCCTAGCAAAATAGGGCGGTTACTCTTCTTTTGAGATCTTGTCGAAATTATATACCTCGGCAGATTTTTATATTCATCAGACTCCCTAATGAAGGACTCGAAAACTTGATCGCCAATTTTTTGACCCCCCGGCTGCACCCAGTAGACTTTGCTGGGTTGGGTTTTCGACCGCTTATACTCTATCTCTTCTGTGCATTGCTCAATAATGTATGCACAAAAGAACATGCCGGTACATACCAGTATCGTACCAACTAATGTGAATGGTAATCCGTATGATGGCCGTGGCCCACTTTCCTCTGGGTCTGTAAACCGATGAACGAACTTGGGGTGTGTGGTCAAAATGGCAAATATCAAGACTCCTAATTTGTATGGAATTAGTTCTCGAAACTTTGTACCTAACAGAATTATAATCAAACATACCGGCCTGAAGGACCATACCAAATACCGCCGCGAGATAAATGATTCCCTGGGGTATTTTTGCGATGCCGACATTAAGAGAGAGGTTGGGGCTTCGGTAACTAGGCTGGCATTCGAGATTTTCGAGTAATGCTTCTCGTTCCTCGTTTGTGTCTGCCTTCTCCTGTCGATTATTCCCACCTCGTCGCGGTTCCACCTTTACCCATGACTTCTTTGCGTTTTGCAATGTTGTGACTTCAAACTCTGGTTTGTCGGGGTCGTTCGGTTTGGTAACCACGACTTCCAATATCTGGGGACTTCCGAATACCCTAGCTATGCCGCCTCTGGCATTGAAAAGTTCACCGGTCGTCGCTGAAGTACAAGAGAGAACTTCGATTTCCGCAACACCCGAGCTCTCCTGTGCTCTTCCAATAAACGCTCGAAGTGAAGCACTACCGCAAACGCGAATTACCGAGACCACCGCGGTGAGAAGGCCCAAAGGAGCCATTGAGATGATATTGTCCCATATCGATAATGACTCGCTCAAGAATTGTCGCGTCACCTGTTCGCCGAAAAGTGTGATCAAAGGCGCTAAGTCGGTCGCGAAATTGTCTGCGAAGTCATCCCATTCTACAGCGAGGACTTTTGGGATACACGAGAAGAAGAAGAAAAATAGCAATACAAGCGCGGAACTCTGATGCTGCATGTCAAAAGTATTCAAGGGCCACCTAGACTCGAGCTCATATGGTCGAACCACGCACCCTTTCTATAACAAAGATTGATCGATTGATTTTGCGCTTTGCTGTAGCTAGGTGTACATGTTTAAATATTTTGTATTCAAAAACATTTTCGAGGTTCGGCGCGGTACGTGGGATAAGGCTTTATATAATACATAGTTATTATCGCATACGTATGGGTCAAAGCAAGAATTGAAGAGGCCTCCATGCGGCTGGTAGTTTCAGGGCTCAATAACAGCAGCCGTATGCAGAACTCAGCCATACATACTTTGTCGTGAGCCGCTGGCTGCACTGTGATAAATTGCACGAAGCACCGTTTGTCATCCTGCGTTGTTTGGTCGTTAAATCTTACCCGAAATGGACAGTGAGGTGCCTGATACAGGTTCCGATTGGTGCACTGGTCCACGACGAAATATTCGCCAAGATCAGCCTTGTTTGCCAAGACAGAGGTTGGCACCCGACCTTTCTACAACAGCCAACGCAAAGATTTAACTGCCCCGCCAGCACATCCCACCAGCTGCAGGGTTCTCCAAGATTACCCCTCCATCATATCCCTTCCCATCTGCAGGGACTACATCTCCTGGGAATACGAAAACAATGATACAAATAACTGCATCAAGTATCTTATATTTCCAATAACTCGATACTATTCTTCTCAATAACCCACCATCATAATGCCAGGCTTCATCCTATTCCGTGAGCCGTATGGCCCACATCCGCTGCAGACGATGGACATCCATCTCCCATCGTACAAACTGCGCTCCCTACACGACAAGAAGTGGATTATGTTAGACCCTTTTTTCCCTTCTCATTCGTCGCCATTCAGGCCCATAAAATATCACTTCTCGTTGCCAACTGACTAAAAACACAAAAAAAATTAAAAGTTTCATCCACGGCGGCGCTTGGCGTGATCCTTCGAACTCGAAAGCGGATGCAACTCGTCTTCTGCATGCCATTATTCATACTCCCAATAATACTACCCTCTGTGGAGCTACGCTAAATTATCGATTATCTCCGTCTGATCGAGAACCGGGGAATAATGCTCGTCACCCCGATCATATTGCCGATATCCTTACGGGAATTACGTTCCTTCAACAGAAATATCAGTTTGGGAGGAATTATATTTTAGTTGGACATTCTGCTGGTGCAACTTTGGCTTTACAGTCTCTACGGTCGATATATAATGGCAGGAATATTGATTCTGCTATCCCATCGGCTGTACCATTTCTTCCAGGAGGACTTCCCAGAGCTGTTGTGTGTACGGAGGGTATATACAACTTGCTGGATTTGGTCGACGAGTATCCACATTATACTTCCTTTGTCGAGAATGCTTTTGGACCACCATCGCGAGTCTGGTTCGATGCTAGCCCTACTTGTTTACCGGGGTGGAAGAGCGAGTATGATGGCAGAATTGTGATTCTGCAAAGCACGGACGACGAACTTCTATCCCTCAGGCAGGCGACAGGGTTTGTGAAGGCTTTGGAGGCGGAAGGAGTTAATGTTGACGTCGAGATTGTCGGAGGAAGGCATGATGATGTTTTCAAAGGAGAGGAGCTAGTTGTGGTTGTTAAGAAAGTGCTTGGAGAGATGAATGTTAGTTTCCTTACTAACACCCCTTCCATATGATTAAACTCGAGACAACGTTTGACATTTTACTAACTAGACTTGATTATAGATGGACATGAAGGAATTGGCAGCTGCATTGGATTTCTGAGAGCTGGCATCTCTATGTTCGCGTCATTAGTATCAGCACTTTAGCATGCATTATCATCTTATATTTTCTGAAGCTTTAGCCCTTGGTGGACTTAATATGAATAGGATATTATCATTTTTTTGAATTGTGTTTATGCTGTATCAATTAACTTTCTACCCCCATTGTGTGCCACCCATTTCCCCTCCTTTTGCCTTCAACTACGCAACTACCTCCCCGTGCAACCTCCATCACTCGCGTTTTAACCTCCCCAGCACGTCCATCATCACGCCTTCCGTGACACCTATCACTAAATCTACCGTCACTTCCACGATCCTTCAAGATGGCTTCGAATAACACTACCACTCTTCCAGCTGGAAACGAGTCTCCCACCTCCCTCAAACATGAAATACCCGCTCAATCTCCAGACCTCGAACCACTCCAATTACCCAACCCCCAAAGTCCTCCTAACATCCCAATGACTGTTCAAACCCTCCGACGTATCTTTCAAGATAATTCACTTTCTCACGAAGAACAGGACGCCTTCGCCGAGAGTATTCTCGCTATTGTTCGCAAACAACCTAGTAAACCCAGGACCTATCAACCTATAGATTTTGAAGAGGAGCTCGAGAACATTATTCTTGGGTGGGTTGACAGAGCTATGATGAAACCTCAGGCTGGTATTTCATCGATTCGCGATGATTGGTCCGGTCAGCAGGGAGGGATTAGGATGGAGATTCCCACTGCTAATGGAGCCGACGAAAATAAAGACAATGAAGTTGTCGAAGTCACTGAAAGAGAAGGGGAAGAAGATGATGAATATGAAGACGAAGACGGAGAAGGTAACGGAGAGAATGGAGGTTTTGACGATGATGAGGAGAACACGGTATCCGAAAGCAATGATCTTGGAGAAGGAGGAGAAGAGGAAGGAGGAGGAGGAGAAGAGAGCGAGTCATCTTTTATCGAAGACCACTTTATGATCCGGGAGTACCCCGAAATGCAAGCAGAACTCCCCTGGCACCAAACCCTCAGTCGAGATATCCTTCCTGAGCATTTCGCCCTCTTCAAACGCTGCATCACCCAACGTATTCGCTACTGCAGCGGCGAGGAGAAAGAAGTCCTCTACGAAACTCTAACCGAATCCCAAATCGCTTGGCTTACAGAACCTATCCCCGAAAACTCTAGGATCAGAATGCCCGAGAAGGAGCAAGTTTGGATTGTCATTTGGAGCGTTCTCAAGTTCGCCAGATTGCTCCTACGAGCTGGTGGAGGAGTCATTCAGGACAATACTCGTATCAACGAGTACGTTGCCATTATTGTTGGCGTTTGGTGGTTGGTTCATGGTGAACCATTCGACTATATCAGTAAAGCTCAACGAGGCGGCCCTGAGGTTTACATGGGCGCCGAGGGCTGGATTATGTCTGAGGAGCCATGGGCCGACATGGTCCTAAGTGAAAGCTTGGGCGGATCTTTTGAAGAGTATGTGGTCTTTTTCCCCTTCACTTATTACTTAGAACGTAAGTCTGATTTCCTTGAATTTTTACAGGGTCCGCGAGCGCACCAAAGCTCGAAAGGAAGCCGAGAGGGCAACCGAGGGTGGTGAGGCTGATCCCACCAAACCCTCCCATACGGAGGCCGACGCCGATATTATGTCGGCAAGAGAGGACCTCATTCGGGGTATTCTAGAAGAAGCCCTGATGGGTACCACTCGAGGCTTGGGCGTTTGGTCCGAGTCCGTCGAGACGCAGTGGCAGAGGTCCCAAGCCGGGAAACCTCGTGCCGGGGCCGAGTAGTAAGGCCCGCCGGCACCACCCAGTCTCGAGGAGTATTGGAGATGGCAGCTTCTGCTGCTTTTAGATTTTTGTTTATTTCTTCTCCCTACCATGCATAATGACGACCGATAGGTCAGTTTACTTCATTCTTGACCCGATTCTCCAATGCTGCGCATTACTTGTTTTTGAGTGCAAATTTAGTCTCACGATTAGAGACTATGTAGGTCTATGAATTTGTTTTAATAACAAAATGTGTTTTGATATGTTTCATATTCTATTCATTCCCAAAGCGAGCACTTTTTGATAAAGGTAAAAGTCAGCCGATGTGGTTTGAATTGGATGATGGCATAAACATCATTCATTACCTTCGCAAAGGATATAACACTGAACCAAGCACATTTCCATTCTGTGAGATCCCATAACCCCGAAACACCAAAATCAAGAGCAGCACATCCAACCCCTTACTTACGGATCGACGGAGCAAGACCAGGCACACCGGCATCTAGAAAAAAAGATTAGTACATGTTATAGAGCAATATCTGACGAATGTATGGAAAAACTCACATCTCTGTTCTCTCTCCGTCTTGAAGAACAACTGTAGGAAAAACTCCTTGGTATCCTTATCATAATGCGTCCAAAACTTCCCGGGCGTTCTATCCACCTCTCTCGCCTGTAACTTAAACCCAACAGTCTCGTACGGTTCGGCTGCGACCAATAGGTATTGATAATCCTTATCTGGCGGCTGCTCAACCTTCTGTTCGAACGCGCTCATAAATCGATACCGTGGATGAATCTCCGTCCCGATCTCTGGATACTGCAACTGGAACAACAACCCCTGCTGTCGCGTCACTGGATCTCGACATTTGGTGATTTTATACCCCGGTCGTCCAACTTTCAACAAATTCTTCTTGACGGCAATCTGCTGCCCGATCATACCAGCCGGTAGGTTCGTGATACGGTCGATATTCTTACCCTCGCGCTGCTCCTTAGCAGCACGACGGGAGAGGTTCGTTTGATGCTTTCGACCTTGGGTATGGGCGAGGTAGGAGCCATCGTTCTGGTGGACAGTAAGGCATAGACGACATTCGAAGGATCCGACGTGGTTTTTGAAGAAGTAAGGGTCCTTTTCGAGGTCGATTGTTTCGAGGGCGAGGCGACGAAGACGTTCGCGACGATCTGCATTTGTAGCGGAATGGCCGGCGACACCACCGCCACCGAATTTGGAGCCCTGATGAGAGAAGAAAAAATGTTAGTATTTAAAGTACCGCAAGACGGAAACAAGGCGGTGTAGAACTTACGACTCTGTTTTGTTGATCGAAACCACCCATTGTGTTTGATGATGATGAAGAAGTATGACTTGGAGAAGATGAAGTTTAAAAGCCAAAAGCCGAACAGTCGCGCGAGTTTAAAGACTCCCAAGCACATGTCTTGGCGTTAATTGCATTGCCGACCTCGTTCCAACACCATGATTCCAACAGCCTTTCTCTCTCTCCCTTCAACTACAACTACCATAAGTTGATTAACTTCCATATCAAGCTGAAGACAAGAAAATATCCGGTGTACGATATCACAAAAGAATGTCGAACATGTCATCCAAACATCCAGCATGAACACCAAAGACACGGGTGGGACCGGTCTAGCTACAACCCACATCTAAACCCCAGATAAAATCCCGAAAAGAAAGAAGAACAAGCGAAAACCCAAACCCAACGATGGCAACGGAACGCTCATTAATCCCGAACCCTTCTCTTGTCGCCATACTCCTCGTGATCCGGGATCCTGCAGGCGGTAATCTCGTCTTTCATTACCCGCCACAACCCCGCTCTGAAGCAGCACATAATACTTCTTCCTGGAGAATCGGCGAAACGAATACAGATTATACTTCCTCCAATTCAAGTTTTTCGTCGTCATCATCAGATGACGATGATGGCGATGATAGGAAATCTAGGTCTACCGTTAGGCTTTATGGGGGCGGGATAGCGACCGAACGGTCGGTGGTAACTTCGCAAAGAAGTAGGAGTTATGATCAGCGATCTTCAAGAAGGAGGAGGGGTTCAGATCATGAGTATGATGATGAAGAAGAGGATGATGACGAGGCCGGGGAAGCAGTTGGAGCAGAGTGGGAACATGTGCTCGGGTTCAGGCATAATGTCCTAGCGGGGCTGCTAAGTGTTCCTAGAGCTTTGGCAAAGAGTAGATTCGAGCTTTCAGTCGACCACTCTGTTTTCCTAGGGTACCCGTGTTACAGTAGGATTGATGGAACATGGCAAAGAAAGAAGAAGGAGAGGAAAATAAAGAGTGAGGGCCCTAAGGGGGAAGAAGAGAAAGAAGTGCATACCAGCGACGTGGATAATGACGACGAAGATACGAAGGGTAACGACGCAGACGACGAAGACCCAGATGCAGTCGCACTATCCCGTTCAAAAAGCCCAAACCCACCACCATCTGAACGCAAGAAGATAAAGCGAGAACCCCGCAAAGTTGAGGCGACACCGAGTAAACTTGCCATGTTCCACATTGTCTTCGTCATGAACCCGCCGCAGCTAGAGTATCACTCACGCATGCACGACATGTACGATGTCGCAAAGCAGTTTACCATGGCGCTTAAAACTCAACAATCTGACGACGATTATGTCGCCCGAGAGGCCGAACGAATCCTTGAAATCAGAGAGCGCGGTGAAAAGCGTGGTGATTCGATGCATGAGCTATGGTTAAGAATCATCCGTGAGAGTACTCTTGCTGCAGCAATCGCTACTCTATACCAATCAATCTCCGCCTCAAAAATCGCCCATCTAAAAGTCAATGACTTTGACTTTGCTCTACAAATCCCGATAATGATGGAAACAGCTGCGCTTCCCTCCATCTCGGAACCCCAGTTACCTGGTATGCATCTTACAACTCTCCGAACTATAGGCGCCACTCCAAGCGAAGGCGAAGATGCCCTCATGACACCCCACTTCACACTTCTTTTCCTTGAAGACGTAGACGACATCATCAAGGAAATTATTCTAGACCAAGACCAATCTTCACTCAGCGCCTCCTTTGTCCAGTTCATCCAAAACTGCCGTCCCACGGTTTCCTTCGCACAAATGCTCTCTCCGACATCAGACTCTAGCGCGCCTCATCCAGAAAACCCAGAATACCAGTACATAGAGTACTTCGCCCGCCATCTGATTTACTGGCGGAAAGCTCGTGCCATAATGCCACTTCACTACAGAAGATACTACATCGTCTCCCCAAACGCGGATATGAAACGACTAGTATCCCAATCCATCGTTTTTGCGAGGTTATTTCCCGCATTACCACCGCTGCCCAAAATGTTATCACTTTTATCCGGGAAGCCTAGGCCGTACTCTGCCTACATCCCGTCAAAGGATCATAGACAAGCATACATGGATATGCTAGCATGGTTGATGCGCTATGGATGGGTTACAAACCTACTTACATTCGCGTATCTCAAGATCCCGAAGGATATCAAAGTAGCAGTTCGAGAACGGCAAAAGAGAGAACAAGCCGAAGCGGCAGTTGAAATGATACAAGCCGCTACTTTCAGTGCTACAACTGCGGTTTCGGCGGTGAATAATAATGGTAATAGCCCGCGAATGATGAGTACCAGTATTGAAAAATCTATCGCAAACGGCACGGCGATACCAAATACCAGTTTGAGAGATATCGAAGAAGAACCAAAAATAAGTCTCTCGGCGGGTGGAGACTCTAGTATCTCAAATAGTCGGCCGAGGACCGGGTGGTCTGATGTTACAGATTCATCTATAACTGTCCCTTCGAGGTCTACCAACCCTACGACCAATACCCCGGGCACACCATTCGAAAAGATGGAATCTTCAAGCGGACAGCTGGAAGACTCAATCGTATTTGATCCTTCAAGAGCGACTCCCTTAGAATCTACATGGATCGAAAGGTTAACAGAAGGTCAGCCGCCGGATATTGTTGCATTATTCGACCGTTTAGTAAAGTACCTTGACGGTCAACATGCGATCGAGGGTATTGCGCTCAGAGAAGCAATCTCAAAGAAGGAGTTAAAGAGGGTTCTAAACGCCATGGATCGGTATATTGTGTACGCTAGACATTGGTAATGGGATTTGTCAAGGGTTAGCTATCATATGCGTGCAAGCAGCAAAAATCATCTAAAATCTAATAAATCCATGAACACCGTGGTAAGAATATTTTTTCTTCTTATAATAACCGACGAAAGTTATGTAATACATTCAAATCCAAGTGTAGGTTAGCCGATAATAAGTGGATCTTCGAGATGTAATTTATAATTTATAAACCCAAGATCAAGAAGCAACATACATCTCCGTTCGCCGCCGCATATATATTCCCAATCCGGATCCGAAGCCTCGGAGTACACATATGACCTCATTCGAATCATCTCCCGGATTCTAGAATCTCGTTTTTTTTTTAAATAGATGATCATAGCCGTTCTCAGGCCAGGTTAGATGTACGTAACCCTTTGCCCCCACTGGCTTTGTGCGTCATATGCATCTACACATGCCTCCTTTGTCGACGGAATATAAAACAAGATACCCCGGACTATTATTCATTTCAATTCTCTAATCTCATATTAAATTATCTATATCATCATCATATCAAACTAGAGATACCCTAAAAACATATTTTGAACTAAAAAAAAGAATATCAAAAAAAAAAAAAAATGCAATCCTACGAACCCCCCTCCGCCTGCAACGGTCTAAGCGGCGACGCCATCCCGCTCTTCAACCGTCTTCAATCCGAACATTCCCCCAAATACATAATCTACAACATCCCCGCGGACACCAAACTCATCAGCGTCCTAAACTCCTCCCAAACGAGAAACTACTCGGAATTCTTATCAGAACTTCCGGATAACGAATGTAGATACGGAGTCTACAGTTTCGGAGACGATCAGAATGATACCATATTTATCAATTGGGTACCGGATGGGGCTGGGATTATGGAGCGGGAGTTGTATGTGGAATGTGCGCTGGAATTGTGGAGGGAGATGATGGGGTTGAGACCGGTGGCGAGGTTTGAGATTCGTGAGAAGAGTGCGGTTGCGGAGGAGGATGTGAGGAAGAAGATTGCTTTTTCGGGATAACTCTTTTTTTTTATATTCCTTTAGCTAGGTCTCGATCTTATTATTTTTACATTTTGCTGCATTGCAATTGTATTTCATTGGTTATCATATTATTATCTGGTGACTTGTATATGTAGAATGCTAGCATTAAATGTAGATATTCGTCGAAGTTGAAATATCACATCAAGGGCGCTCAAAATCCCACTTCAACTGTTATATTTAGCAGACGACACGGATATATACCTCAAATCTTGCTACCCATATAATCGCATCCTCCCAATATCAAAAAATATAGATTATACAAACCTATGACATCATGCATCACGAAAATACTGTAGACTCCCGCATGCGACATCCCTGCACCCTAGCCCATACCCATCTTAGTAGGTGTCGCAAGAAACATATACCCGTCGAGAGAAATCAGAAAGGAAAAAAAGAAATAAAATAAAGTACATTCGCGACAGGGTCAATGATGAAAACATATTGATAGCCTGCTAGTGGTCAAAGATCCGACGGTTAGATCCGTGATATCGGCTTGCTGCATGATCATTCGTTGCATTTTTTTGGGGACATATGCACAAGTCTGGGTACTGCAAGATCGAACATCGTACGTTATATCATGATTAACGACCTCACACACGTGTACACCGGATCGAACCTCATGAATTACTCAATCACCGGATCCGCGGAAAACATCTGTTTTCATCAAAATATATGGTACTTTTTCTATTTCTACCATGATAATAAATATAAAAAACACAAAAAAAGGAGGCTACAGTAGCAGCCAAAGGGCCCGAGTAGAGCCTGAAGCGTAACGGTCTATGGGTTCAACCAGCTTCTGATGAAAGGTAAAACAAATGATAAGGCTCATGCCCTATGAAGCGAAAAGTAGGAAAAATGATATACAGGTAGGGAAAAGGCGAGCCCCACCGTGGTAATCGGAGTGAAGAATATGTGTGTTTTTGAACCGGGAGAAACGAACTAAAAATTACTTTTCGGATGGCGCGATAATCCGCGAAGCCAGTCAGGGAAATAAAAAAAAAGAACAAAAACAAGAAACAAAGCGTTTTGCAAGTGCTGTGTGCTAATATGACAAAGAACAAAGGAAATGCGTAATAGTGGGTGCTTGATGTATGCAGCGGGGTTCGTTGATAAAACTTTCGAAGCAAAAGGTCGTGAAGAATCGGGGTCATGACACCAGAAAGCAATGATAATGGGTATCAAACGACAAGGAACCGAAATCGAAGAAGCAGGAAAAAAAGTATGTAAAAACAGAAAACAATAGAAGGAGCAGCCAGAGAGAAAAAAAACACAAAGATGAAGATTCATGAATAGAAAAGAGAAGTGTTTAGAAGTCGGTTGTTCCTTGGAGAACCATCAACGCAACTTCCATTCGTCGACGAATTTCAGCCTTATCAGCTGGTGTTCGTGCAACCTCTAGTTTGCAACAAATCTTGCCTAATTGATCGCAAAGATTCTCGACTAATTCGCGGTCCTGAATTGGCAACTTCAAGGCAAGTTCGTCGTCTTCAGCTCCGATGATAGAATTGGTGGCAGATTTGGCCCTCGACGTAGCTACCGGGATGGAAAGTAATGGGTCCATATGAGCCAGAGACTCGTGGGTCAATGGTAAGGCCACACCTCCAACTTTGCTTCGAGTTGATATGTAAACCCCTTCATCGGAGCCCTGTGGTGTAGAAGGTCCAGAGTGATATCCATCGTCATGAGGGCTCGTCTCTCCGGGCTCTACACACTCACGGGCGGGTTCATCCATAACTGCCCTCAATGGAGAAGCCTTAGCCGCGCTCAGGTTTCGTCGATGGTGTGGTCGTTGGCTCAAAGGTGTGACAAGAGTAGGTTCATCATAGTCTTCCAACGCAGTCTCGAAACTAGCAACAGACGAAGCGCTGTTATTCCTTTGGAACTCTCTCGATGATTGGTGTAACGGCAACACAGGCGTGTTGGTTCTACTAGATCCGCTGGATCCAGAACTGCTGGTAGTTCTGTACTCCCGAACCCTATTCCGTCGTGGGCTGTTGATCAAGGATGGGGTTTCCTCGCCAGGAGCTGAAAAGGCACTGTCGTAGCCTAATTCCTCGTACGACATAACTTTACGAATTGATGGGTATGGCTTTGGAGTTCCCGCCCTGCTCCCTTCTTCGGACCCGAAATCTGAGGTTTCATCGTATGCCGTGTGGAAACTTACGGGGCTTAGTATGTCGCTTGGAGTAGTGGTAGCTGTTTCCGGTTCTGGTTCTGGTTCAGGCTGTTTAGTCTCAGGCTGGTGGAAAACGTTATTCAGTGGTGTCCTTAGGTTGTTCATACTACGTCGTCGAAGGGACTCCCTGCGAGTTTTCTCCGTGAGTTTCGTCAACCGTCCTTTCAGGGAATTCATCTGATCCTCCAACTCCTTTACTTGCGTAGCACTGGCGCGCGATGAGGATCGGGAACGGTTGGACATGGCAGAGCTGGCACGTAATGTGGTGTAAGCGTCAGCGTACTGGTCGGAGGCACTGGATGTCATTGTCGAGTTGCTATCTTTGCGAAAATGAGCTCCTTGGTATCGCCAACTAGCACTGTCGCTAACAGTACGGTTGTGAAAGTTAAGGGAGAGCGGTATCCGACCAAGGGTTTTGATACCGGAAGGCTGGATATCGTTACTCGAGAGGGAAGGACTGGTTTTGAAGGTTGGGCTGGTCTTGAAAGTCGGACTGGTTTTTAGAGTGGGACTAGCAGTGGGAGGCGGGCTGAGCAGAGTATCTCTGGCTTTGGCGATACTGCTCTCGAAGGCCTAATATTTTTTTTTAAGAAATATGTTAGAATAGAATCATAATGACAAACTCTCGGGTTAGAATTGACAATCTTACAAAGAGTTTCTGCTTTACACCAGCGAATGCCCGTTCCGCGCGCTTCATATCTTTTGATCCTTCTTCTTCGCTGTCTGTTTCGTCAAAAATACTTCCTTCAACGACAGACTCGGCATCATCATCCAAGAATCGAAACTTATATCCATCAATGGTCGCCTGAGAGCTGTCGGAGTCGTCAGAAGCAATTGAAACTTCAGAGAGAATCGACAACGGTCGGTTCGATCTTATATTTGAAGAGAGATCCATCATTGGTGTCATTGGCGAAGCTTCCAAGATATCTGGTAGAACAGGTTGGACTCGTAATGTGGAATTGCTAGGTTTCTTTGAAAGTTTTCTCTGTGCGAACATGGCAGCACTAGCACTCGTGGGCTGGGCTGTCGTCGAGGATTGTGTGGGTGTTAAACTGCCAGATCCAGAGCCATTCGAACTGGATGAGCGATCCGAAAGAGAAGGAGACGGGAGAGAAGGAGACGGGAAGGAAGGAGAAACGGTCGTGCGAGGATAGGAGAGAGAAGTTGTTGTTGTTGAGTTCGGTTCAGCAGAATATGTAGAATAGAGAGATGAGGTGGTGTAGTGAGTTGAAGCAAGGAGAGCCGGAGCCATTGTGATATGATTATGTAGTGAAAAGGACCCTGTGGATCAATCGATTGAGTGGGCCTGCCTTGGATTGATCACGTTTGGAGGTTCCACCGAAAGGATTGATGGTTGGTCCTCCAATTAAAAGGGTCGTTGAAAGGCAGTAGAGATGCCTATAACTATAACAACTAACGTCGCCCTGGTGGCGGGTCTCTCAGGGGGTGCTGGTCCCAATGCCAAAGGCGAAAACTTCTTTTTAAAGATTTCCGCCGCCAGACACAGGAATAGCCGCAGCTGTCCGTTGGATCGTAAATCTGCTGCCTTCGGGATGATGCATGTTAGCTTTTTCAGATTTCCTTTCCTTCTCGTCCTTCCTTTTCTCCTTTGGTTTACGAAAACGATTTATTTTTCTTATTTCAGGTTTGTCATGCGAATATGGATGCTTGATCCCGGACAGGACACCTCGCCAAGATCAAAAGCCGCAGAGAGAAGAAGAGCGAGAGCAGCAGGGGACAGGCAAGTTTAGCCCCTTTAGAAGTTACAGGAAGAAGCGGGAGAGAAGAACAGGCAAAACAAATAAAAAAAATAAAAAAGCCACTTACTCAAAGCAAGGTTTCGCTTCAGACTAGACGAAAATAAAATTCGTAAAATAGAAAAAATGTCGAGTATAATTCCGTCGCGGGGAGAACGTCTTAGTTCCCCAGTCGAAAGGTTTGAAGAAGAGAGCAAGAGAGGGATTTGTCTTGGATTTCAGGTACCGAACCGAATTCCAACACTGGATCGAATCTGGTACGACTCGAAGGGATGGGATGGGATGGATGGGATGATGGATGGTGTGCTGGTGGATGGGATGAGGGGCGGGCGAGCTAGTTGGGACCAACTAACAAGCAACCTAACGGCAGACCAAAGCTTTGAATCAAAACCTTAAACCTTAAGAATTGAAATGTGAAGGAGGTCGTGAACAGGAACTAGAATTGATAGGATTCCGAGGAAGAGAGGTTAATTGATTGGTGATCGGTTGGAATTCGTCTTATTGTGGTCGAAATAGTTAGCTATCAGCTGATGATGATGTTGATGTTGATGATGTTGATGGGAGTGGCGATGGCAGAGTCGGTGGGAGGTTGGAGGTTGGCCGTGTTGTTGGGTTGGGTTGGGTTGAAGTGTTGTTGGTTGAAATGCGTGTTGGTTTCTGTCCGCCAGGAACGAGAAACAAGAAACAATCTATGCAAACTGGCAAAGAAGAAACGAAGAAAGAAAGAAAGAAGCTCAAGAAACGCACGCACGAGATCAGCCCGGAGAGTGCTCTGGATATGTATCTCAAGTCCCGTTAATTAAGTAAGTACTTAATCTTTCCGATATAGCTCTTTGACGCCCGTTACAATCCCGCAACCAACGGCAGCTCCAGGTTATTTTTGTTCCCTTCGATGGAAGCTGAAAGGTAGGCGAGGAAAGGGCGGTTCAGCTAAGCATTCGATTCGTTCCAGGCTCCCTCTCGCTCTTTCTTGACAAACCAGGTCAGGTCAGGTCGTCCCTTTTTTTTCTTCCCGTTCTATCGTCGTCGCTAAAAATCCCCCAAACCCGTTTAGACTTGCAAGGGGTTTGAAGAAAAAAACAAGGGAGCTAATTGTCGTCCAATCTATTCGTCGAAACCTTTTGGAGAGGAAAAGAGAGAGAAGGGTATTGTAAGTGTGTTCTATGTATGTTATTGACAATATATTTACAGCCACACAGCTAATTGTTAGAGAGAAACACACAAAGGCGAAAGGAAAGACGATCGAAAAGAAAGAGATGACGAAGGAAAGCCTCTTTTCTTCCAGGGATGGTTGATACCTGGGGTGGGGATGGGAAGTCAAAGGCTTAAAAGAGCCGGGCTGGATGTGAGATCGCGAGAGAGGAAGAAGAAAGAGGGCGAGGGGGGCATGGCGGTATGTATAGGAGGAGAAGAGATGCGATGTGCCACAGTCGAGACCGGGAAGTTCGAAGCCTGGTCACTTATCACAACCTCCTCCTCTTCCTCCACTCGAACCACGCATGCAGCTACGCGCAGGCTGCTAAACTGTTCCTGACATGCACATCATCCGCACCGCACACGCACGTACTCCATGCCCAGCCAGCCGTGTGTGTGTGCGTCCTCCCTTCACGGAGCCTGCATCTCGCCCCGGAGGGTTAACTCCTAGCTGAAGCTGCATGAGACATCGGTCTGGGGCAGGGTAGATGCCCATGGCCTGTCCATGTCCGTCTTCGTCTCTCTCAGGAAGTAATCATGAGAGAGTCCTTTCTTCTTTCCTACGACTCTGCCCCCGTCACCTCACTCAGAGATAAAACGGTCTTAGAGGTTAATCCTATGATATAAAATTAAATATATCAGATTCCCGTCAAAGACATTTTATCGATGTTGGATCACACACACACACACACACACACAGTTCTTACTCAATTACTTACTTACACAGCAGCATCATAACAGACCCACTTCGGGAGCTGAGCTTTGTACTCGAAACCAACAATCCGACTCGGGATGGCAAATGCATATCCACTGAGAAGGGAAAACGGGAGTGGAATGGGAATGGAGATGGGAACAAACGGTATCACCAGCCTCGCGTTCCCTTTTACCCGTAATGAATATCTCGAACAAACAAGAGAAAGAAAGAAGCAGTGAACCAACCCAAAAAAAAAAAAAAAAAGAAGCATGGAAGGAATCCAACTCGCATAACCGACGTGGATCGATCGTACTTTCCCCTCCCGGCTATTTTTTATAATTCTTGCATTGGGATAATTCCAACCTTTGGTGCTTGCCCAGCCCCAGATTATCTCATCCTCGTGCCTGATAAACCTTCACCACCGCCACCATTAACCAACCAACCAACCATGCATTTTGCATTTTGCATATATTCACAATTTCGATTAACCCCCCCAAATTACTTCACGCGGACACCAGGTAAGTAGTAGACAAGACAATATGGGTATTTCTCCTCAGGAACAAAAAGACCAGCCAAAGCCAAAAGAAGAAAAAAAGTTGCGTAATATCCAGGTCCCATCCGACTGGACCTTCTCGAAAAGCTCACCACCGGGATCCCCCTCCGGACCTTCTTCCTCTGATATTTCCAACCCGGCCCATTGGAATAGCCCGCCTGTCATGCCCTGAAACACGCGAGCTGCCTTAAGCCTTGGTAACAGACTCAATTGATGAAAAACCTCAACCCAACCTTTCGTCGTTCCCTCGTGGCAAGCATATCCCTTGAACCAGAATTTAATCCCTCGTCAAATCTTAGCTTCCGTTTAACTAGCATGGAAAGAGAGAGAGAGAAAGAAAACTGTTCCTGGCGATACTCGGTATCCCAAATTCTTACATACCATCTTTTCCGGGAAAACTTGCGAAACGGATTAGTAAACCTGTCGAAATATAATCGACAGCGAGAAAAACTTTTTTTTCTTTCGTGCCGGCGTTTATGTAGCTTCCTTCCTATCACAGGCTTTTCACACTTTTTTCAACACCATCATATGCATATATCTTGAGAGCTTGAGAATTCACATTCACGCCGACGCTTTAACTACTACCACATACAAGACTTTAAAGTGTCCGCATGGCATATGGCAAGTTCCCGTCCTAATTATCCCCCGCCCCGGCAGTTGGATGAGTAAAAGAGAATTACACAAAGCCCGACGGGGTTTCTAGGTAAGTACTTAGTACCAAATTTCCCTTCCAGCCGTTCCCGCCCCGAAAAGCAGTTAGGTTCCACCGGTTTTGCAACATGCTACGATGTATGATGTACTTACGTATGTTTCTTAGACTTCGAAAGATCTAATCCATATTAAACAACCAACAGCTAATTAATTAACTAATGAACTAACCAAATCATCTTGAGAAACAAATTTTTTTTAAAAAAAAATAATTTAAACTTCAATCCCGTGCGCACATGATTGTGATTCAAATCCAACTGACAATATCACCGAAAAGAAAAGAAATTCTTTTTTTTTTCTCCTGCAGGAACCAAAGCCCACCGGACGATCACAATCCCCAACCGCCAATAGTGCCGTTTCAAGATTCCTGCATCTCCATGGGATATAAACTTATAAGACCCACATCAACTTGTAATCCTCCATGCCCCCCCCCTCCCAGAGGGAAGTACTGCCCTCCCCGGAACCACCCCAATTCTATCGGCGATACCTGGCGGGAAGAGGAACCAAAAATGCATAATACAGGGCAATATATTAACATTTGAAGAAAGAAAGAAAGAATGAGAAAAGAAACCAGGGTGGATGTATACGCCATGATATCCGATAGCTTTAGGCGGTTACCGTCCTCAGCACGTTACAGAGTCCTCCTTCCCTTCCAAAGACCTACAAGAAACGTCAGTAATTTAGAGAATTGATTATTTAATTATCATGATCACATAACAAAGTATATAACATTTTCTAAAACCGCAGTTCTATTCACACAGCCTGAAAATAACCCCCCAAAAAAAACAATGCTTTATTTGTAGTTCTCGGATTCACTGCCATGTCAAGTTAAAGAAGGGAAAAAAAGGATAAGAGAGATTTTTGTACAGCGCATTATCACATCGCAGGTTTCGGATTTTCAGGTGAACCACTTGTCTTTTTAAATTCAGCCACCATTTCCCAATTTAAAGCACGCCCCTCCCCGCCACCTAAGACCTTTTTGCGTGATATTGATTCCCCGGACCTTGGCTTCACACACACACGCACACCCCTTCATCACGAAATCCTAACCTAAAAAAGTTCAAGAGATTTTGGTGGGTTAGTTAATAGTCAGTTAAACCGTTAACCACGGTCTTTTCCAGCTATGGCCAGCTAAGTTAGCTGCATACAATCCGGCACCCAGACGCCACAAGAACTAGTTAGTTAGTCATGCATCCCGTATGGAGATCCAGATTCCTTTTCCCAAAGAAAAAAAAAAAAAACTTCAATCCCAAAAAGGATGAGGGGGGCCGAAAGTACACGTATAAAAAAAAAATACCAATTGACTAAATAAACCAAAAAAATGGAGATGAAATAGTACATAATCAGTTAAGACTATTACTACTATGTACTACTTATTACTACTAGTATCGTTAAAGAAATCTAGAAAAAAAGCCACCTAAGATCCACGCAATTATCTGGACGTTTTTTTTATGCCACCGACGGCACCGGGTGTTTTCACTGTTCATGATTCGATATACTCGCGAGGAACAAAGGGCGTGCATGCATCCACCTTTTTGAAGACAAAAAGAAGAGGTGGAGAAGTGAAGGATACGGGAATATCGGAATAGATAAACTGGAAACTCCCTTTCCCGAGAGTCCTCCGTTCTTGAACTGAATATTTCTTCTTCTTCGTCTTCGTCTTTCTTCATTTTATCTAATATACGTAGTACATACTTACATGTAATAGAGATAATAGCGGGTGAAGAAAAAGAAAAAAGAAAAGTTGATATCTTGTGAATTTATATTATGAATTTTGAGAATTAAGACTTCAAAACGGTATACAAGCTTCAACTCTTCCAAGCTTCCCTCTCTCGTCTACTGAAATCCCCCAAATGCAATGCACTCTCCCGGCGCGCGGAGAGAATCCGATAACCGATCTTCCGTTCTTCTTCTTCTTCTTTTTTTTCTCCTAAAAAAAGGGTAGAAATCCAGGTAGGTATCCCAAACCGACACTTAGACATAAACTCTTAAAATAAGTACGTATACAATGTATCATAGATTCCTTTTTTCTCGGAGTTCGCTTGTTTCCGAACGTCTAAGCTTGTCTTTCAACATCGGACCCTTTTTTTACTTCACTTCCCTTTCTCTCCCCGTTTAGGATGTTGAATAAGTAAAAAAAAGAGTATCATATCTTTACCGAGTGTGTTTGAATATCAGATGGTTCCAGGGCGGGGTCTCTGATAAATCCTATATTCGCGTGTGTATACTTATTACTTATCTTCTTTTCTTTCTTTCTTTAATTCACGGAGCTAGCTTCGTAATTAATTAATTACAAAGTGTATCAATGAAGACCCACGGGAACTGTATACCCACCGGGGGCATCTTCATTCCATTCACCAGTACACCCCGTGGGAACATCATGGATAATTATAACTACAGTACCGGCACGGGGAAGTAAAGGTCATCGCATTTCATATACAGTACTACAGGTCTAAATCTAGAGCAAACCGATACCTCTGATCTGATGTAACACATATACGCATTTTATAATTACCTATTATCCTGTCTCATAATTGACCTTCCCGTACCAATGCAAAAAGTCGATATTATATTTCCATAGCCTCGCGAATCGAAGCCGGTAAACCTATAGTTAATAGAAATCTAGCAATCAATATATTCCCTTGCAAACCGTTAAATGTATCTTTTCGAAACCGCACTAGCGTTGCAATGCATCTATGATCCCTTTTTTGCAATGTCATATGATCCGATTTACAATATATCATATTCGTGTATATTCTGGACGAGTAGAGCAAACCACCCCCTTCAAACGTGAACCACAAACAATACTCCTACGTAGTATACTACCGAGCATATATCATATTATCATACATACATCACCAATACATCAATACCAACAGCCTTCCCAGTTCCATACCTATCTCACGAACAAACGTTGCAACCTTCGAGGCACGGTTAAGTTACAATCATATAGCACCTGTGCAGCTGTGGAATAAGTCAAGTACCATCGCAGCTACAACAATCATGCAAATACAACCATAGCTAGCAAACCTCAGCCTTCTCAACCACAAACACTATACATACATACCATACCGACCGACTTCGATAATAATACGAATACTAATATACGATACAACGTTAACATGCGGGGCTAGCTTGCCGATCGATTCCCAGCATACATGCATACATGTTTCCTAAAAAACCAAACCAAACCAAACCACCCAATTCGGCACCCTTCACGTGTCTATATCAAAAGGGAGCTCGGGATGGCCATGGGTGTAGGGGGATGACCAGACTTGAGGAATGTGGATGCCTCAAGAGTCGAAATTCCTCAAATTCCCATCCCATCTGAAATCGCAATTCTAGATTTTTTCCCATTAAATAAGGTATCGACAATTCCATAATTATAAATATTAATTGTCCATCCCATCCCATCCCATCCCACCCTTCCTTCGGTCATCCTCGGGAATAGATATATACTTTATGTATGAGGTATGTGTGGAAAATAAGCTTACGAGCGGTAAGCGGTAAGCTGCAATATAGGTATATTGTGATCAATAGTATAGAATATCACATGTCCATTGCAACCCTAAATTAAATACATTCTAAATACTAAATGGGCCTTCTTGATTGATTGATTGATTGATGGTGTGTAAGTATATACGGTAGAACCCAGACAGTAAACAAATTTGGGAGAGGGGGGGATAATATAAGTAGCGCAATTCTTGATATTAACGCTATACATAATGTTCAATTTCCTTTCTTGCTGATGATAAAAAACCTGGTTATGCTGGACATTTACCACCCACCTTCCCTCATGCATGCGGTGTTAATAGACTTTTAAATAAAAGCGTAGATAAAACAGAAAACAATGCTGACGCGAACGAAAAATGTTGAGAGAAGAATATAAAAGTATGGGATAATATGGGGGAAGATATCGTTGCAGCCAGAAACCCCCAACGATCTGACCTCATACTCGCGATCAATGCAAGAATTAAAAGAAGAAGAAACTAGCCTGTTGGCGAATCCCAATTCCGCCCATACAGTCCTTAGACCCTCCTTCATATATTCTCATCTTATTTGAGTAGTAATATTCTGTATAAGTAAATAAAAAAAAAGTATTCTGTTAATGTTTTTTCTTCTTCTTTCTTACTCGTCATCCTGACAAAATCGACAGTAAAAATTACTACACCGCCCATCGGTCGCCGCCTCAGCGTTAGTTCTAAACGGACACTGATGTCCATAATAACATTTTTCATCTTCACAGAACCCTCTCTTCTTTAACTGCTGACAAGGTTTACTGCGTTCGATAATATACTTCAACGTCTTCACGTCCTCGGTGCTCAACTTGTATTTGTGAGAATAAGGACACGGTTGTTGGTAACACGCCCCGCGGAGGTAAAAGTTATTGCAAGCTCGCGGGTTTAGGTTTTTGATGTAGTTGACCCTCTCCGCGTCGGCGGAGGGCACCATTGTATGTTGGATCCCTCGCGGAGGGTTGTTACCGGAAGTTGAAGTTCCGGATCCTGAAATTGTGATTGTCTTCGATGTCTCGAGGGTAGGGCTGGAATTGTAATGAATACTAGTGGGACGGATCAACCCCGGTGGTGCAGATACTGCGGCGGAAGCATATGAGAACTTCTGCGGGGTGTCGTAGGTCACCGATCCTCCGTTACTACCGTTCACATGTCCGTTCAAGCTGCTGGTGGTCGGTGTTAAGATCGCAGGAGCCGAGACGGGTGAACCGTTAGTAATCTCGCTTTGTGAGTCCTTGGAGAAAAGGTCGTGGAGTTTTTGACTAGGGAGGTTCATAGATGCAATTTCACGGGCCATCTGTGGGCCTTCGAGGAGCCAGATTGGGTAATTAGGGTTGGTGGCGGTACATGTCTTCAAGAACGGGGCATATCCGTTATCATGACCGCCTCCGAAGAGGATTAGACGGCAACGTGGGTCTTTCAAATGGAACAAAAATTCTCCTAGACGAAAAAGAATTATGACATATTAGTCAAACCATAGTAGAAGACGAGATGACAGTAAGAGTTAGTAAATACCTCGAATTTTTGAATCAGCCATCTCCTTTCCATAACCAACGTCAATAAAATTAAGATGTTCGAGTCGTTGAGTAAATCCCATGAAGAACTGTTGTAAATCGCCTTGTTTGAGTATATTTGATTTGACTAAAGCCTTGGATAATCCGTCTAAATTGGCGAATACAAGGGCTCTGATTTCAAAATCTCCTTTGATACACAAGTCTTCACGATTGGAGCGGACGAGCTCGCGAATTTCTGAAAGTAGTAGCTCTGCGGCTTCGCTCCCACCTTCTTTCTTCTTCTTCAATAAATCTAGATGGAACTTTCAAGGCGTTAGTTTTGGTGGTGTTTATACAATAAAACCAAGAGTGGTGCTAAGGTTGAAGCTTACCAACATCCCATCTCCATCAATTAAGACTTGAATATAAGGGTAAGAATTCTAAGAGAAATATACCGTCAGCCCCGGATCCTTTTTCTTCTTTTCTTCCTTTTCCTTTTTGAAGAAGGGTTAAACCACTGACTAGCTTATCTTCAGCATCCCCAAATTGGGTTTTAAGATCCCTGATCTCTTTCTGCGAAAGACGAGCATAACTCTTCTCCCTCTCAAGGTCATCTTCATATCGTTCGAGTAATCCTGATAATTGTTCGTTTTGACGTAAAAGTTCCTAATAACTCCCCCCCCAAAAATATATTAGCCTTACAAGGTTCCACTAACTGATTTTTCTCTCTTTTCTTTCTCTCTCTCTCTCTCTCTCTCTTCTCTCCCTCATAAAAGATCTTCCACCAGGATATCACCACGTGCAAGAGTAAGAGATGTAGATAAAAGATACAGAGAAAAAGATAAAGCACGTGTTTAACAACGAAATATGCAACATACCATTATCAAGTCATCTTTTTTCCTTTCCGTTTCAGTTAACTCCTCAAAGCGACTTTTGTAAGTCTGCAGCAAAGCAAAGTTGGAAATCCCATGGACTCCACCATTCAACACCGTTGCCATCCTTGCTAAATTCTTGAAATGTAACTCCAAAAAAAAAGCTTTTTTCTCGAGAGAAAAGGGGAGAAAACAAAAGAGTCGAAGTCGAAACCCCTCCCTTCTTGGGTATTATTATTCTGATGGGTATTCAAGCTGGAATACCCGGGATGCTTAAATCGATGGAGGAGAAGGAGGGGGAGGGGGGGGAATGTTAACGTCGAAGTGAGGATCGAAAGAAGAAGAAGAAGAAGAGAGGTCAGACAGGTTCAAAAGTATTAAGACTAACTAGCCGTTCTCGTGGCTGCAGGGTTTGTTGTTCGTGTTGAAAGTTGCTTTGTTTGTTTCGTCAAGTTGAGCTTGAGCTCTCTTTCTCGGTCGAGGTACCGATGGTGTACCGTACCGTATGTAAGTACGTCAAGTCGCAGGAACGCCACGAACAGGATGTCGGTATCTTTTCCTTTATAAAAAAAAAAAAAAAAAAGAAATGAAGGATCAAAGAACCGTGTGTGTGTGTGAGTGTGGATACCCAGGTAATAAGTAAAAGTACTTATTAGATGTGGGGTTGGAATCTGGTTAGCTTGATTGATGCAGATCCTATCGATTCGTCAGTTCATTCGGCTCTCGATTCCGTTCTGCTCGAACCTAAACTGGGTAATTCACAGTTATGGTGTAGGACTGACTATAGCACAGCACAGCACATAGCAGACAGAGTAGACAGAGTACAATATAGGAACAGGGTACCACAAAGTGGAGGGGTGCACATACCAACTAACAGAGCCTCGCCAGGATCATGTATGTGTATGTGTATGTATGTACTTATGTATGTATGTGTGTGTCAGAAGCCTCCACCATGCAGCCAGCCAGCAAGCCTGATTAACCCCACGATTGGATTGATTGTATTCGATATTCACCTCCCCAAAAAAATCCAAAAATAAAAAGGGATAATGGAGAAAACGCAGGATAGAAAGAGATCAGAGAGGGAGTGTAAGAGCGTGAGAGTATGAGAGAACGAGAGAGAGGGGGGAAGGAGAGAGAGAGAGAGGAGGGGCTAGTGGTAGATTATATAATGCAGTTGAATGAATGAAACTCGTTAACTATTTTCTAATTCTATCGAAGGGGCGATATCCTGCCTGCTTCACTTCCAACTCGACCTATTTTATTTTTAAATTTTAAAGTGGATGTTTTATTCAGCCTTCCCTTTTGCAATAAAAAAGGACTTAAGATACTTCCAGGCCCTTATTTTTTATTTTTTTATTTTATTTTTTTACTTTTATTTTTACTTTTATTTTCTTCTTCTTCTTCTTCTTTATGTTATTATATATTTTGTGACAGAAGGCTCGATGGATTCGCACATGAGAATTATCGAGGCGTCTATAATATCTGCACTGACACGGCACAACCCACACGCGTCGTCTCCGCGAGAACTCCAAATCCAGACAGACAGACAGACCAGCTCTCGGAGATATCCATTCCTTCCAGCCTTGTATCCCTCTAAACATTCTATTCTATTCTATTCGAAAGTAAAAAGTTAAAGTGTCTAAGAAAGTGCACTTTGATTCATTTGCCAAGCCCTTTAGTCGGTGATCACATACATAACTGTAATCCCCTTTCTCTGTTCTCTGTTCTCTCGAATACCTTCAGAAGTTGGAGACAGACCAGAATACAGATCCCAACATCTTCGACACTTTCGAGACTAATCACATCACATGTTCACGGCGCCAAAAAAACCTATGTAGAACTAGAACCCCCCTCCCGGATTTTTGTTATAAAAGGTATTATAACCCTGTCGAATTCCGGCGTTTATACTATAACCCCCATCTACTAGACCAGTAATTGCAATGGTGCTATTTACGGCACAACTTCCCTTTCCCTCCAAATAAATTAAAAAATCTCCAAATTCAAAAAGAAAGGAAGAAGGTAAACCGACCAACCAATCAAGTTAACATCCGATACCCGAATCTATTTTTCTCTCTCTAAAAGCTAAGAATCAAAATATCCCCCCCAAAAAAGCACCTTCGTGGTACAGTCTACTATAGAAGCATGTCATGTAGAGCACAAATGTCATGCATCTCGCGTTATCGGATACATTCCCACCTATCACCCATCGTGCACTGTTCTGAACATTCCGGAACCGGTTTTACAATATTTCCGGGGTGACACATCTTTTTTAAACCACTTGGTTGAGACCCTCTTTCTTTCTTTCTTTATCGACTCGTCCTTTGATCTTAGACATAATTAACAAATTTAAACTAGTGGCGGTTGTGGGTGTGAATGTATGTGTATAAGTAGTACGTATAATAATTGTTTCAAACAATATATAGAAGAGAGGCGGAGGCACAGCAGCAGTAGCAGCAACATCAGTTATCGGTTATCACTATCAGTAGCACTAGCAATCGTAACGACGACATATTCTATCCCACAGTAACATATAAAAAATCAAAGCGGAATCAAAAGAAGAAAGGGAAAAAAAAAGGCACGACATGATGTTTCCTCTCCAATGACTCCCTTGAAAATGAAACAAAAAAGAAAGAAAAAAAGGCAGTACGTGTGAGGGGTGGTTAGCTTATAAGCGCGCGGTGGCATCGAGTAGAGTAAAATAAAAAAAGTGGCGGTGAATGTAAATAGCCAGGGGATATTGAGGTTAAGCGCTAGGGCGGCACCCAGGGGAAAGTCGAGGGGAGGAAGAGGAAACTTGGGGTTTGAAAGCAGAGCGAGCTTAAAGGTACAATGCAAAAGGTAATTTTTGTAAGCGTGGAACGAGCAAGTACAGTAAAACAATATTTCATCCGTGTAGTAATCCCATGAGTATCATCATTAAAAACAGAGGGAAAAAAAAAAAAAAAAAAAAAAAACAGTACAGATCAGGCGTTAGGGGCATTATCACAAATCAATTGTGGGGTGAGGGGTTAGTGGTGTATTCAACAAAGAGAAACAGAACTGAAGTTTTTCGTAACTGTGCTGGATTATCCCATCTTAGGTCTCCCATATGGGACTCGTCCTGCAAGGCGTATATGCTAAACGCCGAAAGAATTCACAAATACCCCCCCGGGCCGGTGTCTAAAAAGCAACCGAGGGGCACGCAAACGTAAAAGCGACTAAATGTATTACTGCTTTAATGCAGCACATCATTTAATCTCCCGAAAAGAACAGACGGCAAAGTCGTCTCACATGGCCATCGTGAATGAAAATGTAGAGCTGCTCGGCAACGCCGGAGCTAATGGTTTTGTGACCTTGCTGAAGTGGTGCTGCGAGGTCTTCTCAGGGTTCGGTGAATGCTCCACTTCGAAGTTGCTGGGTATCATTTCATGCTTGAACTCATCGCCCCAGCCGACGCGATGTGCCAGTTCCGTAACGATATCATCGCATTGGTCGCCAATCAGTTCCACATCAAATTCTATATGGTGGACAGGCTATAACAAGGGTTAGTTAGCACAAATTCATGCATGCGTAATTAAGGGTTGGACATACCTCTCGAGAGATGTATATCTGCGGCACGTTCGCAGGTAAGAACGCAGGGACCTCGGACACGGGTGCAACTTTCAAACTCGTTCCAATGCAAATCAGAAGGTCAACCTTGGCTCTATCGTGGTCAACGATTCGGTGGAAGCGGTCTGGGAGTTGTTCTCCAAAAAAGATGATATCAGGCTTCATCACTCCAATATCAGCTTCCAAGGCCCAATCCTCCTCGTCGCTGCTGTCGTCATTGTACTTGTTCTTCCTGCTTTTCGGTGCCGCAGTACCCCTCTTTCTCTTCTTTCCAACCTGTTGCTTTGCCACCTCGGCTTCGACACACTTTGGACACTTCGCTATCTTCCCGGCTCGCAAGTCGTCATATATCTCTTCTCCGGAAACCTGAAACTTGCACTTAACGCAAGAGGCCGTCGCAAACGATCCATGGCACTGAACCAACTTGTCGGGTGAAACGCCAGCCAATTGTTCGATATTGTCGATGTTTTGGGTGTAGTTACGTAGAAGCTTGCCTTTTCGCTGGAGGAGCTCGATGAAAGCATGGGTGGGTGAGAACTTGCTGGTGGTCGGAAGGATATCCTTGGCTATAGAGTAGAAGATACTAGAAACGGCCCGGTATATTAGCAAAATAGAAGCTATAAGGGTACAGGGCAATCGAACATACGAAGGATCCTCTTTGAAGATCTGGATATCGAAGACCTCTTGAGGATCGCTCAACCCAAGACCTTCAAGACGAGAGTAGAGACCGCTGCCTTTGCTTCTGAAATCCGGAATACCCAAGCTCGTAGAAATCTATCAACTGCTTGTTAGCATATACTCCATATTGCTTTGATCCAAAACGATTTTAACATACTCCAGCACCGGTCAAAACCATGATGTTGCTCGAGCTCTGAATTAACTCCACAACGTCATCGACCGAATTGACATGGGACAGCTTCAGCCTCTTCGCCATCTCCCGTTGCATCATAAGCCCCAGCAGAGTAAAGTAAGCAGAATCTAAGCTCCCTTCCAAGAATGCCGGCTGCGGTGTCCCCGATCAAAATTAGCCCTTGACTCCAATACACAACGTGACTCTCCCCTCTGCCCGAATCATCTATCATACCGGTCGTAGCCCGAAGGCCGTTAGGAGCTTCTTGGCGGTGATGGATCCATTCGATACCGTCTGGTCGACGAAAGCCCTGCTTCCGACTCTCCGTAGTAAGTCCTTGTAGTATTGACATTCCTCTGGTGTGCAAAATTCGGCGCCTGATCCTGATTTTTAAATAAGGTTGTGATACAAGAAATCGTTAGATATGCTGAACCAACTCCACAAATATGTAGGTAAAGAAGGCAAGAAATTTGCTTACCGTCATCCGACCCGTCCTTCATTTCTGCACCAATCATATCCTCGTACAAGCTCTGGTCCTCCCAATCGCTCGACTCGGCTTCGCTACCTTCGACATCTGGAACTACTTCCGGTTCATCTTCGTCGGTTGAAGACCCGTCATCTTCGTCGGATAGAGCCGATGACAAGCCTCGTAATTCGGGAGGTAAGAAATCGTCGTCGGCAAATTGGGCGTGCGACATCGCGACAAGGTCCAGTGCCGAAGGGGTGGGTTTGGCCGGCGACTGGCGAAGCGTCGATTTCGGTGTTAGGGCCGTGCTTTCCATCTCGATTGGCAAATGTTTTTGTAAATAGTAATAAGACAATTTCGAAAAAGCCAGAGGTAGCGATTTAGAGAAAGGATGAGCCGACCAAAGCGGGATGGTTCCGAGATTTAAAGTCCAGAGGAAAAAGTCGAATGGAAAATAAAAAGGGTATCGAGGGAGCGAAGGCCTTTAAGAAGAAGAAGAAGAAGAAAGAAAGAAAGAAAACAGCCGCTGAGAGAAGGAAAGGATGGTAGACGGACGTCGAGAAAGAGGGATTGAAAGCAGGCTGTAGAAGAAGTAGAAGAAGAAGAGCGAGAGCGAAATGTTAGACACGGGCCGGGAGTTTGTTCAATTCAGTTCAGCATGCGAGTTATAAAATGAGATGTTACCAGGGAACGAGCGAATAAGATTGGCCGAATTGGGCAAAACGACAAGCAGAAAGAACTGGAGCCGGGATGATTGATGTTGTACCACCTTTGTCTCGATACGTATGTACATGTATGGGATGTATGATACACCAGATAACGGATGCTCTAGGATTGTGACCAGGCGTCCAGTGCCCCGATGATGTCAGGTCAGGCAAGGGGAGGAGGAGGAAGAAGGGGAAGCGAAAATGAATACGATGGGATGAAGAGGGGCGAGCAAGAGAATTCCAGTCGAGGAAGAGCTGGAAGAAGAAGAAGGAGGAGGAGAAGGGAAGGAGGATGAAGAGGATGAAGAGGACGAAGAAGTGTGAGAGTTGAAGTTGGACATAAAATTGCAAAGCAAAGTTAGAATTACCAAGCTAGTACAAGTCCAAGTAGATAATCCCTTTGTTTAGGCCCAACGTTACATATAAAATCTCGTACATATCCGCACGTACATTTACATGCACAATTGGACCTAGCTAAGTACCTAAATTACCTAAGTAACTAGTACACCCTTCCAAGACCGGCAAATATGGTGATAATGCGTACGGTGCAGCAGCTCAGGCAAATATTAATGAAATCAATTAATCAATCAATCAATTCCAAGCTCACTGGGCCGGCCTTGTGAAAGGTGAGACAGCGAACCCGCAAGGAAGCATGGATATACCCGACATGGGCAGACCGCCACCAGAGGGGAGGGGGGGGAAGAGTACATGGAATAATAACAATGACGGTAATATACGGGAAGAATTGACGGGAAGGCGTAAAAGGAGGAGCACGAGCAGGAGAAGGAGGAGGGTTAAATTGAGCTCGAAAGGGAATGCATGTCCAACATACCGTGGTCCCGAGGAGAGGCTTATATCGATGATATCTTATGATTTGATTTGATTATGGTAACCGTCCACGTCCGTCAGCTCCAGCTCGATCGCGGGTGGGTGGTACGCGAGCGTGAGTGTGAGTGATTGTGTGAATGTGTGTGGGTGTAAGTACGAGGTCGAGGGTGAATGTGTATCCGTTATATTATCTCCATCCGGGTTGAACGTGGTCAGGTAATAATATTCTATAAGATCAATCAATTTTAATATTTTACCAAATATCGTTCAGCTGGCCGGGCTAGCGCGAGTTAAGTCGGACAAGTCGAACAAAAGTCGAACAAACAAATTAAACAAGTTAAACAAGCTAAAACTCAAACCAGAAGATCTGATCTGATATTATATTATATATTGTTTAAAGAGTAAAAGCTTGTCGCCGAATAGGAACAAACCGCGACCGATATGTAAGTACATGCATGTTGCGCTGTCCGCCATAGTTTTAGTTCTAAGCCTCCCCAAACCCATCGCGATGCTTTCCTTGGCATCATCCATCACGCGACTGTTCATGCCATACTATATACTATATAGTACTATAGATCTATTACCACCAGATTAAGTACTTAATTCATTAACACGCTTCCATTCCTTCCGATTTATTTCTATAATCTAGATACAAAATAAATAAAAATTACTACTGAAAAAGGTCTTAGATTCGATCTAATTTGATTGAGATATCGATCTCAATTTGTACCAATCCGTCAACACCAAACGTACTATACAAGACCCACCACCGGCTTAGCTTAGTCATCCACATCTCCATCTCTCCCATGGCCACGTGATATCGTATCGTATTCAAACTTCACTTCTTATTATAACAAGTTCATATCATACCAATCATTCACTTTTAAAAACATCATAAAACAAATCCAAATAGAATCATATCTTATCGTATCATATAATATCATATCATATCACATCACATCACATCATACACGCCATAAACTAGAATCGAACCCAAGACAATATAACTGTCAGCAGCCGTGTTGCCAACCAAAAAAATCCCATCCCATCCATCCGAACTTACCTTTTTTACCCGCGATAAGCGCCCAACCGCCGTCTTTCACCTCCCAAAAGTTTAAACTTCCCAAATATAATCCACCGTCGGTCATCCCTCCCGATCGATCGTGTTCCCTCCAAAAAAAACCGTCTCCTGTCGGTTCATGCTTCAATGTCGTTCGGCCGTCCTCCAGGACAGCTGACCTTTAATCCCACTCCGTATGAACAAATCCTCCCATCCAACACTTGCACTTGCAATGTAATTTTATCTCAATCATGCACCTTCGATTTATAATTAACAAAGCTAGATGATTCCAGTCCGGAGCGAGGATCCTTCCCTCTCGACCATGATGGCGAATGTCAACCCGTCATGAAAGACTATCTCGCCTGCCTCAAGAAGGTCCGCGGAAACAACGACCCGGAGTGTCGGATGCTTGCTAAGGCCTATCTCAAATGCCGAATGGATCAGTACTTCACCCCTTTCCCCCAATTTACAAACTTCAAATCTTGAATTTATATATATAATAATATAGACTAACATATATCTTCTTTCTTTCTTCCTTTCTTTTCTAGCAATCTCATGGCGAGAGACTCGTTCAAGAACCTTGGGTTTCAAGACGAAAAAGGCAAATCCAATATATCACCATCTGAAAAGTCGTGATATCGATATATTCATGCATCTTCACTGTATATTTTTTTTACCAAAAAGTTGTCTACGATATATAAAAAGGAAGACGACAAGTGTACCATAAACCACCAAAACTCCATTCCATTAATAATAGCATAAAAAAAAAGTGGAGCTGCTTTTAAGGCGCCATATCTCTATCTACAATAATGATGGTTTGTGTGGTGATAAAACCTCGAAATGCAGAGAGTGATCCTAACTTCGTCTTCCTCAAAAAAAAAAAAAATCCAAAACCCAATTAAATTTACCTTCCCATCGCAGGATTCAACAAACCCGGAGTCCTGATACCTTCTCCGTTTTTCCCCAAAAGAACTTCTTTAATCCCCACAGCCTCCAGATCATCCCGATTCTCACTCCAAACTTTCAACAAGTCATTCGACTCCTTCGGCTTAACCCCTACATCCGCAGTTCCAATGGTAATATGCATAATCTCATTCCCGCACTCATGTCCCTTATCGTCCACCAAGCTTGCCACGATAGCCATGATCCTATTATCCCAAACGACCCTCTCAAGATTAACCTCCAACTCATCCATATCCTTACCGTGTGGAGTTTCCTGTCGGAGTTTCTCGTAATGATCCCACAACTCGGCTTGTTTCTTGAAGTTAATGCGGTGGGCCATGGTGATATGGAAAGTCGGCTGAACTCGTCGCGAGTTCTTCAATTGCATGTAGAACTGCTTGAATTCCGCCGGTTTTGATGTAAACGCTTGATCGAGGGCGACATTGATTATGGGAGCCCGGAGACGGATTTCGTAGTACTCGACGGCAGGTTGCTTTTGCTTTCCTCCAACTTTGGGCTGAACAACCGCCTTCTCCTTTTGAGGCTGCTTCTGGTGAGAAGGACCGGATTTCCCAATAACATGCTTGAAATCAACTGTGTAGTCGGAAAGAGCCCATTGATTAGCCTCGTCGAGGTCATCAGCAGACGGCATCTCTTCACCCAGCAAGTAGGGGTAATGTTCGTGCAATTTGGCAACAACCGTCTCCAAATTCTCCCTCGATTCTGCTAATGGGTCAAGATCGATGACTAGATCGAACTGGCTGTCAGGACCCGAATCCATGTCCAATGCCTGGAATCGCTTGATGAATCCTTCCATGATGCCAACTATCTCTTGCTTGTCACCAGTTCCGGAGTGGATAGTCTGATGGTTGTCTCCTCGATCGAAAATACGCTGCTGATTCTTCTCTCTGATTTTCGACACAACATCTTCTCCCGGCTTGTAGTGGACGTAGTGCAAAGCAACATACTCGACATCTGGGTTGTTTTTGCTGATATCTCTGAAAAGCTGATCACGCTCGCGCTTTTGGTGGTTATTCCTGTCAGCGATACAGATTGGATGATCGTTTAGCGCGGTAAGAATTGCATGAGCAAAAGCTTCTGGTTTCCCTCTCTTGACGCTGATGTTGTCGTTCTGGACATGTCCAAAACCGAAGAGCTTAACCAAACCGAGGGCAACTGTAGTTTTTCCACATCCAATGGTGGCAATAGGAACCAAGACGACGGATTTAGCTTTACCATCTTCCCCAGAAGCTTCCTCAGCCTTGACAATCTCATGACCGGAGGTACCGATCGAAGCCAAGAAACCGTCTCTCATCGCGATAATGCCGTGATTAAGTTGGAATGCCTTCCCGATCGCTGGATCCTTTCGTAGTTGTTCTCTGGCGTATGCGATGTATTTCTCAGTGATTTGCTTGTGTTTCCTGACCTTGGGTTGTTTGCCTGAAATAATAGCCTTGGTTACCTCTCTCCACTGTCGGTACATAAGGTAAGGCTCCTCAAACTTGTATTTGAAGAACCAGTCGTGCCACTCTGGATCATTGGGACCGTGCCGAGCCTTGCATCGAATGACAAACCCTTCAACAGCTCTTCCGTTCCATTCTCCAGATTCTCCTACACCTTCTAGAAACTCCCTCAATTCCGAAACGGTCTCCTTCTCAAAGACTTCGATCTTCTTAAACCCCCAATCGTCCGCAAAAGCATGCACCTGCGGTCCAGACCATGTCGCAAAGACCGGAAGATTCAAATTGATACCATGAAGGTACAACCCGGCGTCATCTCCTTCGTATGCTAAAATATGCTCTTCGAAAGAGTCATCACAAAGCTCTGCCACAGCCGTGACATTCGCATTATACAAGAATTTGGCAAGTTGATTTCTCGTCTTGCCTATCCTCTTCAATTGATGTTCAACCCACGAATCTCCGACTAAGGAGTGGGATTTCGAAGCATCACCTCTGGGACCCGTCGAGTGCTTACTGCAGACTAACAGAGTACCATCCGGCAATCCGGAAATAAAAATGATACACCCATTCTCCTTCATGGTAACTTCATAGGGAGCCTTGGTATTCTTTTCAATCCACGACCATTTCGTCTGTTCTACCTCATCGATATTGAAAAACTTATCATAACCTCTGGTAACAATCATACTATTCCCTCCAACGGACTTAAGCGTGAACAATCCCCTAGCTTTGGTTGGGAGATCACGTTTTTTATAATCCCAATCTTGGAATTTCCAACTATGAACGGATAACTTGGAGTTTTCGACCTCATACTCGGATTTTCTGCAGGAGAACGCAGCTTTTCTACCACGTTTGGAACCGTCGTTTAGGGTTTTGATGAGTTCGTTGACTTCGTTTTGGTCTTGCTCCTGGTAGGGAGCACCGTATCGTTCGGTGACGGACATCTCGGCGTTTTCGAGATCAAGTGGTACTTGAGATTCTGGGACTTCGCGATTGATCCAATGCGGTGATGGCGAAGTGTGTATGGATGATGTTTGAGGTGATATTATTATTATTTGTCCCGGGTAACGTACTTTGTGTATGTAATCGGTCAAGGTGGGGTTGTTATGGTTATAGTGGTGATTGTGGTGGGGGTAGTTGTGGCAACGACAGTGAGAAGTTGCAGTTGTTTGTTTGAACTTCAGACTCGAGATATAATATCGTCTGATTGATAGCTTCGTGAGCTGATGCTGATATACACTAGTATAATAACGATGTGGTAATGAACAAACGGAACGAAGTCCAAGTAATGGAGACAGGAGGCGTGATGTAGATTGAAGTAACATAATATATATACTTAGTTGGATCGTTCAGCTTATCTTATACTTATTAGATACAACCGGTGAAACAGAGCTGACGCCTCAGGCCTCAGATTGTATGACTCTTCTCAGGTAGCCTCTGAGGTATGCCAGTTACCTCCGCTAACCTTCAATGTTAGCTTAGGAACGGCTCACCATCGGCGGATACAATGGCAATTGGATTCAAAAAAAAAAAAAAAAGAGAGAGAGAGAGAGATTGTCCAATGCAAAGTGGAAAAGCCTGTGCGCAGTACCTGAAACTTTGAACCTATCTCCCTCAGGCTTTTGTTGCTGAAATTTACAGGCCCCAATGCGTCATGCCTGTTCAACGTGGAAGACCTCGAGGTCATCCATGTGTTGTGTTACCCAAAGAGGTAAGTTTGTGGATATCTTGGCATCCCCGCATTGTGAGAGGCTCTCACACGGTGAGTCAACACCATATTCGCAGCACGTATGGGGATGCTGGTGCACAGGGCAGAATCAGACTGAGGCACAATGATTCATTCAAGGCGAATCCCCAGGCGGCGGGAAGGCAGGAACCGTTCAGAACCTCTTTTCTTTCACGAGCTTGTATCTTTTACTCAGATGGTTGATCCTGTGAATCTCGCGTTCCCGAAAGGAACTCTTCCACAGCACCGGGTTTTCATGTTCTCGCATCTCGATCTCGACCGGTATTATAATTTGAGCCTCATTGTGCAGCATCACATGTCAGATCCCAAGCTATGCGGTCCACCTGGTCCACCCACCACCAAATTCAAAATAGATACCTATCCTCACCTACCTCAGCAAAATAAGAAGTAAAATAAATAAAATAAAATAGCAGGAAGAACAACTACCAAAGCAGGTTTCCTAACAAACCCCCTTCTTTCAAATGACCAATTTCTCCCTACACCAAAGGATTACACAGTAATCGATTCGGTCGCCAAAAAAAAAAAAAGGCGATATCGGTCGATCCCATGCAGCGTCCCCATGCACGACATGAGCTGCCATTGTGCTAGTGTCATGTATGTCCTGATGTATGTGCGTGAACATGCAGCTGACCCCGCCTTTTTGGGTTTTTCCCAATTAACTTGCTTTATCGATAGTGAGAAAAAAAAACCGAGCCTATCGAACGCTGCCTTTCGTCTGAACTTTGGGTTGGACAGAAAAATATTAGCTGATCGATATCGATCGTGAACGTGGGTTTATTACTCACATAAACCGTCTTTTTTGCTACACCAAGCGGAAGTGAAGTGAAGTGTAACAGAGAGTACTCTAGAGTCTTCTGTTTTATCGTTAAGAAGCTATGATATGTACATGTTGGAGATATTCTTTTCGAGAAGTTGCAGTTGCTTAGATGACGCTATCTACCGAGAGACAAAGGTTTTATCTGGATCAAGATGGCACTCCCTTTCAGCCCCTTTCACGACTCCTTCAAGGAATATACGGACTAAGTAAGAAAAAATATCGCCATCTTCTCGCTTACCACAAGCTAGTTAGTCAGGTCTTGGATCCGAGCTAGCTAGCTAGCGGGGTATGTCAAGTATGCACCCAAAGGCTACTAAACCGTGTTCGACGGTGGTAAACGAATAACAAGGCATTCCATTCCAGCTTACCTCATCCCGACCCAGAAACTTAACTGCGGCGGAAGGAAATAAGAAGAGACAGGAGCACACGAGGTCCCATTGCATATGATCGGCATATGATAGGGGTCTGGAATGTCGCTTTCGGGATCTTCCTCGCAGACGGTTTTTTTAGTTCCTTTTCCTTTTTGGGGGGGATTAGATAGGTATTCCTCAGCCCCTCAGCCGGATACTCTCACCCGGCAGATTCGATTCGGGATGTTTAGGAAAGAAGCATCACAAAAACAAGATATTACGAAGACAGTGCAGAACCATGAATGAGGAGTATTTCTAAGCTACTTCTGACTTCCCTACCTACTTACTTACTAAGTAGTTACCTACTAGGCCTAGGTTGTGAAAAGCGAGTGAGCAGAGTGGGGGGAAGCTAGAAAAGGACTAAAATAATCCTCGATAATACTACAGCCCCCCTGGTAATATTAATTAATAGTATAAGTTATTACAATTATAATCCAAGTTATCCGACAGAACCCCGCTTGCTTCCTTGCTTGTTTGATCGCAGTTTGTCGCAATAGAAGAGAAAGAAAGAAAAAGAACAGGAATATTTGCGACTTGGGAACTAAAAAAGGCCCACTAAAGAAACCCATGATAAGATAATAATTAATTATAATCCCGGGCTCTGCATAACTCGAGCTCCGGCGCTCTCGCCTCGCTACCAATACAGAGGTTTGAGGAATAAAAAAATATAGCCGTGTATGTGAGAGGGTGTCGTCGTCGTCGTCCTTTAGCGCTACGACGACGTGCATGCGCATGCATATAATATATGTACATGTACATACACATACATATGCATCTTGGAAGGATGTACAGTACCGCTCCACTTGCAATTAATGATTATCGCCCAGGGGAGTTCGGAACGGTTAGCGGGTGAGATCGACGACTTCTTCTCCCGTGCGGTTTCCCTTAGCTTTCATGCGCAGCGGGGTGAACATATACTTTACTACATGATCGTTATCTTCATCCCTGGTAACTACCAACTACCTACCTACTAACGTTAACTTACTAGCCTCGACTCGGACACTGTTGCATGTTGCATTCTTTCTTGAACGTCATCTTTCCTGAAGTCTTGAAAGTAAACGAACATGATAGGTTGGAGATTAGGATATATAGCGAGACGTACCTTGTGAATATTAATTGAAATGGAACCGAGTCGCTAGGTTGGTTATATCACCGGTCATCCGCCACACTTTAGTTCGAATACTCCAACGGGAATTCGGGAAGTACCCCTCAGACTCTTCAGAAGTACCTCAGAAGTACCCCTCACGTCCCCTCCCATCATCTTCATCCTCTCCCCTCGCTTCATACATGTACATACACACATTGCATTACTCCTCCAGCCTTGGTAAAGCCCCATGTCTTACGGTACCCACTCACACACACACACACACACACACCCCTTACCTTGACATCTCTCCCTTCTAAAAAAGAATTTCGCTATGAAGCTCGCAAAGAGGAGAGAACAGGAAAAAGAAACTGGAAAAGAAATCTCCTAAAAAAGATCGGACGATCCATATTTCCTTATTCCTTTTCCAACATGCCCCATGCGAACTGCATGCGAAGGAAAAACAGGGAATAGCTCCAGGAGAGGGAGTGTAGTCGTCGATCCTATAGATATCGCTCACCCCGGTCCCCTTTTTCCTATTATCTTCTTGACCCCTCGGGCCTTAGCTCGGTAGCCTTGCATCAAGATTCAGTTATCGGTAACGAAGCTTCCTGTGTTAACTTCCCATAGCCCCAGCTGCCTTCTCGGCTTCCCACCCAGCTAGCTAGCTAGTAGTCGCTCTACCTAATTATTCCTTCTCACCCCTTTCCTTTCCTTTGCTTCCCTCCGCGAGGAATATGGTAAAGAGAAGGGGGAAAAAAACGCAACTTTCCGTCCTAGCCACATTCTTACATTTTGAAGATTATCTAGACATGGGAGGGTGGGCCTTATCACGTCTCGCGGTCTCGTCACGCACACCCGTTTTTGGATCCTCTTTTTTTTTAGGAGAGAGCATATGGTTTACTTCAGCCCACAATAATGATGTAGACCTTTCTCCACTTTTTCTGTCTTTGTAACCCCGTTAGTGAGAGTAAGCTATACCCACCACCCGGAGACGGGCGGATGCCATTTCTTGCGACAGCGATGGCGCTATTTGAAAGCTGTCATATTTGAAAGAAGCTTGGACTACCGTGGCGCTTTGTCTTTCGGCCGTCCCCACAAAAAAAGAAGTGATATGGATGGGTATTATAGTTTGGTCTCGAAGTTATAGATTCGAATAAGCACGAATGACGCTAGTAGTGTACTATATCATAGCGGATTTTACACAAAAATAGACCTCGAGGTACGTACCTATTCATCATGATATCCACCGATCTCATAGATACATACATACATACATACATACATTTCTCCTCCCCTTTCCCTGGGTTCAGATTATACATCCATACATTAAATATGTACATACACACACACACCGCATGACCTGTAGGAAACTTCCTGACTCATAATGTTGCATATTCACCTAGCCCTCTTTTCTTCCACCATGATATTGTGGAGAAGTTCGGCTTTGTGGCTTTTTTCCTCATATTGTAAAGATTGGCATCGTTCGATCCCGAGTTAACTTTTACCACTATACATACGTACCTATCTTTTGTAAAAACCCGGTGGGTTTGATTATGGTTATTGTTATAATTACATTATATGGAGAGAGAAGAAAAAAAATGATATCGCGATCGAGTCGATCTATCATCACAAGATATGGTTTCAAGAGCTCTGCTGGTGTCGATTATACCCCGAATAGTCTGACTTCCTGAAAAAGTAGATGGTGATAGATGCAACAGGTACGATAAATAGAAATCAAATACGGTAAGAAACCCCGTCTATCAAGATCATAGATATTTAGAAGAGGTGAAAGAAAGACCCTTTAACCGTCCTACCCGCGGCCGCGAACGAAAAAGTCAACAGGAGGATATGATCTTCGAACCCTTTCGTGATCACAGCCTCATGGCACTTCTTCGGCTTCTAAGCATCCCGTTGTATGTACCTACCTACCTACCTACGTTCTAGATACCCACTTTGACTTTGGATCGAGTGATAAACCTGCGCCTGTACGAATGGTTGGTTGGTTTGGTTTGGTTTTTTCTTTCCCCAGGAAAAAAAAGGTAGTAAAACATGGTAAAAGAAAAGGACGGAAGCTAAGCCTGAAAGAAGGTTCATGCAAGACGCAGTTTCCCGTTTGCCTTCGTAATATGTATGGTCCGTATAATATATCTGTATGTAATGTAATGTAATATCTTAGGCGAGCAAATCAAAAGGTGTAAAAGAAGGTCTTGGGAGGGGGGAAGTTCGAGAAACGGTCTTAAGAGGATGATATCATGGCCCATGCATGCCTAAGATACTAAGTACTTATCCTTTCGCTGCCTGCCTGCCGTGCTGGGGAGTACGTTCGGCATGCGCATGCAACAAGGCGCATGGAGATTCGAATCGACCTGGACGTCCTGTACCCATGCGGGAAAAAATACAACGGTCAACGCAAAAAAGTGTATAGACAGACACCCCATGTGTCGACGTCGGTATATTTTTCCAAGTTTTGGATTATTATTATTCATAAGAAAAAGTCTCCTGAATATTAATAACTACCTGGAAGCGAATACGATGTCATTTTCTTCCACCTGGATAGTGAACAAAAAAAACCGTTAGAATATTCCGTCCGTCAACCGAGCGAAAAAGTAACTTCCCATAGTTCGCAAGAAGAGGAGGAGGAGGAGGAGGAGGAGGAGAAGTGAGAAGAAGAAAAAACAAAAAGAGATGGTTGCATGCATGGGGACATGGATGCAACGACATAAGACATGGTCCACATGTTCTATTCGAACCGTCTACAGCCCACCAAACAGTCTCCACTTTTTCCCACCGCTACCACACAAACAACAACAACAACAAAAAGCCACGAAAATACCAAGTTTATATTCTGTACCGTAGACATGTTTGCTAGAATGTAGTGCACACACACACACACACACACCTCCAGCTTACCCCCAGTTATCTACGGAGGATTTTCGAGTCTGTGCGTGCGGGTCTCCACAGCGAGTCGTTCAAGGATCTAGGGTATCTATCCCATGTACTTGTCGATGAGATGGGCATTTTGCTTTTCACTTTTAATTTATCTTACTTCCTTTGTAGATGGGTATGTTTTTGTTTTTTTAGGAGTGTGTCATGAAGTATTTCCGTATGAGGATATCATGTGGAATTATTTTTCTTACTTTCTTACTTACTTTGGGGGGTTTGATACGTCCTAAGTAGATAAGTATATATTTTTATATTGCGATGATCGTAAGTTAGATGTACCCGCGACCCGACCGTCATGATATCGCAAGCGCGAAGTTGCGATTTTTTCCCTATCTATCGGACTTTAGCTAACTCCCCTGGTTTTTTTCTTCTTCCTCTTCTTCTTGTTATTGCGTTTCGACTTTCGCGATCGATCTATCGGAGACGTTCTTGTCTAGAACCGGTTTGAAGAATATTTATAAGCCGCATATAATAATAATATACTCCAAATAGCAAAAAAAAAGAGGCACCAGAAACACCCTCATGATCAACTTTACTAAGTATATATTCCTTACTCATCTCATCTCATCTCGTGCCTGACATACAATATAATCTCTAGCTTCCTAACGACTCCTTTCGTAACGTTCTCAGGAACGAAAAAAAATCCAAAGCGTAAACTATACTTTTCCAAAAGCGAATCCAAAAAAAAAAAGAAGGCCTATCAAAAGATCAGTCGAAGAGGTCAAGTGCGTATATGTAATGTAATGTACGTAAAATAGCGGGTACCTTACTTCCAGCTACCCAGCTTTAATCTTTGGATTCCTTTATTCTAACTAGCTAGCCTTGCGTCTTGCAGGAAGCATGCATATGCATCGTGACCACTTTTGGTAAACTCCTTCACTTTTTTTGGTGGCTTAGGTTGGTTAAAGATCGTTTCGATCGATCTGTGGTATCACGGAACAGGAATTTTTAGGATATAGGTGTATTGTTCTTTCAATGATAGTTTATATGAGATTGAATCATACAAGCAAGGCATATGGCGCGGTTCGCGGGATAGGACATGAATTAATTGCGCGTACAGTTTTAAAACATGAGTAGTACCAGTAGTTATAAAACTCCAATATTCACAGCCGTAATAATTTTCTTCTTCTTCTTCTTCAAAATTAAAAAAGAAAAATAGGTTTTAATTCCTTTCGGATTATCTTGTGATAAAGGTATAGAGTCTTTGATACGCAAGTTGTATTGCTACTTTCATACATATATTCCAAAATAGATGAGAATAAATTTAAGCAGGATCTGAGATGAATCTACCCCCCTGAAACCGTTCCGGTTCCCCCCATCCATGGCACAGCAGCTACTACAACAACAGTAGTAGATATTGAAAGACAAAAAAGTGGAGCGTGACGCGTTGACGAGGGAGGCGCGGATATAGTGGACGCAAGAAAAAAAAAACAATATTCTGTTAGGATAGGATATATGACTCTTTAAAATGTCCTTCCCGAACACACCCCCCCCCGGGTGGTGGTTATTGGTACACATGAGAAGTTGAAGTTGTGGGAATCGATCATTCGATTCAGGATTCAAAAAACTTTTATATTAAGGAATTTATGCAAAAGGCCGTGATGATATGACGTATTGCTATCTAGCAGGACTACCTAGCTTCCCGGCCTCCCCTGCTGATACCAAGATCACGGCGGGATATGAAACGATATCGAGTCAAAGTCGTTAATCGAAGGATTTAATGTTTTCATTCGAAAAAAATGGGAAAAGAACATAGAATCTGGCGAAGCTATACGACTAGACTAAGTAGTTTTTACAAAAGAAATATAAAAAGTTATAAGTCAAAAATACGATAGGATTGATTAATAGAGATAGATACCAGCGAACTAAAAAAAATAAAAAAAATAAAAAACGATACAACCAAAAGTTAGACTGTGCCTACTACCAGAAAGAAAGAGAAAAAAAAACGTAGCTATTACGTGAAACTAGAAATCGTAAGGAATATAATCAAATTAAAAAAAAACTAAACGTTGTGGGATATTTCCTGTAAAAAAAAGCTTAGGACGTATACATATTGCGCATCTTATCGTAGAATCCCCTCCCCACCAAAAAGCCATAAAAAAAAAACCTGCCCCATCGATACAAAAGAAGAATTTAGAAAAAAGGATTCATGATATGTCATAGAGAGTGTGGTAAAAAGTTGGAGAATAAAAGTAAAAATACCATATTAGAAGAAGCAAAGAGATTAGCAGAAAGGGAAAAAAAAGAGCTATTTCCAAACAATATTGGCCACCGCTTTATCTGGGGCCTGCTGAGGTGTATCTGAGAAAGGAAAAAGGAAGCCAAAGAAAAGAGACTAAATAACTAGGACTGTTGGTAAAATTCTCAGAATATTCGCCGATACATTATGCATTCCTTCCCCAAGTACATGTATATAGTTCAAATACCACCAGCTTCGAGAAAGATAAAATAAAATGAGAAAATGATATACATCAAATATCGTGGCACACTGCGAGTATAAGGAAAGAAAAAGGAAAGAAGTCGTCAACCTGTATCCCAAAACTATCGAAAACCGGCATTCAATAAGATGAAACCACAGAGAAAGAAAAAAGTGAACCGTGTATAATATGCGCCGTACCGTATGAAGAAACAGTTAAGGAGAGTAAAGAAACCAGTTGCGTAGGGAACATAATTTCTGTCGTTTCTTAGGAGACGTCCATACCGAATTCATCTTCCTCCTTGAAAGCAAGGCTACCGCTCATGTCAGCGGAGCCGGTATTGTGCCAGAATTGCTGGTTGTTGATAGGGAGGCCGCCGTGGTCGGCTTGTCCGTTGAGAGGAGCACCTGCAAGGTCAGTGAATCCGGGGACGCGAAGTCCGGAGCCGTGTCCTCGGGAGTATCTAAATGGCTCGGTGCCGGCAACACCACTTTCGACAGCAGTGATCAACTCAGCTTCCATGCGCTTCATCTCATCGTTTTTGGTGATGGGGAAGGGCTGTCCGAGTGATTCGAGTTTCTGTTGCATCTCTTTCTCCTGCTTGATTTTTTGGTACAGGGCCCACATCAAATCTTTAGTCCACCCGACAGCTCCGTTGAGAATGTCACCTTTGTTAGGAACTCTGTCCTTCTCCTCGAGAGGGATAGAAAGGGCGGTTGCTCCAACCCCGCTGGCACGTCTTCCAAGACCGCCGGCAAGCATAGAGGTAGCTCTTGGGGGGCTAACACCGTGAAGTCCCGGAGAAAGCGGTGTGTTATTCTGGAGGTGTTTTCTAACCTTCTCGTCTTCAAGACGATGTTGAGGGACGAGGAAGGAGAGTTCTTGGATACGTTCGTTAATGTTATCACGTCGTCGACGTTCAACAAGGTTATGAGATTCACGTCGTCGTCGTCTCTTGGCTTCCTGGCTTTGCTGGCTCGGGCTCATTCCGTCAACTTTGGTGGGCAGTGAGGCATGCTTGCCGCCGAGGATGTCAGATATTTGACGGTGACCAGCGGAGCCTGGTCCCGGAGATGACATTGGGGATTCGATATAGGACAAGGAGCCCGGTGTACCATCCCAGGTGCCAGACAAGGACTTCTGGTGTCCATGTCGGCCCATGTGAGAGTTTTGGATTGGCTGCGCTTGCATGCCTGATTCTGTAGTATTGAGTGAGAGACTGCCCTGCCTGGGGTTCTGAGGAACTGTATTCTTGCTAGAACCAGCTCGCTCAATATCGGGTCTTGCCTTACGTTTATTTTTGGCCATCATCATATCACTGAAAGAAGTGCCATGAACATCTGCGGAAGACGACATGATAGTAGGAGATGGATTATAAGAAGATGGGGTCTCTATCTGCTGCGTCTGGATATGGTGGCGGAACTGAGGAAATCCTCGAACGAATGGTGATTGGATGGGCGCATCCTCTGGAGTATGCGAGTACATGGTGTTCATATTGGATGCCAACTGAAGATTTTGGCCTCCCAGGCTTGCTGGTAGGTTGTCCATGTCGTTAGGGTTGAACGCATTTCCCATATGCCCACCTTGGAACCCATAGGAGGTTCCAAGGGAATCCAAAAGCTCATCGTCAGTGATAGCGGAGCCGGAAAATTGTTGGATATTGTTATTGTTGTTGCTGAACATGAGTCCGCTCTGTTGATTCATGGAGAGCTCGGATGGGTCGATACCAAAGCCTGCCGAGCCACCGAAGCCGGAGAAGTCGTTGTGAACAAATCGACCGTTCTGCTGGTCGCCATGTTCGTCCTTTATGAAATGCTGAGAGTTTTCCATGGTTGTTGCCTTTTGCGGTTCTGGACCGAGATCTGCTTCAAAATCAAAAAGAAAAGGATCCGTACGGGTACTTGCGTTTACGCCTGGGAATTACATTGTCAGTATATGCAAGATGCCGTGCAGCCTCGCCTTGCAGGTATTTAGGAGCGCCTTACTCAATGGCATAGCGAGCCTTTAGGGCGGTAATCTTGGATATATAGAGAGTTAAGTTGGGAGAGCTTTCAGCCTTGCTGAACGTCGAAGGAAAGCAGGCTTTATATAAAGATATGAAGCCTGTTAGGATGGGGGTGGGGCTGGTTGCGTGTGTTGTGTAGATAGCAGAACCTCCTCGCGGGGTAGTTTAGCTTAGTCGAAGGAATTGACGACAAAACAGTCGAAGCGCCCAAGGATTGATTGCTTTAAGAGGATGCTGTGTATATATACCAGGGATAACAGGTTGTACGAACTCGACGGAACAGTCGTGCAGGCAGCAGACAGGCGGTTGGGAAGAGGCTGGATTGGCGTACTGGCGATTGATTGTGCGAGACAGCGATATGGTGAAGGTTCGAAACGAGCAAGATAGATGAATGAGACAGTTTCCAGAGCGAAAATATAGGTAACTACTTAGGCAGATAGGTAGATAGAGGAAGGAGAGGCTCAAACGGGACCCGGCGATGGGAGGAGGTCGAGTACTCTTTATATATGTCCCCGTCCACGGTAGTGTGCCTACAGAAACACAGCTGACCCGGACATTCTTTCTGTTCAGTGGGGCTGGCTCATCCTAACGGGAAGAGCGTAGTATGGTAGAGTATAGTATAAAAGGGTATTTTTGTAGGATAGAAATCCGTATGTAGCGGTATACAAGATAGTAAGGAAATTAATTAGGATGGATGGATGGGTGGATGGGGGAGGGAATGGGGCTGCAGGTGACGGGAGGTCAAGAGGAGGTCGAGGTCGAGGTTGAGGGAGGGAGGGAGGGACAGAGGAGTAAGAAGAAAAGCCCTACTGAGGTCTGGTACATGTACATGTACTTCTTCTTCTTCAACCTTCTTCTTCTTCTCCTCACAGGCTGTTGCCGAAAGATGGGACGAATTCGATTTCAGAGGACAAAAAGGCGGAAACAACCACAAACCACAAAACCACAGTCCATTAGAGTTTCTCGAGAGGAGTTTACAGCTCTGGCCGAAAAAGAGGGGTGGCTTGCATGTCCGGACAAGGACGAGGGCCAAGTCAAATCAAGTCTGGAGGAGCACTTCTCGCATACATCCAGACATCATACTAGCTACTGACTTAGCTAGCTAAGCATAACCCATGGCCATGCAGGCTACCGAGGACGACTTTCACAGAACAGACTCCCCCCAGGACGGTCTCTAGTATGTAAGTACAACATTCCACCGTGGGCAGGAGGGTGCCACCGTCCAGGTTCGACGTCAGGGGAGATTAAGTACATGGTATTCACTCCCTACGCACTCAAAAGTACCTCCGATGTACTCCTGTAAGTACAGTCGAGTTCACAGAGCTGTGTCCTTATGTACTTACTTAGTAGTCACTTACTTCCATACATACACCGAGGAGGGGGTGGATGTTGGTCAAGCCTTGATTCTGACCCCTTGCTAAACTCCAGATATCGAGGCCTCACTCGGAACTTTTTTCTTTTCTCGCTTTCCCCGTTCATGATTTGCTTTTCCCTTTGCTTTTCCTGTTAACTACTAATTAATTAATTATCTGTGCGAAACCAAGACAGTTACTAGGTATCTCTGCTACCTATTATCGGGCCCGAATCGAGTCGAGTCAACTTGTTTTAACATGATCTGATTGAAAGCTCAGCTCGAGCTCAGCTATCTTGCAACCGTGGCCGCTTGATGCTACGAACACGAGTTCGGCCTCCTCAAAAACCTCAAATCTCAAACATCTCGGAACCACCCAGCCAGTAACTAGCCAGTGCAGTGGGGGCCTTTTCGAAGCTTAAGCGCAGCTTTCTCCGTTCTCTGCAAACCAACAGCTAACAAGTCCTAACCTGCGAATCAAACAACCCAATAACAAACGGTTCTGGCCGTGGTCAAACACCATGGATGCATGTCTCCCCCAGCGTTCCTTTCTGCAGCTCTGGCTGGTATTTTGCGGAAGCGCTGTTAGCTATACCATAAATCAGCCACTAACTTGATCCGGCCAATCTTTCGCGAATGTTGAATTCATGAAAGTACGTAAGTCTGGGGGAGCTCGAAAGGCACGAGCCGTGTCTGAACCATAATTTACATTTCCTGGACATTTTTACGGCCCCTTCTGAACCGGTTTCATCTCGACACGGAAAGACGTTATTCACTATTACCGGCTCTCTTCCCAGTTAGCCTTCGGACCAGTCGAGTCGTCGTCGCGCCTGCCTCCCAGGTTCTAGCCTTCGCCTCATCGACACTCGAGCTCAGCTCACGGACCAGCTTGATCCGCGCCGAGGTATTAATCATAATCTAACCAACTTGCATATATGACGAATCTACAGTTTCTTACCAAGTAAATAAGTAAGTAAGTACAGATACATACTAACTTCAACAATTAATTATAGCTATAACGAGTTGCTTTTTCTTTCTTTCTTTCTGTTTCTTCCTTCTCTCTTCCGCCTTCCTAGTCTGCTTTGGCCCTGAATTATTGAAGCTAGAGAATTGGAGTTACCTATGCTACCTCGCTCTCACATTTCGTATTTTGCGGTGTAGTGCGGCAGACGGACCTGAGCGATGCAAGGGTGCCCAGTGTAAGCATGCAAGCACTTCTATCACAAAAATACTTCTTATCATCTCCAAAAATATGATACCGATGAGATGACTTCTCTCGTCTCTCATCTTTTGTTTCTCGCAAAGTTTTTTGCAAATACTTGAAACATTTATGCTTTCCAGCCAGTACAAGAAATGTGAACCTTGAGGAGGTGGGAACCCTAAATTACCGTTGACAAGGCTGGAATTGTATTGAACCCTCAAGGAATCAATCTTGCAATATGCACTGCTTCGCCGGCTAGAAAATGAAGCCCAAAAAAAAAAAAAAAAGGGCGTCCTATGTATACTACAAGGCGCATGTCCAATGCAAGGTGTGCACGGAAGTCAAACTATCGATTTAACACTTTTGCAATTAAATATCTCGTTTCCCGCCATGTTCCGCTTACTGAACTATGGTTTTGAAGCATCTCAGGCTGCATGCAAGGTATTTGGGATTAAATTTCGGATGCCCTCTCAGAGCTTCGCCTCTTCTTCTTTACCTGTCGTCAGCATTGGTAAATATAAACGGCTTTATAGATCGGGTTTTGTAGCCATGGAGTCACTGGAATCTATCCGGCCCTGGTAACGGATGTATCATGATATGCATACCCCGCATAGCACTGGATGTAATGGCATTCGGTGGCGGGAAGGGATTCTCGAGATGCCTAAAGTCGGCGGCGTGTTGTGGCGGTCGTCGTATGGTTTGACACTCCGGAATTACCATTTTGGGCAGAACTGAGGCTCAACAACGCCAAGTCGGATCCCCTTTCATCAGCCTTTCGTAGGCGCTTTCGCATCCAGTTACGCAAGCCTAGACAAGCTACGACTCGCCTTTGCCTTCTTGCCTTCTACGAATACGCGAATACGATAATAGGCCCATCGCCCACTGTTACCGCTGCTGCTGCTGGTTTGCAGTATCTGTTTCTGCCTAAGACTGTCGAATTTGATTCTAGACGTAGTTCCCGCCTCAAGTCTCCGCAGATATAAACCGACCTCCGAAACAACCCCATATTATTACTTCCATTTTCCCAACCGAAACTCAAGAGGCTTGACGGCTAAGCTAAAAGAAATATGGCTGCGGAATCACAATTCCGGTCGCAGTGGACGAGCTGGTCGAGGAGGGATGAGCCAGTGCGGACTTCGAGGGATACCGGGTTCATGTCGCGTCTGAGTGGTTTGAATCCATTCGGAAACGATGGCTATGTCAGGCTGCCCACGACGAATGCTGATACTCAATTACCGGCCCGGACAAGAGAGGAGGAAGAGAGTGGAATGTTTGCTAGTATGTGGAACCGAAGCTCTTGTATGATCTTGTTTCCAGATTCACTAACAGGGTGGTGTATGTAGTGACATATTGGGACCGGATGCTGGGCTTTGCTATCTGCAATCTTGGTGCTGCAGTGTGCTTTGTCATTTGTTTCTTCTTATTCCCGGCTTTCATCTTTAAGATTCCCAAGTTTGCAGCCTTGTGGGTGTCCCTGTCACAGCTCGCGTGGGCTACGTATACAGTCTTTTACTTGGCATTACATACTAACTGATTTTCTAGATGGACTGTTGGCTCACTGCTCTTCTTGAGTTCGTGGGCGATCTTGTATGGCCCGGTGAACTATGCTCGCCATCTATTGTCATCCGAGCGACTGCCATTCACTGGAATCTATTTTGGATCCATTGCATTGACATTGTACTTCGCACTCGGGGTATGTGTACTTGGCAATCAAAACTCTCGTGTCAGGAATAGCGACGTACTAACGAACGTTGATTTATTAGTTACACTCGGCTCTTCTCACCATTATCTCCATGGTGATTCAGCTGTGCTCATTGCTTTGGTATCTCGTGAGCTATTTTCCAGGTGGATCCAGTGGACTCCGGTTTGCTTCTCAAATAGGGGCCAGGCAAGCTGGCGCGTGGTTGAGCGGGTAATGAGAACTATATTTTGATTAAGTACTTAATTACTTCTTATAATTAAGTATATCGGAACGATCTTCAATTGGGATGACGACGACGGGGGGCTATTGGGTCTGCTGTATAAATAACATTGTGCTTTTCATATTTAAATTCTGAGCGTCGGGTGAATTGGCGAATTGGAAAAAAAATTACATATTAAAAATTAAAAATCATGTTTGTTTTTCTGAAGCGAAGTTCGAATTCATGATGCTTGAGATGTACTTATTTTCTGTATCGTGTCTGGAGTTCCCCTTCTCACGGTAATGAGAATCCCCCGCATATATTGGGTTCTAGCATCCGTCATCCACGCGAAAGACGTTATTTGTCCATTCTATATGGAAAATTGAAAATAGCCCATCCTAGCCATGTATTCCGGAACCTGCATGAAAACACGTCATCCCGTCGATGTCAAACTCGCCACAGGTTGGGGTATTTTGCAGGTTTCCAGCCACAAAAAGTTTGGTATCGATGAGGGAACCCTTGCTTGGTTTTAAGACGATTTCAGTAACCCCACTCAACGCGGGATGATCGGGCGAGGGGTAGCCCCCGAATGAGGTCGAGCAGATGAGGGGTAGAAAACTAAACGCTGAAAAACCCAGAAGGGAGGGGGGGGGAAATAAAATAAAAAATAAAAAAACCAATTGGCCTAGTGCAAGTCAGGGAAGCTAGTGAGGGCGCTCTTCTTCTTCTTTGTCAGTCCAAGAAACCGAAGCTTGTCACAACCACGTTTCTTTGACAAATGAAAACAGAAGGAATGGACAAAGTAGGGGATAAACCAGGCCAGGTCGGAAAGATAAGGAAGCATCCAGCGTGCATTAGGCCTGTTCTCGTTCGCTAATTGATGAAGACCTGCAACTGTGGAGTAGGCCAGAAGACAGTCATGTCAGAATTTTCACGCTGGGGAAAATAAAATAAAATAAAATGGCGCCAATATCAATATATCCCACGGCAAGTGCATGGCAGACCGTGCAATTTCTCCCGATCATCCGAATCGATAGTTGTGTATTTGTTCCGGAAGAGCAGGAGTAGGACTTGCCGGTCTGTGCAAATTTCCGTACCGCGGACGGAGATGGTTTTATTTCTATGGCAGCGTAATTACCATTTGGCCGACCACGGCGGGTAACTTAATCAGACAACCTATTTGAGCGTAGTCTGGTTCTGCAGGTGCACGACATGATTCCCGGCAGGCTCAATTGACATGAGATACTTTGCTATCATATGTGCTCGAGGTCAATGGATTGCTCTCGATCTTTTCTCTTCTGAAAAGGAAGGAATATTGCAATTGTAATTGCATTTGACTGCAGGCGTTTGCTTGTACTAGGCCGTAGACAGTCCCAGCCACCAGGGCACACTGCAAGCGACAGGCAATCCCGAGGCATCGCATTGGCATCTCTCATTGATACTCCCTAAGAAGTACTTATGTATGTTGTAGGTGCATACATCCTGCTAGATCCTCGTTAGCTCTCTTTTAGGACGACGGCCGAACCAGCCAGCCAAAAATTTTTCGCCAAAAAACCCGCACACACAGAAAAACTGAATTGTATAAAAAATATACTGTAAATTCACCTGAAGGTTAAAGGGAAAAGGAAAAAAAAAGGGGGGGGCCAAGTGCAGGACAGACCGTGATAGTATACTGGTATTGTTTGACTGCTCTTCCGTGACTTCTGTGGCTTCCGTTCTCCCTCGTTCCGAATTGAATCCAATCCAGTCCGAAGAGACCATTCTCGATCGTAACGTTAACTTTGCGGTGGTTGTTTGTGGGTCACAGCTGTTTGCGTTGCAGCTCTGCCCTGCCGGTTTTGTGGGTGTCCATTTTTCAAATAATTTTCTTTCTTCCCAATTTTGACCTCCATCGATCCATCCTCCCACCAAACTCCACCACCATCATCTCTTCCCTTCGTCATCAACCTCACCTCCTACCACCCATCTCCACAATCGTCACCCTCCAAACTCGCCTTGCTCTTTGCTTCATCGGCCGACCCGCTTCTGACCCGTCCTGCTATCTGTACGTCTGCGTTTCTGCTTTCGGCTGCTTTCAATCGCCCGCCGTTTGCTGACTGTTCCGATTCGATAACTGGGGCAGCTGTTGAGACTTCTTCTTACAAGTTGCATCAGAATCCAACTTTCCTCTGTTTGACGAACCGCAGGAACCGGTACACGCGTCATCGACCTTTCGAAGCGTTTTTTCCTTTCTAGAAAAATCCATCCCGTTGGTTCTTTCAACCTTGCCCGAAGTTCCCGCACTTGTCGAAAATTTTCTTCTTTTTTTTTTTTTCCTTTGCCTAAAGATCGACGTCTGCTCTCACAGAGGAAACTCAGCAGGGCCGAACCGACAATAGGATCCTAATTTCGCTTTCATAATCAGCTACAAGCGCGATACCACCGACTCCACGGTACTGCAAGTTAGGCAAACCTGCGTCTTTTTGACATTTTTTCGGCAATCTTCGAGAGTTCGATTCTTTGTGACGTTTTCACCGCAGATTGTGTATCACAAGCTGCCCGGGCTCGTCTCAACCGACCACTCGCTTCCTCGGTTCTCATCCCCACTTACGACTTGTTCTCTTTCCTAGTTCTACAAGTGTGGTCTCACCAAACTGGTCATCCCAATTAAACTTTTTGGAACGTCCACTATTCTTCGAGACAATTGCACGACATTCAAGCGACGGAGTCTTCCTGCCGTCCAATCCAAAAGTCTTCACAGTTCATATTTGAGCACTCTGGAATACCAGACCGCATTGTTCCTTGAACCAACAGGAGTCCCTTTGTTTACATCGGGCCTTTAAGAGAACCGTAGCAGCTTTTGCACAATTCCTACATCAGCAATAGGAAATTACCATCATTCCCAGAGCACCCTAGCTCCGAAGCTCTTACGACCTTTTCCACGTCCACCTTACGCCATAACTGATTGAGTCGTTCACAAAGGCAACAGCCGAATAGGCTTATACGAAGGAACGTCTCCAAAGACGCGATACTGAGCACGCCACTATCGGAACGGTCAGAGGAAGTCCTCTTGTCTGCCTCTGCCTTAATCGAAGATAGTCTTGCGTGCAAGCTGTGATTAGTCAAAATGACATCGGCAGCGCCAGAGACTAAGAAGCCCGCATTTTCATATGCTGCAGCTGCTTCTGGCAAATTAATCCCAAGCAAATCCGGAGTGTCTACACCAGAGGAATCGAAGAAACCGGTAGAAACCGGCAATGCCGTGGATGCCAAGAAGGACATTGACACTCTTGACTTGTCAAAATTAAATATCATTGACGAATCCATAACTGCTTCTAAAGACCAGACTTCAGATTCATCACCTCAAATAAATGGTGTCACATCTGACACTAAGAGCTCAAGCAGTGTCAAGGCCGCTGACGCCCAATCCATACAAGGGGAGCTAAGCAACAAAGAAGATGACGGTCGAAGTATCACATCAGCTCAAGAAGCTGCTGGAAGCACGACTGGAAATGACGATGGTGACAGCAAGAGTGGGAAAGAGACAAGTTCTGATGGTAAAACGAAATTCAAAACCCAGAACTTGGTTGATGCACCCATACCAAAACAGAACCCTTGGATGGTACGAAAGGAAGCTTTTGACCGAACTAAGGCCATGCAGGCTGAGACAAAGAAGACTCAGCCAGTCATGAATGGAACCTCGTCGCAGGATAAAGGGAGTCAGACATTCGGAAACGACAGGAGACACAATAGACAGAAGTCACTTGCTTCAGAGAATAAACCTCCATTCCAGCCTTCCGGCGGACGTCGAGACGGATCTAATATTCCTGAGAAGCGGGGTGCCCCAGAGGCCGCAAAAGACGGCAAGATATTGTCCCAGATCGAGGATAGTAAGTCTTTGCAAAATCTTCGAGTAGATAATGCTATAATATTAACAGCTGGCCCAGTCTCGCGACGACCAACCAACCGCGGCAAGGGACAACAGCAGGATGATGCTACAACTGGGGATGTGGCCGCATCGCCTGCACCACCCTCTATGACTGATAAATCCCTGTGGCCAACCCCTGAGGTCGCCCAAGATGAAGAGAAGCGCGAGAAGCGCGAGAAGGAGGAGAAAGAAAAAGAAAGGGAGAAGGAGAAGCCCGCAGTATCCGGTGCTCGTCCGACAAAAGACAAGTGGATTACTATGGCTGTCACGCCAAATATCATCTACGATACTCCTTTGCCCACACGTGGTTCTAGAGGACCAAGAGGAGGACGTGCCGATCGTGGTGGAAGGACTGGTGCCCAGGGCCCACCCAGGGCCACTGATACTGAGACTAGTACATCGCCCACTGAAGCAGTTGCCGCCACTGGATTTGACAAGTCTCGAAGCTCACAGACTACATCTGAGCCAACAGGTCAGAATGCAAATTCGCATGCTCATCCCCGTCGCCATGCTAACGTTATCACCCGTACAGCTGAGGATGCTGTTGCTGTTGAGACCGCTGCAAAGAAGGACACGACCGATGTCAAGAAGGATGTTGCTCCACAAGTTGCAAATGGTGTTAAACAGAATGGGCCCACATCAGAAGAGTCTCAAGAAAAGGAACGCAAGCCATCTCAGGCCAACGACGACGGAGCATTCGTTGGTCAAGGCGTTCTTCCGCCGTCTACCATCCGCCCGAAGGCAGACAAGCCAACAACATATGCCACGCGCGAGCAAAATACCCACAACCGTGGAGGCTACACTGGATCTTTCAGCCAGAAGCAGGAGACTAGCGATGCCAATGGTACTTCTCACAACACATCTCGGGACCGTCCCGCTGGCCGCGGTAACTTCCGTGGAGGAAGAGGTGACAGTAATTCGTTCGTGAATCATTCCAATACCCGATTCAACGGCGGCAACTCGATTCGCCATCATAGTCCCCCTTCCCAAATCAACACCAACGCTCAACGCCAGTCTCCACAATACCCGTCATCGCCATCCACTCCACAAACAGCTCGTAGTTACAGAGGAAACAATAGCCGTTCGCATAGTGTCACCCAACCGCAGCAATTTGGGAAGTATGGCATGCAAAATGGTTACCCTCCCCAGTCACCTTTTGTTCCGTCTCCTTCGTACTACAACAACCCTTATTACAACAATAGAGGCAGTGTCAGCCAGGGTGTCCCCATGCATCCAGATTATGAGTTCACAGCTGCTGTCCAGAACGTCATGAACCAACTGTAGGTTGCACGATAATGCCTAATCTATTTAAGTTCTAATGCTAACAAAACCTGAATTAGGAGCTACTACTTTTCCCTTGACAACATGGTAAAGGACACTTATTTGCGTAGCCACATGGATAGCCAGGGTTGGATCTTCCTTGATATCATTGCCGGTTTCCGCAAAGTCAAGGAGATGACTAAGGATAACAAGAATATTGTCCGAGAGGCCTGCATTCAATCACCGGATGTTGAGTTCCGTGGGTACCACCCCGATGGTCGTGAGCGTTTGAGGTCCGCCCGCAACCCTAGCGAGTGGACTCTTAAATATGAAGACCGCGACGAAAGCTGCCGACATGAAGGCCCCTATTGGACGGAGAACCGATTTGCAACAGCCCCTCAGTACAGTCCCTACCCAATGTACTTCCAAGGCCCGACCATGCCTCCAATGCCAGTAGCTGGTCCTACCGATCAACAATTCCCTCCATACAATGGCTACCCCCCTCAACCACATATGATGCCCGCCTTCATCCCAGGCCAAGAGTTTGTTCCCGAGAATGGGGCAGCCTATGGAAATGGGTTTATTCCTCCTTACCAACCCTTCGCTCCGGCACATGAAGCCCAACCAACAAATGGGCATTCCGTTGATGAGAGCGTCCCTCAAGCCGACAAGGGCGTCCGTTCACACAAGAAGTACCCTACGGTCAATGAGTTCCCGGATGATAAGATCGATCATATTGTTTTGGTGATGCGCAAAAGCGCCACCGGGACTGAAGCATCCGCGCAGCCAACTGAGGGAGAACAGACCCCAAGTCTCATGGTTACCGACCAGCTCAATGAAGCCTTGGTTAAACTTGAAAGCGGTGAAGTTGAAAGCCAGAAATCCAAGGAGTAAGTTAATAGCTCCCCATTTGATATTCGGCAGTGGCACTAACCAATCCATCCAGAAACGATGACGGCCTGGTAAAGTTCTATCCTACTAGTCCTAGGCAAGGACCGCAAGCCCACGGCTCTGTCTCTAAATTGAATGACGAGGTTGGATGGTTTGTTGATCCCGGCGTCACCGGAGAGGAAGCCCGTGTCCCTGGAGTAACAACCTTTACGCTTCACGCCTACTCCAGCTTCAAGAACAACGTCCTCAGCCGTCGCGACAGCAAATCCGGCAATGTTCGTGAACTAGACATCCTATACCGCTTTTACAGCCATTTCCTCCGCAAACATTTCAACTTGAACATCTACAATGAGTTCAAGAGTCTTGCCCTTGAGGACTTCCATGCCGGCCGCGCGACAGGCATCGAGTACCTTTACAAATTCCACGTTTTCAAGATCCAGAACTTCCCAACTCCAGACCTCTTCTTCCAGGATTTCGCAACTTTTTCCAGCGATCAAACCCTTGACAGACCACCCTATGACAAGAAGATGGTTGATGCTGTTGGATACAGCAAAACTATCACAGGTTCTACCAAAACTAGACTCGGGAGATTCATGCAGGAGAAGAATAAAAATTTCCAGATGTGGCCTATCCATACCCACCACCACCACCGCGACAATCACTATCACTCCCACCATGGCGGGCGCCATGATAACCACAACAACCACGGACATCACCACCCCAACAATCACGGCAACAACCATGGCAACAACCACGGCAACAATCATGTGAACAATCACTCCAATAACCATGGTGCTAATGGGGCCTCTATCCGCGCCTAAAAACTTGTCTAACGTGGTTCCTCTTTTGCCCCCCCCTTCTTGGTGAATTGACGATTAAACCGACTCCCGAAAAAATCCATTGAATGCTTTTTTCAGGTATTGAGATTCGTTGCTTGCTATATTTCTCTCTCTTGTGCTGCCAATCATGCATTGCGAAGTATGCCCCAATAAAAGCAAGCTTCCTTATGTTTCTGTATCCGTTCTTTTCTATTCTTCGTCTTCGCTTCTTTTGAAACTAGATAATGAAGATTTCATGACTTAAATGTTCCGCTTTCTTTACAAGAGTCTCCTCTTAACCCTTTATTCTGTTTTCTCCGTTTTGGAATACCCACTGCTACTTCTCTTTATTAGCATATCGTTTATTCAGTGGTGTTCTTTGTCTTCCTTCTCCCGTTCCTCGCCACAACTTCACAAAAAAGTCCTTTTTAGACTATTCTGTTTTTGAGATTTATATGCATTCAGAGATACAGGCGTTCCAAGGTTCCTTTTCGATTTCTTGTCTGCGGTTTTTGATCTTCTTTCTCTTTTTTTTTCGGATTCCAAGCCAACAAATGCCCTAGTATTATACTCTACAAAGATACACACACAATGGGCTTTTTATTCAATTGAACAAAAGTGGGTGGGTTCCTTTTTATTATTATTTTTATCATCTCGACCCCGACTGGAATCCCCCGAAATTATACATCGCGAAAAAAACGATCGTCTTTTGTTTCAGTTTCTTTTACTATTACTATTATTATTGCTGCTTTTCTACTTTTTTTTTTTTTTTTTTCCCAACTACTCTGTCACAGTTTCTTCCTGCTGCTCGATAAGAAAATATAAAAAAGAAGAAAACTTGATTTGTTTTTTTTAAGAAAGAGACCCAGTGGTACTGTCGATGCCGATATGGCGGCGGGACATATAGCTTTTCTTTCCCTATTCACACCTAAACGTCATTATACGGCGGGGTTAACGCTACGATACCAATTCCGATTGATGACCGATGATTCTACGATAGTTCTCACACCGAAGTTTCTAGCCGACTTTTTTGTCTCGTACCCAGACCTGGAAGTCGACGTTTATGAGTAACGAAAACTTGCGCTTTAATATAACGAACGTAACGCGCCGTTGCTTTTCTATACGCGGTAACCATCTCGTTGGCACACATGGACTTGGGAATCACTGCCCGAGGGACCTCATGGATCCGGGCTCTCCGAGTTCGACTATCGTTCACAAACCACGACAAGCACTTCTTCCTCTACATTCCTGTAGCCCATCCAGCTGGCACAGAAATCTATGAAAGCCGTCGCCCAGTTAATATTAATATTACAATGAGTGCGTGAATTCACAATGTATTTATAACTCAAAAATTCCCGATGGCCTCCTTTTTTCTATTCTCCGTTCGATTCTGTCAAGATACATCTATGTAATTTAGCGCTGAAATTTCTCAAGAAAACTCGTCCCTCCCACCGACTACCTCCCACATAATATATTTCGACCCAACGATCTTTTCATTTACACCTTCCGTGATACCCATCCCTCCCATAACGTCGTCGCCGTCATCACCACCGCTGTTTCTCCCCCCGACAGAACTAGTATTGTTCCCTTCCGGGAGTCGAAAGATAGTATACAGATTTTCACCCCCCATCCCGCCGCCGACGGCACTATGCTGCCTACCCTTCCAACTGATTGGCGCATTTTGGAAGCCATGTACTGTTATCGAATACCACTGATCCCTTGCCACAACTTCTTGTACAATACTAAATATTTTTGAAATATATTCCGCGGGGATGAACCCCCTCCACGAAATTTTTGATATTTTCCCTTGAAGTTTGTATTCTGATGTAGATGTGGTGGAAGTTATGATGTTATCATCGTCCGTTAGAGGTTCGTATCGACTTAATAATGGATCTATTGAGTCTGTGATGTTTAGACGGTCGGCGTTTATACTTACTAAGGCTAGCCATTCATGGAGAGAAGTGGCCCAGTCGTAGAAGACTGTGCGGGTGTATTCTGTGGAATCCTTTGTGGGAATTGTGTGCGCGAATGAGGCGAGTTTTATGGGGGTCGAGGAGTTGGTTATTGTGGGTGTGATTGTTCTGATGACTGTGGGTAGTGTGAGGCCCTTGACTGTTGGTTCTGATGGTGCAGCGGATGGGTTTATTGCTTCTGTATATATTTATTCGTTAGGTTATACTCGCCGATAATGCCTTAGAAGTGAAGGGCCGCCCGGGGGCGGGGGGGTTCGAACCTTGCTGTAGGTCACAGAATAGCCATGCATTCTGTTGTTTGAAGACATTTGTGAAACTCCAGACTAGTCTATCAAAGGCCTTTCTCCCATGGATCATATGTGGCTCCCTCAGGTTGAGTTCGATTACTAGTGTAGATGCTGAGGTCAATATGGAGCTTTATGGGAGAATGGTTTTTGAGGATATTATATGTACCCCATCGTTCCTTCTTTCTCCCGCCGAATGCGGCTTGCTTGCCAACTAATCCTGCCTTTTCGTATGTGTCTTTTTTGAGGAAAAGATATAGTGTACCTAAAAAACCATTTATTAGAATAGGCTTTTAGAATCCAATATGGGTTTGAAGACGATACCATCGTATAGGCAGTAGACATCATCAACGTCGATTCTACCATCACTGAGCAATAATATATTCCCTAGGAATCCAGTTTCAAGTTAGCTATATAGTTTATCCCAATATGACTTAAATTAAAATATCTAATAAGGTATTTTATGCATTACCCTGTCGAATATAATTATTATAAAACTCTTTCTCGAGGATATCTTTCAATCCCATGAAAATTCTATGATATTGTAGAGGCTTGAGCTGCTCGCTCAGCCTATTTTGAACCAGCTCGCAGATTTCATCTGGGAGAAGAAGGTCGACCTGTTCGTATTGTTAGAATTCATTTATCCTAGTATATGTAGTATCAAACATTTCGCGAGTTATTGGAACTTACCTGTTGATTATAGATATGACCACGGATTGTAGTATACGGCCGCTGGTTCAATGTTTCCGGACCCAAGGTCGCTGGAAGATTACCGCAAGTAATGTAGCATTTGGCGTCTGGACCAGCATGGGCTAGTTTATTGAGCAATTGTGCCATATTGATTGATTATCAGTGCGTGCACATAAGAGATTGAAGTTTTTGAAGTTGAAGCTGTTGCAATTTTGAAGTCGCCAGTCGCGCCAAGACCGGTTCCCAAGCACCTTGCTTTAACGAACGCTTAGTCGCAACTTCATCTCGAACCTTAACTTCCTCCAAGCCTTCATCGCAAGCAATGCTCTTGCATCTACTACTACACTCTCGACAACCATAGCGGCTACCATTGAACCTTTACCTCCTTGCAAACGCCCGTCAAAATGTCCAACCAAAATACTCGTTACCTTTCTCGCTCCGCCGCGCCTAAATACTTCTCCGACATACAAATCCGCGCCTTTCACGATCCAAATGCGCGTCACCACCCCGGTAGCCATTCCGGCACCATCTTGCGCACAGTAGCTTGGAACAACCTCGGTTCTCGAATCGCCACCGGTGGCGCCGGCGGAAACGTCAAAATATGGAATCCGGAGAAGGCAGATGTTAGAAGTAGTACCGATCTTAAGGGTACAGGATTACAAACTACTGAGAAAGTCCAATGGGATCCTACACATGCTGAGCGGCTCGCAAGCTGTGGGGTTGGAGATTCTGGGGTTGTTAAGTTTTGGGATTATAGAAGTCGGTTTTTCTCTCTTCACCATCGTTGATACTCCTTCACCATCTTCACGAATGGGGTTCTATTTATTATTATTATTTCTTTGGATCATATATCCTTTCCCTTTTCGACTTCGGACGGTTGATGATTCTGGGACGACGGTGGCTGATTGGATTCTTCTACGACTGGGTCTTTTTGTTTGAGGGTATACAGCTGCGAAAGCTACGCAAGATATCAAAACTGGAGGCGACAATTACTCTCTGTCGTATCATCCTGATGCGTATGTTGTAGCCGTCGGGCGAAAGGTATACACACACACACCTCTATTCACTTCTGGATTTTGGTCAAAGGCTATGGCTGACACTTTTATTCTACAGGATAACAAAATCAAAATCCTCGATCTTCGACAGAATGCAGTAGTAAACACAATTGATGAAGGAAACGACACGGTACATCAATCCCTCCTAGTCTTTCTCTTCGATTTCTAACCAATTTTTACCCCCTTGTTCTTCCCTTCAGACCTTCCAAACAACATTCTCCCACAACGGCACAATCATTCTACAAACCCACGCCTCTGGCAAGGTCGTCCTACGATCCTACCCTTCCCTCGAAATAATCTACACCTTCAATGCTCATACGGCAGGTTGCTATTGTCTGGATATTTCACCGTCCGGTAAATACATTGCTACAGGCGGTAATGACGCCTTGATATCATTATGGGATACGACGGATTGGGTATGTCTTAGAACATTTGATAAATCGGACCATCCGATGCGGAGTGTGAGCTTTAGTTTTGATGGTGCGTTTTTGGTGGCTGGGAGCGATGAGAGTATGCCGATCAGTATGGTATGTATTATCCCGCTTACACATACATTCTTTTTTATTATTACTTTCTTTAAGAAAAGAAAAAATACTATAACGGTATTGTTTTTCTCAAGGAGAAGAGAGGAGGCTAATTTGGATATTTCTAGATGCATGTGGAGTCCGGCGAATACGTCCATGAAATTAAAGCGAATTACCCAGCACATGCTGTAGCGTGGCATCCATCCAAGTATGTGATTGCATATACCGGCGAGGTTCTTCGAGTAACTGGCGCAGGAAGTTTCTCCTCGTAGGGTGGGAAGCAGCTTCCTGGGTATCGTAATCCCAATTTACCACTTGGTTTGAGAGCTATTTTTTAGGTTACTGTGCCCGCATTTTGTTAGACTGTGGTAGATTCTTGTTAACTTTGGCGTCAAAAATTTCGGCGATTGTATCCGGCGTGGCCTATGTTTCATAGGTTATCTTTTGGAAGGGAGGAAAGACTAGCGACTCTTTCCTTATCATCTGGAAAATGGAATCATGGCGTTGATTATGCCGGTTTGAATCTCGTATTAAGGATTATAAAATATATACTTCAGGTACATGGCCGCGATTGTATTTACATAAAAATACATCGCCAAAAAGTGACAAGTGTAATGCTTCACGGAAACGAAATAAGAAATGCACCAAACCTGCCCCAAATAAACCGTTTTATGATATCACTCCGGATCACCTTTCCAAAATGCTGAAACTCAAAATCAACCAATTATACATATATCTGTTACCTAGCCCGACTTTCAATCGAATTTCCCGATGCTCAATTCCCCAGTGATCGCTTTCGTGTATATCTGTAATTGCTCTAGCTCCCGTACAATCTCATTAAGAATCGACGAGTAAGCATACTCTACAACCGACAAATATATTAGTTATTTTCATAAGGTATAGATAGAAAAAACGAAGGAAGAAACCTACGATAGAAATGCGCCCACTTATCGATCCCCTTATGCCTCACCTTCCCATCTTTAACCCCACTCTTTCCGTCCGGTCCATCTACGAAAAGGCTCTCAGGGTCTAATTGTTCCAACTCCGTAAACCTCAACCGCCTCCTCTTCCCCTCATACAGACTCTTCTCGTAATACCCTTCCGAATCCATATCTTCGATCCTCTGCAACAGCCTCCGTCTCGCGATAGCCGCAGAAGGTAAATACTTCGGAATAGGTGTTTTACTCCTCAACCCGCCGCCCAACACCCACAGATTCATCAATATAGTCGCAACAGCATCCCTTCTACAAGATAACATCATTTGTGCCATATCTCTATCCCCACTTATTCTGAAATATAGCGAAGCTTGTCTGACGTCGATTATGTGGTCAAAGAACTTTTCGGAACTATCGATTAGATGTTCGTATGGTGTCGGGTCGAAGCGTTCGCGGAGACGGGGTTCGTGTTCTGTCATTTTTAGAAGTTCGCGGATACGTACGAAACCTTCGCGGAGTTTGGCTTCGCGGATTTGTGAGTCGATTATGTCTTGCGGGGAGGGCATGTAGTCGAGATCGTGATATATGTATCTATAGTTTGGATTTAATTAGTTTGTGGAACATAAGATGATATGGAAGGGGTCGTGTGGACATACTTTGCTACGACGGTACGGTAGACAATACTGAGGTTTATCAGCATATTTGCTAGGGATTTTCGAAGTTCATGGCGAGCTACGAATGGCCATAGGAACCAGTTTATGAAGACGCTGGCCAAGACACCAACAATAATCGCTGTTCCTCGGGTATATGCGATCCTATGGGGAGGAATTAATCCTTCGTAGTTTTTGCAAGTCATGGAAACGACGGTGAACGTCAGGCAGCCGATAAACCCGGAGCGTGGATGAGAGGATAACATATAGCGATATAAAAATGGGATTGCGAATACTAAGGCAAATACGGCCATAACGTATGGGTTTCCGTTGCCTGCGAAGAATGATAGAGCGCCCCAGAAGGCCCCAAGGGCGACGGTCACCAGTCTTGCCGCGAGGTCGTTTAGATTACCACCGACCTGTATAAAGTAGTATTAGTATGGATTTCTATACAAACTTCTCTGCAGTTTGCTTGTACGGGGGGTTATTTCGAGAACATACCCTAGGCTGCATTAGGTGCCACGCCGCCACGGTACACCACCATCCCTCCCACTCGTTCCACCAACTTTGTGATCTAGTAAGCCAGGCCGGTATGGCAAGCAGACATATAGTCATGGTATTCTTCAGTGCGAACCTTGCCTCGAATCCCTGTAGTTCGTGAAGGACCTCCCAGATTCTAAACCTCAGTGTCTTCTTCTCGCCTTGCTTTTGAGGAGATGGTTTTGTCGTAAGGTCAGAATCGGGAACCCAAGCTTTCCCAGCGATCTTACTCATGAGTAGGGCAATATCCTTCATTGTTCGAAAGTAGAAAGCTGTTGTGGTTCCACCTCGATCGTGGCGAACTTGGGGATTGCTCCGGTAGACCAACTTCTCCAGCGGGTAGTCGGGGAGGTAAAATCTCCAATTGGCCCCACGTCTTTTCTTAACGATGGATCCAGTAGACCTTACAAGCTTGGTGACCTGATCGCACGCTTGAAGTAGTGTTGATGTGAAGAGGAAGATTTGGATGACAGTATAACTAGCATCCGCAGGGTGAACGCCTGCCCAAACCATGTGGGCTTCTTCGAGTTTATCTCTGGCTCCGAGTATTCGGTCCGCAAGAACTTCACAATCCCAGGTGTTCTTTTTCCTCCCTGGCGGAAGAAAGGAGGTTTGGTGTAGAATTTGCATGAGAAGCGTATCACAGGCTTCCAAAGCCTCCTTCATGACGTTGATCATCTCACGGCTCGGTCCGGCAAGGACTGCTCTTATACGATCGATTTCAACCTTTTCGTCATCTTCGCTCTCATCACCGCTATCAATTTCAATGTGGATTTTTGTTTCCTTGAGAGGTTTGCCCTTTCGCGGTTGCTGTTCTTCCTTTGGAGGCTCGAAAACAGGGGCTATGCATTCGAGACGTAGAAAATCTCGGATGACTGCCTGGAGGTTGTTTCTCAGATCTGTCATGTCCTCAGGTGAGATTTTGGAGATAGTTATCTCCGATCTGAAGTCTCTCACTGCGATAGACATCTCGACGGTTTCCTGACTCATCTTTTCGCGCTGGCGGGCAGTTGATGGGCGCGGGAGCTCAAGCCCACCTATAGCCGCATCGAGTGCTTTGTGTAGGGCACGACTAAATTTTAGGCTCAATCAGTATTGGGAAAGCAATAAAGCACCAGTTGCAATTGATACATACGCAATTTGAACATTCCCAGGGTTCGGTAGCAAGAATATATTGGTAATCTGAGCAATGGCCACGCCTAAAACCCACGGTATACCGAATTCCCATGCCTTCCGGTATAATGGGGTTGGCCCGACTCTCTCGCAGACCATGAAGAACAGAGCAAAGCCTGCGCAGATACATAACTGGAAGACCCTAGCAAACCTTGCTCTTGCCCATGCTAACATTGGGAGCGTAATAAGCAAGCAGACAGCTAGGAAGGCCCCGTAGCTGTCTCTTGCCGGGCCGGATACAGTCGATATCCATAAAGCCAGAAGACCGGCTCCAATTCCAATACCAGCTCCTATGATGGTTGCTATAGTGCCCTCGATCTGTGAACCTATACTTCGTCCAGCGTGGTTGACAATAGTAGCTATGATCATGATAAAATGATACGGCCCTAACCATTTTCTTATTGCTGGGACGAGACATAGGATATATGCTAACATGTAACCAGTAACAGCTCTCATCAGAGCGCTCCGTCGTTTCGGATGCTTGATACTCCAAATGAACCGCTTGATACCATCCTTCTGCAACTGAACAAACTTTTGTAGCGAGAAAGGTGATCTTATCTTCCTTTTCTGCTTCGCAGTTGCCAATTCTTTGCGAGGCATTTTGTAAAACGATGCATCGAAGAATCCATCTCGCAGCTCTTCAACTCCGTAGTCTTCCAGGTCGTCGGCTTCAAGTTGAAGTCTACTCATAAATTGATCCAGAGGTATACTTGCGACAAGTGAACCTCCCCTAGGCGTAGCCTGTCCGCTAGCCAGCCGAGAACGAGATATAGGTGTCGCAGCAAAGGAACCTCGGTATACCTTTGTATATGGCGGTGTCCATGCCGATCCGGGTGACGACTGGCCGGACTTTGATTGATCAATTAAGGGCTTTGGGACATGGGGTTCAAGAGCCGACCATCGCACTTGTCGGTCGTCAGTCGGACTGGGATTTGGAATGACATTGGCAGGGCCCTTCGACTGGGATTCAATATCTGTCGGTGTCAATGTACCGGCATGTGCAGTACGGGTATGCATATGCTTTGGAGATCCGGAATCGCACGACCTACGTCTGCTGGTAGTGTGCCGACGCCGAGCAGCAGCATCGGCCGAAGTCTCTGCCTTTGCAGAGTCCATACTGCGGCATCATCCGGCCCCTAATTGCCAAAGACAGCAATTGTAAGGATAGATATTATAACCTTTATATACTTAGGTAGTAGGTATATATAACGAATGAAAGGCCAGGAAAAAAGGGTTCGATAAAAATTAATCGATGATGCATTTTGAGGGCAAAAGGTACAAGTACATGCAGTTTTCAGTTTAGTCATATCAACGGCTAAGCTACGAGGCAATTCGCAAACAGGATTTTTGCGTTGGCGGGCCCTGTCGGTTGTGGAAAAGCGGTATCCATGCGATTGCATATGCACGTTGACGGGCGGGACTCGGAGGCCTGCCGCTGTCTCCATCCGTCGGTGAGGTTCGAGATATTGATATGATATCAATCGATATAACATCGATACCATGATTGCATTGATATCGAATAGGATGCTCGGACGAAATGCATATATACATACGCTCAGTACCTATATAAAATTCATGAACCCGGTATCAGCGGTATCAGCAGTATCAATGGTATTGCCGGATGACCTCACTCACCGAAACTGCCTAGTACCACCACCTGGTTAGTAGTTGTATTTGCTAACGGCGGTGATTCGAAACCAGAATGAATTCAGATCCACCGTTGTTCAGCCACAGAATGCGTGAGGTGAGCGACTGAGCAAGCGTGTTCGTTCGTGTATCCTTGTTCTTGATCTTGTCCGAGCCAATCAGCCCGAATGTTGCTGAGGAATTTCCACTGCGGCTACCCGAGATTGCCAATGGACGGTCGTTCAGGTCCAACATTTTTGTTCCGTCTCACCCAAACCGACAGTGTTTTGGCTGGATTTGGGCAGAGGACCTCACGCGAGAGTGAAGCCTGAAACGCCAGACAAAAGGGCAGCCAGCACACACCGCACACATACAATTATGTGGGTTTCTGACGGCATGAAGCCTGGACTTGCTTGCATCGTGAGGCCGCACCCGGGCTGGGCTTCTTGGGCCGGGTTGGGGATTGATCGTTTGCACCTGCGATTTCGAGAAGTTGTCGGGGCAACCACACGACGACAAACCGGGTCAGCCAGTCTAACCGGGAACTGGCAGAGGCATTAAACTGCATCTGGTCACTGCAGGGAACACGGGGAAACATCGCATCAGTAGTTCGCATCAGCCGGGGGTGACTGTACCGTGTAGGTTTAGCTGGGGCCTTTTCTTGGAGGGGAAACAGAGTGAGGGTAGACAAGACACAGAGGAAAAAATATGGAGTGAATGAACGGTAATGAGGAGTATCAAATTCAATTATAGAGTGGATTGGAGTATGGAAATTTGCAGGAATGAATACAGTCAATGCATTACATTACATTACATTACATTACATTGCTTATGAGGTAAACGCCCACTTCAATTAGAAGTACTCTTTGGGCGTTAATTAGCGTATTCCCAACTGGGCCGCATTGCCCGTTCTTCGCGATACCCTCCGTTTGGTCTCCAATGGTTCGTGTTCGTGTGGTGTTTCTTAGTCAGCCAAGGCCATTTCCTCTTCGGGAAGAATGTTTACATGAAAGCTGGATGGTGATTGGCTGATGACCCTGATTGGCTGGGGGCTTTGTCAACACAGAACAACAACAACAAAACAGTTTAGCACCTTTAAACACCAAGAGCGTGCCCTTCAGCGCTGTTTCCAATACTCTCTGTTCCAGACATCAATCAATCAATCAATTCAATACTCATCTCTCTCCCTCCCTCTCCGCAGCATCATCATCATCACCTCATCAGATATCACATCTCCCATCTTGAGGTCTTCTTTCTGATCTTGAATGCATTGATTGTCGGCCTTTTTGGAAGCAGGTGACAATAATTAACGTTAAAGCAGTTATTACGAAAGCGTAGCCGCCAAACCATCCACCCGCCGTGTTCCTGTTCCTGTTCCTTTTTTCCCGGTCAGGAAGGAATCCAATAACAACGCCAAAAGGAGCCTCAACACCTTGGAAAACCCATCACAACCAACCTCCTCCCCCATTGCTCGGCATCACCAGAATTCCCCCAGCAATACTAAAATAAACCAAAAAAAATCATAACAACAGCGAATCCCGTCGATTGGATTGGATTGGATTCTACTGTATTCTATTCTACCGTAGACACTCTGCTCTACGCTGCTATATAGCATATAGCACACATCTCCATTCTTAACCGGGCATAAAACTCTTTCTCAGACATCACCAACCTCCCTTCTTAACACTCACACCTCCTTGCATCCAACCTAGCCACACACACACACACATACATACATCTTCAATTCCTTTTTTTCTTTTCTTTCTTCTTTCTTGTTCCCTTCCTTGACCTTGACCTACCACTCTAGATCGTTGTAGACTCTATTATCCCCCTCCTCCACCTATTCCGATACTCGACGAGATCCCTTCTCACGACTGCTATATTTGCAAATTCACGAAGACCGCGTCTACCTTTAACGAATTCGATCTAACAAACCGTTCTCTAACGGTGTGAAACTCTTAGTGTACGTGTCTCCACTCTCTGACACTCTTACTCACGTATTTTCTCATTCTTGCCTCATTGGTGTCTTGTTTCCTTTGTTACTCCTCGTGCACCGTGTCTCCACCAGAATCTCATTCCTGTCATATTCTTCACATATTTTCCTTACACCTTGCACCTTCCACATACGCACAAATCTTAATCTGCATTCATCTTCACGACATGTCAGACTAACTCGGCCGCTCTTTTCACCTACATTTAGTCTCTATTCCTTGATCGTCTGATCTCGGATACTTCCACACTTACACTCATATAACGTCACAAACACCAATCCACTACACATCCGACACGATGCAAGCCGTAAGTCCTCCTTTTTTCCTTTCCCTTCAGCAAATGCACGGGAAAAAAGGGAAACGTTATCTAATTTTATACATATCTATAGAAACGTGTCACTCGCCAAAGGGCACAGAACCAAGATGAGAACGCAGGCATTGCCAGCCGAGCCACGCGTGCTTCAACCAAGACTGTTGGCAAGGCTCTGGCCTCGACTACTACCGCTGGCACCAAGGCTTCTCAGCCCTTGAACCGCAAGCGTGTCGCTCTCGAAGACGTCAGCAACTTTAACAAAGCTGGTCAAGACGGTTCTCTCGAGAAGGAGACCAAGAAAGCGGTCAAGAGTGTTCTCGCTGCAAAGACTGGAGTTACCAAGACCAAGTCTCGCACCGTTCTTAAGGAGAAAGTTGTCGAGGAAGTCAAGGCCGCCGAGGTCAAGCAGACCGTTAAGACCGCTGCTGCACGCCCTCGTAAGCGTACCAACTCTTCCACCCGTGCCGCCGAAGCCGAAAACAACAACGAAAATGAGGCTCCTGTCGAGGAGAAGAAGAAGAAGCCCGAGGCTGTTGCCGTCGAGGTCAAGCCTAAGGCGAAGGAGGTCGTTGCTCAAAAGCCCACCGCCCTAGAGAAGGAAGGAGAAGTTTTTGCCAACGAGCCGAATAGCAAGAGGACTCGTGTCGTCGAGCCTCAACCAGCTATCATTCTCGAAAATGAAGAAGACGATGACCCATTGATGGTCGCTGAGTACGCCGAAGAAATCGATGCCTACCTCCGTGACTTGGAACCGAAGAGCATGGCCAACCCCGAATATATGGATCACCAAGACGAGTTGCAATGGAAGATGCGTGGAATCCTCGTCGACTGGCTCATCGAAGTTCACACTCGCTTCCGCCTTCTCCCAGAGACCCTCTATCTCACAGTCAACATCATCGACCGTTTCCTTGGACTTAAGCAGGTCGGATTGGATAAGCTCCAGCTTGTTGGCGTTGCTGCGATGTGGGTTGCTGCCAAGTATGAAGAGGTTTACTCTCCTTCCATCAAGAACTTCATCTATGTTAGCGACGGTGGCTACGTCGAAGATGAACTTCTCAGAGCCGAGCGTTATATTCTCACCACCCTCGACTATGACTTGTCATACCCTAACCCCATGAACTTCCTTCGCCGTATCTCCAAGGCTGATGACTACGACATTCGCACTCGTACCTTCGCCAAGTACCTCATGGAAGTCAGTCTCCTCGACTACCGTTTCCTTGAGTATCCAGGCTCGCTCGTTGCTGCCGCTGCGATGTACATGGCTAGGAAAATGTATAACCGTGGCTCATGGGTATGTCCTTTGCATTTTCTTCATGAAATATTATCCAGACTTTATACTAATAGTTTAATAGAATGCAAGCCTTGTTCACTACTCAGGGTACACTGAGGACGAGATCATGCCAGTTTTCAAGCTCATGGTTGACTACCTCGCCCGCCCAGTTAAGCACGAGGCATTTTTTATGAAATATGCCGACAAGAAGTTCAAGAAGGGTATGTGTCATCACAGGTCGTGTTCGTATAACTACTTGCCACTAATTCGTATCTTTCTATAGCTTCGATCAAGGTTCGCTCGTGGGCCAAGAGTGCTGCCGTTCACTATAAGGTTGATTTGAACGAGCCCGTCGACTTGTGAACACAGATTCCTCTGTCTTGACTCTTGCTTCTTTGTTTTGAATTTCCGTGATCACCGATCTTGCATGGCAGGTGATATGCGGATATACATTGTTTCTTTTCATCATGATTTAACGGCGTCCAAGGTGTTTTGTTTTTTTTCTGTTAACATCTTGATTTTTCTCACCTTTCATCATTCACGCCTCCTCTAACCTCTCTCCGACCGAGATCATTCACATTCAAATGTTTCCCTTAGAAAGGCAGGCTCGTAGGAAAGAGAGCGATAGGCTTGTCACACCTGTACTCACTTCTTACGCCGTCCCTACCTGTCTATTGGCTAGAATAGCAATGTCTTGAATCTCGCGAACCTCTCTACCTCTACTGCCGCAGGCTTCAAGCACGAACTGACTAACCCATTCAGAGGCTTCAAGAAATACGATATTGTTCCTTTACTAACAAAGAAACTAACGATCCAAGGCGTCCCAAAATTGCTTTCTGCTGCTTTCTGTGTACATACTATCCCTTCCCATTGACATGTTTGCATTATGGAGATTCTCTTCTTTCTTCTGGTTCTCATATTTTCCTCTTAAAGACCCTCCGATCAACCATGTCATTGGGAACGGTACGATGACTCTGATTTCTTTCTCTTCCGTTTGCCTTTCCAAGCATGCCTTTTATTGTTTCATAATCTTTTTTCTTTCCCGTTCTCTTTCAGATCCGGTACAAAGGCGTTCTTTGAGCATCCTTTCAGGTTCTTTTTGCGTACTTTGCTACTGCTGGTTCCCGCTTGTTTCTCCCCCTCTATCGGATAATCAATGTGCATATATGTACTATGGCATTCTTGTTAATAGAAGTTGGCTGATGTGAGGCTAACGTAACTTAATCGAGATAAACTCTTCACATATTCCGTGCATGTGCTGCTTCAATTGTATTCAATGATAGTAAAACAAAAAAACAGTGAAGAGATCAGGTCAAAGCTTGATACTTATAAGCTCTTTGGAACAAAACGACATGGGAGTTATATGTATATGGTAAAGACGCTTTATTACCCAAATCCAAGGCTGACGCTAACATACAAAAAGAAATCAAAGAAGCCAGAAGCCAGTCCAGATATGTATGTATCCCTTTTACCTTCTTGAAAGAAAAAAAGACTCCAATGAGAAATCAGCGACGACATTATTATACTTTACGTTTTCCTTCTATCGACACCCTCCTATTTTTATTCCCAAAACGAAGAGACCCTTCAGACCCTTCTTCCTTTACTCTTACAAACCCCATCACCACCAATTCCTCCTCAAGAGCGTCTACAACTTCGGTGCCAAAACCGTCGTCCTGAACACAGGCGCGTCGGTACTGTTCCCCATCCTTTCCATCTCCCATGCGATCTCCTGCCTGATCCTAGCAGCGATTAACGCCGCCTCATCGTCGTCCAAATCGGATCGTTGTCCTTTTCCGAACATAGTCCATGCTCTAGAAGCCGTATGCGATTCCGGTCGTGGGATGATATGGTAATGAACGTGCTTGACGACTTGACTTGCTCTTGCGCCTATTTATTTTTTCGGGGGACATCGATCCGGCCGGCCGGGGGGGTTTCTTTCGTTAGCGGGTCGCGATCTTTGTGATATTTCGATCAAGTACCTATTTTTTCCCCCTCTTCTTCTTCTACTTTTCCCTTATCTTCCTCTTCTTCTTCTTCTCTTTATTTTTCCAGTGGAGGGGTGTTCTGATGAGGAGGGTCATCAGCTTTTGGTTTTTTTTTTGTCTTTTTCTTCATCTTTTTCTTTCCAAAGGATAGAATAGATATAATACCATCATGATTCCCCCCTCTTTCTCGTAATAGAATATATATAAAGAAAGAAAAGAAAAGCAAAGAAGAAAGAAAGAAGCAAAGATCAAAAGAGAGAAAGGTAGACTAACCATCACCCATAAACACCCCCTCCACCTTCTCCTTAACCTCATCAAAAACCTTCCTCCCCCACCCAACATTCACTCTACAATCTTCAGGAGTTTCGCTATCCATACCATTATTCTGCACCACATTCAAATCATCAACCTGCATAGCCCTACTAACCGCCCTCGTAATAATCGGTAACCAAGCTCCCAAACTCGCTCCTTCCTCCGGCGTCAAATCCATAATCTTCTCGGCATGGTGTCGAGGCGTTAATAATACGTGTCCTGGTGATAATGGCATTATATCCAAGAACCCGATTACTTGCGGTGTTGATAGGATCATGTGGGTTGTTTCGCGGTTGTGGGTTGGTGAGGCTGTCGATGGGGCCGCGTAGGGGGTTATTTGGGCTCGTGGAGGGTTGGAACGGGAGATTAGACAGAAGGGACAGTCGTCTTCTTCGGATTGGGGGTGGGAAGATGGACGGATTGAGTGTCTGCTATGCGCGGAGGCGCGGGAACGGCGGGAACGTTTGGCGGTGGAGGTTGTGTAGGCTGGCATCTTGATTATTGTTATTCTTTGTGCCTTTTTGATCTATAGATGATGAGGAGAAGGAGAAGGAGAGGTCTCCTTTGTTGATTCCAGTGGGTTTTGTAGATGGCGGTGGTGATCGATCGATGATGATGATGATGGAGGTGGATTGTGTCGCAATCAATCGATTGGGTAAGATGGTGGTTATAGTTGAGGTATTGGTCGGGTAACCAGGGGAGGCTGGGATGCACGTTGTTTTCAATTGGAAGTTAACAGCCGGCTGGCGCGTCAGGTTTGGGCCGAGGTAAACAGCTGTCACTCCCTCTCTCGCTCACACTTTCACCCCAATATCACCTTTCAGCTCTAGTTAGCTTGTGCATTCCACATAGGGTGTATACGCATAAGGGATATATTCATTCTTGATATGACATAAAGAAAAAGGGGCTATTGGTACATCCATATCCATATCTTTAAAAAAAAAAAACTAGTCCACCAAAAGTAGGCTTTTGAGGTATGTATGCGATGTGAACATTGGCATGAAATTTAGACATCGAAAGTAGAGATAAAAGATACGTAGCTTACAATACTGCTAATACAATATGATATAAAGTCCCGTTATGTAAAATATCCTATCCAAACTTGAACAAAGAGAAAGAAAAAGAAACCCTCATTCGGATTGCAACCCCCAGATAACTCCCATATTAAAGGATATCCCCAATAAAAATATAAAAAAAAAGGTAAAGAATCATTAAAAAAATATGCGAAGAAGAAATGCCACCCATATATCGACCTTGAACTGGAGAGGAGAAAGCGCATTGAATAGACGAAATAGAGAAGAAAAGAGAAGAGAAGAGAAGAAACAAGCCCAAACTTTTTTACTTGGTTGTTATCCCAGATATCCCTGACCAGAAAAAAAAAAAGATAGAAAAAGATGAAAAGGTTGATGCATGGGAGGGAGATCACTGGTATAAATTCGACCCATTCATCCACTGCGACGGCGAATTCATCGCCAACATTTCCGTAAACATTGCGTCCTGCTGTTCCACCGTCAGAGAGTTGATATCGAATGCATCGGGCTGTAGGGTAGGGTTCGAGAACTCCTTCGGTGTCAAGCCGGTTCCCGTCCCCAATACAACACTAGGCACGAAGCCAAAATCGAATCCTGAAAGACTAGTTGTTTGGGGAGGTTGATGCTGCTGTTGTAAGTAATCGTGCGAAGATATTGTAACCATCTCCTCGATTGGTGAGAGTCCGCTGTTGTTTGACGGTGATGTATGACTAGAGTGTTCATTTGAGCCGCTAAGGTCCATAGATGGTGATGTGTGATTCGATCCCAAAGTCGAAGTTGGAGAGACTGAGCTTGGCCCTCTTCTTTGAGCCTCCTTCTCTCGAGCGGCCTTTTCAATGGTGATGTTCATTATTGTCCTATTACAGGTGAAGAATGGCGAAGATGTCGGCGGGTCTTCAGCTTCGGAAGGACTCTTGCCGTTGGTGTTCGAAGATCCACTTGGTGTGCAGGTGTTTCCGTCGAACGCTTTTCCATCACGCGGGACGTATATTTCAGCCTGTATGTCGACAAAAGACATAAGTAACTGTGTGTCATGTTTTATCAAAGCCACTTCAGAAGGACTCACTCCATCTAAGCCTCTTTCTAGTGTTTTAAGAAAACATTCACTTACTACTCCCTTCTTCATCCCGTACGGGAACTTCGCCTGGTTCGAGGGTGTGTCCATGGATCCGATCATATCGACATCCAATTGTACCAAGAAGGACTCAGTCAATGGGTTCAATTTCTTCAAATGACCCATGGCACTGATAAGGAAATCCAAAGATGAGCGGATGTTCTCGTCATTCGGATTGCTCTTCAGGTACTGAACGAAGACTCTTGCCGCTACGTAAAGACAGAAGGAAACAAACGGGTTCATCTATTCAAAATCGCTCAATGTCAGCAAAAACTCTGAACTTAGCCTGTATAAAATAGGTACAACGTACCGCTGTCATATCTTGACTACCAATCATCTTCATAATTGCTGTTATTTGTGCCGCCGCAGAAACACACCGATACTTCGATTCTTTCGAGACGCTTGAAGGGAGTTTGAATTTGTCGGCTTTGAAAATCGCTGCCTGGTGCAGGCATATCGTACAGGTATGAATATTCATGTTTGTAAACACAATATTCGGATCCATTATCCCATTCGGAAGCTTGAAATGCGGTGGAAGTGACATGACAGTATTGAGTAGAATGTTATCCATGTGTCTATGCCGTCTCCAGAATTCTCCTTTTTCGTAATCCGAGTCATCTTCACCTTCGTCGGGACGGTGAAGATGTAAGAGGTTACGGCCAATCAGTGCCGCCATAATAATAACACCGGCATATGAAGAAAGACTGGGAGCACCACCAGGTGTAAGAGCTTCTTTCAGGGTATAGGATTTCGTCGCCCGTCCAGATGCAAAAGCTTCATCTGACGAAGGAAGATGTGTCATAATATCCCTTTCATCTATCTGCATAGGCCAACCCGTTCCGATTGATGCATATCGATCCGTACAGAACGCAATCCAAAACGTCCTTCGCCGTTCCTCGAGTTCCGTCCAATCCTTTGGTGGGGCGATACACTGCTTAACATCGAGACCAACCCCATCCAATCGATTCAATCCAAGCATTTGGCATAACTTGACCGATCTTCCTGCTGACATCCAGGCTCGAGGGAAGTACATGAGTCTGTACTCGTATGTTGCCAAAATCCCCCAAGTTTGAGCGAACTGTACGGTGACAATATGTTCACCGTGTCCCTTCATTTCGGCCTCCTCGGCGTATTTCCTTGCGCGTCGGTAGAAAACTGTTTGTAGATTTGAATATTGATCGGAAACGGAAGCTGCCATCATCCATATGGCGTATCGCAAGCATATTGGTGCGCGTAGCTGAGGTGCTAGATCTAGACTGGCGAGGTATCGACCTTTGTGGATTATAGGTCCGTAAGGCGCAACTTTGGAGAAGTATATATCATGCAAGTCATCGATGATATGTTGATCCGGCAGTGCCTCGTCGATACCCAACTGTACCATCTCCCACGAAAGTCCAGGGTCTTGCATTCCAACTCCAAACCCTCCAGTGCCAGCATGATCCATACCAGTTTCGGGGAACCCACGGTAATCTGGAATATTTGTGAAAGGCTGTATATCATCAACGTTGAAAGCGGCTTGGGGGGCAGGTTTTGCTGCCTTCGCCTGCTGTCGCTGCTGCTGTTCATTTTGTTTCTTCTTCGCTAGGACCTCTTGGAAATCGGCGACGTTGGATATGGAGAAATTAAGACTGTGCTGGGGCATGGCGCCCATGGATTCGATCTTGTTGATAGGAGGGGTGTCGCCGGGGCCATCTTGTGTTTTTAGAAGGGTTTCCACCTGGGCTGCACGTGTATATCAAGTATATTTGTTAGCACGAGTTTTTTTGAATATTTAAGACTCGATTGAGTTTTTTTTTTTTTTTTGGAGAACGCATGAGAATGGATGCGACTTACCCAGCCGGGCTTCCAATGCTTTGACATATCCTCGTTTAGGACCACTCTTCCGCCGTACCTCATCGTACGAACTCAACAAGACGTCAGCACATTCTCAAACCCAAAATCATTTTGACAAATAGTATTGGGGAATAATACCAGTTATGACCGAGTCTGGAGCAAGTACCGCAAGCCGGCCTTGCGCCGTCGCATTTGAGCTTTCGTTTGCGACAGACAACACAAGCGATTCTCTTCTGACGAGGGGCATCTCCTCCGTCGGCACTTTCTCGTCTGACTTCGCTGTTGGTATTCGGCGCCGGAGCGTCGGGTAGGGTTTCTCCTGACATTATTCTGTAACCCGGGTTCCGAGTGGTGTAGTAACAGTCCAGAAGCGTATATCTCACTCAGAAATGTCGGTGTTCCCGAAATGTGATGTGAGATCCTTCTTCTTCTTCTTATTTTCTTTCCTTTTGTTTGCGTACTGAGTTTCCAGGAACCCTTTTTTCCAGGCTTGGGAGGGTTATTTTGGGCTAAATTTTTTTTAGCAAAAGGGAAGTTGTGAAAGTTTAAGTTGGAGGGAATGTCGAGTGGCAGAAATTTGTAAGCTTGAGCTCGTACAAAGAACTAACGGTTGGATGTATGTTTGAAGATGTCCAGGGGAGGCCTGTACATGTAAGAGCAGGTGCTTGATGATTATGATGATGATGATGGTGGTGGTGGTGGTGATGGTGATGATTATTCGATTGCTGCATCTGCCGTCTACCGGTACTGTTATATCATATCATATCGTCTTCTCTCTCCCATGATATAATATAATCTAATCCAATAAAGTCCTTTCTTTGTCGGTCTTACGATCGTGAATTTCTCAATTACCTAGGCACTTTGGTAAGTAATTGCTAAGAAGTGAGTACAATCTGTCGAGGCGAGTCGGCGTACAATTAAGATTGAGAAGAAAGCGGAAGGAAGGAACGACAAGAGGACCAAAACAGCAGCTGTCGCCAGAGTCAAACTAATATAATAAGACAGAAAAGAAAAAAGATAGCGATCGATTGATGGATTAATTGAAATCGAAAATGGAAATTGGAAATTGGATTTTGCACGGAAGCCGGAAAAGAAAGAAAGAAAGATTTCATTCATGTGCTGGAAGTCGAAGTTAACAAGTACAAGCTGGAGGGGCGGTCTGGGATTATTAATAAGCAGAGCCCGCTACAGTGCACAGGTACTCTCCACTACATGTATACTGTTAACTTATCTTAACATGAACTGGATCATTTGACTGTATCTTCCCTGAACGGGTTTTTCATCCTTTCCTTTGCCCCGGGGCGCCTCAATTTCATAATATAACCGTATTAGACAAGTCAAATAAAATCCCTTAACGAGAGGATCAGGATCACATCTGATATGGGCACAGCTTTCGCAGCTCAGCCTCGATCGAATACAATTAAGTTGCAATTGCAGGTCCAGATGTAACACCATTAGTTTCTACACCATCCGGATATCGTTATATTATACCAGTTCCTACTTACTCGCTGCCAAGTATCTACAAGTGTATATAAGTCTGTAGGTAAGTATATATTGTATATACTCATCAGCTTATAATTATCTCATGCATCCAAACATGCACCACTGGAATCGTTCCCGGGCACGCGCACGGGGATATATGCGGAGCTTTAACCTTTTCTCTCCCACTAAACCCCTTTCGCTCGCTTCCCACGATGAAGAGAAAGTAAAAAAAAAAAAAGGTTCTGAGCATCGAAATCGACGATGACGAACCCAGTTCCCCAGTACACCAGACCGCCTAATTCCGGAGAGCGACCTTTCTGGAATTTCGAACGGGTGCATAGCATGGCATGGCATGGCATGGGGGGTGGTTGTAAGCGTCCTGCATACTTTTAACCACCATTGACCATATACTAGTATCGATCGAAACCTTGTCGGTGTCTAACAACCTCCGACAGTACCTTCGAGAGTTAGTCTTTGCTGACTCATACAGCTTGGCCCTGCAAGAGACGAAATTTAAATTATATGGGAACGGGCGTCCGCGGGGTACGATTCAATGTACATATGTAAGTAGGTAAGTACATGTTACTGTGTATGCACTGCACACCTGAGCTGAGAGGGAGAAAGGGAGAGAGAGCTCGTAAAATTTGTCCTCTTTGGTATCCCGATTACGATATCATCCGAGCCGATACTGCCCAGTGCTGGTATATCTCTGAGTTCTTTAAAATTTGCTTCAAAAAGTGTCGTAAGTCGTATACGTTTTTAACCACGTACACTCTGTCCTTATGTAAAAAATTTTCTCATGAACATTTGAATATTTTCTATGAGGCTCAATTCTAGGCGAATTAAGGTATTCGAGAAAATAGCCAAATATGAAAGAGGCATAGTTTATATACAGTAAGTTATCGCTGGTATACGTAATATACACACAGTACGCACCTCTCGCCACGGTCACGGTACAGTACCCCCATCATTTCTTAATTAATCCTTACACCTTTTTCTCCTTCTTCTCCTTCCCACGCGGCCTTTCGGTCACAACCCACGGATTCTTCTTCCCCACCTTTCTTGTTTTGTATCCTGATTTCGTCTGGATAAAAAAAATATATCAGTTTAGTTTAGTTTCAGAATAACGTGAACGCTCTAACACTTATAACGCTATAACGTTATTGAGTGTGAGGGGCTGAGTAATCCTTACCGGTATACCCCAAGGGCTCACCGGGTGACGGTTACCCTTGGACTTTCCTCTACCACCACCGTGGGGATGATCACCTGTGCAGCAGTAAATTCGATGAGTCAGCTATCTCTTTCTTCGTTCCTTTTTAATATCGGCTCTCGCCATTCTCGTTTCGGGACCGGTTGGTAGACGCGGCCTCCGGAACTCAAAATGAAAATGAATCCACCTCGAGTGTGTATTTTTATGTAATGAATGAATGAAATCTGTAACGGGATGATGCAGGTGGGAAATGAAGACGACGAATTAACTACTCACATGCGTTCATAGCGACACCTCTGACGGTTGGCCTGATTCCTAACCATCTTGACCGCCCAGCTTTTCCAAGCTGTCTATGTCTCCATGTCGGATTGCTTACGACGCCCACTGTAGCAGCAGCATCAATCATGAACCGTCTGACTTCACCGCTCTGCAATCTAACAATTGCAAACCCACGTCCTTCATCCTTAGCAACTACGGTTGCGTATGTTCCAGCCGCTCTACAGAACTTCGCTGGTCCGTTAGGGATAGTTGCAACAGCGTGGATGACAGCTCCAATGGGAATATATCTCAATGGAAGACAATTCCCTCTCCATGCAGTCTTCGCGGCAAGCATACCGGGATCGATAACACCTCCCATACTTGCTAGGAGATCTGCCGGAACACCACCTCTGTAACTTTGTACTTTATCTCCAGCACGTAATCCATCCGCCGCTAGAATGTAACTTTTCTTCCCAGAATCCTTACTTGTGATCAATGCGATATGTGCGCTTCTACCGGGATCGTACTCGATTCTGTCAACAGTATGAGGTCCTCCGGCGAATCTACTAAAATCAACTGTTCGAATCCTTCGTTTATGACCACCACCACGATGACGAACGGTTATCCGTCCGGAATTGTTACGTCCTCCCAATCCGTGTCCTTTTCGGGGGATGGTAAGTGCGAGGTATGGTTTCCCTTTCCACAGATGATCGTTTATGGGTCTTCGGAGATGTCGCACACCTGGTGTTCGTGGTTTATATGTTCGCATACGAATTGTTTCTTCGCTTCGATCCGGTGGCTTTGCGAAGGGACTTTCGAAGCTGGAGATTGGGATTGATGAGGTCGGTGAGGATTCGACGGCCGTGGCATAGTTTCTATTACTGCTGGATAGAGTAGGGTATACAGCTGCAGTTGAACCTAAGATTCGAGAGGTAGAGGCATTGGAGATGGAATTGCAGCTTCGGCTTAGAAGCCGTGCTATCGAAGTTGATCCGATGAGCATCGTGGGCGTGTATAGGTCCTTTGTAGTGGGGGGGAATGGTTGTCGTCCGCTGGGTAGAGTGTTTCGTCCGGCCCCGCCCCGCCGGCTTAGTTTGGCGTAATAATTGAAGGAACTCGAGATATTATGCTATCGTATCGCCATAACCTCCCCAATGCGGCGCTAAAATGGGGGCAAATCGTATCGTTTCCCGAGAAAAGCCCGTCTACGAGAATGTTCGTGGATCGGTTTATATTGAAAAAGGATGTGGTTGTGAAGTTATCGCTAAAAACCTTGACCCAGCAAAGAAACTTAAACCACCACACACAACAACATCTCGACATCTCCAGATTCTTAGACATCAAGTCGTATATCAGCTAGTTTTATTAAAAAGAAAAGAGGCAAAAATTTATAAGCTAATGTTATAACTATTCGGACTTTCATGTTCAATCCCTCACGGGCTTTGCCGAGGATATATCATACGCCAGGTTTTTGTATGCTATTCTCAAGTATATAAAAGCGTGCAAATGACTAATACTTCGAATTCAAATATAGTAAAATCAATACATGAAATAGTATCACCAAGAAAAATAAACATCTATATCGGTTTCTTTCCCGCATACTATAAAGGAAATAGTATTAGAGTCCGAACAATCTCAAGTTCGAGTACTATATCAGTCGAAATGGCGGCAACGGCAGACTCCCTAGCTCCCGTCTCGAATCTACCCCCACCAATGCGAGAGTACCTCATTCACTTCGCCCAAGTGCACGAGACATTCCGCAAACCAGAGCTCGAATCTCTCGCAAAGTTATTCAATATAGATTACGAAATCCTACAGTATTCCGAAAAGGTATATTATCAATTTCAATATTATATACTGTAATATATCTAAGAAGCTAACATAAACCTTCTAAACGGAATGAATGTCCAAACCAAAGTCTCCATTCGCACGCATAGCCCTAAAATCAAACGAAGCCGCCAAAACCCTCATCTCCCGCTCAATCCTATCAAAGGCCATCTACGAACTCTGGGGCACAGGTACAACCTACGATGAAGTCCACACCTCTGTCAAATCACGTACCTCCCACCTCTGGCATCTCTACAAGACCTGTTCCTTCAAATTCGGGTTCGAGTCTTTCAACGGCATGAGAACCGAATCCTACAAAAAGAAACTAATAGAGTCATTCTCATACGTTGGGTTCGATGGTCCAATCCGTATGAAGAACCCGGATGAACTATTCGTTATAATGGAGGATTACGAAGCCACTTCCATGGTTGATTTGGAACGCTTTGCGGCTTTAAATATCGATGAGAAGGCTGAGGCTCCTTCTCGGAATCCTACGCATCTGGATGAACCCCATCAGATATATTTCACACGATTTATTGGGAAGTCAAGTAGAGCGATAATAGAGACTTACGATCTCAAAAAACGAAATTATATCGGTACAACATCGATGGATGCTGAGTTATCATTAGTAACCGCGAATATGGCTCATGTCGGTCCCGGGAAACTAGCATACGACCCTTTCGTGGGTACCGGTAGCTTTGCGGTTGCATGTGCACATTTTGGGGCTGTGACGTTTGGATCGGATATCGATGGGAGAATGATAAGAGGTACAAAATCTGGGAAAAGTCTCAGGAGTAATTTTGAACAGTATAAGATTATGGATAGGTATGGTGATATGTTTGTTAGTGATTTGACGAACAGCCCGCTGGGCAGGTTCGGAGCGACAGCAGAAGGCGGGAAGAAGAGGAGTGAGCAGATCTTCGATGCGATTATTTGTGATCCACCGTATGGGGTTAGAGAAGGATTGAAGGTCTTGGGGAGCAGAGACCCGTCGAGGCCGAAGGTACCAACTATCATTGACGGAGTTGCACAGCATACGTATGTAAAATCATTTGCGATATGAGGTTTAAAATTGAGATTCTAACATTTAAAAATAATTATAGGTTGAAGGACTTCGTTCCTCCAAAGCGGCCATACAGCTTCGATAAAATGCTGAACGACATTATGAACTTCGCATCCACACATTTAGTACCAAACGGTCGTCTTTGTATTTGGTTACCCACCGCGGATGAAGATTTTAACGAATTCTCGGTCCCAGCGCATAGGAATCTCAAATTAGAGTCGATTTGTGTTCAGAATTTTAATAAATGTGGGTAGTGCTCAATTCTATATAGACAGTTGCTTTACCACAATCACTAACGACGTTGCTATAGGGTCTCGAAGATTACTTACGTACACTCGGTACGAGGTCGATCAAGACCAGCCGGTAGTAGACGAAGAGGTTTTGCCTGATGCTACTGAAGAAACTCTTGATACTGCGAAGGCTAGACTCGCAAGGACTGCGGATGCTCTGAATCCATTCCGAAGAAAGGTAAATCCCACTATTTCTTCTAGAGAGGTCACTCACACACTAATCCTATTCCCATATCTCAACAGTACTTCGAGGGCTTTAAGACACCTCCATCAGAAGATTAACCGCCATATACTAGAGATAAGTCACATATAAAAGAGAATATGCACCAAAGGATATTTCCTTTTTTTTCTTTACAAACTTTTATGAATTATGATACCCAAGAATTTAGTTTTTATAAAACAAAAATCTAAAAGAAAGACTTTTAAACGACCCTAATGCATCCTGCCAATCTCATCCAGTGCATTCGTTAAAAGCACCAACAGCTGACCGTCCCCATGAGCAACCCTAACCGCCTGCGAAATATACGGGAACATAACCAACAAGTGTCGTTTCGTCCTTTCTACAGCCGCCGGAGGGGTAACCGCCTGGGCCTCCTCGCCTTCAAACCTCGCACACCGTAGCTTCGTAAACTTGTCCATGATGTAAACGATCTCCTTCCTCTGACATCTTGGCTGCGGCGTTCTTCCTCGAAGTGGTTGATCCTAAAAGTATCACAAATATAAATTAGCCACCCCAAGTTCATAACAAGTACTTTAAGGGTCGAACTCACCGCCGCAAATCTCCTCAGCACGACAGACACCCTAACCAACATCCACGGTATCGCCACCCCCGCCAAACTAACCCACTCTTCGCCTTCCCTCTCCCCGCAAAGCTCAAACAGCTCATCCAAACATTTGTAACCCACTCTCGCCCGTCTCTCCAGCACTAGATCACTGGTACACCCGAACAACATCTCTTTCCCTCCACCATAGCTTCCACCATCCTTGAAACTAATATCCAACTCCCCATCCAAAACCTTATATAACAACGACGCATTAAACACACTTTTCACATAACGTTCCTTCACATGAAACGGCACAAACCCCCTGCCTAGTCTCGGAATAATCAAATCCCTGGCTTGTTCGAAAGCCGTAATATCAAATTTCTCGTCCTTAAGCACAACATCAACATCTTCGTCATCGCAGTCCGCAGTGACAATAGCACATGTAACATCAACAATGTCTTCCCATATCCTGACCCTGATATCGTCGTTAAGCTCCATAGTATCAAGAATAGGTATCAAATCCTTGAGAATCGTGAGTGAGACTTTGGTAGCTTGAATCCATAATGCCTCTTTCTTTGTCGTTGCTCCTGGGTAAAATTTGTATTTTAATTGGATAGATTCACCAAGACCCTGGAGAACCGCGGATACGGCGCCACTGTCGTAAATATCCGGACCCGAGCCAGCGTGCTTAAGGGATAGATTTGCTAGGGTTGAGATAATCGTAGAAGAAACAGCAACGTATGATGGCTTCCGGGTTTTCGTATCACTGTTGGAGGCTGCTTTGTATGGTAACCTGCTTAGGAAGGCGAGTTCTTTCAAAACCAGTGATGTCCAGTCTGTCGAATCCGTATTTATCGTCTTAATCGAATCAAGTATTGAAGTTTGTAACGCACTTAACGTTTCAACGTCGAAGAAGTAAGCCGGTAACTCGGGGTATAGCATGCAATCCCTAAAGACGCCGAGTGCCTGTTCAATATCCGCGGTTGAGGTAATTGATCCCATAAGTTTATATAATGGCCTAAATGCATTTATAAACGCCGTTAGGGTCTCCTGTGAGTTGTTCTGGCCCCCTTCTTCGATCTCTTCGACTAAACCTCTACCCTGTTTTGCCCACAAATCCCATGCTTCTCGTTTCGACCCCACGGCAATTTCTTCTGATATAGTGGCTTTTTCGAGTAGTCTTGCGAGCTCCCTATATACAGTCTTGGTGACTTCGAAACTCCGCCAGTCCAGTAAATGGCGTAGGTACTTGATATACGTACTCCAGATCGCCTCGAAGCTCGATAGCATCTGGAATACGTTCAAGAAGTTGGAGTAGAGATTACTTGTTCCCTTAAGAATAAGAACAACAGTCTCATCCCATTGTTTCCTCTCCGGTGCGGGTAAACGTCCCTCTTGAAGGAGGGTTTCTGTAGTCGACATCATCTTGAACACGACGATATTTAAACAGGAGCTCCATGCTTTGGGACCGAGTATGTGGCCGTACGAGTCGAAGATGCGAAATAATGTTTGAATCGAGCCGTTTCGAACCTCTGACCGGGGGTCTTTAGTTATCTCGGCGAGTCTAAGGAGCAAGATGAGCCATAAAACCATGCTAGTACTCGAGCCTTGTGAACGAACGGCGGCAAGAAGTTCTTTATCGGTATTCGGGAAATCGTGTTCGCTTTCATTGTCAGACTTTTGGCCTTGGAGGAAGTCGGAAATATTCCAAAAATAGGTAATCGTCTGGTATCATTAGTACTTCGGTCACGGGAAGATTCATAGTTGGGTTCTTACTGTTAATGAGATATTCAAGTCATCCACCTGTGCACAGAATGAATAGAGAGTATCGATAAGGACCAAGACACAGTCGATGGGCAAGAGCCCCAGAAAATCAGTACATATAAGCTGCAAGGAAGCAAACGAGGTCTTGAGCAAGCGTATAGACTTTCCAGCTGGTCTAAATGCCTTCCCTTCAACGGGTGCCTTGAACGCGGTATTCATAATACTGAAGAGGATATCCCAGCCAGACTTTAGAGTCTCCCCGGATTGTTCAAGCATTGTCGTTAGAGCTTCCAACGCCGACTTGTGGATATCCGCGTCGACTAGTTTGACAGTATTGCTATGTGTATCCGCACCAGCCTGGTTTCCGTCTTCAAGGCCTCGGAGTTCTTTCAAAAGTGAACCCAAAATCCGCTCCTGAATGTCTATAGCACCAGGAGAGTCTGAATGTAGCGTCCTTGCAGATAGTATAACAAACTCATGTAAGATCTCCGAAGCCTTCAGCCTAATTGCTCCTTCAATTCCTTTTGATGTTGATGCAAGGAGTAGATAGTGCTGAATTGTATCCCACCCATTATCTTCAGGATCGTCCGTTATCAATCGCTCGATGTTAACCTGGACCAACTCCCCAAGTTTAGATATTGCAAAAGTGTTATCAATAGCCATAGCAGATGAAGACTTGCGCCGGCTTCCGATACTACTGATTCGGCGGTGCCCAAATCCAGGTGGTTTATGACCTGGTAAAACCGGCATGGCGCCACGTATGCGTTTAGCCTGGGCGGTTTCTGCAATAGGCGTGGGTGGTGCTTCCAATTCATCAAGATCTAGCAAGTCGCACAATGCACGCAGGAACGAGCGGAATGCTTCGTTGTTGAATTCTCTTGTGCTTTCAAATAGCTTCTGCGAAGTCCCCTCGACTGCTGCGATCTCGGGTCCTACATTTGCTAATATGGCCTGGCCGTCGTTTGCAGATCTTTGTGAGTCCATAGACTTAACGGATTGTGACGATGACTTGGTATTTGCACGGTATGTAGACTGTAAAATATAGTCAGTCTGCTGCAGGGCTTCGAGAACTATTGTCCAGGAGTCTTTGAGAGTAGTCCCTAAAGCCGTTCCGATGTTCAATAAAGCCCGCAAGCACACTAGATTTCGAACATTCAGTGCGAGAGGTTTAGATTCGGCTCCCGGTACTGTTAAATTTGTTGGGACAGATGTTGGTGTTTCTCTCCCTGAAGAAGCTTCGTGGAAACCTGAGTAGGCGATATGGGAGGACAGCACCTGCGGAGGTACCGCTGCCTTCCCAAGAGTTGTAAGGAAAGCATCCCTGGGAGTTGAAAGGTCTAATACACCTGCAACTTGCGTAAACTTTTGTAGAGACCTGACCAAGCTATGGTAGTAATCATTATCAAGCGTGGCGTATAGATATGTCGAATAGAGCGCCAAAACCGCGGGCCAGCAGGTGTCTACGATGGATGCGCATGTCTGTATATCAGCTTGGAGTGGGTGGTCCTCAAGGGTTAGCGGATTGAGTATTCCCTTGAACCGCCTCTTCATTGTCGAACTCTTCCTAGATAGACTATTCGGCGGTGTCTTCTTTTCTTGGTTCTCACCCCCACTTGTGGCATCGCTGTCGTTGGCGGTCTGGGCCTGCACTGATGCTTTGAGCCTGCGTTTCTTGGAACCTTTGGTATCTGAAGATGCTGTCGCTAGCGGGAGTATGAATTTTGCCAATCCCTCTGAAAAGCTATTTATGCAACTTAGAACCAAGGCGTAAAGGTACGATTCTGGCGTGGCAGGCGGTTCCGTTTTGTCAAGTTGTTCTATGCATGGGACCCGTACTGAGCTCCATTGAAGACTCAGGCCCGGTACTGCAGAATCACTAATCCCGGAAACACCACCAATAATTCCAGCGACACCTCCGGCTTCGAGCGCTAATTGTTCATTGGACATATTCCGAAGGGCATTTTGATCCAGTGGAATCGATGATTGCGTTCCCAATCCAATAATGCTTGGTTTTTCTTTCGCCAGGCGAGCAAGCATCGCCGTTAGTTCCCTCAAAACGGGCTTCTTTTCTTCTCGAGCGTCGTATACTGAGTATAGCCTTCTCAGCAACGATGCTTCTGCGAAAAGCCCTCTAACAATTTCCATACAAAGGGCCCGTTTCCATCCTGGCCCAGCATCTGGATCCAGCATATGCATAAGAAGTCCCAGCGCTACTTCACATTCCGATTCTAATATTGAAAGATGACGTCGTAAGAGAACATAGAATATTCGAATTACACGTACGGCGATTGGGAAGTTTGTGCGGTTTGAGAGAGACCTAATGACGAATGGGGCGACTCGAGCGCGAACGATGTGCGCTTGCTCCTTATGGGAGAGAAATATTTCGAAGTGATTGGCTAATACGGACTCGATGAGTTCGAGTCCGAACGGTTGGGGAATCTGTGTAAACTGAACATGCTGAGGTTTTTGTCCTTCGGTCTGTAGACAGAGATCTTGGAATACCTAATGATTTTGTTAGATTGGAGTTACAGATGGTAGGGGATTCGCATACTCTATATGCATCCGCAGCAGCCGGGCGCAGCGATATTATCTCGCCGTCTACTGAGACGCCTTCCGAAGTCGGAATTTCAGGTGCCTTATCTTTTGAAATTAGTATCTGTTTATATATCAAGGGGATAGAGCTTCTTAAATACCATCTTCGGCGGCCACTTTATCAAATACTGATGTTATAAGTTGCTGTAAAGCTGCCACCACATTAGCAGGGCCCTTCCAACAAGTGTATATGTATTTTGAATCCTATTACTCACTAGCGGCAGCTGTGCTATTCACGACGGCGACCTTGGTTCCTTGTAAACTCGAACATATCGCCAACGTATCCTCCAGATATTTCCCCTTGATGTTGGAAGCATAGTTTTGTAATAACGACGGAAGAGCTTGGAGGATCTTAAGCTGGATATCAGGGCCTATCCATGAGTATCAGTATGCCGAGAGATGTAAAGTCGCAGGTTGCGGAGGACGGACCAAGAGATACAGCATCTCTGAATGCATCCAAGACTTCTCTTAACCTTGACTATAGGGATGCTTAGTAAGAAAATATTCGGTATGTAGCCCAAGGAAGTCAATTGGGTACCTGAGCGAGGGCTTTTGCTACGATTAAGCGTTGTAGACAGCTTATGCCCATGGCAGTTATCCGGGGATGTTTGGAAGCGCATGCCAATATGAATGGCGACGGGAACGACGGCTTCCGCGAGAGTTCTATACACATATTCCGAGTGAGAATGATCCTAGATACGTGCTTGAAGTTTGGCTCGGTTTGTACCTCGTGCGACTTCGTTCTCCGGACTTGACGATAGGATCTTGAGCTCCGCTAGTGACTTCTCGGTCGCCTGTATGATTTGTCGCACATTATCAGAACTGATCTAGGTAAGAATCAGAGGCCTGGTAGGAAACATACAGATCTCAGGTCACCACTGCGCTTCCTTGCCTCTGCCAGCAGTGACGTGAGCTCATGGGTGAGGATCTGGGCGGTCATGATGATGTCGCAGGCGCAGATGGACTACCAGGCCACTATTACTGCCACTACTGAGCTGCCACTATTTCGAATATTTCAATCGATATGGTTGGTAACTCCGACGATACTGGGAATCACTATTCCGGTCAGTTCCGATGGTCCGGCATGAAGTTTATGAGATAGGTATCTCGACATCCGACAGGTAGCGTACGTAGTGTCGTGCAGTGTAATGTCAAATGGGAAATTAAATTACGGGCTGCGCGTCACCATCGGTTCCAGCATTTGATAGGTAGCAAGCAATTAGCAACAGGTTGAAATGGTGGCCCCAATTTAGGCTTTTAAGCCGCCTTGTCTTTCCCCCCACCATTTGCTCTGCCTGGCTGGACCGTTGTTTGGGAGCCGGCTGACCTCCACGCGAGCATTGCTGTCCCACCATTGATTGATTCAATTGCCCTGTTCGATCAGCCCAACTATCTTCACCACCATCACCATTAGCTCCCACCAGCTGCAGCTACTATCAGCACCACCACCACCATCGCTATCATAGTCACGGCTCCGAGTGTTATCCTGACTACAATAATAAATTCAGCATGTCGGCAAAGGTCCCAAGAAACTTCCGACTCTTAGAGGAGCTTGAGAAAGGCGAGAAGGGTCAAGGATCCGGTATGCTTTCATTTTCCTAGTCCTATTAACATATCTGTAGACCCGATTAGACTTCGACGTTAAGCTAATACGGTATTATAATCAATTTTTGAACTCTTATAGATGCCTGTTCTCTCGGACTTGACGATGGAAACGATATCATGATGACTAACTGGAACGGCACCATCCTCGGCCCTCCCCACGTTCGTAACCTCACCCTCCCCGCTTTACCCCTCCAGAACCTTTTATTTTTTACCTTTTTACCCTTTTGCCTTTTATTAATTACTATATATACACAGAGCGTCCATGAGAATCGGATCTACAGTGTCAAACTTCATTGTGACGAGCAGTACCCGGATGTACCACCGACGGTTCAGTTCTTGTCTAGAATCAATCTACCATGCGTGAGTCAGGAAGATGGAAAGGTTGGTTTCACCCCCTCCTTCAATTATTCGGCCAGAGACTTAACTAATAATTATGTGTATAGGTTGACCCTACAAAGTTGCAGTGTCTTGGAAATTGGAAGCGGGAATATACCATGGAGACCGTCCTTCTAGAACTTCGAAGGTATTATCATATAATCCTCCATTTATAATCTTTTATCGAGTGGTATCACTAACGAGGAGGTTATCGTAAATATCAGGTTCATGGCTAGCGGAAATAACAAGAAACTCCCACAACCACCAGAGGGAAGCACCTTCTAGGCATTCTTCAAACTTTCAGTATATACCACTGAAGCCAGCTCCATATTCCATGATCTCGGGGTCCCTTCTTAGCTTGTTAGGAGGGTCCCGAGACCGCACACTCTAGAAGGCGATGAACTCGGGAGCCGGGGGAGTTGGATAGAGTTGGAAACCCCATTACCCTCTCCCGGGTATGAAGGTGTTTTTGGCGTTTTTTCTTCTTCCTATTTTTGTCGGAGAGCGTAAAGAGTCCAGTCGTAAACCCGCGACGATGCAATCAATCAATCAATCAATCAATCAATCGATCGATGTATCTGCTTGTGCGCATTGCTCATTGACGATGTAATGAACCTCAGCATACAACCAGCGAATGAAACCCCCCTTTTTTATTTATCTATCTATTTATTTATCTATTCTACTTCCTCTTCTTCTTCTTAAAATCTATAGAACTTCCTCTATCTCTGATCTTAATCATATACTGCAGGTCGGCTGACAAGCGGTATACAACATTAGTTTGCTTGGAAAGTTAACGAACTCAAGACCAACACCAAAAATTTCTGACCTACAAAACACAACCATTCGGTGAACGCTTTTTTAACCTCCACAGCGAAGGATGGTCACGATAAAACCGCCATAGCCTGCGCACCCACTTCTTGAGCATCCTTAGATGCGATTACCGGCCTCCAAAACAGCCGCTCTACATAGAAATGTAGCCCATCGTGCTGCCTGTAAGTGGTTTCTCTTCATTCCACCTTTACTTCCAACGGGAAATCTAACTGGTCCCGTGCTGCCATAAACAGGTCTCGCCTTATACCGCAGACTCCTCAAGCACACCCAAAAAACCACCACCCTCACACTCCCCTCCACATCCACAGAAACACCCCCACCACCTCCCCCACCCTCTCAACTCGGCCGATCCATAAAATCCATCGTCACCCGTGAATTCAGAAAATACGGTACCTGCGACACCGCAATCGTCAAGATCCGCGCTGCCTTAACATTAGGTTACAAAGCTGAAAAATGCCTTCGTCTCGCAACCGCTGTCCCACCTGACCCCATCGAACTTGCGAGGTTATCTGCATTCCTAAATCTCTATCGTCAACGCCGTGAAGCCCCTCCGCTGGTTCGAATGCAAGCAGCGAATATTACTGTTCAGCCAAAACCAAAACCAAAACCTCCCAAACCTGTCAACCCGAATTTATCCCTCTTACCTTTCGATCTCCGTTTCAAACCTACAATAATTGGTGGTAACACCATACCCTTCATTCGATACACCGGAACGAAACAATCTCCAGAATTATCCGGGATATTAAACAAGAAAATAAAACAGAAGGTTAAACGTGATGATTTGCTGGATCAATTGAAACAAGATAGGGAGTATGCGAACGCGGAGGATATTTTTGAAAATGAATTATGGAATGAAGCGGGGAGGGAGTGGAGGAAGGAGAATCCGGATGAGAATCCTACGGTAGATGGGTACTGGAAAACAGAGGTGACACGGGCACAAATGAGATTGCAGCTTAAACTGTGGGCTCATCAGGTTTCGGTATGGGAGAGGTCTGGGAGGTGTATGGATAGGATTGAGGATCATAAAAGAAGGGTCAAGGAGTTTATGGCAAAGTTAAAAGCGGAGAAGATGAAAAAGAAAGGAACGAGCGAGAATGTTGAACAAATTGGAGATTCCGGCAGCGAGATAGAGAATAGTGTGGGAAAGGTTGGGGTAGTGGGGGAAAGAGATATCGGTGGCTTGGATTCTGATGTGGAGGGCTTTGAATCAACAGGGGAACCAAGGGTTGAAGGGATTGAGAGTCAGGAACAATACTCCGACAGCATTGATTCACAAATGGAAGCCCTGAATGCACAATTGAAGGCAGCGGGGCTCGACCTCGGCCCACAGCCGATAGCGTCCGCGAAGAAACCTAGAGCTGAGACGAAGAAACCGGAACCGCAGCCAAGGTCAGAGCCAGAGCCAGAGCTTGACGACATGGATGCTGAAATGGAGGCCCTCAATGCGCAACTTCGAGCAGCTGGCTTTAACCCAACATCACGAATTCCCAACCCCAGGAAATCCGGTCGTGGTAATAAGTTCGAACCCCGACGCTACAGCCGTGATGATAACTTCGAACCAAGAGATTACAACCACCGTAACAATAACTTCGAACCAAGAGACCACGGCCGTAAAGACAACTTCAGATCTAGAGATTACAACAGCCGCGGCGGGAGAACAGACACCCGCCAAAACTCCTATTCAAGATCACGCTATGATAACTACGACGACAGAAGCCCTCGAGAGCCAAGACCACGATATAATAATCGCGACAGTAACAGGCTTCCTAGAGAATCAAAACCACGATCAAAACGGCAACCTAGCCCGAAACGTCAAGAGGATGAACATCACGGTAGACAAGAAGGCCAAAAGGAAAACAGGCACGCCCAAAGATCTGACAATGGAGCTATGCTGGCAGGGAAGGGAGTAAGGTCCCGAAGAGGACTTGACATTGGTAAAATTTTTGGTTCGGAGGAACCTAAGTGATATCCTCCTATCAAGTCAGAGGACAAGTTGTACATATTGGTAAATGATTCATGATGAGTTACGGAGGATATATTGTGTCCATAGATCTAGATCCTTGTATAATAACTGTACAATATACCCCAATTGTTCTAGTAAATTCTCGATATCTCCCAACAAAGGGCAGCTGCTAGGCACTGCAGTGACTCACATATCCACACTAATACCAGGATGCTTAGACGTTTATTTCTCCCTTTGGGGCGTCTGGGAACGAGGCCTGGATATCTAGGATATTCTCGAATTCTCAAATATTTTGCGACATCAAAATTTCATCTTCCAAAATATTTCCTTGGCATCCAAAACATCCCACCTTCAAACCCCACCACCACCCCACCACCACCCCACCTTACCAATCCACCATCCAAACCGAGCTCTCAAAAGATATCAACATGTCGAACATCTGGATCGCTGCCTCTGACGGCAACACCTCCCAAGTTCTCTCCTACCTCTCGGCCCGGCCAAGCCTTGTAAACGCCAAAGACGAAAACGGGTATACCCCGATTCACGCTGCAGCTTCGTATGGACACCTCGATCTACTTCGTACATTAATAAAAGACCATGGTGGCGATGTAAACCTCCGCGATGACGATGGCGATACACCGTTATTTACAGCTGAGACTGTGGAGGTTGCGAAGCTTTTGGTCGAAGAGTTGGGGGCTGATTGGAGTTTGAAGAATGATGATGGGTTGACAGTATGTCATTTTTTTTGTTCCTTCTTTTTTGTTCTTTATTCATCTTTCAAGATTTGAGAAAGGGGTATTGAGACTAATTTTCTTATGGTATAGGCTGCTGAAACAATTGAAGGAGAAGATGCATACCCCCTCGTAGCAGAGTACCTCCAAACACTGGCATCCAAAGAAGCGATCTTGAGTTCAGACGCTGGAGTTCCACCGGCCGGTATCGCAGTCAATCTCACATCTATGGACGAAGTCGCCGAAGAACTAGAGCCGGTCGACGAAGAGTTTAAGAGAAAGATTGAAGAACTAGCATCAAGACCTGGAGAGTATACTCAGGAAGAACTGCGACAGCTGGTTACTGAGGCTGTTCATAAACACATTTTGGAACCTGAGGAGAGGAATGTTAAAGCGAAGGAGAGCAGGGAGGAGTGATATGGGTGAAGCGCTATGAAGTCGATGATATTTTCGCTTGATAATTTAGACGTCTTTTTCTTCTTCTTCTAATGGACATGATAGCGGGTAGTTATTTTTTTTTCTTTTGTCGGGATAATGAATTTAATGGTTAAAAGATTGCGGATCCATGTATGTACGATAATGGTATGAATAAAAAAAAGTTAGGTCATAGATTCTAAATGCCTCCAGATGAACACAATGCTGGTATATATATACATAAGGTCCAACGAGTCGCAAGCATCTATATACACCGTGTATAAATGAGAAATGCACCCCTCTCTACATAAGCACAAATGAAATGGAAGAAGTTGGGTATAGGTGGGTAGTAGTCCGTGTAGTGTATGTGTGTATTGAATGGCAGCGCTATAGGTATAATCTAGTAAAATATCTAGTAGTGTGGTAGATTTAACCGCGTGTTCTCTGAAGGAATTCGACGACACTGGTGTAGACGACGAGAAGGATACCACCACCGGGTCCGAGACGGAGGACCTTAGGTAGGAAACCCTTGTAGAGGGCTGCGAAACCTTCTTCTCTGGCGACGACGAAGAGGGATGGAACGGCCCAGTTGTATTTTTGGATCTGGCCGGGGACTCTGACGGTGTTTTGAATACGAGATTTGACGACATCGAAACTATTTTGTAGGGTGTCAGTGGGTATTCCAATTTGTATTTATATTCAGGAATATATGAAGTCAGATAATTCAACTTACGGGGTATTCAAGATGGTACCAGCAGTGCCACCGAGGGCACCGGCAATAATGTCGTTACCCATCTGTCCCTGCTTTGTCTCGGCCTTCGGTAGTAGGGCCTTAGCCTGGAAGATGATACCGAAGTATCCAGCGTTCCAGACCATATGTCTCCACATTGTGCTCTCCAATCCATTGTATAGAGCCAGCACACCTTCCGCCCTAACCAACTTGACAAAGCAATCCACCATTCCCTTGTACTTCCCTGCCGAAGCACGATCCTGCAACCGAATTTTGATCAATTCGAAAGGCACGACAACAAACGACTCGCTAACACCGGCAGAAGCACCGGTCAAAACGGCAAGAGGCTGATTCATCTTCTCAATCCCAAAGCTCTGTCGGTAAAAGTTACCCCAATAGTCGTTTGCGGCGAATTTGGTAGCACGCTTGGGAGCTTCCATGAGAATGGGAGCATTGATACCACGGTATAATCGGCCGAACCCTTCGTTCTTGATGATCTTGCGGAAGCAATCGAGGGTGCCGGTGTATGCGTCTGCACCGGTAGCGCCGCCGACCTGCAGCTGTATTCTGGTCTTGACGACATCTAGTGGGTACATGACCAAAATTTCAGAGACACCAGCGACGGCACCAGCCGCGAAGCTGTAGGCGAAAGGAAGAGGCTTCTTGTTTTCCGACATTTTTTTTGGAAGATTTCTTTTTTATCTTTTCCCTTAGGGTGAGGGAGGGAGGGGGAGATATTAGGAGATATGAAAAAGTGTCGTGTGCACGGTGGGCTGAATATTGATATTGAGTACAGTGAGTGGGTGGTTGGATTGGTGTTGTTAGTGTGGTAGGTGACGAAAATGACAGGTCGTCCCGAGGCCGAATTAAAGCGACTTGAACGGTTCGAAGCCCACGAGGCTGGTTTGCAATTGAACTGGAGCTTGAGGTGATCTTCGAGTGAAAACAGCGGGGAGTCCTTCGACTTAATATTAAATCGCTCGCTCGTCAAAACCCGGGTTCTCTTTTCTTGCTCTTTTTTATTTTTGCTTCTGACAATTAGGTACTAGAAACCTGGGGACTTATTCGGCGGGCTAAAAAGAGGAAGAAAAAAAAAAGTTGGAGCAGCGTTTGGGGTAATTACAAAATTTTGACCTGCCGTTATCGCCGATATTCGATGTCGCCGCTCTCGCTAGTGACTTCGCTAGCGCCCTGCAGGAGATTCTAGGTTTGTTCTGGGTTTGTTCTGTTCTGTTCCGGCCTGGACCGGCTGTCCCTCACTCAATTGATCCCGGGCACCAGACAGACCACCCCCACTAGTATCCGTCCGTTAATCAGGAGAGTAGCATCGCTGACACCGGCCAAGGGGAATTAAAGATGTGTAATTACCCCTCATTGGAGCCATGGAGCTGCAGAGCTAGAAACCCCGATCGCGATTTCCGACTGACCGAGAAGGCTTATATTCTTAAAACACCTATTTGCTGATTCGAATACGTCAACTGTCAGCTCCGATCAAAGCCTGGATGTCTGGATGTCTGGATGTCTTACAGGGTCGGGTGGAATGCAGCTATAGTTCCTGCAGCCCAGCTTGCCATTGGTTGGATTGAACAAGTACTGTGGAAGGTATATGCAGAAACAATGAATGATTGGTAATTGGTCCCGATGAGATGGCATTGGATGAGGTTCCTGGGTACTTACCAAGTAGCTATGCTATGTATGTCCGGGATGCCAGCTGGGGGTGCCGTTGCTTGGCAAGGCTTTTGTTTACTCAACGCGTCGCCAGAGAACACCACCGCTATGGCTGGCTGCCCTTGCTCTTGATATCATCACCAACCTCCACTCCACATCGACTAATTCATTGATTGATTTGTTGATTGGTCTGACTGAAGCCCTTCTCTCGATATGCTTCATTTCCAGTCTTCGTCATCAGCTTCTTTACTTTAGTTTTTTTTTTTTTTTAATCCTTGCTCGCCCGCTTGTGGCTTCAACGGTTTAGCGTTTGTTTTCTGTATTGATGTCCTCGTCTTTTTGATGCCCTTCAATTATTTCATTGGTATATTTGGCAGTACCCCTCGACCGGACGGCCGATTATATTAAATTGCTGGCGACATGTCTTCACGTCGGACTATGAGCTTCTTCGAACAAGACCATGCTGCTACCGTAATTATAACCTTTCAATTTCTATATCGTTCTTCTCTATCTAAAATAGTGTTTGCTAAAACCCTGCGCTCTTACAGAACCGTCCTGGTGGAGGCCGACTCCCATTTCGGAGAAACAATACCAATGCTGCGAATTCCGGTGTCCCGAAACCCCTCGCCGGTCAACCTCTCAAGAAAACCGTCTCTGACCCGGTGTCTCTAAAGACAAAGGAAAAACTTGGTGCCTTCACTCACAAGAATACTGCTGCCGCTCCTATAAGCCGAACTAAAACTGGACCGGCGGGTCCAACTTCAAAATACCCTGTAACGTCAATTGCTCGAACAAATGCTCTTGTGAATGACGCCCCAGGGGTAAAAGTCACTGCGCCAGTAGATTCCTCACCACCATTACCGCCGCCGCCGCCGCCGCCGCCGCCGCCCCCTCTCCCTTCAACTGTTCACAAGGAGAATAAACCACATGATGGCCGTTTACCTATTAAAAATACAAAACCATCCGACAAGATCGATAGGACGCCTGCTCCCAAGAAGCATGCCAAATTTGCAGTCGGATCAGTGCCAGCTGGCGATCATAAGGACGTCCCTTGCACACCACAGCATCGATTCGCTCTGAATGACTTGCTCACGCAAGCCAACACGACCCCCTCCGTCTCCAAATGCGCTGAGGAAGCATCTCCAGAGGTTAGAGTCTCCTGGAAGAGTTCTCCGAAAAGGCTTCAAGGAAGGAAGGTTGCAGATCGAGTCTCCATGCATAAGAAAAGGCCCAGAAGCTCCTCTCCCTCAACCACGCCACAGCCTAGCAAACGTGTACAAGAACAACTCGCTTTCGACATATCCTCACCTGCTCTTAAAACGCCAATGGCAAACCCGTTCGAGGATGCTTGGAGCAAACGACTTAAAGATTTTCCTAGTGCTGGTGTTCCCACCGCTAAAGGTGAAGGTTACTTTGACGGAAGCTCGCCTAGCGCGGTGCCGACTATTTTTGATTCACCATCTGCATTTCGAAGGTCATTGAGCGCCCCAACCAAGCGCCTCAAACTAGCAGCCGATACAACCAAGGAAGCCAACATATCACAGGCAAAGAATATCAGGAAACTAGGAAGACGTGGTGGTGCTACCGCTCGTAATCCAGCGAACGAACGTGTGTCTAGTTTGTTGGCGAGACTTCAGGAGAATACTAAAGCAGCAGCTCTCCAAAAATCAGATACTGCCCCGGCTTCTATCGACTCATCGCTCTACAGATATGATGATGCTTCCGCTTCAATCGAGAACCTGATAACCCCACCTGTCGATGATAAGGGTCCCTGGGAAAGGGAAAGCTCCGTCCTAAGGTCCAGGCGATCGATGTCCATAATTTCTGGTGGTAATTCGAGGCAAGCAACGAAAGAGCCTTCTCCAGTGCCCATTCGTGCTCAGGAACCAAAATCGGATGATTATGGACTCGATGATGACGATGACGAGGAAATGTTTGAGTTGGTGGAAAGTACTTGTCGCCCAGCCGAGCCTGTTGAGGATGGCAATAAAGTTGTTGAAGAACAGAAGGCTGGCAATGTTAAAGGCGAGGACTCGGATGATTACGGGCTTAATGACTTTGACGATGATGATGACTGGGAGGCGGATATTGCTAAAGCAGTAGCCGGAAATGAAACCCCTAAAGTGTCTAAGAAAACCTCTAGATCACCTTTCAAGAAGTCACCGGCTTCTCCAAAGAAACGAGCCAAGTCACCTCTTGCAATTTTATCAGATGATGATTATGGAAGCGACTTTGATCCTGATGAGATAGTTGTAAGTTCACATACTAGCATAGCTTTCAACGATCCATACTAAGTTTTGAAAGAAAGACACAAAATCCCGGGCCATCCAAAGATTCGTGGTATTAGACGTATTTGAAGATGATTATATTTCAAGCGCCGGGGCAACCCGACCTGAAAAGGCGCTCCGCGTCGAAGACGAAAAGACGCGGACAGAGCGACGGGTCCTATTACGACAAGCTTGGATGGATTGTGATGTGCGAGAAGGTGATATTGTCAATGTTATAGGAAGCTTTGACGCAACTCTCACTTGCATTATTGATAATTCGCAGAACATGCTTATCCTTCATCCTGATATCCTGTTATCTGCTACGGCGGTCGCAGATTCGTTCGACTGTATCAGGTTAGCGACTCTGAGGGAACGAGTAAAGGCTATTTCGGATGCGTCGCAATGGAGCGTTTATGGAAATATCTTGCATGAGGTATTCCAGATGGCGCTCAGTGCGAATGATTTTTCGACTTCTTTTTTGGAGAAGGAAATCAGTCGGATCCTTTTGGCGCAGATGGTGAATTTGTACGCCGTGAGGGTCACACCGAGTATGGCTATTGACCATCTACGGACACAATTGCCATTGTTGCAGGATTGGGCTAAACTATTCGTATCTGCAAAACCGAAGCCGGATGCTATGGTAAAGGGACACCGGTCAGCGGATGCCAATATAGCTATTCGAAAAGTCTTGGACGTTGAGGAACATATTTGGTCGCCTAAGTTTGGGCTTAAGGGTAATATCGATGTGACCGTTGAGGTGGATGTGCGGGATATTAACGGCCAGAGTGTATTGACTGTTCCGCTCGAGTTGAAAACGGGGAAGAACGCAAAGATTGCACACCGGGCCCAGACTATGCTTTATACTCTTTTAATGGCTGATCGTTATGGTGAGTTCGCCAAGTTTTTAATTTTTACCCTCCCGCTCCCCCTATCCCCACTAATATGACTTTCTTAGATATTGAATCTCTATGCGGTGTTCTATACTACATGGAAAAGGCGGAAACCATTAGGGTGCCTAATCTCTCGGATGAGCTACGGGGTTTGATGATTGGAAGAAACCATTTGGCGCGATACATCTACGGCAAAATCGATCTCCCCCCTATGCTCCAGGATAAACGTATGTGTGGGAGATGCTACGCTAAAACTACGTGTTTTGTGTACCATAAGGTGAGATCCATCCGCCAATTTCATTTCATCGATGCCATTAACAAATCTCTTAGACCATGGAAAACGGGACCGAGGAGACTAGTGGCGTAGGCGATGTTTTCACGAAGGAGGCCAGCCATCTTAACCAAACACACGCCGAGTTTTTCTCTAAATGGGAGACTCTACTTTCAAAAGAAGAAAAGGATATGGAGAGATTCCGAAAGGAACTGTGGGTGATGACTAGCGAAGAACGGGAAGCTGCTGGAAGATGTTTTGGCGGGTTGAAGATGATACCTGAATCTGCTCCTACATCTAACGACAATGTTTCAAAAATTAATCGGTATCACTATCGATTTGTGAAACGAACGCCACCTCCTTCATTTTCGTTCCTGGAATCTCAGATTGGAGTTGGGGAGGCGATTGTTATATCGGATGAGGATGGTCATTTTGCTCTTGCAAAGGGGTTCGTGATCAAAGTCTCCGCTCAGTGGATTATGGTTGCTGTTGATCGGAGGCTGCATAATTCGCGAGTCAAAGAACCTGGATTTCATGAAACGAAGAACCAAACCTTTTCCGCCATTATGGAGATTCTAGAAGATGGGTCGACTAAGCCGCTACCGCCGCTAAGTTCTCAAGAAGGACTTGTGTCATATCGTCTCGATAAAGATGAGTTTAGCAATGGGGTGGCGCTTATTCGGAACAATCTGGTGGAATTGGTGAAGGCTGATGGAAACCCGAGGCTGCGGGAAGTCATTGTGGAATTGGCACCACCTGTTTACAATTTAGAATCAACGGCGTATCCACTGCCGTCCGCGAGTCAAGACAAGATTAACATTGACCAGAAGAACGCCATTGAGAAAGTTATGAGTGCACAGGATTATGCGTTGGTGCTTGGAATGCCTGGAACTGGGAAAACTACGACCATTGCACATATAATCCGCGCGCTTGTTCACCAGGGAAAGACCGTCTTGTTGACTTCATACACGCATACCGCTGTCGACAATATTCTTCTCAAAATCAAGGACGACCGCCCAATTAAAGTCCTTCGACTTGGGGCCACGTCCAAAATCCACCCGGAAGTTCAAAAATTTGCCGTTTTGGCAAATACGCCTAAGAAGTGTTTTGATGAGATTCAAGACGCCTATCATAGCCCTCAGGTCGTTGCGACGACATGCTTGTCTATCAATCATGTTGTGTTTACAGAGAGAGTTTTTGATTATTGTATCGTCGATGAGGCTTCACAAATCACTCTTCCGGTTTGCGTGGGACCCATACGTATGGCGAAGAAGTTTGTGCTTGTGGGAGATCACTTCCAGTTGCCGCCGCTCGTTCGAAGTTCAGAAGCAAAGGCTGGGGGTTTGGATGTGAGCTTGTTCAAACTTCTATCGGACGCTCATCCGGATTCTGTCGTCAACTTAGAACATCAGTACCGTATGTGTGAGGATATTATGGCTCTATCAAATCATCTTATCTACGAAGGGAGGTTGAAATGTGGAACGGAGAAAGTTGCGAAGAGCAGTCTTCATATCCCGAATATCAAGGCTTTGGAGGCGTTTCATAGGCCTTCTTCTTCTGGGGGAGTGGCAGAGGGAGGCAAGATGTGTGGTGGTGATGGAACACCTTGTTGGATTAGGGATTTGTTGAAGGAGGATGTTAAGGCAATGTTTTTGAATACGGATTTAGTGGCTGCGCCAGAAGAGAAGAAGGGAGATCGGACGTATAACCCTATTGAAGCGGAGTTGACTCGACAGGTAAATTTTTAACTTTTCCATTCAGATCATGATTACGGTATTTTATTAACTATCGGGTTTATAGCTTGTGGAGGGATTCCTTCGCTGCGGTGTCGATGCCAATGAAATTGGTGTCGTATCAGTCTACAGATCTCAAATCAAGGCGATCCAGCACCTCCTTCATGGCCACCCATCCGTCGAAATGCATACGGCCGATAAGTTCCAAGGACGAGATAAAGATTGTATCATTATCTCACTCGTCCGGTCAAACGATAAAGAGGTCGTGGGGGAGCTACTCAAAGACTGGCGAAGGATTAACGTAGCGTTTACTCGAGCCAAAACCAAGTTATTGATTATTGGGTCCAAGTCCACGCTTAAAACCAATGAACTACTAAGGAAATTTGTGGAAATGATGGAGAAGAGGGAGTGGTTGTATGATTTACCGGCTGGGGCGCATTTGGGGCATCATATCCCTATAGCGCAGCCAACCCAGAGCAGTGGCAGTCCGATGAAAGGTTTGAGTAAGGAACAGCGGAAGAGGGTGATGGAGGAAGGAGAGAATAAACGGCCTGTCAATGTGCAGAGGCAAAGGAGTTTGGTGGATATGCTGGGAAAGAAAGGAAGTGGAGTGGTTAAACTTGGTGGAGGAGGACCCGGAAGGGGCACTATGGGGAGGGGTTTAGTGGCCTCGAGGGGGGTGCTGAGGGATATTCTGAATAACCTGAATTGAAGGAAAGAAGAAAGGGATGTGCATGGAAGTAGGATGGATTTTTGTTTATGTGGTGACCATGATCATGATTGTTTGTTCCAGCGTGTTTGCAATTGTATTATTATTACCTACTACATGTTTCTATCTGTTTTTTGCACGGAGTTTGGCCAGGCGGATGGGGGATTGTTCGCAGAGGTCTTTACTTCATACCATGGCCCTCAAGTCTCTGGGCTGGATTGCATAATTCATCACGGTTATGAGAATGACTATGATCAAAAAGAAAATAAAAGAAAATCAGAAATTGACAGCCCTAGCTACTAAATTTACACAGTGACTTGTCGAACTATAGAACAGGCTACCGATTGGCCGCATCATTCTCTCCGTCCCTTTGCATTGTTCTATTACACACTCAGCTGTGCAGGTAAACCGGATAACGCTTTTCCATACGTACAACTTCGGAGTTCATGCAGTAGTACTGATATAATAATGGTGGTCGGTAGCTTACGTATTACGTCAGGGCAATTGTCTCGTGCAGATGATATTTTGCCTGATAATATTATATATAATATTGTAATGATAATTCGAAGCTTAACTATATTAGGTCTAGATGGTTTATAGGATGGGACTCATATAGTCCTAAGATATAGCATAACTTACGCTCATTGAAGCCTTCATACTGTACTAAATTCTCTACACTGCGAGAATGTGGGGCTGAGAAACTTAAGGGTCCTAAGATTCAAACTTTCGAACTTGATCTGGGTGCTGGGTGCTTAATTGATGTATAGAGGATAATAATATGATTGACCAATCTATAATACCACAAAAGCCAACACAACCATCCTTGCAAGTTAAGTGCAGGGGGGATTGCTTCCAAGTGTAGGACAGACGACGAACGCAATAGAGACTATTAACCAATTGGGACATCAGCTTGATCCTCCATAACCCTTCCACTAAGACTAGTCTCCGTTGTTTCTCGCTTGTTTTCCGGGGGTCCTGCTAGGCCAAGGGTGTGTATGTGCGAGATTTTACAATACATTGTGTGGGCGGGAGCCATTGCATACTTCATAAAAGCACCGGTGCTTTCTTTTTTTATGTAAAAGAGCGAAGAAGAAGAAAGGCCGGGTGGTGTTACGATTGGTTGGATGGATGATCCAAAGGTAAATAAATTTTACTTGCAGATATATGCATCCGAGTTCCGGTCTCAGTCCTTGTAAGTCCTGCGCACATACATTAGCAGGGCGCAAAATGTGATAAGTATTTACGTCTCGTTCCCATTCGGATAAGAGGTGGGTGAGTGCATCTTCGACAGGGTATTCCACACTTCAGAAATCTCCCTAATTTTCCCAGCCTCGGTCCTAATCAGGCCAGGCGTGGGCGACTTAATCCTTGCAGAGACAAAACTAGGGCCGGATCCATGGATCCATATTCTCAGAGAACTGAGAAAAACGGTACGCATCATATTATATTACCATTTATCCCAGCGCTCCAGGGACAGTAGAGCATGTATGCCGCACTGGTGTGTTCCATCCGCCTCGAGACGAAATCTGTTTGGAGACAACGTTGTCGATGCATAATATGATTTTAGAAGAGTTACCACGTAGTTAGGCCGCCCGCCGCTCGGAGCGGGCACAATCGCTTTGTTTTAGTTTTTTTAATTCCTTTTGTATTACTTTTTTTTTGTAAGCTATCTATTGTACGTTGAATCCTCAAGAATAGGATTAGAGAGGACTTGATGATAGTGCAAGTGCCTATTATATTGTAAAGTTTATAAATATGCATATCGATCAATTGATACCCTCTCATGGCGAGTATTCGATAACTTCAATGCCCAGTACGATTTGAAGCCTCTCCGAGGTTCCTTTTAGTTTTACCTGCTCTCTGGAATTCCTAGTCCGGGGCATTATAATTCATAGTCTACCTACCAGGGGACTCGAAGTCACGACTATCCTTCCAAAATGGACGAAAAGCATGCTATAACAGAAACACCAGCGCCGGTCGAGACTGAGACCGAGATAAAACCAAATACATCAGAAACTTGTGACCCTCAGAACTATGATACGGTCTGGAGACGAGTTGGTTATCTTTCGCTAGGTGTACTCGGCCTTAGTTTATTGATTGTCCTGGCATCGGTCGGCTTCTTCTGTTTCTTATGGTATAGCAATGCTGAAAATACCATCTGGCACAAGATTATGATAAATGAATGGGCAACTCGAGCGATATCTTTGACCTCTACGGCCCTACGATGGGCTGTTGCGACGCAAGCTGCACTTGGTCTTGCCATGCTGGCTGCTGTGGCTTTAGAGGGATACGATGTTCCTCTCGCGCATACCGCTGACGTCTCCCTCATGAGAGTTAACGGTGGACAACTTATCCCAACCTTACTAGACGTCTGCTGGCCCCTATCTCGATTCGGTCCTCCTGGCGTTATTCCCAGAACGGTCCTCCCCATACTAGTGCTCTTGGGTACCTCCACATTAGTCCAATTTACCTCGACCGCCTTACTCTCGGACCTTCGTACGGACGTGCTTCCGGGCTATCCTGTCCACTCCAACTTGTCCATAGACTGGTGGTTCGATGGGAATTTCTTTCGCTGGACTCCCACAACAGCTGAAATTATGTGGGGGGGAAACAAACCAGATTTCTGGCCTGCATTCGCAGAACTCAGTGGCCCACCTCTCGTGCAAGAGGGTGTATCCGATACAGGGAAGAACGTTCGAGCATTCCTACCTTTCGCAACAGTAGAGAGTCGCCAGAACGTCCGTAGCTATGACGGTAAAGCGGTTCTAGTCGACACCCGGGTTACTTGTCAGCGCCCCGTCTTAGATGATCTCATCATGTATACGCTCAGTCATGAAGGAGAATGGGACATAATATTTCAACCCGTTCTCAAGGGTACTGTTGCGCCGACTGTCGATACACCCCGGTTTAATGCATCAGATCGCCCGACTCCCTTCGATTGTCCGTTTTCTAGATCAAACAGAAGATCATTCGCGATCTGCGAACTTGCGAATATAAAAACAAGAACACCGGCTTCAATGCAACAAGTGTATGCCGGTAGCCTTGTGAGCGAATTCCGATCCTTCCCTCCCCTCTCGCCTATGCAAAACGCTTCTGGAGCCGCATACCTCATTATAGCCGTTAACAATACCGATCTACCTGTCGGCAATGGGGAATGGGCTAAGTTTGAAGTTGTTAGCCCTGGTGACGGTAGGAACACGACATACGAAAGAACTTCCGTTGTCAGCGCCACTGTTTGCTACTCAGCCCTTGATACTGTTATCAGAGACGTTACGATCTCCAGCACCATGAATAGAACGGAGCCAACCCTTTCATGGAATGAAACAACTAAGAATTTTGACTGGACTAGCGTACATCAACAGTTACTCTCAGGGCACAAGAGTAACCTAACAGTTGAGGAACGTGGAATTTTGAACCTTAAGAGCAAAGCAGATACTTTAGTTACCCCGGAGAGTCTTGAGCCCGGAACTGATGGTCCGGTTTCAAGCACGATAACCGGTAGCATCTACCAAACCCAGTGGCCATACATTCTCGAAGCGGTACACTTGTCATATCCCGGCCGTGGCTGGGCATACGGAAACTACAGTGTCACCCTGGATGAGAATTTTTGGGCATGGCACCTCCAATATGGCTCATGGCCACAGGTCGGGGCAGCAACATGGGTCCGAACCCTCTTCGAACACTTAGTATACGGTAACGACACCGTCGCCGACGCCCTGCACATGATACTTTTCACCCTTGCGGGAACCGCATACTATGATCAATTACCCCAGTATAACAACTGGAAGGAAGTTGATACGGTATCTTTCGTACCGGCATTACACCCCGGTGGCCCATTCGGAACAACTCGTACTGAGATACCGACCGGGCTTACTATTACCCTGGCGGTCATCGCGTTCCACGTTGTTGTCTTTTTTTACGTTTTCTGGCTTTTCGCGTATAAAACCGGGTTTTCGAGGTTGGGAGATACTTGGATGGCGATTGCCAATGTGGTCGATGCTACACTCACCGATGGGATGCTGGAGAAGGCAAGACAAGTCAGAGCGGGCAGAAAGAAAGTAGCAACGGCGGCACCGTTGGTCGGGGAGGCTGGAGGCATTATGAACCTCAATGTGGGCTTGAAGACTGTTGATGGGCAAGTCCGTCTAGTGCTAGGCAAGGAAGGAAGTCAATAGTTTTAATGATGAGGCTGTTGGGTTTAATGGGAGGATTTACGAAGACGGCGATCAACAGTCCGCCATGTCTACCTATACCTGCGCATGCATGTATGATATGATATTTCTGATGCGTTGATTTTTGTTGTTTTTCTGATTTTGGAAGTATATTGTCTTGAGACCTAATTGTAATTACCTAACTAGTCTGGGGCTAGTCCCATATTGCTGCAGGTGACCCCAGACTAACTACAAGCTAAGGCAGAGCTGCAATCTGTACTATATCTGAACGTATAAACGTTATAAACCTAGCTTAGCTATAGTGATATAAACTTTCCCAACAGGCCCTCATCTAGCACCGTTCAGTTCGAAGTTGGGCAAACACCAAAAGTGGTAAAAGTGGTATACTTACTACAATGCTCACCGGTACCGGTGCAGTGTGGGCTAGGGCTGCGTTGCAGCACAAGACTAAGTACTACCTACTAATAGACATCATCATTTTCGGAATACAACAGAGGAAACACATTGCATTTACATCCGATATTTGTACGACATACGCATATCTAGATCTTCCAGGTCTGGGTACAAGATGCAAGACAAACTACATAGTGCTACATAGATACATTTCACAGATTACGATATTGACAGCTCATTAGATATTTTTGATGAATAGTTGACTGACAGCTGGTCGAGCGAAGGAAAATGTTGATTAATTAGTATACTAAATCAACCAATATATCTCATGCATGATATCAATAATCTATAACCTTAATGCTATGTAGCCTCGAATCCAATGCTATGGTAGTCTTGTATGGTACTACATGATGCAATGGCACCAAATGACAAACTTCGGCTCAAGGTATATACGTATTCAATTTGCGTGGGTGGAATTGCAATTAAGCAATCGAAGTATGTACGCCCGTCGTTATCAGCAGCTGGTATTGTATAGATGAGTGCGGGAATTAACTAATACATGCATGCACAGAAATTGGAATTCCCTCCTAGTGGAAAAGAATAAGCTCATTTTTGAGTTTTATAGATAATCTATAACCCGTTAAAACGTTTGTGAATAAGTCTCACACTAAGTGATACAAGATCTGTAAGGTCTGAATATCTATGGATCGATTCTTCGTCATACATTTTGAAATAGTCTACAATGATAGTGTAGTGGGACAGCTGTATACATGTACATGTATACGTATAGTATAAAGCTGTACAGCTATGTTGCGCTGGCCTCGAGACCACTGTTGCACAGAGAATTTTATATACAATCTAAAATTAAAAAAAAACCGCTTAGATCTATAGGTCTCTAATTAAGTTTGATAGATACGCGATTTAGCTAATCAGTAAAAATTAAATTCGTATTATATTGCTATTAAAATTGAAATGTGTATAATCCCAAGGCCCATAATGGTATAAGTATAGCCCATGCCTGCCCTTGAGCACCATGATCATTACATTTAATATTTACAAGATAATAGAATATAATCATAATATAAATCCAATCCATAAATCATCTATAACGGGTTCTTGACCAGATCAATCTGCATCTATCAGCTTCCACACATATTTCTTCATCCCATCCATATCGATATCTACTGCTATAATATCAGGTAAGACTTCGAGGGTTAACTATAACTTTAATTAAATTTAGATCCGAGGAGGGTTGCAATTGGCCTTGAGCATGTACATGGACAATCTCTTGCTGATCTCAACGCCTATAGTTACACCAGATCAGCTGCAGATAGTATAGATCAGCGACGATCGCTTCACTGCACTGTATCAATTAAGAACACCTATCGATTCAAGAGGCAATTGTATTAATTGCAATATACAAGCAAGCAAGTACTTCTATACCTGTTCATTCATATTGTTCGAAGCTTTTATTTGTTAACATTGGTATTCCTTCCTTGTAAAATTTAGTGGATACCAATCCTACCAGTATTAATACTCCAAGCCTCTACGAAACGCAGATAATACTTGAGGAAACAAAGCATAGAATGCCTTTGATCACGGTGTACATCCCAAAGTCCATGGCAAAAGCCTTCGATTATTATTATGGGCTTCCCTCTGGACCCCCACTGATAGCCTCTACGAAGCCACAACCAACAGCAGTTAAGGGGAGGCCGGTACAGGGTCACCCGGCTCTTAAGGCCATACATCCGATCAACCTGAAGCATCCAATCGTTGATGTTTGGGAGAATAAAATCTCGGGGGAAATCATAAAAGTACTCACAGATTCTAAGATAGACTGGACGAGTCTTGAAGTTGTCCACATTTATGCCGCAGAGGATCAGTCACTAGGCCTAGGCCCGGCAATCATATGGGTTGGTATAGAACCCGTAGATAATTTGGACCACCATCTGGGCGAAGAAGTCGCCATTCAATGTCAGGCCATCATCGATCAACATAAAATTAATGATTGCTATGTAGAACTTCGAGCATCGAAACGCCAGGATTCTGCGGGAGTTCGGTTTTTGGACTTAACCGACCCGAATGAAGACCTAGCCTACGAATATAAGGGACCGTTCAGGTCTACCTTAGGTTTCCCTATATGCTCCAAGAAGACCCCGCACAAAATAGGGAGCGGCGGTTTCTACATAAGCGCTGGAGGAGATGACGACCAGGTTTACATGGTAACAGCACGCCATGTGGTCTTGCAGGATTCTTTCGAAGATAGTCAAAAGGAATACATCAAGCTGAACAAAAGTCAACCGAGGCAGGACATCCTGCTCAACGGGAATAAAATCCCGGAAAAGCTAGCAGGTATGGCTTCCCGTATCAGCAATCTTGAGTATTCTATCTCCCGACCGAGTAGAAATCCCGAAGAAAAGAATAGCCTGACAAAAGGCTGGTCTGAGGAGATCAATGCACTTAAAAACTTACAACGAGAGATTCAATCACAATGGTCAACTCCAGAAAGCCAGGTGCTTGGGGAGCTCGTATGGGCTCCGCCCATTACTTTTTCAACCGCTTCGAACACCACGACGCTCGATCTAGCGGTGGTGAGAATTGATCCAGGAAAACTGGATCACAAAAATTATATAGGAAATGCTATTGATTTCGGTCAAGTCCCGGACACAACACAGATATACCAAGCAGTACATGACGACTGCAGAAACGGCCCGCAGTTCAAGATCCCGCATGACAGTCGTATGATACTCCGAGATCAAACACCGATGGATGAGGTGTTGAGTCCCTTGATGCGCGATAGGAATAACGAAGAGTGCATTGCACTTTTCAAGCGCGGGGCCAGCAGTAATCTAACTTTTGGCAAAGGGATAGGAATATCTTGTTATACGAGAAAAATGTGGGAAGGGCACGAGAACTTGTCTCGAGAGTGGGGAGTAATTGGACTGGGGCGCTTGAGTGCAAGAACAAATCGGTTCTCAGAGCGGGGTGATTCTGGGGCATGTGTGGCGGACGTCTACGAGCGTGTAAGCGGCATGCTCCTAGGCGGGTGCGGTTATGAAAAAGGCATAACTGATATATCCTATGTCACCCCCGTTCATTGTATTATGGAGGCGCTCCATAATTCGAGGCTTTTTAAGCACGCCCATCTCAACCCGACGCTTCCTTAGATAACTAGCTGCCCCATCGCACAGGACTTCACTGCCTTTCAGACTTCTTCCTCCTCCTCTTCTTCCTTCCTTCCTTCCTTCCTTCCTTCCTTCCCTTCTTCCTTTTTTTTTTTGGCCTGGTTAATGTTGTCTAAAACGATCGATGCGCGATAGTCACCATGGGATGTCGAGATATGCGGATATGGTCGCAAGCGCTGGAAACAGAATGTATCTTACTGGTTTCTAGATCTCTTTTTGTTTTTAATTTCCCGTTTACAATTTGACAGTCCTCAATTCCTGTGTCTACTAGTACAGTATTCAATTCGTATCAGAATGGTATGAAGTCTAGAATGGTTCGGTTGTAAATTCACTCTATGTGACGTCGACGACTTAGTAATTATAAACCTACTAGTCAAGAAACACACCATCACCATCATCAAACCAAAGTGCTTCCCTACGGTAGCAACAATAGCCTAGATCCCCCACCACCACCAGTATGTACCCCGGACTTTATACTTCCTTTTAGCTTAACTACCTTCGAAACTAACCTTCATGAACTTCCTTTTCCAGTGGAAAAGTACTGGGTCCCACACCTCAAAGATTCCCCCATCCTGGGTAGTGCTTCTCTCGACGAAACCGTTGTTCCCGTTGTAGCTACAGTCCTGCCAGCAGATAATGACAGTGGCATCGGTGTCAGACGTGGACTCCTCGGAACATCCCGACCCGAATCTTCCTTCCTCTCAAACCATTCTGATGAGATTTCTACGGAAGTCTGTGAATGTTTGATCAGTTCATCGTGTTCGGTTTACGACCTCTGGTACGGGATCCAGGCTGATCTCAGGCTTGGACTAAATGAGATGAATATCAAATGGATGGGTACCAAGCTCTTGCATGATCCATATTGGAAATCTAGATCCGTGGGCCACTTTATTGCGGTGATCAAGGTGATTCCTGGAACGTTGACTCTGGTTGAAGGTGCGATTGTGGCTACTAGGGTTCAGGCGTTCATCGATAAGAGGGGTATTCCGGATTGCTTTGTGGAGATAATGTAGAGGGTGATACATGAAGTTCTAGGGCCAGGGTTGCAGTTCAAGCCACAAAGGGGATATATATAGCTACGTCTAGTGGCTATAGTGCTTCAAGAAATCTTGACCTATATTATTATGCATACGGCCATTGAGAACCGGTTAACGTTAGTGCACGTGCGGTGGCCAGTGGTGAGGTATCGATACTATACAGAGCTCGAGAGTCAACTTCTAGCTTCTAGGCGTACGTATACTGATCGTCTGTTTTTAGAAGAATTGCTACAAGAATTGTATATAATTACTCCCCAAACATAAAAACCATCGATATCTTTGGATTCTACGTAATTTAAACTGTCACAGCTGCACAGCTAATTAATTAATATTAATATTGGTAATTAATTTAATTTGTTGCATCCTGTTGCATGTTGCATTCTGGAGATGAAGTTTAGTCATGTGAGAGCGTGCGACTCATTATTGCTGCTTGGCTGCGACGCGACCGCGTTTTAGCCGATGTTTACCTTCTTTCTGCAGCAGCTTCGAAGTCACTAGCTCCAGATTTGTTCCCTGCCCTGACTCCAACATTGCAATATTACACTGCATTGCCACTAGCTGGACCCATTTGTCAGCGGCTTTTCGCTCCTCCTTTTCTTACGATCGCTATTACTCTCTTCATAGCCGAACCGTCGCTCCTAATGTCGGTCTGGTAGCCTTTCTTCTACGGTCTCTGTACTATGCCCGATGACTTTTATATTGACGTCCCTCCCATAAATCCACAGCACCGCAACTCCGCCCGCCCGCAACCTACCACGCCAGCCAATAGCCGCATCACAGTCCGGAATCCCTCCTCCGCGACGACCCAGAGTATTTCTTTCTCTACCACGGATCCTCCACCAGGAACTATACCATCGTCCACCATGGGCGACGTCGAAGAGCCTACACAGTACGACGATCAGGGTGGCAGTGCCTATGGTGCTCCCACCCCGCTTTCGCAACTCGAAGGAAATGGAATTCATGCAAGGGATATCAAAGCGATTGTCGAAGCTGGGTATAATACCGTTGAAGCAGTTGCTTATACGTACGACAAACTTCTTTTGTTCAGTTGATCTCTTTAGTGTGTTAACATCGAGTTTATAGCTCGAAACGACAGTTGTTAACCATCAAAGGCATATCGGAGGCAAAGGCCGACAAGATTATAGCTGAAGGTAGAATTAATCTCCACGTTTTAACGGTTTCTTGTGAGGATCATCGCTAACATGGGAGACGCTTCCTTCTAGCCGCCAAGCTTGTTCCTATGGGATTCACAACAGCCACTGACATCCACGAACAACGAAGTAAACTCATCTCCATTACCACAGGCTCTAAACAACTCGACACACTCCTCGCTGGCGGTATTGAGACGGGATCTATCACAGAGATATTTGGTGAGTTTAGAACAGGAAAGAGCCAGCTGTGTCATACTCTGGCTGTAACATGTCAGTTACCCCTCGATATGGGTGGTGGCGAAGGCAAATGCCTGTATATCGACACGGAGGGTACATTTCGTCCCGTTCGTCTTCTCGCCGTGGCCCAACGCTATGGCCTCAATGGCGAAGAGGTCCTCGACAATGTCGCCTACGCTCGTGCATACAACTCGGACCATCAGCTACAGCTGCTGAACATGGCGGCACAGATGATGACCGAAACAAGATTTTCGCTGCTTATAGTTGACAGCGCGACCAGTCTTTATCGTACCGACTTCTCGGGTCGCGGGGATTTGAGTGCCCGACAAATGCACTTGGCGAGGTTCATGAGACAGTTGCAGAGACTAGCCGATGAATTCGGAATTGCTGTGGTTATCACAAATCAAGTTGTAGCACAGGTCGATGGAGCTGTATTCAATCCCGACCCGAAGAAGCCTATTGGAGGAAATATCATTGCACATGCCTCAACTACTAGGTAAGTATCAATTATATTAAAAAGGGAAAAATCAGTGGTTGCTAATGTAGTTGTAGACTTTCACTAAAGAAAGGTCGCGGAGAAACTCGTATTTGCAAAATTTATGACTCGCCGTGTTTGCCGGAGTCTGAATGTCTTTTCGCAATTAATGGTATGTCATTTACACCTGTTTTTTTATTCTGCGTTACTGAAGTTTTACTGACATCCGTGGAAAGAGGATGGTATTGGCGACCCAAGTCCAAAGGATATGGAAGCACATGAAAGATAAATATTTAGCATAATACGCTTCTCTTTTTGCATCTATCTAGCGTCCTACATAGGATCCTGTCCTTTTTTTTTTCTGAAGGGACTCCGTTTCAACGTTTTGCTTCAATTGTACCTATTGAACCACATCGCCTGTCTTCTTGTTTCCTTTCGCCAGCTATTCCCTTTTCATGATTAATTGATGGATTCATGGAGTTGAAGGACATACTGTTACTGGGGGGCATGTACTTCCCTTACCGTTATTATGCAAAAAATTAGCTTCGGAAATACAGAATACTTTTGATTACTCTTCTTGACGGTGGGCTGGTCTCATCACTATTATATTGGCCTATAGCTATAGCCTAGCTTAGATCGTGGGCTAACTCACACTCGTAACAGCGCTATGTGTTGGTATCATGGTTCCTGTGTGGTTTCGTCCAACCAATCAAACGCCGTCGCTCAAACTGCCACGCCAAGAAAAAAAGTTTAGCTAGCCTCCGTCGCTATACCTTTAAAATTTCAAACTTCTTGAAAACCCAAATTCTTACCAAACCCATCTCGACACCCGAAGGCTAAACACCTGCACAACAAAATCAAATAAAAATGGCGGTCTCAAAGCGAAAACAAGAAGTCAAACCTCTTGGTAACGATACCAAGAAAGTTAAGCTATCCAAGGAATCTGGGAAAGGTTTCTCTAATCAAAAGAAGATGAGAAAGAACCTAGTGGAGGATAGCGACGATGATGAGGGGGAGGAAGAGTACCAGGGCGGTAGTGATATCGAAATGGAAGATGTAGAGGAGGCAGGATTCAAGGGAACTGCTCCAAATCAGAGTAATGCTCAGAATAACAATGCCAACGGCGGAAATACCAACTGTAAACCAAATTATCCTTCGCCATATCAAACCAGGCTTCATTTGCTAACCACCATGGATGGACTGTAGCAAACAAATCTCGGGAATCACACGCCGCCCAAAAGAAACTTGCCAACGAACGTAAATTTGCCAAACCAAATGCCGACGTCATCCATCGTTCTAAAAAGATCTGGGAACGCCTCCGCCGAAAGTCTCACGTCCCGCTCGATGAACGCAAACAACTCACCGACGAACTATTCACTATTGTCACCGGACGTGTCAAAGAACTGGTATTTAAGCACGATGCCAGCCGTGTGATCCAGACAGCTGTGAAATACGGTAGCTCAGAGCGACGACAAGATATTGCAAAGGAATTGAAGGGCGAGTATGTGCAATTAGCCGAGAGCGCGTACGGGAAGTACTTGGTTGTCAAATTGATGCACTATGGAAATACAAAGACGAGGGAGATGATCATTGGGGAGTTTTATGGCCATGTCAGGCGGATGGTGAAACATAAGGAAGCTTGTTATGTGGTTGACGATGCATTCCGGGAATACGCTACTCCTAAGCAAAAGGCATCGCTTATCAGAGAGTTTTATGGAGTAGAATATGCGATTTTTAAGGTGGGTTTCTAGGAAAACTCTTATAGGGTTGGAGTTGAGAAAGCTAATTCTTTGGATAGGATGACTCAAAAAATGCTTCGTTAAAATCGCTATTAGAGGAGAATCCTGAAAAGAGACCCCTTATTATGAAGAGTTTGTTCGAATTGATCAACCAAATGGTTGAGAAGAACATGTCTGTCTTGCAAATTCTTCATAAAGCAATGCTGGAATATATTCTCAACGTCAGACCGGAGACAAGCGAAGCGGCAGATCTCATTGAGCTTATCAAAGAGCACCTTGGAAACATTGCTTTTTCGAAAGATGGCGCACAGGTTATTATGAGGTGCTTTGCTTGGGGTTCGGCAAAGGATCGAAAGGTTATGTTGAAGAACTTGAAGCCGAGTATCCAGGAACTTTATGCGGATGAGCATGGGCACATGGTCCTGCTAGCGATATTTGATGTTGTCGACGATACCGTGCTAGTGAGCAAAACAGTTTTCCCAGAGATCCAGACCAAGTTAGATGAAGGGAGCGCAGCAACTCACGCGATTGCAAGAATACCACTTCTCTACCCATTACTGGGGAGAGAAACGAAGTTAATGCACCCACAGAAAATCGAGCTACTGGCGGAAATTGATACGATCCGGGCTCAGACAAGGTTCGTCAAATCCCTTGTTGCGAATTGGTTGCCGAGAACTTTTTCAACTAACCTGTTTGGTTCTGTAGTAAGAAAGACCCCAAGATCCGACAGCAAGAGCTTAGGAAAGCGTTGAGCCCGGCTCTCTTGAAATCAGTAGCTACAAATGCTGCCGATCTAGCGACGACTCCACTTGGATGCCAGTTTGCATCTGAAGTTATCATCTTTGCGGAGGGCGATAAGGCTGCGGCTGCAGAAGCTATTGCTACATTCGCAGAAGGAGAAGATGCCCTCGAGAACAAGGACCTTGGCAGGATGTTGAAGAATCTAGTCCAAGAAGGATTCTTCAACAATAAGACACAAAAGATCCAGCGTATGTAATCGCCGCCCCAACCCACAGTTTATTCTATAAATAACTAACAACTCCATCTAGTATCGGATCCGCCAGTCGAATTCTACAAATATCTGATGCCAAAGATCGAGCCAAATTTGGCGGCTTGGGCCACTGGAGGCAACTCTTACCTCATTGCTACTCTATTGGAAAGCGAGAGGGTTCCTGAGAGTGAAAGGATGAAGATTAAGAAGATACTATCGGGAAAGAGTGAACAGGCTGCAATCAAGAGCGCTAAGCAGGCTGGGAATAAGGGTACAGATTTGATATCGAACCTGTTGAAAGGGAAAAAGTAGAAAGAGCCTCATCAACTCTCCCGGTGTATGTATCTAGGCTCGCCCCTAACTTCTTCTTACATCCCCATACTTGTAAAATAGCATATAATTATACAGATTTAATACTATTTTGCCTTCAATCCCAGCGCCATGATCATGATTGGATTTGAAAGTTGGCTTGAAGTTTTGAAAGCTGTTGCATTTATAAGGGACAACGCAATGCATGTTCCAATCTTGTGACACCATTTACAAAGTACTTACTTACTATACTACCTAAGTACTTACCTAGTAAGTAATAAGTAGGTATTTACCTGACTCCCAGGCCTTTAAGCTAGCTAAACTGAGCTATATCAAAATGCTTCAACCTCTTTGCCATCTTCCCAGGTACTCTTGACCTAGGCTAGAGTCTCAAGATATTCTTGAACATCATCCCTCACACACCAGCCCCTATATACTCCTATGCTCTATTGGATCCTCCTCCTCCGCTTGTGGAATTCCCTGGGGGTGCCAATCCGACATAGTAATGCACAATGCGATGCCGAGGGCTCGGGAACTGCTGTTCTTCATGGCATTCAATTAGCTGGATTTAAACCGTCCAAGCTATATACGTTATTGTTGACCAAATCTTCAGATACAGGAGTATTCCCCTTCTGACTAACCATTGAATAATTTCCATCTTGAACCTACATCACCGTTTCCATCTGATCCTATCTCACCTGCAATTCCTTGCTCATTCGAATCGATAAAGAAACATATTCGTCCCTTTAAGCCTTTCGGTGTGATAATCGCCATTCCTCGCGCTCTGTGGACCACCTACCGCTACAATTTATCCCTTACGATCACGACGTCAATTGAGATTTCGTCTATTTCATCGATACTTCTACGAGTGAGCTAGTGAGATCGCGATCGATCTAGTACTAGTACGTAGTACGTAGTACTTTTCAAGCTCATCCCTACAATACCTTTGTACCACATCGCTAATGGTATGCAGGTACCCGTCAGCAATCAAGTGCGTGACGCTGTGATATCCGTAATTTCGCTGTTGCATTTGCCTCCGCATCATTGAAAAATCCACTTCATCGTCAGTACGATTTTTGAGAGCTGCTGCGGAACAGTTGACCCGATCCTATAATCGATACGACTGAAGAGTAACTGGGTAAGGGCTTGCATCCTATCTGATATCGTCGAACCTACTGGAATCGAGACAATCGATTTAATTGTAAGTATCACTTGAGCTTGAGCTTGGCTTCCAATGATAGTATATGTAATATAATACTGTATTGAGGGTCAATACCTGAAACTGAGGTACCGATGCTTAGCCAATCTGGAGTCATACTAACGAAATGGTGTATCGCTTCTAGGGAGCCCAAAATGACATTCTGGAAATCATGGCCGAATCTGTATCGATTCTTATTCGTAAGTTATAATTACCTATACACTATCAATAAATTTATAAATAATCAGGGCTCATGACGGAGGTTTCTAACACACAATTTTCTTGTAGGCACTCGGATGCCTCTTCGTAAGTTCAAACCAAACCAATCAATTACTGACCCGTGTAAATCTTTTCGTGGGGCCTCGAGCGTTAACATGATATATAGGTTTTATGGGTTCTCATCAGTTTTCTATGTCGGGTTGTCGCAGCAAAGATCCGAGGGAAACTCGAAGCTAGATATCAGTTGGAGCTCATTGAACGCCCGTCAGAGTCCACGCACGTCCAACGATCACGAAGTGTTAACTTTGGTGTCCGAGCTCTCGACTCGCATGAGACTCCGGCCGAAACTGGCATCGTTGATAGTGAGTCTCTAAGAGTATTCTCACCTGTTTCCCGATTTTCAAGGATTTCCTCTCCTGCTAGCACTGGAGGGCGCAAAGGTTCGGAATCAACTATTGGAAGCGTAGCGGATGCTGCCGCCGCGGGATTGAACGTACACGGGCAACCATCTTCCGCCCCGCGGCTCAAGTACACACCCCAAACGGCACCAAGAGGGCCCCCTCCGTTCGCCTCACCAGGCCTGCAGGCTATGCAGGAACCCAGTGCACCAAAGCCATCGGATTCTGCTACAGGTCAACCTGCTAGTACTCCCCCATCGCCTAACCTAGTCATTCTTACGGCACCTACTACACCCCTTCAAGGAGATAGCGGATCGTACTTCACAATACCAAATGCTCACCCATACACCAATTACATGGATGATCCGCCACTCCATCGTCGTGCTATCAGCACCTCTTCTATTGATGAAATAATCGCCGGTTCATCCATATCCAAAGATATCATCAATGGTATCCTCAAAAACCGTGGTCAAGTCCAACCATTGCTCCAAATTCACAAAAATGAGCGTTCGGTTACTCCAGGCCCACCTCCCAAGAATAACTCTACTGGACTCTCAGAACCCGACCTTTCAGCTCCACTAGCACCAGTCCCAGGGCAGCCGCAACAACCACTACTACGCCCTCGGAGCGCACCACCTTTGAAGAGTCATCGATCATCATACAGCTCGGCTTACCAACCCCAAAACTTGTCTAACATCCTAGAAGCTCCCTTTGAGGACCCAGATGGCATTGAGTTGAAGGACTGTCACCGAAAACGTAGCACCGAAGACTTCCAGTCATCGGCAATTCCTTCAAATAATGTCCCTTCTCCATCTGATTTCGTTATTCCACACCCTACTCGTGCACCACCCCCAATTCCGTTCATGGCACAATCCTCAGCTTCAACCTCTGGTCCCCCAACACCACCCGTCAAAATGGATACGCAAGTTTGGGATTCGAAAAATAAAGGAAAGCAAAAGGATCCTAATCAATTTTAAACAAGGATCGCTATTAAACCATGCGGCTCCATTTGAGGATAAAATTCAGAGAAGGAAGACAATAACCATCTTCGCCCTTACCCAGACTCACTCTACCAAACCATATTTCCGACTAACAATCAACATTGCATGACTACTAACCGCTCCGACCAGCCCCCTTACCAAAGAAAAACTCAAACTTCACAAGGAGAACCACGTAATACGCTTTTATTCCCTTTCCACCAAAACCTACCCCCTATCATCTCGCATGACTTCTTCAATGTGTTGTCTTACAAAATTACAACAAAGCATCCCCGTACCCCCCCCCTCCTTCCCCCTTCCCTCTTCGATAATTTTCATAATATGGTCTTTATACTTCTGTACCCTTCGATATCCCCCCTATCTCGCGAACTTTTGTATTTTAATTTCACCCCCCCTTCATTCCCGAAATTTTGTTGTACCCCCAGACATTACTACGATCTCTTCTCACCAGCTCATGTATATTAACGATACCGCTAGTAAAAGAAACCAATGAAGTTCCCTTTCACCAGCCTATGCATATTCGTACATCCTAATAATCTCTATGTAACCTCAGAGAAAACGATAGTCCTATAGCTAGTAAGGTATATAAAAAATATTATTCAACACGTGCACAACCACATGGATATCGATATCATTGAAGGTACTAAACATCTCGCTATTTCAGACGCCCTTCTATGCAAACAAAACTCGAATATGAAAATAACAATATAAAAAAAGGAAGTTTAAAAAAGAAAGGAAGAAAGAAAGGAAGGAAGAAGGAAGAGAGAAAAAACCGACAAGTCAAAGAAGTATTATCTCATCAAAACGTGAATATTAGTACAGATGCATACTGCTTTATGCCTTGTTTCCAAAAGAAAAAATATTCTGGCTCAGGTATCAGATTTGTTGACGTCGGCTTTCGAGTTTTTTTATTTTTATTTTTTTTTCGCCGACCATGTACTATGTTTGTTTCATACTTCAGTTTAAACATTAGAAGAAGATACCTCCGCTAAGATACTCGATCGTCCTCCTCATCTCTTCCTGGAATTCCTCGCGGATATTATCAATGCTCACGACACGGCGTCGAAGTTTTTTACCTATAAATCCGAATTAGCATAGTTCTCAAACCATTTCTGTTCAAGATGAGTATCTCGAATGGCGTTTTGACATACCGTCGACAAAATGAACACCGCTGCTCTCTTGTTCGGCATGCAGTCTAGTAAATATGTATGCCTCTTCCTTCGGCACCAGTGCCAAAACATTCAATAGCGCCAAATAAGCCTCTCTAACTTCCTTTCCGGTGAACCTCTGAGAATTTGTCAAACAGCCTTGGAGCTTCTTCAGGTGGTCGTATTGAGCGGATGCAGCTGTTTTCCTCGTTAGTATTCGGAACGGTAATATAACCAGGATAATGATAACATACCACCACGACGGTTACCCTTCAATATTCTCCATGCATACGCAATTTTGTGGTATGGAACATGAACTGAGGCTACTTCGTTTAGTTGCTCATATTGGCGTTCTAGGACTGCATCGACTTCTTCGTGGAGACCGGAGAATTCGAATTGACATAGTGTGTCGGCTTGATTGTGTTCACACATGGAGACGACCAGGCTTTTTAGGGCTTGTCGTTGCCTACGATATCCGTGTTAGCTAACGTGAGCTATTAATTACAGTGGAGGGGGGGGACGTACAATGCCTTATCGCTATAGCTCATAAGCGCTGAGTATGCAGACTGATAGTTGGGAACCTGAAGTGCGGCACTGAATTGCCTGGCTAGAATGTCGGATCGCAATGCCGTTTCCTCCTAGATTTACTATTTGTGAGACCCTATCACGGAAGAAAATATATACTTGAATAGCTGAAAAAGAGTCTTACCTGATCAAGGCGGTTAGGCAGAGCCTTGAACGCCAACTCAGAGAACACGACGACCTCCCCGTACTGCTTCCTATGTTCAAAAATCTCGGCCACATGGAAGTAATATCTTGGGGTCCCAGAGCATAGGTACTCGAGTTCCACAGGTGTGAAAAGCGCAGTTAGTGAGTTGACAGGAGCAATATGGTGATGAGCAGCTAAAAATAAATATCAGATTAGAATGAAGGCATAGAAGTTCAAGTCAGCAAACTTGAAAACATACCAATTCCAGGAGCAGCGGATTGGAAGAGCTCCTCTGCTGTCTTCCATTCCTTACGGCAAACCGCCATCCGCGCTTTTAGGTAATCTCCCCACGGGGTTGGAGGTAGATATGGCATGAATTCTCCCATCAGTCGGATCGCATTCATACGCAATAATCTCGAGGCAATCAGTGTTACAGCCTCCGAAAACTGGCCAAGTTCCGTCGCAGCCAAGAACTTCTGAATGCTCGAAGTCAATGTAACCGGTCCGGATCCGACGGCGGAAGGTGGTGGCCCACCATTAGTCTTTAGGAGAATCTGCAAAGTCGGGAAGTTGTGAATCTGAGGTAAGGCCTGACCTCTATACCCTCGAATAAGTCCTAATGTGGTCCTCAAACTCTGTTCTGTCTCCACATCTTCTGGCGTGGGTGTCCATGAGTTTTTGCTAAGCCAGCTGAGTATATTGTACTCTCGGAGCAAAGCGACGAGATCGAGATACAATTTGTTGTATGGTTCAATATCGTCGATTTCCACGATCGTCGAGCAATGAACGAGTATGAGCAGCAGCGTCAACTCAAACAGCAGGGTATAGTTCACATGGATAACCTCTTGGCTGCCTCTTAAAAGCAACTTCTCTCCAAACACTGTCAAGTTCGACGATCCTGAGGGCTCAAATTGTGTGATGCTCGACAAGACAACTCTGAAAGCCCGTTCCGGGTCATGCTGTAGTGCGGCGACAAGACCAGCAACGTGGTCTAGATGAGATTGCGGTACACGTCCCTCGAAGCACCGATCATACATCCCATCGATGCGGTCATAAATCGCTACATCAGGGGGTCGGGTAACCTCATCTTGGAATGCGGCGACGCATTCATCAAATGCTGTTGGCGATAACGAGTCATTTAGCTCGCGGGCCGCTAGAATCAATGATTTCACAGAATCAACCAGCCCGTCACCAAATAGAGCCTTCCCTTTCTCAGAAGAATTCTGGTATAAACGTTGGATATCAGCGGTAGTTGCTGTTGAAAGGTTTTGGGATATAGTCTCGCTCTCTGACGACTTTCTGACGACTGTTATCGTATCCGCATTTGCAACAAAGGCAAGGCCAGAGGCTGGGTCGATATTCAGCGACAAAGCTTCGACTCGTGTCCTGTCCAATTCGGTACAGATTCTGAAAAACGTATTCCATTGGACTTCGTAGTCCCTCCAAAGTGCGTCCTCAGTGTCCATACCAGCATCAAGGGGGTGGATGTTCCGAAGGCTAACGACGGCATTGACAGCACTCAAAACAAGCCCATGACGGGAATCATTTGAACTCGGTTTGTCGAGGTCCGTCGATCTACCACCCTTGGATATAAAGTTCTTTTTGAAGATTTCGACAGCTCTGTCAATTACAGAGTCGGAAAATCTTCCAGGTTGGAATATCCAGTCCAGCCAGTAGCTCGAAAGATCAGCAATCTCTCCACCTGGAGGGCTTCGAGGTTTCTCCAAAAGTAGCTGTTCTTGGCTAGCATCCACCCAGTTTCCAAAAGTCCTCGGCATGTCGTCGATTTTGAAGGTGACCGTTTGTAGTCTAGAACTAGTATTGCTCTTCCAAAGCAGCCACATCGATATTAAACTTGGATCGTCTTTCGAAAACGAAGCAATCCCAAAATCTGCAACCACCCAAAGAGTATTAAAAGTTGGGGGTTCGAGTTTCAGAGCTTCGTCAGGGTATAGGTCGACAAGTCGAGTAAAGCCAGCCGTACCATCATCCGTCGCCGCCCACAACTTGAACGTTCCAGAGCCAGCAGGTGAGAGTGTGAGAAGCAAAAACATATAGCGGGGGTCGGGTGAGTCTTCAATAAGAGCGACAAGGTGGGCCGGGGCTGGATCGAGGTAGTTCTTGATCGACGGTGCATTAGACGCTGGCTCGTTAAGAAGATCGTATGTTCCAAGCATTGTGCCCCGCTCCATGGACCACACTTTCAACTGGTGGTTTATCGATACGGTAAATAGAAGGCTATATCTAAAAGTCATAGCCACAGATACAACGGTAGACGCTGCGATGCTATTGTCGCCATATCTGACTTGGGCACCTCCCCATCGAACAATGCTTTTGATTGAACCAAAATAACCCCCGTCACTGAAAGTGATTTCCTTATACCCAGAACCTAACCGAAGAATACCGTTAGTCCCCTACATATTTCTCGCTTCGTCTGTATTTATACCCAGTGTATACTCACTGCTCTTCTGGTGTATCAATCGGTCTAGTCTTATCAAGTTTCCATCCTGCAATGCAACTAGCAGAGAATCCTCGGATACGGCTCTCAAGAAGTGTGCAGACCGTACTGCAAGCGATGGCGGTTGGAAAACATGACACCATCCTGGATGTAACCTATCTCCTTCATCGTGAGATGTAAAAAAACTCTGATGTAGATTAAATGTATAGAGGTGGTTTCCTGCCGTCAGGACAAATATCATAAGCGAATGGGTCTCCGGAAGGTCGTAAAAGGTCACGCATCCCGATACGATTGCTCGTGAAAACTGAATCTTGTACGCAGACGCGACTGCTAGGTGCTGGTCGTTTGATCGTGCGACATCCAAGGGCAGCATCACCAAGGTCCTTCCCTTATTCACCACCCTCCATAGTATTGTTCTAGGCGTTTGGTGTATTGCGCGAAATACAATGGACGAAGACGATGCCAAAGATCCTAGGGGAAAGTCGTCCGTTTCGCCCGTAATCAAAACACCAGCTGTGTCGTTTCCATTCTCCTCCACTGCCGCAGCTTCTGCTGCATCGTAGTCCGGAACTGCAACTTCGACTATTCGATCGTCGGATGCCCAATCTAAGGAGACCCGTGTCTCTTTGTAGACGTAAACCATTTTGGGATGTAAAGCTTTGGCGCACGTTCGTGATGGCGGCCAACTAGTTGTAATAAATGACTGTGATGAAGCCCAGCTTTTGAGGGGTCCGGTGTAGATTTGGAGGCTCAGAATCTCATCCCGTTGGATGCCAATGGGGTTAAATTGAATGTGATATTGTGACAAGCTAGTTTGTAGGGATTGTGGGGGTTCGAATGTTGATGGAGGGTAGCGCTAGGGTTAAGGATGAGGTTGAGAAGGGAAGACGCGACAGGCTTTTCGAATTTCCGCCAACCTCACCAACACAGCCGCCTCAGCTCAAGCAACATAGAATACACCGCAAGCTAGCACCCAGATCCTGTCGTAAACAACACCACTACAAATTATAATATTAAACCCGGGCCTACGAGACCACCGTATTCCACTATTAACATCATTATCATCGGACAGTCCAATTCAAATGGCCTTTGGGGGATTATAAAGTAGGTCCTATAGATAGTTTAGGTCGTAACTAATATTCTCATTGAATTCCCACAGCTAAGGCACAGTTGCCATAACGTGCCACCTCCATATATATACAAAGAAAACCACATCTAACATCTTCAATATCATTAAAAAGACAACTATAACAATAGCAAAAACTGAAGGAAAAGAAGAAAATCAAATGAACTCCGCCAAACGAGTGTCGACTTTTTGTTTACAACGCCCCTATCATAATTATCATTAGTTTCCGCCATTATTTCTTTCACGGCGACCCGTCGACCTCGTGCATGGTATCCTTTGTATCATGTACACTTCCTTGTAGATTCTGTTTCCCGCCTTTCTTGCTTGCTCAAATTCAATCAAAACGCCGGTAACAAACACTCATATGTTGCAGAAAGACAACACGGGCTTCAAATATTAGGGTATTAATCGGAATCCATCTCCTGATTATCGGTCAAAAATATATGGACCGTTCCTATGGATGCTTAAACACTGATTAGGTGGTTGCTGCCTTTAACCATGGCACTGAGTTCTTCAGCGTCCTTGTTGTGTTCGCGTCTCCAGACTGCGGTGGAAGGTCGACCCCGTCCTTTGATATCTTCTTCCCTAGCTTGTACCACTCGAGGAGTACTCGTGTGGAAGGGTCGGATTGGTTGAACTGGTTGGGCGCTTTGGCCAGGGACGAATCGTCCCAAGAAGCCTCTTTTCTTTGGTTGGTCATTCAAATCAACATCACGAAATTCGCCTTCATCTTCTTCGGAGGCGGATTCAGAGACATCAATAGATGGGAGTCGGTTTGGTGCCTCGAAACTCGGCCTTCCCCATCCTAAAGCATCAAGGCTGGATCGGCTTGATTGCATACTAGGTCGTCGAGAGTCCGAGACCTGTGTTCTCGCAGAGATATCCTATTCAACGATGATACACCATTAGCAAAACAACTCGATTTTTACAAGAAAGCGGGGGAAAGAACGTACAAATGATCTTCGATAGCTATCAAAGGATTCTCGGGTGATAGCGAATCCGATATCTTGAGTATCGGGAGCCTCGGCTGGACTTCCGTTGGGAGTCTCTTTTTTCCCCCAGAAGGCTTTCTTGTCAACCGGCGAGGGCTGTTATCGAGAAAGGATACATTAGCTCAAGTTTTTTTAATTTGATTACGGAAGAGAGGATTGGTTCTTACAGGAAGATAGATACCACTGTCGTTGACGGCTATGAATAAAAACAAGAACAAGTCAGCATCTGAGCCCAGGAATGCAAATACGTTTACTAATTGGACTATTGGACGATAACGTACTGCTCAATTTGTATGTATTGGTATCCTCTTCACGACTGCGACGAGTCATGATGGAAAGGGAACCCGTACTCTTCTCTCGTCGGTGAGAGCGAGGAGTGGAATCATCAACCGATGGGGTAGTAGGAGCCGTATTGTCGACAGCGGCGGCCACAGCAGGAGCAGGAGTTGGTTCCTCGACAATTGGGGCGGTTGGAACAGCGGCAGGTTGGGCCTTCTTAGAGAAGGGGAATCGGAATTGAGGCATCGAGACTGGCATTTTGGAAGGTATAGTAGGATATTATATAATTATTCGACTTTAAAGGTTATGTATGGACAATTGCAGTCAATTGAATCGATGAAGGCCAATAGTCTTTGGATGTTTCGTTTTGTGTTGAAGGGAGGGTTCGAATTCAGAAGTTAATTAGAAAGCTTATATGTCGATGTGTCTTAGGCAATGCAAACTAAGATCTTGAGATCGAGGAAGAAGGCGAAGGCGAAGGATAAGCTATTAGATAATATGGATAATATAATTCCTCAAAGGGGTATTTAAATCTATCTGTTTAAAGCAGCGTGAATTCAGGAAAGGAAGGGGAAAGGGAAAAAGATGGTCACTGACGGATCAGATCGGGTTGTCTACGGTCCTTTTCTATCCTGTCCTAGCTTCGGTCTGCGGATTTTAAACAGAACCACCACCCACCACCCACCACCATCACCCCAGCCAAAACGGCGAGACAGTTCACACCCTCTCCATTGCGGCCTCGTCCGCTTTAGTCAAATCCTCCCAAACTTTTCCCTGGCATGGCCGTGGCATGCCTGCTGCATGTTGGCGTAGATCCCAGCGTGCTTAGTGGCTGACTTGCTCGCTCCCTCGGTCCAACATCAAACCTTGGCCCATAGCCAGTCATCTTCGAGGGTCCTTCATTGCGAGGGACACCAGGACCCCACTGCCTTGGATTGGTATATTCTCAAATCAATCATCATGTTCTTAATTTCAGTTACAGATACAGACAGTTATCGAATCAAATCATCCGCGAATAGCGTGACAGGGCTAATGCAAAAAACCCTTCAGTCCAGGTACATACATACTTACATACTTGCACACATATCTGGCACGTACCTGCCCTGCAAGTACAAGTATTTTGTTCGGTATGAACCTTTCCCGCTCTAGACCTGTGAGAGGGGAGATCTCGCCTCGGAAGCTCCGCGGTCCGACGAAAACATCTGCGCACGAGGACAACCTCGCGCGGCCTAGAAGGAAGAAAAAAAATCTCCAAGGCCATTAACTGGACAACGACATGCATGGTTCGACTTGAGGGCGAATCAAACCACTGTAGCGAATGAGACAACTGTAGCTGTCAAGGCGGCTGCAATCTGCATTATGTGAGGGGCTCCCTCTGTTTTTGATAACTAGTATCTTTTTCAGCGACGCTGTCGATAGATACGGATCTGTCTCTGTCAATATCAGGGACAATCTTAAGATCTTTCGTATGATGTATTACAGTCTCAGCGGCTCGTCTGCACCTGTTTAATTGACTACGAATGATCTAATCGTGAGAAGTTTGGCTCTTAGGCTAAAGTTGCACATCCGCACGAGCGAATGATGACAAAAAAATTTAAAAAAAAAAACAAAAAGCCTTGACTGCCTTTAATTCTTGGTTTTAGTCTTCAGTGTTCCCCAAGAATGCTTGGAGGACTGTTCGAAGGAAGTCGGCATCTGATCCTGACGACTTTACTAAAAACCAGGATTAATGACCTAAAATCAGCAAACAATAACAAGGGTTCCTTATCCGATATGACGAAATGTAAATGCTAAAGACAAGGTATGGGGTAGCGGATTTGAGTATACATCACAGCCTCAACCGCAGTGGTTTGTCAGTGGAGTGTTCTGACCATCGGGAAAGTTCCTTTGGACGAAGCCAGGAGTCCCAGACTGCCGTATCTCACAACACCAAGGCTTAGTTATCACGGTCACAAATTGCAAAAACGATGTATCACTATTTGTCGACGGCTGCTTCCGAAGTCAGGCTGGAGCCTTCGTGCTTCCCAACCTTCCGTAAATATAAGGACGAGGCCCGAAACTCCCCGTCCAATATGTAGACAACACCCGTCGGTATACACCTTCGTCGCACAAGTACCATATTCGGCAAATACTTGAGTACTTGGGACGAAGACAATCAAATTCCCATGGAAAAGATGTGCCGACTATACCAACTCTTGGATCGGGCGAAAAATTCGTGTATACGCAGACGATCACGGTATGGTTATGGTTAGCATCGATGCAATTAGGTGCGTATATCTGCAAGAAGTTCAAAGTGCGCTGTCCCTGGCGAAAATATGTCAAAACAGGTAAACTGCGCCCCTTAGAACCTTTTGATCATGACATGATCGCCCTCGATCCCTCTTCATTAACTTTGAATAGACGAATTCTAAAAAACGTGAGATATTCGAAATAAGAGATCCATTCACGTGACCGTCTACATCATCTGGAAAGGCAATTGCATTGCATGCCAGCTAAACCCACAATTAACAGGGGTAGGGGTTCAACTCCTCAGGCCCTAGACTAGACGAGCATCTTGACCTGATGACGAACATTCAACAAAAGCACATGTCAATTACAAGTTTTCGCTTGGAAGATAAGATAGATGTCGATGGAGTGGATAATAGGAAAATTTAGTCCACCTGAGCACTTGCATAAAGATACTTAAAACTTGCATGCTAGTGCAGCGCTGCTGGCCTGGTACAGATCCTGTCAAACACATTTTTGATACCTAAATATTTAAGTAAGTACCTAGGTAAATAGTACTCACTACCTGGTATATGCCTTGCAATTGACTCGAGATCTCTAGGCTAGTGCAGCCTTGATTCGCGACGACGGCCGGAATACGGAATCGTGTCAGATCTAATTCAATCACACGAATTGTACAAAGTATCTGCCTAGCACTAGGTTATGGTTACATAATATTCACCTAAAACAGTCTTGGATCTGATTTTTAAACAAATTATTTTAAGACCCTTATGAGGCTGCAAAGCTGCCAACCAACGTTTTCTCGAAATATAACGGTGAAACCACTCAACAATAGCGTTGTTAGCTGGTGAGTCTATATAAAGTATCCAGCGACGAACATATTATAGCTATCGCTAGCGGGCCCGGAAGCGGTGCAGGATGTAATCCCTCAAACGGCTTTCCGCCGCCAGCTTTACGAGACCACGCCAGCTCCACATTGGTCTTTTTTTTTCTTTCAGCCTTACTCCCCCACCAACTTTTAGATTTCGTCTAGCTTCAAACCTCACTTTTGTATTATATCGGAAGACTGGCTACTTGTTAGCTAGTCCTACTCTCTCAAGACTCAGTTCTTTAGGGTCTTTCTAGTCTAGTTGGGTCTTCCCTACTACCACACACCACTCGAACTAATATCACTTCGATTTATAATTTAATTAGTATTTGAAATTCGTCCGAGTACGTAATCAGGAAGGGTAAGTATGCTTCTAGCGACCCCATTATGCATACATGTAATTTGTAAAGTACTAAAATAGTCTTCAGAAAATCTTCATAGCGGATTACGTGTATACGAGGCAGATAGAGGCTAGAGAGAAGTTTAGTTCTTACTTAATTAAATGATACCAGTACTATATATTGCCCCTCTTATGATACCTTCGATCAAACGTTCTACTATTGAAATATAGATCTATATATATATCATATGTAGTCTAGTCATATTTACTATTTTAAGTCTGGATAGATCGATATCCGAAACCGCTTATTTACGTATATACGTGTACCGATATCTATATTCTGACACTTTTTTATTTTGTATTTATTCAGAGTTCTAAAGTGAGGCTATGGTTTGAGTAACGTTGCCCGTTTCCCATTTCCCAAATTAATTTATCTACGATTGTTTTTATCTGTGGTTAACGGTTCTTAATTGATACCTAGATTGGCTCGTACTCAAGTTGATAGGATATATTGGTTATTATTTCAATTATGAACAATAACTTAATATACCTAAGTCAGCTGCCTTTTAGGCCGGTACATGAAATGGTCAGTCACCATAGCTAAGTCTCTGTAGCTATAGCCTTAGGGCCTTTTACCTCGTGAACTAACTGTCACAATTGAAGAAGGGTTAAATCGATGAGAAAATTTTGGCGAATCACCAGCACCAACCTCTTCTTTAATCAGAAGACGAACCTCTGGCTTTGGTTATAGGGGTCGAGTTAGCGTAGTAGCTTGGATATTTTGTTCATTCGCAAAAGCGTTTCCCCTCGAATCCTATGCGATGCAAGACTACACTATATTATAAATATATGAGCGTTCTAGTCCACACTAGCTGACAAAAAATAAATCTCTAGATGCTGTGTATCAACTTAATATTGCTAACTCTATGTTTCATTAGATATTCAAAGCTGATACCATGCCTTCTATAAATGTAGGGCGGCAGTACTATAGTAGGTAGTGTGGAAGGAGGCAGCTGGGTGGGATTTGATCATAAGGGTATATGTACTCGATCTTCACAACGTTAACTTATAAACCTAGCTTAGTATGAGGCAATTAGAATCATGAATGGCTGACTCGACTCCGGGCTTTGTTTTGCGGCCTGGAAGCTCGGGCTTGGGCAATTGAGGCTACCTTGGCTTGAAGTCGAGTAGATATGCCTATCGTAGCCGGACTGGCATCCGCCCTACTTCCGGATCATATGTAATACATACTAAGTACCTGTAGTAGTTATGTCTTTGCGTTTTAAATCCAGTAGGTTCTTTAATTGATTTGCTGAGCTCATGGAGGTCCGTGTCTATAGCTATAGATCTACCCCAACCTTTGCAAGACACGTAGGTACAGCCAGTACTTGCTAAGAAGTTTACAACCCCAACCTCAATTGGGTAATCCCAACGCAATTGTCTAGTTCAAAATGCAACATTGCATGGAAAAATAAAAATAAAAAAAGAATTATCACGTGATTGACTGTCAAAGAGAGTTTCCCGCCAGTCCCGGTTTTAGTGCTTTTTCTGTCTCGAACTCGAGCTTTCCCGAAGTCTAGTTTCCAATTGCATCATGTAGCTTATAAAGGCCATATGGATCCAGACGGCTGAAGACTAGTCGAGGACTGGAAAGTCTTCCGGCGTTACCCCTCAAATGGGGGATGCGATGTAGCTCACGGTATCGACGCGATACTACTATGTAGATACTGTCGATACCGACGAGTGCTCCTGTCCAATGGCTGCAGCATGCCGTTTTGTGGTACTCCAACATCGAAGAGAATTTTATTACAGAAGCCCGAGCTCGGACGAGAGACTTTCAGGGTCCGGACATCTCGGGCACCGGTCGGGTTTGGACTAGTCCCGGAGTGGTAATTTAAGCTGTTGGAGATTTACCCGAAGAGGCAATTAATTAATTTTCAAGACCAGGGAGAGCTGTAGCTTGGGTGCCATCGAGGTACTTATCCGATCCCATGCGATGGGCCTCTCAGTGGAGATGAGCGAGCGAGCACAGAAAAACAAATTTTAAATTCAAAAAAAGAAAAATATATAGAAATAGTGAAATAACGAAAATTAAAAAAATAGAGATCAGGAAGAAGAGTTACATTAATCATAATTCAGAGTGCATTAGGTATATGCATGTCGACATAGCTTCGGATAATAGTGCGACGTAGAACCTTCGAAGACTTATATCGGTTGAGGTGAGACCTTGGGCAAAATTTTATGCTCGTCGCCGAAACCTTTCTACTTTCTACTACCCTTTCCTAGCAGGGGGCATCGCATCATTCTCGAAACTTATCTAGCCTTAAACCTTCGATTGAGAGGCTTTATTCTGGTCTTAGTAAACCCTCGTTCCTAGTCCGTCTGTCTGTCTGTCCTCTCTTGCTAACCCTTCCGGACTGCGGCAACCAGCACTCTTTTTTTTTTTTTTTTCCCCTCTTGCGCGAGAACCGGCCGGTGTTACCACTACACCCTTGGATAAGATAATTTAATATTTCCCTCTGCTTCTCCCTCCTTCTTTCTTCCTTTCTACTTGAACCTCCTCCTTTCCACTTCTTCTTCTCTTCTCCTCTCCTCTTTCTCTTCTTTCTCCTTCCACTACCATCTTCTGCAATTCGCAAGCTCTGATCCGACTTCGGGTAAAGTCAATCGGTTCCAGCAAACATCACCAAACTATCCAGCCTTCGCAAAAACACCATCTCAACAAAAATGACGCAGGCACAGGTCAACGGGACTTCCAGGAAGCCCTTCTTGTTCACCTCCGAGTCCGTCGGAGAAGGTCACCCAGACAAGATCTGGTATGTTCCTTAGCCACCCCCCCCTTTTTTTTTCTGCTCTTTGGAGCTACAATATACTGAACTTTTGGTGTAGCGATCAGATCTCGGATGCCATTCTCGATGCCTGCTTGGCTGAGGACCCAACCTCCAAGGTAGGACAAGACCTCTTAGTACGACGAAAATTTGCTTCCCGCTAATTCAATTGCTTCTTTCCAGGTTGCTTGCGAGACTGCTACCAAAACTGGTATGTGCGGAAGATACCCTAAGCTCCTAGTGTTCCAGGCACAGATTTTTTTTTTCCTCACCCATGTTTTTACGTAAGCGGCTACTAACGGCAGTGCGTTTTCCCTTTTACAGGTATGGTCATGGTCTTTGGTGAAATCACTACTGGAGCCAGACTCGACTACCAAAAGATCATCCGTGATGCTATCAAGGACATTGGTTATGACAGCTCTGACAAGGGCTTCGATTATAAGACTTGCAACGTCCTAGTTGCCATTGAGCAACAGTCCAAGGATATTGCCCAGGGTCTTCACTACGAGAAGGCCTTGGAGGACCTCGGTGCTGGTGATCAAGGTATCATGTTCGGTTATGCTACTGATGAGACCGAGGAGTTGCTCCCACTCTCTCTCCTCCTCTCCCACAAGCTTAATGCTGCCATGTCTTCTGCCCGCCGTGATGGGTCTCTCCCATGGTTGAGGCCCGATACCAAGACCCAGGTCACCGTTGAGTACGAGAATGACCACGGTGCTTTCATCCCACGCAGAGTCGATACCGTTGTCGTCTCTGCCCAACACAGCGAGGACATTGACACCCCAGAGCTCCGAAAGGAGATCTTGGAGAAGATTGTCAAGAAGACTATCCCTGCTAAGTTCCTTGATGACCGAACTGTCTATCACATCCAACCATCCGGCCGTTTCGTCATCGGTGGGCCACAGGGTGATGCTGGTCTCACTGGCCGTAAGATCATCGTCGATACCTATGGTGGTCACGGTGCCCACGGCGGTGGTGCTTTCTCCGGAAAGGACTACTCCAAGGTCGACCGATCTGCTGCCTACCTCGCCCGATGGATTGCCAAGTCCCTCGTCAAGGCCGGCCTCGCTCGCCGTGCTCTCGTCCAGCTCTCCTACGCCATCGGTGTTTCTGAGCCCCTCTCCATCTTCGTCGACACCTACGGAACTAGCGACAGGACTTCTGAAGAACTTGTTGAGATCATCAAGAATAACTTCGACATGAGACCTGGTGTCATCGTCAAGGAGCTTGACCTCGATAAACCAAAGTACTACCAGACCGCCAAGAACGGTCACTTCACCAACCAGGAATTCACCTGGGAGAAGCCAAAGGTTCTTGAGTTTTAAACTCATCAACCTTATCCTAACATTAAAAAAAATTATTATCACACTATAAAAATCACACCTCGAATTGCATTGGAAAGAAGACTTCAACTCCTTCTTCCACTGCCGGACACTTGTTCCTCCCTTGTACTATCTTTTTGCGCGACATGAAAAAGCGAAACTCACGGTTGCCGACACAACATTTCCTACCTCTTTCCTTTCATTTTTCCTCCTACCCTCTCTAGCACGAATAGACATGACGGATACACTAAAACCCCACAATGTTCCTCTCTGTCTCTCTTTCATCCCTTCACCCATCATTGAGCATCTGTTGTTTTTTTTACGAGCCTCACGGGTAAAGACAAAAGCTATCCATTTTGCTTCCAGGTTTTTTGTTCCCAGTCTTTTGTTCCTTTTTACAAAATAGCTCTCTATCAGGTATAAAGACCAAAATGCTAAAAAGACCAAACCACGGGAACCGGCGTTGTTTCGAATAAGGGAGGGCCATGTTTCAACACCATGCAGCTTTAGATGATATCATAATGCAATTTGGGCGTTTCGTTGTTTTTTTGGATATTGGGTCGTTGTTTTATTTCTCTGGTTTTTTCTTTCCCTACATTGCAATGGCGGATTATGAACGGTGCTTTCCTTATTTTTATCTTTTCCTTTTTAAAGTTCTTCGATTCTTCTAATACACCTTTTTTGCAACATGTGTTTTGTGGTTGGCCGGTTTAGACGGGCGATGGAGTTGGCAATCGATGAAGGGAGGGCCAAAGTGATGCTACCTATTACATTACTTTAGATAGCGCACAGAATTGAAATATGAAGATGTTGCTGAAGCTTGAATGTGCAATCAATTGCCGACTCGTGATCGATATATATGGCATTTAATTCGTTTTATTGATAAGATGAATATCATACTACGCGGTGTTCTATCGACTCTCGGTTTTGATCTACAGCAAGTCAATAGTATGAATGGCGCATTCATATTACACTACAGGCCGGGAGCTAGCTCTTGGGCTTGCAATGGGACCTTGCAGCCAATAGTCTAAAAATACCATGTAACCCGCGGTAGACTCTGCGGCGTTCTAATTGGATATTATACGTATTCAAGTATCTATTTTTTTAGATGTATTATATAATCTTCAAAGTCTGGACATGCATTTCTAATTGGTTAATTAATAATCAATCGGTGGGACTGATATGTTGTTTCTAAATCCGCAGGACTTATGTATTTTGAATCACTCTTATGTACCTATATATACTGGTACCTTATACTTAGTTATCCCCTGTACCTAAATAAGTACCTAGGTATTTAAGAAGTTAACATGTGGTCGAGAATGGTCTCGTAAACTAGGTTGGTAAACTAATTGGAAAATGTTACAAATCCTAGGCCTATATAAGTAATCTGGCTCCGAGACTGATAGGTAGTTTCATTGAAAGACAAGCACTGATACCGTAAGTCTAAGTCAACAGAAGTAGGAGGGAGGCAAAAACATATGCATACAAGAACAAATTGTCTTAAAAACAAATAAAAAAGTACCAGTTATGTTTTCTATGCCGTCGAAAGAAAGGGGGAAAAAAAGACAGGAAAACTCCCAAAGATTTGAAAGCCAGGAAAAGAAAACGCCGTGAACAGGATGAATATTCCCCGTTTTATTGAAAGAAGGAAAGAAGGCATCTAGGTTGAACTCTTCTCTTGTTTCTGATGAAGCAATTCCCTAATCCCTCTTAGAAATAGATAAATGAAATAGTATTAAGGGTGTCCCCCTAATGAATGCCCTTTTTACAAATAATAGGCAATTGGTGTAAGCTATCTTTCTAGCGTGGGCCCTCTTTGTCGCTAATCCGTGTATAAATTTCTCCGAAATTGTATATGTTTCTGAGTAAAGGCGGAATTATGGTAGGAAGTCGTCTTCTTCCGAAGCGTCCGCTGCGCTATTTGTCAACGAAAGATATGTGGTCCACAGGATACCGACTGACGAAGCAAAGGGAAGTTGGAATTGAAGTGGCATGAACCTGAAGTTGATGATTTGAACCGCTGGCCAGAGAATATAGTTGGATCGGAGCGCTGGCATATAAACATTTGAGAATTTGTTCTGAACTGCTTTTTTATCGCCGCCTTCTGCAATTGTCTATTTGATATAGGATGGATCATGTAAGAAATCGATGTATATAGGAATGTATAGATATGATGTTAAAACATACCATGAATGTAAAGAACCCGGCCAACCCCACCGGAGCGAATATAAGTTGGTCACATGCCACCCTCTTCAGAGCCGGGACCATAGCCGTCGAATTGGGTGGAATAGGAAACGTCTTTCCCAGAAACTTAAACCACGTAAATTGCGCTGGTGCCATCACAAATCCCCAAAACGCGAATCTCGCTAGCCTTTCGAATTCAAATGGTGGGGGCAGGAAGTCGGTCCGTGGTATCAATTCGCCTTTGTGTAGTGCATCTGGGAGTTTATTGTCCAATTCACCGATTTCAATGGCGACTCGGTCCTGTGGGAGTTCCGGGCCCGTGGGCTTTCGGAGGGCTCGTTCACGAACTATAGTGATGGTTTGAGCGACGGTATCTGCTATACTGTTTAGGACCTGGCAGGCATGATGGTTATGCGTTAGTTAGGTGTTGGAATTTGGGGAATAGGTCCGAATTCGGGGTAGTTTCGACGTGGGGGTGCTTACGGCATTTGAAATCATCATTGTTAGGATTGGTCGCTTTTCGAAGGACTCATTGAAGACGGCAATGAATCTTGCCATGATGAGAATTTCTACTATGAAGATGATGAATGGGATGAGTGGCTAATAGAATTGAAAGTAAATTAACTGTTAGCTAAGGTCGATGGACCGTGTTGTTGTGGCGGTTACACTTTTGGGTGGTTATAGATTTGACGAAGAACAAAAGAATGGATCAGAAGGATGATCTCTATAAGGGTAAATTGGAATAGCGTATTGGATTGAAGTTGGAGTAGGAGTTTTGACAGGCGCTAAAAAGGAAACGAGAGGGGATACGGCATTGTTTTTGCATGGGAGTCGACGTGGTGAGGTCAGGTAATGAAGGTAAGGTAAGGTGAGGCAAGGGTATTTGACGATACCATGACCTCATCCCGCTTCCGCCGCCTCTCTTGATTTGATCCTTGGAACGGGAACAGACCACAGACACATTAAAATAAAATAAAATAAAAAAAGGATATCTTGCAGGAATAGCACCCGATATCCATAAGATAGTAGACATTTTAAGCAGGGACTTTAAAGCAGGTGCACTTGGAGGGTTATGATAGGGCTGTTGATAGTAAAAATCATATGCTCGGAAGGGTGATAAGTTAACATACTATCCTGTCCAACAGGTAAACTGACTGAAGGTGCCGCATCGTCCTCTTTGCTCTAACCCGTAGAGATGGCATCTTGAAAAAGAGGAATCTCTTCAACGGGATAACCACTAGGAAGTATATATATATATACTTGAGTAGATAGCTATAAGATATAGATCCCGGTTGGAATGACTATCCTTTGTGATCTCGAGGCCCAAGCGACGGGATCTTTTCTAGACAGACAACACCCTTTTCTTTTCTTTTCTTTTATTTGGGTTATTATTGATGTAGATTTTGTGTATCGTATCTGGTGGCGTTCGGTATCGGATGATGGAAAACGGGGGTTTCGATCGGTCCTATTGGGTGGCCTGGATGGAGCTTCCAGAGCTAAACTAGTGCGTCAGGGAAGGCCCAAGTCAGGAGAGCTGATGCTGGACGACGTGGGGTTTCTAGCTTTTAGAATTTTGGAACGTCGGGACGATGATTAGGTGTCTTCTTCCTTTCTGTTATCTTCTGTTTGTATAATATAAATGCGATGAACAGCTTGTTTGTAGTTACGTCGGAGCATTCTTGTGGGAGGGCGAATGAGGTGGAATCGGACGGTCACAGTAATACCATTTAACGGAACTCGGCGGGCCGGTGTTTGGTTAGTTTGGCGACTAGTTTGGGGGCGAGGCTATGGAGATGAGCATCAGCATTTCCTGTACCGACTGGCTGATACATACTTCAAGTTATTCTTGGATCTGGCGCTATTCATTTCACTCGTTTGTTCATGCGATAATGGTAGCCCCCCACAACGGTTCGCACTGGCCTCAAATTTCAATTTCTCGATATGATTTGCAAATCGTTCGATACACCGATCTGCTGAGCAGCTGTAATCCAGCCCGAGACCATTTCTTTCCTTCGGGTTGGAATTTTTAAATTGGTTGAGGCTAACCTTTTTTCAAGCACATTTGTGAAACTGCGAAGTCGTAATTGCTGTCGCAGTTTTGACGTTAATATGCATATTTTTTAGTCAGCTAAGTGGCGATGCTCTAACATTAACCGCTCCTTTGTGTAGCCCGTTCGTTTGCTCATAGTATAGCCCCGAAAGCTGATTCGGAACCATCCATGGATCCAAGGGTCCCTGGTATACAGCCACTGATAAACGTCTAACGGCATATCGAACGTTGATGGTGTCGCATAGCTCGCACTGAACTTGGAGCTCTTGAGGCGACATAATTCCTGATAACGAGTTTTCTAGCGCTGTAGATGCATCGGTGCTTATCGATATCAATGCGAGATTTCGCTAAACATGTCATCCCGTTGATGAGGCCTGTGCAATTGGTAAATCGATTTACGTATTTTCTAACATTTCCTCACGATGCATATGGTGTATGTTTGCCTTTTCAAAACTTCTCGAAACAGTGTCCGCTAGGGAGCCCCACGAGGCCTGTCGGCATGTTCGAGACATAAGATAGCTGTCACATGGTAAAATGCTTGATGTGTACCTTTTTTCATTTTTTAGTCGTGATTTGAAACATACAGGAAATTCGGGGTATCATCTCTCTTCAAAAAAAGATCGTCGAATAGCAGAGACGGGGTTCGAAGCTCTCGTCTTTCATGTACAGACGACAGTCGGCAATTCTCTACATTCAGTTATATCGTTGGTCATAAGGTCTACTACCCTGACTCCTTCGATCGTTAAAACTCCAGTCGCTAATGCAATAAATCTTAATTCTGCTGTATGGCAAGCATTTGGGGCTAACGGTCTATATCGAATTATGAAAGGTTAGCGTGATGGCTCTCTAAATATTATGTGACTAGTATTATGCTTTCAACTTACCCGATCCTCACGTCATTAACGAGAGGTATCAACTCAACAGCCTCCAGATGCTGACTCTTGTACGATGAGAACAGCGCTGCATCTTCGACTACCGGTTCCGTCATGTTATGCGGTATGCTGGGGAGGATCTTACCCTCGCCCTTTCGTCGCTTTGGCGGAACTAGTAGGGCGAGACGTCGTGCGCGGCTACTCCTGTTCATAACAAAGACTCGCCAAGAGAAAATATCACCTGGGTGGACATTGAGTGACATGGCCGTGAAAGTTATCGTTAGGCCCGAGGGCTCTATTAGGCTGGTAGTAGCATTTGATTGTGACGATAATGGGCGCCCTCCCAAACGTAGGGATGGTGGATTGCCGTGGGTTGTTGCGGAAAGAGAATCATGGCGGGACGAAAAGTCGATAGATGTCTCCCAGTGTGTGCTGATTAATGGTTTGCAGATATCTGATACCATTGCCTGTCCTTTGAGCTTTACAACGATGTGCTTCAACGGAGTCGCTGGCTGGGAGGGTCCGCTCTTGTTTGGGATCCGGAAGAGGAAAGTTATCTCATCCATTACTTGCAGTAGAGTTGGAAACATTTTCTCGGACGATTCCATTGAAGAAATAAAAACTCCACCGCATTCTAAGACTACATCTCTGATTTCGAAGTTGCACCCGAGTTGCGGTGTAACTTCGAGTGTAAGATGTGCAAAGAGGTTTTCCGTATTCGCTTTTCGAGGCGTCTTATTCCCTCGTAGTTTGAAGTTCAGCCCTGGGACAATCGGGAATGTCTTCTTCGACGAGTATCCCAGAGGGCTAAATGATTCCTTTGGCGCGGGCTGCGTAGGAATCACTCTGGATACTCTGAGGGCGGAGAGGTAAGGTAGCTTTTCTGGTGATTCACCACCAAATGACTCGAGGATGTTGACATTTAAGGCTTGCCGACCCGAAAGATACTCATTTGCCGGCAGCCTTGTATTCTGGTTTAATAGCTTAAGAGTGGCAGAGGCTGAGAATACGACCCTCGGATTATTTGGCCTTGCCTTCGGGTGTCCTAAGGGAACTGTAATTTTCCAAATAGCTAAACGTGTGTCGCCATCCCGCCACAGTATCTTATCGCCGTCCTTATCTTGTATGGTTTTCTGATAGAGTAATATAGGCCCGTCTGGTGGCCTGCTGCCATCTGGTCGTCTTTGACTTTGGTTCTCAACGGCGGTGACCTCTAGCGATACTGCGAGTCGCGAACTGTATGATTTATAAACAGAGTCATCGTGAATGCCGAATATCTGTAGGGCTATGAATACGGGCACATCTTCGTCTATAACTCAGATATGTCAGATATATGGCACAATTGGAAAACCCACAAGCTCTAAGAGGGACGAACCGAAGTATAGGTGCTGCCTCTGCGCCAGGCTGGACAATGCTGGAACCGGATGGAGCAGATCATTGGGATTTAAAACACTAAGATGCGTCGGCCTCGGTCTATTATTCAAGAAATCCTCGATATCCAAACCACTGTCTTCGGCGACAAAGACTTCGAGACGAGCCTTCTCGACGATGTCGGTACTGATTGTCCGTCGATGGCCACGGCCACGCGAAGGCCCGATACTACCAGGACTGGCCATTCGAGCCAAGGGGAATCATCGGCACGAGCCCCCGGCTCGCTCCGACACTCGATGGGCTCCACGGACTCGTTCCTGCCTTGTCGTTGGTGCTGAAGCTCGAGGTTGGTGACTCTTGTTCTGAACAGCTATCGCAGAGCTGGGAGCTTGCCTTGATGTGGTGTTGTAGGAACCTGGTTGGTTCGTGCTTTCTTGGAATCATCGAAACGAGCCAAACCCACCTTCTTGTCCTTAACCTTCTTTTTTCACTTGGCCCACCACCGACGCCACGACATCAACCATCAACGACAAGTAAAACCTGACGGCACCAGTCGCGATACTCAAACCCGATACTTCGATAACCTGTCTGGTTTGCGCACCCACGTTCATTTACGCGAAGCCTTACCCTTCAAGACGCGCCCCATAAGACATGTCGTCTTTGTGGCAGGAAGCCCGCGCTCCGGACGGGAGAACCTATTACTACAACAGCCAGACAAAGGCGACACAATGGCAGAAGCCGTTGGATATGATGGCCCCTTTGGAGGTATGTTCTTCGTACGGCAGGCAGACCAGAAAATGGCTCCTAGATGCTGATTATCGAGAAACTATAGCGGGCGATTGCTGGGCAACCTTGGCGGGAGTATACCACGCCGGAGGGAAAGAAATACTGGTCCCATATCGAAACTAAACAGAGTGTCTGGGATATACCAGAATCATTCAAAGCAGCCGTCGATTCTGCCCAGAAAATCCCTTCTCTTCCACAAGCACCACAGTTTGTAGCGGGAGGTACCCAGAACTTTAACAATTCAAACTACCAATCAGGCCCACATAGGGATCGCGATCGAGGAGACCGGGACCGAGGAGACCGAGACCGAGACCGAGATGACCATACGCCAATCGAGCGATCGTCCGCTGCGAATGACAGTATCAATGCTGCTCGTGCATTGCCCGTCCCTGACAAGAATGAATCTCAATATCAAAACTATGCAGATGCTGAAGCGGCCTTCTTCAAATTGCTGAAGAAAAACAATATTGGCCCCGATTCTACGTGGGACCAAGCCCTGAAGCTGGTTATAAAAGAGGCACCATATCGGGCTATCAGAGACCCTCGGGACCGTAAAGCTGCCTTCGAGAAGTATACTGCCGAGCTTCGTATGCAAGACCTTGAGAAACAAAAGGACCGAATGACCAAACTGCGCCAAGATTTTACAACTATGTTGAAGAGTCACCCCGAAATCAAGTACTACACTCGATGGAGGTATGATATACATTGTCTACTCGTCAATCTCCACATATTAACTGTGTTATTTCTTAGAACTGCTCGCAAGTATATCGAGGGTGAGACTATCTTCCGCTCAGCCGCTGACGATAACGAACGCCGCTCTTTGTTTGAGGAATACATCCTCGAATTACGAAAGGAGGAGCAAGAACGAGAAGCAACTGAGAGAAGACAAGCTCTCGAAGATCTGACGGCTCTCTTAAAGTCCCTGAATCTTGAGCCGTATACTCGCTGGTCAGAAGCCCAAAACCTCATTAGGGAAAGTGATAGCTTCAAGTCTGAACCGAAATACCAGGCGCTTTCTAAGCTGGATATCTTGAACATGTTTGAGAGCCATATCAAATTCCTCGAGCGTAGTTTGAATGATAATCGACAAAAGCAAAAACAGAACAAACAAAGGAAAGAACGTAAGAACCGTGAGGCCTTCGTTGTAAGTACTAGATTTTGATTTGATTGAATATCGTCTCGCTTTGCTAATGTATCCCTAGACCCTACTCGACGAGCTCCTAGCAAAAGGCAAAATCCGATCTGGTTGCAAATGGAAAGAGATTCACCCATTGATCAAAGATGATGAACGGTATGATAATATGCTTGGCCAATCCGGTTCTACCCCCCTTGATCTGTTTTGGGACAAGGTCGAAGAAATCGAGAGAGAGGTTCGGAGCAAGAAAAATATCGTCATGGACATCCTAGAGGTATGGCTACTAAATCAGACACATTATATGCTTGTGCTAATGCAGATGGCGAACACAGGAGAAAAGGTTTCAGGTATCGCCCAAGACTCATATCGACGAGTTTATCCATATCTTGCGTTCAGACTCGCGTACTGCTCAATGGTCACATGATGATTTTGTTACAGTTTTCGATAAGGTAAGCCGCAATATTCAATCTATATCGAGGGCCTGGCTAATTGTCCTGAAAGATTCACGAGAAATCAATCAAACGAAGCGAGGAAGACCGGCATCAAGCGGATCGTCAGCAGCGCCGACGTGTCGATGCCCTACGCTCGGCTATCAAGCATTTAGACCCCCCTGTTTCTGTGGGCGACACCTGGGAGAAAGTCCGTCCTCGTTTAGTCAAATTAGAAGAATTCAAGGCATTGGACTCCGAAGACATGCGTCAGTCCGCCCTTGACAAGTTTATCCGCCGTTTGAGAGAGAAGCTGGATGACGATCGTGAACCAGATCGCAAAGAACGTAAAGGTAGCCGTGGAGCCGAGCGCACTGACAAAGGAGATCGTGAGCGTGAAAGGGCTCGCACGCCTCGTGAGCATGACAGCAGGGACCGTCATCGTGGTGATCGGGACCGTGAGCGTGAAAAGGACCGGGATCGAGAACGAAACGGGCATCGTGCCAGTCACAGAACCCCGCACCGTACTCCAGAGCCGGATGCATATGAAGCCGAGCGCCGACGTGCCGCTGGTGAACGTGAAAGGCAACACCTAAAATCAGGTACTACCTTCCCGGTTGGTCGAAGTGAGCGTGAGAGGGAACGTGAGCGTGAGCGTGAACGTGACAGAGATCGAGATCGAGATCGATTCGAAAGAGACCGCGAACGCGATGCATATTGGGATAGAGAGCGTGAAGAGAGGGAACGCGAAAGAGAGGCCCGTCATTCTGTGAGTATCTATGAAAGGGAAAGGCGTGAGCGAGAAGAAGAACGTGAGAGATCCTTCAGGACTCGAGACCGTGACGACGGGAATGGCATTACGAGACGTCGTCGCTTGAGCCCTGGCGAGGAAAGTGATGTTGGCAGAAGGGAAGCCAAGGTCAGTAAACATCCCACTTAGCTCTCTCATGTAACTTCGTGCTAAGCCTATTAAAAATAGCGATCGAGGCACGAACGCGGATCTTTTGAGCGCCTTCCTTTAGACAGACCGCCGACCCGGGAGGAACATTTCGATAAGCCGACTCCTAAGGAACTCGGAAAGGCTGTCAACCTTAATTACGGTGATGACCCGGCTCCGACCCCGACCCCAGCCCCGACCCGCGCTCCCGCCGCGGCTGGCGACAATGCTAGCGAAGAAGGAGAGATCACTGAATAAGGTGCTGGAGGGGCCAAACTCGTACGTGATACATCTTACGTCTTTGGAATGAGCTGAAATATGCAACCCGTGAGGTATCTTAATGCCTGTTATTTTCATTGTATCCTAATTATTGTCTCTTTCTCTTTTATATCGCAGTGGAATGTCTTAATTCTTCTTTTATCTTTTGATATTGCAACGGGAGGTGGAGGATTATGGGGTATAGGTCTGGACCAACGTGGTGCGTAGTCTACGATTTTTCCCTTGAAATGGTGGTATGGGTACTGTTGATGTAGGTGGAACAGAAAGCTCTACGACGTCGCCTATTTCCGCCCCACAGGACTATTTCGTTGATGGATATATACACTACCATGGAACGGCGTGTACGTTATACTCCCCTTTTGTTACTAACCGTCGGATACAGCAAAATGCACTTATATATTTTTTCTGATTGATATTTTTTTTATATTGAATTTGTAATTGAGCCTCTCGATGGTGAGTATTTTCGGTTCTTAGTTTCCACTTTCAAGTTCGTCCCCCCTACTAAATCCGAATCCCTACCGCGATTCTGGTCCGTCAGTTTATGATTTTCACCTGTGCACTCTTTGAGGGGGGTATTGACCATAGTATAATTCATATTGAAATGTCTATTTCCCTTCTTTGAGCCCAAGCGATCACTGCTACTCAACGACCAGCAGTTCTACATGGCTTCAAGCTTCGGATCTTGGCAACCCCGGAACATAGTTAGAATAACTAACGCCAATACTTTCAATATACACGAAGTAACGCTCCAAAATATATCGGAATTTGCCAGAACTTCGTACTACAGCCGTACTAGTACAATCATGTGTACGTCAAGTAGCCTGTGAACTGCGAACTAATCCCTCTTACCAAGCTAGCAGGTCGGCCAGTTGTAATAAGTAGCTAGCGTCCACGCTTAGAGCCTCTTAAGCTTCTGGGGCACCGGCTTTGAAGGTGTGGTATTTTGTAAATGTACTCGTAAACCTACTGGTATGTGGTGAGTTAGAATGTAATTACTTAGGTTACAAATGCATTAGTTTACAATTGCGAGCTTCGCTAATATTGACCCTATGTACTATAATATTACTGCAGCACTGTCATGAGAGGGGGCTCTAGTTTACGAGTCTGCTATCATTTAGGGAAAGCTCTAGGGCGCTCTGCTACTTCTCATTGATGCATTTTGAATTTGTCATAATGAACAGCCGAAATTTATCTATTTATATACCATAACAGGGAGGAAAAAAAGGCTGGATTGTCTTCCGCTTCCACGAGTACCCAAGTAGAGGTTGAGGTATTGATGCTTTATTCTTGTGGGATTATTTTTTGAGGTGGGAGGGCAGCGATCCTGCCAGTATCCCAGGGGTGCTTGTGCGGATGATTCTCAAGATCTAGATCATCAGGGTTAATAGGAGCAGGCGGGTCTTCTTTTGGGGGGACAATGGGCGGGAGTGAGCCTTCAGCCTTGCTATAAGAGCCGTATTCATGGGAGTCCCACCAGCCGCCGGATGAATATTTCGTAGTCATTTCGTTGCAGTGTTTCTTGATAAAGTCGAGATTAGGCCTTCCGTGGGTCATTCCATGGTCCCAAACTATTTCCCCAGAAACGGAAGAGTAAAAAGAATTAGCTATCACAAAATAGGAAGAAGGGGGTAAGGAGGGTGCCTAACAGGTCTGCGGATCCTCAGTTCCGTTGGTAAATAGAACATGTTCCTCCGAACCGGGACTACAAAGCCACCCTTTGCATGTCCAATTCTCCCAACCTGCATCACCATATCTACGAAGGTAGCCACATTCGAACACCCAAGCTTCATATCCGAAGGTAGTTCCGAACAAACCACCTTCGCACTCATGATGAGAATGAGCCCCATTCACGAAATAATACTCAGAGTACTGGTTGTGAAACACAGCTACATTGTAGCCGGGGTATTCCTCTGATAACTGCTGTGCGAGCTGTCTAGGGTATTTGCCTTTTGCGTCCTCAAAGCGAGAGAGTTGGTCCCAAAGCTTCCGCATCAACTCGCCAATTTTGGCGCCGACTTCTGTATTTTTTCCAAGAGGAAAAAGTAGAATGGGTCAATATATCAATCTTCTTTGAACCTGCGACAATTGCTTGAGACCGCATCCAAGGGAGCTTACCACCGGACTTCCAGGCACCCTTCATAGCTTCGGGATCTGAGTTTGGCATTGTTGCGTGTCGAAAAGCGATATATTATAGAAATTAGGAAACGAGAAAGCCCTTCGAGATCTTTTTTTTAAGAACGGAAGAATACTCAATAGATCCGATATCCTGTGATGAGTATGGAGGGTAAATATTAAGAAGGAAACTTCATCAGTGTACCTTCATGGTCCTTTTATACTTGAATTCCAAACTTCCTGTACACATTCGTACGTGTTCTATCGATCTCGTAGCTAGTATAATTTTCGTATTATTCCATGTCATATGCGTCGGCGTCATTGCCCGTAGTAAACTAAACCGACCTACCCCTCTCCTCCTATGTGTCTATCTCAAGCCCAATTTTCATGCATATCAGAGCAAATTAGCCACTTGAGCCGATAAAGTGCACCAATATTCATAATGAAGCCGGTTCCCGTCTTGGAAAAAGCCTGCCGACTGCGAACGCCCTCCCGGCTGCGGTAGATATTATGCTAACATCTCAACTAATCAATCTATGAAATTGAGGTAAAAGGGGGAGAGCCAACTCGCCATGCATACTTACTTAGCCTTAACTGGTGACAAGATCGTACGATACATACCATCTATGTGCATTGAAGCACCTGCAATGTCGATCCGAACTATTCACAATGATATTGCAGGGTACGTACGCCGGACTCGGACAGGTAGCATAAATCTGTGACGATGAGCTCCCTGGACCCTGCACGAAATAATATTCGGAGTTTTGATTATTAAATACTGTATTAAGAGGTTGTGACAGTAGTCCTGGGGGCCCTCCATTCAATTTTTGGGAAGTCTGAATTCACGAAATGGAGTCTCATACATGTGCACCTCGAGAGACTATTCAATTTTGGAGTTCTTTATATATATCAAATTAACGGGAGTGAGTGGTCAGCCTCTTTTCCGCGAACAATAACGTTGATAGTTACATAAATAGGTATATCAGTTCAAATATCGACAACTATATCAAAGCCCAATCACTTCCAGACTGTCAGATAGAAACATTGTGATTCCGAAGGCCTTATTTGAATTCATCGAGTAGACATGGACCCCCAAATACTTCCCAAAATATCATTTTCGAACTGTCAACAGTAACTAGAAATTTGGCGGTCCACCGAACTGGTTAGCTGCTTTCAAAAGCGCCTCCCGACTGCGAAAGCGCCCAGCTGCGAGAATAAATCCGGATCCAAATCAAAAAGAAAAGGAAAAGAGGGAGGGAGGGAGGGAGGGAGGGAGGGAAAGGAAGAAAAACAAGAAGCCAACTCACTCATGTCTACCTCTAAGATGGTATTTATCCGATAATCAATTATATAATTTTTGTCAAAACTACGGCGTGGAACGGATACCAGCAGCATTGCCTTCCAACCAGTATTGATCCCCGGGAGAGCCACATGAAACTTCACTGGCTGGATATATCGGATATCTAGCTTAACAAAAGGGAGAAATAAAGTAGGCTAACACCCCTTAGGTGCTAGTACACACTGCAGCCGTTGTCTTCCCCGAGTCCGACTGCCTCTATTATAATCCAAGATCTCGACCCCGCATCTTCCGCTCGAAATAAAGTGGATACTGCAAGTGACAAATATGCCGCAGCCAGAAAATAGATAACTATAGTATATACCTGAGACTTTCTCTCTATTTTGCTCTTTCTATCCCCATTAGCAGTTTCTATAATCCAAGTCCGACGCAAAATTACAAAAAGTAACAAGGGCGTGTTGGATGTTTGTGTTGCAATTGTTGCAAAATCGTCCGCTTAATGTATGTCTTGGCGTAGCTTCCACCCGATTTTGCTCGCGAGGTACATGTACACACCACCATCCCATCCCCAGAAGCAATTTGGTAATCTGTACCATGTGTAGACATATATATGTGTACGGATTTCATCTGTATGGCAAATGGTCAATGTTCGCAGGTATATCTACCTCTAGAGTGCCTAGATTCAAGACTAATAGATGTAGATGCTCCAAAAAATAATGTGATTCTTGCAAAACTTCAAATATAATCTGCGCTGCTAAGCTTAAGCTTAGCAGCTATCCTAACATGTACAAATTGAGAAGCCATTCCGGTGCCGTAGAGGCTTAGCTAGAGGGGACCAGAGGTTTATAAAGACTTTATAACGATATCTTGAGCTCGCTTCATTTTTGGGAATCTGGAGCCTTTAAGTTAGGAGACACACGCTCATCCGCTGTAAATGTTTCCAAAGACACTGCGCGCGTACTGACCTCCAACGAGCCGGATGCTGATAGTAAAAACGAAATGACATGTCATGAACGACTCACTAGACTCCGATCACCTTTCACCTTCTATAACATAAGTGTTAAATCCTCTGTCGCCTCACACCATTCAGAGTCCAGAGGAATTGTGTAAGTCGCTCTTCGGGAGTGATCTTTAGAGAGCCTCAAGTCGAGTCCTGGATTTTGATTGCACCATTGTATCTTTTTAACTGTCGGTAAATCCTTCTAAGCTCGTTGATAGACCATATGGTTTCCGAGTGATCGGGCCCCAAGCATGCCTTCTGTATCTTTAAGGCATTTTCATGCATTTCGATGGACAATTTTACTCTGGATTGTTGTTGGCCGTAAATTATACCTAGGCTGTTCAACAGCCAGGTAGCAGAAATATCTTCTTCTCTATATTGATTTTGTCTCTTCTGGAGTTCATCCTGTATTCGCGTCTCGCCTTCGGGACTCTGGCGGATTGTATATTCTCGGCATAAGTCTTTGATTGATTTGTTTCATTTGAATCATTCTATTGTGTAGTATCCAAGCCAAGAAGATAGGTTAGGCAGAGACCAGCACTCTTTTCGTGTGTTTCGTCTTCTCGAAATTGAAATTCAAATAGAGATTCAGAGATGTCGGTTCGGAAATTTGTAATGTTACTGGCTGTTAGGAAAAACTCCCATACAGATGAATAAAAAAATCTGAAGCTATCTGTTTCAAGTACGTATTCGACAAATGGATCACACCAATCCAAGATGGTACCAATCTGTACGGGGAGACTCTATTCGCTCCAAAGGTCCCCAGTACGGGTCCAGAGTACAAATTTCATTTTAGGCAATCGAAGAAGACGAGAAGCCGCATAAATCGTCATTATCACTTTTCTCGTTAATTTAGCAGCTCAGGTGTTAAAAAAATATCCGTTCCCTCTTTGTGATATTTTAATGATAATCTCTGAAGAGAAGTCTTTGGTCGCGTCTTGCTCGTGAAGGTGGTTGAGTCCGTCTCGGATATATCTACTGATATCCTCACTGGTACTCGAGTTGTCGAGTTTGAGATATCAATGGCATTTGAATTTTCGAGCTTGATTTAGGGCACGAAAAGGACATCCGCAGGTACCCCATCATCCCAAAAGTTTCTTGACTAAATAAAATGGTTTAAATATTTGGGTTTGCCTTTGTGAGTCTGAAGGGTTTTTGTATGGTTCAATAAGGATCGTATATCTCATCAAGCCCGTCGACGTCGATTATGATATAAAGGCGACTGAATTACTGGGTCGTCTACCACTCTATAATAAATGTTGGTAGATGTTTGAGCTGCTGTAAAATTTTTTTGATAATACTGCAGAGGATGACAGTTTCAATCCAATCGAGACCGGCTATTCTTGCATTAAAACACACCGTCTATTGTTAGAGATCTGATCCTGGAGAGAACCCTTACCCGCTCGTCACCCGTTCCATCATATATGGCTTCGACACTAGGGGATCTGGTAATTCTCAAAGAGCGATTATTTAAAGAATCACGATCAAGCCATTCTTCGTATGTAGGCTTGCCCTTGTTGATGAGCATTTGCCCCGACGAATGGGTGCGACGCTGATTAGGGTAAGTATCGGAGACCCATTTCGTGATTTCATTTCTCCTCCAAAAATCAGAGGAAATGTTCTGAATCGCTCGACGAAATTAGGATACGTGCTTCTATATATCATAGTACTAAGATTGGCATATCTACCTTATAGTCTCGATTTACTGGGATATTTATCTTCGAACCCACCCTCCGCGGCTCTACTTCACCCACCCTCGTTGTAATGTCTTTTACAGCATCGATCTGCTCGTCCAAAAAGATTTTGGGTTGTTGAATCCCCTTAATAATACCTCCAACATCCGGTTCCAATTCGCTGTTCGGTCTATGGACTGATTCTGGGGACTCAACCGATCCTGAAGCGACTATGGGCTTATACCATTCACTATTATAAATATCAGAAGCAAATACCGGCAAACTAAAAACTGATAAGTTGGATATTTCCCCCCAGCTGACTTTCGAGAGCGCGGACATTGCGACACCACGCTCCGATCCTCTGCGGCTTAGAAGCGACGTCGTCGACTGCGATAGAAAGCCGAAACCGGACCTCTTGTAGACCCATGAGGTTTTTAGATCCTTCTCAAACTCGAATATCGGGCCCTTACGCTTTTCAAAGAATTTGGAGCCGAGGAAAAAAGATAACATGGATGTTTTTGAAACACTGGAGTCGTTGCTTTGTTTTGAAACAATCGTTAAGGCGTCATCGCGAACACTGGCGGCTGAAAGCGTCATAACATCCGGAACGGGCATCATAGTCATGGATTCTGGTATAGCTCTTCGACGTTCGAGTTGTGCGACTAGACCTTGATCTTGTCGGAGAGTTTGGTTCACCAATCTACAAAGATGTTGCATTGATTTCTGTGCCTCTTGCAAGGAATAACTGCCGAAATACGCCCACAGATTAGCCTCGAAGCAAATGAGTGGGGGTGTAGATTCATGTCACTAAATATTATACCATTGAAGGATGTTCAGCATCATGGATAGTGACGACTTATGGTTCTGCAACCGACAAATGACTTCCAAGATTTCCTTTTCCTTAATAAGCCATTTACCCCGGTCGAATACTGACATCTGCCTGTCAGGCCGCACAAAGTCAACATGTCTCTCCAAATCCGAGTATGTAAGAACGAATCCCGTCAGCGTAACCGAAATGTGTTCTAGCAAGATGAGAGCTCGTCTATTCTCTGTAACGGTTTGCTGGTCCAGAACGTATATATGGATTTGTTCTAGAATGATTGTCGTTTCTTTAAGTTCAGATGAAACAGCCTTGACAGAGTCCGGAGCATCTGCGACTTTGTCTGCGATGTTGACAAGCCATGGGACCAGCTTGGCGCCGGCCGCCAATAGTCCGACAATCGAAGCTGCGATCCCCAGTGCTTCCATATTGTAAGAATAGTTGGGATCGTAATTACTGGTATCTATAGAACTAGATAGGACGCCCGACAGCCGTGTGAGCTGCGCTTCCTTGTTCCGATGCAGTTTACTGTTGCTAGAATAGAGGCGTAGGAGGAATTGATCCCTCACACGATTATGCAGGTGGTGACGAAGATATACCTACAAAAATGCCTGCGAGGCTGTTGAAAATGGTGCATGCTTAGCCAATTGGCCTTTCCTGAAAACTTCGCCCACGTATTAATTGATTGGTATACGACCTTGTCAAACCTTGCAGGTTGCAGCATGTATGCATAACTCCTGAACTTTTGAGATCAAACTAGAATTCTCTAATAGGTACCCCTTCAGAATAGACTTCCTTTGCGAGCAAGACGGGGAGTGGGGTCAATTAGTAGTCTGCCTATCAGAAAATATACAGTCTCGTAACGAAAATATATACGCTATCATAAGAGGTATATAATTACAACTCAGCATAGTATGTACATGTACATGGTCTAGTATCATATGATCTCGACGCCAGCGACGCGCCTTGTACATGTTGACAGCCTTGTCGCCCACATGCACAATCACCAATACTAGATTCACTCTATAAAGTATACATCTCTGCACCCATTTGAGCCTTGTGACATGCATCTACCACCACTCTTACGGGCTTAAGCGACCTAGCCTCGAGACTAGTACTTAGCTAGCCTCCGCCCCTACTAGCGCTAGTTCTACTCCCTCCATATCGCTAAAATTGTCGAGTTTAGTGAAGCGTGGAGCGGCTGCGATACTAGTATTAACGTGTTGTATTTTGTTCTGTGTGTGGGACCTGTGTATCTAGCGTGCATAGATACACAGTCTCGACTGTACTGATACCAACGAGACCAGTCTCGACACCCTCGGTACCTCCAAATTGCAACGTATACAACACATAGGATATGTATTGAGCATCAGGTGAAATAGTGAGATATCTAGACTAGGTGAGATATATGATCTTCTTATGGTTTAAATTTTGTGATCTAAATTGGTAGTCTGGATGCGATACCATCTCTTCTACACACCCGGCCATTATATCCGTGGTCCGGTGCCGTGCTACATATTAATATTCTAACTACTACGTAGCTACTTCGATCATAGTTCTGCTGGCTGAATAGAGCCTGTGTGGAAGGAAGGTTTTTTCACCAATCAGAAATCGATGTGAATGTGACGTCCTTTGCATAAAGTCCCCTGAGAAAAGCCCCTTGCGAGCTGTTCTAGGTACTAGTTAGCACAGAGTCCACCTGGAGAATTGTTAGAATTGTTAGGATTGTTAGAATTACACTCGCTCTCATTCGCCAGGAACAGATTCTGCCGTCAGATCGGACAAACCTTCCCGATTGGGACAACGAGCCACAAAAAATTCCACAAAGAAAAAAAAGACAACAGCTCAGCAACAACAAAAACTGGAGCTGGCAAATGTTAGACGAGCTCGTTTCTTGTCCCAGAACCTGCTTCCTGTTTAGCATCATTCTTACATCCAATCCCAGGGCATCCAACCTCCACCTCTCCCATCGTTTCCCGTCCTTCTACCTTCACAGTAGTAGTAGTATAGTCTCGAATCACCGTTTGGTGGTGCGACGGTTTCTTCGCCATGGCTGATAAGCTCACTCGGTATGACTATGAGGCTTCGAACTGTTGCTGTGCCTATGACGATACTAACAGCTGAGTGTCCTACAGTATCGCTATTGTTAGCAGCGACAAGGTAAGCACATCACCACATTCACCCCCCTATCAAAGTTTTTCCCTTAAGACCTCTGCTAACTAGTCCTTTTTTTTTTGTTGTAGTGTAAACCAAAGGTATTCCCTTGTCGCCGATATCGTCAAATACCCCGCGATTTTTCTTCAAAGACGCTAAAAATTACCCCCCTAATTGTCGCCCTATAGAAATGTCGACAAGAGTGCAGAAAGTCCTGCCCAGTCGTTAGGACAGGAAAACTCTGTATCGAAGTTACCCCGGAGTCTAAAATTGCCTTCATCTCCGAGCGACTATGTATCGGTTGTGGTATCTGTCCTAAGAAATGTCCCTTTGGCGCCATCCACATTATCAACTTGCCTACAAATCTCGAAACCCAAGTGACCCATCGATACTCTGCAAACTCGTTCAAACTTCACAGATTACCGACTCCTCGTCCGGGACAAGTTTTGGGATTGGTTGGAACTAACGGTATCGGGAAAAGTACCGCTTTAAAGATTTTGGCAGGAAAATTGGATCCAAATTTGGGACGATATGATAACCCACCAACATGGGAAGAAATCCTAAAGTACTTCCGTGGAAGTGAATTGCAAAATTACTTCTTGAGGCTGTTGGAAGAGCATTTAAAGGCCATCATCAAGCCTCAGTATGTTGACCAGCTTCCGAAAGCCATGGTCAGGGAAAAGGCAAGAAACCCGAAGTTGGACACGACTGTTGGTGGTCTCTTGAAAAGCAAGAACGATCGAGATGTTCTCGATCACGCTTTGGATATCTTGGGTGCGTAAGAACCGATTTCGAACGAAGGCAACGGGCCGGAGCACTAACAAATATCTGTGAATAGAACTTAAGCAAGTCGTTGATCGTGAAGTCAATCTTTTGTCTGGTGGAGAGTTGCAGCGTTTCGCTATCGGAATGGCTGTCGTTCAAAAAGCCGATGTCTACATGTTTGACGAGCCGTCTTCATTCTTGGATATCAAGCAGCGTCTCAAGGCTGCTAATACCATTCGTGAAATCGTCAAGGAAAACGACCAGGGATACGTTATCGTCGTAGAGCACGATTTGTCAGTTCTCGACTACCTTTCCGATTTCATCTGTGTTCTTTACGGTAAACCCGCTGTCTATGGTGTCGTCACACTCCCAGCCTCGGTCAGAGAAGGTATCAACATTTTCTTGGATGGTAACATCCCAACTGAAAATTTGCGTTTCAGAGAAGAATCACTTCAGTTCAGGATCGCAGAAGCTACGGACGAGTTCGCGGTCGACAGAAGCAGAGCATTCAAATACCCAGCGATGAAGAAGACCCAGGGCGACTTCTCGATTTCCATCGATGCCGGTGAATTCACCGACTCCGAAATCATCGTCATGATGGGTGAGAACGGAACTGGAAAGACTACATTCTGTAAACTCCTTGCCGGCCTCGATCAACCAGACGCTGAATCTAGCAAGGTTCCACAAATGGCGATATCTCTCAAGCCACAGACTATCACCGGTAAATTCCCAGGAACTGTCCGACAACTTTTCTTCAAGAAAATCAAGGCTGCCTTCTTGAACCCTCAATTCCAAACCGACGTCTACAAGCCACTCAAGATCGACGACTTCATTGACCAAGAAGTCCAGAACCTCTCTGGTGGTGAACTTCAAAGAGTCGCTATTGTTCTCAGCTTGGGTAAACCCGCTGACATCTACGTCATCGATGAGCCTTCTGCATACCTCGATTCCGAACAGCGTATTATCGCAGCCAAGGTTATCAAGAGATTCATTATGCACGCCAAAAAGACTGCCTTCATTGTAGAGCACGATTTTATCATGGCTACTTATCTAGCTGATCGTGTTATCGTCTTCGAGGGTCAGCCTTCCATCAAGGCTAAGGCTACCAAGCCACAGTCGCTCCTCACTGGTTGCAACCAGTTCTTGAAGTCGTTGGACGTCACGTATGTATCCCCTTCGCTCTGAAACTTTCGAAAGAAGCTAATGCTGTACCTAGTTTCCGTCGTGATCCTGTATCTTACCGTCCACGTATCAACAAATTGCACAGTCAGCTTGATCAAGAGCAGAAGCTTTCTGGAAACTATGTGAGTTCCGAATATGGAAAAACTTAACTTCCTCAAGTTACTAACCTTTTATTTTCCCTGTTCAATAGTTCTTCCTTGAGGAGACCTCCTAAAGACCTCCTTCCTTTAACCTATTAACTATAAGCGAATATGCATAATTGCAAAGTATGTCCTCTAGCCCCTATCTTCAGAATTCAAGACAGCTTTACAACAGTATTACGGATTTTTCTAACACACATGCCTTACCCTTGATAGTATTTCATCCGACCATTCTCGACGGGAACCCGAGCTCTGTAAACGAATCCTTCGTATTCGTCATGATATGAGAAGTCTTGTTGACGATTAAAATACCCGCGAGAGGTTGGAAGAGACTCGTATTTCCGGGGATCTTTGCTTTCATGCTTCCATTTTTTCTATGTAATCTAATTATTCATTTTCTTTCGTGTTAAAAGTGATAGATACCTACTTGCAATCGAATTGTCATACCATCAGCAGGCCGGAATGAAGCGTAAATACAACAAAAACAACAAATTTCCTACAACCCAGTTACAATGCACATGGCTTGTTGGTTCATTATTTGCATCACCACCATCATACAATGTAACTTTTACCCGAATCCATAAGCTCATAAGGTTAATGCTATCCTAGGGATGCATTAGTGAGGTAGAAGGAGATTGTTTTTAGACTCGCCCTACATGTCGACGGCGAATTGAGGGGATTCGAGCTGAAGTATATATCCCGTGCTTCTTTCCGGACATGCCTCACCACATGGTCAAATTAATTTCCCCACGAGGCTATCCAACCTCAAATTCTAGATGAGGGTTCATATCTTGATAATACATACTAGTATTCCCAACTGAAGGGCAAAAAATACCCCTCCTAAGATTATGACGCTAAAACCAACATCAAGGCGAATCCACGCCTCCCCACTCACATTCACATATCTAATCCTCATCACACTACAATTATTCCCCCCAACATACGGATACTGGGACAGCTTTGCCTTCGGAAACGGAAAATGGTTTGAACGTGCTCGAGATAACATCGGAAACCTACAACGGAACGCAACAACAGACATCTATGACTGTCATAAAATAAGCACTCGTAACGCTGACGATCCACCATTGGATGGTGCGATTGTTTGGAACCGCCCCAACGAGCCCGCTATACTCGGGCTAGCACTCTATGCGGATAGCACTTGTGGGAAATCCATCTATGCGCTGAACAAGGGGAGACCATTGGCGATTATGATTCTGGATAAGAAACGACTGAGGGGGTTACATATTGCCAATTTCAGGAATTTGGATGGCATGAAACCACCGGCGTTGATAAGAGAGAGGAGAACTGAAACGGCACAGGCGATCAGGGTGTCGGATGAAATCAAAAGCACTAGATTCCTTCGAGATATCCCACCGGAGGAACTTCCGAACTCGATAGTCTGGTGGGATAAGTTTGAAAAAAGACATGTCCTCAACGACGCTGTAAGCTGGGCGAACGCGGTACTTTACGAATCGCTTAGGGATAAAAAATTGACTTATAGATTCCTCAGAGAGGTTGTCGAAAGGGCTGTCAATGGAAAGGCTTCTATGGCAACTGGGAATTCGGAGGCTCTGATGGCGAGTATTAATAGAGATGCGGGTCTTGGTCATAACAATTGGCAGCTTTTTTTGCCTCCTCCGGATCCCACGCTTGGTTTGACACTCGCAGGTGAGACGGACGATGATTATGGACTCCATATTCAGGAGTTTGGTGATTTTGATAGTAAGTTGGGGCCGGCATTAACTACAGCCGCTGGCGGACGTCTGAGTTTGGTACCCATCCCTCCTGTTACAACAGGTCGCCAACCTCGGGTTCAAAGCTTCGGTATTCAAATGGCACAGCCTGAACCCCAGCTTCAACAAGTGGCGCCTGTATCTCAACTTCAACAAGGTCAAGAAGCACCCGTATCTCAACTTGAAAGTATAGCTCTGGAAAACCCTAGTCTACAAAACAACCCCAGTACCGGCAGCGCAGATTCACTATTCAGCGAAGAGAGGGCAGATATCCCAGAAGACCTACGACTAGCATTACAACAAATCGAGCGACAAGTAGAAGCTCACGATCCAACTACCATAATCGCAAGATTAGACATCCCGGCAGATAAACTAACTGCAGCGTTTAACGCAGCATCAGACAAAAAGGCATGGCTGGACAAAATAGAAGACAGGGAAAGAATGAACATGCGTGTTCTACTCCTGATAGCGGACTGGTATGGAGAATATGAAGAGAAACGACGAGGTTTACAGCCAGGGACTCTTACCACACAGGGCTCTTGGACGAATTTGGATATAAATACTTCAGAGCTTTACCCGGAGCTACGAAAAGTGTTTGATAGAGCTCCGGATAAGATGCTGTGGTATTCACTTATGGAGTCCCGCCAGAAATGGAATATGCGCGCGTTAAGATTCGCGAAGGATCTTTATCAAGATTGGCTTCGCCTTCAACCGATGGAATCTGAAGACCAGTCAATGAGGGCTCATCAGGGGAGTACTAGCTCTGAAGAGGGTGACAGGGATGATACGTTTGAAGAGAACGCCCAAGAGACGCAAAATGAAGTTACATCTATTCTGGAGCAAAACGATAATGGTATTATTCTCCAACAGGTTCAACAGAATGCAGTACCCGAGGATACTATAATTCAGATTGAACCAAATGTGGATGCAATAGCTGAAGTTGATAATCCAATCAACCTTATCGACCCTATCACTGACAGTTTTTTTGCCGCCCCCGACTCTCCAACCTTCGTTACATCAGACGAAGTTAATTTGGAAAATCCAGCTTCCTCAAATCCCGAGCGTGATCTCAATCCTAGGCCTGAGGCTATAGAATTGGAGAACGAACCCCAACAACGGTCTTCCGACATCCCTATTACGATCACTGAGCAACAAAACCAACCAAACCCACGAGGCGTCCTTCGTCTTCAAAAAGAGGGATTAGATCCAAATAATCCCTACATGATAGACGATTTATTTAAATATTTCGACCCTGAGAGCGATGCCTTCAAGGACATTTTGAACTTCAACCCACGGTTGGTTCAGGAAATCACCAAGAACCCCGGAAAGGTGCTTGGAATCCCAAATTTCGGGATGAGGCACTACGTCCCACGAGTACCGGATTTTAATATCGATCTTGAAGATTCAGCCTTGTTTGATACACCTTCGGGGACGATCAGTGAAAGTGACATATATGAAGAGGAACTGAGCCCAGAAGAGCTACGAGAAAAGATAGCAGAAGAAACAGCAGCAGAAGCAGCAGCACTAGAAGCAGAAGGGGAAAGGTTGGAAGGGGGACCGCTAGGAAGTGAATCAGGAGAGATAACAAGAGAGGAAGTCGTAGAATCAGAAGTACCAGAAAGGAGAAGAGGAGGAGGAGCTATCGAAGAAGAAATCCTAGAATCCAAGGGAAATGTAGAACCCGAGCCCGAAGAAGTTACATTCGAAGAACAAATACAATCTCTCGAACCGCTTCTCGGCGGCCGTCCCGCAAGTGAAGTCATGGAAGAGATAGAGGACGAACTAGAAAATATACCACCCGAGGAACAATCACGACGAAGCACCCGCTACAACGGAGTTCGACCTCCGCCAAGGATCCGCCAGGATTGGGATTTGGAACCAACTTTTAAGCCAAGATGGACAGCTAACCAAGCGAGAAGGAATAGGAGAAGGAGATCTAGACTTACGAATATGGCAGATATGGTCGAAGATGTTCCGGCTGTCCAACAAACAACTAACCACGAACAAGAACCACCTGTACGAAAAGTTGAATTTTGGGATAGGCCTTTAGAAGATCGACGGAATCGGAATTCATTAATTAAAACTCGTGGATCAAACCGAGACAACGACTAGGAGAAGAAAAAACCAAAGAAACTTGTCACATTGCATAGAGGAATGAATTGCGAAGGATGAAGGTTTCGGTATCAATTCCCATTGGCAAAAGGGTGAAAAGATCAGAACAGTTTGGCCAGAAAATACGAGTATAGTGTTCTTGATAGGCCCGTTTGTACTTACCCTAGTTGACTAAAAATTCAAATTAATTTACTAGATTTTTCAGCCTTTGTGGATAAAGCGCGTAGATAATTAATTATCCTTTCGAGGCGATATGCGACATCGGGTCTTGGAAATATGTTTTTCCGAAAAAAGTACGAGCTGGATTAGTCAAGGTATCCCAGGTCCATATAAAGCCGTTTAGTAAACATGAATTATACTTGTAAAAAAGAAAGAAAAAAGGGGGGGAGGACCGCTAAAACGGAGAGCCTCAAGTCGACTCGTATCGTAGAAAGAATTCGTTCCACGTGCGGAGGAGTGCCGAAGCAGCATGATCATGATCATTAATTGCAATCATCCCAAAATAACTATCGAGCTATATACAGAAAAACTCCCCTTCCGAGGACTAGGCTAGCTAGCCCGTGTGGAGTTATGTAACGGGAAGCCAAAACATGAAACAATAACCTACGTACTACAAAGCTTCGTAAATCTGCAGAATTGCGAGACTACGCTCGAAATCCTTGAGCGCCTCCCGTACCCTCCCGCCCGTCTAGCTCTTGCGGTTGTTACATAGTTGAGCTCTCTTCCCCCCGGGAAGGAACCTTGTAAATGTTGCACTGCATGGATCCGGATCTTCAAGCCTCCCTTCAGGATGGTGTTTAGTGATCAGGCCCACACGGCCAGATGCGCTGCGCTCTCTATATGGCGAAAATATGCAACATTAACAACGCATCTATGCTATGCCGTAGCCCAACTGCCGACGCTAACATCGGAGATCAAGTTTACGAATACTCAAGGGTTCTGAGGGATAGTTCGATATTGATATCAAGATATCAAACCGAAATATTTCAATTGATATAAGTATATAAAGATAGAACGGCACCTCTTACAAAACTTTCTATCTCCCATCATCATCACAGATCAGTAGACCACCAAAGACATTCTCAAATATAATATCTAATATCTAATCAACTTCAAGAAATTGACTATCAAGTCCTTTCCAAATTAGATCCTCAAAAAAGATGAAGACCACTCAGATCGCCCTTTCTTTCCTCTCTTCCCTCCTCTTCTCTTCGCAAGCTCTGGCTCTACCCACCACGAGCAGCGAGACCACCCCCTTCTACTACTCCGAAACCCTGGCTTTGCCAACCAGCGATGCTGTAAATCTCGAAAAGAGAGCTCTAGCTACCCTCACTGTCATCGTCTGCCAGAATATCAATGGCGCCCAACCTTGTGTCGGGTTAGACGTCACCGGCGCTCAAGTGAACCAGTGCAGTATGTCAATTTCCATTGCATACCCCCACTAACCGAGAAATAAGTGTCACTAATCCTTAACACAACAAATTTATAGTTAACTTCCAAGGCGCCTGGAACGACTCGATCAGCAGCTTGAGAATCGGAACAACTCCTGGTTGGGGTGGATGTGAATTCTACTTGTAAGTTTCTTTTTTTTTTTTTCAACCAGAAGGCAGATATATACTAGGAACACGAGTTATGTTTATAACTAACAATGTGATTTTTCTTCATTGTAGGAACTGGAACTGCGATACTGCCATTTTGCCAGCTCCAAATGGTGCTCAGTACTTCGATCTTCGATATGTTGAGAATAACCTTAACAGGAATGATATGATCAGCAGCTTCAGATGTGTCGCTAGGGCTTAGATCTATCAAGGGAATGTTAGGATGTATCCCTAGGGTCCGGGTGTTGGTCTTCATTTAACTTAGATTTGTTGAAGATTCACTTCATGATAGACTGGAATTTACCTAATTTATGTTATATCTTATTTTGATCTCCCAGGCTTAAATAGTCTGGTTTTCCAAAGTCTGAATATATATATATATATATATACTTGGGTATGGTAAAAAGAAGTGGCCTACAAGCTTAAGAGTAACAGTGTCTCGTGAAAATCTCGGTAAAGCATAAACTTTTGGGTATCCTTTTAACTAGTATGTACAAAGTCCCTAGGACAATAAGTAAGACTAAAGTATGTACACCGAATCATATACAAGACCAAGAATATACTATACTGGTCTAGCATGCAAGACCGGGCGTGACTTAATTTTCAAATCACTCCTCATCCACATCTCTCGCCCCAAAGTCCTTCAAAAGCCTCAACGCCGGCTTCTTAAGCCCAAACCCTTCATACTCCCCAATACTCTCATAAACCGTCTTCCCCGTCACGGGATTCCTAAAATTTGGATCCGCCCCAGCCTTCAAAAGCCAATACCCACAAGTAACAGACTCCGTAGTCGCCCCCTCAGCAATCGATAACCCGGCTCCGCGTCGATTTATAAAAAACAACGGCGTTCTCCCTTGCCCATCAACAGCATTTACATCCGCTCCAGCTTCGATTAATGATCTGACGAGTCCCACGGAACCGATTTTAACACTGAGATGTAACGAAGTAGTTTCCTTCCCATCCATACTTTTCCCTAGCGCGATCTTTAATCGTTGTTCTGGTGTAGCAAGGATAAGCATCAAAGATGCCTTCCGTCGACAATTTTTGATGGCGTAATGAAACGGTAATTCAACCGGTGTCTCTTCATCTCCTTCCCTTCTGGGTAACGGGGCCATGGGATCGAACCTAGGATCGTCCATTACATATCTAATAACATGAAGGTCTCCATAAAACCCAAGAGATTCCTGAACGAAAGACCCCCCGTCTTCATTAACCGCAAAGATGTCCGCGCCCATGGATAGCAGATCCTCCACGAGGGGATAAAAACGACAGAATGAAGTCCAGCGGAGCGATAACTTAGATATTAGTTCTACTCCGTTAGGGTCTTTAAGCCTTAGTTCTGCGCCAGAATCCATGAATTCTTTGACAATTGGGTATAAGTTCTGTTGACACGCATAATCGATCGGTCGTAGACCCGAAGAATCGGGGGTATCGAACACGGATTTGGTTCCAGGGTGTTGCATGAGTAACTCCAGAGCTGCCCGTTCGGAATTAGCAGTGGTCCAGCTGCTGGACATGGCGAGATGAGTTACTGCGGTTCGATTCTCGTTGTCTCGAATTGTGGGGTCGGCACCGTGTTCTAGGAGTCTTTGGATGATTCCTGATTTCAAGTTTGTATGAGCTAGTCGTTCGAAACAGCGCATTAACGGTGTGGCTCCAGAGTTATCTTGAACATTGACATTGGCTTTGTGGACGGTTATGAGACGATCGACGACTCTGTAGTGTGCTGATTCGCAGGCTTGGTGTAGTATTGTCGCACCGGTCTCTTCGTCGGTGTAATCCAACAATGTCGTCCCGGGGAGTTGTTCTACCAGGTCCATATAGAAGAGAGGTATTGTCTCTCTACCATCGTCCCATGAAAAGGAGTTACAAAGCGCGGGTATAAGGTACTCCGGGGTCTTAAACTCAGGTCGGAATTGAAGAAGTTCTCTTATACCGCCGAGAGACCAGATTGGGAAAACTGGGGGGTCGGAAAGAGTCTCCCAGATTTCCTTCCAAGGGAAATTCTCACTTTCAGACTCATGAGATCTAGCATATTGTATAATACTATTAATCGCCCCAGCTTTAACCAACCCTTCCATACCCGATCCAACATAGGGCTCGTAGTTCTTCAGTATAGTATCCTGCCAATCTGGTGTTAACAGTTGTAAAGCGTTAATCAACCTCCGATTTGGCGGTGGGAAAGCAGAAAGCATCATTTCAAAAAACGATTTATCCGTAGCGATTTCGTAAGCGGCCATCTCTTCCGGAAAATTACTCCAAATTAATCGTAGGACGTCGGTAGTTGCGAGATCACAATAGTCGACTAGATGGCCTATCAGGCGATCCGGGGGACCCTTAGCTTTCTTCTCGATCAACCACTTTACGATATCCCTACTAGAGCCGTAGACCAAAGCAGAGCTAAGGGCCGTTGAACTTTCTTGGAAACCACCACGTTTCCCAATGATATTGATATCCTCTTCAGTATATTGCGGAAGCAAGGCTTTCACAACTTTTAAATTATTCTTGATTACCGCGGTGTTCAGCGGCGTGAAACCATCGGCATCCTGCGCTGTCGGGCTAGCTCCGTATTCTATCAGGAGTCTTACTATGCTCCCGGTTAGTACTTGTTTAGCTTTATCGGTATCCCTAGTGCCATGGGCAGGGTGCATTGGAGTCTTCAGATAGCTCAGGCCGTTCGGGTTCGCGCCTGCCTTCAGTAGATACTCCACAACATCTATAAAACACTCTTCGGCAGCGCAGTGAAGAGCAGTACGCCCCATATCACAAGGAACATCCACGGTAGCTCCGTTTTCCAACAAAATCTTGACTGCCTCTAACTTCCCCTTTGAAGCGGCCATATGAAGCGGCGTGCGGCCATCGTCGTCGATTCCATCGATTAGATCTTTACAACCCGGTTGTTCTAGTAGAAACTTTAGCATAGAAGCCGGCTGTTTACGAAATATAACTTCGTGGAGATAATTCCCATTCCCAATCATTCCGGTAGCTTTGATATCGGCGCCGTGTGATATCAGGACGGAAACTACCTCCTTATGTCCAGCTCTGATGGCGATGCATAGAGCAGTAGACATTTCGTATGTCGTCGGCGGCTGTTCAAGCGCGGCGTCGACAAACTCTGTGATACCCCAAGACGAAAGGCGAGTCACAGGACCATCCATCCATGCAAGATACCTAACAGCCAATTGGTGTCCGTTGTATGAATCATTGGGGTGGAAATAATAAAAGTATGCCTGTAACCAAGCCCCATAATAAGAAGTTTTGTCGGTGGTCCAAAATTTCGAGGCTAGATCGATGAGAAGGCGTCTGTAGGACCAAGACGAGATACAGTGACCTGGCCAGTGGACCGCAGCGTATCTGAGAAGCGGATAGGCGGTTTCCCGCTCCTCCTGCTCTCTGATGCTATGGAATGGACCCGATTCCCCATATTTTGCCATGTATAAAAGCAAAACCCGGGCTAATTCGAAATGACCAAGTTCCTCTTCGATCAAGAAATAGGAGTTCTGAGGCCCAGTGGCCTGCATCCTTCGAGCGACCAACATTTGGTGGAAATACTTGCTTTTGAACATGACATAGCCATGATCATCGATTTCCAAAATCCCACGACGTATGTTCGGTCCGAAGAGGTCCGCGGTTGCCTCAGAAGGTAAATCATCGATAGCCAATTTTACAATCTCCTCGACCTCAGTCGCTTTCAACCTCCTGCATGCGACTGCCAGCGTCTGAAATATCTTCCGCGATACTCTTCTATCGACAGGGTCGATGATTGTTAATAAAACTTGAAGCCATTCTTCCCGTTGCTCCTCAGACTTTTCTACCCTTAGTTCTTCTATATCGAAACGTGGGATCCGTGAAATAAGAACCCCCTTCTGTTTTAAATCATCTTGACGGGCCCTTATGATCTTCTTGGCTGCCCTGTTGCGTTTTGATACCAAAATGTGTTGGATTGGCGCAGTCTGTCTAGGCCGTGGGCCTGGTGTGCCATAAAACCTCAGACCATTCGGCTTTAAAATGTTAATGTTGTCATTCTGATTATAAATAGCGGGCCATTGCGGCTTTGGATTCGAATTCGCCAGCCGTACCGTCGACCGCACAGTCGTCGCGGCTGCTCTTCGCATCGTCGGTTGTGCCGGAGCATAGAACGGAAGGTTCTTTTGGTCGTTGAAACAAGTGGTTCGAAGGCCTAACAAAGCACCTAATTTTTTTTTCAGCCTCGGCTTACCGCAAACAGGTAAATATGCACGGACAAGGGTGTAATCGAGTAGCAGGGCAGGCGCGGGGAAGCTGCGAATGGGAACTGGGGACCTAATACGGAGTATAACCTAGGCACATGCCAAAAATGCTGGTACTAAGCTCGGCTGCCCCAGATCTGGTCATTCTCCGGCCTTCGCTGTTAAAGCGTGTTCTGTTCCGTTCCGTTCTTTTCTTCCTTTCTTTCTTTCTCGTGATGCTTTTTACTCGGGTTTCTTTTCTTCATATCGGACTCTGATAGACTTACTTTTATTCTCGTTCATTTCTGCGCTACTTCAGCTATACCGATACCCATTTAGAACAGATAAAGATCCATACAAATACAAATAAAAATACACCAACATGCCTTTCCAGACACCTCTCACCAAGGCCCTCGGGATCGCTATTCCCGTCGTTCAGGGAGGAATGCAATGGGTTGGATATGCTGAACTCGCATCTGCCGTCTCGAACGCCGGTGGTCTCGGTATCGTAAGTATTCTGTTACTTAGTTACTTGTAAAAGAGATAAGACGCTAACAGTCAAGTTCCATAGTTGACCGCTCTCACCCAACCAACACCAGAAGACCTGCGGAAGGAGATCCGAAGATGCAAGACCATGACATCTAAGCCCGTAAGCTGACCTACATACATCCTTACTATATAATAATACTAGTAATAGTAGTAATAATAATGTCTGACAAAATTATTCTTACAGTTCGCTGTCAACTTAACCCTCCTCCCCGCCCTTGTCCCTCCAGACTACGGCGCCTACGCCGACGTCATCATCCAAGAAGGAATTAATATCGTTGAAACCGCCGGAAACAACCCAGCACCCATCATCAAAAAGCTCAAAGCAGCCAACGTCATCGTTCTTCACAAATGCACCACCGTCCGTCACGCCCTTTCCGCCCAAAAACTCGGTGTGGATTTCCTCTCCATCGATGGATTCGAATGCGCAGGTCACGTCGGTGAAACAGATATCCCCAATTTCGTGTTACTCCGAAGAGCCGCCCAGGAACTAAAGATCCCCTTCATTGCTTCCGGTGGATTCGCGGACGGAGAGGGTCTTGCTGGAGCTTTGGCTTTGGGTGCTTGTGGTATCAACATGGGAACTCGGTTTATGGCTACAAAGGAGGCTCCTATTCATCAGAATATCAAGGAAGCCATTGTTAAGGCTTCGGAAGAGGATACCGAGTTGTTGTTGAGGAGGTGGAGGAATACCAGCCGATTGTTTAAGAACAAGGTCGCCGTTGAGGCCAAGCAGATCGAGTCTACCAGCACAACTGGTAAGTTCGAGGAAATTGCACATTTGGTCAGCGGTAAGAGGGGAAGAACTGTCTTCATCGACGGTGATGTCGATGCCGGTGTTTGGACCGCCGGTACTTGCATGGGTTTGATCCACGATATCCCATCTTGCGACGAACTACTCAAGAGGATCGAGAAGGAAGGTGAGGAGGCTATCAGGAAACAAAACGAGTTCATCGTTCCATCTTCCAAACTATAAATCACCATATTACATAGATATATACCAGTTCATTTTTTTTAGCAGCTAGTTCATATTTCTAGGTAGCGTCTCGGTTTGCAATTGTATCATATATATTATATAATCCGTGTCTGTTTATAGGCACACTTTCACCATACTTGCACGATTCCCTCGATCAAACAAGACTATCAAACACTAGTAGCATCATAGGAATTCTTTGTGATGGTTCTAAGTTCGAGTTCCAGGATAAAAATACTTCTTATTATTCTGGTTGGTAAAGAAGGCCTGACGCCCAATCTCCGGAAATGAAGAGTAAATCCAGGAGTCCACTTCCATCGTCTATAAACTAATGCCCATACCGAGATGAACCGTAAAAAGAAATAAAAAGATGACCTCAGAATCCCCACAAAACGCCGTATCTATGATACATAAAAGGACGAAGGGAAAGGACGAATTAACATGTATTATACATAGAAGGGAAAGTGAGCGAATAAGTAGTAATAGAATAAAATGAAAACTGAAGAAAACCGAAAGGAAAGGTCAAACTCCGATCCAGTGGGTATCAAAAGTTTCCTAACTTAGGAATAACGCCCGTGATAAATGAAGGTGCTGAATACCAAATACGAAGTATGACAGCCCTTTTTCCTTAGTCTGTCGTTAAACAAAATTATGTTGCTGATAAAAAGAAAAGGTTGAAAGAAGACACATCTCATCAACAATCATGATAATAGATCTTGAATTCGCATCCCTCTCTTCGGGTCAGGAAGTGAAAGTGACTGAGAGCTAACATCCGCCGAAGTTATATCTGTCAAGCTGCTAAAGCTTGTATCCGAACCATGCAACACTATTCTAGAGCTGTCTGCTGGTGGTGACCGCTTCACGCTCCAAGTCTCATCCGCCGATCGCTTCAGAGTTATCATATTCACTCTTGAAACTTTAAGCTTAACTCTTGGAGCGGCTGGTGGAGTTGACATAGCTAATGGTGGTGGTAAAATTTCCGCAGCCGCCTGTGGTTCGGCTTCTTTTTTGACTTTTGCTCGTTGGGTCTTAACTGCCTTGAATGCCTTGGTGAGTGTACCATTTTGTGCGCTCTCAGCCTCTTTCTGGGCCCTGAGTTTCTTCCAGCCTGGCTTTGGACCCGGCTTCTTTCTCATCTTGGCGGGTTCCGTAGTTTCTTTGTTGGCCTTGGGATTCTTTCCATCCTTTCCATCCTTCAGCTTGATTCGCTTGGCAGGTTTGGATTTTGTCGGTGTTGCTGGTGTCTTAGCGGGCCTTGCTTCGGACTTCGACATGATGGCTTTCTTTGGATGCGGTGATGCAGATGGGCTTAACGGCCGGGCTGGTATAACAACCTTCGGTGGTGGCCATGGGATATCAACCGGTCGATTATTCTTCATATTCTCCCAAATCTCCTCGGAGCTAGCGTAAGAGACTGGTGAACTCAAAGGGCTGTCGGATTCACTATCCATAGAAACAGGGGTCGAGACGCCTAACTCCATTCCAGTGCCAGTAATCTTCTTCAAATCTGTATCAGGAGTGAACTGGTCGTGATGTTTGACGTTCGAAAATTTAGCCAGTGTCTCGCAATCTCCCTTGATGATTAGATCGAAAAGTCCCTTCATTTGACCGGTCGCCGGTGGATCATCGCGGTTAATCCAGACCGTTTTCCCTCCCCGAAAATCGCGAATACTAGCACACAGCTCCCTCACCAATCTCTGCACCCCGGGGATCTTCAAGCTTGTCCCCACAACGATCAAACAATCCGGCCGAGCCTTCAAATCCGCAGTCGAAACAGCACCAATGGCATCTTCGTCCGGGTTATGCTCATTGTATAGAACCATCCTCGGTCGAAGTTTCCCTATCCCTTGGGAGCGTTTTCCAGACGCATCCCTTGCCGCCTCCCAATCGACACAATCAGGGCAGTCTGGCGGCTTCGGCCCAACAAAAATCTCCGGTTTGAAGTCCTTGATCGCCCGGCATTTCGTACAATTCATTTTATCCAGTCCACCATGGAGCTGGATAGTCTTCGGCCATGGCCCCTTCCCGTTCAACGGGGTTGTCGTAGCGAGTGGGGCCAGGCCCGTCTCAATGCAGTCGACATTCTGGGTGTATAATCGTAATAGCTTCCCAGAAGCTGCTAGGGAGGCCAGGAGGTGGTGGAACGCCGTGGCCTCGGCGACGTTGGCCATGGCGTGGAGATTTCGGACCATGTCGTGAAAGTCGGATGTTGACTGGTCATCTCTGTATACAGAAGCGTCGAATAGCTGTTTTCCAGACGCTTTTAATTTGTAGTCACTTTTTACGGAAGCGAACAGGCCGTTGGAGCTTCGAAAATCAGGGACTAAGAGAAAAAAGTGAATAACGGTAATGTTAGTTATAGCTTCGATACAATAAGAGGGTACGGAAACAAGCTGTGTTGCTAGGCGTGGTATTTTGGTCAAGTTGCGTTGTAGTGGCGTTGCAACAAAAACAAAAACAACAAAAAAAGAGGACATCACAGCATCAAGAGCAACGACGGGCGGAAGTGGAAGGGAATCAAGAGACAGGGGCAATTGCAAAGGGAAGGAGGGAAGGAGGGAAGGAGGGAAGGGGACATACTTCCGGCACAAACGGAGATCCCAGCTCCTGCAATTACAATTATCTTCTTCTTTTTATTCAATATATCATTCCATGTTGACAATTGTTTTTCAACCAGTTGGGAGACCCCACGGTTGAGGTCGATTCGTTCGGTCAGCCTCTCCTTGGGCGTGGTGTTGCCGCCGGGTTGTTTATGTTTTGCCGTTGCAGACGTTGCAGACGGCTGGCCGGTCGAGCCACCCTCACCACCGACCACTATCTCGACAGCGAAAGTTGTCAACGGCTTAGATGTAGACGGGTCCGGCCGGACGGACGCGGATTCGGGTTCGGGTTCAGGTGAGTGCGACAGTTTCCGTCGCTTGGACGGAGGTTCGTGAGAATCCATGATGGAGGGGCTGGGTGGATGATGATGATGATGATGATGATGATGATGGTGGTGATGATGATGGTGTCGATGGTGATGGTGACGGTGATGGGTTTTGGGGGGGAGGGAAGAAGATGTGGAGACTGGCGGAGAGGGAGAAAAGATGGAGAAATAAAGAGAGAGCGAGAGAGTGAGGGAGAGAGTGAATGAAAGAACAGGTGATCAAGGTTAACTGGGCTGTAACATGACAGGACTGAACAGGCTCTTATTTTCCGAGGATTGCGCTCAGACAGGCTGCTGTTATAGTCCTCTAATCAATCAATCAATCGATTGATTGCCCCGGAATTAGAATCAAAAAGAATTAGAATTCATTCAGAACATTTGCCTATCACAAGCGAGGCCGTCCAATTGAGGCACATTTTTTTGTGCCATTCAAACAAGGTTACTTTGGTTTATAATTAATCCAAATGGCTGGGAGTTTTCTTCTCTTCTCTTCTCTTCTCTCTCTCTATTCTTATACTTCAGAAATCATAATATTCTATTAGCTATTTTCAAGTTATTATACAAACACCTCGACCCCACGTAATTGTAACCATTTCCACTTGACTTGACTACTTGATTATAATTATCTCCAAATTTAGCACACTCGAGTATTCAAGTAGGTCAGAGATATTAAGGGTACATACCTTCATACCTGTATATCGGAATGCTGTTATCATATCATTTTGCATCATCGGATCTCTAACGAATCTGCTGCACTGCAACAGCTTAAACTAATTAGCGATCTTCTCGAATGTGTTGCGGAACGCCAAGCCCGTCGCCAATCGGTTGCATGCCGTTCTATTCCCAAAACGGTTAGCCCCGTCCATCAACGGCAAGACGTCACAGACCTGCGGCTTCACCGTGTACTTCCTTCCATAGTAGGCTGACATACATACACATGTATGTCATGTCGCAGCCCGTTTCACAATGCAGCAAGCATTCAAGCGTTCCGATAGATATTAATGCCTCAAGGTTTGCTGCATAAAATAGACTATTCCCGGCGTTTTTTATGCTCTTTAAATAGTGGCTTTGAAGAAAGGAGGGGGAAAAAAAAGGAAACGCCTGATAGAATAATTATAGTATAACGCCACTATCGATATATTGTGAATAACCATGAATCAACATGTAATACGCCGGCAGGTCCATGCTCTCTCTTCTCAACGAAAAAAAAAAAGGATTACACTATCTTGATATCTTATCCTTATCAATAGGCAAGCTAGTTCTAAAGAACTAGAACTACCCGGACCCATTCGAGAAGTCTTAGAGAACTCCAAAGTCTCTATATCGTCTTTGTATCGGTCGATCAAATCTAGCCCTCCAATTCCTCATCTCTGACACCTTCATCATCATCCCTCATCCTCGGCTCTTGATGTTCACTCCACTGCAAACAATCATCAATATAACTCAAAATCGCCGCCACACTATCCTCATCCCCGGCCTCCAGCTTCAAATAGCTAACCATGCTAAAGTCCTCAATCAAATCCACCACCTTCTCATTCAACTTCCAAAACTTCTCATTTGTATCCTTCCTTGCATCCTCTAAAAGCAAATTCGGATCCGGGTCGACAAATCTCTTCATCTCTCGTTTTGTAATCTGCTTTTTGACCAAATCCATTTTGGAGAGGATGTTGATGTGTGGGATTTCCAACATGATCATGGCCGACATGGCTGATAGTGTTCCAGCGAAGTATTTAGCCCGGTCGACGACGAAGGTCGACTCGATGAGGTATGATGCACAAAGTGAGAAGGAGTGGTGCTGTTGTAAGTGTTTTGTTAAGGTCGGTAACACCGGTATATGCGAATACAATTCGATCTGGCCGGGACAGTCGAAAACCACTAATGACTCTTCATCTCCTTCTCCGAGCTCTTCATCCAACCAATCTAGGTTGTCTAGTAAGAACCTAATTTTTTTAACAAAAACTCATTTTAGCATCCTTCAAGAACATTTCCGCATAAACAATAGCAGGTAAAGCTTACTCAAAGCATGCTATGAGTCCACCATTAGGACCAAGACTCATCTCCTCCATCACATCGTCCAAACTGATCAAATCCTTGATATCTACATCAGGTTCATACTCAAAGTCCTCAGCCGCCGGATCGAGATTGACATATTTGCAGGCTCGTTTCGAATCTCGTAGATATGATATTAAGGCTGAACAGAACGTTGTCTAACCCATCTCGACAGTTAGTAACCATATTTTCTCAAAAAAAAACAAGAAAAATATTGTAGGCAGAACACGTGTGATCTTTCCGGATGCCCAAGGCCCCGGAATTCGAGAAGGAGATAGAGAGAGGGGGAAAGAGACAACCTCAACAGCAAGTAGCAGGAAACTAGGGTAATCCGTACTTTACCACAGCCTGCAGGTCCAAGGACCAGGAGTCCGAAGCGATTCGTCATTGCTTAGAGATTTTGTTTTATCTTCCCTTCTCTTCTTCTTCTTCTTGTCTCCGGTGATCGATCGACGATTAGGATTGTATCGGTGTGTAAAGCTGTGGAACGCAAAAGGTTGGCAGGCGAGAGGCGTCAAAGGTCTACGGCGTGAAAAGGTCCGAACGGCTGGGGTTTCCGAAAAGTGGGGGCAGGTTCTTTTTTCCTTTGGCGATTTGGATTCAGCCGTTCGAAAGAGTCGGAATGGTCTCGATGGCTGACTGGGTTCTGGTGGGTTGAAATGATGAAAGAAGGATGCGAGCAAGCAAGCAAGCTAGGAAAGTTTCTCCTTTGGGACAGACGCTTGAAAACAACGACACCGACAACACATTTTTCTCGTTGTAGACGCTCTCCCTTCAGCATCCTCAATCTCAGTTCATCTTAACCTCGTCATACTTTACTGGGAGGTATATCTACATCATTAAGCACTAATCTCCACGAGACAATCAAATATCAAGGTGAGTACAGCTAAAATGATTATATTAATATACTTGCTAAGAACTTAAATTTACTAACAAGCCCCTATCAAGTGGATTTCCCAGAACCTCACAATGTGGATGTATTCCAATACAATGCAATAAATACCAAGATATCCAAGACCGTCTCCGTCGGATCATATCCCCATTACCGGTTTACCTCCTAGTCCAAGGCCTACTACCTGTGCATCTATGTATGTATGCGTATAAAGCCACGAGTCGTATACGTAGTAGACTATCTATTATACCCCGGTATATCTCAACATACATAGTAAAGATCAAAGACCAGGATGCTGATATCATTCAATCTACGGTACAAATCTACGGACAACCGATCGAACCATGGAAACTTTATATATGCATATAGTATAATATCTTCTAGAAGAAGAAAAAGCGAATCACAAGGACACTCCATGAAAAGAAACCGCCATAAACGGCACCGTCGTCTCATAGTTGCATACAGCCGGCCTCCAGAAAAGACCTCGGGAACTCAACATGCCAGCAGGAATTCAGGGCCGTGGTGCCAAACATCCCTGTTCACACGAAGTCGCTTCCACAGCTCTGATACACAATCCGACAGGGGTTATATCCAACACTCTCTGCCTTGTGGCCTTCTAGCCGCAACACAGAAGGACCAAAAATCCACCCATGAAACCAACAATCCAGGCCGGCCGGGCCCTTTCGTCTCAAGAGTCGCCCTTTTACCATGGGAAGCAACAGACCCCACACCAGAGATTAACGGATGACAGGAACCGCTCTTTTTTGAGGGTTAACTTCCGTATGTTAAGACTTTCCTATTGATCGAATACCTGGTACGTGCGTCCATCAATTGCTTTTTTCTTTCTCTCAATATATGCATCAGTTCAAGAATTGGCGAAACTTCGCCTTTTTTTAGTCAACGTGAACAGCAAGGTTAGCCTAACAGAAACCTTCTGTGGAGACCGCCTTTTCCATGGCACGTTTCAACCACCCTTTCTCTTTTTTTTCCTCCTAACTATCCTTCTGGGATATCATCGACAGGCACAATTATTCCACAAACCATGTCAGCCATGTTTAACTCTATACCGTTCGGCTGTTGTCAGACCGGGACACTAACCCATGGATCCAGGCGAGCGAGTCGAGTCGAGTCGAGTTCTCTCCCCTCAATTTCAATATAAATAGACCCAAGCCCTCCCATGATGAAGTCACTTCTACTCACTTCCTCTCTATCAGCAAGTCCAAAAAAATATATAATCACCCTTTTTACATTCTCTGTATTTTCTAATATCTAATACCAAAAATCTCGATTGATTTGAGATTTATTTTTTGTGGATTTGACATTCACCTTGATAACCCACCCCCCCATAAACGAAATCCCAAAGTCCAAAGGAAAGAAAAAGAAGTCAAGATGTACTCCAAATTCATCCTCCCATCTTTGATGCTCGTAGCACAGGCTCTTGCCCATCAGAATCTACATCAATTCTGGGTTAATGGCGTCACACCGGGTTACCAAGTTGGTATCCGTATGGTATGTTACAATTCATCCAATCCCTCTATTTCACTTGTATAGACGCAAGTATAGAAACTAATCTATACATCCTTATTGTTAAATAGCCTCCTTCGAACAGCCCAGTCACCGACGTAACAAGCGCTGATATCGCCTGCAACGTCAACGGCTCCAATGGTGCGAACGTCGCCGTCATCAACGCCAGCGCCGGAGAGTAAGTCAATCACTTATCCTCCCCATACCCTCCCACAAGTATATATATACTAACAAAAAAAACAACAGCACAATCGAAGTTCAATGGGACACATCCGGCCACCCCGGTCCAATCGTCCACTCCCTCCAAGGACCCCTCTCCTCCGCCAAATCCGCGTCTGGAGTAGGCGACTGGTTCAAAATCCAAGAACAGAACTACGTCAACGGCAAATGGGCCAACGAAGTCATGTTAGCCAACGCCGGAAAATTCTCCTTCAAACTCCCTTCCAACCTCGCCAGCGGAGAATACCTCCTCCGTTCCGAAATGTTGGCCCTTCACGCTTCTCAAACCCTAGACGGCGCTCAATTCTACATCGGATGCATGCAATTGAAGATCACGGGTCCCGGTGGAAATTGCTCTCCAACTTACAAGTTGCCGGGTGCTTATAAGGCTACTGATAACAACATCTACGTTTCTGACTTCTATTACGGATTCGTACCGGAGACTTATAGCGCTCCTGGCCCTGCTGTTGCCACTTGCGTCGGTGGTGGTGGTCAACAGACTACTCTTGCCACTACCACCAGGGCTGCTACCACCGCTGCCACTACCACCAGAGCCTCAAGCACTACTACCACTGTCAGGACTACCACCCCAGCCGCTACCACCCCAGCTACCACCGCCAGAACATCCACTACCACCACAAGAGCCGCAACCACCAGCGCTTCCTCTGGTACTGGAGCACCACTTTACGGACAGGTAAGATACCCCCCCAATACCATATCTCATTATACAAAAATAAAACAGAATACTAACATATCCAAACAGTGCGGAGGCCAAGGCTGGACAGGACCAACCACTTGCGCATCAGGAACTTGCAAACCCTCCAACGAATGGTACTCCCAGTGCCTATAAAAAGACCATTACATCGAATAGATCCTAGATCCACGATGAATTCGGGGAGGCTTTTGTAAATTTTCCTTTTTCTTCTTTCTTTTCTTGTATATATAATTACGCATCTTATACCCTCGCGCTTGAAATTTTGTATGGATTTGTGTATATATAACCATGCATATTACCTTCCTGTGACAAAAAAATTAAAAGCGAGTACTTTGGATTTAAGAAACGTTCTCCTTGGAAGGCTGAGTTCTGAAAAAAAAAAACTTGGCTCTGTAGAGTGACTAATCCACGTAAACATGAGTGGGATTATCACAAACGTGTGAAAGAGGGGTATACCGGGGGTTATATTCCTACTCGGGCCTTGGACCTACGGTATACTCTTATATATATACCATACTACGATAACAGAGCATAGCTAGCCAGTCCATAATATATGTATAGACTCTAGAGTTATTTTGTTATAAAAAGTAAACATGATCAACCCCGCCATCCCTCCATTTCTCTTCTATAGTATTATATAACAGGGTATAGTTTAGGAAAGGGGAAGAAGGAAGTACGAGAAGTAGCTAAACGGTTGGGTTATGGTGGACGATTGTAAAGAATCCGCCAGATGGGCAGAAGAAAGAGTTACTTCAGCAAGGAAAGAAAAAAAAAAGAAACGAAGAGTAGGTAAGGTTATAAGGAGTATAAGAAAACCGAAAGACTGTAAGCAGAGCGTAAAATAGAAGAAACACCAGCCCATTTGATAATAAATGAACAAGAACTAATGTACAAGAGAATAAGAAGTTAATAGTTCATATTAGTAAAGGAAGTAAGATATGTATCGGGCAACAGTATCGGCGATCAACTTTTTGGTTTCCCTTCCCCCCTGGTCCTGCTTGTCCTCCTAGGTGTTCGAAGTCATCGGGTTTGTGAGGTTAGAGGCGTTTGGAGGGGTGATTTCAGATGACAAGATTGGAACGGAGAGAAGGGAAAGCTTTGCAAAACAAGGGATGAAAGTATCTATATGCAGGTGCGAAAACAAAGTGCTTATCCACTTGCAGAAAAAAAAAGAAGAAAGGTAGGTCCCCCATGATTGAATTGGCGATAACGAAGAAAGAAGCATTGTATAAGAAGGAAAAGAAGACGGCAAAAGTGCGAGAAGCAACAGTTTTTTGGTTCTTCGTGGACGCGTTAGAGTAACGTTATTAATAATGAAGTAGGCTATGCAAATGTAATAATACCTCATCTCGATGCCGTAAATAGACGTTCGACGAACAAAACTGAAAAAGCGGAGAGGAGTGATAGGCACTAGGATTGGGGTTTGTTCCTGTGGCTCGAGATGATAAAAGGTGGGAAGCCCGACCTAGTATAAGGGCAAAGATGGCAACAAAGCATAGACTCCCGTGTATAGTAACAGACCATGAGTGCGATAAAAAAACGAAATAGAAAAAAAAAAAAAAAAGTGATTTCTGGCATGATATTTCATAGCCAAAGTAAAACGCATATTTTTTAACGCCGGTCCCCGTATGCACCAGTTGTGGAATAATAGAACGCTCAAATGTTCTTGCAGTAATGTTGTGTGATTTGATGGGAAAGAACGGATTAGAAGGTGTAATGGAGGATTACGAGGGTGAGAGTGACGAATTTGCGTCGTGTCGTGATTATTTTGATACGGAGGCGGTTGGGGTTGCCCCGTCTGCCCCCTGGCCGTCCTTTGCCTTCATCTGAATAATACGTTCCTGGTATTTTTTGTACATTCGTCTGTACGTATCTCCGGGCATTCGCTTTTCGCGGTGTGGCCAGTGATGGGCTACTACTTCCCAAAGCTCCAATTCCAACTGATTCCTAGCAGGACCTGGAGTTCGAGCGCGCATCTCAAGAACATCTCGAATATATTCGCCGGCATCCATGAGTCCTTTCCTTATAGAGATTGCATAGGTCCTGTGCTCTTGCTCATCTCTGTCAAGCTTTTGTAACTTTTGTAGAGTCTCTCTGATGCCCCACATACAATCCTACACGTACGGATTAGCAATTTGCCATCATATAGAGGAGGGCATTCGGTAGAGAACTTACTTCAGCACGTTGTGTGATTGCTCCAACCTTGGGTACAGGTGAGCCGCTTGCTCCATGCGATCCTTTCGATGCCGACCCATTGGGCTCATCGCGCTCGTGCGATTTGCGTTTTACACCGTTCTTCGTAGATCCATTGGCCTTGTGGTGGTGATGGTGATCCTTGGAATGCTTATCGGGATGGGAGGAAGTTCGTTTCTCGTCATCACGTCGCTTCTTGTTCGGAGTCGCGTCGTCTCTAGACACGTCTGACTCTCGTCGGTGCTTTTTAAGAGACGAGCCGGTGTTCTCTTTCTTCCCGTAGTAGTTGAGAATGCCGTTCTTCTGGACTTCTTTCTTATCCGTCTTGCCATTCTTTGGCCGCTTCGAAGGGGACTCGTCACCACCATCGCGATCTGTGATCGGACGCTTCTTAGAGATAGCACCAACAGGCTTATTAATTCCCTTACGACCCTTGCCAGGGATCGGCGAAGCCGAATTACTATTTCGGTTCCCTCTCTGGTACCGGGCAGTAGCAGCAGCCTGCTGTTGGGCGGTCTTCTCTTGCTGATCTTTCAGAAGTCCGAGTAGGTAGTTGGCTCTTCGGCTCAAATGTTCTGCTCCAGGAGACAGTTTGGCCGCGCCACCCTTGACGCGCTCCGCCTTTTTGTCGACTCTGTGCTCTTCCAGAAACATCTTTCCTTGTAGACCGAGTTCAGGATCGTCTCTGATAGGTACCCAATTTTTGTAACCATGACGATCAATACCAAGACACAACATACCATCTTCCTTAGCACCCCATTCGCAGCTCCACTTCTCAGTCTTCACCTTCGCGGTTGCAATTCTAAACTCGAGCGGATCTGGACAGCCAGAGACCGCAGTTCTTAAAACGCGTAAGAAATCTGGAATCTGAGTAACCTTCTCAGCGTTGATGTCCTTGACTCCTTGATATTCGAATAATATGGCCTTCTTATCCTTTCGCGTGGCACCTCCCTCCTTCTGCGCTGTTTCGTGCGTTTTGATGGCTTCCTCACTCAGACGAACAATTTCTTTAATCGTCGACACAACGACCTCACGGTCTCGGTCCTGGAGTTTTGCATCCTTGACAATCTCGGTATATCTGTCATCCATAAGGCCATACCTGATAAAAGCGTTGTACAGGTTTCGGATCTCGCGCTCGAGAAGAGGGCGGGAAGGATCTGGAATCTCGCCTTCTTCATCTGAAGTATCGTCACGGCGCCTGGCCTCGCCACGGCGCTTCTTGGGGGGTCCACGTCTACCGCGAGCGGGAGCCTTCTCAGATCCACTGCTATCGGATTCGTCGATTCCATTCATAGGTCGGCGGATTCTCTTCGCATTCGCTTGGATTTGTTCTTGTAAAAACTCCTCGTCCTGCTTTAACTTATCAGCTGCTCGAAGGGATTCGAGCTGCTCCGGTGGGAGAACACTGTCCCAGTCAACATCAATATCCGTAACCTCAAACTGCTTGAGAAGTTCTTGGAAAGCCTCTCCACCCTCGTTTCTGATCAACGATGCACCTTGTGCATCAGTATCATGATCTTCAGCATGCTGCAAGTAATCCTCAATATCAAGAGTCTCGAGCTTCTTCTGATTCTGCTTTTCTTTGTCACCTTCAAAGATCTTGTGTGCACGGGCAGCAAGGACGTTGGCAAGTTCCGCCTGAGAAAGACTCTTGGTATTTTTCTTCACCTTATCTGTAATGGTGGAATCAGTGATGCCCATGTAAACAGCGTATTCCATAAGCAGTTTAACACGGGCACGTTCGAGAACTTCTTCTTCAATTGTATCTTTCGACACGAACCGATAGATCATGACATGATTCTTCTGTCCGATACGATGAGCACGTGCCATGGCTTGGAGATCAGCCTGTGGGTTCCAGTCGGAGTCAAAGATAATGACGGTATCAGCGCTAGTAAGGTTAATACCCAAACCGCCGGCACGTGTACTAAGCAAGAAGCAGAAGTCTTCACTCCCGGGTGCGTTGTACCGATCGATAGCAGTCTTACGGTTGCTAGCCGAAACGGTTCCATCAATGCGTTGATACGAAAACCCGCGTAGGGTGAGATATTCTTGAAGAAGGTCGAGCATATTGACCATCTGACTGAAGATAAGAACGCGGTGGCCGTCGGCCTTCATCTTCGTAAGAAATCGATCCATCAACACCTATAGAGATGATTAGAAACATTCGCCTCCCTCGGAAACACTAAGGAAAGGGGTTTACCATTTTGCCACTACACATGATCATCGCGTTCAGTCGGTCCGCTTTGGTCTCTAACCCCTTCATTATCTCTTCCTCAGCAGACGGAAACAAGAATGGATGGTTGCTGATCTTCTTCAGCTCCATAACAATATTCAAAAGCGAAACTTTCTGCTTGCTCTTAGCATTAAGGGCACTGTAATTACGAGTGTAGATGTTTTTGTACCACTCGGTTTGGATATCTGACAGCTCGACACGAATAATTTTTTCGGTTTTCTGTGGCAAGGATGCTTCGACATCCTTCTTGACACGACGAAGGATATACGGTTGCAAGGTCTCCTGGAGTTTTTTGATCTCTTGTTCGGCCCCTTCGCTCTGAAGATCAATGTTACGGTCAATATTGATATTGCCGGGGTCCAAGAACTCAAGCAGCGCAACAAGTTCACTAAGATTGTTTTGCAGCGGAGTTCCGGTGATGAGCAGTCTGTCTTCGACCTTGAACTGTTTAAGCGATTCATATAATCGCGACTCGACGTTCTTCAGACGATGGGCTTCATCAACGGCGAGATAGTTCCATCGAATCGACTGCAGGAGCTGGGCATCGTGGTTGACATATTCGTATGTTGTGATCATGACATGGAATTTAGTCTTCTTACGCTTCTCATCCTGAAACATCTCATAGTCCTGGATGATACCACGAGCCTTGTTAGGGCCGTTATAGACGATGAAGTTAAGATCGGGTGCCCACTTTACAAAAGTTTCACACCAAGCAGGAACGGTAGAGAGGGGAACCACGACGAGGAATGGACCATCAATTTCCATCTCGTTCTTCAACCAACTAAGAAACGCAACGGTTTGGACGGTTTTACCCAAGCCCATTTCGTCCGCCAGGATACTATTCCGATGGACGGACCAATTATATCGAAGCCAGTTGACACCCTTCATCTGAAAATCACGTAGCTCGCCGTACTGTATGTAATCGGGTTGCTTAGACCACAGCTTGTACTTCTTACGATCCTTGACCGGAGTGACTGCGTAGTTGCGTGCAGATCTAGTTCGCTTGCGGAATTGTGAAATTTCTGTGGGGGCTACAGGCCCTAAGAATGATTCGGTTTCCCATGTGCAGTGCTCGTACGTCAAGCTTCGCCCTGCAGAGGTCATTAGCCAGAAGAAAATATTAGGTTAATAGAGACGAGGTGACACGTACACTTTACGAGGTACTCGAGTGGTTCGTCGTCCTGACCGCCCCTGGAGGCAACGACACGTTCGACCCCTCTTGCTTCAAGGGCAGCCTCAACCTGTCGTTCCCGTTCGAGGGTCAGACGTTCGAGATCTTCTCGTGTGGTCTCCGGATCACTACGCTTGGCGATCTCCTTCTTGAGCTTCGCCATGTAATTGGTGAGCTTTCGGATATACTTTTTGTGGGTGAGTTCCGATGTTTGCTCCCAAGTAGCATGGATATGGGCCTGTTCCGTCCATTTGATCTAGAAAAGATATGTTAGCGAATACCAAGGATAGGGACGGGAGCGATGATGGTGAGATGGAGGAACATACGAGGAACTCTAGGTGTTCCTTGCTGCCGGCGTATTCCTCAGGGTCGAAACCCTCTTTTACGCGATGGTCGAGGATGACGTCAATGTTTGGGGTGGTATCTTCTTCCACCCACTCGGCATATTGGGCCTGCTCGTCGTCGGTGATCCTGAAGTCGTCCGAGTCGTCGGCGTCCTCATTGTAATTGAGGACTTTGGTCGCGGCCCTCGTTGGCACGCGAACCTCGTGTTCGACGACGGGGTTTAACCGACGCTTCTTGCGTCGGGCCGACTTCTTATTGCTATAGAAGTCGGAGTCACCTCCGTCGTCACTGGACTCGGCGGAGACACGGGGAGTGGTGACCTTAGAGGTCGCGGCTATTAAGAATGGCATTAGCACAGGCATGAGAAGAGGATATGGGATGATGAGTGAGGATGGTGTGTGTTGTTGGTGGAAAGGAGGGAAGGAAGGAAGGAAGGAAGGTAGGTAGGTAGGTAGGTATCTAGGTAGGTAGGTAGGTGTAGGTAAGAGAGTACTAACCCTTAGTCGGCCGCGACGACTTCGGCTTCGACCTCTTTCGAGGTCTGACGTCCGAGTCATCACTCGGAACGTCATCGTCCTCCTCCTCCTGGTCCTCCTCCCCCTCGTCATCCTCAGAGGATAAGATCTAATAGCTGCTGTTAGCCCTTTGACTGCCATTGTAGAAGTATGAGGGATATATGAGGGGGGGGGTTAACGTACTATCCTCTTATTGCGAGCGACGGGCCGGGACTACTCGAATGGTTAGCAAGAAGAGATATCTCCAATTGTAAGCATGGCGGGCAAAGAGATGGAGGGAGAACACATACGCTCCGACGCAGGCCCCAAAGCTCTGGATTCTGGGAGTAGTCCTCCGCAGCAGAGTCCTTGGGCTTCTTGAGTTTTGCGAGCCGCCTCCCGGCCGGCTCGGGACTGCTGATTATCTCCAGCACGTCCTCCTCCTCCTCTCCTTCTGCATCCTCTGATGCATTGCCGGCGTCGAAGTCATCGTCGCCATTCTCGCTTCGCTCCTGTTCGGAGCTGGACTCGGAGTCGGTCATCACGGGTTCCTCGTGGTCCATTGGCGAATCATCCTCCTCGCTCGCCGAAGCAGGCGAGGAGGAGGCCGCCGCAGCGACCCCGAGGTCCGTGAGATCGCTGGCCGAGGGCGATTCCACCTTTTCGGGCGAGTTGCCCTCTACGGAGACATCGGGTGTGTATGTACTGTGTATGGGGGGTAGACGCGAGACGTCCGACACAGTGGCGGACGTCATCTTTGTACTAGAATGAATCCAAGAGTGAAGATGTTAGCAAAAGTGAAGATACGAAGGCATTGAGGTACAAAATAGCATCAAGAAGCCAATCCCCCGAGAGCCCCGGAGGAGGCGACCCAGATGGACAATAAGCGACCGATAGAACGACGGATTCAAGACCGGTTACAGGCATCAGAAGGGGTCTCGAGACCTCGAAGTCTCAAAAAATTGGACGGGCAGGGTTAGGTGGGACGGACGACGACGACGGGTGTGATTTTAGAGCCAGTTTTTGCAGCAGCGAGTCGGACGTTGAAGGGAGGGATTTAGGAAGAATAGGAGAATAAGAAGGGGTGAAATAGACAGCTGAAGAGCCAGAAATCAGCTTTGGAGATGATACTCGATGGAGATGGATGGGTGTGGCGGACGACCAGCCCGGAGAGAGACTCGATATATTTCTGTGGGTTACATATATATTTGTACATATAGGGAATCCTCCGAACGTGTCTCGCAGGCAGGACGCAAAGCAACCTCCAAAGAACAAGCAGCACCGAGGCCGAATGGAATAATGAAAACAATGAAATAGAGTGAAAGAACATACTGTGATGATGTGGAGAGTCCAGGTCGTCGGATCCTAATGACCTCTGGGGGAAAATATGATGGGGGGGAGATGGCAGGCAGGTGAGTGAGTGGTGTGTTGGAAAGAGAAGAAAAAGGCCTTGAACGGGGCGGGAAGAAAGAAAAGAGGAACAGGAACAAGAACCAGAAGAGGTTCCGGGGCAGGGACAAGCCAACGGCCGGAATTAATTCTTTCGGTGCCCATCAGCCAAACAGCCAGCGAGCAAGCAAAGCCAGCCAGCCAGCACCAGCAGTTACCATAAACCAGCAATTTGGCATATAGGCAGCTAAATAAATAGCAACCAGCAACCAGCTAACAAGAAGCAAGAAGCAAGAAGCAGCATGCAGCAGTATGCAGCTAGCTGTTATATGACAGCAATTGCAGGAGAACTAACTATAGGATGTGGTAAGAAGAATTGTGAGTAACTTACTTGTGACGGGTGAAGGGATATCGATGACGATGATGATGATGCTGATAGTCGTGATGATGGAGATGGTGATGGTGATGTGAAGAGGAAGAGGTGAGGTGATGTGAGGTGAAGAGGGAAGGGAAGAGAAGAGAAGAGAGAAGAGGTGAGGCTGTCAAGAAGGATAGGACAGACAGACAGACAGCACCGCACGACAGCACAGGACAGCACAGGACAGCAGGACAGCAACAGGGACCGAAGGGAGTAGAGGTGGAAGAAGTCGTGTGCCCGACGATGAGGATCTACACCCCAACACAAACCACAACCATCCACTACGTTTCCCTCGATGAAGCTGTAGACACCCGGAATCTCGCATCTACGAGACTTCACTAATATATACCGAATATCACCCAAAACACAAAAACTTCAAATACCTTAAATACCTTAAATACTTTGTATAGTATTTTCTACAAATTCTAATCGCTATGATAGAATCTATCAAAGTATAAAATAATATAAAATAAAATATTTCTATAATAGGTATAAATAGCTTTATACTCCAGCCTTACAGGGCATCCCTAGGGCTATTTGCAATCTGTAGATCCAAATTCGAATATATATTCAAAAACCCTCCTCGTAATTGTAACATAGTGAAGCGAAAAAAAAGAGAGAAACAAGGAAAGGAAGGAACGGAAACAAAAAAAAAAAAAAAAAAAAAAAAAGGTTGGATCGCCCGTCGGCGCCTCACATGGACCGCCTCATGGTAGTTAATTCTGTCCCAATCCGGACTTCTACTCCTTCCTCTTCCCTGCCCCAGTTATCCTTCCTGGCTAGTGAATCATATACAGGTGACTGGTCCACTGCAGGCCCCCTCGTGATCTCGTGTCGCCAGACCCGTATCTTCTGTTATCCATAATTCCCGTATGCACGTATGCTGGTCTGTATGACAGAACGGAGCAGAACACCCATGTACCAGTAAACCAATTGGCAAAAATCCACTGCAGCTTCCCGCATCGACCTGTCAATTTCTTTACATCCCATATCCCTAAATGTTTCGGGTCCGTAACGTTGCGCCAAAATTGCGTTCAATGTGCGCATTTTTCTCTCTTTTTAACCACCAGGCATACAAACCCAACCCGATAATTGTAATATTAGAATATCCTATATAACCCCTCCTCTGTCCTCTTCTCCCTCGTACCCCCCCTACTACTATTCTTCCTTTTTGTTATATGAGCTAGTGCTAATAATATGGAAGACAAATCGGCCTTCTTCGATACTTTAAACAAATATTCTAGTGATTCCTTCTGCAATACAGACGACGAACCATCACCCGAAGACCTGAGACTCGCCGAACTGTTCTCAGCCAATCGAAGGACCAGGGACCAGCCTCAACCACATTCCAACCCTCCACAACGCAATATCAACAGCATCAATCCCAACATCACCACTTCGAACGTCGGCATCAAGAACACCAATATCACCAATCAACCTTCTTCTCTTACCTCGTATACAGGCTCGAAGGCTTCTTCTCTAAATATATCAAAAATGCCACCCAAAAGAAAACAAGATCCCCCAGTCTCCAACTCCTCAACTTCTCGAAAACGATCAAAAACTAAACCCCTTCAACCCCCACACCTTCAAATCTTCAATCCCTTAACGTTCTTCTTTATGAAACCCTGCCTAAAACGTGCAGAGCGGAAAATGCGTATCGAAAAGGCCCAAGAATACGGTGCCACCGTTGTTTTTACTTTTTCGAACACAGTAACCCATATCATCGCGGATAAAGATATTAAATACAACGAAATCCTCGAGTTCCTACAATTAACAGAAATACCGGAAGGTATCGCTGTTACGAATCCCAGATGGCCGGGAGATTGTATCAGATATGGGAAATTGGTTGATCCAAAGGATTTTTGGTACCAAGTACCCGGTTGTCCTACCGAAAGCCAACAACGGAACCCTCTGCAAGACGCTCCAATATCTGAACCCATTGGTGGCCATTCATCACTTCCCTCCTCCCCACCTTCATCCCTCCAAGTCCAACCCCGTCCACCGCCCAAGCAGCAACCAGAAACCCCTACAAACTCCCAAAAGGATGCTTTAGACGAAGCAATAGAAGAATGCCTCACTACAACTCCCATAAATATCGAAGACTTCCTCGGCTCCTCTTCATCATCTGACACCGAATCCTCACCCGAATCCTCCCCAAAACGTCGCAAAAAGGCTTCTTCTTCTTCGTCTAATTCAGCGAGAGACTGGCAATCCCACTTCCAATGCATGCACAAACACACTGGCGCTCTCAATCCTGAAAACCCTAATTCTCGCACCATTCAAATCCTCGAAGAGATGATGCAAATATATGATTCCCTGAAGGACCAATGGCGTACTCGATCCTACAGAATCGCAATCTCAACCCTAAAATCTTCAAACACCACTTACATTTCCACATACGAACAAGCAATCTCCCTCCCAGGCGTAGGTGACCGTCTGGCCAAGAAAATAGTGGAAATAGTATCAACAGACAGATTGCAACGACTAGAATACGCGAAACTAGACCCTAAAGATCAAATACTTAAGCTATTCCACGGAATCTATGGCGTAGGCCTTGTTCAGGCTAGAAAATTCGTGGCCGCGGGATATACCACTCTAGAAGATATTAAAAAAAATGCTACACTCACAGAACCCCAAAGAATTGGAATCGAACGGTACTCGGATTTCAAACAGCGAATACCACGTGAAGAAGTCAAACAGCATGGAGATATCGTATCAACCGCCTTGAAAACCATTGATGAAAAAGTCCAAAGCCATGTTATGGGTAGTTACCGACGTGGAGCAAAGGATTGTGGTGATATCGATATAATTCTGACAAAAGAAGGCGCAGGCGTGGAAGAACTTCACGAAGTACTAGAAAAATTAGTTGAAAAACTATTCGACCGAAAGTTCTTGATGTGTGGGTTGGCGATTGCACGACACGATGATGGGACGAAATGGCATGGTGCTTCTAGACTTGAGGGCGAAGGTAAACCGTGGCGACGAATTGACTTTTTGGTGGTCCCGGGAGAGGAGATTGGTGCTGCTTTCTTGTATTTTACTGGGAATGATGTATTCAATCGGAGTATGAGGCTATTGGCATCGAAGAAGGGAATGCGGTTGAATCAGAAGGGACTGTATAAGGATGTGGTCAGGGGGAAGAATAGGGAGAAACTGAATGAGGGAACACTATTGGAGAGTAAAGATGAGAAGGTAAGTTCTTGTCCTTATCAATCTTAGCTATTTGAAAGTCACTAATGGTGGTTTATAAATAGAAAATATTCGAGATACTCGGTGTTCCATACCGTCCACCAGAGCACCGCATTTGCTGAAGAGTTAGATTTGTATATACCGATAGTATTTAGAGTCTTAGCAGGAAAACAGCACTGTGGCAAAGACATCTTGAATCGTTATATATAATGAATTGGATCGTTTGGCATGATAAATCTTGAACTAGAATAAACCCGCTCCCAAAAACTCCCACGCTCTATGGTAAATGCCTGATATAAAGAAAAGTCGTATAACAGCCCCTCGACATGGCCCCCTAAACAGTAAAGGCGGCATTAGAAGGGGAAGACGCATGAACTTCTTCCTGACTCTGCCTCTTTGCTGCTTCCAGATTCTCCTTCACTTCCTGTCCCTCCTTCACTTCCTGACTCTCCTTCACTTCCGAGCCCTCCTTAACTTCTTGACTCTTCCTCACCTCTTGACTTTTCCTCACTTCTTGACTTCTCCTCGCATCTTGACTCTTCCTCACCCTCCTCTTCTTCCCCTTCCCAACAGCCTTCAACCCATCCTCAAATTTCGCAATATCCGGCGCATTCCCACTAACATAAGCCCACTTAACCGTCCCATCTACATCAACCGCAAAACTCCCCGCCGTCTGCCAACGATACCCACTTTTCGTCGGACGGTTATAAATCAACTCATCACTACCCAGTTTCAAGGCTTTCCATAAAGTCATAGGACCCATATTCGCCCAATACGAAGAAAACCCCAGTCCCCATTTTGCGTATAAGGTACGTTCCGGGTCAATGACTATTTCTACGTCACCGGTGCCACCGACTGAGACTACCCATTCTTCTGTATCTTCTTGGTTGGAGTGGGAGACTGCTATGAAGGTTGTGTCCGGGTGGGCGTCTGATAGGGAACGGAAGGACTGGAAGGCTTTTTCTGCGACTAGTTTCCAGAGTTAGTAAGAACAGAACAAAAGAATAAAAAAAGGGCGTAGGGATTTTTTTTTAAAAAAAAAAAAAAAAGAGAAAGTACTTACAAGGACACCCGCAATGTCGTAGAAAGGTGATAATAACAGGTCTATTACTATTATTGAGAGATTGCAGCTGCGGTAGCTGATCTGATTCCGGGAAGTGGTCGCCGACTTTTGGGATAGGAGAGAGCTCGGGATTTGCGGCTGGCGAAGAAAAGGCCGCCATTTCGGACTTGAGGGATGTGGCGTTGAGGTAATCGCGGGTAGGTGTTAACGACATCTTTTTATTTTCGTTTTTGTGAGTTTCTCTCTCTGATATATTCGAAGATTGGATCGACCCGAGATTAGGTTAAAATATGATATAAAAATGAGGGTGAGTTCATGAAGAAGTGGAAATGGGGAGAAAGAGTCGGTGCTGGAGAAGATTTTGATTTAATTGTGAATCAATGCGCTCTGTGTACATGCAAGTCATGCACTGTGCAGTAACTGTACGTGCAAGTGTAATGGAGCTTACTTTCGGAGCTTAGCTGTCGGGCTCGGCAGGGAGTGCCACAATCAGACAGCTGTTGCAGGCGGGAATGTGGCGTGAGGAATGCATCCTGGACAAATTAGTCTGGGGGACAAATAGTCTACGGGTCACGAATGGACAGAAGGAGGCAAGCACCCAAGTTACCACGGCTAGTGGGGGCCAAACCGCATTGGCCCGTGCTGTTTGTTACCCAGACATAGGATTCCATACCCATAATTACGCAACAGAACCCGAACCCGGTCGTTTTTTCTGCTAAGAAAAACTGCCCCGCCTCGGAATCAGTTTTATAAGTTAAATTATATCACGCATATTCAGGGAAGAAAAGAGAAGAAAAAAACGGCATCTTGATTTTCTGATACTCTATCGGATTTAATTATCTTGGTTCAGGAAGTATTGGCTAGGCTAGATAGGTATATAAAGCTTCGGTATGTCCCCTCTGTTCGCTGCTTGCTGTTGCTGCTGTTGCTGCTGCCCCTCCCTCTAGAAGATTATCCTCAGATTGCCCCTCATTACCGCATTGCATTTACACCTGGTCGGTCACCAACCGAAGAGCCTCATCCCATCCCATCCCATCCCATCCCATCCAATTGACTTCAATCCAATTGACCTGACTCTAACATCATAAGACATCTTTCCCTACCAGAAACAAAAAGTTACAGAAATAATACACAATGTCGCTCAGCAATAAACTCTCCATCACCGACGTCGAGCTCAAGGACAAGCGTGTCCTCATCCGTGTAAGTATCCTATCTTCCCCTCCTCCCTTCGGGGCCTTCCCCTCTTCTCAATTGACATCATCCTTGATAGCAGTACTAAACTAATGTATCATATGAAATACAGGTGGACTTCAACGTCCCCCTCGATGCCGACAAAAAAATCACAAACAACCAACGTATCGTCGGTGCTCTCCCAACTATCAAATATGCCCTCGAACAAGGCGCCAAGTCCGTCATCCTGATGTCCCACCTCGGACGCCCGGATGGTCTTGTGAAGTCCAAGTACTCTCTTGCTCCTGTTGCTGAGGAACTCAGCAAGTTGTTGGATAAGAAGGTTACTTTCTTGCCCGACTCCGTTGGTAAGGAAATTGAGGAGGCTGTTAACTCTGGTACTGATGGTATGTTTTCCTTATCCTTCTATATTATATGTTCGAAGAGAAGTTTTATTTGATATTAATTATGGGAATGGGAATAGGTGCCGTCTTCCTCCTCGAGAACTTGCGATTCCACATCGAGGAAGAAGGAAAGGGTGTGAACGAGGCCGGCGAGAAGGTCAAGGCCGACAAGGAAAAGGTCACTGAATTCCGAAAGGGTCTCACTGCTCTCGGAGATGTCTACATCAGTACGCCCTAATTCACTAGTCTAAAATGCCCAATAAGTACTAACAATGAGCAGACGACGCCTTCGGTACTGCCCACCGTGCCCATAGCTCCATGGTCGGTGTCGACCTCCCACAAAAGGCTTCAGGTTTCCTCGTAAAGAAGGAACTTGAGTACTTCGCCAAGGCCCTCGAAAACCCAGAACGTCCCTTCCTCGCCATCCTCGGTGGTGCCAAGGTCTCCGACAAGATCCAGTTGATCGATAACCTTCTCCCCAAGGTCGACAAGCTCATCATCTGCGGTGGTATGGCTTTCACCTTCAAGAAGGTCCTTAACGATGTCAAGATCGGAAAATCCTTGTTTGATCAGGCTGGTTCTGAGAAGGTTCACGAGTTGATTGCGAAGGCGAAGGAAAACAACGTTGAAGTTGTGCTGCCCGTTGACTTTATCACCGCTGATGATTTCAACAAGGACGCCAATACCGGGTATGCCACCGATGCCGATGGCATTCCGGACGAATGGATGGGTTTGGATTGCGGTTCCAAGTCCGTTGACTTGTTCAAGAAGGCTATCGACGAGTCCAAGACCATCTTGTGGAACGGGTATGAATGATACACACTACGGAAAATGTTGTATTCGGTATGCTAATGGGTAATAGTCCTGCTGGTGTCTTTGAATTCGAGAAGTTCGCAACCGGAACCAAGGCTACGTAAGTCGCCCTAACTCGCTTGCTAAGGGAAATTTAGATTCGAGGAAGCTAATATATGTAATTAGTTTGGATGCTGTCGTCGAGGGTGCCCAGAATGGCAAGATTGTCATCATCGGTGGTGGTGATACCGCTACCGTTGCTGCCAAGTATGGTGTCGAAGACAAGCTCAGCCACGTCTCCACTGGTGGTGGCGCGTAAGTAGCCCTTTTTTAATATCATTGTTTAGCAGGTGCTGATAGTAGAGTTTAGTTCTCTGGAACTTCTTGAAGGAAAGGCCCTTCCTGGTGTCGTCGCTCTCTCGGTAAGCTGGACCTCCCCTTACATTCCCAAATAGTTACCTACGAAATACTAACGGATTTATTCCCAAAACTACAGAAGAAGGAGTAAGTTTCTCTCATTAATTTAATATTTACGGGAGCTGGTGTCGGAAGTTAGCAAGAAGAAAAGGTATTCCTCGTTCTTTGATTATTGACGGACCTCTTCTTTTTCCTCATTTCGGACACGCTTTCCGACTGAGTTTGTAGACACAAAAGCTCACTCTAGTACCCTCCTTTGATTGCTGGGCATGCTTTATTATCATTTCCTCTTGGAAAGCTATGATTCGGTCCTTTCTTTAGGAGCAGGGGATTAAAATAATGAATTAATTGGATTGGAATGATATTTTTTTTGGATCCATATGATCGTTTTCGTGATGCCTTCCTCCTAAGTTGCCGGGTAGTAGCCTCTTTTCCGGTTTTTAGACGTAGAAATGGTTCCATGCGGGGTAAAAAGACGCCTGGTAACGGTTGGTAACGGTTGGTTACACGCTCTATTGGTTCAATTCATCTTTATTTCTCATATTATACACTCTCGATCCACCCTTCTGAATCCCTCTCATAGATAAATAGCAGTGGTGGCTTCCAACTTTGGTCTGGGACGATTGGACTGAAAGACGGGACGGGGAATATAACGGCGTGCACTAGAGAAAAGACATCATTCCTATTGACGCGAACGTAGCTACCGTTGCGACTCGGAGCCGGATTTCTGTGCATCGACCTTTTTCAGTTCCTCCCTGTTATATATCGTTAGTGACTTGATGTAATACTGAGGGGTGGCGTAGAAAGGAAGGGGAAAGGAGGGGCGGAGGGGTGACGAACCTCAATTGCTTCGAAAAGTCTTCACTCAAATCATCGTCATCCCAGCTTTCTTCCCATAGATTTGGTTTCCCACCGCCGGGGACTTCGGTTTCGTCTTCTTCCCATTCTGTTTGATTATTTATTACATGACCACGTCAGCTTTCTGGGTCTATGTATCGTTTCCCGACGGGAATTGAAGCTTTGGAAGGATAGTCGAATATAATTTGTATTCGGGAGCGAAGGGAAGAAAGGAGATAGATAAAAAAAAGAGACCAACCTTCGGCAGGGAAATCTTCAAATTCATCATCCTCGTCTAGAACCTTTTTGATAGCCTTTGGATCCTTGGTTTCCTCGGGTTTTGCGACGGGTTTGGATGACATCTTGTTTGTTTTGTGTGTGTGTGTTCTTCGGTGATGATGAATGGTAGGGAGGTGGCTGAGGTTGATATAAGACCGATGTATACGTCGTTTCTTCCGGATGATATGGAGATTATCGGGATTTACGAATGGGGTTATTGATATTGATGGTTTGGATGATGGCGGGACGCGTGAGGGTTGATGGCGGTGTAAAGGCCTAATTCTAATTCTAATTAATGAGGCAAGAAGGGGAGCTATGAGCTATGGGATTCTTGGCGGCTTTGGTGGGTGGTTTTCGCTTAACTACCAGTACTAAGTACTACGTAGTAGTAACTGAATGTCGGAGGCTGTTTGGTGCCGGGCGGTTCGGCGTTAAAACATTCCCTTGTTAAAGTTTCAATTCTCAAGCTCAGAATCTCCAGACCTAGCTGGATGTGGATTGCTGACCTCCGTAATATACATAGTATGTCAGCTGTAACTTGTCTAAGTACCACGGCTTATACGGCTGGCCGACCGCGAATATGGATAATACAATTTCCTCAGGCTAAGCTAGGGAGTTATGTAACCCCGATCTATAGGTACTCAAGTACCTAGGTAGCTATTCGTGGAGTTTTGGATATGGATTTGATGCATTCCCCACTCGCAAGACCATGTTGGTGTCGCATGGCTATGGGGTAGGTTCACTAGCTCCAGCCTAAGCACCTCCCTAGGCGGACCGGTAGACTGACTGACCAACAGCTATTCAAGTACATATAAATAATTGAAAAATGTGTGCATGAGGTACTATACTATACTATACTTCGGAGTAAACGGTTCTCTCTTTTAAGCTTAAACCTCTTTATGGGAAATAATATCCCCCTCTCTGTTGCCGCCTCCGTCCGCTGAATGTTTAAATACCGGACACGGAAGCTCGATGCGTACAAAAGAAACGTAACTTACACTTTCACAACTTCTATCTTTTTTGATTATTCGTACCGGTTACTTCTTTTTGCCTTTGCCTCCTTGATTCAATCCAATTCTCCTGGGCTAGGTTGGTACTTACATTGATCTTGTGTCTTGTCTTGGCTTTAGTTCATCTGGTCCCTTTTTTCTAGGTTTCTAACATACTAGTTTTTTCTCACAAGTCTAGACCCTATGCGCGGAAGGATTGGAATTTAAGACTACTTAACCGTAGATACATTCACCGACTACATGCAAAGGAGTTTTTTTTTTAAAAAAAAAAATCGTTTGGAGGATCAAAAGCGTGTCAAGGAATGCGAATGTATCCCATGACATCAGAGCGAAGGAACAATTAAATTCAATCAACCAGTTCAATTCAATTCAATTCGATCAATTCTCCGTCGGACGAATATACAACCAACCAACTCTTTCTTCAAAAAAATCCAACACGTGCACTCTAACTAGCTTACGAAAAGAGGGAAAAACTGGATTGGACGCGAAAGGCTGCAAACATTGACGCATATTGGACAGGTGGGAGAGTGCCTTGGAGACAGTCTGACCTGAGGGGCAAGGAACACACGTTTATACCTGATCTAACCGATATAGCAGGCGAGATATATCCCATGCACAAGGAAACGAATCTGGATCGCTAGAGTTAGAGCCTGCTTTTCTGAACCTCGTCTTGACGAAATAAAAAGAAAGAAAGGAATATTTAAAAGGGAAAAAAAAAAAAGGAAGTGGGGGAATACGAACAGGTTGACGTTGTCTTTTTTTTGCCTTTCTAAAGAAAGCTCTATTCTCAGCTTTACGGGAATCGAAAATTCGTCTAACATACAAAAACTCGATTACGACTACAGTCGATTACTATCTCTCTCTTTTTAAACTTATTCGATCAAAACGGATTCTCGACGCGGACCACGGATATTCATTTTTTTAAAAAAGTGAAGAACGGGGGGAAGTCTAAAAAATGTTTAAAGGCGGTTGGTTCTCTAGTAGTAGGGCTGCATCGCCTGCTCCCGCGCCTGCATTGGCGAGGGACACTGGATCTTCGATATCACTAAATGGGTTGGATGAGCAAGCAGAAAGTACATTTTTCTTCTTCCTTTCATTTACGCAATCAATGGAATTTTTGCTTCGATAGTAGTATCTAAGCTAATTTGATGATTTTACGATTTTAGTCATTCTGGTGATGAGAGGTATTTACATTACAGAAAGCCCCGGATTTAATGGTATATTGGGATATATAGTATAAGATTGACTAATGGACTTTACTGTTTGGGAGGGTTTTAGCAATGGATCTTGTCATGAATGATAATCTGGAGGCTGCGGAAGCAGAACTGGAGACTGGCGGGTCAGTTTGGCATAAGGTTTGTCTTCCCCTTCCTCTCTTCCTCCTTCTCTTTTGTCTTACGGGGCTATCTACATCTTTTTTGAAGAAGGGAGGGCTGTATTTCCCTAAAGAGTTCGGTATATGATTGAGAAAGAAACCAACCAACTAATATTGCTGGGAATGAAATAGCTGGGCCAAGGTGCTATAGGTTTCATAAGATCAGCCGCAGGCTTCGAACAAGCAGTTATGAAAGAAGGTTCGTCTAAACCATATTACTTCCTTAACCCAGAGTAGCCAAATAACATAAACCCACCCCAAAAAGCATCCGATAACCTCGCCGCCGCCGAAACAGCTGCCTATGCTGCCCAACGTCACGCAACCCGCTCCACACGGAGCACATCATCCTACCCACCCGGCATCGAATTCGCACTCGCCGCCGCAGAATCCCAATTAATGTCTGCCTTAATCGGTGTACTATCAGAATCGATCATGGAAGCTATGAAATCCTTTTACAAGATGAGAAATGCGTTTAAGGCGCTTGAAGGGGTTCATAAGAGTATTCAAGAGATTAAAGCTAAAAGGCTTCTTGCTGCTTCTACTGCGGGTAGTTCTGTCACTGTTGAGACTACCGGAACTGCTACTGGTAGCTTGGGGAGTGAGGAGAGGGGACTTTTGGCGATTCCCGATGCTCATGGTGGTAGCAGTAGTACTGCTGAAGGAAAGGCTGAGCCAGAGTTTAAGAATGCGGTGGATGAGTATATCGAAAGCGGTGGGAATCTATGTTATGGAACACTATTGCTGTTTATCGGAATGATCCCGCCGGCAATGTCGAGGTTGTTGTCGATATTGGGATTTCACGGGGGTAATGCACACCATTTCTTTTTCAAGTACTCACCACATTCTAAACTTTAACTAACAAAGTCCCTTTGATACAATAGACCGAAAAAAGGGCCTCGAATGCCTCTGGGAGTCTGCGAACATGATGAACTCACAGGGTGCCCTCGCCGCGTTAATCATATTGGTATACTACCAAATGCTTCAATTTTGCGATATCGTAGAAACGGATCCAGAAAAAAATGGTATGCCACGGGAAAAGTGTGAGAAGTTGCTGTTCGCATATCGAGATCGATATCCGAATAGTCCGTTGTGGGTACTAGAGCAGGCGAGACTGTGCACACAAATGAAGGAAGTTGAGAAGGCGATTGAATTGTTGGAGTTCCGGAGGAAGCCACAGATGAAGTACAGCTTTCCCTTTCTATCCCCTTTTCGTTTTTGATTCTTGTGTAGAAGGGTCCGGCTAACTGGTTGGTATTTTGGTATAGGCAAATTGAGGCGATATGTGTGTTCGAGAAGGCATTGTGAGTAGATGCTCGACTTCTTTCTTTAGATTGAAATGGGTTCTAACGAGATACCATAGAAATTTCATGTGTATCCACCACTACGAGAAGGCCGCCCAGACGTTCCTTCAACTTATAGACTTGAACAGTTGGTCAGATGCCATGTACTACTACATAGCAGCTAGTTGTTACGTTGAGCTCTACCGCTCGGCAGTCACCGAGGGAAACACCAAAAAATCCGAAGAATGGGGAAAGAAAGCCGAAGAGTTGTTCTTAAAGGTTGCCACCCATATTGGTAAGAAGAAATTTATGGCGAGAACACTCCCGTTGGAGACGTTTACGGATCGAAAGGTCAAGAAGTGGCAAAGATTTGCGAAGGAGAGGAAGTGTACTTTGGTAGAGGCTGTGGGGGTTAGTCCTTTAGAAGAGATGATCTATATGTGGAGTATGTGCATGTGTAGTTCCTCCCTTCAATTTTTTTCAACTAATTATGTGCTAATGATTTCCTTAGATGGGTTTACTCGCATGAACGATGACGCGATTGCGCAGTCTCTCAGGAATTTAGAATGGCAGGCGCCAACGGAGGAAGGGGGGACGCCAAAGTCATGCATTACAGAGTTTGATGAACAGGTGATACAATCGTTCTTGAAAGGAGTTGTAGCACGGCACCAGGGCGAATACGCCAAATCTAGAGAGATATTTGACGGTATAGCAGCCGTTGATAAGCTGAAGTTGAAGGAGGAGAACTGGGTCCGTAAGTACAACATTCCATTGAAATCTGACAAGGCAGTAGAGTATGGAAAGGTTTAAAATCGATACTAATATCATAAATAGTCCCCTCGACGCAATACGAAATAGCGGTCGTTATTTGGAACGAATCCGGTATGAAAGAATCAAAGGTAATACACGAATACCTGACAAAATGTGCTTCATGGGAAACATACGAGCTAGATAACCGGTAAGCAATACTCCCAAACAATTTATCCCAAAGAAGATGCTTCGGACCGACGGTGTGGGGTGCGGGGTATTATGTAAGTTATCCAAAAAGAACAGTAGCTAATCTCGGACTTTTGTGATGTGATCTACTAGACTGGGTTTACGGGCATCCATGGGATTGGATGTACTCAAGCATGCCGGTGGGCCATGATAGGCCATACTAACGGCTGTGCCGGTTTGGAGACCGACGGTTAGATGGAAGGGTTGATTTTCATATGAGACTAGACTTTAGCATGAGCGCATGTGCATTTCAACTAGAGCTGTTAAGGGTGTGCTTTTACCTTTTTCATTTGTGACTTTCGGTGAAGGATCCAGCATTATAGGTGTATAGAGATATGTATTATTTTAAGTAATTGATCATTTGCTACTTCAAGCATACCTAAGTATCTAACTAGCTAGTGACCCTGGTGACCATGTTCATTGAATGTCAATTGCATTGCCTTGCATTGGTGTTGAAAGGAGACATAGAATTGAAGTATAGCAGTATAAAAGGCTTGTTGTTGAAGCTGCCCATCACAACGTCATCTCCTCTCCCCAAACCATCTTCCCCAGCTTCCCATCTCCGCATATTGCTGTTAACTTTATATCCAGGCCCACCAATCCTGAGCCCCCAGTAAGTTCCTCCGTCCTTCTGCTTCCTCCTGCCCAGTTGCCGGGACGTGTTGGCTTTCCAGTTTGGGCAAATGCCTCGGCTTAACCGGTCGGTAACGGGCATAGGCAGGAACATACGTCCAGTCCCTGGAACTAACTGAGCGCTTCCTTTTATTTTTCCCCAGATGTTATGTTCATCGGCTAGGCGATTGAGACCTCTTGTTCACCCGTCCGGACGCCTGGAGCACTACCCAACCGTCAACAACATCGGCAACGTCTTTCATCAACTTCATTCCAAAGGCCTCAACACCGTTCGAGGTGTTCACCAGTCAACGACCACCAATAAGACTCCAAACTTCTCTTTTGGAAAATACCACAATACGCAACGCCTTCGTCTGCGTTGTAACGGTGTCGTTGGTAGTCAATACATTGGTGATAATTCTGGTGTAAAGGGACCATTTGCAAAGATGTCGGATCTATTGATGAGTCGTCGTTCCTACATGACGGCTAAGGGGTTGTTCAAGGTCGAGAAGCATTTGATCCCTGCTTTTCCTATCCGAGAGCATCCCAGGGGTACCTGGAAGGATGATGATAGGTTGGAGTTGATGGTTAATCAATATAAACCGGTCAATAATCCAGAGCCAAAAGCTGGGGATTTGACTTTGATCGTAGCGCATGCGAATGGGTTCCATAAAGTTAGTCGTTTAAGTTGTAAACCCTTTTTTATATATATATCGAAGTTTCTGACTAATTTGGAATTCATAGGAATTGTACGAACCATTCTTTGAATATTTGGTTGAAGACTACGAGAAGCGTGGGGCCAAGTTGAGGAATATCTGGATCGCGGATATTCATAACCAGGGAGAGTCTGGGGTTTTGAATGAGAAGACGCTTGGTGGTGACAGTTAGTATTCTTTATGCCTCTTTATACTCCGTCGATTGGATTTTGTATGCTAATTTTATGAATAGTCAGCTGGTTTGACCATTCGCGTGACGTCTTCTCATTGATCATGCACTTCCCTAAGGACATTGTCCGCCCCATCGCGGGTATTGGTCATTCTATGGGAGGAGCCCAGCTCTTCCGTGCTTCGCATATGCATCCAACCCTCTTCACTTGTCTCATTGGTGTCGACCCCGTCATTGCCCCAGAGACAGCGTTCCCGGCGTCTGCAAATCCAGCTGCTATGTCTGCCAAGCGCCGTGATATCTGGCCTTCCATGGAAGACGCTAAAAAGTTCTTCAAGTCTCGCCCATTCTATCAATCTTGGGACCCCGTTGTCTTGGACCTTCATATGAAATACGGTCTTCGTAAGGTTCCAACTGCTATCTACCCGGACCCATCTAAAGTTGAAGGTGGCACCAATGCCGTTACCTTGACGACTACGAAGCATCAAGAGGTCTTTACATTCTGGAGAACCAGTCTACAGGATCGACTCGACCCTAAAGAAATGTTCACATTGTTGGATAAGATCAAGGTCCCGGTTTGTTATATCCAGGGGGAGACGAGTGTTATTAATTGGGGCAACAACAATGAACTCAAAATGGAGGTCACCCCGAAGCCATGTGAAATGCATATCGTTAAGGATTGTGGGCATTTAGTCCCACAAGAGAAACCGAAGGAATCTGGTATGTTACTATTCTTCAACCTCCCTTAGTTATGAAACGATTAAAGTTACTAACGTATGGATGATATCGCTATAGCTGAGATCGCCTCGGAGTACCTCTACCGCCAGGTGAAAATCTGGGGTAAGAAGACCGAGGAGGTCAAAGACAACTGGCCGTCGACTATGACCATTAGTCCACGATACTTCGAGCCACGATCCCGTGAATCGAAGATCTGAATTCAAGTTGTTGTGACGGCGCGAAGTAAAAATACAGTATAGTATACACCACTATAGAACTAGAAGGTGTGCTCTCTATTCTTTTCTTACTCGGCGTTTTTTCCCCCACCGTTTTCACCTGTTCTGTTCTTGTTCTTTAACTATGGGTTTCTGCTGGGATGGGCTGTTTTTCTTTCTTTCTTGCAATGCTGTGTATTCATTCGAAACCTTTATACGTCATCACACCATTACTGTAACTTATAGAGGTAATAGACTAAGCGGATATTATTCCCCGCAAAATCAAATACATCATTTCTCCTATATATCTTATTAAATAATCCATGAGGGGTAAATGGAGAAGAAATCCCTGGCTGTGACTATCATTGCGTGCGTTCGGCGTATTTATTCAATTTCTTCTTAATTTATGCAAATTCTATATAACATGAAGCAACCTTTAGGATCCGGATGGGAATCGTATTAACCTGGTCTCGTTGGTACCAGTATTAACCCTATGATCGATAGGGGATCTTAAGATCTGCACACCTCCCACTATTAATAAAGACGACAGGAAACGGGAAGATCCGATTTTGATTTGAATGATATTTGACACTTGCAATGACAATCATCACAGCACTTATGTTTATGCAAGACGGGATATACCCCACGGACCCCGCCGATCAATTGAAAATTCGATTTTATTTTTATTTTTCTTGACGTGGGGAACGTTCCGTTATCTTTTGATTGCGTGTATCATATCAGACGAAAGAAAGAAAGAAAGAAAACGCTTTGACGTGATCCGAGATACTTTATCCTCAAACGAAATTAAAGGGAGGGTTTGATATTACATACAGGAAACAGGAAACAGGGAAGACTTGAAACTTTTAGATATCGATATCCGAGGGGTTTTTTTTATTATATTTTTTTTGGCGAGTATTCTTGTGCTTTGATCTTTGCAATTTGATTGTATTTTTAAATTTTGATTAGTTACGTTTGTTACGTAGAGTATCTTGGATATTTTAGTTTTTTGGAGTTTCCCGTATACGTAGTTTCTAATATTTGTTACCGATTCCGAAACATTCTTGGAATTTCTTTTTTCTCTCTTTCTGTCCCTTTCTTTCTTTCTGGGGTTCTAACAATTGATTGTAATTTTAAATTTCCCATTTTCAGGGGTAGGATCAGTGTCGAAGATGTGGAGTTATGCATGCTCGACTCGTGGGGAAAGCATTCCATCAAATTTGAATTCAAGTCTGCTTCGGCTCGAGCTCCGGCTCCAAGAGGTCATGTGTGGGGGTGATCTCCTCCTCCTCCTCCTTTCTTTCTTTCTTTCTTTTTCTTTTTTATTGATTTAAAAGTTCGAATAACATCCTAGACGGGAAGTCGAGTTTCAAGCCTAGACGGATATCACGAAATTCCGACGAAAGAATGAATGAATGACCATGACGGTATTTTCGTGCTAGCAGTACACAGGTATCAGCCGAACGAGAAATATTCCCATCCCGAGGATCTTAGAAGATTCTTGATGAAGTCATCAAGTATTACCTAACAAACCTCTTGGGAATCGAACGACATAAGAAAAGAAAAGAAAAGAAAAGAAAAAAGCTTATTAAAATTATTATTATTTTTTGGTTTCGTGGACCCCTGGCGTCAAAAGATATTTGTATGTATGTGTGTCTATGTGTGTGTATGTACTGAACACCCCTCGGCGAGATCCTCGAGGAAGAATCTTTCTTTCTACGGAGTACATATGTAAGCATTCCAAACCCACGCGGAGGAGTCCGGAGTATTAAGTTAGTTTAGTCGTACCCATCGAACGGAGGAGGCTTTTGTGGAAATCTTCCCGTCAGCCCACGTTATAATTAACGTTACATGCATGAGAGAGGGAGAGAAGCACATCTAACGATCGAAGTCCAGACCGTAAAACTACGAAAGGAAAAGAGACAGAAGCTAGCTGTTTAAGCTACATCGATCAATGGATATTTATTTTTTCGGGAAATTTATTTGATTTGATTTAAAATTTGCATCTTGTGGTTGCTATGCGCCCTTGCATCGATACAAGAAATACAGAGAGAAAAAAAAGTAGCTTCTTGCGTGCATGGTTGCTGTTGTGTAGATGTTCTAAAAACCTTCCCCCCTTCTCTCATAGGAGGGTTTTTTTTGGGTGGTTCCCATATACCAACGATTAAAACTAATATTACAGGTGTTGAGAGAGGGAGGGAAGGCTTTGAGCAAAGAAAAGGAAAAAAAAAAAGCAAGCTGCAGGAGATGAAGGAAGCGGACTGGGGGGAGGGGATTGGAGGCGCGACCAAAAAATGTACAGAATCGAGCACCTTATGCGAATTAGCTAGCTATGCCATGCATCGTGATCCATTGAATCGATGAGAATGCTAAGCAGGGTAAGAAGAACACGACCACCGTATCATACAATCTGTGAGAACCAACAATCAAATGCACCAAGCCGGAATGTCAAGGAGAAGCGTAAAAAGAAAAATGGTAAGAAAGTGTTCTATCAGGTATCGAAGCGGAAGAAAGAGAAAGAAAGAAGAAAAAAAGGTAAAACTCCCCAAAATGCTGAATATAAAAACAATAGAATTAAAATATGTGGGAAAATTGTTGAAAATAAAATGGATTAAAAAGAATGGCGGAGAAGCGGAGGCAGCTATCGAAGTGCTGATAAGAAATGGGGAGGTACTATGGAGAGTTTGCCAGAAGCCGCCATTGAAGAAGTTGTGAATATGTATAGGAAGAGAAAAATCCTTGTGAGAAAGTGGAACGGGTGAAGGGCTGTGCGATTGAAGCAAGAAGATTCGTATTCTCATGTTTCAGGGCGCTGCAAGTGAAAAATATAAAAATGCAGTTGAAATGAAGCAAAACTCGCTAATCAACAATGATGAGGAAGCGACAAAATGGTTATCAGGACTGGTGTCTGGACAATTTCAATCGTAGGCTGTTGACGTGTAATGAAGACTGATCGTTTTCGGTTCGAAGTTCAGACGCTTCTAGTAACGTCATGTTAAGACGAGACTCAAGATCTTCCATTTCGATGTCCGTGGTTGTGATAGTTTTCTCGAGCTGTTCGATACGGTGTTGGAGGACGTAGAGCCGGGTGTCCTTGCCCCTGCCGTCACGGCTGATTCTAGGTTCCTTAGCGGCGATAAGTGCAGAATTCGGCTGGACATCCATGGCAGCTTGTTCGTCAACTCGACGAAGCCGGGGTCCTCCTTTAGCCTCCTTTAGATCCCTGGCCTCTTGATCGCGTTTGGAAGCAACATCCTCCAGATCCTGTTGGGCTTCGCCGATCTTCTCCTCCATCGACTTGAGTAATTCGCAGAGGGCATTGATCTTAGTATTTGCCATCAAGCGGTCTTGGTCTCCTCGTTCAATGGCATCAACTAGGCGTTTTCGGAGCATAGCATTGCTGACAGATCGGGACCTCAATTCGGTGGAAAGCTGTTCAAGTTCAGTATCCCCCTCGCACTCAGCAAGAAGCTGCTTGCACGATTCTTGTAGCTCCTCGACCTGATTTGCCAATGTATCTTGAGTTTTTAAAAGTTCCCTGAGCTCATCCATCTCCTGTTCCAATCGGTCTAAGTCCAGTCTGAGAGATGAGAGGTTTCTTTCGCAAACGTATTTGGAGTCGATAGCGTTTTCGGCACGGTGCCTTAACCGTTCGACTTGACTCTTGAAGGTTGCGATTTCCTTGTTCTTGCGCATCCTGCGGAAGCTGGGTCGCATAGCACGATCCCTTTCCCATTCCAACGTACGAATGCGATGAAGTGCCTTCTTATTCTCTAGTTCGTTTCTTAATCGGAGATTTCGTAGGCCATCTTGGAGGGCATCACGCTGTAGCTCAATTTCCTTGATCCGCTCTACCAAAGAATCCTTTTCCTTGAATGTCGTATTCACGGGTGTGGCTGGTTGAGTTGGTGTCTGGACAACAGGTGGTTCTGCTGGGAGGGGCTTCTCCTGTTGTATTTGGCGACTTGACTCCACAAGAGCGGTGTATTTTGTACGAAGGTCATCGATTTCTTGCTGCATTTTGGTCGCATCGTACGGGTTCTTTTGGGATTCAGCGAGTTCGGCCTCCAAACCCTCAACTCGTGCTCTGAGATGGGGGACAATTTCATCGCGGAGGTTATCACGCTCGTTACGATAGCCAGTCAGTTCATCCTTGATAGCCGTAACCAAATCTTCGAAATTGGCCTTAAGGTTTCGTTCTTCTGACAATTTTCGGCGTGCATCATCGAGAGCAACCTCGAGGTCACGTACGCGGCCTGGGGAAGGCGGACGCAAGCCGCCCAATTCGACATTTCCAACTCTCTCTTCCAACTCTCTGACCTGTAGTTCAACACCTTTCCGTCGCTGGCGTTCTTCTTGGATCTTTTGTGTTAGTTCAAGGCGGATCTGTGTCTGCACCTGTTCACTCTTTCGAACGACACGATCGTAGTCGAGTTGCTCCTTCGAAGGTAGGTCGAAATCATAACCTGAGCCCGTTCCGGCATCTGAAAAATAGTCGCTTGTCCGTTTAGAAACTCCGGGACTCAATTTGCCCTGCGACTCAGCCGTTAATTGTAAAGTTTCTACCAAATCCTCCAGTTCAACCTCTCTTCGAATTGAAGCAGCTAAGTCTGCCGAAAGTGACCGTAGCTCTTCTTCTAAGACTTCTTCAACCGAAATTGGTGTTCTTGGCGGTAGTGAAATACCCGAGTCGGTTCTTTTGGGATGCGATGGCTGGGAATTAGCCAGCGTTACATCGATGCTGCTTGGTAACTTGGACATCCTCTGTTCGGCCAGCGAAACTGGCCGTTCTATCGGTGAATCTTCGTGAATGCTCGATGCTCCCCATCCAAACAGGCTACCAAATCCTGTTTTTGTTCGTGCAGGTGTTCGTGGATTAAATGATGATTCGGTATTCGTTGAATTGCTCCTATTGAGCATGCTCTGGTTTGGCAGGCCAGGCGCCTGCTGCGTGATGACATGAGGCATACTGAACGCTCTTGACAATCGTCCCAGAGGTTCTTCTATGAGGCTTGATATGGAAGGATAAGCTCTTGTATGCTTTTGTTCTGCAGGACGGGTATTTATCGCATCAGTGGCAACAACCGAACCCCTTTGCGTTTCAAACTTGTTATTTCGGGAGGTGTCGACGTCAATGTCGGAACTGGATAAATTCTGTTGGAGAGGGTGTCGGCGTGGGGAACCAGGCCTGGATGCATGCAAGGGGGCGCTGAACAGGTCAAGACTCCACCGATTGTTGGTTGTAGAAGCTGATCTAATTGTTGCAAATAGATTAAATGTTGGTTAGTTTCGAGAGCCGACAGAAACACCAAACGAAGTCAAGATGTGTGTGTGTGTGTGTGTTTGAGGGTGGCAGACACGTTTTGTCGCAACATGCAGCCCAACGTCACACTGGAAACACGCAGTGTCTTGAATGCCAGACCGAAGACCCCGACAGATAATAGCAGCACATATATACCATGGGATCTTCAGTTTGTATATATAGGCCGGGGGAAGACAGGAGAGAGAAACATTGGTAACGTTATCACCGATTACTTTGCAGATTCGCATTGCGCTTATTAATTAAACGGCGCAGATGATCACTGCAGAGATATTTTTAAAGCGAGAATCCATCAAGGACGAAACGAAAGAGAGAAGAAAAGAGCAATAAACTCACTTATCGGCCAACTGGCTACGGAAGAGCTCGAGAACAGGCGATTTTGGAGGAGCTGAATGATGGTGGATCTTGAAATAAGGATCAACTGGGCTTTCGGCAGAACTCGTAATACTCGTTGCAATGGTCAATGGTGATTTGATTTTAGAATCAATGGAATCAAAGTCGTTATCTTCAGAATAAAGGGAAGAACGAGAAGAAAGGGACGTCAAATGTGAACGAGAGTCTGACGATGAAGTCTTAGAATGGCCTGTGGCCGTTGAGAATGAACGCTCTTTGGAATGACGGGGTGGGCTGTATGGGGCAGAGGAAGAGGTAGAGGAGGTGGATTGACGAAAGAAAGATTGAGTCGGTGTGCGATAGCCAGAAGCAGCACCGGGAGCAGGAGAACCAAAAGAAGCAATCGCAGGACGGTTCCTGGATGGGGGTTGAGGGAACAGTGAAGTATCAATAATCGATCTTCTCAGAGGGCTTTCCATGATTGCCGAGGTGGAATGTCTCTTTTGATACTGATAACAATGAGATGAAGGTGTTCCGGTTGCTCCTGAACTTGTTACTGAAATTGGAAGACTCAATCGATTTGCCCTCTTCCTCGAAACGGCCGACAAGGCGCAAAGCGCTAGAGGCTGCAATTCGAATGATGTTTAGGCGCCCACCACGCCTTTACACCAACACTGGCATCTGAGAGTGTGGGATGACTGGAGGTGATAGTGTGCCAAAGCCGGGCAATCGAAAGTAGAGAGGCGATGGCTCGTTCGGATTGGGTTGAAAAGGAGTTCGTCTCAATTTACCGTATCGCTCACACACTCTCACTCACAATCCTCTGGGAAATTAAACAACCCCCAAACAAAGATACGGGTGGTGATGAAGATGGGATGGATGTGGACCCTCCCAGTCTCAAATGTGACAGCGGCGCGAGCGTGACCCAGGGGTGGTTGTCCAAGCCAACCAATAAACTGATAAGAGGCAATTATCAAAGGATAGGCCGAACTTAAAACGACGACAATGATGCTAATAGATGATAGAAACTCGACTTTTTTCTTTGGAGTCTGTTAAAGAGGAGAGGGTTCAACAGAGGAAGCCCTTGTTTAGAAGTCCGGATATTGGCGTGGATGCCTGCCACCCAATCAAAGTTTCTATTAGTTCGTATACCGAACAGGCAGTAAAAGAGCCTAAACCAAGCAAACTAATATCCAGCACGTATATCAAGACCTGCTCCGTTGAGTTGAAGCGAAAATAAAAATGGACAAATGAAAATCGTATTAAAATTAAACGAGAAGTCGATGGTCAGGAGTCAGGTTATCTGATGTCTGCAATTGCGAAGAGAAGGAAGAGAAACGAAATGGTCAATGTAAGTTGATAGGGAACAGAGACCTTTTGGGAAACTTTAACACCGGATGGGAGGGAAAAAAGAACGAAACGAAACAGTTTGAATGGATAGCTCCCGATATCCAGATGGGATTACCTGCTCAATCTGTCCAGCTGCAGAGGGAATGTTGAGCAGGTCAAGAAATGAGCACAAGGCTTGGGCATCGTGGTGGGTACATACGGTAGCGTACTAGTGCTGTGGAGCAGACTATTCTGTGGGGGAATGTCAAAGCATACCGAAGAAAAAGGGGGATATTTGATTGGCGGGTAAGACCGCTAATGAGAAAGCTCCAAAGATTGGCAGGGTGCACACACCCTGGACCTCGAGGTCTTACCTCAAACTGACGAATCACCAAGCATCTGTGACCAGCATCAGGGACAAGGTCAGCTCGCAGGACTTTCTCGTTGGGTCTGGAGAATTACCGATGAAGCTGCGATTTTCGGTGGCGAACTCTCCCGAGCTCAGACATGACGAACTCTTTGCTTTGTCTCATCGACATGTTTATGGCGCATTAATATAAGCTAAATACTTAAATATCGACGATGTTATGAGTGGACCGATGGGCAACTAGCGCTCCGGATGATTGATGCACGTAATTTGGTCGGCAGAGATGGAACTACGAGCTGCAGAGGGACTGCGCGGTTCCGTCGGTGACAAAACTGGTCTGTGCCCCGAATGAGCGCCTGCCGCAGCCACGAACCCTCTCAACTGCCCTTGTTCGTCGTATTCCATGCATGTACCGTGATGAGCTTGTGCATGCACAGGCCTGGGTCGCTATCACATTTCCTGAAACTCAACCTGCTGTGATACTCTTCCCGTTGAATAATTGACCAGGGCTTTCAGGGGAACCGAGTCGACATCTTTCGCGAAATCCGAACTTGGCTTTGATACTGCAGCTGGGCTGTGCACCATCCAAACATGTCTGCATGTGACCCACAGGCGTTAAATTCTTCCTCGTCTTCTGGAAGCGAGCCACTCGGGCACCATAAACAGTCGGTACGCTGTACATGTACTGGCCAATGATCTTGGGCCAGCCGCAGGGGTCAGAACTCGAACCGCCTGGATTCGTCGATGGCGTGAGACTGCCTTGATGCGGTGAAGACATTTCCACCGTGGTTAAAGCTTGCGTATTTTTGTGATATGCTTGGGATGTTTGGTCGCAGCATGAAAAGGAAGGAATATACATGTAAGTTACCGCGGAAGGTTACAATTCAAGTAGCTTGTAGAAATATACCAGCGAAAAATGGATGCCTCCAGAGTGCTATACATAGTACAGAGTGTGTGTTGTAGGAGGTTCTAGGGATGTTTGCCAGCGACAATGTTTCCCTTTCAAGACATAATCAACATGCATGATTTCCCGATTGGAATGTAGATGCAGGGGAATCACAACGCGTTGTGTCGCACAAGAAGCTTCAACGTTCTTAGGTACCTACAGGAACCACGCGTTGTTGTGCCCCTCCATGACCTGACCTCCCCTGCAACAACCTCACAAGCAACATTCACATCAACCTCAACATCAACGTCACCTCATCTTCGCCTTATCACGAGCAGCTACACTACCATCCAATTCATTCGCACTATCATTGATACTGGCATCTTAGTCTCTTAATTTGAGCGACCCTAAGCTATCAACCTCTACCGCTGAAAATACTTTCAGGGTCGTTTCGGCCTTGTTGCGACTGCAATCGCTATCGATGGATGGCCCTCCAAAGAACAATACGCCCCTCCTCGATGCAGTGACTTTCTCTACTCCAAGGCACCTTAAGAAGGGCCCTGTTGGCTCCGCTTTATCTCTGCGAAAACGGCGAAGAGCGGACGATGGGATAACAGTTCACCTACCGCCACCATTTACAATTGAGGTATGACCCTTCCTAAGACCCAGGCCGCCAATGTGCTAATACAATCTCATAGGCGGAGTCAGACTTTGGGGAGAATGTTCATATCAAACCGCTCGAAATACTCCCACGCGATAGTATCGGTCTTGATTGGGCTAATTCCAAAACCAATTCAAGGTTGTTCAATGCTGACATACCTTCTCTTAACGCCGAGAACGTTATTCTGATCGCAAAATACGATAATACCCGCCAGCTAGCAGCAATACAGAGAGTTGGTCACCCTAGAAGCGGGCTCTACACTCTGTTTCGTCTGTCCAATCATGTTAATATGGGGCCTGTCAAAACTATGGCAGCCCACCTCAAGAAAGAAATTGGGAAATGGTGGAAACCCGCTGAATTAGATGATGAGGGCGCTCAATCGGAACCTGAGGAGTGGTGGGAGGATGGAAGTATGGACCAGGGCATTCTTGTAAATGCTCTACAGGGAGTTCATGTAACTCCAGGATCTAGACAACTGAACCTGGATAAGCTCTTGACGGCCACCAAGTCGCTAGCGTACGTCATACTCGGGGCTTCTCGAATGGAATATTTGACGCTGACATATATGCTTAGTATTGCTAAGAACAAGCCAGCCTTGAAGCCAAAGATTTCCCCTCTTCCATCAGGCCCTGCCCCCCCTAGTGACACAGACTCGGTGCCCGAGTTCGGGCTAGCTCGGCTTAGACAGCAGTACTACTCCCTACTCTATACCTCAAAGGTGGGCCACTTCTGTGCAGTGTCTTTCATGATGCTGGCTAATCCTTCAATGTAGAGTTCCCTTCAATACTTCCCGAAAACTTCCCTATCGCGGGCCCGTGTCCTTTTTCCGACCAATGGTGAATCACCGGTCTCGCGCCTTGACCTTCTTCTTTGCTTGGAGAACATGGTGATGTCGGTCGAAGAATGCGACGATAAATACCGTGCTGGTATTCGCGATGTCTCGAATGCAAGACGTGCTCAAAGCGGCATGGCCGATCAGATGACTAATGACCAACTTGAATCTGCAATTGTTCCACCCAACTGTCTTAGAGATAACGAGATCAAATACGTGCTTAAGTGGTTAAAATCCCTATCTGATGATGACGGCCCGATCCGTTCTCTTGGCCAAGAGGAAATTCATTTACAAAAGTGCACCACGGAGCTCAGATCTCGAGAGTAAGTACCATAACCCTCTCCTCTGCATATCCCTGCTAATAATATAATTAGAACTGAATTGCAAGTCATTGTGATTCTCGAAATTCTGGCCATTAAAGAGGGTCTTTCTGATGAGAAGACGAAAGAGTATGAAAAGTTAAAAAAAGCGGCTGACCGAAGGAGAAGGCGAAGGGAAAAGGCCGGACAAGGAGACGACGGAGAAAAGAAGAAGAGGAAGAAGAAAATGGACCTTTTGGTTCTTCTAGACCTTCTCGTTGATAGGCTTTGCATTTGGCATTCGATCGGCACAGGCGAGGAACCCAAGAGCTCCCAGCCAAAGCCAAAAGATGCAAAAGATCGTCTCAGGCATTTTTGCATTGAAATTGTTATTGCATAGTCAGTAGCATCAATCCTCACCTACTGTATGCCCTAGGCTAACTCGGTGTTCCAGCTATTCATCTCGACTCCCAAATATCTGCGAAGATATCCGATGCAAGTGTACCGGAAAGATCAAGCAAACTAGGAAAGACCATGATCTAGTAATAGAAGGTGAAGAGACGCAGCTGGATATCAGCCAGATTGGATCGCAGGATGCAATGCCGGATACCACAGAAGACTCTTTGTTTTTGAAGTCCGCTTATGGCAGCCGACCTACGCTATCGCGATCCTTGACCGCGCCCGCCGGACGGCATCAGCTTGAACGAGCGGAGTCATCTTTCTCAGCCTCGCTGCACGGAGAAACCCAAGATCTCACTTTCGATTTTGCTGCACAAGTGTCACAAGACAAGGAGGCTATGAAAACATCTTTCAGAGGCGGGATCACCAATACAAAGAAAACGGCCGAAAGGAGGGTTGTAGATATGGCTCCACGGACAAAGAGACGTAAGACTGAATGCGGCGACGAATCCCAGCTCAAGGACGCCATAAAGAATATCGCGAAGCCAAACAGGTTAGCAGTTGCCGAAGAGATGGTTTCCGCAAGTGCACAACGAATGAAAATTACGGGAAGAAAACCAAAGAAAACAATTCGGATCCCGGTTGCTACTAATACCGTCCAGGTTGCCGCTACTCCAAGGAAAAACAATAGAACCCTTAAACTTCTAGAAAGAAAACCCGATGTCCCGACGGCAATCGCAGAAGAGGAAGATCATATTCCACCCTCGAGTCAGATTGTCCCGCAGTCTTCAATCAAAGATTCTAGAAAAAATGAGCGTGATGAGGTTCAGGCCACGCCATCCAAGGCCCCCCGAGCGGATGCTCATGCTAGAACTGCCCTCCACCAGCATGATGCCCAGCGACTAAACCTTCTTCAATCTTCACCACTATGCATCTCCGCTACGCCCATGCGTCCCAAGAGGACATTTATGGAGAGCCTCAACCCAGGAACCAGCAGCAAGCCAAATGCCTTCATTTCTAGTACCCCAAGCAACCCATTTAGAACTTCTACAGATACATTTCTCGCTAAAGGGTTCATGAACTCAATCACGAGCTCCGTTACAGACACGCCTACAAAACCTAGTATCTCAAGCAAGCTGCGATCTTCTTTACTCCAAATCGATGAAGGGGATGTTATCACTTCATCTCCATTACAAAAACCAAAACCTGGGACCCCGGTCAACCGCCGCCTCGTTGCTCGAAATATAGAAGAGGACTTTGGAAACGACGATGCAGATATTTACAAGGCGCTTGGCTGGAATGATTACTAGATTCCCTTCCGGCTGACAGCCACTACGTTAACCACTTTCTTCCCTCCACTTTACCTAGAAAATTTCATAACGTCAAGGGTCTGTACTTTGTTTCCCTCCTTTTCTATTGGGGGGGTTTTTTTTACCAGTTCAGCATCACACCAGCCTGCACCACCATGCATGTTATAAATGATTTACACTTTTGCATAGCGTTTTCCACGATTCAAACTCTGCATATTGGGCCGGAGTTACAAGAAATGACCTTTTACACAAGACAATACCTATACAAAAACTATTTACTACATAATGCCTAGTACGACCGCGAGACGAAGAGAGACATGTACATACATACGCTTTATATTTCTTTCAATGGCACTGAAATATGCAAATAAACTGAATTGGATGTATTAAGACGAATGTTATTAATAAATCACGAACAGAGATAGAGTCTGATATCTTCAATTAGCAATCCCTGTCCCAACGCCGGCATTTTGCGATATATGAAAGAGACCAAAACCAAGCTTCAACAAAATCAGGCAGAAGGGCAAAACAGCGAAATTTTAATATAGGACAAAGAACCCGAAAAGAAAACTATCGTTCGAGAACCACCGGAGACTATGAGTAAATATCACACCCATGATTTATTATACCCTACCATCCTTTTTTTTTTACAGCCCAAGTACGCCCTCGCTACCTCAATTACCGAATCCAGAGCAGCATTAAAAAGCAAAGCGAGATCAAACAAGCCAGAATGACACTGTCTCTCTTCTTTCTTGTATTGATCTTTCCAATCAATGTATTGATTCCGGGAATTTGCATAGCAGCTCCCTTGATTCTTCGGTTTATACTGGCTAATTGCAAATGTTGTTGTCCGAATTCCTGGTTGACGGCATAGGCTGTAGCAAGAACAGTATCCGCCATTCCATGCGAACGTTCGATTGCATCGCGCTCCTCAAGGCGGTACTCTGCCTCATTTGTTACATTTGTAGATGTTCGGTATTGGTTGATGTCGTCGCGCACAGAGCTGAGAAGGTTTGTATGATTACGAGCCTGTGTAATTGCGGTTTTTAGACGTTGGTATTCTTTACGATGGTCTGAAAGAATTTCTTTGTGTCGAAGAACATTTTGGAGTTTGGTAGCGGATGAACCGGCAGCTGAATCCGAGTCGAGAGTTCGGGAGAGGGAAGCTACAACAGCATCTCGCTAGAGACTAAGTTAGTATTCGAAGTCCAGAGACATTGAAAGGGTGCAAGAAAGGTATATTACCCTTGTAAGGAGGTCTTGTAACTGAGCTTCTATCCGTATTTCGTCTTCAGACGGTTTCTTTGACGGGTTGGAGGTAAAGGATGAATATGTTTGAAAGAGGTTGTCTGTCTAGACAGGAGGGGTTAGCACAACTGGCCGGATTCCGAAGCAAACATGTAGGTAAGTCGGAATTAAAATACTTGGGTTTCTAGCGACCTAGCCTGCTGCCGCAGCTGTGCCCATCCGGTGGTTGTCGCCATAGCTTAAGAGATGTCGCAAACTTAGGGACGTACTACCGCGCCCAAAGGATAAATGACAATGATGATGTTTGGATCTTGCGAATCTAGCTCAGGATCTGAGAATTTGTATGCCGACGAATGAGAGTCGGAGAGTACGTAATAAACCCGGAGCCGGAAACAAGACAGGTCGGACCACGTGCGTAGACGAGGGGACGATGGGATGATATACTACTTTGTTAGGCGGCGGATCCCGGGCTCTTGAAACAGGGGATGACAACCGCGTCGTCGCTGTGTTGATGTGTTGACCTGACGTCTGAATGTTTTCACGTGATCTTATATCCGTTGGCTTTGTTAGGTCAAGCCCTAAGGCTGATTCCGAAAAAGGCAGTTTTCACGACGGCAAACAAGGCTCGTGCCGCCAATCGAAAAAAAGGTTACAGAATCTTCAAAACTAAACCTCAATATTCCCACTTTTTGATCGATTATCGAATTCGTCGACGACACACGACACCAGCCCTTTCGACCATCTCCGACCTCCCATACCCTCTACGACCTCCCTTCAAATCCGACAAAATGGTACGATACTATCTCTTCGATAATGCTGTCGGTTTTACGTTTAAAAGGATGGAACAGAGACGGCTGACGGATTGATTTTTGTGGTGATAATATAGCCTGGTGTCAAGACCGCCCAACTCTGGAGCAAGTCCAAGGCCGACTTGGCCAAGCAGCTCGAGGAGCTGAAGACTGAGCTTGCCGCCCTCAAAGTCCAAAAGATTGCCGGTGGTGCCAGCTCGAAGCTCACTAAGATGTATGTGTACAAATCCGATTCAATGATTGGTGGTTTTTTTTTTTGGAGGATATCCGAAGGCTTGTCAAGATGTGGTTGGAAAAAATGGAAATATGGACTCGAAGCAGCTTCAGTCTCTCCTTAATGCAAAGGGAACGGTTCCAAAGCTCTTCAAAGAGGGGGATAAGAGGGGATATTTTGGATATATGGAATGGGAGGTTGCAGCTACTATATTGAGCCAGGATGCTGACTCTTTATCTCTGGATAATAGCCACGATGTTCGCAAGTCGATCGCCCGTGTTATGACCGTTGTCAATGCTACCCAGAGACATCAACTCCGCCTTTTCTACGAAAAGAAGAAGTACGTCCCATTGGACCTTCGACCAAAGCAGACCAGGGCCATCCGAAGACGCCTTACCCAGCACGAGTCTTCGTTAAAGACTGAGAAGCAGAAGAAGAAGGAAACTCACTTCCCTCAGAGAATATATGCCATTAGGGTACGGCTCAACTACTCCAATATGCTGTCCCGCCTTGCGAGACTAGCGACTTTGAATTGACCTCGAATATACTAACCCGGGGTTTTCTTTATAGGCCTAAATTCCTTTTTGCATTTTTCTCGGAGTCCGTTAATTTCTGTATTAAACTTTGAAAAGTTTTGATACGGGGGTGTTTTTTCTATACACGCTTTTTCCGTCGTCAACTGCTTCTCTTTTATAATCCATCCTCTTTATTCACCGGACCTCTTTCTTCTCTTTTTTATTTGTGTATAATTTCACAACCATGGGATTCAACTGTTCTTACCCCCCGCTGCATCCTCCTTTTGCTGTCTCACGAATTCATACGACTTCTTCCCAACTACAGATGTCCCCGGCCTTCCCGACGACGGTGGTTTCTGTTTCTCCATAAGCCTTCTTCTTCATTATACCACTCCGTTTCAAAATCCGAACCAAAATCCGTCGTCGAAAAGAATCCTCCTATTCATCACACGCCACGACTACCATAGCCTCAATTCATACGCTTGCTTATTAAAACCAAAAATTAGCAGCCTGTATCTAGATTCTTTAGAAAGTGATGAAATCCAATACAGTGTGATGAAAACGTTGCGAATTTCCCAAAAGGCTGTTTTTTCCCCATGTATAAGACACCCCCATATTATGGGGATGAGGGAGGAGAGGAAGCCGATCTGAAACTGTGGGGAAAGCCCATCGGAGGATATCTGACATACCTACCCTGTCAGGGTGCTTGTTCTGGGCAACTGTATACTAGCTAGCCGAAGTTAGGATTGGCCTTATGACGTCCTTTACGGTCCCATTGTGAAATTGTTCAATGAATTAGAAGAGGATAAATGTTTCCGAGACTGAATGAATAAATGGATACAATCCATCAACTAGTCCCATCAACTAGTCCCAGTAGTCCGTTCCCAGGTTCTAAAATGCTAAGAAAGGTTTTGAACTAGAAGGTGCTAAAATACAGTCTATCGTTTAGGTTTCAAGACACCACAAGGTAACAAGTTCCATGGGGAGGGGGGGTCGTGTAATTAAAGGAGCTGTAGTGGTTTCAATCACTATCGCTCCCGTAATCCAAAGCCTCATCATCTTCTTGCCCAATTTCGTCTAAATCTATATCCTCAATTATATCTTCCATTCCGTCCTGTGGTTCTTCGTCACCACTTTCTCCCCCTTCGCCGGATTCCTCACCCTCTTCCTCAGCTTCCTCTTCATCCCCACCCTCTTCTTCCTCCTCTTCCTCGTCCTGACTGCCATCCTCGAGAATATTGCCTTCCGTCACAGCACCATCGTCCTCGTCTTCTTTTTGATTTGCTACCGACTTCCGTTGTCTTTTCAACGGCCTCGCAGATTCATCCTCAGACATTGGATCCGCTGTTGTATCGCCCTGCTTCTTTTCCTTCGCTTTTTTCCTTTTATTTTCTTGAATCTTGTTGAATTCTGTTTCAATCCCTCGAACTATCAGCAATGCATTATAAAAAAGTAGCCCGCTCCTTGCCATTCAGTGAAAAAAAAATTAAAGTGAAATAAGAGAGTTTACACATACGTCTGAGTTCACCCTCTAGCCTTTCCCTCAGCCCAGGGAACTCAATCTGGTCTATAGCCTCAATTACATGATCTGGCATGATGGTTTTCCTATCTTTCATCTTTGTAATATCATTTGCCCTGTGTAGTCGAAAACCAGTGTTAATATAATCATCATGATCATGATGCCTTTCCAACACTGTGGCTAAAAAAACAATGTATCGATATATAAGTATATAGGGATGTATATATACCACATACATGCTGGCAAGGTAATTGATAAAGACCGTAGCACTCCTCGATAGCGCGGTAACAGCATCTTTCTGGATCTGTGTATTTGAAGGCACATTACCCTTCGCCAGCCTCGTCACGATAGTTTTGGGTAGTGTGTTGTCCTAGTAGTCTCGAGGGACCTCGTAAAAAGGTGGTCAGCAAAGGTCGTGGACACATACACACGCAGACATATCAACGTAATTTGAAATTTCGAACCCGCGCATCTGTTTTTTTTTTTTTCTTTTTGAAAAATCTCCGGAACTAATAATATGTATTTCCCCCCCATTTCTTTACTCTGTTCTCGGGACGAAAGGGAAGAGAAGATAGGATGTGAAACGGATATATGAAAAGATAAAGGACTCACATCAACGTTGGTTCTACCTCGACCCTTCGGTTTGTCGTCATCGGTACTTGCTGGGTCTGATACTGCTGCCGCCGCGGCAGCCTTGGTAGCGTCTGACTTTCGAGGCGGCATTACGGTCGATACCCTCTATGATATCTATTCCCGCGCGCCGGAAAAAAACAAGGATCCAGGATCCAAAACTCCCAAGCCCGATTGTGTGATGAGAGGAGCCCCGAGGCCTCCGTGGTTCCGTCGAGGTATCAGGAAAAAGGCCTCGCGACGATCGATAAGGGTTTCGTGGTAACCGGGCCCGTTCGAAGCCCTCGTGGAGTAAGAGAGTAAGAAAAAAACCAAAAAGGGTTTATCTCGATCAATTATATTCCGTGGCAAATGGTTCGAAAAAAATGCACCGGGTTAGTGGTCGAAGTCGGGAACGCGGGAAAACGTGTGCTGATGATATGTTGTTTATAACAATTGGTCCCCAACAGGTAGCCTGGCGAGAGAGAGAAAGAAAGGTTGGAAGTAGAATACTTGGGGTGTGGTACCGGTTTCCTGTTAAGGCGTTAATCTTGACAGCTGTTGTCGAGGGCCGCCAGAGGTGGGTATCTTGAGAGCAGCAGAAAGACACCATATTATGGCATTTTAGCTCCATTTTTTGGATAGGCATAGAACGAGAGTAGAGAAGTATTGTCATATGATTTTTCTAGCTAGATTTTGAGATTTAGACTTTGAATTCGGTGGCATGGAGATACTGGTGGATTAGAAGTAGGTCTCTTTATTTCTTTCGTGTGCTGCGACGCAGAGCTTTTGCGCTTTTAAGCGAACCACAAGTCTGGGACCAGGAAAGCCCCAACCAATGGGCGTAGTGCCGCATCCCGCAGCCGCATTATTCTTTAGGTGGACCCCTGCTCACTCGGCTTGGTGGAGCGAAGCTGCAGATAGGAAGCATCTTGTGTGTCATCGGATTAATTTGTATTATTTTAAAAGATGAAAATTCGAGACAATTGCGAAATCACCCAAATTCCCTGAAAGAGAGGGAATGGTATATGATAAAAGCACACCGACTTTTTACCCCGTGAAAACAAAATAAAAAAAGAGGTTTAACTAACACGCTGACGACCATAGTCCCGATATTCGTATTTCACTATTGGTAAATAAACGCCAACAATTGTATGCAACATAAAGCTTCCAAATGAAAAAAATACCACCTATTATGTCCATAATTATCTACTGCTGCTCGAAGAGTTTGAGGTTTCGCTAGAGGGTGTGTTTGGAATGACTTGTTTGCGGATAACAGCAATCTAAATGAGAAACAACAGGTTAGAATTGGAGCCTGTGGACGAATATGTCTCGAAAAACTCACCCAGGGGTTGTGTAACAGCTCCGCGGCCGTTGGTCTTTTTCTCGGATCTCTCTCGAAACAAAGCCGAAGGAAATCCATTCCTTGCTCGCTCAATTGATCGCTCGCAGGGAACTGTGGAGGATTACCGGCCGCAATATTCCACATAACTGCCCATTCGTTGTCGAGATTGGCCCATGGGCGCCTTCCGGTTGCCATCTCAAGGACGACGCAGCCTAAGGACCAGATATCAACGCTGCCATGCTTGCCTTTATTCTCGCCTTTGATGACTATATTTAGAATTCTCGTTAGAAGTTTGAACCTTTGGAATTTCTATATAAAAAAAAATAGACCAACATACCTTCGGGTGACATGTACATCGGGGTTCCAGTCATGCTGTTGATGCCAGGTTTTGTGGCTGCTACCTTCGTTTTGCCTTGCTTAGCGATGACCTTAGCAGCACCGAAGTCAACAAACTTGATAACGCCATTTTGATCTAAGAGAATATCTATAGCAACTCGTTAGCGGTGCTCCTGAGAAAAAGTGTCACTTTATCGGAGGCTACATACTTTCCGGCTTAATATCCCGATGCACAATGTTGTTGGCATGCAAGTAAGCAAGACCTTCCAGCATTTGCAAAGCGTAAATCATGATGACAGTCTCATCTTCGATCCGCCCATGCTCAAGCAAAGCCGCCAGGGATCCTCCTTGACAGTATTCCATGAAAAAATATACCTTGTCACGATGGACTTGGATGCCGTAGTACTGGACAACGTTGGGGTGATCTAGCATTTCAAGGACCGACATCTCATCCTTGATGGCACTAACTATCGAAGGTATGAGCTGAGGATCCTGTAGTCTGATTTCCTTCACGGCCATGAGATATCCGCCATCCAAGTTAAGTGCAGCGTATACCGAGCCGAAACTGCCACCTCCGATATAATTTCCTTGTTGCCACCGTAGAGTAACATTTGAAAGCGAGCTAGATAGATACGTAAGAGAGCGGTCTGTCTGGCTGCTATCGTCAAGGACACGGCCAGAAGGTTGGCGATCACCATCTTTTGCGGCGCGGGCCTGCTCCATGGTTTCAAGTTGCTTCAGCCATTCGATCTTGACTTGGCTAGCGTACTCTTCGTCATCGCCCTCGGTCCTTTTGTCATTCATTTTCCGGATTTTCTGGTTGGCAATTTCATTTTGACGTTCTGCAACAGCTGACCTTGCTCCCATGATATCGAAATGCGATATTAGAAGCGACATACAGCCGGCAACCTTGACCCTGAGCCTCGTATAGTCGGTGTCATTGAGCGCGAGGATGTTCTGTCCTCTCGTCATGGTCATCGCAAACTCGAGAGCCGCGACGGCCCATCTGAAGGTCCTCCGATCATAAGATATACAATCGTCACAGATAAAATCAACCCAGTCGATAGCGATCTGAACTGTCTTTTGGTTGGTCATAGCCTTCCTGGTGTGGTCCATAAAAGCCAAAGACCTCTTTGAGGCATCGGTAGCAAACGGGAAGAAAGCTTGGACAATATCCTGGCACGCAAGATTTGCCAGTTGCCTCTTCACCGTGGCAACGCTGTCAAGAATGGTATTCGAAAGTCTAAATATTGTTTTCTTGATTTTCATCAACTCGTAATGAACTCTTGGCAGGTTGGCTCGTTGGTCGAGAATAATGTCCAGGTTGTGCTTTGTGAGATTTGCAAAGACATCACGGGCCTTCCGGAGTCTCAATTCTGAGCCGTCAGCGACAAGCCGGAGCCTTCCCGCCTTGATATCCGCAAAGGGCTCTTTGATTTCGACGCTCAGGCATTCTCCGCGCCATAAGAACGACTGTTGGGGACAAATTACTAAGACATATGGACAAGAGTGTTCATCCCGTAGAAGCTCGACTTCGTGGAAGCAAGCACGGACGATAGATTGAATATCTTTGGGTTTATCACGGAGCGAGGGGTCGGCAATCAGGTAGACACCGTCATGTTCCATAGTCGTTTCGATCAGAAAATGTCCACTATCCGTTAAGGCGGTAAGCAAATCAGGGAATGATTCATCAGTAACCTGGTATTCAGTCGCGTTCTCAAATCTTTGACTTAGAACACGGGTGAAACGTAATAACTGTCTGTGTCGAAGCTGGATTGATTCTAGCAATGCCTTATATCGTTTGCTGATTTCGCCTGAGTTCTCCTCGGATTTTTGCTGGATTTCTTTCTCATAGGAGCCCGTTAATCTCGCAAGCAATTTGCTAGTTAATGAGCTAAACTGTTCCGCTGCTTCGACGTCTCCACCCTCTACACATTGGCCGACCGAATTGCAGAAACTCCACTCCGACTCCAGAATTTCTGCCTCCTTGAAGATATTCTTGTTGCTACCTAGTTTGAAATTTAAAAACCGGAAGTATGTCCTGAGGCCATCCAAAACTGCAGAGTTGAAACTTTCATCCATGCAATTCGGCAAATCCCAGCCAGGTTCCTGGTGAGATATCTCCTCGTACTCCCGTTTCGTTTCCACGGCTAGCTTAAGAGCGATATGGACTTGCTTGAGGAACTGATCCACCATGACTACCGTAGGTTCTTTGATTTTCCGCGCGTATTTAACTCGGGCTCGAATAATTTCTTGTATCAGGCGACTAGGAAAGTTGATGATTAAAAGAAGCTCCTCGATATAAAGCGTCAGATGCCGTTTCTGGAATGCTTCAGCGTTCTCAATAAGAGTCTTTTTAGCTTTGTTGATGACATCGCCTATGCCAACCAGCATATTTTGCTTCTGTGTCAAAGATTTCAGACCATCCTCTCGTAGTAGTCGATCGAGAAACGTAGTTTCATCAGCTAGGCCGCTGCTGTTCGGTGTCTCGTTCGGCCGGTTGAAGTCCAAATCGTCGTTACCAACCCATTTTTGGAGAATCGTAAGCTCCGTATTGATCAGCTCCGTGATATTGTTCCACGCGCACAATGCATCGTAGCTGGTAACGAACATAGGCGATGCCGCATTCGGTTTCGCGGCTATCATTGCAGCCCGTGTCGGAAACAGCATCTCGCACTTTTCCACCTTCCTGATGATATCCTGGACTTGTTCTCGAGGCGACTTCTCCGTGACATCCCGGCCCTGGACTTGAAATTCGGTGACTTGGTCGATTACGGCACTGACTTGCTCTCGGCCTTGATTTATTACTTGTCGCTGTGAAACCAAATCTCTACCAGTTGTCTTTGCTCTCAACCCTAGCCATAATTCCTGCTTCAAAGTTTCTTCTTCCTTCTCTACTGAGCCACCAATTAATCGCTTCTTCTCCTGCCGAACCACATCTCCCGTGAGAACAGACGCGAGCATAGTATGCCACTCCAACCGTTCTCGATTAGCCGGGTTCTTTAGGTCCTCCTCGGAGAATTCAAGCTCCTCTTCCCGTTGAAAAATAGACCCATCGTCGTACATATCACTATCATATGGAACTTCTGACGGCGAAGGTTCATCGTCCGCTTCCGATTGTATCTCATAGAATAGAGCATTTGGATTGAAGTATTCCGGTTGCTGGTCCTGCCGTAATCGCTGAACGTAAGCTCTTTCTTCGGCGCGATACTGTGATACGGGGTCTCTCCGCGATCTAGTAGCAGAACCGGATCTACCGTGGTGGCCAGATGAACGCGAGTCCAGCAGGTTCACAGGGTGTCGGACCGGTGCATATGTATTCGAAGGCGTTCTAGTCGGTGCCGAAGGTCTTGACCGATTCATACTGCTAGTAAGAGACGATATGCCAGTGCCCGACTGTGTGGGGTCCGGAGACATCCTCCCGTTCTCATATGGAACATATGCTGTATCGCTACCAGCCCGAGGTCTTGCAACCCCAGACCAAGTTGAATAGGCACTATGGCTCGACGGTGTCATGTCGCTACCGGCCGGTGTTCTGATGATCTCGCCTATGGCGTCCTCGTCCTCGTCCTCCATTATCACAGGACTGCCGTGCTCTGATGGATGAGAACTGTTATTTGAACTGGACTTAGAGGTGTTGTAGGAGCTTGACCGACTTTGTGAATCTAATGTAGGAGCCCCGGGGGTGAGAGTGGTTGAGGAATCGCTAGAAGGCTCGTCGCCATTTGACTTGGGTGTGAAGTGGACCTTTTGCGTCAGAGAAGTAGCATCCATAGCGGCGACGGATGCTCTGCTGCTGCTGCTGCTGCTGCTGCCGCCTACTTCTGATAGAGTTGATAACCTAATTGCTGGTAAATAAGGTTTGCAGGATGACCTGATGTACGAGCCACTTTGACGGTGGCGTTTGGAGCATCGATAGGCATTCACTGGTGGAGGCTAGTGCAGTGCAGTGCAGTATGTAGGTATTTGGGCTGTGCACAGTGGATTTGAGATTGATTGAGGCCTCGAGCTTGCTTCCTCGTTTACCAAGCCAAGCAATATCTTCGGTAGCGATATTGTCTCGTGTCGCGTCACACGCCCTGACATTTTTTTATTTTTTTATTTTATTTTTTTATTTTTTTATTTTTTATTTCTCCATCTCGGAGGGTGCTAAAAATTAGCCCCCACTTAGTCCTAGCTAACCCATGCCAGCCGCCATGCCACCATTATCGTATGTAAGTCCATACTAGTACAATAATCCACCGTTCTTCGCTGACACTCCTCAAGTATATTTCAGGTCGCCATAGGGCGAGAATGAAATTCGAAAATAGGTCTCCAAAGGCTAGGACTGAGGCTTGAAGCCAGCAGCTTGATGCAAGAAGAACCAAACCTCACCAACCTCCTATTTCTAGAAATTGATATTTACCGCCCTCAACTGGTCACTTACTATGGATGCGTGGTGGAAAGTTTAAAAAGGCTTAACTGTCTCGGTCAACCCCACCTGCATGCCAATTGCACAAACCGATTCTCAAACAGCATTAAGGTTGGAACTTTCCACCACAACTAGCTTTCTCGTCTGTCGAAAGCACAGCATATCCCGAACTGGCGATCAAACCACGGACACGTTTTCAGACCCTTCCTAAACGCAATTTCCGTCAGATAATGAAAATCAAACAATCCGTCAGGTCTGGACATGTAGAACATTGCATACCTAACAGGCCGGAAAGTACGAGGGGACATACAGCGATACCTGTCATACGTGCTTCGGTTGGTCTGTGCCTGGTCCTGACTAACTGCAGCAGGTTTAGGATAGATCAAAGGAGACACAACCGTCAACCAACCGTTTAATTGACCCTGAATAATACTGTGTAGAAGTAGGTACAATCGATTGCACTGTTAGCTACACAAACCGATAGAACCAACTTTCCATGGTTAGCCATGGGTCGACGACCAGGGTCCATCAATCGCGAAGGCCTAAGTTTTGAAGGGGTAAGAAAGACAGATGCAAAGATTAGGGGGATCTCCCGCCATCTACCAACCATGTAATACTCCAAGTTACTCTCTGGCAATGGTTGCGCCAGGGGTGCGGTTATCATATCCAGATAAAAGAAACATTTTATATCAGGGCGTACGTATGCCTTTTTGTTGGAAAAGCTTATTTCGGTGGGAAGCTTTCTACCTTCGAAAATCCTCTCCTCAAAAATTCTCCCCTACTTTTTGTCCCCGAAATCCCAAGTTTATTTCCGTGATACTTCTTATAGCTATGCCTTCTTATTAATACTCCTAGGGCCGGTCCTACCTGTTGTCTCTTTCCTAGAGTTCATTCGAATTCTGTTTATATATTTCGATTCGCCCTATGTTATAAGTTTTAAAAATTAAGCTTCTGTCCATCCAATGCTTGACCATTAGAATAAAGTACTGTCTTTTTTCCCTTCCATAACAAGAGCTCCGCCTTCTTAAACGTTCGTTATACCATCAAAATGCTGGTGCCCCGAAACCGTGGCCCCATATTATCATTAATATTTTTTGGTGCACTCGTCCTCTTCTTATTTATCGAACCATCTCGTGTGCTCCCGGGAACGATATCGGTTGAGATCCGACGACCTTTCGAAGAAATACATACTCCAAATCCTTATAATGAAACAAAACTCGCCCTTCTCATCGAGAACCGACCGCAGCCTCACTTAACGCCTTTACTTTTACATTTTATGTCAGTCGTGCCCCCGGAATGGCCCTTCCTATTCTTGGGGTCGAACGAATCTATTACACATATCCAGAAATCGGGCCCCATCAGAAACTATATAAGCAATGGCAAACTATCGGTGCGATTAATCCCAGAGGATATGAATGTCAACAATCAAGAAAACTTGAGCAAAACCATGACGAGAGTTGACTTCTACGAAATGCTGTCACCTGCTGAGTGGTTATTTATTTTCCAAACCGACAGTATCATTTGCGCAAATTCGGGCGTCTCTTTGAATGACTGGGTCGAGAGAGGTTTCAGCTGGGTTGGAGCTTCTTGGGGAAAGGATACTAAATACGGTGGTAAGTAGACCAATCTCGTGATAAAAATTCTTCACCGGGTCGATCGTCCCCAGCAGTATTCGGAAGGAGTAAATACTAACATTTCGTTTCTTCGGAGCAGGAAACGGCGGTTTCAACCTACGGCGAGTATCACACCTTGTCGAAGTCCTAACTCACCAAAACCGACACGACGGAGAGAAACTCGAGGATTGGTGGTTGACCGACCGACTTGGACACATGCCGAACACGAAGATGGCTAATGGGACAGAGGAGATGGAGTTTTCGGTCGAAAAGGTACCCTATGACACTCCACTGGGTTATCATACCGGTTGGGGCGGGAAACTCCTCATGGCCCAAGTTTGGAAAGAGCAGGAGCAGAGGGATCAGATCTTCGAGTATTGCCCTGAGATAAAAATTCTTATGCCAATGGTACCGGCTCGGGAAGCTGAGGGCTGTGATAAGGATATCTCGAGCAGTTTTCCATCGTAGGAGCATATTTAACTAATAGTACCATCAGGGTTTACGGGATGGTATCACTGTATATATATTGTAGTCCCTTGTCATGAATACTGTATGATTTGCATGTTAGAGCCCTGTATAATGTTTTCTCGAGCTAGCGTTTAGTATATTTGGTGTTATAAGTCTATCCAACTTCTCAGAGCGCTCATGGTCGACTTCATGAATTGCGCAATAGTTTGCTATAGGATTGATATTATTTCAAGAAAGCTTAGGTTAGTATACTAGTAGATCTATAGATGATCGGGGCATTACGGCCAAGGAATCTACAACCTGATGATCTAGGTACTAATACGCTATAATGGCCAGTTACATATTTCCATAGCATATTAGATCATAGTATATGCGCATGTCGGCCTAGCCCGCCTCTGTATACTATACGCCTCCCCATACAGAATTCTAGAAATAACGTATTAATATTAACCCAAGACTAGCTTTGTACTACACCGGCCAAGAACCTTGTACTTTCCACTCCTGCAGCACATTGTACGTCCTAGTACGGGGCTAATTTTACTGCGCGCCACCGATATCAACGCTAATTACAAGATAGACTGTCATAGTACCAATTTGATAGAGTAGACAAAGCTTGATATTCGACTCCCTGGAGAATACTTGCTTGAGTGGTTTGTCCAGATCACCGAGGAAATATCTCAAGTGAATGTATACCGGTACACTCCGATATACCACACTCGTCTCTATATCTATTTCAAGTAGACGATTGGAATGATAGATAGAAGACCCAGAATAATATCTAATCTAAAGTTCACGAGAACTGTAATTAATACTAGGAACACCGTCCGTCCCACCTATCCAAATACCATCCCAACCAAAGCGCCCCAATCCCATCCCAAAGTGCAAACCCAACATGCGTTCTCCAACTCTTATCATCCATATCCTTCCGATTGACTACCGCCGACGTGGCAAGTAAAGTTGCAATCACCAATCGTACTGGCACGCTAGCATGGAGGAATTGGTTTTGTTCGATTGGAACATACGACGTGCTCAGATATGCGAGGCCGATGGTTGTAGTTGTTATCCCGATTAGGGAATTTGCGCCGCGAAGCTCCGGTGATACATCGGGTTTCCGTCGACTAAATGCCATAGCCACGCCCAGGGCTGTAAGGGCGACTGCATGGACCGTAATTGGCCATGGGAGGTTGAAGTAGTTGGATTCTGACATTTTTTTGTTGGTTGATACTTTATAAGGTATCGGTTTAGGAGTACTCGAGTATGGGGTTTTGTATGCCAGTCTCTGCGATCTGAAGATGGAGGACAGGTGTTTAAATTTCCCAACAGTTCGAATCTTAAACCGTGGGACTGTGGTGTAACCCTGGCGATCCTGAGAGAGCTAGGGTTGAGAATACAACATGTATCAACGCAATTAGTTTAATATCCATGAATACCGACGTTATGCATAATATTGATATCGAAGCTCTGTTCAAAAGGTTCTAATTCATACAGATGAAATTACGTTGGTGCTCGATCCGGATCCTATACCATGGGCATAATTAGGATCAATTGCGAGTTTCAGCAACGAATTCGGGAACCCTTGCATTTTGTCCACAGTGTATAAGCTTCTGTCTCTGGCTATTCATATGCACAATGATCTTACTAGTGTACCTAATTACTCCATTATCAAATCAATTGATCAAATGTCTACATACAAACCAACTGGCTGCTGACCTGTGTTTATCTACCATACACACGCAGGGAGGCTTAGGAAGAAGAAAATATTTTCGAACATAGGGAATCAAAATACCCTAAGTACGAGTATTGATAAGGTATGAATATTACGTGACCAATGGTAACCGCCCCATCCCCCGTAGTTAGTAGGTTCATACTAAACTGGTCTCACATGAATCGCTTATACCGCCTATTAATCGCGACTCTTCGTTTAGTTGAGGAATATGAATCCGAGCAGCAACTAAAATCACTTGGACAGAAGGGTTAACCCGTACCTATGCATATGTTTCTACCGAACAAAACCCTTGGGTACCGGTATATATATTTAGGTTGGTATCCATCCTTACCATATATTCGGGTTATATATAACTACGAACTAGACTAGCTAAATCCATTCGGCTGGTATTTTGCAGATCTAGTCCGAACATCGGACCGCAGTGGGCCGCGGGTGGCTACGTATAAATAGCACACATAAGGAAGCCGCCGCCACATGGCCACGCCATACCTTCAGACTTCAGGCACCACCGCTACTTACAGGTGCACATGCACGGGATGTGGCTCTGATCGCGGTATTATCCATACCGGATTATATCAACGGCAATGGCCATATGGTGTGTTGACTCCGTGGTATTTATCTGCTACTACTGTACTGATATTAATATTGATAGATTATTCCGAATGCTGCATAAGCTTTCGAATTCCTGTGGCGGCGATATGCAGTAAAAAGGGGCAGCAGAGAATATTCGCCAGCCTTGCTTTGGTTGGGGTTGAGAACGGGGAGAGGGGTAATTATGTCTAGGTTTCTACCGTTATTACTTTAACTAAGCTCAAGTTTTTCGTAGTAGAATATAAAATGACAGGAGGCTAGGGATCTTGGGAGTAGACTATAGAACTTGGAAATGCGAGAATATGTTGAGCTTACAATACATGTATAATGTGATAAGTACTAAAGACGGAGATATCGAGTGGAATACACGGTCGAGCCATGGCACGTGGTACCAAAACCGCAGCCATACCTTGTAGAAGAAGAGTCGACTGCAGATGGAATGTATTGATTCACGAGGAGTAGCTTGGCTGTAACCCTATCATAGCTAATAGAATAGAGCACGCTGTTCGTATATTGGTAGTTAGTTACCAGGGAGTCTGTAATTAATCTATGCTTGTAACTTCCTCAAACGTAAACTTCCATTAATCGTTTGATACTATCATGCCAACCAGCCCTAAAAAGAAACGTTTGAAGCAAAATGAATATTTCTGGTGCTTGAAAATATCGAAGCTAACGACTCATGAGATGCAGCGAGATGGGCTAGATACATATGTATGCTCTTAGACGCAAGGTACCTGAGTTAATGTTCGAAATAGGTAGGTGCTTAAATGTACAAGGAATGCCGGTGCTGCAAGGAACAAGTTGACTTCACATCTTGGTAGTCTGTTTTGTTTAAAAAAAAGCACTATGCTTGCCATTTGACCTGGGCCCATGGAGAAACTGTCGATGTTAGGTGTTGGGTTAACAGGAGTCTACCACCTATACCCATACATCAAGCTGTCGTTTTCAGGGATATGGAATTTGGAGATAAGAGGCTCATGCATTCTTAACGAAATCTCCATTTCGAGTCCCATTTCGGCCGAAAGTCGTTGATCTTTTACGAGGTCATCTTTCATACGTACCTACTTACTGACTGTCCTAGGAGAAGCAACTTCTAGGTGTGTGATATTGATATCCAGGGTGTGTAAACTGGGGAAATATTCAAGCCGTGCCGAACCACCAAACCGTTATCTTTTGATTCAAAAACCCTTTTGGAACAATTATAATAGACCTGTGTCAAGAAATCAATGACAGGATCCCCGGTTCATTTCGTTTCTTTAAAGTGAGGCAATTCGCGACAGGCGATCCTTGGTGCTGACCTTAACAAAAGCTTACTATTACAAGATTTTGATACCCGAGGAGGGGAAAACAGGAGACGGTTCCCTTCCTAGCGGCAACCCACGCGAGTGGTTCGTCACCCCATTTTTCAAATATTCCGCACGAAAGAAAAAGGATTCGGATGGGTAGCATTATGCATGATCATGCGAAGACGAGGGCCGACAGAGTGGAGAAGGTTTTTTTTTTTACTGCTGCTGCATGCAAGGAAGGAAGGGAAAAAACTGGCGTCTATGGGTTGGGAATTTAGCCTACGTCCAGCATCCGCGCACTAAATAATTACGCCAATTAAACTGCAACTCCCTTATCTACCCATTTTAAACAGGAACGGCGAACGGGTTCAAAGATAAGGAACTTGGCTTTGACATCAGAAGGTATACTCCGTAAAACAACGTTTTATTTTCGGCGATGTTTCTGATGGTATCCAATAACATTTAATGCATATATCCGCCGTCAGGAATATTCCGCTATGATCAGATCATACTGTACCTTGAAATTTGCAGCTGCGCAGGGAAGATTAGCCATCGAAAGGAAGAAGCCTCGAAGACTTCCCAAGGAGGGGTTTTTTAGGTGAAAACCGTTCAGTTTCACCCAGTTCTGGATACTGATCTCATGATCACATTTCTCGTAGAATTTCCGGGTTCTACGAAGCCGGAGAAGATTTGCGTTCCCAAGAACTTGAAATTTCATGAAGGAAGGAGTGGGGGACCACCCTTGAGATAACAAATCGAGACTAGTGCACGGCCTCCAGCCCTGGCCATATAGTGGGGCCTAACCCAGACCCGCGGTCAAATGAGGATGCGATCCAACGAGCAGGTGCATTTTGTGAGTTCCGAAGCATGTTCGTGGGTGCATTGACCTGTGCTTTGGGTTTTTCATCCGCCATGCGAATACCTGGCGATATCGATACGTGCCGAAATACATATCAACCGATCAGTCCACTTTTTCTTTAAATTTTCTAGACTATTTTAGAGCGGGATGTCGAGATGGGATGGACGAGGCATCAAAGTTCTTCGTTAGCTCATAACCGATAGTCTGATAGGTACCTGACTTTACCAGAGGCAAAACATAGCCTGTGGAGAACCGGGAATCGGCCAGATCTGGTCCTTGCCTTGAGAAACACCCATGGCTACAAGGAACAAGTAGCAGCCTTCTCCTGCTCCAAAGAATGAGCCACGGCGAGTTTTCTGGTCGCATGCACTTGTATTTTATGTCGCGGTACATGGTACTTGTTCCTGTACCTGACCAGCTGGAACAAAGAATTGCAACAAGGCTTCACTAAAGCGGCACTTATTGGTCGAATACCGTCTCTGTATGTTACGAGAAGACGGTCGCACAATCATGCCCATTCACACATGAGAGTAATATGTAGATGACTTCGAGGAGCTATTGCTAGATGTGAACTTTGGACTGGAGGAATTCGACGAGTCTCCATAGGAAGTACCGCCCCTGCACTAGCGGTAGGCAGTGATAACGCTACGCAAACAATGTTAGTTTCGCACATAAGTAACCTCGAACCTGAAAATCGGCGTGCGAGAAATCCTGGTCATAACCCCCCAAACATTAAAACAAGCAGTAGAGACATGCAGGCGTCATGCATATGAAAGTGGGTTGCTCTCGCTTTTTCTTTTCTCACCATCCACACCCAAGCATCTGCCCTGCCTACCTGGCCCCTCTCGCCTATTTTGGGGGGTTCGTTCCACGCGGGAATATAAACTAAATATATGTATCGAAGGCCGCAGTCCTCTTCGTATGAATAGATAGTTTTTATTATTATTCCTCCCTCTTTCTTTCTTTCGTTTGGTTGATAGAGAGAAAGAGATATCGATAGTGTTTGATAGTCGACAATCAAAATTGTGCCTGAGAGATAAACGAGGGCCTCCAACCAGCCGAGTCGATAATCGATAGGATTCGAGCGACCTTTGAAGGATATCATTTTATTTGGATTGCGGTGCATCCATCTGTTCTTGTCTTAAACATCAGAATACAATACAACCGGTCGAAAAAGCACAGCACAGCACAGCTGCACAGTTAACAGTTGTCGTTTTAGTTAGAAGTTCGGCTCGACACTAACAGGCGAGGGGAAACAATTCTGTCAGATTGCACGGAAATAAGACATTTGCTTTTGGTCTACATACTTCATACGACAGACAACCGGGCAGATTCATTGGAAGCGGCTGCACTTGGTTCGGATAGTCGGTCCCTGCCCTGCCTTGGGAGGTAGATTAGAGATATCGATACTGCAACTCGGCCAACTACCCGGCACCCGAAGAAGTCCTTTCCACCGATCTATCCTGTGTCTGAGATAGATTTGCCTGAGGGTTAACTTTGGATACCATCTGCCCTTGCATAGATATCTGGGGATCGTTTGGAACCAATTTTATACAGGACGTAGCCTGGCCTGGATTCGATTGCGGTGCATTTGGGTGCATTTGGCGGGTACAGATCGAGCGAGGCAACAAACAACACGACCGCTAGTTGGCTAGTTCGCAGTTGGAAATTCTTGTCTTGTAGTAGGTCACCCAACCCTTCCGGCCTGCGCCTGCAGCCTGCAGCCTGCACCATTTTCTCATCCTCTCTCCCCGTCCAACTAGGCAGAATTCACACCTCTCTATCTTTTTATTTATTTCCTCCTTCTCTCATCAATCACGACCTCGACACAAGCACCCCTGGACTGTCGTTTTTGCATCACATTGTCATATACGAACGAATCAAGGTAAGAGTCCCTTCTGGCCGACCGGCTGCCATTTAAATCCGGCTCATCCTCCCGAGTTGGGTGCCGGGGCTTTAGGTAACACGAGGTTTAAGCTGCCCATCCTCTCGTGTTGTTTAGCTTCAACGGCATTGGCTTTCTCGTTCTTTCTTCCCTCTCACTCTCACCTCACCTCCCCTCATCGCACCTAACATCACCGTTTAACGTCTCTCTCTTCCTATCTTCCTCGCCATCGCTACCCTCGTCTGACCATTCTTTTACATAATAGCTTTGCTACATTCAGTAGGCTTGGCCTCTCGACTATATTCTCGATTCGTCCTACTCTGCGGTTCCTGGTCAAACGATCTTACCTTCCTTTACGGACATCATGTCTACGGAATTCACTCCAGTCCCTCTTGGGATCCCATGGAGAACAGACATCCCCCTCCCAAATGGTGGAGACTCTAATCTCGAGAACCTTTCTGCCAGCTATAACGTAAGTTGTCGACACCTAAGTCTAGCTATTGGAGCGATCTAGCAATCAAGGTAGATTCTGTCTGTATATTGTTGCTTAAGCTAACTTTTTTTTTTCTTTAAAAAAAAAAATAGCCCGGTAACGTCGGCTGGGTCATTGTTGCGACGGCATTCGTGCTCTTGATGATTCCTGGTGTCGGGTTCTTCTACTCCGGTCTCGCCCGCCGAAAGTCGGCTCTTTCTTTGATCTGGCTCTCTATGATGTCAGTCGCCGTGGTTTCCTTCCAATGGTTCTTCTGGGGTTATTCTTTGGCCTTCTCTCAAACTTCTGGAAGCTACATTGGTGATCTTAATCACATCGGATTGCGGAACGTGCTTGCTGCACCACGCACTTTTATTCCAGATTTACTCTATGCGGTTTACCAGGGCATGTTTTCGGCTATTACGTAAGTGAAATTCAACCATTGGGCGATACAAAACAACCTTGGGATGAGGCTAAAACAACGACATCTTTACATAATAGTGTCGCGCTTGCCATTGGTGCTGCTGCTGAGCGCGGACGCATGCTCCCCTGTATTGTATTTATGGTCGTGTGGTCGACCATAATTTATGACCCAATTGCTTGCTGGACCTGGAACCCTACCGGATGGTCTTACAAAATGGGGGGGCTCGATTTCGCCGGTGGTACTCCTGTCCACATCTCCTCTGGCTCTGCTGCGCTGGCCTATTCGTTGATGTTGGGAAAACGTCGAGGACACGGTACTCACGAACTCAATTATCGCCCACACAATGTTACTCACATTGTTCTTGGCACGGTTTTCCTTTGGGTCGGATGGGTAAGTCGATCTTTGCTTGTTCACCTTCTCGTACCCAAACTGACAATGGGCTTAGTTCGGTTTCAATGGCGGTTCTGCTTTGGGAGCCAATCTTCGTGCTGTTATGGCCTGCGTCGTCACCAATCTCTCAGCTTCCGTTGGTGGTATAACATGGTGTCTACTCGACTATCGCCTCGAACGAAAATGGTCCACTGTTGGTTTCTGTTCCGGTGTTATCGCAGGTCTCGTTGCTATTACACCCGGTTCCGGCTATTGTCCAGCTTGGTCGGCTGTCATATTTGGCATCGTGGGTAGTGCCGCATGCAACTATGCAACCAAACTCAAGTTTGTCATTGGTGTCGATGACGCTTTGGATATCTTTGCCGTCCACGGTGTTGGTGGTCTCGTCGGGAATGTTCTAACCGCTTTTTTTGCTACTCATTATGTTGCAAATCTTGACGGGACCGACAACCCCCCACTTGGATGGCTCGACCGTCACTGGATTCAAATAGGTTTTCAGCTCGCTGACTCGGTCGCCGGTTTTGCTTACTCGTTCTGCGGAACTTGTATTATTCTATTCGTCATGAACCTTGTTCCAGGGCTGTCGTTACGTGCCAGCGAAGAAGCTGAAGTGCTTGGTATTGACGATGCCGAGTTAGGAGAGTTCGCAGTAAGTTAAATATCAACACGAATCTCTTGCATTTGAGCAGTAACTGATGTTTCAATCATAGTACGACTACGTTGAGCTGGTACGAGAGGTCGTGCCAGACACCGAAGGTATTCACAAGCTGTCCTCAGAACTCCCTCCTCACCATGGTCATCACATAGAAAAATGACTATCTGGGTCTTCGGACCACCACGAACTTTCACTGATACGAAACGCGCAAACTGTTTCGCGGCTATCTTAATAGTCGAAGGCTAGGATCTTGACCCTCTCACATACCAATACTCTACCACCTATACAACGAAACCCTCATGAGCGAACCCGACCTCTGCCCTCTTTTAGGGGCACTATTAAAAGCCTGAAGTGGGCATGACTTTCTTACTTTTGTTCTTTTTTCTTTCCTTTTTTCCTTGCTAGGGAACATTATAACGGCGTTCTTTCGTTTTCCTTTTTCATATATCGGGATCTACCCCTCACGATAATACAGCACCCATGACACCAATAGCTTCTATAGTCCGAAGGAAGCTTTCTCTACCTACCTCCGATCAACCATCCTTCCTACTACCCCTATTCTTTTTAATTCTGCCGGAGATCAGATACAAAATTATGCTTCCTTCCCTTAATATCAAAACTCTTTTCTTCCCTGTCCATATTAGCCTCCCACGTTTCTTTGACTTTACACCATGCTGTTCGGTTTCCTGTGGTCTCCATAAAGTCTTTCTTCTCCTGAATTCATATGTACAACCAATGTGTTCTGTCTGTTTTGTGTTTCTAAGCAAACATGCGTACCTGTCTCGCTCTTCGGCGTTAAACCGGCCTGATAGACGTTCTTCGTTACCGTTTCCCTTTAGCGACAACGGCATTCCTTCTACTGTAATTAAAACGTTGATACCACTACACCGAAATCAGACGATAATATCATTCCGAAACTCTTCAGCCGGAGTATATCGGTCAATTAGAAAGCGATAACGGCTTAATAATGCTTGGAAAATAACTCGTATGGGCAATGTATTGTCGGTAATCCTGCACGGAGCTGCGGCACGAGGCTGGGCATGTCTATGACAATAACTTGCCATAGCCGGGACTTGTACGACCACCATGTGTATTATTTATGGAACTGGGCGTCACCATTACCCTTCCCAATAGAAAGCCGTCCGGGTAAATATATCAAGCAGCCATATAGCCGCTATGGACTCACGTCCTGCATTGTCATGTTTTGCATAATAGTGATACTCGTCAAGGTTACACGAGTAGTTTCGCAAGTACAGTAGTCTGGGGGACGCTCAAGTACAGGTACATGTGTAAAGCATAGATAGCCTTAGCTTTAAGTTGCGAGAGGGCCGATAGAGACATTGTAGCTCTTATAATAGGCAATTCATCGAATCAAATGTCGATTAATTTAGTCGTATGTGAATACACGTGTATAACTGGCTATTTGCATGCATGAAAATATAATACAAGACTTGAGGCTGGCAAAAAGAAGCTTGTGTTAACCGGCTCGCTGCACCATCGGGGATTTAGAGTACTGGTAAGTGCTTCTCCGCAGAGAACCCGTACCCGGCGGGAAGAATCCTAACAAGTGAACTGAGACGCATTTGTTTCAAGGGCAGGGCTAAGAACATTGGCGAACGATTCAACTTAAGTGGTTGTAAATCTGTTTGTTGAGACAATTCGACAAGCACGACTCATCATTTCATCTGCCGAGGCTCATCGTCTGTCGATATGTCGGTCGGAGATGGGATTACTACCGTTAATTCAGCTTATTTTGTTTTATGAATTAAATATATCTATATTATTCAATCAACTGGTTTCCGAGTTTGCAAGGTCCTCGTTTCAATATGTTCTCTCATATTATGGTTGTGCAGCTTACAATATTCAATGTTGTAATTCATTAGATTCGCGAAGTCGACTAGTCATTGCAATGACATATTATCGATGTGTTATGTGAGGCGCCATTGGGTCGGGTGCCCGGCTTTAATACTATGACGATACCGCTGGGCCAATAGCTTCTCTAACTTAATGAGACAAGATTTCCTTAGGAATTCATGCAATGCAAGGGGACGAAAAGATCTAGATCCCCTCTTCCCTCCCTTGCATTTTCCAATCACTTCTCCATCTTTGTGCGTGGGGGAAGGGGAAGAGAGAAAGAGGGGGAAAGGCTAGCCGTTTTGTGGTTGATATTATTATTATCGGCCAAATTTATATTAAAATTCTCAAATCCGCAACTTCGGCGAACGCCCAAAACGGGGCAAAGTTGACAGGCCTTTCGCTACGTAACGTTTGTTCCTTAGCCTCACTTTTTCTGGAGCTAGCCTTCGGGATGTTGCTTCTCGTTTGTAACCCTGGGAGGGCTTCCCCTATCAGTGAGATTCATAATAAACCTAACTGAGTGGAAACCCGAAGACGCCGAATCCCAGGTTCGAGATTGTAGATACTGGTTCGGGTTAATATTAATAGCCCGCTGGAAAATTAAGCTTTTAGGAGCACCGAAGCGGGCTTTAATTGAGGGAAGAGCCATTTCCAGATGTGTCAAGGCCCCGACAGTGCATTTTGCTGACGGTTGCACAAAAGTGTGAGCTCGTGCGATCGTCGTGTTGGATGTTGAAGCCTTGCAACACATTTCAAGAACGTGGAGTTTCGGGTTCTGAAAACGTGGTAGACAGCGCGAACATGATACGACGAGACCGGCATTTGGGAATTCTAATCGGTGATATAAACGTACTCTCCCATAGTTGACTAGTTTCGAACTGGAGCCTTATTGCAATTAGATGCGCCTAAAGGCTCCAGGCCTCCTTCCCGTTCGGCAAGAAGAGAGTGTTTCTTCTTTCTTTCTTTTTCTTACGTCGCATGTTCACAAACCTGTTTGAACCCTGTCAACGTAAAAACTTTTCAAGAAGGTGACCATAGCCGGCTCTCGACAATTCGACGGCAAAATGAAGGTTAAGTAGCGAGAAATCGCTAGAGGCAATTGGGAGGGTTTCAAACGGCAAAAAGATTGAATCGCTGATTTCATTGAGGATCGAACTCAAGACCTCGACCGTGTTAAGGTCGCGTGATAACCAACTACACCATGAAACCATTGCGGATTCGCTGTTTGATGGAAACAGTGGTTCAGAATTGGCTATATAAACTGTTTTAGATATAAGCATGCGGATATCTGGCTTTCCTGTTTCGAAAAATACCACATATAAACTAAGTTTAAGCAAACGTGTATACATGTAGTATGCGGGGAATTCGGAGCTGTGGGAATAGCGTTAGCCCAAGACGGTTCGATAATTATACACCTGAGGGTCGAGATTGGCTTAATGTGTGGTATCGATAAGTTTGTTTGCTTGGCCGGTTTAACTAGGGAGTACAGAGTACAAAATACATATCGGGATATATATTTCATGCCTGAAGCAATCCTTGGCTCCGAGTTCTATCCCATCAATAACGTGCATAACTGGTTAGTCTGGTTCCAAATAATCTATTATTTCAGCATTTTGATTGTTGACTGCAGCTTTCAAGTTGCAGACGTACCTCATTTTTAGCGTTAATTGGTTAATTCTCCGGCGAACAGGTCATTCGGGTCCTTGATTATCAGATCGGTAGTGCCTGGTTTGATAGCCGTATATATTACACAGGCTCTAAACTTGCCTCCCGTATCCGCATCGGTTGACCTCCGTGATATTTATAATTAATCGGCATCACGAAACTAATTGTAATACTCGATTAATTACTTAATCTAGTTATTTTTGTAAGTATATATTTGCAATGGCATATCGAAAACTTCTGCCGCTCAAGCAAGGAGACAACTGTTTTCCTATATGTACTCATGCGACTTCGTCGAAATCAAAATGTTGGGACGAGCTCTATGCTTGTCGAGATGGAGTACACTCAGTTCGTGATAGTGTTTATCAATTTGGACGATCATATGATCATGGGTTTGGAATTGTGACCGACGTCTACAGGCACAATTTCCCTAGTCCGTGGCCCAGCCCGAATGTAGTAATGTTGCACGCTCCATGTTGCACCCTCCTTACCAGTATGTCACGCCTGGTCCGGCTGAGGAGGTTTATACTCGGGGAGTGCGGTCACATGACGTCGATGTTGACGGGGAAACCGTGTATCAATATTGATGCCTATAGGGCTGGGGGCTAGGGAACGACAAAGTTGGAGGTTATTTTTTCCCTCGGCCATTCCCTCGATCAGCTACAAAAAGACCCTCCTCCCCCTACATTTGTAATTGTTCTTTCTTCCTTCCTTTCTTTCCTTCCTTCCTCCCTCCAACCCCCTTTCACCTTCACTTCGTCATCTCATCATCTACTTTGTTCTTTCCTTCGTCACAAAGCAGTAATCTACTTCTCATTCAGCTCTCTATCCAAAGACATCTATCTTTGATCATCTATTATACTGCTCTCCACACTCTCTTCATCTATCCCCCCTAGCTTATTTATATATATGCATCTCCTCCACCTTCTCTTCACGTCTTCATCTTTTCATCTTCTCTTCCTCGATTTTTCTCCTCCTCTCCCTCCTCCTCCTCCTCTTCTTCATCTGTCCTAAAATCCTACTCCTCATCTTTTCTTTCTTTCTTTCTTCATCCTATTTTTGACTACATGATTTAATTCTTGTTTTTTCTTGCGAAGTAATACTTCCCTTCGCCTTCGCATATATGTACAGAGAAGCTTGACGTTGAAAAAGTTGCATTGGCTTGCACGTCCAGAAGCTATCTGGTATACATTTTTGTCGCGTCTCTCTCTCCCAGGATTCTAACCATTCATCCAACAGCATCGATATACACTGTCGTCATTATATTATCCTTCCCTACTACAGGGACTAGGAAGCACAAATATCAAGGTATGTCTGATCTCAGCTCGTCCACTTTTATGCATTGGTGCCATCACTTGTCTCGTCGCCAGACTCCTCAACTGTGATCACATACTTTACTTGAATGCTAATCCAGGAGGGTACAAAGGGCCATCTAAATCCAGCTCGTTTGTAGATGATATCGGCTTCTAAACTATTATTAAGGCGAATATCAGACATCGTCCGTGGGTGAAATATTCCCCGGGACGTATGTATTCAAAAAGCACCAACCAATTAAAGGTATTGCATCATCTCGGCTTCGTTATCAAAAGAGTTTCTACTAAATTTTTTGCTATGTTTCAGAAAGTTATCAAGACTTCAAGATGCGTCTGCTCACTTATATAGAAGCTTTGCGACCGTTCTACCCAGGTTTGGGGGAAGGGAGAAAATGGAACGGTACGACCAAAGCAGCGGACGTCCAACATTGCCCTAGGCTTGAAGAGTGGCCGGGGTTCTGGACTGAAGTGCATAAGGTGATTAGAGAATGCAGTGGTAAAGAGGTAAGATCAGCCCATATGCCATAGCACCGTTCCAGATAACCCCTGAGCTCAAAGTTTCAGAACCCGCTGACCGCATTCACAGTTCCGTACTCTGAAGCCCCCAGGGGCCGCCAAAGAGCCTAGGAGGTTTGGCCACGGCCAACAGGCTCAACAGTATCAACCATTACTGTCAGCCGTTGACGTCTCCAACCTCTTAGATATAACCATTGGGCGCCCTGTCATGGATATTCTGCGCAATGCCTACGGTATAGATGCGGGGTTTGAGGGCCCTCGATCTGCAGTCCCTATCGGTGACCCAAATAGGGTGCTATGCGTGCCACGGGTGCATATATGGCAGAAAAAGACTAATATGCCCCCGATAGCAGGGAATAAGCCCCTGGTAACAATTGGTGTGAAACCCTCATGGGTTTTATATCTCCCTCCACACATCATAACAACTTTTAACCAACAGCGAAATAGAATATTAGCTCAACCAAGGAGGAGAAGATGCCAGAATGAGCTAGTGCGGGCAGTATCTCAAATGTTCGCACATATGCACATCAACAACGTATCGTACGGCGTACTCACAACATATCATTCGACTTACTTCTTTAAACGAATAGATGACCAAGGGAAATATCCCCGGCTGCTCGTCTCCCCACTTATCAAGAGAACTGATATGGGCGAGAGTAGCCTTGTCGCCGCATTTGTTGGGCTTGCTGTCCTAGCGTTCCGTAAGGAGCATGGGACAGCAGCCCTCGGAACACCCGGTCAAGTTTGTCGGGTCCTTGATACTAACCCGGCTACGAGCCGGCAACACCTAGTAGTTGACAGTCCTGCTAGGGAAACGCCCTTAGATGGGTTCATTCGAGGGGTGCGTCGCGGCCACGGCGACCCCCATGTTCGAGTACGGGTTTGGTTTGCAGAGTTTCTCTCTCGGAACCTGGCTTCCACGTTTCGAGGTGTCCTCGAGGTGGGCCAGGTTCCGAGAGAAGTGGTCTTCAAAGTTTACGATCTCTCTATCCCGGAGGTCGCAGACGTCTGCGCCGACGAGTTGAAGGCGTAAGTTATTCACCGAACCTGAGATTTTAGTACCCTAGATTCTAACATGTTATTTATTAGGTACGCCGCCTTGACCCCCATCCAAGGAACTATTGTTCCTAAGATATGGGTGGTCGGAACCCTGTATGGGATCTATCGCGTCATTGCGATGGATCCCTGCGGGGAACCAGTCCCAGAACCTCCCCCGCCAGAGTTTTATGAACAGGCGCCGGCGCTTTTCCGCGCCATTCACGACCATGGGGTCGTTCACAACGATATTGACCTGCGGAACTTTTTAGTTTCGCATGGTCAATATCGGGTGATCGACCTCAACTCTGCGAAACTCGGGACTCCCACGCAGATTGAGCGAGAAGAGAGGTATCTCCAGGGCCTCCTTCAGAGAATGAAGAAGGGATATATTTACCGTTCCCAAGGTGCCTCAGGGCACAAAATGGAAATACAAGAAGCGGGGGAGGGAGGGGACGCAGGGGCGTCGAAAGACGAAGAAACCTGGGGACTAAAGAACGAAGGAGACGGGGGACTAAAATGCGAAGGACTCGGACATGAAGAAAATGAGAAAGGAAATTGGGAGTGGGGAGAGAAAGAAAGTGAAGAATCAAAATACGAAGAGCTGACCTGCGGCTGGGAGTACCCAAGTCTCTAAGCAGACCTTGAATATTATTCTGCTTAAGTACGCAGCTAGTGACCCATAAATCCTAAATCCGCCCACATAAATTTAGCAGTGTTGAACTGTCTTCATATTACATACTATTATTATTACTATTTTCCTTTCCTCTTCATTTCTTTGCCCTTTTTCTTTATGTAAACCTCATCCTCGCGGATAATCTAGAGTCAAGCCACAACCCTCTAGACTGGAGCCGAATCTGTAGAAGCTGTTATCAATTTCAAGATATCACGGTGTCTGGTCTGCTGGCGGCTCGAGACTAGATCCGTGTTGCCCATGTTGTAATTTCCTAATTCAGCTAACCATACTCGGAATCAGTCTCGTAACCAAACTGTGACCCGGGATATGATTGGCTAGCTCGCCGGGTATCAACACAACCAACTTGTGTTATGTTACACAGTGCATGGTACAAGTATGCTACAGAGTAGACTAGTTGTTCCACCTGGTTTTAGCCCTGGACCCAGCCTGGCCTTGCTTGTATTGGAGGCGGTGCATTTCTTGCAATCCGGTATAGCCCTGAGTCTGCAATCTCGCATCCTGAGAAGCCGAAATCTCGGGAATTTCTGAACGTGCTGCAGCGCCGCTGCGCCATGCACAAGATCTTCTTTTTCAAGGCCTCAAGCTTTTTGCAGTACTCGGTTGTGTTGATAGCGATAGTACATAGTATATACCTCACAGTTGCAAACATCAAGCCTGGGGCCAAACCGGCTTGATTTTCTTTTGTCTCGTCACCAGATTCCTCAACTGTGGATTCTAATTTTCTGTATATACCATTCAGTTCTCCTATATTTCCTGCATGAGTTCCTAGTAGGGTGGCCTGCGGTTGCATTGAAATCATTGTGGGCTAAACTCGAGCTTGGTGCAGACCCTCACCACAGTTGAGGAGTCTAGCGACGAGACAACCTAGATATGACTAGTACGTATACCCCTTATGAGCCTGAAGTTTCTCGGCAAAGGTCTCTTCAAAGAGATTGGTACAGAGGTACTTAATGCTAGTTGAATATTGGCTTCGAATCTCGGATCAATATTCTACGTTGAAAGTATGACCTTGCTGGGACCCGAACACTTGATCTCCAGGTCCCCTTTAATCTTGGTGGCATCCAAATGAGTACCCTAGAGATCATGATGTTTGTGGTGCTGTTTGTCCATGGCGCCGCAAGGCTGAGATTCTTGCATAATCGTACTTGTTTATGCCGTGGGCCGATTTGGATCATGCAAGGCTGTATTTTGTGAAAGGGGCTGAGTTGTAGTAGCCTCGAACCCAGGCGCTCAGGCGGAGGTGACTATTTGTCCAGCACAACCTCGCATGCAGTCTTAGCTTAGATCTATAGAAGTTTCTAGCTCCACCCAGATCTGTTCCGCAGCCATACCACACATCCTTCAGACATTAAATAACCGGACTAGTACAGCATGGAGATAGGTTCGAGTCTCCCTCTATTTTCGGCACAAACTTCGAATTGGCAATCACTTACCTTCCTTTTATTCACCTCCAGAGCCATAGGGAACATTGATCGGTTCCTAGCCTAGTTTCAATAAGGCATACCGGTAGAACATTATGAGCACCCCGACGGATGGTGCACAACTCTCCGCTGCAAGTGCCTTTTGGGGCCTCGTCGGCCTTGCATTAAACGTTATAATTCAGCCCACCGGCCGTGTTTGCGGCTTTCATCCTTCAGTTCGGGCCCAAGTCCGAAGTTCGCCGATAGTTTGCGTCGCCGATTCTATCTGCATAGTTACTCGTCTTTTGTTCAATATCTTTTACTATAAGCTTTCATTCAAGAAGGCTTGTCGTCTGACCCTCCATAGAAAGAAGGTTGGTTGGAAGGGGGAACCACAACAAGACCAAGGCAATTCTGATTCCCAGTCTCCAATGCAGACTGAAGGGTCTGGGGGTGGAACACACCCTGGAGAAATCGATATTGAGATGGGCGAACTACAAAACGAACAAGGACATTCCGATTCCGGGTCCCCGACACAAGTGGAAGTAGAAGGCTTCGGCGACAGTACAAGTCCAGTGGAAGTAGGCCCCGAGGCTACTGGGGAGGCGTTAGGTCTTGGAAACGTAACCGGAAACATGCAGCAGGAGCCTTCAGGGGACTCCTTAACATTTGAAGGGCCTTCGGCGGCCCGGGTGTTGTCGTTTACTCTTACGGGGTTTCCACAATGGTTAAAAATTATCGTTTGCTCCGGTGCCCCTTGGACATCGACGTGGGCATCATTTTATTTCTGGCCTTTCTTGATTACGGAAGTTATCAATATCACGGCAGGAAGAATTGATACGGAGGAGGATCGTCTCGACCGGATTCGCATTGATCGCATTAACTCAAAGTGGGAGGTTCGATTGGACTTCTACGAAAGAGCACTAGGGGTTTTCGCTGTTTTTATGCAGCTAATCGTTTTTCTGGCGCTCGAGAGATACCCCCCCAATAGAGATCTAGATCCGATATGGGCTGGGATTAGTTCTGTTGCTTATATTCCCTGGAGAGCCACAACTTATTTCTCGGCTTACCACATATTTTCGGTTAGCAACCCTTTCGTACTTGTTATGGGTGGTTGGAGAGCTAACGCCTCTGAGACTTCAGATACCGCAATCTCCACTAGATACCTGGGACGGAAGGCATTCTAGATCGAATCCCAACATGATATCAACCCTGGACACCATAATCGGAGGGGCTATTGGAATATCTTTCGTTATAATTGTTATAGCATTTACGGCATTCCATTTCTATTCTATCACTGCCTACAACGCGAAGAAGAATGATTTCGTGCTTCTATATATACCTCAAGCCATAAACTTTTACGCATGGCCTCTTTATATTCCGATGGTATATATATTATTTTTTATTCTACCGAAAAAAATGTATCTAAGTCTCTGTAAGGGACCAAGAGGGAATGGTGGCGGGTCAGAATTAACACAACGCCGTGCAGAAAGTCGGAGTGCCAGAGCATTTGTGTTCGCGGCCAGTATTATTTACTTTGGAGCATATTACTATTGGTTGACTTATAATCCGGGAGATACGCGAAAGCCGGGATGGTCGGAATATCTCGGATAAATCTAGACTATTGTCAATACCGGTCATCTCACCGGGTCATTAGGTTAAACTACTAACATATCGAAATACATTTCAATGGTTGATCGTAATATTTTGCTCAATTTGTAAAGCTATGTTCATTTTAAACAATGTGTCCTTCAGGCCTCAAATATTTTCTCGGGATAATAGTGGTATGCTTTGGTGGTATGTGCGGCTTTCTTTGAACTATTATATATATATTGTGAAGATCTAAGATTCTCAAGGCCTTGAATATCAGTTCTTTCTGTGTTTAGGTTGTTGGATTATTTTGTGGAACGTGGCTGGGGTTGAGACTGGTCAGGAGATTGGCGTGGCTGGGTCGTCTCCAGGATAAATGAACGCTAATGACGAGAGGCTGCATCAAAACATCACCCAGCACAGACCACCTTTGATCGAAACCCCAAACCACCACCATCACCACCTAGATCCCCTGAGTCGCTCGACTACCTGACTCTTCAACATCGATACGAGGAAATCATGGCAGACGAATCCGCGCCTGTCGAATCGCCTTTCGATGTCCGAGGGTTCCCCATCACCGTCGACGGCATAAACCAGGACGATCGCGTTTCCTTCTCCAAACTCACGGGAAAGTACAACCTCGAACAAGAAGACGGCACCGAATACGAGTTCGACGAAAAGTTAAAGAGGTGGTACGAAGTGGTATGTCCAATATCCTTCCCTCTACCCCTCCAATACACCATCATGCTCCACGAAAAATTTCGTTGATGATCCTTTTTTCTTCTTACCACAAAGACCTTCCTCCATACACCCACCCACCCTCTCTGGAGCGTTGAATGATAAAAAACAATGAAAGAAGCCCGCACGGGGGAATGCAATATTTTGACCTTTGAACAACCGTCATTGGTGTTTTATTTATCTCTAGCTTGATAATTCTCTGGCCGAAGAACAATCCAAAGCTTACGGCCCCGTTGATGCAACCGACTCAGTGACTCCACGGAACAAAAAGCGAAAGAATGAACATGACAACGAGGCCAATGTGAGTTTACCTTTGATATCCACCGCTTATATACGATACTAATATCCTAAATCTAGCAACCGGAAATCAATAACGTCAAACGTCCGAAAAAGAACGGGAAGGCCGACCAGGCTGCGGCTCCTCGCGTTAACAAGGCTGTATACGTCACAAACCTCCCGCTCGATGCCACCGCTCAGGAAGTCGAAGAGTTGTTCTCCAAATATGGTGTTCTAGCGGAGGAAATCGATAGTGGCAAGAAACGGGTTAAGCTCTACACGGACGAAAGTGGCAATCCGAAAGGCGATGCCTTGATCGTATACTTCCGGCCAGAAAGTGTCAAACTCGCGATCCAAATGCTTGACGATACGGATTTCAGACTGGGAGTTGGAGATGCCGGTGGGAGAATCAAAGTCCAAGCGGCAGATTACAGTTACAAGGCACAGCAAGATGCACCACAGGACAAGAAGATGACGAGGGACAAGAAGAAGATCATTGCGAAGAGTCAGAAATTGAATAACAAACTCGCTGACTGGGACGACGATGATCCGGCAACAGTCAGCACCTCATCGAAGTTTGACAAAGTGGCTATTCTGAAGCATATGTTCACGCTGAAGGAGCTGGAGGAGGACCCAGCGGCTATCTTAGACATCAAAGAGGATATTAGGGAAGAGTGTTCGAAGCTGGGAGAAGTTACTAATGTAACTTTGTACGATGACGAGGAGGCTGGAGTTGTGAGCGTCAAATTTGGGGACGAGGCGAGTGCGCTCGCATGTGTCAGGGTACGTAGTGAATACTTGTGTTTTAAGGGAATTTCGATGACTGACAGTCGGCGATCAATAGATGATGGACGGGAGGCATTTCTCGGGTGCGAAGGTGGAAGCGTATATATATGACGGGCAGGAGCGTTTCAGGAAGAAGAAAGTCCGTGATACTGATGCCGAAGAGAGTTCCAGACTAGATAAGTTTGGAAATTGGCTCGAAGAAGAAGGCGCGGAATAATTTGGTATTACACCCGGACTATTTGGGGGGTGCGTAGTTTTCGATGTGGACAATGTTTGCGTGCACTACCGAAATTGTGTATCGATTTCTTTTCAGATAAGACCGACTACATGGCTTGCTCCTTCCGATGCTACGAGGTCCCCTCTTTACTTGCGGGGCAAATGATTTCTCTATTTTTAAGAGACTGTATGATGGTGTACGATATTGAAGTGTGACATTTGTCAATGGAATCCGAACTCTTGATAAACTCGTTGGGTTTATACGGGTATCATTATTTACATCGTGCAGTGAGGATAAGTGGCGTACATGTACATGGATCTCGATCACGAATCCTAATGAAAATCTACTCTAGCTTTTTCTTTTTCTTCAGCTCCTCCCTTCGTGCCTTTTCTTCGAGTACCAATTTTTCAAGACTGATTTTCAAGGCCGATCTCTCCTCGTCACTCGCCTCCGCACATCCGGCCCATCGTATCCTGCACATAGCATCAACGAGGTATACTAATCCAATCCTCTCGTTCAACATGGCCACAGACTCCTTAACCTGATTTGAAGCTCCCTTTCTCACAAATAGATACCGCGCATGTCGTTCCTCGCCCAGTTGTTTTCTAATATTCCCCATCGACATGAGGACAATCCATGCCTTTAGAAAGTTTTCCTGCAAGTTGATGTTTACCCTTTGCCATACCCCATCTTGGGGTGGCATTGGTTCGCTCATTAATCGCTTGATATGGTCATCCGGTGTAGATATATATTCTTCCTTAAGTAATTCTGATCCGGCAAAGTTTTCGTCTAGGTCTTTCGTCCAAGTCCTAAGTTGTTCGTCTGCCCAAACATTCGTAGATAGTTGGACGAGGGAGACTCGTCCTGTGAATAGAGTTGTAGAATCGACTTTGTCTGGAGTGAGTAAAGTGCGACCTCGGAAGTTAGGGAAGAAAAGCGACTTGTCGGCCTTGAAGGTACGAGGTGGGGCTATGAACAGTTTGCCCTTCTGGTGGCGCATGTCGGAGAAATCTTGGAAATATGATTTTGTCCATTCTTGTGCTCTAGAATATAGAAATGTTAGTATACAAAAAAGCACTACTAGTGAACATATTGGCTTTGGAGTAGCTAAACATACAGCTCTTTCCGTCTTTTCAGGTGTCTGTCATAGTTTTGGAAGTCTTCCCTTTTTTGTTTGAGGGATCGAAGGTCTTTTCCGTGATTTTCACCAGGGAATGGAGGGCTGTATTGTCCGATTGGCCTTGTTAATGGGGCGATTTCAACCGTATCCTTTTCTTTTAAGACTTTGGGCCTTGCTACTGTCTCATATGAAGGCTGATTGAATGCTTTGTCAGAGGATGGCGGGGCCGTCGGAGGGGTATCTGATGAGGGTTGAGGTTGTGGGGCCGCATTGGATGCATATTGGCGATTAGGAAGGGCGGTAAGTTGGTTCGTGCATCTCCAGCATGCCCTGCTAGCTGTTCTAGCCTGGGGAAGTAGTATTCTTGAAGTCGGCCGTAGAATCATGATTGATTGGTTGCAAGATATGTGAAAAGGTCGGGATGTCGAATTGAGATATATCGAAATTTAGGCCGAAAAGGAAAAGAATGAGTGGTCATGTGACTTTCGCGAATTTGTTTAATTGAAGGTTCACCAACAACGCGGTTGGGCGCGCGACCAAGCTGCCATGCGGTTGTGTACCTTTCCCCATAACAACGTTCTTTTTTTCCTTGACGCCTTTGTGAACCCCCATCCCTCCACTACTCTCTTCTTTCTAGTAGGTAAATCACCGAATAGGGTCACGTTCTGCCTTTCTTTAGATACATGTTATCTACGACGACGTAGTCTCTTCACTATCTGATTCTGGACAGACTTGCCCTTTTTAACGATTTTCCAAGATGGCAGCTTCTAAGCAGAAGCCGCTGTTCCACGATATCAACTTTACTTTGATCAGAGGTTCGCAGTTTTCTGGGGATGAATATGATAAAGTATGTATTTGAAGCTTTTAGACGATCATACTAAGGTCATTATCTAACTTTTCCCTCCTTTCTGCTCTCCTTAGGTCAGACAGCATCTTCTTGACCACGGCGGCGTTGAGGTCGAGCTTGAGCCTAGCTCCCAAGGCGTGCCTACCATCAACCTCGAAGACACTACGCATATAATCTCCCCGGACATCGAATTCGCCGAATTTTCCGAACTCGAACGCCGAAGGCTTGCTGGCGAAATCGACCAGCGAATGCTAACGGTTACTAAACCCTCGTGGGTTTACGATTCCATTGCGAAGAAGAGGACTCAGAATGTACGAGCGTACAACGCTGATCCGAGGATGATATTTTCCGGGATTGATGCGGTTATTGCGGATTTGCCGGAAGGAGACAGTGAAGCTATTTGTGGTGGAATATTGGCTATGGGTGGGTTGTATAAGACTCATTTATCGAAGTTGACGACGCATATCGTTGCTTTGACACTTGATAATGTAAGGACTGGGAGCTTGTGGGGTTGGCATGGTTTCTCCTGAAGACTTAATGCTAAGGTTGTTTATAGGAAATCTGCAAGACGGCTTTGGAGAAGGGGCTGGCGGCTAAGATTGTTATGCCACATTGGTAAGTCGTCGTCGTTATTTTACAAGTCCAGATCGACTAATCTTTGGCCTTTAGGTTCGATGATTGTCTAAAGTTGAACCGCAGAATAGACGAAACCCCATACCTACTACCCAATGCCGACATAATGACGATGAAAGCTAGCGACCCTCTACCCTACCCCAGCATCAACCTTACTCACACCCACGACCACCGCGAAAAGCTAGAAGTTGACCCTAAGTACATGCGACGCGAGACTGTGATATTTACAGGGAAGAACTTCTTCTTCAGCGGCGAGTTAGGCTTGAACGAAAAGTTGTTAAAGATCATAACGGATATAGTTATCCAAGGGAGCGGGAAGATAGCTACAGATATTAAGAATGCCAATGTGCTGGTTTGCCCGTGGAGACATGGAGATGATTATATCTATGCTAGTCGGAAAGGGATTGATGTTGGGAATCTAACCTGGTTGTATTGGATGACGACAAGGTTGGAGTGGGTTTCGCCTAGGAAGTTCTTACTACATTATCCTAGAGCTAAGATCCCTATTCCTGGAATGGAAGAGATGGTGAGTACTTGGCCGAACCCAAGAGCTGGCATATGTGCCGCCGATTAACTCTGTTGTTTTAGATAATATCGGTTTCAAATTACAACGGTGACGCCCGGATGTATCTTGAGAACCTGATAGAAGCCGCCGGTGCAACCTTCACTCGAGCACTGAAACCCGAAAACACACATCTTATCACAGCTAGAGATCACTCCGACAAAGTCGATGCTGCGAGGGAATGGAATACGAACATCGTCAACCACCTATGGCTGGAGGAGAGTTATGCGAAGTGGGAAATGCAGACGCTTACAAATCCGAAATATACGACATTTCCAAAGCGTACAAATCTTATGGAAATAGTTGGACAGACGAGGATAGACTTGGAAGCGATTTCTCATGTGTTTTTCCCGATGGATGAAGAAGAAGAGGATGAAGAGGAAGCTGATAAGGATGAAGACGTAGAGATGGCGGATGTAGATGCAGATGCGGACGCTAAGAAGGCAAAGGGGAAAGGAAAGGCAAAGGCGGAGGAGGAAGAAGAAAGGGAAGAGGAGGAAGAGGAGGAAGAAGTCGAGAAGAGGCCCGCGAGGAAGGCTGGTAGACCAAAAGGATCAAAATCGACATTCAACGAGGACCCGGCTGAGACTCCACGGGGTAATAGAAGGGTATCCGCACTATTAGAGACCCCAAAGACGACAATCCTCGGCAGCTCTCCACCCTTATCAACGGGAAGTAGAAAGGCAAAGGAAAGTGCGACGAAAAAACTTCACGAAATTATGCCGGACGTACTGAAGTTCGAGAAGGAGAAAAAGAGGAAGGGTGGTGTCACGCATGGTGGCAGACGGAGCCACACTCCCGATGTTGACACTAGTAAAGGGTCCAAAAAGAGAAGCTTGCCAGAAGAGCCAGAGCCAGAGCCTATGGATGAGGACGAAAGGCCTGAGAAGCCAAAGAAGCAGAAGAAGAAATCGATGGAGAAAGTCGTTATTTCGGTATATCTGCTCTTGACCTCTCACCAGGCGTGGATTGACCGTCCAAGTAGGGAAGAAAACGATAAGGTATGTTTATATATATATATAACAAGAAATTTATATCAAAGAAGCGATGATACTGACGTTGAAACAACAGAGGGCACTACGAGAAATTGGCATTCAGTGTATAGAAAACCCGGACGCCCATGTCACACATGTATGCGCACCTCGTGTCGTCCGAACCGAAAAGTTTGTCTGTGCATTGGCTAGGGCGCCCATCATCGTGAACTCCAACTGGGTCGATGAGTGCCTGAAGCAGAAGGCGATCGTTGATACAAAACCGTACCTTCTCAAGGATGCAGAAGGAGAAAAGAAACTAAAGATGAACCTCAAAGAATCGCTGGAGAGGGCGAAAGAAAACGAAGGGAAATTATTGGAAGGGTTGACTGTCTATATCACGCCAAACGTCTCCCCCGGGTTCGAGACCTTCAAGAAGATTGTAGAAGCAAATTCTGGGTCAGCATTATCATTTAAGGCCGCAAAGCGAGGTGGAATCGCAGCGAATAAAGATGCATCGACATCAAAGAGGCTCGTCCTGGTCTCCGCGGCGAAAGACGATAAACTGTGGCCCGGGTTCAAGAGAGTAGCGAAGGAGTCAGGGTGGGATCCTTTAGTCTACAGCACAGATTGGCTGTTGGATGCCGCCATGACCCAGAAACTGGTATGGTCTGATAAGTTCAACCTATCGAAGTAAGACTTCTACTCTATATTCCCCCTCTTTTTCTCTCCATCGACTTTGACCTTTAGGCGGCGATGGTTTTGTATCAATCTTTTACTTTATCATCTTGGTGGCGATTATCGGCGACAAATCTTTTGTCTGGCGTTACTATTAATATTGCACACCCAGAACTTGTACTATAACGAAGACTTTGAACTAGATTATACTAGGCAGTATGCAATGCATAGTCGGGTATATTATAATGTATACGAAATTGAACAGAGGAATAAAATCAAAGAGTAACTCCGAGCACGCATGCGAGTGAACTGATACTGCTATTAAACTACCACACCTTCACACCCTTATCATCTCCAACGCTAAACACCTGTGCCTGGCCCTTCTTGACCAGCACATTCAAACATTTAACCAGCATCGTCTGATCCATGCCGTACCATTCCTGTTGGGTCGTATTGTCGCCTTCCGTTAACTCAAGCAGGGTTAGGACTGTCCCCTTCTGACCAGTTTCATCGATCCATGAGTATATCTGGGATGCAAAGTCTTCGGGGGTACGCCAGTAGATGTAGGCAATAGATTTCTCGGAGGAGAGCCACTCGGCGTTAGAGGACTTTACAAGGTCGTCGACGACTTCGCGGATTGTGGGGAGGGGTAGTTTCCCTGGATATTCATTGTCGTCAGAACCAATTCAATTCAAATATCTGATATATACTTATATATCTAGTGGGAAGAGGCCAAGGGTAAAATGTATTATGTATGTAATAAGGTCTCGTACGGTTTATGGATTTATTGTAGAATAGGTCAGTTTCCATTGTATCGGCGAGGTTGAGACGCCATAGTTTGTGCGCTCGACAGTAGGCCAGGATGAAGGACCGCCATTGGGAGAGTTGGGATGACCATGAAGCGGCATTTGGCTGGCGGGTGTAGAACGGTGGGAAGGTGTAGAATTCCGGGTAGTATGCCGGTAGGGCGGATTTGTCCTTTAGGTTGGCCATTGCTTTTGTATAAATATTGGATATAGAAGGTAGTTTACATTGATGTTATCGCCATGACCGTGATCATGATTTCGATATTGATCTTGTATTGTATATTGTATCTTGTATCTTGGTGCATCAGTACCAGAAGCGGGAGTAGCATGGCGGGGCTGCACTTACTTAGACTAGTGCATGCACCACAGCCTGCTTTAGCTCCGGCCGAGTCAAGTTCAAGCAGAAAACGCGTCTTCCCAGGCCGCCCATCTTTGTTCCGCCGCAAACCTGCGCCCGAACGGTGACCGACTCCGAATATTAATCAACCACAATAACTTAACTCGATCGCACAACCGCACTGTCATGCCTATGTCCGGGCGCACACTCGAGCTCTCTGCACCGCACGACACTGTTCCTACGCGACGACACTTCTTCGTTTTTACAACACGCAGGTTGTCCCTAGTGTGGGACATAAATCAACGGTGATCGAGGAAGAATCGCTAGCTACTTGCTCTAGTACCGAGGCAGTCGACAGTCAGTAGCGTCGCTCTTAAAGCCCAGCTCAGTTAAGGTCGGATCTTGGATCCTACGAGACCCCTCTGGCTAGCTGCACGTAGAAACCGAAAACCATGCCCGGCATGCTGATGGATACTGGCCTGGGAGACCTCTTTGAGGACAATGCGAGCACCATTCGAGGCATTCAAGAGTACATAGACAGACTGCGACAGGGCGGTTGTAGACAGTACGTCAACTATACTACTTTTTACATTTTGCATATTACCCATATAGCCATCCATTTCTAATTCGAGATAACTATCACATATAGAAGCATAGCCTGGGGGAAACTCGGCTGTATAGCCTCCGTAGCAGCAAACGGTACAGACGTCGAAATCCGTCACCTACAAGCTTCGACGAAAGATGGTTCCTGGTCTCTTAGTTCGAAACACACCATCAAGAACGTCCACGGCGGATCTCAACTCGCCAGTGTACACTGGAACAACATTGGGTCGGAAATCGCGATTACGGATATATACGGGAGATTGGCGATATGGACGGTATATGTGTCGCTGGACCGGTTGAACCTGCTGAGGCAGTCGCAGGTGACGGCTAGAGACGACTTATCCATGCTAGCTGGATTATGGTGGTTGAATATGAACAAGCCAGTGAGTGGCGACATAGGATGGCATTGCTCGTGGGATTTGGGACGGTTAGGTGGCTGACGGATGATGATATACAGTATGCTCTTAGTAAAGCCGCCATAAAAACGGATGGCGTTTTTAAATACCCCACCAACTCACTGCCTCCTATGGGACCTTTGAACCCGATACAAGGCCGTGCCGCATGTCTGGGTGTCACTAGGCACGGTGTGGTCAAAATGTGGTATTCGTCCGATGCACAGCACATTCAGAAAGCTACGGCGGAGTTGGAATCGTATACGTCCATGGATGATCTTATTACACATGCCGCATATGCCCCCGATAGAGGTACTTGAATTCCCTCTAAAAAGGCCCTTTTTTTGGACCATAACAGGTCCCTTCACCGAGTATTTGGGACTGACCACAAGATATTCATGAAGAACCACAGACCGAACAGCTGTTCTAGCCGTATATACACAATCCAAACAGTTGAGACTCTACCGCATCTCTATCGACTGGAAACATCCTGCTCTCCCCCCGAATACCAACGTCTCACAGCTCCCGTTACCAGTTACAATAATTGTAAAACGGTTAAAGATCGAACACTATCCAGGTGATGGACAAGATAGTGCCACATCGTTCCTTACACATTTGGAAGTTTTATCACCCTTTCCCGGTAACAATATGCAATACCATGTTGTCTTGGGATTCTTTGCGAATACATCGCAGCAACAGCCCGTGACCACGATTAAAAGGTGGGAGCTAAGGAACATTGGGACGTCGTTACACCCGGGGTTTGATCAACTAGCGCAGAGGAGGAATAGCACAGTCACAGAGAAAGAAGTATGGCTCCTTATCGGTCTTAGAGACTATTGATGAGTCTGAACTAACAAACTTGAAAATTCAGAGGCATGAACTCATTTCGTACCCGGACGTCCCTCTGCACAAATGCGCCCTGTCAGTCACACAGATCAATGCCAGTACGATGATCGGGGTAACATTCACAGATGGATCTTTCGAAATACGGGATCGGTGGGTGCCATACCTTTTTATGAAAGGTACCTAGGTTCAATACAAAAACTAATTCATAACTACTTTTAGAATGCAATTCAACACCGTCCATCCAACTGCTAACAATGACAAGCTGTTGAACATGGTACATGCGGGATGGCATTTCCCGTTATTAGGACCTCATGTCGACATTGTGCTATCGCCGAATTATGCCGCTGTTGCACTTCTTACTAAAGAACACGATGTGAATTTAGTACTAATGACACATAACGATGCGCTAGAGGGGACGCCGGAGGAGAATCGTAAGTTTAGATCAATTAGATGGAAATCGATAAGAATAACACAGAAGTTAACGCATCTTTTAATTCTAGCCAATATATTGATTGCAGCAGCCACACTCGCTCAACAGCACGCCTGCTCGTCGAATAACCATTCGAATAATGATGACCTAGCAGCCGTAGCGAGACAATATAACAATGATCGTATGACCCCCAGGTCCCCTAAAATCACCTCTTGAAAATCCTTTGTTCGATCTAACAACCATATTATAGATTTCAAAACTTGTGTTCTTCTTGAAGCACATCGTTCGCTAAATCAAGCTATTGATTTCCTACAAGAGCAAAGCAACGAGAAGTTACAACGTAACCCGTTCTTCCAGCGCTGCTTGAGTTTGCAATCCGTATTATACTACAAGGGATGGGCGAACCCAAAACCCATACCTGCTAAGATCGCACAGGCAACGTTGCATTTGAAAGCGACGTCTGTGGGGTTCGGGTATTTTATGAACAATGTGGCGAGACATAGGCAAGATGTTGAGGATTCTAAGTCTAGTGAGTACCTATATGCCATGCTATTGCATATTCTTGTCAAGGTAATACGGATAAGCTAATTCGGAGAAACAGATGCGCTACAGAATCTACTCGGTGTCGTGAAATGGGAGATTGACTTCCATGTCTACCTTGTCGATGAACTACTCGAGCTCGCACGTCGAGTACGCTCGAATCCAGGTGATATGGAACTGGTGAAAAAGATCAGTAAGCTACCTTTCCTCCCTCCCCGCGTTACCCACATCTATCAAACCGATCTTTTCCTAACGTAAAATTACCTTACAGTGCACGAAACCAACTCCTGCGCCCTCCCTCTAATCCTCACCGGCGCCTCCCGTTTCCTTCTAAAATACAACTCCCGCGCCCTCCGCGGCTTCGACCAAGCCGCCCGTGACCATCTAGCCCAAAACACCGTGGACGAAGCCCTAAAACAAGGTTTCCAATCCCTCCGAACAATCATGGACGCCAACCCCGTAAAATTCAACATGTTTGAAAAGTTACTAGTAGACATAATCGCCCACATCAAAAGAATAACCGAAACCTGGGATGCACAAAGACGAATCGACGTAGATCGGATGATATTCCTTACCGGGGAGATTCCCGAAGTGTTTTACCCCATAGTTGAGAAGTTTTTACAACATAGTTTGGGGATATTGAAGAATGATATCGATCCCTCGCAGATTTTTTTCTTCGATACTACTTGGTTGGGGTTTCATGATGATAGGAAGAGTGTGGTGTTTAAAAGGACGGAGAAAGTGGATACTTTGAGGAAGTGTTTGTTGAAGAAGGGGACACCGGTGAGGAGGTGTTTGAGGTGTGGGGAGGTGGTGGAGGATTTGATACCCAGCGCGAGGATGGGGCTTTGGTTGCAGAATGTTAGTAGGGTTTGTGTCTGTGGATGTTTGTGGATGCATGGGGATTGATGTGATAGTATACGATGGTTGAATGGATTTTTGAAAAATGGTATTATATTATGAGGGGGCGGGTTGAGGATGTATTGATATATATATATATATATATCATATTTATAGGCGTGGATTAGTGGTCTCTCTTTTCTTTTTTAATATAGAAAATCCCATAATATAATATATATGGCGATCAGTTATCCTGCCATCCGATAGTTTTCATTACTTCAGTAATTACACTTGGAAGCGACATTGAATCTGACTTGGAAGTCTTTCTCATATATAATCACGAAATCAATCGATCGAGCAAGACCGCCTTAAACTCGTTCCCCGGTATGAGACAATTGTTATTCTGTATTCAGCCCTTTTAAGCCCTTCCTTCTCTTTTTTCCTTTTCTTTTTTCAGCAAGATTATTAATTATTAATTCTCTCTTCCCTTTTTTTAAACCCAAAAATGTAGGCTCTGGACTTACCCCACCGCCCATCGTACATTGCACATCATTCTACCTCGTATCTCGCATCTCTCTCCCTAAAGACCCAAAAAAAAGGCAAATCGTATGATAATTCTTAAGTTTTCCCCCTGTCCTCCGGATTAGCATTACAACCATAGCAACTACTTTACTATTCCCACCCTTATTTGGTTTTTCCAATTCCAAGGAAGACAAAGGTAGTAGAGGGCCGAGGGAAGGGAGGAGGGAGGGAGGTATTAGAGGAAAGGTTCGGGATGATATTGGTGACAACAATATAATGTCAGAAACCTCTAGAGGGTTAATTCTTCCTTCCCAAAGAAACCAAAAAAAAAAGAGTATGCGTCCCAATAAAAAAAAAAAAAAAAAAAAAAGCGGGTGAACCAGGTGATCGCCTTCCTTAGCTTACAGAAAGTACCGGAGGAGATGTTTCTTATGTACAAATGAGAACATCGGCAAGGGGGAAGAAAGAGGTGGCGGTGAAGGAAGGGTATAAGGAGGAGGATAGGTATGTTGATGAATAATGCAATGAAAACGCCAATCTTGTTAGTATACATGGGCAATATGTATCCCGGAACAAGGTAAACGCTAAAACCACCGCCTATAGGTGAAAGGGCATCTGTAATTGTGGATGGCGGAGTGGATAATGCATGATAAGAAAGAGGTTGAAAAAAGTGGTCGAGACAGCAGATGGGGAGGCAAGAGAAATACCAACAGGTTGATGCGAGAGTTCCGGAGACCTAAAAAGAAACAGACGAGGCAAAAGAAATCCGATATCGAACCAGATCCTCCCTTTGTCTGTGCCTATGCGTTCATGGTAATATAGCAAGAAGGCGCAAGGCTTATAATAGGTTACACAACCTATATTAGTAGAACCAAAGTTAGAAAAACGTGGACTTACGAAAACGAGGATTGAGTTTGACGACGCAGGTGGCACATTACAACCGGAGCACGAAGCACCACTGTCGATCACATACCACTAGCACGTTTCTTCTAAACTTACTTCTCAATGCTGGTATTTCTTCAAAAATTCAGCTCTCTCGGCCTTGTAACGAATTATATCCTTGGCGCAGAGATCTTGGTATTTCTATTTGCGGGGCAAATAAGACTGTTAGATGGTCCACAATCATAAAATCTTCTTCCAGGGCTACAAAGATTCCGTACCTTCTTCTCAGCTGGGGAGGTGGCCTTCCACACTTCAGCCAGCTTGGCCATCTTGAGTTTGGGACCGACGTCCTCAACCAATCCCGAGTGGTATTTTTCCTGCATGAAGTAGACCCAAGCGGTACGAGGACGCTTGACCAATCTATCATCTTTGATCTTGGAGACGGGGTTGGAGCCCTTGATACCCTTCTTTTCTCGATACCCACGGATGCGGTTGCGAGCATGGTTGGCGGCCTCAATATCCAGCGGGTTCTGCTTTGCAAGCCATTGTGCATATGCAGCCTTCTTTTTGATAGATTCCTCAGCGGCACGGTCGCTCCAGACCTATTTGCATCATCGCAATCATCGTTAGTCTGTATCAAACAGCAAACCACTAGTTGGAAGGTTGACAGATTCCCACCTTCTTTTCGGCTTCGGAAAGGCCTCGCCATTTCTCAGCGACCTTCTTGGCCCTTTCAGAGCCCTTCAATGAAGAGTCGACGGTAGGAAGAGCCTCAATGAAGAAGAGACTGTACGAGGTGGTCTTCCTTGGTGGCGCGTCTCCCAATGCCTTGTCGTATTGGATCTGGATGCCGGGTTTCTTGACGACAGCCTTCTTCTTCCTAACGACCTTCTTCTTCTTTGGAGCTGCCTTCTTCTTCTTTGCGACTGGCTTCTTTTTGGTTGCAGTGCGACGAGTACCAGACTTCTTCGCAACGGTGCGACGTTTAGCAGCTGGCTTCTTCGTGGTTGGCTTCTTCGCAGGCGCCTTCTTCTTGGCAGCAGTGGTCTTCTTGGTAGTAGTAGTCGTGGTGGTCTTCTTGGTCGCGGTTGCGTACTCGCGAAGGACAAGGCTGGTCAAGAGAGGTAGATTGGCTTTCATGAATGGAGCAAAGGTGGCCTGGCTATTGATAGCATTGGCGGCACCGGACGAGAGAGGGCCGGAACGAGCAATGGCTCTGGCAACAAGAGCGCTGAGCTTTGGCAGCGACAGCCCGCTGCCGGCGGCCAGACGGCTTCTCCCGACTGCCAACATGATTGAAATGGGAAGTCGGAGAAAATGGGGGGTCGATAGGTTGTTTTATTTGATATTCAGGTAGCCAATACGAAGGATGAGATCGAGATTTCCTGTGGTATAACAAATTTTCGGATAATGAAAATTTGCGTTAGTGTTGACCTCTTCTGCAAGTTGATATCGGTTTTATCGTTTTAATTAGGAAATTCCAACATGAGGGCTTGTGTTTTCAATGCAATGTAATGATATCATATGCCAGGAGAGACACAATGGAAACTCAATTGGAAGCATAGACACATCCAGATCTGTAATTCTCCCGAACAATCCAGAGAAAATAGATAAACCCCGAAAAACGTGAAACACCAATGCGGAACAGAAAACAAGAGGGGCCGTACTCGGTGTTGTGGAGGGGCAGTGATGCAAGAGAGGTCACGTCGTCCACAATGCGCCTACCAGGCCCTGCACAACACCCGCCACCAAGCATCATTACATGCAGCTGTTAGCGACTCGGACGTTCCACACAGGTAGTCTCGAAGTCTGCATTGACGGTCATGGAGGGATTGCAGCACGGAGAGTAGACATACGGTACCTTTGGGAGCGACAGAAGTTTGAGACGATGCCGGCGACACCAGCGACGAAGGTAGAGGGGAGATGGAGATGATGCGATGATGAAGAGCAAGCAGATGTGGAGAGGAGAGGAGGGAGAAGAAGAGGGAGAAAGTCTGGAGAGGAAGACAAGTTGAGAGCAGGTGGCCGGTGGTGGGGAGAATTGTAGCGTTATTGTGTCGTCTGCCACCAACCGTATTAATAGCTAGCAATGCATGCAACGCTAATAATACCCAGCAGCCAGGACTAACTAGCCTGGGTGGGAGTGCCTAGCTAGGTGGTTTAGCCTGGTTGACTAACATGACTTCCTCGACAGCTATTTTCTGTTCATAAGCCTGGTTTATAATTGAATTGAATTGAATTGAATTGAATTGAATTGAATTGAATTTCATAAATTTTCACCTGACATGTCACCATTCAACCTTCAATTCTTCAGTAAAAGAAATTCCATATCGGATATATCTCAGGGTAAGTAGTACTACATGGCGGTGCATGAGCATGAGCATGTATGTAAGTACATAGTACATAGTACACATCAATCAAGTCGCTACTACTGGTAGACGAACGCTATAATACAGATGGCTGGTCATGAAGGAGGAAAGTATCCTTCCCTCGTCCTACTCTTTCTCTTCCATCCTAGCCAGAAATCAGGTAAAGGAAAGGAAACCAAAGGAAAGGGAAAGAATTGGGGGGAATGCGTTTTAGAAGCTCAGAAAGAAAGAAATCGGGACATAACAGAAGGGGTATAATATTACTAGAAAGAGAAAAAAAGAGAAGAGGAAGAAGAAGAAAGAAAGAAAGAAAGAGGAAAAAAAGAGAAGAAGAAAAGGAAATCAGATAAGTGGCTCAAGTAACGTTAAAAGAGAAAGATATTGAAAAGGGTGTGAAATATATATATAAAAGAACAAGGAAGTATTAATAAAAATACAGACCTCCTCGTGCGTGTCGTAGAGGATGGCATTAAATTTCGGTTTAAATTTCGCGTAAAGAGAGAAGGATGGAGAATTGTTAGACATCTTCAGTGAACCTCGATGTCTTGCTGCCGTCCTGGCTGGCAAGACTGCGACCGACACCATCGGGTCCAATCAACGAATGCATTCGACGGACGGCTCCCGGTGGGGGTGTTGGATATCTCGAACTTCCCTCCGGTTCGTTGACGAGAGGTGGTGGTGGTGGGTGGGGGCGGTCGCCGGGCCTGAGCGAGTACAGGCTCATCTTCGGATATGCGACTCACATGCGCCGGAGACCCAGACCTCATAGCTGTTCGCGCTGCACCTGGGTGGAAGGGGCTGGGTGTTGGAGCGTGCAGGATGTCATCATCTTGATAAAACGATCCTCTTGCACTGCTCGATGCCCCTCCCGCATGATGGGTTCCGCCACTGACATTCCGGCTACCGGTCTCGGATACCGATGCCCTGGCATTAGCCACGGCGATGCTAGCAGGGACCATGTCATCGCCGCCATACATAGATGGTAGCTTCCTTCCAGATATCTTAACGAACCCCCTCTCAGCCGGCTCGGCAGCTGTATCAGCTGAGGACCGACCGAATAAACCACCAGCCCCTAGTAATGTAGGCATTAATGAGGTTCGGGCCTGCGACATCCCTCCCACAGATCCAGCCCCGGTTTCCGCCGAAATCGCACGGTGGTGGCCACCTCTTGTTCCGGGACCCAAGATTCCGACGGTTCTTTCGCTAGTCCTCCGTCTTTTTCGCAACAAAAAAAGTAGCGCCCATAACACCAAACTAATACCCGCCAAACCGCCAAAAACGCCACCGAGGATCGGTGGGAGATTTTCATTGGCAGGTTGGTTTCCGCTATTAGAACCCAATCCAGCATCTGGGCTTTCAACCGAAGTTGGTGAGTCAAGTGGTGTGGTAGGTTCGCTTTCGGCGGGATATATTGTCGAGACAGCTACTTCAATCGAGGTGGATATCCGTGTTGATGAGTAAGGTGACGATGTCGATGTCGATGTCGATGTCGATGATGATGTACGGCGAGAGGATGGACGAGAGGTAGTTGAGGTTTCGAGCGATGTCGATGTTTTACGCACAGTGGTCTCAGTCCTCAGTATCCCATGGGCTGTCATATTCCTAGAGGGAACCATTGACGCCGATAACGTCGTAGGATAAACAACGGGAAGTTCACCAAGCGATACTGTCGCTTCGTCGAACGCAGCGGGTGTGGCCGATGTTGAGGTAGGGAACGTTGTAAATGTTGTCAGAGGACTGATAGGCGTCGGATATCCCGAAGTTAAATCTAATGACGAAGATGTAAGAGCGGTAGATGTTTCTATTGGCGATGAAGAATCCGCTGTCGACGTGCTCTCGGTCCACGTTGTCGTCGCCGTCGTCAATGCACCGGGCGTCGATGTTGGTTCCGCACTGCTGATTCCACCAGTCGCATCGAATGTAAACCATGATGAACTAACACTAACAAAAGTCGACCCCTCTAACGAAATCGTGGTGATCTGTAACGACAGTCCAATTGAGACTGTAACTGTCGCACCAGCGACACCAACAGGCCTATTCCTATCCACTATTTCGCTGACAATGACAGGTAAGGGAGTTGGATCACTCTCGGTTTCTTGTCGCTTAGCCACTACCACATTGCGCCGCCGATGCCTCTGGCCCGCGGCTGGACCCTTATCTCTCCTCCTCTCCAGCTGTCGCACTCTCGCAAGCGCGGTTTCCATATCGCGCTCGTTGGCTGTCGGTGTCCCATCCCTTTCATCTCCCGTCGCATCCAAGAAAGTCGCTCGCGATCCACGCCCCTGGCCATCCAGATTCCTTTGCTTAAAGCTCGGGATGTATCGCCTAATCCGCTCCCTCATCACCGCCTCGGACCACAGCAGGGGAGGCGGGGGATTTCAATACAACCTTATAGGGTAGATAATAAATGTTGCCGTATGCAAGTCGGTCTTGTTTTCGTTGTTGTCGGATCCGGTCCCTTGCAGCGATTCATTCGGACTAGTGATTAATATGGAACTTTGTGTGTTTCCTTTGGTGGTGGTGGGTGGTGGGCGAAAGCGAAAAGCAAAGACAGCAGTGGCTTATTTGATTCTAATATCACAGATATCGGGATTTCGCGAGAGAATTGAGGTAACGAACGAATTAACGAATGGTCGGGTCTGGGTCTGGATCTGGATCCAAAGCGATTGCTGTCAAAGACGGGTAATTAAGGGTCGCGAGGAATTTTGGGGGTTAGTGGAACGGAAGTCGACCGAGGCGAGCTATCCGTGGATGTACGTTTTGAAGGTATTTTTGGATATTGGAATCCGAGTGGCTGTCTTTTTTGGGGTTGTATTTTCGTCTGGATGTGATGGAGGGGGGCAGTTTGGAGGTATTATTATCGATCGGGGAACAACAATAACCAAAAAGCAAAACCCCGGAAAAAAACAAAATAGAACAAAAGATAAAATAAGAATAAACTAGAATCAAGGAAAATAAGGAGTGACTAAGTAGATAGTGAGTGAGTGAGTTAACGAGTGGGTGAACGAGCGGGCGAGTAAAGGAAAGAAAGTAAGAGCGTGGTGGTGGTAGCGATAGTGGTAGAAGGAGTGCAGTAAGAAAAACCCCGAAAGGAAACAGTAATAAAAATAAAAAATAAAAAAACAAGATAAAAAATAAAGTCAGCGGCTCGACAGAGGATTCCGTTCGAATTGGCGGATGTTATTTTGGGGGTTAAAGCTATTATCAGGAAGATGATGCCGAAAAATTCCTCATCTAGGAGCGGAAATTGCGGGTGGCACTTTCACTTTCCCTTCTGGTCGCTCGGGTTTTTTGGGGTTATTGGTTATTTCCAATTCGTTAAAATAAGGGAGCAGGAAGCAGGATCAGTTAGCTTCGGTATCGTCAGTCGCTCCAGCGATAATTTATTAATATTCAGAGGCTGTTCTCCTTTCGGATTAACGTTTTGAATTTTGTCGTGATGAACTACTTTGTACGATGCATATGGCGGCGTCTAATAGGCGTGATGTCCTGAGCGGTCATAGCTGGATGCGACCTTACTAATATAGTAGATGTGGAGGCGAACTCGAATCCGAACCCGAATCCGAATCCGAATCTGGATTCGATTTGAAAGTGGATTAGATATGAGAAGACGGACGGAAAGGAGACCCGGGTACTTTTTTAAAGTAGTAAGAACTGCTGTGTACTTGATGTCGTCGTCGCTGTCGCCACTAGGTTCGAGCCAGATCAGATAGTGAGTGTAGTATAGTATAGTATAGTATAAATACTAGTCGTCGACGCTTTCAAACTGAGATCGGTGCTAGCTGGATTATATTATAAGACTGATGATGATGGTGGTGGTGATGATGATGTCGACATGGACCGGCTGTACACCATCGATCTTAAACCGATGGAGGATGGTGTGTGGATGGCTCTTTGCCCCTCAGCTCAGCATGCAGTTAACCTGTCGCTCCAATTGCAACGGTCGCTCGTATTCTTCTCCTATGTTTCTTTCCTTTCTTTCTTCAAACTAAACCCAGGTTGACCTGATCCGACCCGACCTGGTCTGGTAAGTACTATAGATGTAACTATAGTTTAGTAAACAAGTCCAGGACGGAACCAAGAAACGAGCGAAAGAAGAGGAAAAGGAAAAGGAAAAGGAAAAACACACACAAAGACCAAAAAAAAAAAGGACAACCGGGAAACGAGAGATATAAAATGATATAAACCAAGAAGTCAAAAAAAGAAACGAGAGTGAAAGGGTGGGAAGGGAAGGGGAAGGGGAAGAGGGAAAGGGAAAGGAAGGCGGGGAAAGAAAAGAAAGTAAGAGCGAGAACGAGAACGAGAACAATCAAGAAAACAATCAGAAAAAAAGGAAGATTAATTGGAAGTTACTAACTAAAACCAAAGCCGCCTGTGATGTCGAAAGGGACTGAATTACTTACTTACAGTATGTATGCCTGTATGTATGCATGCATGCATACAGACAGACATGCAATACGTAAAAGATACCTGGTCTGGTCGAAAGCCGAAAAGGAATACAGCCGACTAGACTGTCAAAAAAAAGCACTCGTGAAAACAGAAAAGAAAAAAAAAAACAGGGACGGGAATGGCAAAGGATAAAACGGTTCTTTTGATTTTGACCCAGGCCGGGACAGGCGAATGTTAATTAAGTACTTACTTAATTATCAAGAATCTGATATTATTACTGTGGACCTGCCCCGTACGATTCGATTCGATATCGAGCGATAATTAAGGGTGTGTGCCAACGTTTAACGGCAGGTTGAAGACAGACCAGAATTGAACAAAATAAAATAAAATAAAAGCGGCTGAAGTGCAAACTATACTGTAGTTACTTAAGTAGTCAGTTATACATGTACTTACTTACTGGCGATTGCGTCTTTTCTCGACAGGTTCGGTGAAGTATACCAGTGCAGTACAGGCGAGATGGATATCCTTTCCGCCAGTGTAGACTTCCTTACAACCACTTCCCTGATATAAATAAAGGTGATGTCTGTAATATACGGACGCCACGACTTAAAATTAATATTTGCATGTAACCACCGCCGCCTGTTTTTTTTTTTTTGGACCTTTGAAAGTAAAGTAATCACCTTCTGCAACTTCACATCGGCTTAATTACGAAAATTGAACCCTGGCCATGGCCGTGGACTCGCGAACAACTTCTCACAAGAAGGGAAAAATATCCCCGTTAGCCTTAACTAACTAACGTTAACCTTCGATGGATTCTTTCTGGGGGGCTGAACATGCAAAACAAAATGCAACGGGAGAAAGAAAAAAAAAAGAAGAACGTGATCACAGGGTCCGGTCCCAAACTAGCTATAATAGCATACTATGTGCACCTGTGCGCGCTCGAAGGCCAAAATTATATCAAATCTGGATTCGAACGGGGTTCGAATGGAGTTCAAAAATAGGTCCATCGGCTGGATGCCCCGGGAGCCTAACTACTTGTTAACTACCAAGTGCTCGCAAGTCCCCAGTTCCTCATGCGGAGGAACCGTATCTACGCATGAGGTCGCTGCTCCATATGCAACCTGCGGTGCGTTAGCGTCGCTCCTCGATAAGAATCGACCGTCGGCCCTGGCAGCAATGACATGTCAGTCTGCAGTACCAAGACCGAAGACCCACCTTGAGAATCTCCCACGCTTTGTTCCGTGACCTTCTGATGACATTTTCCACAATTATTACTATGGTAGTAATAGTATCGTTATTATTTTTAACGAAAGGAGTTCTTCCAGTTCGCTAAAGCGGCTCAAATCCTTATTTCCATTTGGTCAAAACAAAAAAGAAGGTTTCCACATCTGCATCAGTAGCTGGATCAATTGGCGAATTACATGGCTGAAGATATCTTTTCCAAGAAACATTTCCCCCCTCTCTTCTTCTTCGAAGTCTCTAGCTCTCCTCTTTCTCTTCTCTTTTTTCGTTCTTTCTTTCTTTCTTGCCTTACAAAGCTGCAGTTGTTTTACCCCCAGCTCCTTCCTGCACCATTATTCACCCAATTCCCACGCGATTGGCGGAATCAAAAAGGATTTAAAAACATCAATTCTTGAACGAAAATCTCCCGCCTCGCCTCCACGCTCTCGGCCATACTCAATCACCCACCTTACATATTTGTGCCGGGTAGATACGAGTTCCATTCCCAAAAGAAAAGAAAAGGGAGAGGAGAAAAAGGAAGAATTCCTTTCGCATGAGGGGAGGAGGAGAAGAGTCCCCCCCCCCCCCCTCAATTGCCGAAATCGCATGCCTTTTGTAGCAAATAGAAAAAGATACCTGTCAAAGACCGTTTTTAATATAAAAAATTTTAACTCCCCACTCGAACTCCCAAAAAAGGTAGCCGCTCCGTTCACTAGTTAGCACTGGGTGTTATAATCTCGGTATGTAATGTATCTAAATGTCCTTTCCCCAGGCACCTCCATGAAACATGTGCTGTCCCACCGATTAAAGTACCGGTACCTGTATACTATCCCATCTCCTTTTAAATCTTCACGGAGGGGGGAACTCAACGTCCAGATCTTTCCTTTCCCCTACTTCATGCAGGTACGCGTGTATTCGGACACCCCTAAAATAATGAGGTGATTGTGCTCACCAATAATGTTATTATGAATGCTATTTATCTATCTATATCCCAGGAGCTGATACATATCTATGGAAATATGTACGTAGAAGGGATGTGTGTCTCCATAAGCTATGATTCGAATTGATTGATTCCAGCTTGGGTCGCTTGTTTCAAAAAAAACCATTCATGACAGGGAAACATAACTGACAGTTATATCCGTCCAATCCTGGCCTCATTATTAGTGAAATTATTGGTTGAATAGAAAGAAATAATAATATAAACCAAGGTAACACAGAGCTTGCAATTAATTATATATAATATCAGCGAAAGAGAAAAGAAATTCGGAGGAATTCCCTCTTTTATTTTATTTTTAATTTTTGTCCACATGGATGGGATGGGATGAATGAGTGGATTGTCAAAAATTTGATCGTCGACAGCAGATGGCGACGGTTATTGGTGCGACTGTAACCCCGGGTTAATTTGGATGGATCGAAAAGGACCTGCATCTACATCTACAGGATTTCTCTGCAGATACATCCTCTAGCTCTACCCACCAGTCGATTGAGATTCAAAAAAGGAGACCACCATTTTTAAGGTCTTGTGAGCATGAATAAATTATCGACAGAGCTAGCTACCTAACTAGCTAACTACTCCGAAGAATACTCGAGTTAGTTTTAGGAAAGGAGTTGCGGAGGCTTTTCTCTCTCCCTCCCTCTCTCTCTTTCTTTCTTCTCTTCTCTCGTGCCCTTTTAATTAATTTCACGAATTCGATCTACCGACCGTTCCTTTGGAATAATTGGTTCTCATGTAGCTGCCATATTTGGGGATCCATTGGTCCCACCCTTTCCGCGATCCGAATAACCCCAAGCGTGGTGATCTGTAAGATCTATGCCATATCTGTAGATATTGATCCTAGACAGTGTAGCATTCCGGAAAAGCCATGTCTAATCGATAAAGCCCGGTTTTAAGACATTGTCATTTTTAACTGGTTAGCTGCTTTTCTGGAAAGGATGCAGCCTTTTTATTTATTTTCACTTTTCTTTTTCTTTTTCTTTTTCTTTTTTTCTAAAAAAATTTTTTTTTTGACTTGGATAGGGTGCTGTATAGCGACCTAATATGTAGGCAAGTAGGAGGTATGTGAATATATCCCCGCACGGTCGTTGTATTGTTGTATTGTGTGCGCCAGCTTCTTGAATGGCTTAGATCTCTGGGTCGATGTCTGAAACCTTTGTTCCCCAGACGCCACTGAGATAGATCCCTACTAGTTAAATACTTACCTACCTAGGTAGCTATGGTTATGCGATCTTAGATCTTTTGTGAAGCAGCAGAAGCTATAGCTAGCGCTTGCCAATAACCAATCGTTGGACAATTCCGAGGTTGGGACCAGCAAGGAGGTCAAGTATTGCAAACAGGGTGGCGCTGGAATGTTAAACCTCGGTCAGTTTATAAGTCTAGATCTAGATCTAGAGCTGTCAGCAACTAAGCTAAGCGCGAGGTATCTAAGTAGGTAGCATAGTAGGCCCCGGGGTAGGTAGAGATTGTGCGAATGGGTTATAATTAACGGCATTGTTTACAATATCAATGTTTAGTGACGGTCTTAAATAAAATCCAAAGGCTGGCTAAGACCTCATCAACAACAGCATCTATACATTATGAGATTAAACCATCGGCCATGCCTTAAACCAAAAATCTAATAGAACAAAACACAAATGAAGACAGAACGACCATGGATCTGATGCTATTACATACCGTCCTAGCTCATGAAGAAAGTGTAAAAAAAAGTGACACCCCCTCAATATAGAAATATGATAATTAAACGTATATGAAGAGAACCCCCCGCTCGAAAGGACGATTCCATTATTAAACAGGCTTATCGACTTTATCCAACCTTTCCAGAATAGCATGTAATTCCTTAACCATCACCTTCCTCTTCTTCCTAACCTCCGCTCCATCGTCCCCATCGACATCCACGGAGTCCAACTTCAACATCTCACCCAAAACCGTCTCACTAAGTCGGTGATGTTCATCCCTCCGCTTCGCCTGATCTTCCGGTGGATTTGCTTCAAAGGCCTCCACGAGCGGAAGGACAGCCCCGGTAATATGCTTCCTCACAAGTTCAATCTTCTCCATCGGTGGGATAATCTTCTTCTTCGGTGGCTCAGGTGTATTCCTCGAAGACGATCCAGCACTCCCGGATGCCGAAGGGGGAGGTGCAAGTTTTGACTTGGACGCCATACACAGGATCTTAGCTCCGTGCTTAACTTTGAAGTCCTTCAACAGCGCCGCATCGTCTTTAAGATGACTTCCCGAGAATAACAATTTGATAGAATGTTCGTGAGAAAGTCCTAGCGCGTCCAGGACGGAGAGTCGAAGGTCTTTAACTGTAGTCTTGGTGTCTACTTCCCCCTTCGGGAAATTGATGCTATATGTCTTCGCACCCTGTTGAACGTATACTACATCCTCTGTTCTAGATTCATCGTCGTCGAACAGCGACGAGCCGGTAACGGATTTGAGGAATCGCTTCATCGGGAGGAGAAGTGTGATCGGGATGACGAAGATGAGGATGATGGTTAATAGGAGGTTGACGTCGGTTGTGCGAAGAGACGGTGGGAGGTGTGATTGGATGTATGCGAGTTCGTAACTAAATTTATGGGAGAGAGATGTGAGGTTTTCGGTGAGGACGGAGGATATCCGAGCTGGGAGAACAGTCTCCCAGAGATCTTTGGACGCCAGTTTGGAAAGTTGTTTCCTTTTTCTCTCCTGGTCTCTTTTTGTTTTATGGCTTTGATAGGTGGGTAGGCGAGTTGCGGTGATGACCACCAATTGGTGGCTATGACGATGGGTTGGTTGTGTCTTTTTTTTGTAGATGGATTGGGTTGGGAATAGGTTGAAGTTAAGGAAACTGTATTAATGCCAGATGCAGCTCCATGGTTCATTGTCGCCACGGATGTCGGATCTTTTCTTTCCTCTTCACCTTTTTTTTTTTTTTTTTTTTTTGGAACGAGGGAAACTTGCCGGATCGGGATACTAACCTGAATAGGAAGTGTTTAGGCCTGAAATGGTAGTCTTCGATGACAACAACTTCGGATGTCAGAATGCAACATTTCACATGTTGTTGATCTGATGTGTATATGTGTCGACGATGCACTACGATTATATGAGGCGGGTAATGAGACTATATGAAATATATAGCTCATCCGATTTTGAGATCTAATTATAGATTAGATTAGACATATGAAATCTAAGATACTCTATCTCATAAAACTAGATCTATAGATTTGACCTAGGAATTAATGTTCAGTACTGGCATCTTCGAAAATCCATTTCGACGTCAGTCAGCCCTTAGCTCAGGGAAAAGTCACTCGATATTGACAGCGCAGTATTTAGACTAAGCTGGTGATCAATTTATGCATAGGCCTATACTATATAAATAAAGAAATTGCAAAAAAGAATTCTCAAGCTATCTATAATATCTATTGATCACCTCAATTATAATTATGCCAGCAATTAGGACTGTCAAAGTTCGCAGTACTAGTCTCCAAATGTCATCTATCAAACCTAACAGCGCGCTATGCATGATCATGGTTTTGAATCCTGAAGATAGATTATATATGTTTGGGGATTGGCAATGTGCCCTGTATACTGTATTCTCTGGTTATAGATAATTAATCGATTTGTCTCGTACCCAGACCTGGAAGCTGCGCAGGAGGTAAAGAATTGATATATATGTATACATGTGATATTGGAGTTGTCTTTCCACTAGAACTATACGATCTGGAAATATGAGGGGTACAAATCGAGGCCTAGGCTTGATTGCAGAACTATCTTTCAATGTGGTCTCAGAACTTGATTTTTTTTGTGCCGCACACGAAATATGACATTGTGCGTTCTAGTGTGTCTACACACTGAAAATACCGCGTTCTGGACACTGAAAACGTCGTGTGCGGGACACTGAAATCTTCGTGTACTTAATACTTGTTACGATTCGTATAAGACATAATTATGTTTACTAACAGTTAATTTTCAGACCTTTGTGAGTGATAACGTCGATATCTTGTCTCGTACCCAAACCTAGAAGTCCTAAGACCTCAAGTTCCGCCGCTCGAGTGGGACTATATTGATGCTGAACTTAAGCCCGTGAGAATAAATTTCATGCTGTTAGAATTAGAATGTTCACCACTGTTGTAGGGATGTCTCAAGAAAAGACCGCTATAGCTATAATACGAGTAATAGTAATGCAGAACTGGATGAATATTGATATGAAGGTGCTAATATAGGCAATATAATAAGAACATATATACGTACCGACTCCGCACCCACCGGTATTAATTATCTGGGAAATAAAATAAAAAACAAGATAAATTTAAAGTTCAGAGGTCGATTATATTATGTTAGGACTTACGTGGGAGAAAGCAATAGGTCAGCCTCGTGCCCTACGTATATCCCAGTTTTATATTCTATAGATCTCCATCTTGTGACGTCTGGGTATCAGATCGCAAATTTGAAGTTTGGGTTCCCAGCTCGTGTATTCAATACTAGACTCGAGTATGTAACCTTGGGCCGGAATATAAAAAGGAAACCTAGGACTATACTATATAGCTATCCGGCGCCGCCTTGGACGGGTTTGGGTCCCAATTCGGTATTAACATTATAATATTGTGACCCTCTAGAATGAAATTCACACCCCGGCGGCATCGATCTTCAGCCCCGCTCCCTCCGTCCCAGATAATAATACGGAGTACCAACCTCGGATATCGGTGCTCACGCCACAACCCCGCCATTTATTAATGACTATAATGATCTGTTACCCCCATCCGGTCAATCCGATCGCGCAAATGGCGAACGAAATAGACTATCACTTAGAGGGTCCAGGTATCCATGTAAATCCTATGCACCTAGGTGATATTGTCGGACTTGCACAGGAATAGGGACTAGGAAAGGATCAAAGGAGAAAGGAGATCGACTACTTCTATCGATACTAGCAGAGGAGTTTTGTGACGATAGGTGCAGCTAAATGGTAGCATTATATTGCCAAGTTTTTAAGAGTTTGAAATGGCCGTGAAAATAATTTTGTTTTATGTGATAGGCAAAATGGTTACTTTGGGTGATGTTTAGGCGCCCCTGTTTATAATTACGAGACTGCCATGGACTTACGTACCCACTTGACGAAATTAGCAATATGTTGATGGTACTGTATTTACGGTTATACTATTCATACAAACGAATCTAATTTCTTAGTAGTAAGATTGTCAATATTGGTAAATTATTTTTAATATATAAATGCAAAAAGACCCCCCCCCCCCTACTGTGTACTATGTAGAAATCGTCTTGTGATCCGAGGTTACTGAGCTCTAGGTAGAAGGTTTTATGCAATGCATGTTGGATATAATATAGTATCTGTTGTGGTCTCTGCTGCCTGCGCTATGAACTAGTAACAAACTGCTAGTCGCGGCTACAATTTCCCGTTCCTTTCACGAAACAGTTTGCGAAGAGATATTTGAGGGGTAGACTTCTATTCGAGAAGTTATATATATACTGAGAAGATATTTTCGTTCAGTATGCATATATGTGGATCTAGACTCACCTTCCTAACATCGCGATGCGTTGTGTGGCGTTCATAAGATCGGGATCTGGTCTCAGGCTGCGGCTTCGGTTGTTTTACATGTTTCTATCTTTTGAGTCGAAACAGAGTTAGAACACAGCACTGTTCATCTCGCGGGTCGGGTTAGTTGGCTTGGATGTAATTGTTCACATGGCAAGTGCGACATTGTGCGACTCGAATCGACTCGAACCAGTCTAACTTGTTCAGCTGAGCATCGTGTTTACCACAATTCCGCAGTAGCGTCGGTGGTGTCGACGAATCGCAGTGCAAAGATATCTGGCCCGATGACCGCCCCTTTTCACCCCTCGCTTGTCAAAGGGTAGATGCAATAGAAGAAGTGATGTATGCATAAAATCCAACCAGCTGGGTTCTTCTTCCGCCTTATTAGTAATTTTTGATTGGCTCCATATTTTCCCTTTTTCTTCCCCTTCCCCACCAGGTTCATACCCTCGATAAAATATCACAAGGGTTTAATTTTGTAAAAGCCGTTGGGGACGAAAATATCAATGCCGCTGTTGATCTTTGACGAAAAGTAATGAGTGAATGTGGGACTAGAATCAAAGGTCGCTAGCAACCCTGTCGCAACCGTTGTCTTGGGTATGGATGTGTGTATTTTCTGCAAAAGAATGAGGCGCGAAATTCGCCGGGGAGGGCACATCAATACGTATGCGGATGATTCTTTTGAAGCATTTCGAGGTTAACGTTGTGACCCTGGCCTGGAAAAAAAAAAAAGGAAGATTCCCTGCGTGGGAGACCCTGGTTACTGTACGTTCGAGGCAGCTTCTTAACCCCCGCCTAGCTAGCCTGGTCCGCCCATCGCCTGCAGTGTCTCGACGTCTTGCTCCACCGGCATCGCTGGGAAGGGCCTGCGGCATACCATCCGTTCCTGAAAAGGAATAACCCCATCCCTAGGCTTCGGTGCCTCCCTTCTTTGAAAAGATGGCCCCATCGTCCCTTGATGGCCTCTTCCTTCCCTTCCTTCACCCCCCATCATATCTGCACTGACCACAGACTACGAGCTCACATCGTCCAGAGTCTTTAGAATTCGAACTTGTACGTTCTTGTGGTCGGGGCTCGGGCTTCTCTCTCATATCGCAATAAAACATCAAATTTCGTCCGGACCCTCCCCCTTCGGCCTCTTGAAAATTTCTGGAACCCAAGGCGGTTGCTTGGTTGGCCGCCCAGGTTACTTTGTCAAAATTTGTTCGGATCAACGTATCGGAATCCACGAGCTTAATTTCCATATTACCTATCGCGTGTTAGTGCCAGGTTTCGAGATTCAATAGCACTCTGAACTAAGAGCCCTCATTTGCTGTTGCTGACCTGACAAGACAGCAGCCTGCCGGGCTGTCTTCTGTGATTCTGTGCATTTGGCGAGGGTCTTAAGATTTGGGTTTCCCCTTTGGATCCCCTCGGAGGCAGGCTTTTCTTTTTGCCTCTGAGTCTTGTCGAGTCTTGAGCCTTGAGTCTTCGAGTCCTGATTCCTTTGCAGAGTTGTCTCTCATCGGTCAGCTGTTCTGGTGTCTCTTCTTAGGTCCGATCCGTGAAGAGGTTGAGTCGAGTCGAGTCGATAGATTGCATTGCATTACAGCACTGCGCGCATTTGGCAGCAGCACATCGTCTCCCTCGATTTGGCTCGCGTAGAGTGCACAGTATTCTGGTCTGCTCGTCGTCTCCTTTCTCGCTCTCCCATCCACCTTGACATTAATCCTCTCTCACTCTCGATCTCACCCTCTTTCGCTTCGAAATCCGGTCAACTGCACTGCATTTGCACACCTCTTGTCTTTGTCTTGTCCGACTGTTCCGTTTCTTTTTTTTTTTTTTTTTTCCTTTCTATTTTCCTTTCCTTTCGGTTCCAGATTTTGTTCTCTTGACTTCGTCTCTCTCTCTCATATCTGCTGCATGCTGCATTGACTGCGGTTACCACCAAAACTACTATCGGTTTACCACATCGTTAACTATACACAGTTGTTCTTGTTTTTCGTCTTCTTTTTATCTTATTCATCGTTGAATATATATCTTTTTCTGCTTCATTATCATTTCTTATTTTATTTTATATCTTTCATTCTGCTTTCTCTTTTTCTTTTTCTTCAAATCTTTGTTGCGTGCATTTGCTAGGTTTCTTTTTGCTGCAGCCATTTCCTCTCCTTCTGAGAAGATATCTCCTTCCAACAAACCCGCCTCCTCAAAATTATTCTTCATCACTTCAACCTCAACCTCAACTTCAATTCTCATCATCTCCAAGGTATCTAACTAACTAGCTAGCTAAATACCTAATCTCAAGTCCCCTGTCCCGCTACTTCAATTGCTATCCTCGTCGTTCTTCGACATCTAGTTCGTCTCCTTCGACCAATCTTCCATCCTTCTAGCCGCCTTCCTCTTTGCTCCTGGTGTATGTTGTGCATCAACTTCACCATCATCGATCACCCTGGACTCTTATGACATCCGCCGGTAACATTTAACAGCCTCCAATTTCGCATTCGTCAGACATCTTGCATCCAAAAGAAGGAAGACTCATCACTCTCGGTTCGAAACACCACGGAGCATTTTCTCGAGTTATACCTCTTTTCTTCTATTTTGACAGGAGATTTCAACACTCACTTGTTTGCCTAACCTCCTCGACAAGTCATATCACAGTAGCGCCCGCTGTATTCTATCGTGGCATACATCTCTAGTGAATTGGTTGTCGACCGAAAATTGGCGAACGGCCAACCAGAACGAATACTCCTGATCAGAATATCCACTTTTACTTCTTCACCCCACATCCATCGTCGACGCAGGACAGTTGTTAACAGGGAGAAACGTCATCACAGGGAGGCGAATACTTTCGTTCTACCCTCCCTTGACGGAGTAACCCTGAATCGTTAAAAACCACCAAATCAACACCCCAGAATTCAGACTTGACATTTCGATTCGCAGGCCACAAGCGAATTGCCAGGACCCTTCATTCACAATGGCAAGCATCACTGCATCTCGAGGTGTCGCTAGCATTACCCCGCCGTCTTCATCGCACGGTCATCGCGATTGGGAATACTCGGTTCCCATCGATGCTCCTGTGAGTGTTTCCATTTACAGCTGATAATTCGCTTGAAATACAGCATCTTGTTGCTAATTATAAATATTTTCTCGTTGTTACAGGAAGACGACGGTAATACCTACTACAGTTACACCGGCAACAGAAACGGGGGCGCCAGTCGTTCTAGGACAAGCTCTGTGACAAAGCCGAAGGGGGTGGAAAATCGGAAACCGTCTTACAACAGATCCAATAGCGATTATGCGAGGGATACCCCGAGGAATGCTTATCTTTCTAACGCAGCCGAAATTTCTCAAGACGATTTCCTAGTCGCTCCTCGTGCTCCAGCTTTGTCTAGCCGTTCGCCAAGCAGTGCCGATGGCCGAGACTCCGTTATCGATCTCTATTCAAACAACCGATTGTCGACGATTAGTGGTGTCACCGAAATCCTACCGAATATCAACAGTTCAGCAACCGCCATGTATGATCTTTCGGGCGACATTGATAACAGAGAGGCTTCTAGCTGGATTCACCGCGATAAGTTGATGAGAATAGAGTCTGTCGAGTTCAAGAAAACCCCTACTTCAAGTGAGGCATGGGTCAAGACTGCATCACGAAAGCTGTCTCTAGGTCGCATGTCGGAGGCTCGTGGCAATTCAAATTCACAGGCTTGGGAAAATTCCTTTGAGAGGAGTGGTGAAGAGGATTCTGGAGTTTTCGATGATAACGACTTTGACTTAAGGCTTCCGGAAGAGCGTGAAGCCGCACGTGAAGCCGAACTTATCGCACAAAAGTTGGCCGCAGCTCGAAATAAGTCGAATACTCCATCGAAGATCCCCGTCAACGTTGCTTCACCAGCACCGATCCCGTTGCAATTCTTGGAACGAAACTCTCCACTGAAGAGAGCAAGATCTGGCTCTATCGATGAAGACGAAGTGCAGAGCATTTCGTACCCCGCAACGAGAACTAGATCCCAAACACTCGAGTCCGAAGACCCACCAGTTACGCCACCAGAGAAATCTGCCCCGGGAACTGCAAACTCGTCTACCCCTCCGAATCGGACGACTCGTAGCTTGTCTAAGAGCTCTCCTCGCCGCCCGTCCAGCTCTCATAGGGCATCGGCGGCTGGTGGAAAGAACCTTCCGAAACTAAGAACCGCATCAGCATCTGGAAACCGAGGCTCTGGCGGTAGCGGGTCCGCTAGCATCAATGCTGCTCCACAACATAAGTCTCCTGAAGGTCAACCACCATGGGCAGTTGCTTCATATGCGCCAGATCCAAAGCTACCCCAGGACCAACAAATCATTCCGACCGTTGCAAAGAGATTACAACAAGAGGAATGGGAACGAGAGGGCGCACCTGCTTCTGTTTTCGATAGGGACTTGAGGCCTCTGAAACTTTACGAGAAAGATATTGAACCAAAAGAGGCCATCAACTTTGGGGAGCAGAGTGCTCAATGGCCAATATCAAATGAAAAGCAAAGGGATCCTCCACCGATGGTGGTACGTAAAAGCCCCTACCCTTCTCTAACAATGATGCTAACATACATACAGGAACCTAAGAAGGAAATTCCGAAAATGGAGTCTCCAAAGATTCTTCCCAAGGCACCACGCTCGGAATCACCTCCCCCAAGACCGCCTTCTAGGGAGCCTATCCGTGTTAAGGATCCTGACGAGGTTCCAACCAAGGGCAAAAAGGATAAGGGATGTTGCGGTTGTTCGATCATGTAGTCAACTATGCTGCAAAACAACAACCTATCTATCATTCCATCACGGCTTGTCGATTCGATATTCAGCAATTTCTCGATCCTTTTCTAGCAACCAAAAGCACAGCGTTAGGCGAATCTTGGCGTTTGATTTGTTCTCCACCCTTTTCCCAATATTCGACTCGGACTTTTTGATGATAACCTATATCCCGGGCGGGTGTTTCTCTTTTGTCTTTCGAGATCTACTCTTGTAATCCCCTACGTCTTCTCTAACGGCCTTTTTTTAGATACAGTCTTTCCCGCACCCGCAACATTTTTTAAACGTCTTTTTTTTTCTTGTTTCATTATCCCTCTTCTTCCTCCTAGTTGTATATTTTCTCATCCAAAGCTCTACAGTCTCCTTTGTGTATTATTTCATTTCATATCCTACTGGCACTCGCATTTCGAAGGCCACATATATTTCCTGGATAGCGACGCATGCATCCTACTCCCAGGACACACACACACACTTATCCGACCTTTGACACTACGACATTTTGTTTCCTTTACTCTTTGCTACTGCACTCATCTCCAATATTTTCAGCAGCCTTGGTCTCCGAATCTTTTTTTTTTTTCAAATTTATTTCCTTTTTTATTTTTCCGTTTTTCTCATTTGCCAAAAGTTGTTCAAGAACAGCTTCCAAAGTATCATTCTAACACCTTTTTCTCATTTTCCCCCGGTCTCGTCTTTCTACCTCGCCCGTTCGAAGCTGGTATCGTATAACGGTCTCTCCTTGTACCTTTGCCTCTTGTTTTCGAAAGTTTACTTAGATACTCCGACGTCCAACTTATATCCATATACATCTATCTTTGTCTCTTTTATCCACTTATTTTGTTTTTTCCGCAAATATTGTTTATTAGAGCAACCCCCCCATTTTTTACCCCATAACCTATCTCTAAATGAGTCAAGAGAGACATCGAGTCCTCTTCTCGTCTAGAACTCAAACCAATACTATACCAATCATTACAAAACTGACCTTTATTATCATATCTTCCTCTTATACCGACCAATATCCGTAAAGTATGTGCGGTTCACCACAAACAGGCTAACATATCTCCCCCAAAAATCTAAGATCCCAAAAGCAACAACCCTTTCTTTCTTTCTTACGACCTAACCTGCCTCAACGGCGTTCTCATCGCCGCTGGCGTCCTCGGTGCCTTCACGGGTGTCCCCACTGGCGTCCTAACCGGTGTATTAGGCTCACTCGCCACCACCCCTTCCACTACATCTCCAACCCTTCCGACACCGACCACACACCAATAACTATACTCCACCCTTTCCCTCTGCACTGCTCCACCCGACGCTCCCGAATGGCTCGGTTTCCCTCCACCTCCTTCCTCATCATCCCGATCAACCTCGGCTTCAAACTCAACTCTAACGTAAATCGGAATCTCCAACAATCTCTCATCGCGTATCCTCGTATCCCTGGTATCCGGAATCTCCGGTGGAACAACCTCAATCACCACACTCGTATAATTCCGTTTTTGTTCATAAACAGTCGACATTTTGGGATCCTTCGAAAAGGAAGTGAAAGATCCGGTAGTAGGTGGTGTTTTCACACCAGACGGAACGGCACTAGCGGGTTTGGTACTCATCAATGCATCGTCCCAAACGTCTGTGTTAGCACCGACATCGAATTCTGGGCATAAAATCGTAACTCGACTTGCGAATGCGGTTCCGGGGGTTCTTCTTGGGGTTAGTAAACTAACGCTGATGGGGTCGAATAAAGGGTTTGTGACAGTTAGTAGGAATCTGTGGGTTTTGTGGGGGGTGAGGTTGTCCCAGGTTATCGAGGAGTCGAGACGTTTGATGGTTAGGGATGGGATGTAGTTTAATGCTACTAAGCGGATTCTGAAACGTGTGGTTTGGACTTTGGCTTCCGGTTTGACGAGAATATGGCGGCAAGCACGGCAGCGTTTTGAGCGCTTGGTGCGGAGGAGAACGGCAGTGGGGGTTAAGTCCCTGGTACAGCTGTTAGTAACAGGTTCGGATTAGCACACATTATGTGAGTAGCTTACGATAAGAACCGTGGATCGTGAGGTTGGGCTAGTCGCTGTTTTGCAGTTGTTGCTTTTCCATATCCGTCAGCCTTCTTCCTACCATGAGTGGCCAGAGCAACTATGCACTTACTAGCTTCTAATCCTTCTACCGCCATACGCTCTATAATATCTAACTCCTGATCTTCACTAACCTCCCTCGGCCTGTCAACTTCCTTCATCTCTAGTTTCTTCACACCTCTTCCTTTCCTACTCCCGCCATGGCCTCCACTGCCACTTCCAAGACCCGTGTATAGACCCATCAGCCTCGTTAACGCAGCCGGGGAATTAGTAAAATCCTCTTGCGCATTACCAAGTTGTTGGGCATAGTGCTGTTTTAACCGGATGAACTCGTTATCCCGTGGTGAATGTGTGAGTTTTGAAAGTTGGGCGGAGATCGAAGTAGGTTTTTCGAGTTGGATTGGTGGTGTGAGGTCTGATGTCGTCCAGTGACAGTGAGAACAGAAGAGATTGAATGGACCGGTTGGGTGGTCTGAACTCGAATGTCCGGATGAATGGTGTACCGGCACGACGGCAAGTAAGGCAGTGCATACTGGGCATAAATAGCAGTTCCTTGTGCATCTGTAGTAGAAAAAGAAACAAATATATTAGAATAACTCGATTCAAAAAAATTAAAAAATAAAGAATCATGGAATATGTGTGAAAGTAACATAGCGGAGTGATTACCTTACCGATTTCCATCACTTTTGACGGTCGAACTAGGTACCTCGAAGAGACAGCTGGGACAGTACCAACACACGATTTCATCCTGTACACATCTAGGACATCTTATCTGATGACAATCTTCGCAGTATAATAAATTCTCGATAGGGAATAGCGAGAATGCAGACCGTGGGTCGCGTGGGTCGAAGTTATTGTCATCGTCTTCGTCGGTGAGTTCTTCTTCATCATCTGAGTCGAGATTCAAGTTTCCAGCATCGAATGATACGGATGGAGTGAATCCCGCTAGAAGGCTGCGCCCTTTGGTGGGTGAGTTAGGAGCTATGGGTGAGAAGTTGAAGTCGCGTTTGGAGGGGGATTTGGAGGGGGATATCGGCCGGGCGCTATCGATTGTGAGGGTTTGAGGACGGTCTTCATGGCACGGGCATGAGATATGAATGTATGGGAATGAAGACATCGTCTATTGGCCCGATCGAAGGTAGTCGATGGTTGATGTTGAGATAGAGGCCTTCAATTGGCCGAATAGAAGGATGGAGGTTGGTTTGGGAGAGGTTATCGATATTACAATCGGGCGGGCTTCGCTTGAAGCTTGACAGCTTATCGAGAGAGCTATCCAAATGCAACAATTTCAACACGGTTTCTACAATGTTGGATTTTACTTGTTCAAATTTTTTCTTCTTCCGGTATGTCAATTTATGGCGTTATCCATTTATCATGATCGCCGAAAAAGGTAAAATCTTTTTTCTATCCTGGAGTAAATACCAGCGGTTGTCTTCTTAAATTGATTGGATACCTGTCGACTTAGTTCCGACCCTATATTACGTAAATTCGTGTCTTCATGAAATGTAGTAATGTAAGGGCGAGAGAATAGTACTTCTAGGCTGCCATCGTTCATACACATGATAAAATCTAGACCTAAAAACCCCGGGCATTGAGAGACTCTAAAAAAAAGACTTAAGGAAAGAAAAGGAATTTACCTTCGTTTTGACGTAACACTAAACCTCGCTCCTAGGAGGTATGGACTATGATTGGTACTTAATCCAGCTTGATGAAACACTCCTTCCCTACGTGTTCGGTGTGTTCTGGGGTATACACCATTCGATTGAAGTTTTAGTCGTATTTCTAAAGATAGCTAGCCCTATAGCTGGTCATATGGAACTCTGAATTAGAGGAATTGTGAAGGCCGTGCATTTCTACATTCAAGGACCCTGCGTAAGTATGTGTGTAACATGTCCTGCATTATCGATATCGATTCGCACGCTGATTGGTAATTGGAGTACTTCCAATTGGCCAGTCCTGCCTATTCCAAGGTCAGGGTAGGATAAATATTCAGACTCTTTATAAATTTATCAGTTCTTATCCATTGAATCACAAAGTTTCTTTAGAAATTTACGATAGCCATCGGGGTGTATACATCCCACCCGCTTAGCTCCTGGGGTCTGGATTTTCAACCAGTATGAAGGAAAAAGCGACCAAGACACCGAACTACGGGACAATATTGATTTCCAACATGTATAGTATTATACTAGAAGAGAACAAGCTCACAATAAATAGCATTTTATCTGTAAAAAGGGCTTATTCTAGAGGGAATTAAGTGTTGCGGCTGTTGGATCCTAGAGTCGAAGAGGGGCTGATATCACGGCAGATATATATGTCATTCTGGACACCATAATTCTGCCTCTCATATGATAAGTACGCGTTCTTGACGGGGGTTTAATAGTTATCAAGCCATCATCGGAATACTTCTTTACACCAAACACGAACACTGTTGTTGAGAACCTCGCACTCACTATTGGGCATCAACTCGTCTATGCGACTACACCCCGCCTCGAGACACTATAGCTTGTCATCTTAACTAACGGCACGTTACTAGACTTTTCTATACCTCATATCCTTCAAAAATGGCATCCAGTTTCCCAAAATATAAACACCCAACTGGCCGTTACTTCATCAATGAGGCCTTCAGGAAACCCAAACTCATGCAGTCCATGCCTAACCCTTACGATAACCTCGTCGCGTCCCTCAAAAACATCCTCGATATCTGCCCTCCAAGTGTTCCTTGGACCGGTAGCTTCGCCGGAGGCCTCTACTTCGGTATTTTCGCCGGTCCAACCAGTATTGCCTTCCTTTTCCTCTGGCTATCCAAGACTCATCCGGACTTGGCCATCCATGGGCTCTTTCCAGCCGATTACTGCAAGGCATATCTTTCCCTCCAACAAAATACATATTCATCAGAGGAAACACCACGCTCCGGATGCAGCTTGAACCATGAGTTCATGTGCTATAATGCTGTCAAGGCTTGCCTCACCAAAGACATCACCTATGTTCAGAAGTTCGCTGAAAACATCGACAAGCTAACCCTTCGCCCGACTTTTATGGAACTTCTCTTCGGCAGAGCCGGGTTGCTCAGTCTCATGCGTACCATGAAATATTGGTTCCCAGAAAGCAGCGAGATTCTCGACCCAGAGATCGAAAAAGTAATCCAGCACTGCCTCTCATATGATCCTTGGACTTTTGGAGTCCGTCCAGACAATCAAAAACGTTTCATCGGAGCAAGTCATGGCGACATCGCAATTATATCAAATATTGTGATGACAAACCCTGCTTACGCACCAAAAGTACAAGGTAGATTGGAAAAGATCCTTGCCCTGCAAGCGGATAACGGCAACTGGCTCACTTGCGAAGACGAGGGTGAGGATCTTGTTCAATTCTGTCACGGAGCACCAGGTATGATTTGGTGTTTGATTCCATTGAGGAAATACTATCCAGACCTACGAGAGAAGATCGACGAAGCGATTGAAAAAGCGCGAGGATTGGTCTGGGAGCGAGGTCTCCTGACGAAGGAACCGTGCTTATGCCACGGCATCACAGGAAACGCATTTGCTTTAGCGGAACCCCAGAGAAGCCACTTCCTGCACTATGCCACGCCATCTTTGGTCCGAGCGGGGCTTTTGGATGGAACCCTGGAAGGAGGCAGCGATAACAGCGGGGTTTGGTGGTCAGAAGCCAGCCGAGCGTGGGGTTGGATGATGCATGACTACGACAGAGCCGGGTTGGGTGATTCGGTGGAAGACATTGGGTATCCGGGAGCGACGAATCCGTAAATCGAATCAGCTCGAGTGTTTAAGCTTCCGAGTGAAGTTATCTTTTCGGGAACTTGAATTCGAAAAGGGGAGATGCCGACAACGTATCATGCATGCTTTATTACTTGAAACGATCACAAAATTGTTTTTCTGATACTCTCGTGCCTGCCAATTGCAGCTGCAACAGCAATCGACAATCACCATGATCATGATAACTTACCCAATTACAACCTGACCGTGCTTACATGTATTTACGTATGTATGTATGCATGTATGTACACGAGATTAAAGTTACGTTACTTAAGTAATTAATTGGTGCAAGAGTCTCGAATCAATTGCAATTTGAATTGAACATCCATTACAAATCGCCGTTATATTAATAGCGACTGCTGAGTGGCCAGTGCATACGTCCTGACAGAAAGAAAAAAAGGGAAAGCAAAGCTTAGCGCGGCAAAGCCGGAGCCATGGCATTGGGTTCTGTCGTCATCGATAGTTTTTAATTGTTCGAAATCTGTCTCATCCGATTGCAATTGCTTATAAGGCCCAACCAACCCAACCAACCTCCTCCTCCTCCCGGATCCCCCCTCAGACCTTCTCCTGCACACTGCACTGCACCCCACGCCAGCTCTCCCTCAGCTTGTATCTACGAAGGATACTTCCAGGAAGGAGCCAAAAGACCAGATCCTGCTTCTGCGGTTATCCCGGACCATCAGCTACCTACAAACGGTCACTTGGGCAGGTGCATAACATTTGTTACTGGATTGTAGCCAGTTACATTACATTGGGCCACAACCTCAGCGGCATTTTTGTTCCCTATCGACTGTCAACTATCCCACCACCACCACCACCACCACCACCACCAACCGCCAACCTCCACTCCACCACACTACACTACACTACACACCGCACTACACACTGCACTGCACCCACCGAAGAACGGTACCAAAAAAGGAACTCCAAAAAGGAAAAAAAAGGAAAACCCCACAAGATCAAGACTACAAAAGGGCACCTTTCTCACCGTCACAGATCTGGTCTTTTTTTCTCCTTCTTTCATCCTATATCTTAAGTTCTCCCTCTTATCGTCCGAGGATCGTTTCGCCAGATCCTCATCTTTCGCCCACCATTTCGTTCATACGTCGACTCTTCCACGGATCTCATTCCGCATCTCCACAAACAGCCATGGCAGCCAGGGTTAGTGTCGCATGCCCCTCTCATCCCATCTCATCCCATCCCATCCCATAATCACGCCTTACATACATAAGTTCTCAAGCGAAGGCCGAAAAGTGGGCATTCTTTAAAAAAAAAAATTGCAGATGGTGGCGGCCGCCGGTCGGTCGGTAAAAACAATAAGGCTCATTCCTCGCTAACTCGGAAGTTTTTTCTTTATTATTATGACGAAATAGGAAAAAGCACAAAAACTTATTGACGACAATGCCGTCATGGTATTTTCCAAATCCTACTGTCCTTACTGCAAGGCCACCAAGACCTTGCTTAGGGATATGAATGCTACATTCGAAGTTTACGAACTGGACAAAGAATGTAAGTTACCACCTGATGCCCGATCTTTTAGTATGGGAAAGACATGAAATACTAATGGCAAATTCAAATTCCATAGCCGACGGCTCTGCCATCCAGGATGCTCTTGAGGAGATCTCCAATCAGCGAACGGTGCCTAATGTCTTCATCGGCCAGAAGCACATCGGTGGAAACAGCGACCTACAAGCTCTAAAGAAGACTGCTCTTCCGGGAATGCTTCAGAAGGCCAATGCTTTGTAAAAAAATAAAAATAAAATAAAATAGGACACAAAATACCCTTGTACTACAACTTCTTTTTTAAAGCAGAGGCTCGATATACCCTCTACTGGTTTTTTCTTCCTTTCCTTTTCTGTTTCAACATAACGATGATAAACGCTTAAACTTGCATTGGAGGCCGTTTTTCCTTTTCCTTCTTCTTCTTTTTTGTGGGCTCTTCTTTCTTCTGTCTTTGTTTTACAAAATAAACATCCTTTCTGAACTCAGAATCGAGGGTCAATTTCACAGGGCTTGTTGACATCAACGTCTTCCTCCCCGCCATAGATCCGATGGCTGTCCGGCATTGCGTATTCCATTTCATGCGTTTCGTTTCATTCTCGCGCGTAGTCCAAATTACATGCATAGACCTGCCGATAACCAAACGACCAATGACTGACTGTCAATTCCTCCCTATCATATCGTATCATATCGTATCGTATCGTATCGTATCACTTTTTTTGGTTCCTTCTCGAAATCAAAATCTTATGTAAGACCAACAAAAAAAACCACAGTATCGATATCTTTCACATGATTTTCTACGTAACCAATTGCACTTATGCACGCCATCTCATGCACCTGTCGACAGCTGTCTGTTTCACTTAAAAAGTGTGGGTTTTTTGCATAATTTATATAACAAGTACTTCCTTACTTATTTGCTTAACTCCTTACTTGGAAATAAATCCGCTGACCACGAGACCTCATCCCCAGCTAGCTTAATTGAACATTTAAGAAGAAGAAGAAGAAGAAGAAACCGAAAAAAGAAGAAGTAATCCAAGTATATTATCCTGCAGTGGACTGTTTCCCTTAATATTTCACGAGAGCTCCAGCGTGCAGCTAAGCTAAAAGTACCTGCTATAGCACTAGCGGCGTTTTAAGTAAGAAAAACGACCGATCGATTCCTCGGAATTATTGCCGTAAGGACCCATCGATAAGAAAAGAAGGAAAGAAACATACATAAGTGATGTACTTTTACTTAACATTTGTTTTGCGAGAGAACTTAAGGAAGGCTTGTTTCAAGGATGCGTGTGTCGGATTCAGGCTGATCAATGCGCATGTTACTGCTATAGCTATAGCTAAGAAGTATGTATGTAGCAAGTACGCAAGTTGTCAGTAAAGATGATTCGAGGTGGCTCTGAATTAAGGCGCATAAGTTCTCGTCACGTGTAGTTCGTATGGTTTGTCGGTATTTTTCTCTCTCATCCTACAGAAGGATCCAATTGATATCGTGAGGCGAGCTTTCATGACAATGCGATGCTCTCTGTTGTGATGCTGAGCTGAGATGTTTAAGTTATAAGTACTACTTAATAAGTACAAATAGCAGCTCTGGAAGCCCCTATTATAAAACGAATTAGACGACTTCTTATGTAGACGGATCTTCTAAGCTTTTCAGAAATTAAAATAAAATAAAATAAAATAAAAAAAAGATGTTAAAACGACAAATCAAAACCATCGCCTCGACTGTTCTTAAGAGAAATGCCTCGGGCAAACAGCCACAACCACAAAGCTCACCAATCAACGCCACCTCTAACGTCCCTGAAATGGCTACTGCCAGCACCAGCACCAGCACCAGCACCAGCACCAACACCACCAAAGAGTCAAACCACAGAACCGGTCCCCCAGTAGAAGAACCACCAGGCTTCGTAGCCAGCCCCCACTGCATAAAAACCCGTTGGGAAAATAACGACTACTACGTCGAACAATTCGCCAACGATCCTTGGTACCCCATAATCAAAGATACACACGAAGGTATCAAGGAATTAGTTCCGAACTACAATATCGTCCAAATAAAGGAAAAGTGTAATGCTTTACGCTATTACATGGATTTCCCGTTTGCGGTTGAGCCCGCGAACGGTTATACCGTTGAGGAAATTCACAATCGAATCAGGGAGTATATTAATTATGCTGAGGCTTGGGTCGACGGCTTTGAGCATGCTCAGGAGATTAGAAGACGGGAGGAGCGGCGGCAGCGGCGGCAGCAGCAGGGGGAGGAGCAGGAGGAGGAAGAAGAGTATTGATCGTAACTTGGATTTGATAACTTGTAATTAATATTATTGTTCTGCTCAAAACCTTTTGGCTTGATGTTACATACCTCGATTCTGGGAACCGATAAGTGAATATACTTAGGTAGCAGCTAGAGTAACTCCGGAATGGTCTATATAAATACTTAAGAAACTAATCCAACAAATGAAACTAGAGTGAATTTTTATAAGAAAAAAAAAAAGAAGAATAGATAAGAGGAAGAGGAAATGAAATTGGATATCACCGATTTAAACGCCATAACAGAACCCATGAAGAAGGACCGAGGAAAGATCCATAATATTACAATGAAGCGGGAAAAGAAAGAGGCAGATGGCTGAGAAGAGACAGAAAACCAAAGAAGCGCTATGAGAAAACAGCCAAGTTGAAAAAGATGTACAAGTTATAAAATTGGTTTTTGTTTCCTATAAAATAAGATAATAAAAATGGCGGAGCGACCCTCAATCTCCCTTTCCCCTGCCCGAGAACGGAGAAAAGGGAGAGAAAAAAAACATTAAAAGTCGCTCGCCGAATCCACGCCAGCTCACTTGTGAGGAAAAGCTAGTAAGATAAAGAAGAAGGAAGAACGGTCATGTTTCTACATGGTAGCTTAAGGGTACATGGTATCCGCTCTTTAAAGAAAGTCAATATATGCTAAGGGGGGAAGGGGGAAAGGGGAAGATGCAAGAGGCTCCGGTATAAGAATTACCACGAGAAAGCCTCCTCGATGAAGTCAATGTTGACATAGTCGACCAAGCGGCGGACTGCGTATCGAACATCGTCACTCATAGCGCCAGGACCGCAGACTAAAAGCAATGATGTTAGTAATTTATTTGGACAAGTGAGATTAAGTTTTGGGATGACATACCAGAGACGGCCATGGTGCCAACTCGTTCTTCAGCTTCGGCCTGAAGGACTTGCTCAATGTTTGGTTTGCCTGGGAACATCTGAACGGTCGAAGAGGGGCTCATCTGTTTACAGAAAGTTAAGTTAGTAACTGGTTCCCTTTTACGAATTCTTAAGCAAAAAAAGCGAGTGACTTACAATCTCTCTTGACTGTTGCGGCTTAGTAACAAACAAGACGACTTTGAGAATCTCCCTTCGCCTTTCTATGGCAAGGATGGAAGTCATCTGCCTCTTGACCCACTGCAAATGTTCCGGGTTCTGGAGCACCCAAATGAGTGTAACCTTTCGGGTAGCGACGGTGCCGTCGACATATCCTTGGACTAACTCAAGAACGTTGGGTAGCTGATGTGTGATACCAACACCTCCAGCAAACAAAACAACTGTGCCATAGGAGCATAGAGAGTGATGTGTACCATAAGGACCCTCGACGAGTGCACGAACAGTAACGGTTCCCTCGGGTGCGGCGGCAGCCTTCTGGAAAATCGAGTTGGTGGCACCTGTTCGTCGTCTCACAATGAGTTCAACACTTGTCTTTTGCGGCCCGTAAACATCCTGGCGGTTTTTAGGGAGTTCTTCCTTTTTTTCGTCCCAGACAAGAGGTGCACTTTCATCAGCCCATGCGACCGAGAAAGGATGACTCTGCCAACCGGTAACAGTTGGGAGGTAGAGGAAGACATATTGACCCGGTCGGAACTTGAATGGACGGGGCATATCCAAAGTGACTCTAGAAGCCTCTGTAGAGAGGGCAGTGATGGTAGCACGAGTCATGGTTCTGCCGCAGTTGCGATAGATAATGCTAACCAAGCGTGCGAAACGTTCTGCGGCCCAGAGAGCAATAGTAACCTGCACATAAACCAACCACTTATTGTTAATGAGCATGAGGTGGTAGTAGAGGGTGACAGTTGCGGCGACAGCAGCAAGGATATGAAGCGTCAAGAAGGTTTCGTAGAAGGCATGGCGGATGATGGATGGGGATTGGATGAAGAGGAAGATCATAGCCAAGGTCGAGATGGTACCGGTCATGATGAATTGTGATTTTCCAACGGAAACAAGATACTTGTCCCAGCCCTTGTTGCTGATATGCGACACCGTGTGAACAATTGCTTCGAGAACAACGATTCTTCCCAGCCATCTGTGGATTAGGTTGTAGGTGTCGAATGAAATCCTAAGAAGGGGGATCAAAGGATTGTTTCTTCCAGCAAGGACAAACAGAGGAACCATGTTCGTGACGGCAAGAACACCGGAACGGTTACGGAGTTCAGAAAGGATCACAGCGCTTGGCTTCGACCAGTGGATGCTGCCAACGGTGAGGGCGATGTTTCCTCCAAAAAGGATGAGAAGGAAAAGAGCTTGAAACCTAGTTGGGACGATGCCAGCGCTACCGGCAGAGCCAATCTTGAAATGCTCATTATGACGAAGCCCAAAGAGAGGAGCGAGGATAAAATCTTTTTTGAACTTTGAGAGCCATGGAGCAGCTGGAATAGACCAGTAGGTCTGAGTGGAATCATTGATACAAACGAGGTGTCGGATATGAGCTGATACCAGGAGAATCCCTCGGTATATGATAATGATAAAGGCAATTGCGCTCAGACATAAAAATAGCCAGTGACTATAACAAAATTAGTACTTGATTTTTGAATCTTAAGGGAGCGACCTTTCAAAATGTTTACCTGAACTTCCTGCTCTCAGCTTTCATAGCACTTTCTTCCTCGGGTGCCAATGCACTTGACTTTCCACCTCCACCTCCACCTCCACCACCGCCACCACCAGCAGCACCGCTGGTGACTGCAGCGGCAGCGGCAGAGGTCACTATTGATGAGACAAAGCCAAGAGATGTAGAAATGACAGTACCAGAAGCTGGTGGTGCAGTTAGAAGGCCACTGGCCTCCTGGGCAGCGCTAGCGGCAAGGGTGCCTGAAAAGCTGATCGACATATTGAAGAAGATAAGTCCTGCTGAGATTGGTGGTCGCAAAAGTAAGAGGCGAGGATGGATATTCCTGTCGCGAGTTGAAGGTATAGTCGGTTACCCAAATATCTAACAGAACCCTGTTCTTGTTGCTCTTTGAAAAAAAAAAAAAGAATGGTTGAAGGAATCGAAATTTAATCGAGTTCTTGGTAACTCCTAAATATTTTGTCCTTGTCGAAAAGCCCTGAGAATCAATCGAGCGACTAGCGCAAGAGTTTTGAATGAAAGTCGGTAATAGAAGGGTATAGTCGTAGTTAAAACTCAAGTAAGCGGTTGGCAGTTGAAACGAAACGCTAACAGCTCCGGAAAGGTCGAGATAGCGAATGAAACTATTGAGCTTGAGTCTTGATGACTTTTTTTATTTTATTTTTGATGTATTTTAAGGTCGTGACGTTTTTGTTTCGTAACGTCGAAGGAGAGCAAAAGAGTGAATCTCCCTTCGGTATGCAAGAAGCAGGAAGTGGTTTGGGTTGGATTTTCCAGAGGGGGTGGTGATGAGGAATTGGAGGTCGGTCCAGAAGTCCGGTTCTAGAAAGTAAGGAATCTGTGGGAAATATACTAGTGTTAGAAGGGGAAGACAAAAAGAAGAAAAGACCAGACAACCAGCTTTCCGCAAGGGAAAGGAGAATAAGGCAAGGAGCGACGAAAACAAAAATGAAGGCCAAGGCACAGGCGAACTGTCGATGCGGTGAGGGAGAGTAAGAGAAAGGAAGACGGTGAGAGAGGAGAGGATGATCATATAAAAAGGAGGATGTTGGGTGTGGCTGCTAAGACCGAGCAGCAGGGGAATAAGGCAGGCACCACAATGGACCAACAGGGGACGAGTGACGGTTGCCCGTACCAGTAACAGCGGGTATCCAAACAAGCAAATCGGAACTCCACAGTGAAGCCAGTACGACTTGCATGAGCCCAGGGGAGCAGAACGTGGGCGGCTTGGCTAGCACTGGACAGCTCCGAGGTTTGCTTGGTTGGTGGGATGTGGGAGTGGCATTAATGGTGGAGTGGTGAAACCGCACTAGTCCTAATCACCTACCTAGCAGACTGAATAGACGCTCTTGGGTGGCCGAATTGATCAATGGATACTACCCACTAGTATACTATAGGTGTTACTCGAAGGCTACAGAATGGAATTCTTAGGGAGGATGGAGATAGTGGTGAGATGGTTCGTTATTTCTGCCGGCAGAATTTTGTAGAGTGAGATGTGATGTCGATGTAGATGTTGATGTTGATGTTGATGTTGATGTTGATGTTGATGGTGAGAGGTAGTAGACAGGGCGTGATGTTGAAATGGGTTGGCGCTGTTGGGGATCGTATACGGAGACAGTAAAGGAATAGTTGCAGCAGTCAACAGATGCAAGATTAATACAGATGCAATTCAATAGAACAATTTATTGAAGTTGAAGGAACCGTATAAAAGAACTGGATATTTGAAAATAAAATAAAATAAAATAAAAATTTAAATTAAAAAATCGATGGACATTGGTAGCTATAACAAATACAGACTTTCAACTTCCAGAGTTGAATGGCTGCACACTGTAAATTTATCCTACCTAACGTAACGAAGAAGAATGGAAGAACCTCCAAATCAATTCCCCCAAATTAATCTGACTCGATGCCTCTTCGAATAGATATATATACCCCCTTGACGAAAGGAACATCTCTGATATCATACTAAGTGACAAGCTTTTTGCTGGAACTTAACCTCATCGATAACGGGATGTTTGGAGTGTCGAACTGGTTCATCTCAAGACGGTTTCGAATGCACGCCCTGGCCGGACTCGACTCGGTTCCTGACTAGCAGTTACTACATACTCTAAATTGATTCTGAATACATCTACCCGCCCGAAGGATCGAAACGTTGACATGTTTACAACTGACAATGACAATTTATGTTTTTGTTGGTACTCAAATAGCTCAATCTAGGTTGGTTGTGTATTCCGATATATAGTACTCCGTATACATCCATATCTCATCTTCTTGTTCTCACCTTCTCCCATACCGTGATACCACGGTACATGTATGCACATACCTCCTTGAGTAAGTACCAACTTGGACCTATGAACTGATCTATTCGTTGACTTAAATCTAGAATAGAGACGGTCTAGGATTCACCTAGAAGAAAGAGAGAGAGAAAGCTTGACTGCCCTAGCCGGCTGCAACATTGCTACCACCCCGAAGGCTGAAGTCTCACCTCGACACACCGATTCAATTGGTCCTGAGACCCCCGAGGTCAGGCACAGCCAAACAAGCCATTCTATAGATAGCCTTTAGCCTTTAGCCTCTAGTCTACTTGCATGCTTACATCCGACCACCTCCTATGTGCATGTAGCCACGGAACTGGCCAGGCCATGCATGAAGATATCCCCGGTGGCACAATTTATCTTCTCCTCTGCTCCGATCAACCATCCTTACCAACAGCGGCAAGTCTGAGCGTGGACTGCTCTGTGTACGGAATATACCTCTCAACCAAGTGCCCAAGATACACAAGATGCGAGATGATTGACTGATAGCCACAATGCATGCAATGCACTCCATCACCTCAATAGTCTGGGGTCACCTCAAAATCCATGCATCGTCTCCAACCGTTCAAGGAGCATTAAAACTTCCCCCAATGGACTAAATATTCGCTCATCCTCGCCTGCGATGTCCACTGAGTGACACGCAGAGACTAACCTGCAGATTTCAATCCGTGTTTACCGGTTCCCAGCTCCAGGTACGACGTGTTATCACTTGGCTGGATCTTGGATCTTCACCAAAAAATTTTAATTCCATCCAGCCCGTGAAGGCAATTTTAGTTACTAACTAGATGGGAAACCCACCCAAATGGGGGTGTAACCACATCATATCGAACTGGGTCTCTCCCAAAATTTGAGAACACCCGTCCCCGTGGTACTTACGTCCGAAACGAAAAAATCCACATCTAGTTGCATTCCAGAATGTTGCGATTGCCACTCTCAATAATATTGTTGATAATGGAATTAACATAGGGTCCTAGCTTTAAACCTTCTTCATCTTCATCAATCTATGCGTAACCTTCCCCGGGCCCTTTTTCCCGCCCGTTCAGTGCATTGCAGCTTCCTGTCAAACTAGGGCTTCGACCCAGAAGGAAATGTCGCTTCGGTTCAACATGCACAGGCTAATGAGAACCACTAGTCAGTTCGGTCCTTTCATGAATTCATGGTACGATTTTCGCAGGGACAGGGATTGATTGGCCCACTGGAATCTCCCGAACCAGGAACCTTGCTGATCATGAAACTCGGAGTGTGTTGAACCTCGATTGTGGAGCGGCGTACAAGCTCTCTTTGAACGATTTGCGATAGAATCCCAAAGATTTTGGGGTTGATGATAAAAGTCTCGATCTCGTGGGAAAGGAGAATATTTGAAAGTCGCGTGCACTTGCACTTTGGTTCTCTCGCGGGATGGCGGTGCTTTTACCAGGGAAGTGACATCATGGAGAGAAGCCATGAACATGGACCAGGCCTTGAGTTTTAAAAGAAATCGAGGCATCAAAGCCGAACCTGCGCGGATTCATGCTCCAAATATCAACCTGTTCTGAAGGTATTGGAAAATAAAATAGGCCTATTGGTACCCAACCGTCGACCCTTTCAAAGGAAAAAAAACTATTCCTTGCATTCCAAGACGGTACCAAGGTGATTTCTAATGAATATGTAATGCTTTGGATCGAAAAAATAGATATGCCTTTCCTACAGCCGGGATGCACATGTATCTTACGGTTATATACCCTCAGCCATCGAACTCGCTACGCAAATTCCTTAAACCACCTGTCAACACCAAGCGCCTTAGCCTCCAGATTTGTCTCTATTAATGTATGAGAAATCGCCTAGGCATTTGGTTGATGACGAATACACCGATCCCTATTGTCTCTACTTCGGGTCTGCGCTCCCTGACTCGTAAATCTTCGCTACGGAAAAATTTGGACCATGGCCATGGTCCGCAATCGAATAGCGGGTATGTTAGGCCACCTAGATTTAAAGTTTTCCAAAACCCTTATTTTTTTTTCCTTTAGATGTCAGAAAAATAATTTTAAAACCACCAGCACCTCAGAATTAAATTTTGATTGTCAACGGTGTGCCGTCGGATGGAGCAATCCCGACAATTCTTACCATGAAGTTTAAATTCGAGGAAATGTTAACCGTCCCTCATTGCAACATTTGCAACACAAAGAGGTGGGTCTTGTAGCAGATTGACAGGCCATGGATACGGCGTGGCTTGAGAGTTCCACGTTGAGAGGCACCATGCAAGCAGCATGCGCCCTCATTTTACCAAATTTCCTTCTTTTTTATCAATCGGATCTTTGAAGATAAGAAAAAAGTCGTTATAGTTTCAAATCTGGTGGCGCCACCGCGATTAGCACGCATGCTATTGCCTCCAACCAGAAGCTTTTGACGACGCACTGACCGGTTAGGGAGGTTTCTCCGGGCCTGCGTGCCGAGTTTATATATTACCTTTGTTGGATATACATTAGCGATCGGTAGCGAAATAATTAGTCTTAGTCAAAGTTGGGGCCTTAGAAAAGAAAAGGTTGTTTTGAAGAACCATACAAAAGTGCTGGATATCAAAGCGAGACTATTCCCTAGATTTTAAACTTCTGAAACTGGCGCGAAGCAAGAAAGGAGAGGCAATCGAAACCGATCCACCAAGACTCATTACGAATCACCCGGATGGTACTTCTAGCTTCTGTTACGCGAGCTCGGCCTTCTTCGTCTCGCCTTTTCCTTTTAAATTTTCTCTCTCTTTCTTTTGGCCATCATCTGTCTTGGAAGATTCTTTAATCTACAATACATAAGTAAAATACTGTTGGGGACTTCAACATAGCTGTCCTCTTGATATATAGCAAAGTAAAGATATCCGAATACATATGCCGATAAACAGACTATGTCGATCAAGCTAGAGGCGAGTTCACGGGGTCAGTTGGACTCGCATGTGTTCGACTGATATCGGATCCGTTACAGAGTTGACGCATCTATTATCCATGCTTAGGGGATGATTCGACAAGAGCTCGATACCTAGACTGTGTAAACTTCACAGTCATGGCGATGCACGTTCTACTCCCCAGGATCCAGTTCACGACGTCCAGGACCTCGTGCCTCGTGCTCTGTCCAGATGGCTCGGAAGCCTTGGGCATCGCCGGTGCATGCACCCCGAGGATTAGAAAGTAAATTGCAAATACGGAAAACTTTAACAGGACCTTCATTTCAACCCCAGGGTTTCTCATGCACAGCCTGGTTGACCGGTTACTTTCTCAACGGGTGGTATTTGGTCTTGTGGTGTCAAGCGATAGGATTCTGTGATCTCCATAACCTCCTGCCCTATTAGACGGCAAATGGGGCGCAGCACTCAAAAATTCCACCTACGTTAAGTCCAGGAGAGATACCGAGATGTTGAAAATTTATATTATGCTAGTAATTTCCCATCTGGCTTCCCCGGCCTAAGCATAGAAGTTTACATTTCATCGAATCGAGGTGTCTTGTATCTATTCTCGAAATTCTAGAATTCTACGCATGTATATTTTACTAACAACGATTCTCTGGCGTATAACATCTCCACATATGTCTATTCAAGTATCGATATATCCCCTGCTGCATTATTGATACATTTGCGATGGCTGCTTGATAATCAAGTAATTAGAATTAACCTCACTTTGCAATTAGCTATGTCAGGAAGTGCGCATGGTAATATTCGATTTACAAGATACAGCTGAGTTGTTTCCAAAGCTAACACGAAATCTGTATTCCGAGGCCGACTAGACATTCCTGGCCGAATGATACCGATAGTTACAAATAAAGCCTTGGGAGAAAGGAGAGTGTGAGATTTTACAACATAAGTTTATTGTCAACAGCGCCAGAATTTATACCAGCATCAATCTCAAAGTGTGGACCGCGTCTGCAATACAAGACTACATAAATCTATACTTAAAGGTTTAGTGGTTCTTCAATTCATACACTCGCACATATAAGTGGACAAGTCTTACACAAGACCGCAGTTAGGCCCTCGTTTCTGAGACTATTAAAAAGACCCACGTGGTCAAATTTCAGCATTTAAATAAAATAAAGTGACATATTAGATTAACATTTAAACACCTCCCGATTCCAAACTCAAGCTTTAGACTAGCTAGCTCACTTTTCTCTTCGGATTACCATATTAAGCCTAAAATGCGAGAACAACAACGTGACGTCTACGGCCGCATGGAAGGTCCTCATGAGACAACCTCGCTTGAGAGAGAAATAAAGTTAAGGTTAAAGATCGCCTACCCGCATCCCTTAGAGTTACACAAAGATACAATTTAAAGTTTACGATCTTAGTCGAAGAGGGAAAAATTCATGATCCGTGACTGAAACCGTCATGGAGGAGTCTCATTACCACCAATGAATACTATCCTAAGCTAAAGTAATAATAAAAAAGGTATTTGGTATAGTACATCTCAAAAATTTCACGAGGACCTTGGATAAAAATAATAGGGCCCCGGAAGTAAAAATTTCATCCACCACATTAACAATTAAACATTAAACATGCGATCCGGTTTACAGTAATCCGGAAGCAACAACCATGGCCATCAAGACAGCAATTGAGGAGGTCAAGACGTGGATCGAGGATCCGTGAACGGCGGAGGAAGGCTTATCACCGGAAGTAGCATTCTTGTCATCACCCTTGTCATCATCGTTCTGGGCGGCAGCAATGGCGTTCTGGTCTTGAACATGGATCAATGGACCGCTGGTGGTGTTCATGCAAGCATCGCCAGTGAGGATCTTAGCATCCTTAGAGAATCGGATATCGGCACACTATTCATAATAATCAATATCGTGTTACCGTAAAAGATTTTTTTGGGGTGATACATACGTTGTACAAAGCATTACCGGTCTTTCCAACAGTAACAACCTGGATAGAAGCATCCTGACCGTCACGGATCTCAATTTCTGCTGGGATGGGAACCTTTGGAAGACAAAGAGTACCATTGCCAGTATTGTTGAGGAAGTTAGGAGTAAGGGAGATGTTGAAGCTGGCGACTTCAGTGCCGAGACCAAGGTTGACGAAGATGTAATCGAATGCGTGGTGAAGTCCCAATACGATGGAACCGCCATCAAGAGGCCAGACGGTACGGTTTTGAGTGGTGTTAGCACCGGCGCCTATGAAATACTGTTAGTATTTATTGTACACCATGAACAATATCTATGAAAGAGTACTTCTACATACAAGGTCTTAGCCATTGGTCATACGGCTCCTCGAAGGAATCGGCTCTCCATGTGGGGTATTCAATTGAGTAATGGGCCTGGACGGCGGTGGCGAGAGTTGCAGCTGCGACGAGAGTCTTGACAAGCATGATGGGCAATTGTCGATTTAAAGAATTCAAAGTGAATTGAATTTATATGGAGAGTGAAAAGATAAGATGACAAAGGTGTCCAGGCGCTCAATTGAGATGATGGAGAGAGGAATGAAGTTCAGACAAAGGTACCGTCTGAAAACAGCAGCGATCGCAGCATCTTATATAATCGTCTCTCCCCCTCGCCGCCTGCGGTTTTGCAATGGAAGCATCCAGTCTAATTCAATTGATTCAAAAAACAAAACAAAAAAAAGACAAAATGGGGTCCAAGCCAACGTCCTGGACGGCGGGAATGCAGATGCTAAGTTTGAAAAAGCAATATCGCAGAAACCCGGTTAGTTGGCTCCGAGCTAACTAAGTGGCTCGTAAAAACCTTTTGTCTCGTTCGGTTCGGTTCGATTGAAGCTTGAGATACTTACTTTCTGAAGGCTATCGATTATGCACATGCATGAAAGCGAGACAGTTTCCATCACGAAATGGACTCAGTTGATATTCAGCCGTGCAGGAACGAGCATGGTCGAACATGGCCAGCCAGCCAAAAGACCACAGATGTTCGAGATGTGGATCTCCGGCGGGCAGGTGAGCTCCAAACGTTGGAAACTGGGTGTTGCTTGCGTTGGCCCGCCTGCACGGTCTACTTCCCAAACAGGCAAGGCGTGAGCTAGTTTGCGATGGTTTCCAGGCAAGCCAAGGCTTGGCTCCCCACAACACACAACCTTCTCTGTTGCTTAACTGGCTCTGAGGAACGTTAAGCTCAAAAGCTCAACTGCTCTCGCCCACACCACATGGCCCGACTTATAGTGGGGAGTATAGCTTAGGATGCATCATGATATTCCTCCAACAGGACAGGCGCTGATTTCTTAGTCATGGAATTACACAAACCCGGATCTCGGCCTGCACACTAAAGTCGGATGCTGCAGGATCTCTTCTTTCTTTTTTTTCAAAAATTTCTTGTTCGCGCGTTAAGTTCGGGGTTGGATTTTAATTTTCTGTTCTTTTCTCCAATACTATTATTCAATTCATCATAGCTCACAGCTTCGAAGTTCATCGCGCGCCACAACTGCAATTGGACATCCGTATACCACTATACCATCATAATCATCATCACCGATAGCTTCCCCATACTACTTAATCTATAGTACTCATAATGTTTGCTAAATCTCTCCTGCTTTCTCTCTTGACCGTCTCGGTCGCCAATGCCCACTTCACCCTCCGTTATCCTGAACCCTTAGGCAAATCCGCCGCCAAACAAGACCAAGGCCCATGTGGTGGTTATAGTATCGATGGCAATACACCCGTCACTCAATTCCACGTCGATGGTGATGCAGTCGCCTACGCTTCTTCCCATCCTTCGGTTAAGGTTCTGTTCCGTATAATTGAGGGTAACTCTCCCGATGGCCCGAATTCGTTCAAGGGATTTCCCATCGTCGAGCAGTATGGTTCTGGTGATTTCTGCGAACCAAAAGTAACGGCACCCAAGAATTTGGTCGGGAAGCAAGGGATCGTCCAAGTTGTGCAGAATGCAGTTGATGGAATGTTGTATGCTGTATGTTATAATATACCCTTTCGCGTCCACTTTTTTTTGTGAGTTGAGTGGTTAGAAGATGCTAATTTCCGGTCAAATAGTGCGCCTATGTCAAATTCGTCAGTGGTGTCAACTCGAACCTTCCGGACACTTGCAAGAACGGCACCGGTGTCGACGCTGATTTCGCGGATGATGCTTCCTTGGAAGCGCTCTTCAGTAGCTCGACTGATACACCCACAGGCTCTGGATCTACTCCCGCCCCAACTACATCAAACCCCCCTTCAGCTGGTAGCTTGAAGAGCTTTTCTATGGTCGCTGGTGTCGTTGGTATTGCCGTCGCCGTCCTCGGTGGGTTGTAAATAAGGAATTACGTGCTATGATACCACTAGCTACGAAGGCGCCAAAAGGCGACCAAAGGGACTTGTACATCACGATTTTTTTGTTACTATGTTATATTAGCACAGCTCTTAGTTTTTAGAATGTTAATAAATTAATGTCTACATCGGGTGAAAATACTTCATATGGCGTAACTTCTTACGATCCGAGTCCCAGCGCTCTGGCTACCTCGTAGATAACTCGATGCGGGCTGCCGCTCGCAAGGGACGTATATGCGGGTGGCGGCTGCATAGTTCCCAACGATCTCACAGGATCATTGCATTTGCGCAAAAAAGTCTAACCGGGGGCATTCAGCTGGATAGACATCCTAATTCAGGTATCACTTATTACACCGACTATTTTATTTCTTCGATTGCTACATAACAACCCTAATAATGGACTGGTTCTGAATATAATCAATCATAAGATGATATCATATATACAGACTTTATATCTCAATAATCATGCATCACTATTTCAATTCATCGCTAACCTTTCGCCACTGGCTTTTCGACACCATACATACATGACCTATTTTACTCCAATCAACTGATCAAGCTATTTGACATCAACCTCACATCGATAAGTTACAATTTGTCTCATAAATTTCGACTCGCCGGCTCAAACTCCAAAACCCTCATGCTAAAAACTTTCACGCCAAACATCATTACTATCAAGGATTTATTTCTTGTGCTAGAGAGGTAGGTAGGTAGTTAGTTTCCGCTATCCCATGAGCATGTTACAAAAGAATGGGTGGTATGGCGTTCTTTAGGATCGTGGACGGAAAAAATAAACATACCTTTGGGCAGTTGTCGCAAGTGCAAGTGTCTCCACACTGGCAGTCATCACCGCACCGATCAACAATGATAATTTCGGCAACTAGTTTTATTTCACAAATATGAGACACATGAGCAAATTCCCGAGATTGTGGATCGATCAGACAAAATGCGCGCAGGCGCAGGTGCCGGAGCGAATATGACAGGGGGGGCTGAAGGGCTGCGAAGGGTTGTGCATACTCATTTTGGGATAGATGGGATGTTATTGAGGTAGTTTTTCAAGGGTCTGCTCGGGACAGGCGTTTAGATAAGGTTGGTTTCCTTTTTGTTTCTTTCGGAAGGGGAGAAATTGACGATAGTTGAGATGAGGGGTAAGAAAGAAGAAAGAGGGAAAGAGAGGGAAAACTCTAACATTCTAAAATCATCTGTCCTACTTATACCCCTTCGACGGCAGCAGTGGCGAACCCTTTCGAAAATTTCGTCACGAGATAGAACCCAAAAATCCTGCAAACAGGACTTCGCTTTCTTCTTCGGCAAGTTTGCGGGTATTTCGATGAACCACCGGAGACTCGGGGAGACTCGCTATTGGGGAGACTCAAGAAATTCCTCTCGAAGAAAGAGACCGTCGGTATTGTACATGATATTAAGAAGATAAGGGGGGAACATAGGCTATTGTTACCAAGGACTGCGGAAATCTTGTCCGTTCGACAGGGCAAAACAGCTTTACCCCGCATAATTGAAGTACCGTTACAGTACTACTTGCTGGATAAAGTACTTAATTGCCATGATGCAGTACAGTTGGCTGATGTCAGATGTCTTATTCGCTTGTGTATACATTTGTGGACGTAGCGTATGTGTATCTAGACTAGTTGGGACAGGTTCAGAATCCAGGTGATTTGCGGCCTAATCCAGCTTGAACTGGACAACTTTCAGCATCGCACTTCCTTCCCTTCTAGAATTCGAATGCATTTACACCTTGTGCCCTAGTTGGCGATAATTACGACGGGATGGTGAAGCCATGTTGAAGCCCTGAAAAATATCCTAGTCTATGCCTCAGACAGGAAAGACCCCCCAACGCAGCCGCATAGGCTACAGAGTGTGGGGTGTGTGGTATTTTTCCCGCCCAGAACACCAGTGCAGTCTGCAGTCTGCAGTCTGCTAGCTGGCATCCAATGTGAGTTAACAGGCAAAATAGCGGCGCACTGACACCGTCTCTGCATCGAGCATTTTAAGCTTGGAACCCAGCGGCCAAGATGCCTTTAAAACCTTGTCGAGGATTTGTCCGTTTCCCCGCGCCCAGCTGACCAAAGAAACCCAGCTACTTATCTGTCGATGCTAATGGCCATTGCATTAATGGTGAACAACCAGCAAACCGAATAGCCTATATCTGTCCACATAAAGCTGTGAAGAAACCATGGATTCTCTCCATGTTCTTACCAACATGCAAAATGTATGAGTACCATGTTCTCCGATCCCGAAATACATCGGATACGGCGAAACTCTCTTCCTCCACTTTAAAATGCTTGGTACCAAGCCCACCAACCAACCGAATTAGCGAGCGAGCTCAAGGATTTAGGATTGAAAAGCGAAGAAGTGGAGCTGCGAGCGCATGGCGCATATGTCAAACCATTAGAAACGTGCTCATTCTTTCTCAACGGCACATGCATTAAGACATGATTATTGCATGCCGGGGAACGCCTTCTGATGTGTGAAGTTGAGAGCTCGATAAGATTATCATGATTTTGATTTATTTTATTTATTTTTTGTTTAATTATTTTTCTCGGCTTCGTTTAGTTGGCTTGTCCTTTTTTTTTTTTTTTTCCTTGAGAGAGAGAAGGTTTCCTGCTATAGTTTTAATTTCCAATGGCTGCATCAGAGGTACAGTTTCTCCGCTCACAAACTTCTCCTTCGTGTGTGTGAGTTTTCGTGTTCGAACGTTCTCGTCGACGGTCTCGGTTCATAGTAGGATATTTTGTGTAACCCACCAATTGCTCCAGCGAATGAAGAATATTCGAATTCGTATTATGTTATTAAAGTCAATTGATGTAGGAGAGAGGGAAAATCAAAATTTTAAAATGTTACAACGTTGTATACAAGAATCGTGAATAAAGTAGCTACCACGGTATTGATAAGGAAATACTAGTTGCCTGCTTTTAGCGTAAATGAAATGCAGGTAATTCGATTAATAAAGTAGGTGGCATAACGTGGACCTTGAACGAGTGAATCGGGACTAGAAGATATATAAAACAAAGTCCGATTCTGACTTGATTTCGGAGGCTAGAGAACACGATAACTGTAACCTCGTGTTATCAGACATGGCTGGGTACATTCTAGGACCCGCCTGGCATGACATGCTGCCTCCCGTGATTCGAAGAGGCGGTAAACGAGCTCAGTTGCATATTGAATAAGAAAACATGGAAGTTCATTGTGGATATGTTAGTATGTTGGCTGTACTAGGTTGGGAGCCGTGGCCATGGTTTGAGGGAGCTGTGAAAATGGTATACTTGCTGGCTCCTTTGCAGATATATAAATGCTGTTGACTCGACTCCTTTCGTATCGGAAAATCTTCTTGCATATACTGGATATCATAAGCCTCCTATATCCTGCAAATAGTCGAGCTGTCAACTCCGGCTGTCTATTCTCATTTTAATACTATCACAAGGGTTTTTGCCGCTTGCATTTTAATATTTAATTACTTTTAAAAACGACAAAATGGATCACGGCGGACATGGAAATATGGCGGCCACACCGACAACGGGCATGGACCCAACCATGACTGGGATGAGTGCTGCCGCCACGACTTCGATGTCTATGAACATGATGGGTGGCTGCAAGATTTCGGTAATACATCTTTGACTCCACACTGCTACATGATGGCAACCCGGCCCGAGAACCCCTCTTGAAAATGCGGAGGGCGGGACTTCGAAATACTTTTTTGCTAACGATAACTACTCGAATGATGCAATGTAGATGTTGTGGAACTGGTACACTGTCGACTCGTGCTTTATCTCTCGAACGTGGCGAGTTTCAAGTGAAGGCATATTCGCCTTGAGCTGCATCGGTGTATGTCTTCCTCATGCTGCCGGTTTACCGAAATCCCTAATGCAGGTTATAAAATTCTAATTGGTCGAGAAAATTAGGTCGTCCTCCTTGTTATATCCCTCGAATTCGTACGCCGTATGCAACGTGAATACGACCGACACATCATCCGCCACGCCACCGCCGCCGCAGCAACAACGATTAACGAAAGCATCGGAGCCGGGAAACTCGCCGATGAAGGGTCACCGGTATCTGGGACCCCCGTTCCGAGTCAAGTTCGAGGATTTAACAATGCGTCGTCGAGGTTAGCGAGGTTTTTGAGACCTTTCAATTTCCGACCATCTTTTCTTCAGCAGGTTGTTAGAGGATTGTTGTACATGGTACAATTCGGAGCTGCATATTTTGTCATGTTGATGGCTATGTACTACAATGGTAAGCGATGCCTTTTTTCTAATCACAATGCGGAAGGGTTTCGGGTGTTAATCGTATGATGTTTTGGTACTATAGGTTACATTATTATATGCATCCTTATCGGCGCCTTCTTGGGATTTACACTTTTCGGATACGATAACTTGGCCCCAAGGTATGTTTGAACCGGTTACTATGAGTTTTTCCCTAATCAGAGCTCGGGGCTAATACAAAGGCATCATTTAGTGGGTCCCACCAGGAAACTGGGACGTCGTGCTGCTAGTATAACTTATTGACATTTAAATCATATTGCAATGTCAAATACGATGTATCCTAATAATTTAATGAATGATCCAACTCTTTCAACATCAATTTGACACCTAGTGATCCGATATACATCTAAGCGTAGTCTCCTCTACGATATTGCGCTTGAGGTTCGTAATCCTTAGGTTATGGTCGTACAAGACATTAGTAAAGCTATGGTGCTGCTTATGGCTTTATCGCAACCAGAAAACCAATTAAATTTGTATCTTAAACCTAAAAATCGGTTAGCCAATTGGAGATTCTCCCTAAATTCGAAAGATTTGAAACTAGTGGAGTTTAAAACCTAAACACCCTTAGCTAATTAGAGGAGCGCTGTAGCGCGAAAAGGAATACAATATCTTAACGAGCTTATATACGGTCTGGCATGGTGTATACGTATTCTAGGAAAGCTAGTATCACTGCTAAAGTATCGTTGGTCACAATTTTATATTTATTATCGGGTATTGACGACAGTAGAGCTAGGGTATAACTTGAGAGCAGACACTTAGAATGAATTCAAATTCAAAATTCTTGAATTTAAATTTAGGCCAAGACTTCGGAACACGCTCGCCTTAAAGGATTCCTCCAAAATATAAGGCTTACAATCTCGTAACTGGGACCATTATTGACAAAGAAACGAAAAAATACTACCTAAATTTATAAAAGTGAGGACTTTCACATTCGGATCGATGGCACATTGTTCTTAATTTAAGATCTTTGTGCAAATTGTGCAATTAATTGTGTTGTCAGTTTTGTTGTGCCAATTTGAGCAAATTCCCAGAAATGGGTTAAATACCCTGTTACCCTGTCAGGCCGATGTCCTGCCGCCGACCTTTAACTAGTTCAACCTCAACCCTTAATTACCTAAGTACCCTACTAAGTATATTCAACTTAGTGAATGTGGCGGTATTGCCTGCCCGCATGCCCAATAAATTATCTGGTGAACCGCTCAGTAAGTTACTCAGTAAACACCCGCTTATCTACCTGCCTGCCTAGCGGGTTCACTGGGTGGTTCGCTGGGCAGGTGGGCAGGTAAGGGTTCTATAAGCCGGAATGAATTATAGCTACAACGCTGTTCAGCCTCACGATAAATTCAAGGTTCCCGGAAGTTTCCATATTTAATAATTCAGCTGTGGCTATTGTGGCTTATCAAATTTCCAATAGGGCTCGGTGGATTTTGAATATATACCTACATACCTACCTAGGTATATGCATCGAGATAATTTTTTCCGATTTGGCCCACCATATATCCCATCCTGTGACATTTGTGTCTTATCTTGATACCTTGAACTAGTCTCTGTACGATTTCTTATAGGAGGAGATCCGGCCCTTTTATTCGTTTCTGCAGTGCAGAGAAAGTGAAAAAGGGTTGAACGCCTCAAAAAAAGTCTAAACAGCAAGACCAGCGACCCCGAGACCAAGACGAATACATACATGTAGTTAGAGGAATGAAGGGGGTGAACCATCACGTGCTCGATCCTTTCATAACCTGTGCCTGCTTCAGATCATAGACATTTCTCTGATTCTATTACCGATAACCATCTATTATACCTCTCTCGGTGCGTCGCTCGCGTGTCGTCGTCTTTCCGGGATATCTTTCGGGTTTTGATTTTCGGGAGGCGGGTCTCGCCAGACTACAATGAAGCTAGTTCCAACGACAAAACAAATCTCGATTTTTAGCACCGTCACGGTTCTGGGCTTCGGATCCTTAGCCATCTGGTTGTTGTTAGGCAATGGCTCCTACAATGGCTTTTTGCGTCCCCCGACATTTACAGGCGCCCTTGAGAAACATCTGGGCGAGAACGAAGATCCAGGCTGGAGGGACCGGTACTATCGGGAGGTTTTCACCGAGCCCAATCGAACGACAGATACCATCCTCACACCCAATCTCGCGGAATTGTGTCAAGCGATAACATGGCGGCCGAACCTATACCTCAATTGCACGCGCGTTTCCGCCGGGCTCTTCAACCAGGTCAATGAGATCAAAAACTGCATTCGCATGGCGATAGATACCGGGGCCAACTTGATCCTACCATCCAGCAGCGAGAGAGATTCCGAAAGATTAAACAATTTTCACACAGGTGACATCGCATGGAAACGTCAGTTTAGGCAGAGATGGGACGAGGAACATATAATGTCACATCTTGGCAAAGCTTGTCCGCAGATGAAGGTCTTACCATCAGACGAACCGCCCATATCGAATGCGACACATATCTTGGTCGACCCAAAGGGGTCACCTGGGTTTAAAGAATATTTGGGACACTTTGATGGCACCAGGACGTTCCGCGATTACGTCGACAAGACCTCGAGCGAGAAAGGAGCTACCCTCAACTCGACTATTTCACCTGTTGTTCTGGAAATTGAATGGACGCTTCTGGTCATCAATCCTGAGAATGACCCGACCGGACTAGATTGGCGGGCTTGGACCGAGATAAGCTTATTAATACGACCGACAGAGTCTCATCGGCGGTTGGTGCAGAAACTATCAGAAGCAGAAAGCCTACGGAAGGATTCATACATCGGCGTTCATCTCCGGGTAGAACACGATGCTGTAGGAAAGTGGTGGGATGATCTTGAGCTGCAGGTATCAAAGAACTTAAACTCTATTGACGTCGTGGCGAAGCGGTTTAGAGAACAGCGCGGGGATGGCAAAAATCCGTTTATCTATGTGGCCTGTGGTGACAAGAAAGGCATTGAAAGGTTCAGGGAACTTGCAGCGCTACGCGGATACATCGTGCTTGATAAATGGGGAGTATTGGGAAACGATACTGAATCTCTTGGCGAGATTGATAAGCTTAGCTTCGATGAGAGAGGCTTGTTAGATTACGCCGTACTGCTCAATGGATATTTTTTCTTAGGTTCATATCCCATCGATTTGTATCCGTTCTTACTTCCGAAGATTCAGATTAAGATATCGGTTGCTTCTAGAATGTATTGTTGCTAACTTGTTAAATCTATAGGTACGCTAGGGTCGTCATTCTCCTACACCGTCGCCAATATGAGAAGCGACCGCGGACGGTTTCCTGGAACTAGCTTTGTGGTAGATGACATGGCGAAGTCGTTCTCCCACTTGTTTATGCCACCATCCGGTCGTGCTCATTTCGCTTGCTGTTTATAATAACCAGGGTCTCACGTAAACAGAAAAAGCGAAATGACAAACTACGGGAACCCACGAGCGAAGGCAGCGCTCCGGAAAATTTCCGGGCGTGAATACTGAAGTGCTTAGTTATTGTAGCTTGGACATCTTATCGCTGGTTACCATTACCACGCCACCAATCCCAGAATTAAAATGCACCGAGCAAGCAATCACTAGTTAAACTTCCGATTCTTCAGTTTAAAAACATGTAATTAACATGTATTAGATAGCAAAGAATATCTTATCCCGGCCTCAGTTGCATGTTCGCCGTCACTTGATGGCAGCCTCTGTGCTCCCTGCTCGGGTTTCGTCCACGTATTGCTCTTATCCACCCGGACCCCCAATTTCTACTAAGCAATTTTAATGCCTTGGTAGTTAGTGTCATGATCTGATGCCTATATAGCTAACTATAGGGTTGGATTAGTTGATCACTAGAGGGACTTTACTTGTAAGTTCATCCCGATATACATTATAGCGGTCATATTAGGGTCCCCAATCACTATATGTTGGACAATCTCACAATAGGCAATAGTATATAGCCGTGCGACATTAAGGGGAGAAGTGAATATGTTGAACAGAAGTCTAGACCGTTTCGAGAAAAATCTTGATAGAAGCTTTGATATCGATACTGGCTGAAGAACCAAATAAAACTGGTCAAGCATGCAATGCAATACATAAGTACCTATTCGGGGTAGTGTCGAAACTCGAAATTGTTCTAGTTTCGAGATTGTCGAATTCAGTCTCGACACTAAACCAGCTTAGTGTCGAATTGCTGGGAAATTCACTACCACAAAAACAACACGTCTGTACTTCCGACGCAAGCATAAATGACATGTCGACAAAGCCCTAATGTTTGTGATCGAAAACTGTTTTCTAGTTCTTCTCGTTTCTTTTTATTTATTTTATTTTCGAGTTGGTAGTGGGTTAGTACTCAAGCAAGATAGCTACCTATGAATGGAAAGAAAAAAAACACCGTGACGTTATTCGATGTTCATTGGAGGGGTGGTCATACTCCAAGTTGAACCCAATCAAATCTTGCCTTGAGAAGTGCCCAGAATTGGTACTAATTTCGCGGAACTCGCTACCATCCAAGACCCTAGCAAAAGGTGCCTGAAGTTGGACAAAACAGGAAAAACGAAGTCACATGTGGGCGTGGGATGGACGTGTATTTTTTGGGTGTTTTTTTCCTTAATTATATTTCCCCTTTATGAGAGTATTTGTTTTTAAAATTCTTGCGGGAGTCGTGAGTGGAATTGAGAAAAAAACAATAGTCATTTTAAGAAATCCATTTATTTGTTTTGTTCACTTCTATGCAGTTAGAACACTCCCGGCTCAGCCTTATCGAGTTCACGTCCAGATTCCCATTACCCGTCTGCAGCTGAATCGATCTACATCTTCAAAAGCCTTAAATTGTTTTTCTTCAGAGCTCGGGGCTTCATTGATTGTTTTTTTACACGTATCTATATTTAAACTAGAACTCAATTGCTCCGAAACCTCACGATGTCGGGTTATGATTATTATCCGCAATAGTAAGTTCGGCGTATACAACCCCCTTAATTACATATACATATATACAAGACGGCAGTATCGCATTGACGTAGGCACTAATATCAACACAATGCCAGTGGTTACAATGACGACGAATCACCTCCCCCGTATTCCGACGAGGAGATGATGGACGCACCCGAGTACTACCACCGGTATTCTGACGAAGATGACAATGAGGATGAACAAGATCGATCAGTTAGACCTAAACCTAAGAGGGCACCGGCCGCCGGTAAACCCGTTCCGAAGAAATGCAGAACATGCGGGAACGCCGGCCACGATTCTAGAAATTGTGCCATAAACAAGGGATTCGCAGGGAAAGATAAAAAGCCGAAGCAGACAGCAGCTCCACCCCCGCCCCCTCCGCCTCCACAACCGGTACAAAAGAAGGCACCGAAACCTTCAAAGCCCGCGGAAGAAAAGGCATGTGGCGCATGTCGAGAAACCGGTCATGATAGGCGGGGTTGCCCTAAGCTTCTGGGTGCACAGGGGCAACAGAAACAGGAAGAAGTGGTAGCTGTTGTTAAGAAGTTTATGGAGACTATGGCTGGTGCTGTAGCGTCACCGGCTCCCGCCTCAGCTAAGGCAAAATCAAAAGCGAAGAAGGAAGCAGCTCCTGTGGAAACTAGTGCGCCGAAGAAACAGACAGCAAGAAAGACGGTGGCACCACCAGCGGCTTCTAAGTTAAAAGCTTCTGCGGGGTCATCGGCCGCCGCAGCAAAACCACGCAAGCCCCAAACAGCCAAACAGTCTAAATCCGCCAACCCACTAGGCGCCAGCGGATCCCGGGGCGGGGCTGGAATAACAAAAAAATCCGGTGTAGCAAAAAAATCTGGTGAAACGGCGGCCAAGAAGAAGAAAGCGCCAGCCGCTAATAGTGCGAATGTTGCCAACAGAGGGATCAATTTTACTATCAATTGGGGCTGAACGGGAAACTCCCCTTCTAGTATTGTAGAGTGTAGTGTCATGATTACGCAGTTTACTTATACGTTGCATTGTTTCTCCCTCGAGGCTGGATCTTCGCTCATTAGTGTGTATATATTTATATCGTAGGGTGCAATATCTTCTGAAAAAAGACGTACTCGTATAGTCGACAGCAGAGTTTCGAGTGCTTAAGCCGAACGTTCGGTCGAATTTGTCTCGTTCCCAGCTGGCCAGGCTGAATTATGGTCTTAGATGGGAGCAACCATCACCAAGAGCTAGCACCCGACACTAACCACTCGTAAAGATAGTGACGAGACAGATTGAACGGAGTTTATATTAGTCCTATAAAACTATATGATGAGATGTAAGACCTGGTTGATTGATAGTGAAACCGGATAAATATATCTGTAATTGTAGGACTTCGATCATTCTCAACTTAAGCTCGCAGGACAGCTGTAGATTTAAAACGCCCCAGGTGTATATAATTCCGTTTCATGAATTCCAATTCTCCATAACAAGTAATTCAAATCCGATGTACGTGATATTAGAATTATTTTCATAAATCTATTCTTGAACTAAAATTAATGGGATAGTAAATCTTGAGCCCCTAATTCGAGCCCATTGGAATAACTTCGAGCATGAGTCTTCTCTCACCTCTAATATTCTAGTGTCCAAGCTACATCTCCGTTGAAGACTTAACTAAACCAAATTTGCTAGCAATATACGTCTACTTCCTAATTAGGCTAGCTTGTAGCCTAGTTATAGAAGACTATTCCTCATTTGGATTTACAACACAACACAGAACCAAGAAAACGAGCCATGGCGGTGACTATGGTCGATGATGAGTCGGACGCGGTAACTCCAACGAGACCAGGTAACTCCGTATCCGGCGAACCTCCCAATTATAACCCCCCTTATCCAATTTTCTTATAGCGAATGAAATTGTTGTCGCTCTTCGTTGCCTGTTTTAGCAAAATTCTGGGACCAGGCTGGTCTGAATCTGGTCTGCAATCGGTTTCCTGAGATGACCGTTATTAGGGCACCCTGGCCAGGTGGCTTAGTGATACATGATCCTTTATTCGACATGCCGGAGACTTTTTTTATTCCATCCTTTGTTATTAGGTACACATGTATATGGAAAGTATTTAATCTTCTGTAACTTCTCTGTCATACATAAACATTTTATCCCAATTGTATGGTGTTTATATAATTATGGGCGAAAAAATACCACATATTTCAACACCGTATTGGTCAACGATGCCATGTAGGATCCACGAGGCGTTAAAATGTTCAAAATCATTAAAGGCTTCTTTGTGTGATCGTGGATATGCTTACCTGAGTCGCAAGCTTGCCAAAGTCTCAAGTACACTCGATTTCGCTTTAGTTGGCTAAATGTAATTTCTTGTATTACTATTTATCGACTGAGGACTGTACTAGGCTCGTCCTATATAGGTTTGTTTCAAGGGAGGGTTTTCCCTGACAAATTGCAGCTTTTCTCTGTCACATCATCAAAGACTGCTTAAATATTAAATAATTAATTCAAATACCTAATCGTGGTATTAAAATCATGAGCGTATATAATCACCCACTAACCATCACCCTCACATACACACCATCACTGCCACTATCATCACATCAACTGGTTAAACCCTACAATTCCTTTTCATTCAGATACCTAGAGGTCGGTCTAAAAATACGATTCATACCCAAACCAAAACTCTCAAGAGAGAGACTCCCGTTTTAGCGAATTCGAAACGCACTACCAACCATGCCTGGTTGTCCCAAATATGACATCAAAATTCAAAACCCGGATAATGAAATCATACTCACATTTCAAAAACCCGGTTCTGACACTCACTCCCAAAGAAGCCTACGCAATCTAGCTGATGACGAACTCGAAGACGAACCTTCAACTGAAGAAGAACTTTCAATTGGAGGCGATTGCGTAGTGCAGCCCCCTCCAAAAACATCCGGACACCCACGCAAAAACGAAGAACCGCTACCACCTCCACTAATACATTGCGAGAGTTGCCGTAGTATGGAACATGAAACTCTTTATTGCTCCTTGGATTACAAACCTAGACCAAATCTTGATGCGAATATACAGCGAGCGAATTCTGGGGTTGTAGGATATCGGGTACGGAGAGATATGAAGACCTGCGGATTGTGTATGCAAATGGGACATCGTATGGCAGAATGCCCAAACTTATGGTCAATAGGACTTAGGAAACGCAACCCTGTTATTCAGACTCAATGCCGGTCTCGGAAACGGACTAAAGGTGGATAGAATTAGGGTCTGCGTGTACTTTGGTTCGGGTTCGTGTATTCTAATCATCATATTGAATCGAATAGTCTTGTATAGAGGCCAATATTGAGGCTCAGAAAGCGTTGAACTGAACTAAAAGAAAAAAAAAGAAAAAAAAGAAGAAGAAAAAGATCCATTTGTAGTGGCATTTGTAGTGGAATTTTCATGATAGGTCGGTTCGCAAGCGTATATACTCGCTGATTAAGTTCAATGTGTATCCAGTTCGTTAAGGGTATTCTATAATTATACCTGCCGTGGCACTTGAAACATACAGCATTGGACTTTTTACTCAAGATATGGGTTATAAATGTGTATAAATTATTAGTACATATAAATTTGACGGAATGATAAATCTCAGCCTGTTACTTGAAGCCGAAAGGAACCCAAAAAAAAGGAAGGATAAGGAAAAGACAAGCAAAATCTAATACAAAAATTTGACTGTTCCAAACAAAGTCTTCCAACAATTCCTATTTAAACGTCTCCAGCAGAAAAATCACTCCAAACTAAAGAAGAAACGCATATCTCCCAATTTAACGATAGTCTACTGCATCCTTCTGTTGGCTTATTCTAGCTATATGAATTAATTGGGAACCAGTACGACCCGGATGACAACATTTCTTGCAGTCCATCGCTAGACATATAAAGACCATATTCGTGTACAATAGGGTCACGGGGAGATTCAGCGGCGACCGGTACTGGGGTGGGTATATCCGTAGGCGGGCCATTACTTGCTACCGCAGGACCTGGAGTAGGAAGATCTGAAGGGGTAGCCATTTCTGTATCGGGTTCTAGACGCTTTATGTGCTCATTGATGATATGGGAGATGGCGAAATGACCGAATTTTTCCGCCTTAGCCTTTGCTTCGGGTAGCCGATGTGATGCTCCAGCGTTCAGTAGGACTTGGGTTATATCTAATCTTCCAAGTACCGCTGCCGTTTCTAGAAAAGTTTTTCCACCTTCTAGAATATAGTTGGCGTCGACATTCCCCTGGTCGAGTAGCTTGATCACTTTATAAGTATGACCAATATGGATGGCTATCAAAGTCAATAGCTCCAAAGACACCCCTAGATCACTCGTATGCTCTGCAATGTCGAGAATGAGATCGAATGTTGTATTGTCTCCATTCCATGTCGCTTCGAGGGCAGATATTTTGTCTAATTTCTGTAAATATCGGGTGGCATCTCGAATCCTTTGGTGAAGATTACAGTGAATAGCCAAGGCAAGGAAGGCAGCTAATTCGGCAGGTGCCATGTTTGGGATTGAATTTGTGTAAAACTCGATAGTCTGTTTGCAAGCCTCGAGTTTGGCCTTCTGTCGTGTCAAGTGTAAACCCTTGATGTCGATTTGTATGCGATCGCCGGCTTCGACGGGCACTTTTGGAATCCCCAGTAACCCACTCACGGTATGCTGTTCTCCCGGGCGGGAACTTTCGTGGAGTTGTAAAAGGCCTACTGGTTCTGCTCTAGTGTAATCGCCCCAATTAAGAGTACTTACAGAGGCATCTCTGCTATAGAATTCGAATCTTATTGTTAAAGCATTCCAAGTCCGTAAATTGAAATATACACTAGATTCGAGACTCCCGCTAACGACTTCCATTGACTCTAGAATGCCGCTACTGACTGTATTGTCGAAATGGATTTTCAACTTGACCTCGAAGGACCTAGCCGAGTTAGATAGTACCTCTATCACAATGCTCATATTTAAGTGGCTGAGGGATTCTAGTGATTGACGATACGAGACCCATGGGATTGAATCGTGTAGTCTGTCGAGTATTGCATATAGCTGAACTCGTGATACGTGAGTATCGATAAGCCGAGCAGAGCGACCCCCGTATGGCGGGGCCCCTAGCTGCCCTGGGGATTTTTTAGTTGCCCCATAGTCGATGAGAAGTTTGACAATAATGTCCCCTGGATATTCGTCCTCATCTTCTTCGGAGTCTTCGACATCTCTAGCCAACGCTAGAGCTGTGTAGCCGGATAAATCAATCGCATTTATGTCGATACGCAAAGCATTGCATTTAAATAGGGATTCCAGACGCATAGATACCCTAGCCACATCGCCCCGAAGAAAATTTGGGAAGGTCAATAGTCTCATGAGAAAAATGTGTGACAGAGAGTCAAATGGTATCGGAGGTTTTCCATCCTTCTCACGTGTGGACCTATTGCGCAGTAGTGCCTCGAAAATATCGTCGTCCTCTAGGCTGATTGCCGAAAATAAAGCAGTAAGGATTGTTTGCTCCAAAAAGCCTTCAAGTGCTGAAACATTTTCTGCCCAGGTTAAATCGGCTTCTTCTAGCTCGTTCAGATATCTCTCTCGGACTGGACTAAGCTCATAGATTTCCTCAAATACGATATCCTCGGCACCCATATCAAGCAGCTGATTGACAAGTTCAAGATCTTGGACTTCAACTGCGGTCTTCAAAACAGATTGCGAGAGATCTGACACAGGCCGGACATTGATATCAATGCCACTACGCAATAGTAGGGAGGTTGATATTCCTTGGCGGTATTCAATTGAAAACTGAAGAGCTGTTACGCCGATGACTTGGGAATTAGCCGACCATCTGCCTTTCCGCCTTTTTAGAATCCCGAGTTCAATGAAGAATCTTAGTAGATTTATATTCCCTGTCCTGGCCGCGCTGTAAAAAGTCTGAACCGCAAAATCATCAATGATTGGGGTAGCGTTGTTAAAGAATGATTGTAGTGTCGTATAATAGCGTGGGGAAATATCGGATTCAGTAAAACCGTCAAGGGCGTCTCTGAGTGAGCTAGGGTTACTTGCACGGTTCCCGAATTGTACCACGAGGGGCTGTAAAACTTCCAAAAGTTCTTGTTCTGAAAGAGTGCCTTCTTGGTTGACTATTAGGCTCATGTTTAGATCCTGGCTACTGGTTCCCGGAATAGAGAGAAGAGCAGGGGTTTTTGACATGGACAACAGGCTGCCTGGAGAGAATGGAACAGGTGTTGGGGCTAAAAGTATGAGTTAGGTCAGCTTGCTCTAGAGTTTAAGCTATAAGAAATGATTTTTGGCTCATTACCTCCTTGTAGTTTGGTCGTTATCTTCTGAAAAACAATCTCGAGTTTCAGCGAAGGAAGTCCTTCGTAAAGATGATTTATGATAAAGTAAAATGGTGGAGAATTATTCTGCGGTGATCTTGCGAAAGCCATCGGTGAAAATTCGGATATTGGGCGGGGGGTAGGTGTTCCCACTTCAAGACCTGGGGGGTTCATCGGTGATCCCACTACAGTAAACTAAATTAACACCTGAGAACATACATACGGTTTATCGGGGGGAATCATACTATTCGGCGCCATCATGCTGTTCTGTGCTTTGACGAATTTTTGGAAGGTAGGCTCATGAACGCGCGCTTTCTTCCTTGCAAGACGTTCTTCATCCTGGACGACCCCGCAGAGCTTGATGCGGGTATCAAGTTTCCCCTCATCCTGTCGCTTCCTTTTCACATGGTCGATGAACTTGTGATCCGAAGGAGTAAGCCGCTTGCGAAGGCTCCAAACTTTGTTTACCAAGTGGATAACCTGGCTATTACTATACTCAGGACATATTGAAGTTGATTTAGTGATCCGAAAATCAAATTCGAACGTGGACGCGCAATGGTAGTTTTAGGGGCTGACAACATCCAAGGGCTATACTAACGTGACTGTAGTCCCCATTTCTCTCTCTAGAATTTCGGCTATAACTTGGGTAGTCTTGTTCTCCTCAAGATATAGACGGCAGACTAGATCTTCAAATGGGAGGTACATTTCGGGCTTCAGCCTTGCCTGTTTAGACCGCGATGCAGAACTACTTGGCGGATTCATTGCTAGAAGTTCAGAAAGCTAAGAAGAAGAAGAAGAAATATTTGTAGATTTTAAAGAATTTGTATGATATAGACTAAATAGGATTGTATACTGGATAGGTAGGTATTTCTGGTTTGGTAGTGAAAATGTATTCATTTGACGGAGGAAGAAGGGGATTCTTATAGATAGAATTATGACAACCTCAGAAGGGAGAAACCTGGATGCATCCGCGTTGTCCTGACTGACCATATTTCTTTTTCCTCAAATCCTGCAGCTCATACGTTTTCTGGCCAGTGAACATGTCGAAGAGCGGTTTTGACCAATAGCAAGTCTGTGTCACGACGGTGCCCTGAGGTTAAGGACCCCTGTCAATTGTGTTATGCAACAGGCGACAGGGATCCCCAAAACTTGCTAGTTCGCCATATAACCCGGTTCAGAAAACCACAATTTCAACACATAATTGATGGAAGGGCTCGCTCATGCCAGGGCAGTCTCGTATCTAGCCTAGGAGGTATAAATGACCCTAACTACTTTTTTGAAAAGGGGAAACAATACGTACATAAATGTTCCATTCGGCTAAGTTTTATTCTATACATCAATATTTATATCTGTAAACCTATAGGCCGCGCAATTGCATTTAATTCTACAATACCACGCAAAGAGAACAAAGGTAGATTTCAATGTATACTACCAGATGTGGTATGATAGTTTTGGACCTTTAGAGTACAGACATCTTGCTAGTTTCTATGGGTTGTCTGATTTTAAGAAGAATTATCCAGACATATGTAAGCATGGTAGATGGATAAATAATTTATTTATGCATATATATGATGCATATATTTAGTGCAGGCCAAGACCACCCTCACGAGATGCACAGCGATCTGTAAGTTGGTAACTACAAGCAATATAAGGTATATCATGTATAGGGAATTCCCTTATACATTTCAATAGCTTTAAAACCCGAGACCCGCCGGACAGAGCCTACTTAAAATGACTGTCTATTCCGAAGCCCTAACAACGAACCCAAATTTACAAAATTAACCTAGGTAGCTACCTAGGTAGTTCCACAATGCCGAAATCTTCACAATCGAGGAAGAAGAGGAAAACTGGCGGCAACAGTAGGACCCGGCGTGAACAAAATACAACCGATGAGTTACTGTTGGCGTCTGATCATGAAGCCGAGCAAATTGTCAATGAGTGTATAGATCTTCTAGCTGCGGCCGATGAAAACCCGATTGAACTCGAAACACCGCAAGACAACGAGCCTCCAATCCAAGAGGGAGTACCAAGTACTGGCGGGGAACAAGAATTGGCGCCCTCCAATGAACTAGAATCACAGCTTACCGGAGAACCTGAGGGGATAGCTGCTAATGAACCCGAAGGAGGAACCATTGGCGGACCGGAGGCAGAATTTACTATCGATGATCCTGAGCAAGGAATGTTCGTTGAGATAAACACAGAATTCAGAGCTTATATAAATGAGTTTGAACGGGGAACCATTGATCCCGATGGACGAGAATGGGAACCAAAAACTACTCTGGGCGAGCCTGAACGTCAACCCTTCAATGCATTGCAGTCGGAATTCTCGGAATACATTGAGCCTTGGAGATTAACTGTCAATGAACCGGAACCCAAGCCTGCTGACGAACTGGAACCAAGAGCTATCGATGAATCCAAGCCAGCGGCCGCTGATGGGTCTGTGGCACAATACATTTATGAATTGGATCCAATAGTGGACTTTGAGCTCCCGAGCGAACAGGACAGGGAGAATTTTCAGAAAATAAACATCACGCCTTTCGATGAGTGGGAATCAAATTTTGTAAGAAAACAGGCCGAGCGACGTAAGGAGGAACGGGCAGATGGATCTTCCGGAAGAGAACCGGACCATAATTCGGCACCCGCAGATCCTGTTGACGCTGGATCTCTAGTAGATAGTTATAATGGTAGATCCCGGATCCCCGGGTATATGTGTGATATGTATCCTGGCATGCATCCGGGCTAACAAAGTACATTTTAGTTCCAGGCCAACAATCCTCCCCTCAAATATGCGCCCCGGTTCCCCAAGCGCCCCAGCTGCCATCTTTCTTCGATCCTCCTTTATTCTCCAGCCCTCCCCACTCATCGCTATGGGAGCCTGCGAACTTCTTCCCGCCCCTGGAACCCCACCTTTCAGCCACCACGCTTGAGTCGCACCCTCCTACTGAAGCCGCTCGGGAAGGTATTAGTGACGACGACATTTTTTCTCAATTTGGGATATTCCCAGGTCCAGGTATGTTACATTTTCCTTGAAAGATATTTAACATATAGCATCGTGTTAGTTTTATTAAAACGAAGGAGGTAATTTTAGACGGTTTACTGGCAGTCATGGGGCGAACAGACAGCCCTAAACGTGCACGTGGGAGCCGTTCGTGTTCTCCGTCAACTGCGATAACATTCTCAAATTCGGAAACTGGTATGGGTGCAAGTGAAGGCGCTACTAGCAATGTAGTCGATGATCCTGGTAGCCGTCCGGTGACCGCAGATAATGTAGTTCCGAATGAATCTCGTGCCCCAAGAAATAACCAACAGTCCGGTAAGCACTCGCTACAGTCTTTGACCGATGATATTCCTAGCCTAACTATAGGCATATTTCAGATCCAGACTATTCCCCCACGAATAGGTTCATTATTAGACCATATAGGCCGTATCGATACCGACCCAGATATGTCGATGCGAGCACCCAGACAGACCCTATAATGAGTGTCCTCGATGAACTTGTACCAGAGAACCCTTGGGATCGTTTGGGTCGGCTGCCCGAAGGATCTCCTAGAAAGCTAGCTCCTCTACTATATCCCCTCGGAAGGGGTGATCCTGCTTATCATTTGCTCGTGCACGGTAATTCGATGGGATACGAACCTCGCGAGATCTTGGAACCATTATATAGTGAACGTCCGCCGTCAATATTAGAACCACCAATACCCGACCCACTCTTTCGAATGCCTTATCGGATGCAGCCTATAGTGGATCTAAAGTGGACGCAAAACAATACTCAGTCGGTATTGGGGCGGAAATATAACAACTGGGCAGGTCCGGGGCACCGATTAGGAGGCGGGGATGAGCCTCAGCCTCGGCCTCAGCCTCAGCAAAGTCAAGAGCGAATTGTCGAGTCTCCTCGACCTACCTTGGTACCATTAGCAGAACTCCTAGGACAGCACCAAGCCCCAGTACACCCATTAGAGCGTGATCAAAATCCAGGACACCGGCTAGGACGTAATCATAATCCGGAGCAATTGGAGCAAAACAAAAATCAAGGACAACAGTTAGAGTATAATCAAAATCAGGGACAACAGCTAGGGCATAATCAAAATCAAGAACAACAGCTAAGGCGGAACCAATACTCAGAACAACAGCTATCGCATAATCAAAATCAAGGACATCAGCTGCCGCATAATCAAAATCAAGGACAGCAGTTAAGGCAGAACCAGTACCCAGAACATGTACAGCAGCTAGGGCCGCACCAATACCCAGGGCAGCAGCCGGGAGGTAGCCAATACCCAGAACAGCGGCCGGGATATAACCAATACTCAGAACAGCAGCCAGCATATAACCAGTATCCAGAACAGCAGCCAGGCTATAACCAATACCCAGGACAGCAGCCAGCCGGACACAGTCAATACCGAGAACAGCGGCTGGGATATAACCAATACCCAGAACAGCAGCCGGGATACAGCCAATACCCAGGGCAGCAGCCAGAATATATTCAATATTCAGGACAGCGGCTGGGTCATAACCAATACCCAGAACAGCAGCAAGGGCACGGCCAATACCCAGGAGAGCAGCCGGGATATAATCAATATCTAGGACAGCAGCTAAGAGATAACCAATACCCGAGGCAGCAGTTAGAATATAATCAATATCTAGAACAGCAGCTGGGTTATAGCCAATACCCGGGACAGCAGCCAGGGCACAGCCAATACCCAGGGCAGCGGCCGGATCATACTCAATACCCAGAACAGCAGCCAGGATCATGGAATTACACACCTCGAGAACACCAAATGGAGAATATAAGGCAAGTAGATACCAAAACAGACCAGGCGGAGAACGAAATTATTGAACTGTCTGGGCCATCTGGAATTCCGAGATCGCGTGGGCAAGTTGATTCGGATGGCAGACCAATAGTAAATCCGGTGGGACATGCTTGTAAGTCTATATCCGATGAACTTGTTCGTCAACATAAAGAAATTCATGAGGATTGTAGTATTGATCGAGAGTACCTGCATCTAGTACAACGCCAAGTAAGGCTTCAGCAGGAAGTGGAAGAAAATGTAGCGCGTCTCGAGCGTGAAAGGTCTGGTGGTTCCGGGGAAGGAGAGCCATCAGAACGGGGTTCGCCTTCAGCACAAAATTCACGAGACTCGGCACAAGATTCGATACAGCAGACTGAAGATTCGCTACAACGGACTCAGGATTCGACGCAAGGTACAAGCACTAGTGTGGGTCGGTGGTCCGGAGTTATAAGAAAGAGGAAGCGTAATTCACCAGGTTGGGAAGAAGACGATGAATGATCTCATTTTGATGGACGGAATGGGAGCATCTGAACCTGTTCGGTGCTCGTAGAGTATAGTTGGTTCAAAGATTAATATTGCGTGTACCTAAGTAAAAGCCTAGAGGTATAGATTAAAAAGCCTGTTGGAAATAGTAGCGATAGCATCCTTCGGAGCCCTGAACCTAAAGCCATTGAAGATACAAAGACTTTTATATATTATACGCTGAACTATGTGATGGTTCTCTGCAAATATGTACAACCTGTATCCGGCCCGCTAACCCGTATCCTACATCGACCCTCTATTTATCAAGATTCAAGCTAGGATTATGTAATATGATCCACCTGGGTCTTTAAGTCCTTTCCAAGGGGTTTAAACCACTTTCCCCTCGGTACTCCCTACCGGCCTGCTGACAACTTCCACCAACCCATCTACTACACTGCTCCTTGCACCTTCACTCGCCACCTTCTTCCCGGCGAAGTAACACAGCCAGAGTGCTCTCGCAACTCTCGGGTCATCCATGACTCCCAACATTTTTAGCCCATGCATGCTTTCCTTCTTCTTTGCACCCTCACTAAGCAGCTTCAATTCCTTGTCCTTAACTGCTTCGTCGGGTCCATAGGCGAATAAAGCCCCGTTTTCATCACGTAAGAGGATCAAGGCTCGGCCCTTGGGTACTGCCTTCCTACCCCCAAAGATTGCTTTAAACCTTCCGATTGAGTCTACGAATGCATCGTCATCGTAAATTTCTGGGTTAATAGTGGTTTTCCCTTGAATACCACGAACCCAACCATCGCGGAGATGTGGGTAATCTGTGCTTCTTGTCGGTACGACTCTAATCGCCGTTCTTACACCATTGCCCTCTCGGGTGTCTAGGAAGGCGGAGAAGAACTCGACGCTACCTTTGTCGGAGAGGAGTTTGGCTTTTAAAGCTTCTCGTTCCGGTAATGTGGCTGTTGTGGCTGTTGATGGGACGTCGAGGGTGTGTAGGAGATGTTTTTGAAGATTTGGAAGGGAAGAAGTGGCGACATAGAAGGCCATGACGTAGACTTGGATGCCGAGGAAGGAGACGGAACGGACACCGTTACCAAGGAGGGTATACTCCTCTAGCACTTGGTCGTCGCCTATTGGTGCCGCTGGCAGGTAAATCTGCTTCGGAAGCGGGCTTACATTCTTAGAACCGCTGGGTACTGTCTCCACTGTATCTCCTACATTTGTAGCTTCCTTTATAACCACATTCCCACCTTTCACCGCGTCTTCGAATTTCTTCTTATCCTCATCTGAGACCGCAGAATCGTTATCGAGTTTATAACCACCCGGGAACTTTGGATTCCTAGGTAACCATATCTGCGTGACAACAATGATGCCTATGAAGAGAAATAATGCAGTTGCGACCTGTTTATCCACCCGTCTTTGCTTTTGATACAGTGATTCACCGGTTAATTTGAATTTGTATTTGCCTTTAGGATCGAAGGTCGGCCGAGGATTCGCAAGGTGAGCTTGCTCACGGAGCCAGATCTTGTGAGGATCCGGTTTTATAGGTGGGTATTTAGACGGTGTCGATTTTGACTTTTGGTTCTGAGTATTCTTTGTGGAGGTTTGGGATTGGTGGGAGGCATGGCGGGGGTATTGAAGACGGGCGAGGGTGATTGGAGGTCGATGCGTGGGACAGTGAGGCCGGAAGCTGTGGAGGAGGAGACGTCGTTCGCAGGAGAGGATCTGGCGCTGCAGTTGACGGCAACGGAGAGCGGACGACATTGTGGTGGTGGTTGTAGTATTGGTACTGGAATGAATGGGTTGAAGTTGGGTTTAAGATAAAATCCGGGATTTGGGCCCATCTATAAGCGAAATTCTGGCCAGCATTTGGGGCGCATTACCTCATACACTAAGCAGTTATTGGCTCGTAAGACGATGGCCTGACGGAAAGCCATCCAGAACTTCAAACTCCGCGGAATTTACACAATTCGATATCGCATGTGCATTAATTACAGCCTATTTTTTTTTTTACGACGGCACAGTTTCTTTTTTTATATAAAAAATCAACAATTTTATATAATTTGCAACTAGATTCTCCTATCCAGCTACATTGGTTACCATACATAACTCGGAACATTCAAGCACCAGCAGTCCCAGGCGCCTTCCAACTTTGTAGGAGGTACACCCCCCCCACTCTTAGAGCGGGGAGGGACAATTTGAGTGCCTGTCAAATCCAAGCAGACCAGACCATTCTTTCCTTATCGGTCTTTTGTCCAACAACGTTCGTGGAGCAGTGGTTTTTCCAAAACCGCTGCCGCATTATGCCCACTCGTGCCTGCCTAATAGACTAAAAGTATCCAATGGCAAAAAACAAATATATCCCTGAACGAAAACCGGGTACAATGGGAAAGACCACATGAAGTTATGTCGTCCAGGATGAAATGGGAACCACGGGTTGAAGATGCGCGAACGTCGCCCCCAAGGTTATTAAATGTCCTTCGCTCCCGTCTGCGTGTCAGAAGCGGAAGGTACAAATGATAACGAGTTGGAAGCGAACCGGCAACCGTGGGAAGGTAATGAAATAAATAATCCGGCAATGTCTGACTTGCTAGATGTTTGAGAAGGTTATAAATTTTTGAAGACGTAATCCACCATCGTTTTGAAATTGACCCCGAGGACAGGACTCTAGCCACCATTATCATGGCGCCCGAACACAATTCGTGGCGTAGCTGGAACTAGGCCCTCTATTAATCGTCCTGTGTCTTTGGCTGACCGCATTTTCGGTGGTCAAACGAAGGCTGCAACAATTGTCACACCTTTCTCTCACCTAACCTATATCAGACATACCTGACTACTCTGTGCAAAGGACACCTCAAAAACGTAGATGTATAGTTCTTGCGGTTGTCCCCCCTCTCGACTTTCAACAGGCAATCCACATCTCGACGGTTCCCAAATTCCTATGGCTGAAGAATTGACTATGTGACCAAAAAAAACTTGAAAACAGGCCGAGGTGAGGTTGTTGACCCGTGTTGAAAAAGTGCGGATATGTTCGTAGCGTCCCACTCTCGAACGTCCACCTCAAATCTAAGATCTGAGCGGAGAGACTACACCACTATATGGTGTAGTGCGAGCTTGCCCAATACTGATTATACCAGGCAGAACTTAAACCCTACCGTGAAGTAGAGAAACTCACGAGGCAATACTGCTATCTGAATAGTTTCTCTTCTACGTACGATTAAGTAAGGCTTTGAAGGAGTAATAAGATATGGAAACGAGTTAATGGCTACTGCCACTTCGTCTCTCAATCTTCTATATGTTCTGGGTCTGGCGTACACCAAAACCACAGATCAGTATTATAACCACTTCCCTAGCCCCAAGAAACCTCTCTTCGATACGACGGGAATCCCAGTTATAAAACCAAGAAACATCGGTGTTCCGTAATGAGGAGCCAGAGGAATGGATGTTAATGGACTCATGATCGAGACCAGTCGGCCAAGATCGCAAGCCGGATGGCGGAGACCTACACATTTAGAGAATATATCTCTGAATGTGCAAAATCTTAGACTGTTAGACAACCCGCAAGTGATTGGTGCAATAATTGTGTCACCGAGTCCGCTCGCGAGAAAATATTTATCCCGTGCGAACGAAGGCGCCGGTCGAAGCGGCGGCGACGCGGTACCTGATGTCGCCGGCGTCGGTTGGCAATGCCTTCTATGATCTTTCCAAGATCTAGCGATAATACTTAGCGGGTTGAAGTCGTTGTTGTTGTTGTCAAGTTACTCCCGAGAAAGACACTCCCAAAGCGAGGGTGCATCTACGAACGGATGGGGTTAGTTAAAGATAAGGCGAGATAAGGATCCAGGGGGCTCGCTATCTTACCCATTTCTCAGGATGTTGACAATAACATGAGGAGTGATGCTTCCATGAGCCGTCATGACTATCTCTCGAGGATAGAAGCAGCCTCTTCCCGTTGCATGCTGGTTGGGAAGAGGGGTCGACCGTTGTGATCATAGTAGAAACTCCAAACGGCGACGGAGGGGAAAAGAGGAAAAGAGGAAATCAGGCGAGGTGGGGGATCCCGTTATTTATAAGGAGAGCCAGGACTGCCAAGCCAAGCCGGCGATCACTGAGGCGGATTTTCTTCCGATGAGGCTGGTGATCTCTGTCCTCTCGTAACGTGGCGGTGTTAGCTGATTGCAGCGGGAATAGCAACAAACGAGCCAATCCCAGGCTCAGTTGCGCCAATCTTGTAAACAAAAACAACACCAAAAATTTACCTTCAACAAATAACCCGCAACCAGCCTCTTTATCCCATCACCTTTCCCCGTCGCCAGTCGCTAATCACCCACTGTCCATCCCTATCCTCATCTCCATCCCCATCTCCGTCGCCATATCCGCCATCATCACCCCAATGCTACTAAGCCAACCGCCGCCACCATGACGAAGGTTAACATCCCAACTTCGTTGACATCCGCTCCGCCTCCCGCTGCCGTCTCCATGGAAGACTATCACGACTGGACAGCACGAAAAGCCGCCTCGTACGGCCGAGTCCTTGAAAATGCACTAGCAAAAATCAAAAAGGAAGCTGAAGTCGCATCTTACTCCAACCTACCCCTCGCCGTCATCACCTTCAAGGACCTCTTTCAACACTCCACGCCATCCTCGGAATGGGAATGGGATCCCAAGGTCGAGGTGCAGACGAGGACTCTCGTCACACAAAAGTTTATGGAGAAAAAGAAGAAGCAGGGCTATGGTTCGGCTTTTCGCAGGAAAGGTATTGACTTGCAGCCACAACGACCGTCACCTTCTGAAGCCGAGGGTGCACAGTCCTCCGTCTTTAACAACTATAAACAGAACCCGACACTCCGAAAACACACCCTTCTCTATATCTCCGCCCCTTCTGTTAGGCCACATTACACGGTTGTCCTCCAGCACAGCGAGTCTATCCTCAAGCCAAAATCTGCTTCTCCTGGAATTCCGTCATTAATGAAGCTTTCCGCTCGTACTTTTGGCCAAGCTATTGTTATGGGTCGAGACCCTGCCGACTTCGAAGGAGACTCTAAGTGGTATTCCTATTGTGATGAGAATAGCCTATTGTGGCGCTTTCTCGGAGAAACAGTACGAGGCCATATAACACAGCTCCTGGTGGAAGCTTTGAAGCAGGATTGGTTCCCAGAGGATCTCGCTTGCACGATAATATCACAATGTGTACATGCTGGGGATGGATATCTGGCGGAAAAATTCTTTCATGCAGCGTACGAAAAGACACACGAAGACAGTACCCGCTCCGTCGCTCGTCGCCGTGGTGAACTCGCTCCAGACCCGTGGACTCAGATTCTATATATTCCCGATGTACTCTACCGACAGTTACGCGTTGCCACCGATATTAGACGCGAGATTATGGTTGAAAATTGGTTCCGCGATGTACTGATAGCTGGGGCTTCGGAAATTGGATCATACATGGAGATATCAGGATATACACTTCATTGTTTAGAACTCTTTCTTGGTATAGAAACTTGGGAATCTGGCCTTCAACGCAGACGTTTGAATCGCAGCGGGAAGCAGATGAGAAAAAAGAGGTATGAAAGCTTCAAGGAAGGGTGGCTATTCCAGGCAAAGGATCTCATTGTTTATAAGGCAGCAAGGACGGCTGAAGACCTGGTAGCGCGACTTTTCGAGGTTGGTTGGAAAGGTGGTGAGGACAGCGAGCACAGGCTGGCAGCGAGGAACGTTATGGGGAGCTTGGTACAAAGAATGATCAACTGGTCGGAAGCTTATAATCACCCAATCGAAGAACTTGCAGGCGTGACCAGTCGATCAGCAAGAACCGTAGCACTATGCGCGGTTTTAACTAGCGCGGATGAGCTAGGTGTACTGGTAGATGATGTTGTTAGGGAGCTAGTCGAGCTCTTATTGGTAATTGCTGTCGAAAATCCCGAAGCGCCGAAAACGACCCGCTGGGAGAAAGGTTCAGATACGGAGAATTTCGATATCAAGGATTTGGCAGACGATGTCTGCGGCGTGATGAAGCAGGCCTGGGACTCTTTCGATAGGCAGAAGGAGTTTATGGAATTCCTTCTAAGTCTCGCTGTTGAGGATCCGGAGCCCGACGTTACAAAAACACCAATACCAGGCGACAAATCCAAGTTGCTACAAAAGCGACAATCATACCTACTCGCGACATTCGCCTACCATCTTGCAACTTCGATCGCCGAGTCAAGCAAATCGGAACCTGCACAGCTATTCGCGACTAAGGTCGAGCAAACCCTAGTCGGAATGAAGATATGGAGGGGCGGTTTGTTGAAGGCATCGGAGCTGAAGACGCCAAAGTTCTCGAACTTAGTCAGAGACCTCGCCCTAACCGATGCCAGGAACAACGGTTGGCGGTGGGAGCCAATGCTCAATGATTGGGTGGAAGATACATCGGACTCAGATGGTCACAAGGCTGGCGAGGGAGCTAAGGTTGTTCGAAGGGTCTCGAGGAAATTATTCGAACTCCCAAAATCGCGATCAAAATCAATAGCGAAAAATACCAAACTGCAACCAAAAGAGCGACCCAAGGCGTGCTTCTTAGATGACTCTAATAACGAGAGATTGGCAACTTTAAATAGTAACGGGAATCCATTCTCTTCGGAATCCGATTCTGATAATAGCGACTACCAAGGAGACTCCAGCGTCTATCCTAATAGTGCGGATACGACAATGACGGAGCCCGATACGGAATCGCCCGAATCTCTAGAAAAGCCGACCCTATCAAGCTTTTTGCTAGAGGTATGCATTCCATCAAGGGGATCGGAGACAACTGAAGCTCTCTCAGCCTCAAAAAGAGATAGTACTATGAAAAGACCTGAGGGGTATGATTTACGGGGAGACAGTGCCGTCGAAGTTATAATTGTCGCACCGCCCAGAAGGAGAGGGAGACCTAGGAAGAATCCCAGCCCAACCATTCGTGTGCAGCCCGTCCGAGAACCATCCCCTGATTCGGCATACGAACCAGACGACGACGACGAATATGAGGAACTACGGCATCAAAGCCAAAATAAGGGAAAGGAATTGGGACAGTTTGCAATGGGAGATAGATCTCACCAGACGCGTACAGCGTCGAAGAGGAAGCAAGATATGGACATCTACCAAGATGAGCTGGATTTGACTTCTCGCACCCCGCTGAAAGCAAAGAAGCAAAAGCGATGGTCCATGGACGCTATTGTTCTAAAGGACATAGAGAAATCAAAGCTGAATGAAAAGTTGGCCAAAGGCAGAAGGAAATCCGGAGGAATGGATAATATCATGCCAGCTGGGAGGGGTAGGCCAAGGACAAGAGTCTTGTGAAATCACGAAACTATTTTTTTATAGAATTTCTCTGGCGTTTTGATGATCGGGAGGAGCCCTTTTTCTTATTGTTCATAGAGCTCTCTCTCACATAACTGTATAGTATACTAGCGGGGTTGGGCGTTTTTTGGTGTTTCGGAGAAGCCTGACAGAGTAATTGTCATGTGTATAATAATATAATATCGAAGGAAGACAAAGACAAGGAGTATGAAGCTGAAGAGTTCAGCGCTGCATGAAAACCTCAGAATTTCGAAATACTTCCGCTTTGCATCGTATCGTGCTAGTACTCACATATGTCGCTCCCTGGTCGCACGAGGTGCATTATCAAAAACGGCAAGGTATAATAAATACCTACCTTGTCTTAGCCGGTAAAAATCTTTTTCCTCGGTCGGCTGCACCCCGCATGTCTTCCATAAGATTAGCCATTGGCTGCAAGTATGAGGCAAGGGCCAACCGGCCGCGATGATCTAATAGCATCGAGTAATTACACAGCCAAGCTCGGGCACCAAGCAATCTTAAGAACTCTTAGCTTCCCTAGCTCTCCTAGCTTTCCCAGGAACTCTCCCTGTTCCAGCTCGTTAAAAAATTTAATTTTTGCCTTTTAATCGCCGAATGAAAAAAAAAAAGAGGAAGCGGTAATTCTAGAAAGCCTCCCAAGGCCGCAGCTGACTGTAAAATTTTCGAAATAACTGAATTTTCATGATTTATGATGTCACGAGGCGGCGGACTAAGAGTCTGAGGGTTGTGATGGTCGCTGAAGGTTGAATGAGACCGATAAGTACTGAAGGTATCAGGTACTTGCTTACCTATAAAGAGTGGATGGGCCGTCGGTATTTCTTTCAAGACAGTCATCATCCACGATATCCAGCTATACAGCAGATACACAGCTTCAGTCGACATCAATACAATACCTCCTGACGTCTAAATTAAACCAGCCAGTTCCTTGCTTGCATTCTGTGCAGTTGTGGTCCCTTGCATTACAATCTCTGCGCTAACGAGGATCTCGTTATCTATCTATCTGCCGTGCTCGCTTGACCAAAAGGCCCTGTGCGGTGTTCGCTATCTTTCGGCGTCTCATTCATCCCATCTCATTTAAATCTGCACCTGCACCTCCACAGAAATCGCGGATCTCATTTATACCTCGCAATCCGTCGCATTAAATTCGCATCCTCCAGCCTTCAATCTTCAATTTACCCTTCCTCCTTTGAATTTTCCATCCATCAATTCAAGAAATAAAATCGCAATGTCTGCACCAACTTATGTTCGATCCGGCCGTGGTGGTGCTGGAAACTTTGCCCCAAAGGTAGCAAAGCCATTGGTATGCCTTATTCTAGATTCGAACCCTTTCCAGATCACTGCTTCCATGAAATTGGCTGGGAAACTCCAAATCATACATCCATTAGCTAACATCTGTCTTTGTTATTCCCTTTTAGGAGGTCGAAATGCAATCCAAGCCTGTTGACCTCGAAGCCCAGCAACCATCCGACCCCGCAGATGCCACTTCGGTCATCGATGGACCAGCCACCGCTGCCCCACAGTACAAGACCTACGCCAGAGGCGGTGCAGGTAATTGGTATGAACCTGCAGCACTAAAGGAAACCGGCACTTTCAACAGTAATCCGGCTGCTACCGAGGACACCTCTGCTGAGAAGCGCAGCTCGCGAGTTTGGCAAGGCCGTGGCGGCGCCGGTAACTGGGAAGCGGACCAGCAGATGAAAGAAGAAATCAAGCGGAAGAGTCTGCTCGCCCAGACGGATGAGGAGGCCCTGGCAGCCACCCTTCATGAGATCAAGAAGGAAGCCAAGATCGAGGCCGAGAAGGAGATTAAACCACCTAGGACTGCACATGTCCACGTTCCACACTTGGACAAACACCAAAATATTGGTGATGAAGTCCACGATATCTAAAAAAAAAAAAAAACTAAAAGAAATCAAAAGTTGAGAATGGGTGAAAGGGGTGGAAGGCGGAAGCATATGCTGTTTTAAAGGTGTCAAGGTTATTGGCAATTTCATGGCAATCGGTTTTTAGTTATTCAAATTCTCGGATGCTCGGAGCTCTCATTTATATCTGATTCGTTTTTCTCTTTTTCTTTTCATTCGTTTCAAACAGATCCTGCGGCATCTTCCGGTTGCTTTGAACCCAGGGACAGCGTATCCGAGTCTCGATAAGACTAAAACCCTTTCTTCATCTCTTAGTTTCGCTGGGCACTATAGCTCTTAGGAAGTTAGGCTGGCCAAGGGATCGGTATGCCAACGTCTTTTTCAATCCTAGCTAGGGTGAAGACATATATCCAAAGCACAGGACCTCCTGTATGACGCGGTCATTCTAGCCATATTTCCTTCTGCAGTATTGGGCATTCCTTTTTTGAATCATTTAGCCTTTCCTTTTCATTTCTTTTGCTTTGGTTCTTTCCAGGTCTATGGCGTTTATTTCACGGTTGGATAGGGTAGTAAACGGCCAACTGGGCTTCGGAAAACTGACAGGTCGGGATATATGAAACCATCGGAACTTTATCATTTTTGGGGATTAATATTCTGTCAGATTCGACCAGCTGCCCTTTGTATGACAATTTTACACTCACTAGTTAATCTCTTGCATGCGCTAAATTTATAAAATCTAATCTAGACCTTGATCCCTTGATCAAATGTATATGCATGTTTTTTCTTTGTTTTCCAGAAAGAAGAAACAATGTGCGGATAGATCCCTCCGAAAAAAGGTTGGGGTTGAATACATCTCGATCGGATTGAGCCTCGCCACAAAGCCATGAGGTTGACGATAACTCTGGATTCCATAACGAATGCTTGGACACCTTTTGCATAACGGGACCGAATCGCCCGAAAATGAAGTATGCTATGCGGGAGAGGGGGATCCTTAAACGTCGAGGTGTGCCCAAGCTATTTCAAGCCAGCTTATCGGGTGGGATGGAAGTTTCGGTTACTCTCGTGGAAGCTGTTCCCTGCTCGCTCCAGCCAACCAGAAGTTTAGATCGTTAACTTCCAGACCGAAACGGGAATAGCCACCGCCATGAGATACTCTTTTTTCAACACGAAATAACCGTTCTCGTCTCCGGTATTTAGATTGATATTATTCGCTTTCCACTTATAATGTTTGATGGTGCGTTTTTACTTGCGCTTGGACTTGGAAAGGTCAGTCTGTAAATAATTCGAGAAACATTGTCTTCGCTCGTCTTCGAGTCAGCATGTCAAATCGGTATCCCGGCATAACTTAGCTTGTACGCCCACCAGGCCAGGCCAGGCCAAGTTGGACGCTTTTCCGATGCTAACTTATGCTTATATTACATTGCTTTTTGAAGTTTGGCCTGTTGCACAAACACTAGGTGGGAGAGGGACCAGTATAGTATCTAGAGGACCCCAGCTGCCCTTCATGCTTAATAGAGCCTAATATTACCTCGAAGCTGACGAGGTATCGTGGAAACGGATCCGATTTAGTATAGACTGGACATTGACGGAATCTGGGAACGATGGGCCAGAACAAAGGTGTTTGCATGCGGTGGTGGGGATATATAACCACCTAAAGCCCTTCGGACTGAGCAAGAATCTGCTCCTTCTCACGATAGTATCAGGCTATCCGGGTTCTTCACCTCTTTTGTTCACCCCCTAACCCCCCCCTTTTACGCTCCTTACTTTTTGACTTACTGTCATCCTTTCTTTGAAGTTTGTTTCTTTTTAACACGATATACCACCCAAGACTCTACTACACTCGTTTTTGTAGTCTTTTGCGGGTATACTCGGGAAACTTCCACTCATTACGTACGACCATTGTATTTTGACGTCGTTCCTTTTTGTGTGCCTAGAAAGTACTATTCAAGCCAACGGGTAACGGCACGGAATATCGATCGTGAGATTCTTAAGATACGCTTCTATAGGGTATCTTTGTTTCTTTGATATCCCGATAACAAAAGAGGGTTTCAGATCTATTTTCGATCTAGAAACATAGTCCCCGGAACTGAGCCTCAACTGAAAAGGTTTGGCTCATTGATCCATATTATATATACATATACTCCCACCCCCCATTAAGTATATTATATATCAAGATACACTCCCTTAAAAAGCTAAGATGTACAGCAAAATTTTGAACACGGGGTTTTTCCTCCTCCCTTTGCTCGTCTGCACTGAGGCTGCCAAGTTTGCTCTGCCGTTTAATACAAACTCGACAGCTATCAAGAAGCTTGCTGCTGTTGCTGCTGAAACTGCGCCAATCCAGATCGGAGTTGCGCTGTATTTCCAGACAAATCCCATGGGAAGAGAAAATGAGATTGTGGCCTGCCAGATCCAAGAGGATGGAAGCATCGGTGCCCACAAGAGGTATAGGACCGGTGGGAGGGGTGGAGCAGCACCGGTTGCTACCGGTGACGACAATGGAAAGATTGCAAAGTTACAGTTGGCATCGACGAACGACGCTTTGTTCAGTCAGCATTCGGTTATTATCAATGGAAACGTAAGTATTCCTCTATACTTTCCTTCCAATACAAAGGAAAGCGTATTTGATGAATTGATATTATATTTTCTAACTTTGGGTATTAATTAATATTTTGATAATGTCGTAGTACCTTTTCACCGTAAATGCTGGATCTAACTCCATTACAATGTTCCTCGTCGACCCCAAGGATCCCCTCAAGCTTACAAGAGTAGGAAAAAGGCCAACCACCAGCCACGGAGACCTTCCAGTTTCCCTAGCATACTCTCCAAAACTTAACACCCTCTGCGTCGCCAACTCCGGCAAGCGCGATGGTGTCGCCTGCTACGATGTCGATCCTCAAAAGGGTCTTACATGTACCGACACGGAGCCACTTAAGCGTACCATCGGAACAGTCAAGGACGGTCCGGCCGGTACCGTCTCCGACATGTTCTTCACCGACGACCAAAAGAACCTTATCGTCATCACCAAGGGAAACAGCGTCAAGAAAGAAGCTAGTATCGTCGATGTCTACAGAACCTACCCGGATGAGACTAAGAAGTCGAAGATCTGCCTGGAAAGTGTTCGATCCAAGATCTCTGAGGCCCCACTCCTCTTCGGAGCCGTCCAGGTCTCACCTACCAAGATCTTTGCCACCGACGGTTCCATCGGTGTCGCCAAGCTTACATTCGACCCAAAGACCTTGAAGGTCACACTCCCAGCCGAAGACAAGCAAACCATCGACTTCCAGTCCGCCACCGGTTGGATCGCAAAGAATCCAAAGTACAACACCGTCTACGTCACCGATGGTAAAATGAACCGTGTCATCGAATTCAACTCCCCCACCGGCGATAAGACCCAAGACCAATCTTTCCTCTCCGGACAACCCGGTAACTTGGATGTCGCCATCGGTGGTGATTTCTTGTACACTCTGTCTCCATCTAACCTGGCCCTTGCTGCGAACACCTCCATGATTCAGGTTATGCATATCACCGGCAAGAATAAGTTCCAGGATGTTGGTGCTTATGTCTTCGATAAGGATGATGATATTACCGCCGGTGCTCACGGAATGGCTATTTCGTGCAAGTCTAAGACTATCAAGAAGAAGGAGACACGATCGCTTCTCAATTTCTTACCCTACTTTTAAATTCTGCCAATGAACTCCAATGATCTGTAGATCGACGCCTGTAGTATACGTATGATATGATATCATGTGACATATGTATATATATATTTCTTTCCTTCCTTCCTTCCCTCCTTCCTCCCTTCCTCCTTTCTCTCTCTGTCTTTGAGCTCTTCTGTCTTGACTAGGATATTTGGTTAGAGATTCCCTTTGCTTTTAGTGAAATTAATTTGCTATCTATATATGTATCTCAAGGCATTCCCCCTCCTACCCCTCGGCTGTTTTTTTTTTGGTAGTTCATGTTATGGACTTGTATACAATCATACTTGCAGGCGTTTCTGATGTCTTGTAGCATAAAGCCTAAAATCCAAGCAAACTCTGTTTCGGAAACAAGACTTATATTATATTTTATATGTTTATTCTAGCATGAAGCATTACATTGCAATATTGAATATATGTCAAAAACGAGTGTTTGTTGGAGGTTTTGTTGCATTTTTTGTTTTAAACATCCAAACCAAGTTTAGTCTCGATACAAAACAATCTGCCTCAATCTTTCGAATCAATTCCCCCCCTCAACCGAATTCGCGATCGAGTTTGCGAAAATATCCCGCTTCCAATTCAGATCCAGCTTCTTGCATTGTTAAATTTTTATTATATGGCCTGTGCGTCTTTCCGATCGACGTAAAACTTTTTAGCAAGAAAAGACGGTTTTTTTTTGGGGGGAGGGATCTCCATTCCTGATCAAGTACGGTAGTTCGAGGCTCTAATTTCCAAGTAGGAAAAAGCTTCCAAGACACATATACATATTTAGACTTCCTATACCCTTTCTTTCCGTTATTGATATGTAAGTACTTATGTATACTTATATATCCTGGTCTATAATATCCATGCTACATAGCCGTCTAGCTTATAAGGTTAGTCTATAACTGTATCAACTGATCTATCAGGACAAGGGCCAAAAAAAAAAAGTATTGATATAGCACTAAGAGGAGATAGTATGTAGTGTTCCACTTGAAAGAACACCAATCTTGAATTCGAAACCGGAAATCGAAAAGGAAAAGTAAATAAAAAATAAAAATATATAGAAATAACACTATCCCTCTTAACCATTAATTAGCCACTAAGCACTTACTTGGTTAGCTAAAGTAGTTATTAGATCCTAGTCTATTCGAATCTATTAGTATTAGCTTTTTTTTCTTCCAACAATAGATATGTAGTTATAGCTTAGTACTATCCCCCTTCTAATGATGACAGCTATCAGGCTTTCTCAGCTGCTCGGGTCGATCGTAAGGGAAATAATCCGGGGAATTCGAGAGATACGGGCTAGTTCCAGAGCTAGTTACCTACTATTACAGGCTAATACACCTTTTTAAATTTTCTCCTAAAAAAAAATATGATAGCAAAAAAATAATAAAACACTCGCTTCATTTTTTTTTCTTAATTCCTTACTGTTTTGTTTTACCCCGCAAATATATAAGTATATTGGGCTTAGCTGGGAAGTCCTAGTTAGCTTAAAACATTTGACGGATAAAAAACCGAAAGGGTTTTGATATCGATATTGCGGGGAAGAATACACTCAAAGAGAAAAAAAAAAAAAATCAAAGGAAACTCCATTCTATTTTTTGTTTCTAAACCTCTTATTCTTCTTGAACAAAAATAAAAGAGGAAGAGAAAAAAAAAAAGAAAAAATATTTCTCTAGTATAATCCTGTAATATTCTCCCAGAGTACTACTATCTACTCCTTCAAGTTCCATCTTTGAATTTTTTTTTTTTTTGAGAAACCATCGAACGAAGGAACACCAAATCCGAAGCGCCAACCTTAAAGCAAACGCTTCTCAACTTTCTGATGCTCAACGTTGACAAATGATTGGACGCCCTGTAGTCCCTCGGGTCGCCAGCCCTTCAACCAGCATAACCCCTGGTCATCTGATCATTCAGTTCAGTTGTCTACGGTCCGGAGTGCGGATTCCGAGGGAACCCACACGGTCAAACTACGGGTATAAGATTGATGAGAAAAAAAAATTTTAAAATTTGTTGTGATAAAAAAATCCACTTTAAGATTGAATTTTTCTTTCCTTTCATATTCCCGATATCTATATCAGGGGGGGTGTGCACCAGCGGCTTGGCGCTAAGAAATGAGCGACGGGCGAGGAGGTGAATGTATATACATTGAAAAAAAAAAAGAAGGAGAAAACCATAGACAGGGGGAATGTAGAAAACCAAGTAACAAATGGTAAGGACAAGGAACTATTTGGAGGGGTTTTTGGCTTATATAACGGAATCCGAAACAAAAAAAGTACTAACAAAAAAAAAATTTCAAAAAAAAGTTCAAAAAAAAAAGATTATACAACCGATGCCTCCATTAAATATTCCCTCGTCGCATTTTCATTTCGTATATAGAATTGTTTCCAAGCCAGCAGAGTTTCCCTGAACGCCCGAACTAAGAAGAGAGAAGAAGAAGAAAAAAAGGCGATAGTTTCCCAGAAAAAGCAGTAAAACGCAATCGAAATTTAGTATATGTTGTTTTATTTCGCAGAAAAAAAAAGGGTAAATGAGGTGAGGAAGATGTTTTCGTTATATATAGGTGCAAGGATATGTTGTTGGTTGATTGTCGTGCTGAGATTTTCGTTTGATAGAATGGATTTTGATGATGATGCAGGCTTTCGTTAATTGTTGGCGGAATTTGCAAAAACGAAATAAATCGAAAAATAACTGAATAGATAAATGGATAAATGGAATACGCAGGTGACGATGCAGTATGACCTTGATGTTAGGGCCTGGCGACTGGGGATATCATTCCTCCATTTTGCCGAACACGCCATCCTCATCATCATCGTGCTTGGCTCTCGCGGCAGCCGCGTCCTCCTCATCGTCCTCAACTACGACCTCGGGCCCGCTGAACCGAGCACGATAGGACGGGGACCGAACGGACTTTCCAGCCTGTTCATGGTCACTATCGTCCATCTCTACGTCCTCGCTCTCAAGGTGGCCCGCGGTTCCACGGATTCCACTTTGCTGAGCAACGGGGTTAGAGGTAATGTAATCGGCTGTCAGCGTACGGGGAGACCCGAGCCCCCGTAGATCATTCGGTGGAGATGAAAGTGGCAGCGATGGTATATTGCCATTCTTAAGATTGGTTTTGGTAGGCCCTAGAACTGGCGTGCCTCCAAAGCTGCAGCTCAACATCTGAACGGCAGCGGCCAGCGACTCGTCGTCCTGGCCAGATGTGGCAATGCTGCGAGGACTAAGAAGTCCGGGAGGAAGTACTGAAACAGGACGCATAGAACCCGGAGATGCAACTGGCGTAACTGACTTCCCACCAAAGGAGCTACCCATTGGTGGATGTTGATATGATCTCGAATACGGAGCAGCAGCTCGAGAGTGGCTTCCATGACGTCTCGTCGGCTGGCCGGCACTAGAGAGAGCCCTAGATCTACCGCCCGGCTGAGGAGACGACATCCTTTCAGGCATTGGAGGTGGCGAGTCTTCCGAGGTTGAATCATTGGAAGAATCGTTCATCATGCTATAGGAAGCCGTGGAGCTCGCAGAAGTAGGCGGAGTGTTCGGCTTCATCGAGACGAGGATGGAGGCCGCCTCCAACAGCTGTACCTGCTGATGCTTCGAGATGAGCAACTTGGACGTGTACGACCATTCAGGAGTGTGTTCCCAACTAGAAATACAATCAAATCAAGTGTAAGCATATTGCCTTGCAAAAAGATAATTACTATATGAAGCAATGGTGGCCGGTTCATTCGAGAGTGAGTCGTACAGATGCTTCGTTAGGCAGCTGCTATGCTTATAGCCCTTGCCGCAGTGTTCACACTTAAGTTCACCTTTGAGATGCTGCCCATCATCAGGTCCATCGCTCGGCCTCCTATTCTTCCGTAACGAACCGGTTGCCGACTCTACTTCCTCCCCGATGGCATTTTCAGATACAGTTTCCTTCAAAGTCGTCCCAAAGCTAGTCTTTCGGAATCCGGATGACAATGCAGATATACCGTGAGATGGAAAGCTCGACGGAGGCGAAGGATAATCGGCAATAACGTCGGATTGGCCATCCAGGGGCTTCAGATTTGGTGAACTAAGAACTTCCTGCTTCAACTCAAGGCTGATCGGAGACGAATCCAATGAACCATTCGCAACTGCCTCCTTTATGGCAGCCACAGCAGCAGAATGGGCAACTGCAGATGATGACATTGACTTCCGCCGGGTGACCCGGTGAGTGGTATTTGTCGTACCCAGCGAGTGAGCATGGTGAGATCGATGGCTAGATTTTATAGGAACGGCGGCACTAGCCGGAGGGATGGGACTCGTTATCGAGTGAGGTATGCGAGGAGGGTGAGCAACCTGATAACCATCATCACCGTTCAAGTCAGCTTGTCTGCTTGTTGGGAGCAATTTTCGCACGACGATGAGGGCGAGGACATCAGAATCATCATGTTGCGGTACACCCGAGAAAGCGCGCACACATCCTTTTTTTTTTGTTGGTTGGTTGGAGAGGGGAGAACAACGACGTGCGAGAGGGAGGCCAACACATTGGCCGGACTCCAGCCTAAGATGTCCACCCCCCCAAATACTCGTCCATGCAGTTTCCAACCTCACCGAAGACCTAGCCAGCCCGGCAATTGGATCTCGCCAGGAAAAGAACTAGAAAGCACAGAAAGGAAAAGTATCATACTCATCGATGTTGAAGAGCTGGAATATGATATGGTACGATCGGGGTCTGGGGAGGACTGGAGCCAAACGAGCGTTTGCCAAGGCCAAATCGGCACATTGTGGACAGGGTAAGCAGGGAAATCGGACGATCTGCTGCTGCGATTTACCTTTGAAGATGCCATGGTATATTTGGTGTATGCTGATTAATATGAACCAGCTGCTGTCGAAGTCTGTCGGAGTTTCCGTCTGTAATTGGGTGTATGTAGTGTATAAGAGTGTGATTTATGTATGTATGTATGTATGTATGTAAGTCTGTATGTATGTTGGGGGAAAGAATGACTGGAATAGCGTATTGGCAAAAGATCGGGTCGTATGGCTGTAGTAGCGAGAGGCTATGACTTTTTTTTTTTTTTTTTTTTTTTTTTTTTAGTTTCTATTAGGGCAGAAGAGACAGAACAAGAGATCGAAATTAAAATTCCAGGAATTAAACTTCGAACAGTCGGCTGTCCCTGCAGAAGTCCAGATGAACGGGTACGATTTCGGCGGGTTGGGAGTATCGACGGGGAATCCGGAGAGGCTATTTCAAGGGTTTGATGCTGCCAATATATAAAATAAAATAAAATAAAAAATAATAAAAAAAGTGTAGAATGCTGGGTAGATCGACAGAGCTAGCTCCAAGGCGCAGAATGTCTGGCGAGGAATTAAAAATATTCTCGAGGATTCTTTGATTGTCGAGCGTGGAAAAATAATGTCGACAAACCCCCTCGGCAAGATATCAGGAGATAGTGGGCGGATGGGGAACGGAAACGATGGTACAAGATATCAGAATCTCAAGGAAGAGGGAGAAGGAGAGAAGGAGAGAGGTGGTTTTGTTAGTTAGTCTGGTTTGGGACGCCGAAGATTAGTTAGCAGTGCAACTACTTTCGAAGATAAATTTTTTGTAATGTAAGAAGAGTCGAAATAAAATAAAATAAAAAAGAGGAAAGGGAAAAGAAAAGGTATAGAATGGAATAGAATAAAAATAAAAAATAAAAAAAATAAAAAAAAAGGTATCAAGTGAGTAGAGTAGGTAATAGGTAAGTATGTAAGTACTTGATAGGTATGGAAGAAGACCCGGTGTTTTTAGTCAGTAATATGCCGGGGATATGAAAGTTTAGGTTGCACAAAAATATTGGAAGGGGCCAAAGAACAAAAAAAAAAAAAAAAGAGGATTAAAAAAAATAATTTAATTTAGATTACTCTGGGCCAATATCCCTCGAGGACTGCGGAGTAGCTCGTGGTAGGCGTAGGCTTGTCCTGCGGGAAGGGAGGAAACCGTTCTTCGCTCACTCACTCACTTTCTCTCACAGGCCAGAAGAGCCAAATCCGATTGTTAGCTGCTTGAGGTAAGGGTATTGTCTGGGGGGGTTTTCTCCTTTTCGTTTAGGGACTTCGATAGATTATTAATTTTCAGGAGACCTCTCCGATCACGAAGCTAACGTACTATGTATGTACTGGGAAGGCAGCAACTGTGGAGTTTTGGGGGGGACAGGGTAGATGCGAAAGAGATGAAAGAGAAACGAAAGCAGTGATGGGCTGGCTCAAAGCACCTACAACTTTGGATAAATCAGCGCAGTATCGGGTGGTAAGATTTTAGGTGAAGTACGTATACTCTGTATGTATAATGTATATTATCGTAAGAAGGAAGTATATCGCGGATGAGGTTGAGGATCTAAGAAGGATGTTCGAAACAGAGATGTTCCAGGAAATAGGTATCTTGAATAAAACAATGATGACAACGACAATACGATGGACAAATTTAGAACACGGGGGAAGTATTGTATAGCATTTTATTTTTATTTTTATTTTTATTATTTTATTTTTATTATTTTATTTTTATTATTTTATTTTTATTATTTTAGAATAGGATAAAATTTTGAGGATTCGTGCGCCTGGAAAGTTTCGACCCTCCGTGCCATTTCAAGATCGCATGGGCGGGCCCCAGATAATTTTTTTTGGTTAATTTTCTTTAATCTTTTTTTTTCCCCCTTCTCCCTTGCAACCTCAAGTGGAACCGAGGAATTTTTTTTTTATTCACGAAGGCTTGCTAGGATGATCAAATGGAAGAAAACGGTAAACAAAAAAAAAAAAAGCCAACAAGAAGTGAAGGTACAGAGAGATACAAAGTTAGTCCTACACGCATCAAGGTAGTCCAAGTATACGACAAGTCCTCTATGTGGGTGTGGCCAACGTGGAGGGTGTCGAAGGGCGACACGCAATTCTGGTTGGGCAACAGTTCTATTCCTTCCCCCGAACCTGTGGAGCCATCTAGGTTCGAGTACACCTGTGTCGGGTAAGACCTGGCAAACATCACTAGCCCTCTATAGACCACGAAGCAGAATGTTTTTTTTTTTTTTTTCCTTTCTATCTTGGGGGGGGGTGTGTGGTTCAGAAGAATTTCGGTACCTGAGTTTAGTAAAGATTATCTACATGTATACTTATATGGATGGACCGAAGACTAAATTAAATTTAAAAAATGTGCATCCGACCTTGATCCTGCATGTGGCGCCCATGTCAAGAAAATAGAGAAAGAAAGAAAGAAAGAAAGAAATAGAAAGAAAAAAAAAATTATAACGGCGTTCAGCTGGTCTAGGTTGTTTACTAGGTTCGAGCGGTCACAGACCGATGGTTGGGGGGTTCAGAAGATTGAGCGTGTTCTCAGGTGATCAATGACAATGAATGATGGCTTCACGAGACCGTTCCTGGAAGTTAAACACGACCATCGGTTTGGGCAACCTTTTCCTGTCGCCAAAGAAAAAAAAATATATGTCCGACTGACAAACAGAAAAGTTAATTGGAGGAGAAAATAAAAAAAATAAAAAAAATTGTTAGATTCTTACTTAAGTAGATACATACATATGTATGTATTATCAAAAATTTTGGAGGGGAAACATACATGTATACTAGTATACTTCCCTATCGATAGAATTTATCGATATTCTGCACTAGCCGGGGTGGTCAAAAGGCGGAGTCGTCATCTACTAAAATTCCAGGTCTTTGACACCTTCTATATCCGTGTTTTTGACCCTACAATCAAGAACGGTCGAATGGATTCCATGGATAGAAGTTGTGAAGTCTATTCCAAGGCGATTTTAGCGTCCTTGAAACCCCAGACTAGGAAGCTTGAAAAGTCTCGCCAAATGCACAGAACTATACATGCACAATAGTTCGGATACTTTGATTGAACCCCCCAACTTCTCAGAGTCTGAGAGTGGGGTGCACCGGCGGTCTAATTTCTTCCAGTGGAATGTGTGCCAGTTGTTCGTCATGAATCGCTGCGGTTTTAGTGTAACCAAAGCAAGAAGTAACTAAAAGAAAACAATAGAAAGAAAATAAGAAAGAAAGAAGGAAAGGAAAGAAAACATCGTGGAAGACCGTCATTTCTCCATTGGTTCTAGTGCATATCTGCCAGTCTGGTTGAGGGAGAAAGAAGCCCACGCATCAAAATTCCTCAATATGCACAATCTTATAGTATATACCTCGAACCACTTGGGTATCGATTGACGAGGTGTTCGTCGATTCTTCCAGTCCCACTACCAGATAACTCCCCTGGATCAAGGACCTTTAATTCGTCCTACTATGCATAAGTGTACATACATACTACGCATGTAAGTACTTACTTACTTAATTATGTATATACTTACATACTTACATATATCCATACAGGCTGGCTTGCATTTTTATTGTCCGTTTGCTAGGGAGGTGGAATATTTTTTTTTTATGCGCTCAACATGCAAAATCCAAGCCGGAGCGGGATAAAAAGGACAGAGCTAGGGCTATGGCGAGCCGACAGGCAGATATGCACAGCAGGTGCAGCGATGCTAGTCATGTTGAGGTTAGGACGTTTATAAAAAAAAAGTTTTGGACCCGATAGTATACGCCGGAGTATACTAACCCTCCTTTGCATTGAAGTGTGAAAATGCCGAAGATAACCTTGACAGTCTAGTTGCATAAGTTCCCCCCAAAAGGTGGGCCCCAAAGTCGGGTTCTGGCCGGGCAGTAAGTCCTTACTTACTTAGATACATTACTAGGTACTTCATAATTATAACTACAAGACAATGTAATAGTGCATAATCGATAGTCGCGAGAGAAATTGAAACTGGCGAGAGAAAGACGACATCCAACAAAAGACCTTCGACGTCACCGAACAGAGCAATAACTGCTGTCGATCGGACAGGGTTACCATCTTTGCCTCCAACAGGAACAGCTTTTCCATACCCAAGTCGATTAATTACATACCACAACAACTTAGATTAACCTCCAAGACCCACTGGTTCCATGTAGAACAGGATTTTGGGAATCTGCATGCTGGCAAGACCGCTTTTCTCGATTTGCCCACGAGTTTTGGAGTATTTTTACTTTAGGTTTGGCAAGAACGAAAAAAAAAAAAAAGATAATATGCGACAAGACGGCTAATACCGAAACGGGCGTTCTGATGACCTCATTTGAGCCCCCAAGGATCGATATACAGGCCCATGTGCATCTTTAGTACTAGATCGATTCGGATCGGGATCCATATTGCGATCGCATATCAGCGAAACTACTAGATTTCTTAAAAGAAAAAGTCTCAGGGGTGTATAGTTTTATTACTATTTGTGTATACGTGTGCTAGTTTACCACTTCGATTGATCTTGTATACGTATCTTGTCATAGATAGTAGATTCGTAATATGGTTGAATTCTATTCCTGGAAACTACCACAAATTGCAGCATTTCAACTAGGGCGAAGACACATCTAGACAATCTGCCGTTAACCTTATTTTCCGTTCTTCCCCAGCCCTAGCCCTGTCCACCGAAGGAATCTAAGTGAAGGAATCGAGATGACGACAAGGGTTCTGTACTGGTTTCGTACCGATCTAAGGTTACACGACTCCCCAGCACTCAAAGCCGCATTAGATCTGAACCCAGACGTCTTGTAAGCCCCCAGTTTTTTGATCGGAAATCGATCTATTCTACAGCGAGCTCCTCCTAGAGGAATACTTGTTACGGTATGTTGGTAGGTAAGTAAGTAAGGACATAGGCTTACAACTGCATCCAGTTACCCAGTGTGGACCTGGGACCCCCACTATGTGTATCACGCTAAAGTCGGGCCGAACCGCTGGCAGTTCCTGTAAGTATCACCCGAAATCTCGATCACCAACTTCGAGATTATTTACGAAGTGGAGGTCGTTTGAGACACTTTTGTGTTCCCTCTAACCCACATATACACATACGTACAGTCTAGACTGCCAGAGCGCGGTATCGGATGGTTTGTCGCAATTGAACTCAAAATCCCGTCTCCTTGTCCTTCGCGAGAGCCCTCTGACTATATTGCCGAAATTGTTTAAGGCTTGGAATATATCCCATCTCGTTTTTGAGAAGGATACGGATTCGTATGCTAGAAAACGAGATGACGAGGTTTTGGCAAAGGCGAAGGAAGCGGGCGTGCAGTGTATTGTGAAGTATGGAAGAACTCTTTGGGATAGTGATGTATTACGCCCCCTTCCGATTTAGTCTCCGATTTAGCCCCATTACAATAGAACCCGGTTTTAAATTTTTGATGGATGCATAGGATATCGTGGGTATCAATGGTGGCCCCACCATGACTACCATGCAGCTTCAGAAAGCAGGTCAAAAGATAGGACCACCTCCACGACCAATACCGGCCCCAATTTCGATCCCACCGCCCGGAGACCTATCGTTAGAGCATGTTACCCAGGACAAACCAGGACCGCAATACTTCAATGCTGACCAGAATCAGTCAAATCGCTCATCTGAAGATTCAACCTATCACGCAGGACTCCGTGGCCCGAAGGGTGATTTTTCCGTCCCGACAATGGAAGAGCTCAAGATGACTGCTACGACCCCTCACCGAGGTGGTGAAAAGATCGCACTAGAGGTTTTAGAAAATGTAATAAAGGATAAAGAATACACCGCTACCTTTTCGAAACCAGAAACCGCTCCTACGGCTTTTCAGCCGGCGTCAACATGTCTCCTCTCTCCACATATGCATTTCGGGTCAATTAGTTGTAGGAAGTTTTATTGGGACGTCTTGGGTAAGACTTCAATATCTACGTTCAAAAAATACCAGCGCACTTTTTCAGTACTGATGTCACCATAGAAGTCGTCGAGGAATGGGAGAAATCCGGCAAAAAGGCCACGGAACCTCCATGCTCATTAACCGGTCAGTTATTCTTCAGAGACATGTACTTCGCAGCTCAAGCTGGTATCGGGACGTGCTTCGGCCAAACTCTTCACAATTCAAAGGTCAGGTATATACCCTGGAATCTCCCCTCCAAGCACCAACCAAATCCAGACGATCCAAAAAAATCCCTATCGATCAAAGGCACCTATCATGTTGATAGCGAAGAGGCCGAAGAATGGTTTATCAGGTGGCGGGAAGGTCGGACGGGGTTCCCATGGATCGATGCTATAATGATACAATTAAAAACCGAGGGCTGGATCCACCACTTGGCAAGACATGCTGTTGCATGTTTTCTTACCCGAGGAGGTTGTTACATCGACTGGGAGCGAGGAGCTGAGGTATTCGAGGAGTGGTTGCTGGATCACGAAATCTCCTGCAACGCAGGAAATTGGCAATGTGCGTTGTATTTTGAGCAGGCAGGCAATGCCTCAAGTACTCAGATATCTACGATTATAACTAACGAACCTATCTAGGGTTATCATGTACCGCATTCTTCTCACAATATATGCGCATCTACAGTCCCATAGCCTTCCCACAGAAAACTGACAAGGAGGGCAACTACGTTCGACATTACATCCCTCAACTGAAGAACTTTCCTGAAAAGTACATCTACGAACCATGGAAGTGTCCTATACCGGACCAAAGAGCCGCAGGATGTATAATCGGAAAGGACTATCCAAAGCCAATGTTTGATTGGAAGGACAGGAAGGAGATATGTATTCGTGGCATGAAAGCAGCATTCGAAGCAGGATTTCACGGGAGCGATGTAAAAGTTATCAATGGTGAAGCGAGATCAATTCTGACAGAGAGGCCTGGAAATGATACCAAAAACGACACTAAAATAACCAGCAAACTTGAGCCTAGTAACCAACAAGGAAAGGCCAAAGCCGAAAGTCGACCTTCCACTTCCAAATCTATGAAATTGCCGGCGAAACGGGGACAGACTACGCTGGATGAAATGTTCGCTCGCAAGAAGGTCAAGTCCGAAGACGAAGGTAACATTTAATAGATGAGCGAATTTTTTGAAGTTAACTCCCAGGTAAGGTGACGACCTTATCCACATATCGTCTAATAATTCTCTCATGCATAGAATAATGGTGTTAACTCGGAATTTGGAAGCCGGATGCATGACGAGATATACCCAAACCTTGTTGCATTCGGGGCTCCCCAACACAATTTTGGATATAACTTTCTATATCAAGATCATAGGTCTTGAGACGTTGAAGATCGGAGTATAAGATACATGTGGACTCATAGGCTTTACAAGCGAAGTCATTCATTCTAAGAATTCTTTAATAAAGTTATCTGAGGTAATTACCTCAGACCGTCAATGTCTATTCGCTGTTCTACAACGGACACGGCTTACGGCTTGATACTCAATTCTAAAATTTTATATGCGAAATATCTAGATGGAATGTAAAGTCATTCCGCCCACCGTGTATGTAGAGCCTTTAAATAGTAGTATTTCTCCAAATTTATATACCTTTTCTTCATAGGATCAATCTTCCTTCCCATAGGCATACTGAAGTCAAAACTTTTCATACCCACCCTACATATCCACCATCATTAGTCCATTGTAGTAGACCGCTATCCTCAAAGCTTCTTGATCAGTATAAATACACCCACAGCATCTTCTCCTACTTTATAATACAAAATCTACAATCATGGTCTGCCCAAACAATCCTTCAGACTGCAGCGGACCCCAAAAACGTCGAAAAACACTTCTAACCCGCGATAACATCCCAACCCCAACCCCGACCCCCCCTCCCACCCCAAACATTGCAACCCCCATCCTCAAAAGAAATATAATCATCCGTAGCAAAAAAGGCAACCCAGGTCTCGACGAAATAATCGACGAAATCATCAACGCCACCAAATCCGCCAAATCCCGTCTAGAAAACAGTAGCGACGACGACGACGACGATGATGATAGTAACCATCACCACGACATCCGCAAACGTCAAGAGAGTACGAGTTCCACCAGCACCGTCACATCAACTCATACCCACTCCGCTTTATCAACAGTATCAGAAACTATCACTGTATCTACCGAGGCACAGGAAACGCAAACTCAGACTACTACGGGTACTAGTACTGTTTCTACATCCACGGCGTATACGACGGTTACTAAGACCGGAACGCCGAATGTGGCGAGGATGCTTGCTCCTGGGGATGGACATACTGTTGTGGTTATGAGTTGGGTTTCTTTGGTTTATTTGGCGGTGTTGGTTTTGAGGGTTATTAACGTTGTGGGTTAATTGACGTTACTTATACAGAACTGGAGTACTTGTATTACTACCTAAAATTGATTTGATGGTATTGCCGGCGAGCTTAGCTCGGATCTATATAGGAGGAGGGTCATAAGTTTATCCGAGGCGAGGAATATGTACTTAGTATGATTGATCAAAAGAGTATTATAATTATAATCAGGATTAGTCATAAGCCATGTAAGTTTTGTGTGCAATGCAGTGTACTCTTCTACGGTGTGCCCGACGTCAACTTAATAGCTTGAAAATTGTCGGATTTCTTTTTTTAACACAAGGCACACTCGATCGAAGTAAGGCATTTTTCATGGATAAAAAAACTCCCTGAGGTTATATTCTGTTACACTTGCTCAGACTATAGAAGTTGAGTTATGAGGGTGAGAGAGAGAGAGAACTAAAAAAACAAAAGGGCTAATCAACTGTGTAAGGTACAAGAACCAGTAAAGGCGACCTCCCCCAAAAGATTTTTCCAGTAACCCTTCGATAATAATCCCCCCCACTTCAAAAAAAAACTCTTTATCCAGAGTATATGTTGGTTTTGATGACTTTTTTTTTTTTGAAACTTATTTTCCTTTTCAAGTTTTTCCCTTTGTTTTCTGTTGTTATTTCAGCTGATATTTTTATATATATAACACTCCTTCAAAATCCAAAAACACCGAGTCATGCTGGCCCCCCTTGATCTTTTTTCCTTTCCTCCCTTCCCTCCAGTACCGGAAATCTATATCTTTAAAAAAATCCCAAACCCAAAAGAAGTATTAAAGGAAATCTTGTAGTGTCCCCAATCTGTATTTCGAAAAAACCAGTTTCCAGAAAAAATGCGAGTTGGCGTGAACTTCTTGAAATGTCGGAGAAAATTAAAAAAAGAGAAATCCAAATGCCGAAAAGGAAAAAGAAAGAAAGAGGAAAGAGGAAGAAAGAGGTCGGCAGAAGCGTTGAAATTCGATTAGGAGGAAATTTTGATGCTGAAAAAGTTTGTAATGGTGGTTTTTTTTTGGTGTCGCTCAGCGGTTCTTTGTATATAGGTTGTCTGGTTGTTTGGTTGGCAATTTGGTGAATGTCGTGGAGGATCTTCATCATAGTCATCCACGAGACCTCAGGGACTCATACTGGATATGAAAGAAGAAATGAGAAGAACAAAGGCCATGCCCGTAGGCCAATGCTGAGATATCTTCTGATGAGTACAACGAAGTGCGCCAGGCACTCTGAAGCGGACATGCGGAATGATATGGAGATGAGTAAGGAGGATGATGATGCGGAACAAAGGAAACATGAAAATAGGGATAAAAAAAGGTCACAATATCGCTCGCTAAAACTGAAATGACAAGATCTCGACAATGATAAAAACGATCAATATAAAAACTGCAGATGCACGCTAAACTCGCTAAACTCGCTGGGGAAGCAGACAAAGTGAAAGGACATTTCAAATGACATGATACGATCAAGATAAGCGCCAGAACGAGATGACCGCCGTGGATGCAAGACGTTAAGAAAATGCTGGGACAACAAAAAGAACAAATAGTGTATTGAGGACAAACCCAAGTGCGCCGAGTAAGAGAGGTAGAAGTTCAAGGTGCCTAGGTAGACAACTTTCGCCTCAACCGACTCTCTATCATATTAGATGAATGGTAAAAATAAGTTCATCCAACTCGCCTTCGCTTTCCAGAAGCACCGACGTTGGCACTCGAGGTACTCTTACTGGAGGTTCGTTTGTGAACCCGACCGTGGTAAACTGGTACCTGGAGAGGACGTCGAGGGACCTCAACATGAGTAGGTTGATGTTGGTTCTCGGCCAGTCATATGGCGGCGAAGTCCATGTATCGGTTGGAGTTATCCCAACCGAAGCCGCCGTAGTTCAAAGCCGTGCTGCAGGGCTGGGCGGAAAACATGGCTGGCATGGATGAGGGCATTTCATAACCAGTGGTGGTTGGCATGAAGGGAAGGTGCTCAGCTTGCTCGTGCGGGGAAACTGGGGAACCTTGAGGCGACCACCAGTCTGACGAAGCTGTCAAGGAGGCAGTATAGGCACCAGTGGTGGCCATTACTGAGTTATCATCCATGAAAGCAGTGCCAAAGGCAAGAGCGTTACCGTCATCGAGACCATCGAAACTCCACGTAGGAAGGTTCTCAGGTGCCATGGAGTTCATACCCTGAGTAAATTGGGCTGGGTTGTTTGACGGAAGAACCTTCCATGGTTCGACTGGAGCCATTGGATGATCAGAGGGAGCAGTAGGTGGCCACCAACCCATTGGAGCGGGAGTGCTAGCGAGTGTTGGTGTTTGTGCTCTAGGCTCAGGAACCTTTGGTGGAGGTGGCATCAGGGTTCCGAAACATTCACTGATAGCATTCCTGACTTCCTCACTCTGCCCGCAGAGGAGTTCACCGGCGCCGTCATCCTCAATACCTTCCAAAGCAATCTTGTCCGTCTGGAAGACGTACTTGTTAACCTTCTGGACAAATTCTTCATGCATCTTCTTCACTGCTGCGTCCTTCTCAGCCCAGTGCCATGTATTGGCAACTTGGTCAACCATATACACATCCTTGTGATAGTCGACCAAGCTCTTGATTGACTCTTTTGTTAGCTTGAAGGCAATCTGGTGGTTCTGAACCATGTCGATGGAAACAACATAGGCTTGTAGGTGAATGAATTGATATCGAAGAAGAGCATCGGTAATGGGGTTTGATTGATGTTCGATCTGTGCTTCAGGAAGCCTGGGAACGCAAAGGCTGCAAAGGTTCCATATCGCATTTGGGCCAGAAAGAATCTCTGTCAGACATTTCAAGTGTTGTGGAACGCTGTTCAACGGTCTCTTGTGCTTGTTGACTCTCTTCAATGTCTGTGTTAACCATGGGTTGACAACTGTGTCGAGAACGATTGTCGGTGCTGAACGTTCAGCGAAAGGTGCTGCCGTTCTTGGTAATAAGACGGCGGGCATGTTGTATTTTTTTGGTTGATTAGGATTTAAAAGCAAGTGATGCTTTCCAACTGTCGGAGAAAGATGGATGAACTTCAATAGATAAAAAAAACAGTCGGAGCGAAGGTCGTTACGGTCTCTCGAAGTGACGATATGGTGATCGATATGTCAAATGAAAAAAAAAAAAAGATATATGTTATAAAAAAAGAAAAGAAAAGAAAATACTATAGGAAATGAAGTTGAAAGAACGTGAACGTGAGATAGGAAATTGGGTGGTCGTGAGATGAAACCGAGGGGGTGGGGTCGGCTTTTTGTGTGAGGTTGAGGAGGAGAAGAGAGGGGGGTGGAGGGATGTGGTAGGAAGAGGAAGGGCGAGAAACCGTATAAAAGAGATTTTCTGTCGAGGTGGGCTGCCCAGTATTCTTATACGCCCAGCCGAACGTCGGTCTGTTGAACAAGGGTCGCTTCGAGCTCTGACTGGTTATACTTGATTTTGAGGAACCCACGCTAGCACAGGCAGTAGATTTGCTGAGGGTGGGAGGGCTTCCTAAAGGGAAACAAGAAAGACCTTTGCAGAGGAATAAGTAATATGGATCATATACCGTCGTTAAAACGTTTCTTAGTTTTTCCGTCAACCTGAGCTTGTCTGGGGGCTGTTGTGTCGTATCCAAATGATGGGTGAGATGTTGAATCCATCTGTCCGGGTCTACACCGGTCCTTTTAACAATCCAGATGTGAGGAGCCACACCCGTTCGTGAATCATAAAACACACGTCAATGATTCGACAATACCGAGAAACTTGACAGGCGTGCGAATATGCGTGCATGTGTGCACCATCTCTCTTTCATTCGGAATCCGCCTTAACCTGGACTGACGGTTAGCGAGCAGCAATGAGGCGAAGAAAGATCCGAAGATTTAGAGTATGCATGCATGTCTTTTTGCTCGAAGTAGCTGTTAGCACATTAGCGTGTCGCCCGAAGGTCAGTTGGTTTGCTTTAGTCCAGTCTCCTTCTACTAAGCCTTCTCGGTGTGAACGATGCGTGGAGCTGGTACATACAGACATAGCTTGTCCTCCGTACTTCCAAGCATCCGGCATGGTAACAAGCAAGGTCCTCCACGTCAACTCCTGCAGACTGGCTCTCCTGTTTTTTCACCCTCCCCATGCAAGATCAGCACCAGGCCATGCCCACACTGCTTGACCCGACTAACTGAAGATACGTAATTCAGGCGTGCCCGTTCTTCGGGCGAGTCTTCGTTTTTCCTGTTGAGAAAGTTATTGTTAGCTGCAACACAGAAGCCCGCAGGGATACATGGCCCCCGGGATTTTGCCTGAACAGGTTATCGACAGTACATGCAATTGTGGCTGTGAGGTCAAAAACCGACACCCAACTCTCTTCTCTCTCTTTTTTTTTGGTCATTCCCATTCTTCGACCGGAGAGTTCACCTCTTTGAGATATTGCTCCCCGTAACTGTAATATTGTAATGATCACCTGCATATCCAGCAGCAGATTCGAAATTGGTATCGCAGACTTTAGATTTTGATAGAGCTCTGAGGTAATGATGCTTCATTTCAATTATCGAAATTCGCCTTCAGATGCCCCTTTCAAATTTCTCGCACCAGAAAAACCTAGAAGGCAACCGTTGTCACCATCGCTGTGGTTCGCATTCGCTCCGTCTTCCTGTCAAAAAGACAACTGCAACCTTAACAGAAAACCAACCGTTCTCTGGAGGAAAGACACCGGCATTAGGTGCACCCTTGCTTCCTGACTGGGATTTCGAGCTTTGAGCTTGTTTGGTGTGGCAAGTAGAAAATAGATTGATAGGCTGTGGTGACCTTCAGCTGGTCAATCCCTGTCATCATAGCTCGAATTGTGGGACGAACCAGATCGCAAGATTCACGTCCCCACTCCTTCATCCATAACGGTAACTTTTCATGAACAGTTGAAGAAGAAAAGAGAACCCACAAGAAAAAAAAATCGAAGAAAAGCCCCGAATAAACCGAAATGGGTGTTAATTCCACGGTACCGTTGATGAATTTTGACAACCTGTACGCGATCCCTACGATACCCTTCTGGCTAGATCCAGATCCCGACAGGGTTATCTATCGCATCGATTGATTAAAATTTATTATTCTTCGTCTCGACGTCGAAAACGACAAGCGCGTGCTGGAGAGAAACAGCCCGGTGAAAGTTCCTGCTGCCTTATTCTGGTAATGTTTTGTGCTATGTTCAGACTCGTTAGTCGCTGACTATTTCGAGCAGGTAACCGAGTCGGACAAGCCGCCCCGAGGATCACAGAGTTGTTCGAAGGAGAATTTGCTGTAACTGCCCTAAATTGACACTTCATACGTAGCAGCAGGGCCAGGCAGATACCAAGTGATGTGGAACATTTTTGGTGCGGATAGACGTACCTCACCTGGCGCCCTGTGGAAGTTTCCAGTTTCGCCGGGATCCCTTTGTTGTTCGCCCCGGGCTGTGGGGACACGACACGGTGTGCGTCTCGCCTCTTTTCAACCTGCATGTCCAAGTGCAGCTGAAAATGCGTGGAAGGATATCGATCCGTCATGCATGGTGAAAGCACAGGCTATCCACAATTTTCTCCCTCGAAATTTCGACAAATATAAGGACGCGATTATGAAAGCCGATTCGGTAATTTCCCTAATTGGTGATTTTGTTTCTGCAATTCTGTATCATTCTGTATCAAAGAGTTTTGTGATCGAAAATTCTTCAGCATCATGCAGGGTCGTCAGAGTATTGTGATTGTTTATGAAAATTTCCTTTTATGACAGGTTCAGAGGAATGCATGAACCAAAGCCAGCTGAAACTTTGGTGGATTTGCATATTTTCATAGACACGTGATGGAATTTTCTTCGTCACAAGAGCTCAAGCTCGAGATAAGGGAAGGCGAGTTGGGTAGTTGGTGAGGTTGGGATTCCAGAGTGCACAGCTTAACCTAGCTAGGAGAGCTCTAGTGGTCTTAGCCGCGCGGGCGACGATTTGCAATTGTCCTCGTGCTCTTCTTGGAAATTAAAAATTGGAGTCACACAGCTCCAGGTGAGAGCCATTGATGTCATGATCACACAGCAACTGCTTGTTACAGGACATTAGGGTTAGCTAAGTAGCCGTCAATGGGTTCCTGGAATAGAAGTGGAGATAGACTCACCAAGCTAGAACACATCGCCGTCGGTTGTACAGAATCAACAGTCGCAATGGGGTAGGCAATTCTACGCTATCGTAATGCATGAATGCATGACGATATCCGTCGCTTGGGGGCTTCATGCGATTCTCAATGTTCGAGACACAAGGATGAGCTGGCGACAGTCAAGCCACATCCGGTGGAAAGCCACAGGGATCGGCCACTTGTCTTCCGCGGGCAGGTCGCTGGGAAGCCACGCAATCGTGCTAAATTTAGCTACGGAACACAAGTTTAGCGTGCATACACGCCACAGCTATCCGCGTGGCTGTGCTGGGTGGTTTTTTCTCCGAACAACACACAGTCAGGTGCCCACAAGGACGGTATCAACGTATTGCCCTTAGTTAAGCTTTGTCTCCGTTGATTCATACTATTCCATCGGCCTCCCCGAGAGCCAATGTTGGGATGATCCTTCTCTTTTAATTTTCATATGTACTGTCAATCTCCTCAGTTCACAAGAAATGACTGTCGATAGCAAATCGCCGGCTAAACGGCGTACCTGCGCCTGTGGCAAGTTCAACAAAGTCGTCGGTAGCGTACACAGTAGATCCCGAGAGATTCGAACATTCCAGGTTTCCCCCGGGCGAATGGCCCCCTCATATGTATTTTTTCATTTCAAGTAAGTGGCCCCTGACTTATTTTCCTAAGTGTACGATAAAGAGCGACTTCTAAGCTTACCAAACCTAAAAGGGAATTTTGCATACTTTAGGGGATCATCGGGGGCCCTTGCCATAGCCTATCGATGGCAGAAACATCGTCTGCAAGTTGCCAACTGCGATAAAATAGGCTTAACTTGCAAAATTCCCTCCAACTATCCCTCATTCTACTTTCTAGGCAGAGATAAACTAGAAGTTTAAATGTGTATACGGTACATGTGGGAAACGCCATAACGGCCCGAGAGAACTAGTATCTATTCACATAGAACTGCTTATTGGATCCCTTCAGCTCATTTCTGACAGGTTCGACTCAGGCATAGCCCCAATGTTTTTTTGTTTTTTTTGGCCATGGCTACCATGTGACCCCTTGGTTCGTCTTCTAGGAAAAGTGTCTACTAGTGGCTAGTTCATTTGTAGATGCGAGTATTTTGCTCAACAGCCGTGTGGAGCCTCGCCATTCTATTCCGATTGAGACTTTATCTCTCTTGATAACAAATGAAGACTGTCTTCATCCTCGCTAATCTTACGTCTTGTATTGATCCCAACGGAACATTTCTCTTGAATTATCTGGGGGAAATGAGATGTTTTTCACTTTTGTGATGCATCAACTTTTGATGCATGGCCCATAGCCATGTCCTTGGAACGGATGCTGATTCGACTACTAGGATATCACGCCATGCATGCCATAATTATAATAACAGGGCCCTATAACTATTCCTTTCCCTAATGAAAGAAAAGATTTTTTTTTTTTTTTCACGTTTGTTATATTGTCAAGATGGGGAGGTGCTCATCGATATCCGAGCTCGAGCACCTTCTCGTCTCGAGCTCATCGACATCGATATTTTTCTAAGCGCCCACGACCTTGTTCGAGCAACGCAATCCTGAAACCCCGCCTGTAGATATTTTAACCCTCCGTTAGGAAAAATAAAATATTAATCATGGGCTTCGCTGCTTATTGTAAGAAAAAAGGAATAAATCCTGTTACGCATGTTCATAGTTCAAACATTTGTCAGTTTCTGGGTACTTATTCCTAAGTACTAGGTAGTTATCCTTCCCGAGTCTAATCAGCCCTGCATAAAATACCACATACCAAAGAAAAATGCTACACTAAAACCCACACCCCCTCTCCTAGCCCCGAGACATCCAACCCACCCCTCCTCTTCCTGGAGGAGTAAAACTTATTTTAATGCATAGTACACTATCGAAAACACCGCTCGCTTCTGTCGGGGAACTCGGCTCAAGAAACTTCGCTTGTCGATGCAGCAAGCAATGCAACGGTTGATTTTTCTCTCTCTCTCTTCGATTCTAGACTAGTTTCGATTCCATACCCCCTCCTACAAACAAAGCCCACCTCGCATGGATAACCCAAATCGTTTATGCATCACTACCCTCGATCCCGTGTGCATGCAGCTTGCCCGAATTCGTGTCTCAAAGGGACAAAGAAATCTCTAAATAAATCTCCTAGCGTGCGGGTTCCCTCGCATAGACGAGGTCCGTTTCGTATACCAGAAGGGGTTCCTCGTTGAGGATTCCTAAATTTATAATCTTGCTCTTGGAAGAGTGTCCTTGTTTGTGTAGAAACTCAAGGTATGTATCGTATCGCATCAGATATCGCCTCGACGATAGGCGCTGCACATGTCTTAGAAAGAGGCATTAAAATCATGTCGATTTAACTCTTTCATGAAAATATGTGATATTAATATATCTGCTTACGAATGTTCTACGTTGCTCTATGCATCTTGATTATGCAAGAATTCATATTTGACAGGGTTGGCTTGTGTAAACTGGTGTTACAGGTGCTAACGAGGGCTTCTAGGCACCAGGAAACGGGGACGTTTTGATATTTAGGTGTGATATTGCAGAATTGACGAATCGATCCAACTCGCAATGCAGAATGCATATCTGGGTTTCATACAAGTCCAATATTACATATCGTGTACGCGGGACTGTGGGTATGGTTTGTCGTTGAGAGAGTTTAGAAATGTCTACCTTTGTGACAATATCTTCATTTTCACGAATTAAAAGCTACATGGCATGACATGGCATGCATGATACTGGTACTCTTCGTTCCTCAGGTTGTATGAGTTTCGGTAGCCTGGTAGGAGGTACCTTGAAGTACCTGGATGACATTCAATTCGAGCTTCTGGATATGTTCCAAGGAAGATCATGGAAGAAAAACAAATAACAGGTAAACGAAGTAAATGAACCGTTATCCGGAAATCAAAACCGTCAAGGCATGTCAAGTAAAATTGTCAAAACACCTAAAACCCCGCTTTCCAATGCATAACAGGATATTGGGAAACATGTCCGTATACTCGGTACTTAATAAATGTGACAAGAAACGAGCGAGACACAAAAAGCAAAATGATAGGTTGATAAAGCCAGGCTCTCAAAATGCCATAGGCTCGCGATAAATCGAATAAGAAAAAAACGAATAACACGAAAAACTAGAAGAGTGGTGGATTGATTCACGCCCGTGGGTGTTTGCTCCCAATTGCCACTGACGAATAGGATAGGATTTAGGTGTGGGGCCGGCGCAGAAGGAATCTCGAAAAAGGCAGCCTGCATATAAAACATTAGTGGAAATAAAGCGATGCCCGTGGTAGGGCCGATCAACCATGGTACCCCATGCCAGGTGACCCATCACTTCCTTGGGCTGGATGCGCGATATCGCCAATAGTCGTCCCGCTTTCTGTGTCTCCGCTTCCCACGACCCCTTCAAACATTTGATGCAAGCCTCCGCCTCCCGCATTGAATTCGAGACCTTCGGTTCCGGGCGGACTACAAGAACGAAACCCATGTTAGATTTTCGGTAAATTCCATTTTTTTGAAATGAATTGGTCGTTATACTGCAAGATTTTCGAACGATCAAACATCGAATGCTAGCTGTAAGAAAAGCGTAATGTCTTGCTTACCTAAAGTTGAATGGTAGAAACCACCCATTATCTTGTGTCGCAAGCATCTCTTCGTGCGGTGCAGTAAATCCATTCATAGGGGTTCCAAACTCGCCGATATTGCCACTAAACCAAGACGGAGTCGCAAGGAACCCTTCAGGAAGATCACCCTGGTAACCCCACGGACTCCCATGCGATGTCTGATTTTGATGGTGTATATCAGCTGATCCCGCGAATGTGATTTGGTGCATTGGGAAACCAGCTGTGGTGGGTACTCCTGCTGCTCCAAGGACTGCCGCTGCTTGTATGGGATCTGTGGGAAATTCATGTCTTGGAAGGGATATGTCTGATGCTCCAGATGAAGGCGAGGTATGGGCCGCTGAAAATGGGCCGCGAGTTTCGATTGCGGATCGAGGGAAATGATTGTCAAATGGCCCTGTTTCGGTGGCAAGAGGACTCGGAAATGAAGGCCGGTCAACTGTGCTGCTGCTATGCCTCCTCGTTTGCTGGGCCCCATTGACTGGCCGATGATTAGACTGTCTTGGATATGTAATATTTTGCAGAGGCTTTTCAGTTTTCGTAGCAGTGCTTGTTCGGACGTGTGATACTGGATGCTGAACACCTTGGACTGATGACCCTGCTGCCTTTGCTGTCGAGGCTGCTGCTTTCCTCTTCATCGTTTTCTTCATCGTTGCTGATATTGCAGCGGCTTCTTGCAATTTCTTCAAAAACTCATCCGGTGTCTCCATATCTGACCCTTTCCTCATCACTGGATTACTGTCTTTCCGCACTAACTCGTCCAAAGTTTCGGGTTTTACGAGAGCGGATTCAACCACTTCGGATTCACCAGGTACAGTACTCCTTCCGTTGTCTCCCGGTCGGGCCCCCTGCTGATCGACTCCTCGTGGAAACCTGGTAAACCAGTCACCATACTGCAGAATATTCGAAGGTTCCTCTCCCGATTCTACCTCCACGGAACCGGGACTTTGCGCTGCTCTAGATTGAAGATCATACTGATCTCTCAGATTATCCCAAAGCGGATAAAACACACCCCAGAACCTCGCCATCTTTGTGAGGTACTTTACGCAGACTGTCAAATTCTTTTTTGCGGTTGTGACAATGGTCTGATTCTTAGAGAAAGCTCCCACAACATGAACGGTAGCAGCTGCGAACGAGGTATAACCCAAAAATGGTGCGTAAACTCCATAGTCTCGATCCAGGGCGTCTGCAAATATTGTTGCAATGGTGTTCGCAGCCTTGAAGCTTATTTGCACAGCTGACCGCAGGAAATCCATTGGATATCCATTAGCAGGCTTGACACCCGGCCGCAGCGGTATCGAGAATCTATGTAGGATTAGGAAGATCTGGTGGATGGCGATATGCAAAAAGACAAATTGGCCCTCCAATTTCTCGGCAGCATGCGAATTAAGGTTCTTTTCATTATACACCAAAGCCTCTGGGAGGGTATCTCGTAACTTATGAGCTTGTGCATTTAGTTTCGCAAAATTTGATTCCGGCATCCATATTTGTGCCACGTCTTTCTCCTTGCCGCCCTGGAACACAGTTAGCGAACATAAATAGCCTTGATGTCATGAGTATAGGAATGATGCTTACATGATTCAAGTATTTCATAACTCGACCCCATAATGTCACAACTCGAACGTTGAAGGCTGCAATTCCCATATTTGCCTGAACGTTCCTTAGTTCGTCTCTTCCGCCTGTTTCGATTTGGTCCACGGACCCATTAACATCTTCTGTCAAGCCGGGTCGCTCCGTAATAAACATTCTTTCCTTTATCGGTAGTTGAATATGAATATCTGCTTCATCGAGAAACTGCGGTCTGGAAGTGCCAGATGAGTTGAACCGGTCCATGAAGAAACACGCCCACATCAGTCTCCTTCTAATCTCTCGATCTGTGAAGGATATCGGGTTCCGGTGTAACATCGAGCTGTTCGTCGGAATGCCTAACGGGTCGTTATCGATTTCTTTGTGGAGCTGTAGGGCGTATGCCATTCTCATGGCCATTCCACCATAAGCCCAACTTTTTCCGCCATTGCAAGTTCCGAGTTCGTGCAGACCGAGGAGGAGCAAGACGGTGAGGTTTGTAAGATTTGCCCTATCAAAATTTTCGCGGACGATTCGGCCAGCCTCAATGCCCCATTCTTCGCCCGCGAGGAAAGGCATGTCCTTCCGGATGGTTGGGTGGTTTGAGAACCGGGCGGATACTGCGCATAGGGCTAAGATAAGGACTGGTGGGACTGTTCCATTTCTATGATATCACGTTCAATTAATCAATGGAGCCGCGGTTCGCGGGATAATTGGGGAACGTACTTGAACCGTCGCATGAAGGACGGTTTGTGTAATAATAAATAAGTCTGTCCATAAACGCACTCAAAGTAAACTTCGACTAGATGCTCTTGAAGCTCTCTACTCGGAAGTTTATCCTTCCCTTCCTCGAGCATCTCATCGCTGACATCTCCCTGGCTCCGTTTCACAGACAAGGGCTGCGTCGATTCCGAGACCTTTGGAACCAAAGCCGGCTTCTTCCTAGCTTCTTCAGAAAATGCCTTTTCTGCGCTACGTTTCCGACTGTTCCCTTGGGGATCGCTCAAGTTTTGCAAAACTGCCGGATTTGGCTTCACTACGGACCGAGCAATCGGCCCTAATGCTGAAGCTTGATCCTTGGATACATATTTAAGCAAACGTTCTTCCATCCGTTTCATACGCTTATCGAGGGTGGCCATATAATCCGTTCGGGGGACGAATTTTCGAGCAGTCTGTTTGTAAACGCATGGGGTGCGAGCACGGACGCAATGCTTGCATGCGGGCTTTTCGCCAGAGCAGCGAATCTTCTTACGACGACAAGCTATACATGCCAGGGGCAGACGTTTGCGATCCTTGCCGGCCTGTGGGTGTTGTACGTATTAGCACGAATTGCCTCATTTTCGGATATGAACCCTGACCTTTGTCTTTGTCTCGCTCCAAATAGATCCTTCCTGTGTTCCAGTCTTATCATCCTTTTTAGAGTTTCCAGATTCTTGAGTCCTTGATGAGTCTAATGATGACGGTGCCGATGGTTTAGTTTTCTCGATATCTTTAGCTGGCCCTTTATCTACATCTTTCGATGTCTTCCTTTTCTTTGCAACGCTCGCGCCGGATAGGCTAGCTTCTGATTCCTCCATTCTGGACATCCGCTATCTAATAAGAAAAAACGGTTCCCGCTCCTAGCGCCACCGAAGCAGGGAAAATCGACTCTCAGGATCTTAAGGTATTCTGGACAATGGTTGTATCGGCATAATTGAACGTCCGGAAGTACTTGGATGCGCCAAAGAAAGCTGACGGAGGCAATTTATTGAATCTCGGTGCAATAAAGAGACGCCAAACATAGAGTATTATATGTCGCACACGAGGCCCAAGTAAAATCCAGGATTGTCGTGAACCACGGAGGTACTAAATGGCGGGAGAGTATCCGATTGAAAGTTGAACCTCAAAATTTCAGGAATATAAAAGTTTTATACAAAAAATTTTGGTCGTGTAAATCGTTGAATCCTAAAAAGGGCACTTAAGGGTCAGCTGCGGGCGTGGCAGCTACAGACATCCGGAATCCGAAAGGAACGTGGTACGGTCGAAGTAAGAAGGCGCCCTGAAAATCGATATATCCCAGCTTGTTTGAACGGAACTAGGAGAAAGCATGCAACGCAGCAATAGCCGAGAAGTCGGACGTTCGGGGAAGTCGTTGAAATTCACAATTCGCGATGTGATCTTGAAGTTTTGCTGGCGTGTTTTCCACTGAGACACTCCTATTCCGAATTTTTTTCAAAGGGGCAGCAGAAACATAAGAAGAAAAAAGCTTGATTACGAAATTGAAAAATACAGTTTTGGGATTGCGACAACAGTTTTATAGGGTTCGGTTGCGGTTCCCCAGATTTCCAAGTGGGAGATTAAGGCTCTGGTTTGCTTTTTCCGTTCGCCCTTTTGGCTGTTCGTTTAGAGCGCAGGGCGTTCGATTGATAACCGGTGACCGGGTGCAAGTTCCAAGCGAAAAGATGGTTCTTGGATGAACCGGCGGCGGCGGGATCGGGATCCAACTTTGATAGCCGGAACGGAAGATGATAAAAGCATCGAAAGATGAGTGATTTCGAGGGTCAAATGATGGCAGAAGAGGGAGACAGAAAAGTGGCGGACTGGGACAGGTCCTGTTTCTTCTCCTTTTCGTGTGCTAAATCTGACGTTGGCCTGGCTTGATTTTTTAATGTCCGCAAGCCTCTCGAGATATCACATCCCTGCACAATGCAAGGTGGTTAAGAACGGCTTGGGGATGGGAACGGGATGCAGTGACAGACCATTGGAATTGAGTTTAACAAGCCTGGAAGTGGAGAACGACTCACACTTACCGTACTATAATGATCTCCTTTGCATATTCCATCGATTACATACAACCTGTCCGTTATATGTCAAATTAGTGAAAGAAGAGCCCGCCCATGGCGCAGTTCCATGGTAACACCGCAGAATCTTGTATTCGTCGACGAGAGCTAATGTATGTACTTCCTGACTAAATGGTTACGAAGCTAGCGATCGACGGCGTTCCCCATATGTCAAGGATGTTCCATGTCCCGTCTCCATCGAGTTGTGTTCATACGCAATCGACCTGGTGGCTCCTCTTAGTGCAGTTCAAACTGTGCTGCTGACTCGGTACACGGCCGACTAACCATTTTTAAACACCCAAGACTCAGCCATTTCCTTTGTCTGTGCGTTTCCTGAACCTCGTTAGCTTCTTTTTCCCTGAAGACGATCTTGTTCATGCCCACATCTCGTATCGCTACTACTCTTTGATAGTAACACAACCCCCCTCATCTCTTCGTGCAGTGTTGTAATGTGGGCAGCTCGAGCTGTGCTCTGTCCGCAGGACCGATAACCAGGATGCCAGGTCGAAAAAACGTGTTCTGCCGGGCGGCATATACCGATCCCTGCGGTGCAATACCAGCATTCCAAGGGTCCCTCTTGTTGTTTCTGGAGTATTTTCCCCATGGCTGTAATTAATTGCATGTAATATATCTGCAGAGACGGTATGCTAGCACGCTAGCTATCACGAGGATCCTGCTGCCTGAAAAGAATTATGGCTTCGTTATGCATAAAAAGTAGTATTAGTATCCTGCATTAGCCATGGCCCTTCCCCCTAAGTCACTGGTACCTTTGAAAATTTTCAACGTCAAGTCCGATAGATCTGTGCACTCGAACTGGGGTTTCAGAGTCGGTTATTCAGGTCTTTGTCAAACAAGCAAAGGAGGTTTCGAAGTTGAGAGGCTCAAGGCAGCTGTTGGATATGCCTAAATAAAGTGTCAATTGCCAAAATACAACAAAATGTCCACCAGACGAAACCGCGTGAATCGGTTCTGCATGCTGTAACTAATGCAGCTGCAATCGAGTCTTTGGTCGGAGAAATGCCAAATACGTCCGAATAGCCAACAGTTTCTTCGATAACTGCTACCCTTGTCCTGCAGCTAAGATGAGCCAAGGTTGCAGCTCATTCATAACCATGCTTATACGATATGGCGAACACGGGCCAGGGGAATGCTGACTTCTTTCGAGACTGTTTTAAACAAAGCAGACGCTGGTCTAGACTCGGATTGCGCTAAAGTATTCCGCTACCTTTGCGACAATGATAACAAGATTAGTATGAGTTGGGAGTAATACCCGGGACACCATCCACATGGCTTTCATAACGGCGATTTCCTCGTCAAGCGTACGTTATGTTAATGGCCCTGAGGAATCCGAGACTTGTGGATAACTCGGTACAAAGAATACAAATATCTTAAGTGGCGAAGATACACACCTTTCAATAATTTTCGACTCCTCCCCGCACCACTCCAGAGGTTCGCCTTTGTTCAATCCTGAGATCATGGGGTTGATAACAACCCATTGTGGGCCTGTGGAGTTGTGGTGTTTTCTAGAAAGAGTTTCCAACGGTTTGATGCCCTGGATACTGGGGGCTTCATCTTTTGCTATGGTACTGAAATCCCAGTGGAACGGTAGTAATAATGCCCCCAAAGCTACATCGCATTCCCATACACATGACAACGTAGTCTGTGCTATGATGGTGACAACGTCAGTGTCTATGGAGACGCCCTGGCTTCTAGGTACCTAGTTATATTAGACGACGAAATCACGCCCGTGGGCGGTTGATACTGAGCTGCAGTGCTGTAGTAGGACCCTTAACCTCAACCTCCCTTGGTTCAATTCATATCTTCATCATCACCACCCCGCCTCTTCCCGTCATCTCCCCAAACCCCTGCCACGAAGCTGGACTCTCAGTTCCTTAATCACGGCAATGGATCCCAATTCCCCAAATATCATTATCCCGTCCGAACCTCTCAGATGGTGGGCGCAGTCAAAGATTGCCAATTGGCGACGTTTTGTTGACGTTGCTGGAATCAAAGACGCAGACCCAAAAGAACTTTCGATATTCGACTGGAAGATAATTTTCGAGATAGCTCTTAGGTCTAGCACATGGCGTCTATGCCCGTCCATGGTCTTCGGAGAGACTTGTGAGATCCCGATATTCGGCATAATCCAAGAGCTCGACTTCATAACAGGGAAAGTTATTTTCCGTTTGGACCCGAGGACAACTACTCCACTTGTTAGGCAGCATGCAAAGTACATATTCAGTCGACGTAAAAATCTTCCTCCGAAGCAAGCCATAGAGATCCTTCAAACTTTCGAACGCCGGGTCGACGTCTTGCAGATTCGCCTTAGGGCTGGAGTCTTAGATGCTACAGATGGTACTCCTGGAGCGGATTTTCCTAAATATGCATCTAATCCGTCAGCGAGGAAATCGGTAGTAGATATGCTGGGCTTGGTTCTTAGAGAGAACGGTCTGAGGAAAACGATACTTGATGCATTTGTGGAGACCCAACCTTCAGTTCCTTCATTTGTCTTTAGTCCGAGTCGTTCATTAGGTGGAGAGCCTGCTGAGGGTGTGCATTCATTACAGTCAACTAATACTCCTCTTCATCTACCACCACCACAATTCCTTCTCAGCGAGCTGCACTCACTTATATCTAAACCCCAAACACCCCAGCACTCACGGGCTGAACACGATCTCCCATCACAACTGCCAGTCGATTTTTCCCTCAAACGGAAGCAGAATTCAAGCCCAACTCCTTCACCTCAGTTGGCAAAGCGTGTACATGTTCGCACGCCCCTCCCAAAGAATAGGGTTATTAAATACTCACGACCTACAGCCACAGGGTCATCGCCACTAACAACCGAAGTCAAATTGGATAGCCCTTCTTCACCATCTCTCACAGCTCAAGAGCCGCTAGTTCGTCAGCGATATCAGAAATCACCATCTGCTTGTCCATCCATAGACTCTGGAATTGACATCAACACACCTACTTCTGTAGCAGCTAACAGCCCTGAACCAAACCCCCCCAAAACGGTCCTAAGAGCTAAAGAGCCAACCTTAACAATAATCCCAGACGAGAGGTCATCAGTACTCCCACTGTCTTCTAACCAAGCAACTCTTAAACGCAAAAGAGTTAGCCTCAATCACGACGAACTCACAATCTATAAAATGGATTCATCCTTCGCCCCTGTCACACGCCAGCAAGCGGCAATGGAGCTTAAGAAAACACCAAAACAGACTACTGGTGTCGGCAGCGTCAGAACCATGAATGAATTGACTCCACGAAAGCTATCTAATGTGCAAAGAAGTCCGCCTCGAAACTCAAAGGACACAGACGAAGAGGAAGATAACTGGTATGATACGCACGAAGAAGTGCAAATAGATCATCCACGAGAAGAAGATAAAGCCGAAGACGCCGAAGACGAAGATGGAGGAGTGGGGGTAGAAGAGGGAATCCAAGATGGATGTTCTAAGATCGTCGGGTTACCAACGCCTCGTAGACCTCCATCATCCGGTATCAACAGATTTGGGTTCACCGTCCGAAATCCGGGAGATAGCTCCCTAGCGACGAAGAAAAAGAATAACAAGGGAAAGAACGGGAAAGGGAAAAAACGCAAAGGAAGATCCCCAAGTTCTAGTGATTATACGGATCCAGAAGACCTCGTTCTTGATTCTGACACCCCAACACTCGAACTCCTCTGCGACTCTGAAGACTCAGAAGAGCACCGAGATCGGAAATACCGACGACGAGAGAGAAAAAGGCTTAAAGCGGAGGAACTTCAAAGAATTGAGGATATAAAGCGGTTGGATGATCAGATCAAGACACTCGAGACAGAGTTGGAAAGGAGGGAGGCTCTCGAAGCAGTTGAAGGCGCGGACAGGGGCCAGCTCTGTAAACAGAACGAGAATAAGGCTATTGATTGAAAAAAAATGTGTTTCGACATCTATCATGGGCCTTCTTTATCATAACTGTCGCGCCAGTTTTTCTGGGTTTTGTATCTTAACAAGGGCTTTTTGATCAATATCGCCACTATTTGGCAGGTTTTTATGGAACCAGCTTCTTGGTGGTCATATCAATTATATAATTATCTCCTCTAGCCAGTTTCCTGCCTAGGCTTTGAATGGTTTGACTACCGTAAAGAGGGCTATAGTGTAAAACGTGTATGCTTTCCTATGGGCAACCACATTTCTACGACGGGAATTAACAGTCTCGTAACCAATTGGGCACGAGGCTGCGACAGGAGCTGGAATTTCGCGGAAGTACGAACAACACATATTTAGATCTCTCGAAATGAAAATGCAACGCAGCCTCCTAACCAAATATAGTTATCGCAACGGAAATATACCGGTGATCCCTTCCTTATTTCAACTATAGTTCCATGGATAGACTAATAGGCCTACGTGGTAATGTCATGGACTTTATCCGTACGTTATTGTTGATTAAACCACCTTCGAGCGAGATTGGTAAAATCGGGCAACTACTCTCTTCATAGTATGATAAGTTGTCGGATTAACATGGTGACGCCTCTCTAGCATAATTATAATTAAATTTAGTGGGAATTGAATCTCGATTGATGGCGATTGACTATATATAGCTGTTTTCTTCTCGATATGGGGCTTTGGCCGGCCTATGATAAATGTGCCTGTGCATGCTGCGGGTTTGAGAAGCCGGGTCCCGAGAACTAGTGTTGATATTGTTGTATTTTTGATCGATGGCTTCGTTAATTCTTAACTCTGAGCTCGAGCGGTGCTCTGGGACTGGGACTAAACTCTGAAGATGGAAATATGCATGCAGTGTACTTGAGCTCGAGGGGGTATATTTTGGTGTGTCCAGCACCCGTCTAACAACTAGACTGAGCGCAAGGGTTAAAGTTAGAAGGATAGTACTCGATACATCTCCAAATCATAGTAACATAACTACAGTTGCATTATAATATTATGGAACTAATGGGTTCCGTGGAGTATATTAGAGGGCTATATATATTTGTATCGCGTTGTCACTGTACATGTATATAATTTTATAATATTGAACTTATATGATTATGTCGAATAGCTAGCGCTAGCTAGAATCAAATGTATTATATTGATAATGTAATAGCCTACTAGTATACTCTATGTCAAATCGACTCTAGACATTGCAGCCATCCTAAGCAGCAAGGAAGCTAGCTATCAGTTGTATTTCCAACTATACCATCAAGAAACAAACTAGATAGTGTATATGACATTCAATTTCTTAACTCAGCTACCAACGGGCAGGCTAGTGGGTACCTTTGACAAGCTATTTAAGAGAGCAACTTTGGCATGTTGAAATTACATTCTGGTCTCGAGACTCTGGGGGGTACGTCCGGAATCAATTGGGTATTATAGTTCTCGGAAGAAGCCTCGAAGAAACTAGGCAAAGGAGAGGAAAAAGAAGAGAGAGGAGGAGAAAGAGGAAAAAAAAGAAAGACAAGGAAAAAAGGAAGGAACCAAGTGCGCGAGCGGCTTGTTCGGAACTTGAAATTGTGCTCTGCAAGAAACCCGACAGCCGCTTACGTATACTGGTGTAAATTTAGATCAAATCGAATCCTAGCTGATATCAATGAAGCCATCGCTCGGCTCGATAATCGGAGGCATCTTTGGTTTATATCAAGTCGAATTTTCGGGTTGATAAGCGAATTTCATGTTCGGGGCATCAACAATGGATTATTCGGCCGCACCGACTACCAAGAATCTAAGTACTTAAGTACCTACCCACCTCCCTTTTCGGCGTCTGGGACGAGACTATACCTACCCCCACTCGGGCTCGGGATTGGAAAGCCCCGTTGCACGTTGATGCTTATTTATGCTCTATAAATCTAAATTCATGGTCGAAGAGGAACGTTAACATCACGTAATGAACTCAAATTAAACCATAGGAACCAAAATCGACCAATTCTCAACTCTATAGATATTCCCGATACAGCGTTATATCCGCCAATGTAATATGTCCTCGTTCGCGATCGATCAACCATCATCTTCAACATAGAAACTCATATCTAGAACCCAAGCGCACTTCGAATAATCGCTAGCTATAGCAATATTTCGTTAAATTTAATATTTATTTCCAAGCCCCCAATTCCATGTTGTTTTTGTGAGGTTTTGAGCATACTATTGTGGAGGCTATTTTTGTTCTTGGCAGCTCGTATGTAGGTCAGGTCTAGTTATCAAAATGTGGACCGCGTATGCAATACGAGACTAGTCTATTAGTAGTCTCGTTCCGTCTATTAGCTATTTTGTATGTAATATATCACTGTTAAGGTCATGGAATAGACACATGTGCTCAAAGACATCCCATATAGATATGTATGGTATCCTAACCGCAATTATTCAATTGGACAATCATGATATCAATTATTTCATCGGGAGTAGGAAAATAGGCGGTACATTTGATCGTATATTATATGAGCTACTATCGGTGATCATGAGAATCGAAGAGATACTAATTACTTCATAATCAAACAATCGGGTTTTTCGATTGAGAATATGAGAAATACCAAAGGTAAAAAAAAGGAAAGAAGACGTTATAGTAAAGTAAAAAGGAAACCAGTGGGGGAATCGCGATGGGAAGACAACACCTGAACCCGAAGTAGCCGCAATGTAGTAGTATATCAATAATCTTGGAACGAAAAAAGAAATGACGGTAGAGGCAAAGTAGAGGGAGAGAGTGTGTGAAAGGGGCCGGATTCGGAGAGTAGTTAAAGAGGAGAAAAGAGGAGTGAGAGAACCGTCTTCTCAGAGATAGAAAAACCGTCTGTCATCCCATACTCGTTGTACTGAACAGTAAGATATTATGAGGCTTGTATTCCTCTGATTTTGATGACCATCTAACAAGCACAACCGTCCTTGTTTGTTTCCCCAACAGCTGATAGATTCACACCTCCAGATCCAAATGTGTCCCCGCCTGTACCATTACCGGCTCGGTTAGAACCCGGTCCACCCCTTGTCTTCAACGTGCTCTCTGGTATCGCATTTGCAATGGCAGTAAACACTTCCTGTACGTTATGTCCTGTCTTCGCACTGGTTTCGAAGAACAACAATCCTTCCTCGTCGGCGTAACTCTTAGCCTCGGCGGTTGTAATCTGTCTAGCATCTCCCTCCTCCTCCTCCTCTTCATCCCCGTCGCCGGCGGCAGCAGATAACGATAGTCCACCCATGGAGTTTTCCAATCCGGTCGACTGGCTTGTTAGATCGAGCTTGTTGCCAACGAGAGCGATGACTATTCCCGGAGATGCCTGTCGCTGTAACTCAGCGACCCAGTGTTTTGCCTTCGCAAGGGAGGAAGCTTTGGTGAGGTCGTAGACGACGAGGGCGGATTGAGCATTACGGTAGTACATGGGGGCTAGGGAGGCGAATCGTTCTTGGCCAGCGGTATCCCTAATGGTGTATCTATGTTAAAAACGGGAGGCTATCGGGAAATGACATAAGGGATGTTACACACCATATCTCGAACTTGATTGTCCGACTTGGGAGATTACATTTTTGTGTCAAGAAAGCAGCTGCGAAGTTGGAAGTGTTAGTTTCCAAATTTAGGAAAGAACAGCTATTCAAGATGCTAGTATCGAGAAGATGAAAGCATACCTCCGATAGTAGGTTCTCTGTTCTCCTGGAAATCATCGTTCACGAATCTTAGAACTAGGGAAGACTAGAGGTTATCGTTAGCGGGGTTAGATATTGTGGTTCGTAGACATCCTTGTAATAGCCGATAATGACGACGCGCAGCAGAAGGAGATGATGTATGTAGGTACCTTTCCGACAGCAGCTTCCCCCAAGAGAACCAGCTTAACGCTAGAGCTTGGCTTTGGACCGCCTTCAGCCATTCTGAAGAAGAATAATAATAACAAAGAGAAGAAAAGGAAGGATAAGAGTCAGTGGGTGAGAGTAGCTCGGGAGTTGAGAGCGATAGGCGAGAGTAGGTTGTATGTAGTAGTTAGGATGAGATGTGGATGTGAATGTGAATGTGAATGTGAATGTGGATGGATGTGGATGGGCCGATACCTCCTGCGCTTGGAACAGGCAATAAACAGATGGACAAAGCAACAGCAACAGCAACAGCAGCACAGAAAGAAGAAGAAGAGATGTGATCAAATAAAAAATAAAATAAAATAAAATAAGATCAACTACGGGCAGGACAGCACCGAATAGGACTGGACAAGGCAGAGGTCGGCTTGCTTGGAAGCTTTCGTCACGGCCAAAAAAGCAATACGAGTCCAAGTTCCGAGCTAGTTAGCTATCCACTGACAGTCTTAGTTAGGTCTGCATGGGGGTTCGGTGCAAGTGGCAGTGACGACAGAACAGGGCCGGAAACATAGTGCTGGAATGTGCGCTGTGGCCAAGTAGGCCTGGGAACAAACACCCTCGTACGGCAGCAACACCTCGTCAGCTTGCAGCCGTATCACTCCACACGAGAGTGTGTATGCTTCCACCTCCATATAATATCACGAATCAGTCTCGAGGATACATCGCCATCTCCTTCAATCATTCCGACCATCTTCCACCTCGAAACCAATTCCTCTTCCCCACATTATGGCTGCCAACCAGAACTGGCGTCTCATTGATGTAGACGCCCTCGATCCCGAGCTCCAATACCCCGCCGAGTTACTCTCCCCACCGTTCGATCCCGTCCCGTTATCTACTGTACAACAGCTCAGCCAGCAATGCAGAGGGTTATTACAGCGTGGTGAAAACGCAGAGGCATTACGGATAGCACTGCAGAATGTGCCCTATGGCGCTGATGACGCTGGAAAGGTTGTACACACCTCCAAAATCTCCAGAAGTTATAAAAGCAAATAAAAGAGATACAAATATAGCTTCTGTAGAGCTATCGAAACAGCTTGGGGTTTATGGGAATATACTGTTATATGGGAGCCGGATGCTGACGGAAGCTCGGTCTACTTCTTTAGGACTTGCATTGCACCACAATAGTCGAGATTCTGGGTTCGATCAAACAATCCGAGATGTCAACTACCTTGAACACGATATACTCGTCTTCGGAAGCTGGAAGCGAGCTTCTAGACACACTTATGAAGTATCTGTATGTTGGCTAGAGATTTTTGGCGCTTGCTTTATACTATCAGGGAGGGGCAGTATGGCTCGGATGGTTGACCGGCTGGCTGACTGGGTGCGTCATCGCTCAAAATAGGTACAAGGGGATGGCGAAGAAAGATGCTCCTCAGGTTGGCTCCGGAGGTGCCAGTGGTGGAATGAGTGTGCTGCTTTCGTGGCACGAGAAGGTAGGACGATCAAAATTCACTGGAAATAGGAGAAGCTCGCCTCCATACTAATATATGAACTGTAGGTTGTCGAGATAGCTGGACTAGGCTCGATCGTTCGGGTGATGACCGATAGGAGAACAGTATGATGGGTATATACTTGGAGATACAGAGGACAAATCGCATGAACATCCATTGCACCATAGCGATACGGCAATCGAATATAATTACCTACCTTTCCATCCCACGCTCTCGGCGTAATTCTCGTGCTCTATGTATTCGACGGCATATGTCTATCTGTAATCCGAGTATGAGGTTCCGGTGGGGCTTCCCCTCGCAACGGAAAGCTACATAGTTATAGCTCAGCTCCCTAAGCCTTAAGTCGTTGAAATTGTTAGGTGACAATCCCGGCCAGGTTCCTGTCAGGCGAGATAGTGCCGCGAATGGGATGCATACAATCGACGTCGTCCGAACGTAGGGGCGAACGAGCTCCAAAAGTCGATATCGCGACGAGTGCTTTGCATTGAAGGTACCATTCCAAGCTAAACGAGCAAGCCGACCGAGACTAGGCGAAACAAGTATGCCGGACTTCGGGAAAGACCGGGTACTTTTTCGGCGGAATTGTCAGAGAAATGGGCTAGTTGGTTGCAGCGAAACCGTTCCAGCTGCCGAAAGTGAGGGAAGGGGGCCCGAAGGAGAAAAAAAAAAAAAAAAAGACACCGCCTTAACAACAGCTGGCATAACATTGGGCGCTTGACAAAATGAGATCGTGAGATTTTACAAGGGACTTCGTATCTGCATCAGGACAGTATACATGCAGACAGACAGACAGACAGACACATGTATGCATGCATATAAAACACTTCCAACCGACAGGCAACTTCAACGGGTACCCAAGTAATTATCTCAGCTGTGTTATTTTGTGAAGCCGGCTATCTGCCTCGTCCGCTGGGTATCGGACTGAGATCTTGCGGATGTATGGCAAAGTAGCTTTCGCATTCACGGAAAATTGGACCCTCCTCTCATTTAGCCCGGCCGTGGGGTTGAGTTAACATGTACACAGGACAGTATCTTCGGGATGAGAAATTTTATTGTATGTATGGAATGGCCTCTTATCGGCTGGTCTCAGTTCCAGGACAGGACAGTCTCGGGCAGGGGACAGCATTTCGAACCCGAATCCTGGCGTCCATTACCATCTTCAGCTAGCACGGACCGGCCTACACATGTACCTTTATGCCTAGCCTCACACCGATTGCCGTAGTTTCTTGATCAAACAGAATTTTTCTCAGAGGAGCGACTTTTTTTGCCCGTGAAGCCTGGCCTGCTGTGGAATTTGTGTGGTGGTGTTTGCCGTCCCCTTTTTAGAAGCAGCTTCTTTTCGGCCATACAAAATTTTTCACTCACAAACACACACTTCCTTTTAAACTCTTCCTTCTTTTCTCTCCCTCCCACCGGCTCCTTCAAAGACTCTCTTCATCACTCTCCACTCATAGACACACGTGCATACTGCCGTTCGTGTCTAATTCTTTCTTTCTTTCTCGTCTTCAATTCACATAGTCTCGGTTCGCTGAGCATTTTTTCACGATGGTTCAACAGGTATGTTTCCTATCATCTCTCTATCTGCCCCTCTATCGGTCCCGGATAGGTTGCCTTTCATCCGATATATGCATCGTAACACCACAATGCTTTCGATGACGGCAGTCAATCGATTCTCCAATATTTCAATGGATGCTAACAGGATTCCTTGTAGGGTTTCATGGTTGATTTCCTCAGTACGTAAAAAATTGTTCAAACTAGCTGCTGGTCGCAGGGTGGTGATATCAAGCCTTCAGCTGTTACCGGTTACCTCAAAGTCCATCTCAATGGCAGTGAACCGTCCTTGGAGAGATCCATGCCGGTTTTGCTGCCAGAAACCGGGTTCTTTGAGGAACCTGAAACGCTGATATCTTGATCTTACTCCCTTAAACCTTCACTGTAATCAGCATTCTAACGTGTTTTTAATACTATAGTGGGAGGTATCTCGGCTGCTGTCTCGAAGACCGCCGCTGCTCCCATCGAGCGTATCAAGCTTCTCGTCCAGAATCAGGTTAGTTCTCTCGCAGTTCTCTGAGTGACCTATGCACCTATGAGGCCAAACAATAGCGACTAGAGAAATGGAACTCTCCCAAATGCCACGGCTTTACCACTCTCCAGTTGAAGTTTGATGACGAAGTACTGAGAGATAAGCCGCTTGGGAATTTTTTTTTTTTCTCGGTTGTGGTTGTCGGACCCAGCAGGCGGCACCTCATTGGTCAAACACCCTTCACAAATCGGGTAGCTAACCGTATTTGCAATACTTGTAGGATGAAATGATCAAGTCTGGTCGTCTCGACCGACGATACACTGGTATCGCTGACTGTTTCCGAAGGACAACCGCTGATGAGGGTAAGCCTTTAATATCCGCCTAATCGCAAAACCTTGGGCGGCTATGTTCATCAGCATGTTGTTCTATATCATCATCACTTGAAGTAGTGATGATAGAAATACTACGTTGGCCGAACATTGCCTCCCGGGGAACCTGCTATAGCTTGTGACATTGTGGGATAATGAACTAACACGTCCTCCTCCTGTGCAGGTGTTGTTGCCCTCTGGCGTGGTAACACTGCCAACGTTATCCGTTATTTCCCAACCCAGGCCTTGAACTTTGCTTTCCGTGACCGATTCAAGCAGATGTTCGGTTACAAGAAGGATCGCGACGGTTACGCCATGTGGATGTTCGGTAACTTGGCATCTGGTGGTGCCGCTGGTGCCACTTCCCTCCTCTTCGTCTACTCCCTCGACTACGCCCGTACCCGTCTTGCCAACGACGCCAAGTCCACAAAGACCGGCGGTGCCCGTCAATTCAACGGTCTCATCGATGTCTACAAGAAGACCCTTGCCTCTGACGGTATCGGTGGTCTCTACCGTGGTTTCGGTCCTTCCGTTCTTGGTATCGTCGTCTACCGTGGTCTCTACTTCGGTATGTACGACTCCTTGAAGCCAGTCGTCTTGGTTGGACCTCTTGAGGGATCCTTCCTTGCCTCCTTCCTTCTCGGTTGGTGTGTCACGTAAGTTCTCTCCCTTGTATCCTACTCTCTGCAAAACAGATGAGGTCTAATAATTTGCATAGAACTGGTGCTGGTATTGCTTCTTACCCATTGGATACTGTTCGTCGTCGTATGATGATGACATCTGGTGAGGCCGTCAAGTACAAGTCTTCCTTCGACGCTTTCAACCAAATCGTCGCCAAGGAAGGTGTCAAGTCTCTCTTCAAGGGTGCTGGTGCCAACATTCTCCGTGGTGTCGCCGGTGCTGGTGTCTTGTCCATCTACGATCAGGTTCAGCTCCTCCTCTTCGGAAAGGCCTTCAAGGGTGGTTCCGGTTAAACAACCTAATCCCCCAGACACTTTCGAGATATATATACCATCGCCCTTGACAATTACAGATGATGGTATAGGGGTAGCAGTGTAGTAGAGGTTCTCAGAGAATGACGATAGAGATTTTTGGAGACCGTTTTAATGTTAACCATATTATGGAAAGAAAAATGAGAGGAGAATTCGGAGGACCCTTGAGAGAAAGATACAATCAAAGAAACCTCTTCCGAAAAAAAAGTACATTTTTCAAATCATGTTTAATTTGCTCTTTTTAGATGGGATGTACTTTTTTTTTGCCTACTAGAAAAAGTTCCTTACCTTTTTTTCCCCGCCCCCCTTTACTCCTCCTCCTCTGCCTTCTTTTCTTACCACTTTTTGTTTCCTTTATTATGTTTAACTTGAAACCTACTCCTCTTCACCATGTGTATATTTTTCCCTAAAAGAAGACTTTTTCCTACTACTATTCTTCAACTTCGCTGGTGTTGCCTTTCCGTGATATCGATGCTCAATTGGGTGCCGTGGAATGCTCCTGTATAAATATGGAGCTTCTCCGCCTTCACCTCGGGCGGGTGGCCCCTTAATAGACCATGCAATCGAAGTAGATTTGCTGTTACTTGTCAGCATCTTATTGCTAACTGGTAGCGGCCCTCGAGCTCGAGCCCCAGATGCGACAGTGAATGAATTTTGCGGTAGACCGAAATACAACATTCGACAACGCACTTGTCGATCTTTGTGAACTTATTGCATCATATGCGTAGGCACATGTACAGTTTATATATATACTCTGCATTGATATTATTCATGTGCTACTTCTATAGGCACAAACTATTGGATTATAGTAGAGATATCTGACTCTCAATTTTAAAAAAAAATCCATTACATCAACCGATACTAGTTTCTTAGTCTCTCGGAATATCATCGCTCTTCGTAGGCATCAACTTCATGGGAGCCCCGATCGGGGCGGCTTCCAACATCTCCTCACTCTTACTTGCCAAAGCTTGCAGCAGTCCACCGTTCGGCTTGTTTCCAAGGTCTCCGGTACTGTAATACCGGCCCGCCAACATTGGAAGAGTCTGCGATAACCCTTGTTGTCCTAGATCCAAAGCAGCCATACTATTCGCCCGGTTTAACACCCCTTGGGCTGGTGATTCCGGAAACTCCAGTAGTGGCATTGTTTCCCCGGACTGGCTGTTATCGACTTGCTCTGAGTGTCTTTTGGAAGCATCACTCGGTTGGTATGGAGCATAAGAATAATAATCTAAATCACGATCATCGGATCCGCTATCATCCTCGATGTCAAGTAACGCCGCAGCAGTACCACCGTGAGAGTAGAAATTAGATTGTGCACCGAGTAATCCCTCGGAAGCCAATGGTTCTGACTCTTCGATAACGAACTGGAACGGTGCTTCGCTGATATAATCACCGGCGGATAATCCATCGAATTGCTGTCCGAAGGTGTAATCGGATGCTGCTTCTTCGTCTTCTTCTATATTTACTACTTCGTGCTGGATGATATCTGTTGCTGCTGCGGTGAGACCGTTGGTTTGTGGTGGTAGTGCGTTTGTGGGTTGGAGGGAGATTAAGATGGGGATACATGCTATGGGAGGGCTGCTGAGGCGAGCTACTTTCATGCTTTTCCATACGGTACGTTGGAGACTGGTTAATTGCCACCAGACTGGAGGTGGGGGTCCTCCTTGCGATTCGGATTGGGTTTCGGCTCCTGATTCGTCTGAGAGAGGGTCTCTGCAGACTAAATTTTTTTAAAGGGAAAATTGGTGTACCGATTTGTTAGAATAGTAGTTTATAAAATTAGATGAAGCTGCATTTTGGAATGGTGAGCTTACCGAAGTTATCCCAACTTTCCGCACCCTCGATACGGATATTCTTATTTTTATCTTGAATAAATCTATTTAAAAATCCCGCCAAAGTGTTAGATCTTATGTATATACCAGACATACTTCTCATCTTTCGCATCTCCTTCCTCGTGTCCCCACTGAATAAATGGAAGTCAAGAAACAAAGAAAGAAAAACTTACACCGGCTCCTCCAAATTATCCATCTCAATCATCGCCTTCTCAGTCCCCGTCATCAAAGTAACCCAAATCCCCGTCCACGGCATCCAAGCAAACCTATGTCCATTCGTAAACCTCAACAAAAACCTCTCCTCCGCAACATCTTTACTCTCCGGAGTATCATCATCATCATCTTCATTCTCCAGATAATCAGCCTCATCAATACTAACCTCCTCCATACCACTTTCCTTCTCCTGTTCAATTTTCTTCTCCGGAGCATCAAGTTTAAAAAGAGCATAATGATCCAACTGCGTCGCTCGTCTTTCCCGTGTCTGTTCCATCGGTACCTGTTCGTTCGCTTGCATTATTCCATTCTCTTGAGTATTCCCTTCTTGGATCACATCTACCATTTGTGATTTTGTAGATGTGGAAGGCGTCCAGCCGATATCTAACATGCCCATTTCGTCGCCTTGGAGGATATTTTCTTTCACTAGATTTTTTTTTAAAAAAAGAAACATATGTATTAGCATCTCACAGATAATCCTGCTGAATTATAATTATAAAGAATCAGTAGTGAAAGGATATAAATACCATAAACAGGTCGATTCCCATTCCAAAACTCGTTCAGCAACGCCGTAGGCGGTTCATTCAGGCCCTTGAGTAAAGTCGGTTCGACCCTTATATAAAAAAGCTGCTCGACATCCTGTCCGACGACGGGGTTTGCTGATTGTAATAATATCCCTACCACGAGGGGCAGCAGCACCCGCCTTCTAGAATTTAGTACGAGGCACATTCTTTCCTTTATTTTATCCTTGTCACCGATAAAAAAGAAAGAGGAGGGGTATCCGAAAGGTAAGCTATGGATATAACAGTCGAGATATTGAACGGAGGGACGTTTTCCCCACGAGGAGGTGGCATGTGTGTTAACAGCACGTTCATGGAACGTTCGAACCTATAGTGCATTTGAGGGGGATTGATTCCTTTATATTGTTTGGGTGCTAGCTACCACTAGACGCTGTCTCCTAATAACTAGCCAAAACTTTGCTACCAGCGCAGGCTCATAGGAATTAAAAAAGCATACAAAGAGTCAATTATCATCGTGAGTTTGCGACAATTTGTACGAAAGGGAGATTAAAAGTAATTAAGAACCACCATGGAAATGAAATATATTCGAATGCAGCCCGTTACAAGAAAAGAGTAAAAGAAACGCTAAGAAATTCCTGATAAATGAACCCAAGTAGATGCACTAATGCTCCAAACCACAAGCTCAACCAATGCATAAATGAAACCCCCCCCAAAAAGGGAACAAAACAGGAAAAGAAAAGTCGAATATGGTCATTTCATAAGACATTAATTTTTTAAAAAAAATGCCGGGGTAATTAGCTAAGAAGTGTCTTATCAAAAATATTCGTAAATCACCCGTAAAAAAAAGCTAAAGAAACGGAGGGTAAATCATATGGCCTGCTAAGCTGCCGCTGTTCCCATCATTGTAAGAACGCTCTTCGCCTCACCACCTTGCATCCCATTGACGACGAGCTGCCTTACTTGTGGACTATTCTTCAGCTTCATGAGCCCATTGGGAACCTTCCACCCTTCATCCTCTGCAAAGACATATACGACCTTCTTGTCATCTGTGTCACCCAAGTTCGCTCGTATAAAGTGATTACCATTACCGGCGACGGTACTATCCTCCCGGTCACGGCTGGCTTGAAGCTTGTTTGCACAGTGAGATCTGCAGACGTCGCCGAGACTGTCGAGATATTTTTCCTGTTCGGAAGCTGTAGGCGCTGCCGAGCCGGATAAAAGATGCTTGACGGTCTGTTTTGCAGCTGCTCGAGCACCGGAAGGACCAGATGGCGGTATACAACGAGGGCAATAAACTTCAATTTGTTTGATAGCCCATGCCTTCTGATCCCATTCCCTTTGAGCGGAGTTGTTCAGTTCGTCGTCAATGAAGAGGCCAGCAGTTGATATATTGAGTACCAGACCCTCGCTATTCCCCCCAACACCAGCGATCAACGAAGCCTGGGGCTTCTTTGGATGCTCGTTGGTAAAGATATAGACAGCCTTGAGTACAATCTTGTTCGGGTCAGAAGTCGAGTACTTCTGTCGAGAAGCATTGCTGTTACTGCTAGCCGTGGACTTCCCAGACATTTTCGATCTCGCGGTCACCCCAGACGTACTGGAAACCTGGCTGCCTATTTCAGATCGACCGTCGATAGAATAGAAATGCTGGTAGTCCGACTCATTATCTGTAACGTCCTGAACATGTGCTTGCTTTGACTCAAGTTTTGGATCTCGTTCCACGGGTTTGGGAGCCCTCTTTGTTTTCGTTCTATGAACAGTAGGTGTTCCTGGTACGGAATCCGGCGCTTGACTCTTAGGTCTCTTAGAAACACTAGATCCAGATTCCTCGGGGTCAATACTAAGTTCCGAGTTATGACGGTGGTGGTGTTTCTTATGGCGGTGCTTGATGCCGGCCTTGCGGGATTTCGCATCTTCAGTACTAATATGGGGCTCTTGAGGTGTCGAGGGAGCATCCTTGGTGCTGACGTCTGGGATACTAGCTGGCTGAGCAGGACCTTCCCATGTCTCAACCTTGATAGGAACGACTTCCTTTTCAAGCTCCTTTTGAGACCAGTCCCTCTCACGTTCCCGACGAAGGCTCTCGATCCGCTGCCGCTCTCTCTCTTCTTCCTCTTCTCGCTCCCTCTTCTCCCGTTCTTCCTTCTCTTTCGCAGCGGCCTCTGCAATCTCGCGCTCAAGAGCTTCACGTGCCTTCCTCTCCCGTTCACGATCACGCTCGAGCGAAGCAAGCATGGCCAGGCGATCCCGTTCTTCCCTCTCCTTAATCTGTTGTAGTCGGGCCTTTTCCTTCTCGACGAGCTCTCGCTCTAACCTAGCAGTCTCTTCGGCCTCGAGTCGTTGCCTCTCCTTCTCCTTTTCAGCCTCCAGACGACGCCGTTCGCGTTCTTTCTCGGCCTCAAGTTGTTGTTTGAGTCTTTCATTCTCAAGACGAAGTTTCTCTTTGGCCTCTTCTTCTTTCCGGATGACTTCAAGACGTTGTTTCTCAGCCAACGCTTCAGCTGCAACCTTCTCACGAGCTCTTTCAGCTTCAGCGAGTCGTTCAAGCATTGCTACACGTAACCGCTCTCGGTCCGCAGCGTCTGCTTTCTCAATCCGCTCAAGCTCTTCCTTCTCCCTCTGTTTCTGCTCCATTTCTTCTTGCTCTAGGCGTTCCCGTGCTTTTCGTTCGATCTCCGCTTGTTGTCGTTCACGAACTAGCCTTTCTCTTTCAGCGGCTTCCCGGGCCTTGTTTTCCCTAGCGCGTCGAGCTTCGAACTCTACCTGTTCTCTCTTTAGGATTTCTTCCTTCTTACGAGTGTGTTCGGCGTCACGGGCGACCTTTTCTTGGATCAGCCGTTCACGTTCTCTTCGGATGGATTCCTCTAGTATGCGACGGGCAGCATTGGCATCGGCGGCGGCTTGCTTCTCGGCGTCCTTGCGAGCCTTTTCGTCTCTAGCTTCATGCTCCTGGATCCGCTTATCAAGAACTTCCGCTTTCCGCTGTAGGTCCTCCTGAAGTTTGCGAAGACTCTCCTCTGCCTGTTTGCTTTTCTCTTGTTCTTGTAGACGAGCTGCTTCGCGAATCGCATCTTCGGCCTTGCGCCTAGCAAGGTCTTCGGCGTCTTTCTGGGCCTTCTCTGCAGCTAGACGGCGACGGTGCGATTCCTCTTCCTGTTTCCGGCGTTCCTCTTCTTTGGCTGCTTCAGCAGCTAATCTGAGGCGTTGGGATTGCTCTTCCGCTTGAAGTTGCTTGCGACGCTGTTCTTCCTTGGCGGCATCGGCTGCTAATCGGCGGCGGTGGAGTTCTTCTTCCTCTTGAAGTTGCTTGCGACGTTGCTCTTCCTTAACAGCTTCAGCCGCTAAGCGACGTCGGTGAGATTCCTCTTCTTCCTGGAGTTGTTTCCGACGCTCTTCTTCCTCTTCTTGGAGAAGTTTCCGACGCTCCTCTTCTTTAGCGGCGTCTTCGGCCTGGCGGCGTTTTCGTAAGGCTTCATCTTCCTTAAGGCGCCTCTTACGTTCTTCTTCCGTTTTAGCGCTTTGTTCCGCTAGACGGCGTTTATGTGATTCTTCTTCTTTGTCAAGCTTCCGGAATCGTTCTTCCTCAGTCTTTGCCATTTCATCTGCGAGACGGAGTTTGTGAGATAGCTCTTCTTCACGTAGCTTTTTCCGGCGAGTTTCCTCTTCATCTTTGAGTCGTTGACGAGCAGCCTCTTCTTCCTCACGAAGCTTCCGTCTCCTTTCTTTTTCTTCCCTCTTGAGTCGCTGCCTTCGTGCTTCCTCTTCAGCGGCTTTCCGTCTTTCCTCCTTTTCGCGTTCTTCTGCAACCTCCTTACGTTTCTTTTCTGCTAGTTCTTCCACCTCTTTTCGTTTCTTCTCTGCCAATTCTTCAACCTCTCGTCGCTTCTTTTCGGCCTGTTGATCAGCCTGTCGCTTCTTAAGCTCAGCGGCTTCTTCGGCTTCCTTTTTGATCCTTGCCGCCTCTTCTCTCTCTTTCGTAAGCTCGTCTCTCTTCAGTGCTGCTTCTTCCTCAGCCACCTTCCTAAGCCGTTCCGCTTCAAGTCTTTCCTTCCTAATCTCGTCACGCCGCCTAGCCGTAGCTTCATCAGCCTGACGTCGTAACCTCTCGGCTTCCAATTTCTCCTTCCTAAGTTCCTCCTTTTCCTTCTTGATCTGCTCCCTCGCTAGCCTTATCTCCTCCTCCTCTTCAGCTCGTCTGTACTCCGCCTCTGCAGCTTCGAATGGATTCTCTTGTGGTTCTTCATCTTCGTATCCCATATCCGGCGCTGCAGTAGCTCCGGGGCCTCTTTGTCTAGCGGTACCGCCGGGTGCTTCGGGCCTCATCCTAGGAACAAACCCACTCGCCCAACTCTGTGACCTACTAGGCGTGGACCCTGAAGAAGGACCCCCAGACGGCGACTTCGGATGACCATTATGCCTCGGAGTCCCTCCATGCCCCCCTCCTCCTCCTCTCGGTCCAGGTGTTCCACCAGACGGGCCGCCAGGAGGTCCACCACCATTCCCACCAGGGCCACTGCCACCACCGCCACCAGAAGAACCATCCGTACTCCCCTCCCCCTTCTCGTCGTCCCCGCTTCCCTCCTTGCCCTCTTTCTTCCCCCTCTCCTCTTCCTTCTCCCGAAATATTTCCCAAGTACCAATCCAAAATACCACCCCAGCAACAAACAAACTAATCACCAAACTCGCCCACCAACCCGCCATCTTCTTGGGTACCAATAACCTCAATCCGTACCAAAACAATTCAAGCCCTACAGTCGTCGCCCCTCCAAACAAAAAAGAATTTCTATGCGGTGATAACGACGGTAGGTATAGTACCCCTCCACCGGAAGGGATGACAAATACATCTAATGTATCCGGTAGATTTGGGTTTCGGGGTTGTGGGGTCGGAGGTTTAGGTGGTGTTCCTGATGTGGTTTTTGCATTTGAATCGTGACGGGGTGGGGGAGGTGGGGGGCCGTCGTCGTCGTCGTCGTTATCGTTACTGCTGCCACCTTTGCTGCCGTGAGGCGGCGGCATTGGTGGTGCCGGCATCTTTTTTTGGTATTTTGTCTACCTCTCTCTCTCTTTCCCTTATTTCAAGTATCGGTTTTTGTCAGATGAGGGTTTATGGAGGGTACCGTTTGAGACTAAGGTGGGTTTGGTAAGAAAGGTTGAAGTATTAGTGATTAGCTTATACCCTCACCACGATAGTAATATATAAAAAATAGATAAAAAGAGAAAGCTTAGAAAAGACATACTATAACAGCAGCTATAAAGCTGCCTATATCCCCCTAACCGGACTCAGAGTACCCTTTTTTTTTTGTTTTTCTTTTCTTGGGAGGCGATAGGTTCGATTATATAAAGAAAACCCAATGAAACCCACCAAAAAAACCGTATGATTGGACGAAAACCCCGTTGAACTTGCCGCACGGGGTATGATGTCAAAAACAGGGAAACCGTGGTCTCTATTATTTTTTCACCCGTCTCGTCGCCACTAAACTGTATTTTCTTTTCGACGAGTAATATCTGCCTGTGCGTTAGTGATAGGCTGTTCAAAATCCGATTGAGTAATCGACTGATGCAAATTGACTGATTGGGAAAGAAAGAAAGAAAAGAAAACAAGGGAAAGGAAAGAAGGCAATGGAAGGAAAGGTAGAAGAGCGTGTCTTTGCCTAAGCTGTATGTATGTATGAACGAATAGATGGGAAGAAGATTATAGGCCAGCAGCGACCTAATGTTATTATTATAACGAGAAGATAAGCGGCCAGCGCGAGCGACAGAAACGAACTTTGGCACCTTAATGGCGTATGTACGAGTAAACGTGGTTTGATAAAGTACCACAAAGCTGCAGCTATATTTTATTTTATACCAGCAGCTATAGCTAAGTACTTACTCAGCTATTGGAGAATGTGTGATAGTATAGTAAGAGAGAAAAAAAGGCAAAGGCTTGAAGAAATATGTGCGTTTGATAGATAGAAAACATACCAAATTTCCTTTTCTCTTCAAAATGAGTACCAAAAATTCCTTTCCTTTCTGACCGATAATAAGAAAGAAAGTAAAAATAAAAAAAAATACTAACTTGTTCGTCTACAAAGGCCAGCAAGCCAGCTTTCTTTCTAACGAATCGAATTGATTATTAGCGGCTGTCGGGGCGGGGCCTATGTATGAGCTGACTTGGACTGAAGCGAATGTAGTTTCCGTCCGACGTCCGGCTCGGCAGGGAGGAAAAACGCAACGGCTGCCGCAGTACCCTTTTTTTCTTCCCTTTCAGATTCTCGAAAGATTTATCTTGTAGATCCAACCAAAATAAGAGGAAACAGGTATAGTCCCAGAATTCCAGAAAAAGCGCCTCAAAGATGCAAGATGTGATCAAAAAGAGAAATGGGATATGTGATAGGATGGATAAGTAACTAAGTAATGTGAAAGGGAACATGTGGGGAAAACCGCCCAATGATAAAGCCTCAGCTGCTTTGTGTTGTGGTGAGGTTGGTTGTCAGGGAGAACGATGGGTTGCACCAGTTTCTATGTAAACAAGGCCACACATGACGTCGGCCGGTAAACAATCATTCATTCGCATTGCAATGACAATGACAAGGTATCCCGGCGATACATCGAAGAAAGAAAGTCATTGCTAGGGAGTATACATGCATACCTTCCCTTTTATCTAAAATATCAAATTCTCTTGGGGGTATTGATAATATGAATTGGTTTGGTTTAATGGATACCTGATACTTAGATACAGACATCTTGAGGCTCTTTTGGGCACATTTCATGGGTATTCTACATATACAAATGCTGTATCGCACAGAAATGCTCGAGAAGTTAAATTGTGCTATACATTGCATATGCAGGAACAGGCACACTTCAATGACAGACCTTTCAAAGAAGTATTATTGACTGACAGAAAGGAGGAAAGAAAAACTAGTATAGTATCATGGTAATCCCGCTAATGCAATAATGCAAATGAACGAAACATTGGGAATCCAGTGCGGCGGAGAGAGTAGGCTTCAAAAAATACAACAAGACAACATGCGACAAAATCTGAACAACCGAATAAGTGCCTAGTCCCGTATTGCAATACGAGACTCAAACTATGAAAGCAACCAAGAAAGAGAAAGAAAGAAGAAAAAAATTATAATACACGCACCCCCGATAACAGAAATATGTAAACCCCCGCTAGTATTGGCCGATTGATTGAAAAGAGAATAATAAAAATGCAATGATAGTATGGTACTTTTCAAGCATGCTCTTTCCTCTGATTCTTCTTACCTTTACTCGACGTTGATGACGACGCCGGAGACGCCGGTCTCTGAACTTGGTGGCTGTGCAATGCCATCGAACTCGAGCTCCTAGACTTAAGTCCCGGATGTCCACCCTCTAGTTCATATCTAGCTCTTAGTCCAGCAGCCTCTTTCCTTAGAGCTTCGTTCTCTCTGCTTAAAACGTCTCTCTCTTTCCTCAAAAGTTCAACTTCCCTCCTCAAATCCTCCCTTTCTCTTTCATTTCTCAATTTCTCGTCTCGTTCCTCCAATCTACGCTTTCTATCTCTAATCTTTTCTTCTTCCTTTCTTCTCTTTTCTTCTGCTTTCGCTTGTTCTCTTTGAAACTTCTCTTCCCGTTTTGCCGCTTCCCTCACATGTTTGGCTTCTAGCTTTCTTTGTTTCTCTTCTTCTTTTGCAAGTCTTACTGCCATCTTTTTATCGTTTTTGTCTCGGGTATTCTGCGTTTTCGCAGCTGTTTTCAATGCATCCGTTTGAATTCTTTGTAAAGCAGCTGAAGAGGACGACGAAGAAGCCCCCGTCCCCGCTCTTGCTCTTCCATTCGCAATCTCGTCGACTAATAAGGGATTCAACTGCCCTCCACTTAACTGCGAAGACCCCAACGAGCCACTCCCTTCCTCTTCCTCTTCCTCTTCCTCGCACTCCCCGGAATCAGCTGTTCTGAATGATAAATTCGACATGGAATCGTCATGACTCATAGCTCTTTTCAGTTCCTCGGTTTCATGGCTTCCATTCACCAAAGGACCTCCTTCGACCGTACTACCCGTCGAGAAAGTATTAAAACTATCCTGATCGGGATGTATTTCTTCTTCCTCTTCCTCCTCGGGTTCATGTTCATCATCCGATACATCCTCTTCATGGACCTTTTCACAGGCCCAATCCAAAAACTTTTCCGCATCTTTGATAATACTTCCCGGTGTCCCTCTCTCCACCATAAACCTCGGTACACTCCCACCGGGATCCGATCTGGTAAGCATAATCCACTCAACGGGGTTTGTTTCCCCATCTCCCTCAAGTGAATCCATATCTCCTTCTTCCACCGCAACACCACCAACACTGGTATTCTTAACCTTCTGCTCCGCAATATCAGCAGAGGGGACTTTCCCCTCCTCATCTTCAGGTAAATCATCCGCCGAAATCGCTTCTCTAAGTCTAGAAGCTCTATGTCCTTTTAACGGATCACTTCCAAATGTTCCAGTTCTAGGCATAGCATTCCCATTGACGGGTGTACTGCTCTCATCGAAGGACACCGCTTTTCTAGGAGTTTCACCAACGGTCCTACTCCTCTTCCTTCCAACCGGTCGGCTTGCGTCTTCGACGCTTAATAAAACAGATGCTCGCTGGGTTAAATCGCTAACACTCATACTTCTCCTCGGTGCGGATTCCTCCTCTTCTTCTGTATCCGGGATGATTTCGCGGATGAATTCTATCGATTCGTATTTCCCACGGACGAATCCGCTTTGTTCTGGCGCGGAAGAGTGGCTGAGAGGACGGGACACCATGGTGAACTCTCGACCTTGTTTTCCGGATTTGGTGACAGTTGCTGTCGAGGTTCTTGGTGGAGCGGAGGACGAGGATGTTGTACATGCGGTTACGAAGTCGCGGGGGGCACTCGGACCTGGAAATTGTGCTGATAGGTGGTATACTTTTTGTTTCATTCAAAAAAACGTTAGTTGAGAACCTTCCAAATAATTCCAGCTTCAATAGAAAATGAAAATAGTGAGAGAGAGAGAATGGAGAAAAGAAGAAGCTTACCATCAACCCTCCCAACACCCTTAACAACCCTCCTCTCCAGCCTTCTTTCAGCTCCAATGCCCCTAACCCCAGCCGGAATAACCATCTCCTCGCCATTATTATTACCATTACCGCCTCCTTCCCTCCCAACCCCCATCCTCCTCTCAAGACTCTCCTCAAACTCCCTTCTAAGTCCCTTCCTAAACCTCGCAAACCCAATCCCCTCATGCACACTCCTCCTAGCAAACCAAGCTCCCCCACCATCCTTGGACGATAGCTTATAAACCTTAATATCATGTGGATTATTCCCACCGGGCTTAACCTCCTTCCACTCCTTGGTAAAAACACTAGGAATCTCCGGTTCCTTAGGTCGAATAGAAGACGGAACTATCGTCAACTTTGTCGCCGAGGAACTGGTAGATAAACTAGTATTACCGGATACTGCAGAACTGACCGTGGTACTTCTTGATCTCCCACCGGCCGGTGAATTCGTAGTTGAAGATGAAGGAGAAGACGAGGAGGCAACAGGTAATAACTTGAAGTTTACAGGCGCAGGAGGAGGGATTGGAAGAGTATCGATGACGTAAGCGGCAGTTGTGAAGGTTGATTCCAGGAATGGTTGGAGGTTCGGTTGGTCTGATGGGATTGAGGATTCGTCGATTGGGGAAAGAGATTGGAGGGCTTGGTGGAGGTCAATTGGAGCGGTCATTGTGCCGTCTCTTCCTCTGTCGCTCTCTCTCTCTCTGTTTGATTTTTAATTGATTGATCGCGTGGAGAGGTATATGCAGAATGTGTGAGGTTTTGTGGCGTGGGTAGCGTGGGGGATTTGAGAGTAAGCGAGTGACGTCGACAGTGGTTACGAAAGCATGGATCTATGCGTGTACGACGATAGTGTATTCTGGATGGTAAGTAAGAATGAAAAAAATGATAAGATAAAATAAAATAAAATAAAATAAATCGCTGAAGCTGTAAAATAAACCGGAGAGATCAAAAATACAGAAAGAACCGACAGAAAGAAAGAAAAGAAAAGGGGAATGATAATTAATAAACTTCTTCGGGGCAGGGAATCCGGGAAGGTTGTTCTAGTCCCAAGTTCCAGTTCCAGCTCGAAACAGGTCGCAGTTGCAACAGAAAACCCAAAAGCGCAGGGCCAGGCCGACACAGCACAGCCGACACACACAAAATATTACAATTCGATTCAAACGTTAACGGTTAACCAAACGGGGTGGAAGGGACCGGACTGCCGAATACTACTTCTTTCTTAGGTTTGTATTTGTATTTTGTATTGTAAGGTGAATAATAATAATAATAATGACGATGATGGTGATGATGGAGTGATGATGATGGAAGTAGTAGAGTAGAGTAGAGGGAGATAGATGCAGATGGTGGCGTGGCAGCTGCCCAGATATAATTGATATGTAATACCCTCCACGGTATATGACGTTCTGGTGATAGAACGGATCCTCGGGGTTAGTCTGGTCCGGGCTGATTACTCTGCCTTACCTCACCGTCCATCCTCTTTTGTATTATGATATTCTTGACGATAGTTTAGATACTTGGATACTTGGATACTTGGATACTTAAGTATGTAAGTACCAAGTATATATAAACTGGCAGCTGGAAGAGTAGAATGGAATTGTATGTATACGTTATACGAGCATACGCAATTCTCGGTATCATGAAACGCCCAGGTCCAGGATTGATCACTTATTCTTAGACCACATACAACCCCCATACAATACATACTTCAGTACATGTAGTATACTCAAGTACTATCCTCCAAGTAAAAAGGAGGAGGGTTAGAAATCATCGGATGAATTGATGTTCAGGGTCTCCGACTATCTCTCAGCATCTAGAATAAGGATCCGTAAACATCCGTCACTGACAATAGGTACTTAAGTACTGACTTACTCAGCCAAACTGAGATCAAAAGTCACCGACAGCCTCCGACCGGGATCTGCCGTATTATGTACTTAATAATTATCATTGCAATCACTTGCGGCTCTTCTTCTTCTTTCTTCCTTTTTTTTCATAATTTTATTTATTTATAAACTTCCAGATAAACTCCGTTCCACCCGAGACCTGTGCTTGTATAATATAAAGTCAGAGTCCAGATGCATTCTATAAATCTACAACACAACGCAACTTTGGATCTATAGTATCACCGGCTAACGGGTATCCAGTAATCATCAAATGTGTAAATATAGATAGAATGGACCGGAGTGTGTGGGTGCATACGTATATAGTCTTGTTTTACGTATATAACTTTATGATGTTTAAGTCTCATAGAAATAAAATTATTTAAATCAAATATGAGAAACGAAGGAAATAATATAAGAAACCCGGCATCCTTCCAACTCCAGTGCACTGTATACTATACTAACGACAGCACATTGCAAGACTTAAATTATATCGATCATTTAAAAAAAAAAAAAGAGGAGGAAAGAGAATATATGAAAAAAAAACGCCAGTCGGACCCTCATTAATACCGCAGAAAGATATAGTCATCTTCGTTAAAAAGAGAATTTAAAGAGAATCGAAGAAATAAGAGTAGAGGGTGGGTGCATGGAAGGGATATTATAAAAGTCATAAGAAGGGCTCAATGATGCATGGGGGGAAGCTACACCAACTCAAGCTCCTCAATACCCTTCGTAACCGTAGTCGTCTTCGGCGTCCGACTCCTTGAAAACCTCGATCCAATCCCCCCAATCCCCCTTCCCTGATTCCTCGGGCTCGGCGATAACGCGACATCAACAGTTTCGTGCCCGCCCAGAGGATCCGAATTCCCATCCAACGAGATATTCACCGGCTCGTCTTCCTCCCCATCCTCCAAGACCCTCTCATCCTTGTCCAGCTTCTCCGGTGTATGATCTAAAGAGATTATCGGCGGCGATGACATCCTCGAATCACTTTCATTGACTTGAACTGATTCGGACATATCTAACGTTGTATTAGACGCTAGAGTCGCGCAGATACTCGCTTCATCCACTCGATCCTGTCCTTCTTCAGGACTTTCCACGACCACCGAATCTACATCCTCCCCTTCCTCTGCTAATTCTGTTGCCCTCTCAGTCCCTAGCACAGCTGCAGATTTCGCAATGTCATCATCTGTCGCCGCCTTCACAGTCACATCCTGTGATCTCAGGCCCCCATTCCCATCCTCTTCAACAGCTACGGGGCTTTGCCTAGCCGTCGTATTATCAGTCGACCTCATGGGTAACGGCTCTCCAGCCTTCCCGAATATCGATGCACGCCCATTCATCTCCTCATCCGCCCGCCCAAATACTTCAGGCCACCATCTCACCGCCCCAGTCCCAATCGTCGCCGGGAATATCACCCGCCCGCCGAGCCCCCTCTCATCCGTATCAACCGTAGCATCGTATTCAGGGCTCAGCCACTCTTGTCTCCTCGCCAAAAAATAGTCCCACACCGACCGCGTCCTCCTTTCCAGCCGTGCATCAACCCTCTCCTTCTCGCTATTGTAAAGAAAAGTCCCGTACTGGCACGAATACATATGGTAGAGCAGCCTCCTCAAAAACCTCTCGTTGAACTCAAATCTCTTCGGATGCTGCTGCATAAGCTGGTATGTTGCATCTAGGAACTGCAAGAACACTGGTGACGTTTCTTTAATATTCACACCCTTGTCCTTCTTCCCCTTTCCTCCACGGCCAGGTGTCGGGCTATCCAGCCCCTCAGGGTCGCTATCATCGTCCCCGCCCATAAGATTACTCGCTTGCTGGTTGAAAAACATCCTCGCAGCCCCGATCGCCTGTTCGAACCCACTTCCTCCTCCTTGCCCTCCATCACCACCCCCGGGTTGTGTAAACCACTTTTCGCTACTCAAAAACCCGCACCGATCCCTAAACTTATGGCCAAACGAGATCCAATCCTTCTCCACAAGCACCATAAACCCTTCCAATGTCCTGAAATACGGATCCAGGCATATCTGCGCGAGTGCCGCCAACTGTGCCGTCCGATCCCATCCGTCCGAACAATGGATCAGCACATGCGAGTGCTCCAACGCTACCTGCCGTACAATCAAGTCGGTCCCCTGCATCAAAGCCGTGATATGCCTTAACCAATTACTCTTTGTTAAAAGATCTCTATTCGCTGGGAAAGGCGTAATATCCGAATCTTTTATCGCCTCCAAAACTCTATCCAACGACTTTCGCATGACATGTATATTGTCGATACCAAGGTACTCTTTCTTTGCAAACTTGTAGTTGTCCATCACCTCAGACCCTGCGCCCCCGGCCTGCTGCGCATAGGCGTTAACACTAGGTCGCGCATCCACGATAAGATTTGATTGCTGGGCGCCATATATCAGCTTCGCACCCTGTTCGACGTTGACGAGGGATTGTGAAGATGAGGAGGCCTCCGGGTTTGATATCCCGAGGCTGGCATAGCCAGATGCATTCGAAGATTTAAATATCGCGTGGACCAGTTTTTCGTCCTGTATACTCCGATTCTTCTGGAGTCCTGTGAGCGGCTGCGCGCACCGGGTTAAGGTGCAGTTGTTGACACTGTGTATGTAAGTTAAGACGGGAACCCGCTGGCGGGAACGGAATTTAGCGACGTAATTGAGGGTGTTGTCGGATATCGTGGCCGGGATGTAAAGTTTAGCAGGGTACGTATCGCAAAACTAAATGATAATTGTTAGTCTCCATCCACACTCGAGCAGTAAAAGGACGGAGGAAATAACAGACAGTATAATTAGAATTTATGTTGGACAGCCTCCAGTCCTGCGTTATGCCCTGTCTGTCAAACTCTCTTTGCGGGTCATATATCCTCCAACCATTAAATGGCATTTCAAACTTCGTTGGCTTGTATATAAACGCATACAGCCGTTCCACCGTGCCTGCTTCCCAGTACGTCAGTCCCAACAGTGGCACTATACACCAAAATAAAAAGCAATCAAAATACATACCACCACAAGTCAATCTCTTTATGCTATCAAAAACATCCCTAGCCTCCTGCTCTGTATCGAAACAAAATGTGATAAACGTAAAATCCCTGCACCGTAGCCTAATAGCGAGTGCCTGTAGCCTCTTCTGGGCCTCCGTAGCCGATAAGGTAAGTTCATCGCTAACATTGCTCGTTTCCCTGCTTAAACCTCTTCGTTCCGGTGTGCCGTTGTTGCCGTTCGTCCCATTCGAAGGGGAAGGCGAGTCTTGACCGACATAACTACCGATACACTGTCTGTCGACGGTGTAAATGATGGGATACGTAATCCATATCTCCGGTGCTGTTCTGGGAACCGGCGGGGAAGAAGGTTGTTCCGGTGCCAACTGACGTTTGAAGATTAAATGATGAGGGGTGATATGTAAAGTTCCTGGAATAGGGTTTCCGGAGTGCAGGAGGACAACATTATCGACCTGTTTGTTGTGGGATTGACGGTCAGCGGAGGTTGATTTAGATAAGGATTGCAGGTGAGGGGTTGAAGAGGGGTTGACAACTTTTGCGACTTTGATGAATTCCATAGCTGCCTATAAGGTGAGAATAGAAAAGAGTTGGAGGATTGACGAAGCAGCAGCAGCAGCAGCAGCAGCAGCAGTAGTAGTAGCTATGGAATTGAAGTAGATAAAGAAGTTTATGCACCCATACGGGGTGCCGTCGGGAGGAGGGTCTCTGGCTGCCGGGAAGCGTCGGATATGACCAGGGTTGTACCGTTGAGGCGATGATGCTCTTGATCTTATGCTATCGAGACAGCATTCGAGCGAGACTGCTGGAGGGGGGGAAAAAAAAACTATAGAAGCTTCAGGGAGAAGCTAGACAGATGGAACGTTTATGCACGCGAGCAGATAGATAGATTGAAGGGCAAGAGATGATTTGGCGATATCGTGCAGGAGGATGATGCTGGAAGAGTCGACCGGTGACGATGGTGGTGGTGATTATGATGATGCTGTCTGTGATACCGTCCAACTTGATGGGAAGCTGTCACGCTCCAGGCCAGCCAGCCAGCAGCAGCCAACCAGCCGAGACATGCATGACGACGCTCCAACACGCCAACACACTTTATAGGTAGTCATTAGTATACAGTCGATCAGGGTCTCGAGACTACGCGACAGTTTAGTCTCATGTACGACGGGATAGGTATGTATGAGTAAGTAGTATTATTAGATGCCGTTATTGTATACGTATATTATACGTCTGGCTGATATAATATACAAGCTGGTTTCCCCAACAGACTCTTCTCTCTATTATTTATTCCTCCCCCCCAACCAACTACTATGCATATTACATCTACTACAACTTCACGCTGGTCTGCCCAACAAACGACACCGCTTTCGACGTCTTTCCGGCATTCTTCTTATCCGTTTCAATATTCTTTGCCAATTTTGTCAAAGAGTCCTGAAGTGCCGCGCGTTCCGAAGCAGACACCGTCTGTCCCTTAGCTTCCTTCTTTGCGATCGCAATCTGGCGAACTTGTGATAGTCCGGTGAGTTTTAGGACCTATACATATTCCCAAAAGTCATGTATTCAGTAAACTGATATCCTGAACGACTATATATGTAACAGATATCATGAGAATATAAGTAAATACCTTATTAGCAATCTTTCCAACCTGCAATGCCTCCTTCTCGGCTCCACTAGCTGCACTGATAGCGGGATTAAACGCTTCAGTCTCGGCTGACTCTGCATTACTCCTCTCCACCTTCAAAATGGCAAGGTCGGCATCACTGATCGCTGCCAGGTTGTTTAAGTTTAATCCTTGAGACCAAATTGCCTTGGCACGGGCTTCAGCGCTACCACCCACGCCCGAGGAGATAGACATCTGATTGTAGGAGCGAAGGGATAATGCTCGTCTATTGATCGGTGCCGCTGTGGTGAATGTGGCGGAGATGAGGGTGAGTGCTGTGAAAAAGATTGAAGGATGCATTTTGGAGTATTGATATATTGAGATATATGATTTAGATTTGAAGAAAGGCTTGAGATTCAAAGAGGGACTATGATGTCAAATGAATGGAAGGGTGATAAAGAAGTAGTAGTTATTTATTCGAAAAATATAATAGGAACCGGTCCTGTAGAGAAACGAATGTGACCAAGCACAGTAGAGGGGAAAAAAAGAGAAGGATAAAAAGAAGAACTGTTGGGAGTATCGAAGCTTCAACCTGGAATGCCTAAGGAAGAAAGAGAGAGAAAAGAGCACCATCATATGCGGTTCCATGGTCTTTATAAACTATTCACCCTTTCAGCAAAGACTCCAGCGGAAGCAACTTCATCCGAACACAACCTCGAACCATGGGCGCTGTGTATCAATATCAATATCAGATATTTTATCATAACTACTGCACGGATCAATTAATTTAGCCATCCAAACTACAAAAATAGGAAATGATGCCTTGGTTGTGGAGTATCAGTGGTGGGAAAACTTTCCCCAGAAGTTTGAGTTCACATATATTATGATTTCTGTAGCGCTGATATAGAGAAACCTTAGGCCCTTCAAACGAAAAAGGTCAAGGTCAAGCCCGCCATAAGTTGCTTGTGTTCGGGTTCTTCGATCGCGAGAGGAAGCGTTTCTTCATAACCTTCAAGGGTGTTTTGTCACCAAGAGCGTTTCATAACCCATAGCGAAGCTCAGAAACGTCAAAAGTGGGTCAGACAAATCCACAAAACATAACATGTTCCACAACCTCGAAATTTTCCCCCGCCAAAAAATAAAAATACGGATGGCGAACAGAACTATGTTGAACTCTCACAATTATGCCATTCACAAAGATTCGGTGTGATTAATGTTTAAAATGTTTATTTTATTTTATTTTATTTTCTTCGTTTTTCAACGGTGTGTATACTCGTATACTCCGATCTATCTCACACACCCCATGATAGATAATTAGGTAATTAGCAGATGCCATGACCTCCCCATCCAAATGACCTTCAAGGCCGCGATAGCTGAAAGGCCCCTCCTCGTGATCCTGCTCTCGACACAAATAGTATCTGCCAAAAGCGAATTCTCCCAACAAAAAAACTCGTTCAGGATAAAAAGGAAAGTGCAGAGGTACAAAAATGGTGAAAAAGGATACAAAACGAAGGAAAGAGATAACGAGAGTCGGGATCTGATTTTCCGCTGGTTTCCGCTTGCTCAAAATCGAAACAGTTATAAAAAATAAAAAAAAAATAAAAAAATAAAAAAATAAAAAAAAGGGACACATTGGTATAAGGTACAAGGAAGACTAAAAGTAACACCGCAAAAAACGCCATAGATAGTATATCAAATCGGATATTATAACCCTCCGGAAAAATCAGACCCAAAAACTGGAGAGTAGTCCACTTCTCCGCATACTTTTCCCCTTTCCTTCACAAATGAAATGATTGACAACAGGCCTGTTGATTATTTTGCTCTTCGCCATAAAAAACTCCTTGGAGTTCCCAGATATTAGTGTACCAAGGGGGGGAAAAAAAAAAACAGAAGTAACAGAGAAAGGAGATATACAAAAGAAATAAAGTAAAATAAAAAGAGAAATAGAAACCCCGTTCTATAGCCGCTTAAGGAAGGGGCTGTGCAATAGTAATATCGCTACCAATAATTACCATCTAGCATCTCCAATGCAAATTTTGATATCACCACTAATGGTCTTGCTTTCCACGAAACCGTCTTCGCTATTTCCGTGCACCGCCTCCACAATCTTACCAACGGGTCCATTTCTGGAGTTCCTGATAATTTTAACATTTTCACCAGCGACTTCGATATCCCCCGTCAAACTGGAAGCTTTGACCCTTCCTTCGAAAGCAGCAGAATAGTGAACAAACACTTCTCCAGAAACAGTGGTATGCATAGCCTTGAAAAACGATAAATTCGCAAGACCCATGTCTTGTGGGTCGACATACAGAGCCGCAACGTCAGGATCTGGGTGAGAAATTTCGGCATGGCCGGCATGGCTAGCTTTGACATCGCCGTGAGTATGGGACTTTTCGTCGTGATCTGAGCAATGCTTCTGGATCACCTGCCAGATTTTGCGCTGCTTGTCTTCGATCCAGCTGAGAACTGTTTGAACGGCTCGGTTCCTGAGAAGGGTTTGCGGCTCAGTGAGAATCTTTGCATCGGTGGCTTCCAAGAAGCTCATATGAGTTCTGCCGCTCTTTGTGTCCGTATCCAATGTGATACTTTCTTCGAGAGAGCTACCGGCGCCGGTGGGCGAGATGGGGAGAATATCGGCTCTGATGTCGCCGCTGATAGATTGGACGGACAGCGAAGAGCCGAGGAGGTATTGGCCGATGATATTACCGCTGATGGTTCTAATGACGGTATTGTACTTTTTGAGGTCTTTGTGGAATGGGTGGAGTGCGCCGTCGGTGGATACAGAGTGTATCGCGACATCCCCGGAGACTGAATTAACAGTGAAGTCGGTTTGAGGAGACATGTTTGAGAACGATGTGACAGAGTTGACGCCAATATCGATATTTCCACTAGTTGCCCATTAGCTACCCTCCAATATTCAAAATCTATGAATAGAGAAACTTACGACTTGGTCTCGAACGAAGCTGAATCCGCCAAACCCCAAACTCCAAGAATATTGCCAGTCGTCGTGCCGACCAGCAAATGCCGAGCTTGCAAGCCAAAGTTTGCACTCCTCAATTTCTCATCATCCTGGATTTTAGTTTGCTGCCTGGCTCCTGACCAGACCATTCCAGTAATAGAGTTCAATAATGCTTTGTCGTGAACTTTGAGGGAAAGAGAAGGTCGCATCACGATAGAAAGATGTTCGGTGTCGATAAGAAGGTGTTCGAGTTCGGTGGTAGACGCATGTTTAGGGAACTTGACGGTGACCACGAAGTCCACGCAGACTTCTCTCTGATCTTCGGCGGGTTGAGTCGTATATGCATTCGTCTTAAGTTAAGGTATTAGCCTTATAGTGGACTAAAGAAAACCAATCCTGATCCTCCTCTAACTTACGTGAATAACAACTCCATTCCCAGTCATTCTAATATCAATATCCCGGAGAACAGTCTCATCAGAAACCATGTATTTGACTGTAACTTTAGCATCGTCGCTCTCAAATGGTTCATCTTTTGAAGCATGTTCAAGATAGACAGTTCCACCGACGTTTATGCGGGTCGAAAAATGATCTTTCGGCGTATCGTATACGACTGACTGACGTAGTGAGAATGATGAGAGAGAGTTGTTGATCGGTACTGTAAACGATTCGTCATAAAGCCCTGGTAGCATATCCCCGCATTGTGAACTCGACGACATGTACTCCTAAATTCAAATTATTTAGCACTGTAGATAACCCCGAGCGTAACTGTAATAACTTACCATGCTCTGCTTCAACCGATTCGACGCATCCCTCCACATCAGTCCACCAAACAATACCCAAGTGAATATCAAGAAGAAGATCGAAGCACAGCAGAATCTAAACTTCCTCGATCTCCTCTTTGCTACCCCCCCTCTTGTGCAACCCCTCGCGCATCTTAACCTCTTTCTCCAAGAAGAACGCTCTTCCCGATCCCTATATGCCGTTCCATTTGCTACACAGCTGATACACTGCGGATGCCTGCACAAACACTCTCCCATAATCAACGGCCTAATCTCAGTGGCCTGTCCATGCCCAGATTCACCATCTCTATCTTCCTCTTCATAAGAAACTCTCCTCGACATCGGTCGCGAAGTATAAGACGGCGGTAGCGTACTCCTTTCGGATCCGAAACTAACCCGGGAATAAACAGTTTGTCTATCATCATCTTGCGACGGCCTTGGAGAAGCCACTTGCGTCTCGTCGTTTTCAGTTGTGTGATCCCGTGGTGTTGGCTCTGGCATCGCTGTTTTTACTGGATCCTCGTCGGGAAGATGCACGACGGGGAGTTGCTGATGTGGGCGCCCGTTGAAGTATCCGTCTGTTACAGCCATGTCTGCAGTTGTCTCTGTTGTGGCAGTGATATAGGGGTTCACGACGACCATGGGGAGGCGCGGGCCGCTGCCGGGACGGAAGCCATCGGCGACGAAGCCGTCGAGGGGCATTGTTGGCACACCGTTGTCAGTAATGTAAGGGTTGGAGGAAGCATATTCTTCCATCAATGGATTTTCCCGGCGTTCCATGACGGGAAAGGTATTAGGAAGAGATGCTTGATCCGGATTAAGGGTATCAAGCAAATCAAAGGATATAGAAAAGGATCAGAAGGATAGTAGTGGGAGTTCGAAGATAGGATAGAATTCACTAAATCTCCAAAGACGAAAAGAGAAAGGAGATGGATTGAGGGGGGCCACCAGGAATTAAAACTATTCGGAATAGTGTGCAACCATGAACAGCTGCCGCACAGAAATAGATTCAATCGAGGGACTAGAAGGAAAACAACCTTCTGATATCGGACGGTACGTAATCAGCGGGTGGGCTCCTCAATCTGTTACCCGCTTTTTCTCTCTACGCCAGCCCTGGATTCTGCGGGAAAGCCACCAGAAATGAGGGACAGGATAACGGATATCCGGTATGGGATTTGGGAAAGAGGTTAGGGTGAAACGATGAAAGATATGGATTCGTGGCTTCTTTCTCTTCCCTCTTGTCGAACTTCCCTTGTCCTTCAATATTGGCCGGGAGTAAAGGTCAATATCGGAAAACAAGAGTCCATGGCATGAGGTGAGAATGAGGAAGAGGAGCTGGGGCCAGCCATAGTTGGATCCTCCCCCAAGCCCAGCCCAGACCTAACCAAAGGCTCCATATGACTCCTCTGTCCACCTGCAGAACAAACGGAAACATTTTTTTCACTCACACATTTGGCTTTCGGTTTCGTTGGCCGAAAATGTGGGTGTGTTACGACGCGTAAGCCAGCGCAGGGATGGGTGCTCGTCGATGGGAGCTAAGCCTCCTCTTTCGGGAAAGAAATGAAGCGAGAGCCAGGCCAGCCATAGATGTAACTCCACCGAGGTTGAAGGAGCATCGGGGAACAATCTTGGATTGCTCGGTCTTCTCCACGAATGATGTCGAGATATTAATTCGTCATGTGGCAGCTTGACATATTGGATATTGCAATATTGGCATCGGGCGCATTAGGAGCCCTATCGATACCGCCAACGGCTTAGAATCTCTGATATTGATATCATTTTATGCACCTCGTCGACGTTAGCCTAAACCTTGAATACTCATTTATATAGGGATCAATTGTCCAATCTTACCTTCATACTTGCTAAATTGATTCAATGATGTCGACCCGCACGTCCCCAGGCCTCAAGCTTGCGACTGGAACAATTCTACCGAGCGAGATTAGGCGATCCCGACACAATGGGGAGGGGGGAGAGGCTTACGAATTAACCATTGTTCAACCTGTAACAGTCCCATACCAGTGATGCTACTCAGTGAAATTCTCGTGTCGATGGATAAAAACGCTCACTGACAAATGCTTGTACATACCATGCATATTGAGTTCACATACGGTAGTGATGCCAATCTGCATGTCTACACAATCGTATTAGTGGGACACGCGGCTTCTTGGATGAAAGGATGTTTTAGTTTGGACGTCAATGCGTCCGAAGAGCGCCCGAACTAGCTGTTGCCACCATGCCGACAGACGATGAGACCTCAAGGTGCTGTGGAACCTGGAAGGTGCTCCGATGGCCGACATCTTACCCGCATTTGCATTTTTGTTTGCCTTTTCCACCATGTCTACCTCGAGACATTTACGAGCTGTGTCCAAATCGGAGAGTTATAGCATTCCTGAAGCCATGTTCAACTACCGGATCATTAATTATCCAAACCTGGTCATAAAAGATAAAACCCGAGATCGCGCATGCAGGAGCGAAGTTATTCGAGTATAGATCATAAACATATAAAACTTGAATCTACGACATATATATATTTGACCACTCTGGTCAAACTACGGCGCACTTCATTGTGAATGTGCAGATATTCATGCTTGATATCCATTCATTACAAAAAAAAAAAAGACAAGGCATTCAAACAGAGCCTCGTGTGAAAAGTGACAGCAGACGACCGGGAATATGTATAAAGAAAAAGGAAAAAAATGAGTAGTACACAGGAGGTTTGTGAAAAGAAGTTCCCCATTTTTGAACACCGTTTAAGATAAAGTGACAAGAAAACGAGAAGGCGTTATCCAGAGGAGTTTCGGTGAGATTGTATGTGAGAGAGTGTGGTGTGTGAGAGAGAGTTTCATGAGGGCGTATAAACAGGAGAGAGGTCAGTTCGAAAAGGTAGGCGGGTCATGATCGTGAAGAAGGACGGCGCCCCCAAATCTAATATATTAGGTTGATAAAAAAAGAGGAAATGAGCCAGCAAAAGAAACAGAGACGAATATTATTATATTTTTCTTTGATATAGTAATATTTTAGAATTCGCTCTGGACGGGGAACTCAAAGACGACGCTCTTTCCGGTCAACTTCTTGTAGACCTCAGCGAAACTATCAATCTTCCAGTCCAAACCACCAACATCCTTGGGGTCGAGGAGGACCTTCATGACTTTCGAGCCATCTTCCTTGGTACGGATACGTCGGCCAACAATCTCGGTTGGGTAAACAAGGTCCTCGAGGATCTTCTCGTGGACAGAGGTGAGTGTTCTCGATCTTGGGCGCTTCTGGGTGACACGGCTGCGACGACCAGGCTTGGGGAGGATACGACGCTGAGCAATGAAGACAACGTTGCGGTCAGAGAACTTCTTCTCAAGTTCACGGGTGAGTCTGAAAACGGGTTCCTTGTTAGCATGTTGTAACTTTTGAGCGACAAGGATTTTGGATATTTGGATGATTCTCGTACCTCTGTTGGACCTTGTGGAAGTTGGATAGTAATGGGATAGGGACGAAGATGACAATAGCCTTCTTTCCTTGCCCAATCTCGAGCTGTATAAACCAAAAATGACCACATCAGCTTCCAATTCAATATAACGTTCCCCACCCCCTCGTACAATGTATTTCCCCGCGACCTTCATCAAATTCACCCATAATCACATTTTCCTCAACAATCTTGCTCCCCAAGTTCTCCTTCCCCCCCTTAGAAAATAATGTCGGATATATTGTTGGAAACTAACCTCCTTGGCGGACTGGATCTGGAGCGGCCTTAAAGCGGCCTTGAGCTCAGCATTGGTCTCGAGATCAATCAAGGCCTGGGAGACCTGGACTTCGATCTCGTTTGGCTTTGCGTAGCTTTCAGAAGAGGGCTAAATGAAGTCGAAAAATTCCAGTTAGCCAATTTGTCCTGTCGCAATAATCCTCCCTTCAAATATAACATCCATCATCATGCCATCTTGAATTGGAAAAAAAGACTTCAAAATCTTTGAAATTTGAAGGTTGTCGTCGGAAGAGAGAACTAACGTAAATCTTGGAGTTTGGGGCGGCCATGTTGAACGATCTGTAGCTGGTGATAGCTAGGATGTCGACGTGTAGGGGGGTATAGGAAGTGGGATGAGGTGTTTGGAGATGGTCGAAAAGGTCGTCGATTGTCGTCGAGGTCAGGCTGCTTAGGCTCGAGGTTGCTTAGGCTCCAAAATTCATCTTTGTTGGTTCGCTTGCCCAAAACACACAACACGGTCAGGTGATTAGGGCAAGACCCAGGTCATGTGATATTCATGTCACGTGTGTATATTGACCGCTTTCGCGTTGGCGTATTGCCAAGCCTACAGGGATCTCACCTTACGAAAGAAGGCGACCAAGAGTGACAGGGATCCCGGGCTCTTAGTGCTGGACCAGTCAGAGGCCTACGTCACACAACATTCCAACACATTCTACAACATATCTTCCAGCCCGGCAGCAGAGCATCGCATCGTAACACCATTGCAATTGTAGTTGCCTCGCTCGCCACTGAACGTCACTTATAATCCTGCTTCTCTATCTCTTCTTTTCTCTCTTTAACATCATCTCTTCGCTCTTCTCGATATATCAAAACATCATCACTATTTTGTCATCAACTTCATCATGGCCGACTCTTCTACTACAGCTGCCAAGCCATCAGGTGTAACTCCTACGACTGCTGTTCCAGAAGGCCCGTCTCGTACTGAGAGTTCGTCATCTCCAAAACCTAATCTCCCAGCCTCAAATCCCAATCCTCTTCCGGAGTCTCCGGAATACACAGCTTCGGATTCTATTTACCCTCCACCTGCCGAGCCAGCGTCTCGCCCCGCTGCTCCAACCTCTACAATCAATAACTTAACAGAACTGCCACCTTCTGTCGCAGCCACGGATACACTTGAATCTTTGGACGACGGCACCACTCCCACAGCCACTACCACTACAACTGTAAATCTCACTGACCCACCAGCTCCACAGCCAGGCGCTGTCCCAACTCCGATTTCTACAACCACCACTCAATCTCCTCAGTCTCCAGCCAATCCACAGCCAGGTGGTGTTCCCAGATTTCCAATCCAAACTCCACCCGCATACCCAACTGCTACACCAGAATCTGGAACATCTTTTGACATGCCTCCTACTGCTCCTCCAGTACAGACGACATACGGTCCACCAGAAGTGACCATGCGTGGCCAACCAATCCCGTCATACACGGCTACTGCGACATCAACATCCTACAGTAGTTATCCCAGTGCTATCCGACGAAGTAGTGAAATCGCGCCTATGCCAGGTGGATACCAACAACGTCTAAACACCGATCATTACGTTCCTCCAAGTCAGGAACCACCCAGAGAAGAAGGAATTCTCGGGAAGGTGTCGAAGGCAGTAGATAAATTTAATGAATGGATGGTTGGAGAAGCCAAATAGGAAATAGACAAATTCTGTCGAACAGTGACGGCATTTATTGCAAGGCTTTCTCTTTTTGATTTCTCACTCAAGGAGTTTGGTTAATTTTGTTTCTACTGGGAGTGTTTTTTTTGTGTCAGTCAGCTAGCTCAGGTAATTGGTGTTGAAGATTTGCATAGGATGCTTTTTGTAGTTCTGGCGAGTTGTAAATTAGCAATTAAACGGATATCGAATTGGCCAAGATTGAACCTATAGGACAGGGACGAAGGAAAATTCTCGCTGGTATAGTTATTATTCAAATATATAATATACAACGTATTTAGCCGTATAGTATATTACAAGGTAATTTCAGGCCAATACTCGACTCTCAGATTTATGCGCTTAAGCCTCGACGTCAGCCGCTTCTTTTGTACCCTTGTTCTTCCGTCTTCGCTTCTTCTTCTTCTCAGCGGAAGCAGCCCCTTGGTCATCACCTTCGGTTTTTGGTTTATCACTCTTTTCTTTCGAAGCTTTCTTAGCCTTCTTCGCCAGTTTATCACCCTTACCGCCATCATTAAGTTCCTCCCAACTAATCTCAGCCTTTCCAAATACTTCCTTTCTCCATTCCCTCAGCTTGAAGCCCTTGTTTTTGGCATACCTCTTCCTATCTTTTAATTTCTTTGCATCATCCCGATATGACGCCAGTTTTTTCAGTCCAGCATAAGTATTCAGCTGCTTATCACCCGCAAATAAAATGTCTGTTGGTGTAAGTTGGAAAGATTCTGGGGTAACTTCGCGGTAACGGAAGGTAGCGCTGGAATTTTTTGAAGATCCAGGGAGAGAAAGCGGCATCTTGTCGTCCACGTATGTTTCAATCTGAGCACGAAGCAACCTATCCGCCCTTTTATCTTTCTTCGCACCCTTCTTCGGCTTCGCCACTGTAGATGAAGCTTCTGCAACAACAGGCTCTTCAAGTGCGACGCCTCCTTCCTCAGCATCTTCAGCATCAGACATAGAATCATCCTCCTTGAAGTCAGGGACAAGATCGTTGATATCAATATCGTCATCCCATGTCGGTTTCTTTGGCTTCTTCGATTTTTTACCCCCAATTTCTTCTCCTTCTTCTTCTTCTTCTTCATCTCTAAGGTCCTCTTTCTCGTCGTAATATTTATCGCCGTAGAGATCGCCCATCTGTTGCTCCCAGTTTTCGTCTTCCCATGCATCATCGAGAAACTTCTTCCACTTCTCATCAACGGCCTCGGCCTCAACCTGAATCTCAAGACCTCCAGCCTCCCTTACCATTTTGATTTTCTTTTCCATTTCTTCTATCCTCAACTTTCTCAAGCGGTTCTTCTCTGCGTTTTTCTCTTCCTCTTCTCTCTCCTTTCGTGCCCTCTTTTCGTCTCTTGCCTTCTTCCTTTTGCTCTTCTCCTCCCTTCTAAGCGACTTTTGTTTCGCAATATCTCTGGCATGCGTGACGATCTTCGACCTGTCCTCGACGGTTGGGTCCTCGAATCTCATATTGTACATCTGTTCAAACTCCTCTGCAGCATCTTCCTCCTCTTCATCATCTGACTCAAATGGGACACTTCCAGCGACACCCTTTGGTACCCAGGCTTTTGTTGTAAAGAAGGCGTCTAAATACTTCTCAGGGTCCGCCTCGGGGTCTTCTGGTAGTGCGACGTCGGGTGTTTCGTTGGCTTCCGGTTCCGGCTCCTTCGGTTTGCGAACCAAAAAATCTACTTCATCATCCGACCCTTCGGCGGCAGCGTGCATCTCCCCAACAACTGTTCGCTTAAGGTGTTCTTGTTCCTCAACGTAGGTCCTCGGTGGCGCGTCCCCGTCCTCACCACCAGTATAACCCTCCATGATATTCTTTTGGTGATACTGCTTCAATGTCAAGGTCTTTTCCTTTGGTGCCTTGTCATCACCGTCTTCAGCGTCTTCGTCGAAGAACTTGGCTTCGACATCGTACACTCGTGGGTCCTTCGATCGAATGGCATTGATTGTTGCTTTAATCTGGGCATCTATGCCGTTTGTGACCAGTTCACCAAACTCATCTTCATCTTCCGACGAAGATGAAGATTCGTCAGATGACGCAAGAGAATCGTCGTCTAAGCCGCCGGTTTTCTGGCGCTTTGAAGCAGATTTACCGTACTTTTCTTCAAGGCGGTGTAACTCCTCTCGTTTTTTGTTGTGTTCGAATCGCTTAGCATATTCGGTATTAATCTTGAATCCGGACTCCTCAGCATCGTCGGTAGCCTTTCGTTTCTTAGAAGCATTGGCTTGTGGAGCGCTTTCAGCTTCACTGTCCGTGTCGAAGTCGAGGACAGCTTTCGAGTGGATCGTATCCTTAGGATGAACATCGCCATCTGCCTCTCGGGCCTTGGCTGTTGCAGATTTCTTTCGTGCCATGATGAATAAAGTTGGTGATGAATTGAAGATGTTTAAGAGTTCTCAGGAAGGGAAGAGCTGCCAATGCGACAGCAAATTTTCAGTCGCTTGTCGCCCAAAGAAGCACGCCAAGATATTTAAGCCTCATTTGAAGCACGTGATATGTATTTCGTTTGTCTCGATGTCGCTTATATTGCCATATCAGGTATGGGACCGGATTAGGGCTTCCACAAAGCAAAGCCCTCACCCAACCAAACCCAGCTTGGAATTTTTCTCAGACAGGCATTGCAGCTTCGACAACAGGACGACGACGACCCATTCGATCTCGACATCACCTCCAAACAAACAAATACACCCGCCGACACTCACGAGCATTATACCAAGCTCCATCAATCATCCAAAATGGCCACCACTACCGCGTTAGTGCTCCCCGATATTATCCCCATCGAATTTTGGATTCTGGCCGAGATTTAGCGTTGGAAATTGAATATGGAAATTGTTATCTGTGGGATTAGGGACTGAAGTGCTGACGAGAGGATTTATGGATATACAGTATCTCCAAGAGAAGAAAGGCCGTCGCCGACGGTGTTTTCTACGCCGAATTGAACGAGTTCTTCACCAGAGAATTGGCTGAGGAAGGTTACTCTGGTGTCGAAGTCAGAGTTACTCCAACTGTCACCGATATCAGTATGTCCATCTATTCCGACTTCATACCCCAACAATAAGCTACCGGTTGTACTTGGAGGACACGATCATGTAGCTGGGGCTACTTTTTTTATTATTAAAATCTGTGAAATAACGAATTGCTAATTCGATTATTATCACAGTCATCCGTGCCACCCACACCCAGGAGGTTCTCGGAGAGCAGGGACGCAGAATCCGCGAGCTCACTTCCTTGATCCAGAAGCGATTCAAGTTCCCAGAAAACTCTGTTTCCCTATATGCCGCCAAGGTCCAGAACAGAGGTCTCTGCGCTGTCGCTCAGTGCGAGTCCCTCCGATACAAGCTCTTGAACGGTTTGGCCGTCCGAAGAGCTTGCTATGGTGTTCTCAGATTCATCATGGAGTCTGGCGCTAAGGGTTGCGAAGTCGTTGTCTCCGGAAAGCTGAGAGCTGCTCGTGCCAAGTCCATGAAGTTCACTGTATGTATCGAATTCTTCGGTTCGTAGATTTTATGTAAAATTTTGGACATCGGCTAACATATATTTCTCATAGGATGGTTTCATGATCCACTCCGGTCAGCCAGTCCGTGACTTCATTGACTCCGCTACCCGTCACGTTCTCCTCCGTCAGGGTGTCCTCGGTATCAAGGTCAAGATCATGCGTGGCTCTGACCCAGATGGCAAGGCCGGCCCCAACAAGTCCCTCCCAGATACCGTCACCATCATTGAACCAAAGGAAGAACAGCCAGTCCTTGCTCCTAACTCGCAAGACTACACCGCCAAGCCAGTTGCCAACATCCCACCACCAACTGAAGAGGCCGCACCAGCACCAGAGGCCTATGAGCAACCACCACAGCCGCCTGCAGCTGCTCCTGCACCTGTTCAGGAAGCCGGCTGGTAGTAACTGTCGGCTTTCTTGTTTTGCTTTTCACTAGGTTTCTGCTGTGTACATTTTTTATCCCTTATTACGAAGCCTCCTAGGATGAAGGAGGGATTCGTTTTCCACGTATAATCGATTTTGGTCTGCTCATTATGGCACTTGCGGGGGGGTGTTCATCCATCATTTCCTTTTTACCGAGCTCGCTTCTATCACCATTTTTTTACAACTTTTTCTTTTCTTTTTCTGTGCCTGGCCTGAATAGGTCATATCTCACACCTCGCCTTTCCCTCCGCCTTATATACCTCTCTAACGATCCCATCGTCATGTGTAATGATACAAAAAAATGACAAAGAAGCTTGCTTGGCTAGATGTGTATGTCCCAAACAGTGAATAGCTTGCCTGTGTGGGGTTATTTAGATGATAATTATGATAGACCTATCCCTGCAAGCTCAGAAGAAGAAGAGGAGGAAGCGGGATAAGTAAGATATGTTGTAACCAAGGCCGTGCAAAAGAGGTCGTAAAGGATATGGGTCCGATAAGCCGGTACTAGGGAAAACGCCCTTGCTTCTTTCCCAAGCTTGGAGAAACTGCCGTTAGCCCTAGCTTATGTATTAGACGAAAATCAAAAACTTAAGCTTGGACACTTGAGAACGAACCCCTGGCTCCGAAGACAGATAATACGAGGTTGTATTTGTTGCAAAGTTGCTGGCCCCTCTTCTGATAGAGGTGGGGCAGTTGACTGGATAGGAATAGATATAATCGTTGCCCTAGTCCATGTATACATTAAAGGCACCCGTCCGGAGCATGGAACGGGAAGTGGTTAACATGATCGTATAACTCGTAATTTCTCGAGCCGAAACAGAAATTCTAGGTTCCTTCGGTGGTATCTGTATTTGCTATAAGTGGGATGTTTCTAGATGTGAATATTCATATATATGACCACTAGGAAGGGCTTTGTGACCCAGAGTATTAAAATTTACTTCGTTTTTAAAATCAATACCACCAATGGACCTAATACCAAGTTGGTAAGTTATTACAAGCATTGCATCGTCGCCTATGAGTATTCAAGAGGGTAGCCGTTTTCCGTTGATGAAAAGAATATATAGTATATATATCTATCTGACCATTGCCCTTGAACACCAAGTGCCCTCCTAACCCGACTTCATTGTCAGAACATAAGCAAAATACTCAAACATCCCCCCTCCTTCAGTGAGCTTCTCAATATTCAGATCCCACACATCCTCTCGAACCACTATTGGCTTGATAAAGTGAGGTTGGCGATATGTTATATACAAAAGCTTACCAGCTGGCTTCAGAATTCGAATGATCTATAGCCACCATTTAACACAGTTGATTAGCTGTCGAGCTCTCTAAGAAGGGTAATAGCCAAGTACAAACCTCGTCTATATACGCCGTCGTTCTTTCCTTAACATGATCAGGGGGGTTCCATAGTGACCCTGAAAGCATTGCGTCAAGAGTGCCCTAAAACAAGAATAACGGTAAGTAAACATACTAGCTTAGCCCCTCTCGAGGTAAGTGGATGGTTGGAGAGAATCTCCAAGTTATGGTATAACTAGTCATAATACCTTGTCTATTGCGATATCAAAATGGCCGTCAGGGTAACCAGTCTCTCGCACGTCGGCAACCTTCCATGTCTGTTCAGGATACTTTTCGGACATCTTCTCTATAATGATTTTTGAAAAATCAATATTGGCAATATTGCAGTATCCCTCCTCGTGCATTGTGGGTGACATCAACTATTATTATTTGTCAGGATTGTTAATATTGGACGGAGAGTCTATATAGAAAAAGGGAAGGGTATTGTCCTTTGCATACACTATTCCCGCATCCAAGATTTATTATACTCGAGCTTTTTTCCGGTATACGTTTCTCGACAAATTCTCGGATTTGATCATAATTCTTGAACCTTCAAGACAACGATGTGAATTTTTTGATATTAGCGGGCAAATTAATATGATAAAGCATAAATTGAAAGCCATGCGTTTTAAAACCCGACGTACCACTCATAGCTATCCTCCGTCGGCGAGACATACCGCTCATCCCAGTATGTTGGATGAGCTAGTTCCTCTAGTTTATCATTCGAACTCATGCTGCCGTTTGACTGGAATTGATCACTCCAGCTTGTATGTGTTTATAGATTTTGCAGGCCGGAGCTCGAGGGCATTCACAAATATAAAGCGAAAATTTGCGTTTTGATCTTGGAGAGTGGTGGTGTTGTAATTTAGTGACCTTAGGCACAAGCTACCTAGTATTTAGCTGCAAGTTGAGCTTAAGTTGAGTACCGGATCCTGGCTGAGTCCTTGCACTTCGAGTAAAAAAAAAAAGAAGAAGAATATAATAAAAATAATAAAATCAAGAACCCTTACTACGAAAATATCTATTACCTTGAGCAGTCTCGCAACCAATACGAGACTGTCGACTAGACCTTAGCTTGAGTGAATGTCCTGTAGCTTTGCCGCAACAACACTTCGGCGCTTCGAGAAAGTTGCTTTTAGACGAGATGGGTGCCCTTTCCACCGTTTTATTCGTCAATATCACATATATGGCAAACCAGAGCCTGCTTTCGCGCCCGCCGTGATGTACCCCTTTGTGACGTTTCAGTAGGACTTGTGACGGTACATGGCTCTCAAGTCGGATTTGCTGTGCCACTTCATATGGTGGTTTTAAAACCCGGTAGCCGGTCCAAGTGTTCTCGAAATGTGTTCTACGATTTTAAATTTCTTAAGAGAACGGCTTGATGCCTCCTTTATAATCATTACATCTTAATACCTTTTATTCATATTGGCTCTATTAGATTGTTTATAATTAACATAGTTTTGAGTTTAAATTCTTCTTAGCACAAATATTACAATAGTTGTAGTAGAGCTCGGGTTGAGAAATATCTAGGCTGCTTTGTATGTAGGTACGTATACTAGGAGGTCGATCGATCGAGATATACAATATGGAATTGGCCACCGGCATACCAGCCCTCGTCCATACGGCAAAGGCTCTAATAATTTACGCCAACGACATCAAAAACACTCCAAAAGAATGGGAAGAAATCCTCGCTCACATAAGAAGCTTAAAATATCTACTCGAAAAATATGAAAGCGGACATAAGGGCCTCTACGGTGAGGCTGGGGCACCCCGGTATCTCGACGATATAAATCTACGACCTCGAATGGAGGAAGCATTCGCAGAGATCGAAAAGAAGATACCTCAAAAGCGGGAGGGAATGAAGGGGAAGGTTTATCACTGGCTGAAAAGGGCGGAATGGCCTGTGATTTCGAAAAAGGATGCGAAGGATTTACAAGACAACCTTCATAAGCTAGAGACGGAACTTGGGATAGCTATCAATGTGGATATTGAGTATGTTTCGCGGACAGTCCTAGAACGTAAGTTAACTCAAACCCATGAATGAATGAATGTCTCTCATGCATATATATACTAATTGTTTTCGTATGATGATACATCAAGGCGCCAGGGCAAATGAAATCCTCGAATGGTTGAAAGGACACTCCTTCGGAAGCGAACAATCCGAGATGCAAAGCGACCTTCAAACTAAAATGACCACTGGAACTGGGACGCATTTACTCCAATCAAAAGAATTGAAAGAGTGGCTCACTGACGGTGAGCCAAGTAAAGCTTTCTGGTGCCGTGGAGTCAGAGGAGCTGGGAAATCGACGCAGATGTTCGTTCTGAGATTACGATTTTCACGGACACGGTATCAATATCGATTGCTAATTAAAAGTATTTTAGATCCGCGGTCATCCGTAATCTCGAATCCAAATGGCGAGAGGGAGTGCACAGTAATGAAAGGGCAATGGGCTGCACATACTTTTACATCACTCCCAATTGTCTAAAAGATTTAACAGCCTCTAAAATTATCATCACACTACTGCTGCAACTTCTAAATCAGGTGGCAAGCGGTGATTCTGATCCTAACAAGGCATCCTTCCCACAAGCGATAATCGACCTTGCGGGCCCCAGCGTACGATCCGGAAGAATTCCACTGAGGCAGGAATTGACAAAGGCGTTTATAGAATCGGCAGAATGCCAACAGTTCCCAAATGGAGTGTTTTTCGCTATTGATAATCTTCATCTCCTTCCGGTGCAAGATAGGAGTGACCGAGCGACAGACTTGATTGAGGGGATATACGAATTTCTAACTGAAGTTCAGCGATCTACAAGGATTAAACTTCTACTTTGCAGCGGAAATGCCTACATGAACCATTTTCTTGGTGACACCGAAGATATTAAGCCGTTTGAACTCGCTGCAACCCCTCAAGATTTAAAAGTATATATGAACCATAAGATTGAAGGAGAGGACCCCAAAGCAACGAGATTCAGAGCAGATCTTCGGCAGGAGGAAGGGTTGACTAAGGAAATGGTTATAGAGGAACTTATAGCCAAATCTGACAAAAGGTGAGATCTCATTAAATGCAACCAAGGACAACTAAGTGGCAATTAGCAATTATATCTAATCCAATCCCCCTTTACCACCTCAACTAGTTTTCTACTACCTGCGCTGCAAATGAAAGAACTCTTTAACTCATCCCGAGCAAGTTCAATTTCGGATGTACTCAAATCCCTACCACCAACATTCCTAGATATCTATCAAGCCGACCTCTCCAAGATCCGCGACCTTCAACCTGAAGAATCACTACGTGCAAAGATAGCAATATCTTGGGCATACTTTGCTAGAAGAAACTTATCAGCTTACGAATTAGAATGCGCTGTGAATTTCGGAAGAGCAAATCATGGTGGCAACCTACCACGACGTACGAATACCATTAAAATAGACAAAATCCTCGATTGGTGCCAGGGACTTCTCATACTTTCAGAAGATGTCGAATCCAATGGTGAGGACCTAATACTTGGAGGCTCGACCCGGGTCCAGTTCGTACATAGCACAGTATATGAGCTTCTCAGGGATCAATTAGATCTTATCCAAAGAATAGAGGGAGATATCGCCAGGGAATGCATCACTTACATTAATGAGGCTGACTTAACTGAAATTGTTTCCGACGATGTATCGAGCAGAGGATGGCGTGAGGCTAAAGCACGGAAATATGGACTCCTCTCCTACTCCGCTGAGATGTGGGGCTTCCATGCAAATAGAGCCAATAATTCAGAGATAGACGACCTTGCACTACAGCTTCTCCAGCAGGAATCCAAGCTCGAAATCCTTCTGGATAAACTTCCCAAGGGAGTATCTACTTACAGCGAAGAAGACCTTTTAACTGCAACCGGGTTTCACGTGGCCATACATTTCAACTACCTCCGAGTGGCTAAACTAATGGTTGATAAGGGTCTTGGTCAAATCAACCCCGAGACCACAGTCCAGACCTTCGAAGGAGACATAATCGAGTCAAAAACACCTTTGATGTGGGCTATCATCAGCGAGGCCAAAGATGTAAGCGAATGGTTGATACAGACCGGCGCTAATCTCAATATAAAAATCGAAAACTGGTCTCCGTTGCACTGGGCTATCGCCAAAGGCAAATATGATATCGCAAAACTACTTCTCGATAATGGAGCAGATCCTAATCTCCAAACATCCGACAAGAATGAAACCCCTCTTGTCTTTGCAGCAATTCTGGGACTTTTAGATATTTCAAAGCTACTCGTCAGCTATGGTGCCAGTATAACAGCTCATGATATCGAATACATGACTGTAGCACACCATGCTGCGAGAGCAGGGCAATTACCATTTCTACAGTGGGCAATCGACCAAGGATGTGACCCACAGGCGAAAGCGAACGGTAATACTACTACTTTATCAGTCGCTTGCTACCAAGGACATACCAAAGTAGCGTCTTATCTTTTAAAGCTGCAAAAATACCCAGCGGAGGAACTATCTGCCTTGCTCGACTGGCCTGTACAAAAGGGTCATATTGAAGTAGTTTGTGCATTGCTAGTTGCCGGAGCAGATACCAACTATCCTGCACATGGGGGATGGGTCAAAAACCAAAGAGCAAGTGACGGAGTGGGCACAAGTCAAGGGGTAGACGATGAGCCCTGCTACTGGACTCCCCTTCAACGAGTAAGTCGTAATTGTAATATAGGTATGATGCAATTACTCCTGAATTACGGTGCTTCTATTTCAGAAAAGTCTGGGGGAGAATGGGATTCGAAGGGCTGGGTGAAAAACAGCCTAGGAACCGAACACCAGAAGGAGGAGGGACTTGAACTTTTAGAAAGATGGGAGCGAGAGCATTCATAGCATTCGTAGCATACAATTGAACATCTGAGCTTTAGCAAGTTCTTTTTTTTTTTTTTTTTTTTTTTTTTCATATCATGTTGTATCGGGCCAGAGACTCGCTGTAATTGCAGATTATATTAGCCTTCGAATATATAGCGTTGCACATTAACCTACCGATAACCTACATGCGAATAACTTCCCCACCTATACATTATGTTTGGAAGTACCGACTCACACAACAGATGCAGATGCAGACATCTCCAGAATAACCGCAGTTTATCCATCCTTTAATAACAAATAAATTCCCGTCGTCCGGATATGTCTGATACCAACAGTCCGCCAACGAACATGCTCTGATAAGTTGGGATCTAGATCTGTCCTGTTAGTTCGGCTGTGCCCGCAAACCAGTTACCCCTCCTTTCAAGAAAACTTGCATTGAACCCCTGACCCGAGATATCATGACATCTCAGCCAGCTATTCTCGATTTGACGGTCTGCATGCAAGGTTTGCAAAGAGATACCATCGAGCTAGTCAGGCTGCAGTTGACCGGCAGACGAACGGTCTCGAGACTATCTGATCAGGATATCATACTCTGCCAAATGCATCACAATAGAGCAACTTCCGAACTTTGCTTGATCACATGCAGGGTGTATGGTGGCTCCAACGCCCGATGCAACTGATGGTACTGCAGTTCGTATTGATGTCTGCCATTTATGTATGCACTTACGAACATACTTCCATACATTCATTCATTCATACATGTCTGTGTGTATGTATGTGCAGTGCACGGTAGGAGTGTCCTGTAACACCGCATTCGCTATCCGTTTCGGACTAGTCGACCGCCAGTGGGATGTGATAAGTGATACCAACAGGAATCGAGGATGTCATTACAAGCGGTTGAAAACTGGAATGGGAACCCGGGTTTAGCGATGTCGTCGGAATCAGGGCATACTAACGTACATACGAACTAGACTTTGGGATTACGTGATGGTCTAACATTTATAAGTATAACCCTCATGCAGATGATGGTAACTGATTTAACTCCTCCCAACCTCCCATTTCTTTCTTCTGTCGTATCATATTATATTACTCACATACCATCCGTTGAAGCTGTTCGACATTCTGTAAGGTAGAAGATCGTATAATTTTTTTAATATCGCTTAGCTGGACTGGATCGCTGTGCACTGACAAGCTAGCTACCCAACTGACTGCGGGCTGACCTGACCTGACCTGACCTGATCCACGCCGTCTCGCCTCACTTTGCTCTCAATCCCCCTCTCTCGCTCTCAACTTCCACTGCTCCTGGCTAGCTAGGCTCCGGCATCCGGCCTGCTTCCGATATAAATATATACAAAGTTCCACTCTCCCTCAGAATACCCCTGCAAGGAGACACCATCAGCATCATCGTCACTACCATCGTCACAACCACCATCGTCACCATCACCATCAATCTTATCAACTAAGTTCGAAACCTTGCTATACCCCATTTTACTTCGCCTTGTATTGCCTTCCCACCGAACAAGCCTCCTAACAAACACGGTTCGGCAAGCGAAGATCGGATCCACTAAAGCCACTGTTGCGACGACCTGCTAAAGGATTAATTAATAACTTCCAACCAACGTTAATCATTCAAGGGCCAAGGAAGGGAATCCTGTATACCGTTTCGTTACAAACCACGTTTGAATTAATTGCCCCGATACCACGGCTATATATAAATCCCCCGGTCTGCAACTATTCCAATCAATCGATCAAATCCAATTGAATTCCCCCTGGTCCTTACGCCTGTTCACCAACTTACCCCTCGATATCAGCTACTGCAAAATAAAATAAGCTTGGACTTTTCTTTACAAACAAAATATCAAAAAAATACAAAAAATACAAAAATAAATTTTGATAAAAAAAAAGATATAAAAAGAAATCCGGGGAAATCCAGTCTCATCGAAAACTTCCATATTATTGCCGATTGACTGCATCCTCAAAGCAAACATCAGAACAAAGACCACACATCACAGCTGCCAACACATCTCTAAAGGAGCTACTACCAGCCATTCCTAAAGACTCTCCTTTCTATCATCAGTTTCCAAAGAGTCTTCATTAAAATATAACCTCAACAATACACATCTCAAACATTCTTCTGCAAAGGCTGATAAGAACTTCCGGAACCACCTGCCGAGACCTTCCGTCTGCCGGGAACCACCGACGCTACCGGGGTTACACAATCCCGCTTGCCAAAGATAAACCACTATCCCCGGAACTTCGAACTTCACAATCCCCGATTTCAATTTCAAACACAAAACCACCATAGTCTGATACAAAGTTCGAAGTATAGCCAGGACGAGTGAGAGCGAGAGAGCAATAGCGGAGAAACAAGTCGTGTGAGATCAAAGAAGGAGAAGATATATCCGAAAAGATGGGTCTTATCTACAACGAGTATCTCAATTCCACACGGATATATGGCTGCCGGTTCTGCAAGGCCCATTTGGCAAACCACGAAGATATCATAAGTAGAGTATGTTCCTATCTCACTATCAGCCTTTCCAAACCGGGGGTCGGTTCTATATATGTTCATATGTACCACCTACTTGGCTTATACAAGGGGCTTCGACGATAGATATACTTGCCAACCGTAACGCTAACAATATTATTCTAATAGAACTTCCGTGGCCAACATGGCAAAGCATTCCTTTTCTCTAGTGTAGTCAACAATGTCGAAGGTCAACCTGTCGAACGGAACATGACGACAGGGCGTCATATCGTTAGAGATATCATGTGCCGGAGCTGTGATGAAATAGTAGGCTGGAAGTACGACAAAGCCTTCGAGAGCAGCGAGAAATATAAGGAAGGAAAATACATCTTGGAGGCGGAATTACTGGTTAATGTCCGGTGAAATGCTCCCAAACAAGCTGTGCCCTTGAGCTATGAGCCTGTGGTGAAGGTTGACTCTAAGGCTTTCTTTTTTGTTTATCTGTTGCGTCCTGATCGCGTTTGGAATACTGGGTTTATGGGCTTTTATCCTTTTGCTTTCCTTTGTTTGGTTGGAATACAGCGTGCAAATGGTTTACCGGTTGGCAGTTGAGGCCTTGCGACAGAAGGAAATTGCGGGGAATTCAACAGATAGGTTGGGCCTCAAGGGATCTGACAGTTGATGTCAACCTGGTGAGGCTTACTCAACCTCCTCTTCATTCAATGTTTTTTCTTTATTTTTCATCCCTTCCCCCCCTTTGATTTTATGTTCAGCATCCTCGTTATGTTCTCGGATTTTCGTCTTTCAATCCCTGGTGTTCCAAATTCCCTTCTTCCAGTTCTTTGCGTACTCCCTTTTTTACATCATGATATCCCCCCTCCTTCAGCTTTTGACTGCTTTTTGTCTTGGTTTAGTCTTCTTTTGCCCTCTGGTGTTCTTTGGTGTTCTTCAACATGATACACTTGCTTGATTTTTTCTTTCCCCTAGGCCTTCTGTGTTTTTTCTTTCTTCTTCTCTCTTCTAGTATAGTTCTTATTTGGGTAGCTGATAGTACTAGTAGGTAAGTACTTTACGGTGGCAGTAGTGAAGGTCCCCGAGAGCTTCCCCTTCAGTTGATATCGAGGCTAGAGACGGGACCCAAAAGGCCCACAGTCGCACTTCTGGCCGCAATTCTCTCTGCGATCAGTTTTACCGGGGCCTAAAGCTCAGAGGAACCTTGCGTATGGATCTTCAGGGCTAAATGGAGATAGTTTGTGTTTATGGAGCTTAAGAATGAATAAATTGAAACAGAATTTGAGAGACACCTTTTCTGTTCCGTCGTCGCTACAGCTTTGGAGCTCAGACGATAGGAATATAAAGATTTCGAAGAGTACTTAAGTAGGAATAGCTTTCCGAAATCTCGGCTCCGTGAACGAATTATGTCTGCAGCCCGCCGGACCACTGAGATGCCGTTCGTTTCACTTTTATCGATTGTCACCCACGCAGTTCGGATCGGTCTCCACTTTGGATCTTGAATCTATGTATGTATGTAACTCAAGGGGTACATAAGTACATACGTAGCATCAAGAGGTTTCCGACCTGCATGCCATGAAATCTAGACTCAAGCCTCACATGCACAATTAATGCACGTTTGACACTGTTAGGCTCAATTTACGCCCTTTTCATATTCCCGGGATTTCTCCAGCCCGTCCATCGCGTCGAAAGTCCTCAAAAACTTCCAAAACTTCCTTCCACCCGGGTTTTCCTAACCTCGGCCGGAATTACGCTTCCACTTCAAATACTATCCACGAAACGCTTTTGTTATCACCAAATGCATATTTGGTTAGGCAATTCTAGTGTGGGAAATACAAGAACATGGTTAGATTAACCCCGCTAGAATTGCAATCGTCCCCCCAGACGAGGGTTCTTTGAATGTCGATATGTAATAAAAATGAAGATTTCTATTTTATCCCTGCTGCAACTTATGTATGTACCTGCTAGACAGCATTTTGAGACCTCGTCCAACGGGTATATATGCATCTCCTAGCACGTCTTCTATATACCGTATACTCCCAGTAATTTAAGTACCATGTAGCGCGCGCAGGTTATGTTGCAGCAATGCAAAGAGGGATTCCCATCTGATCCATGCAACAGTAGCATGTAAGTATGTACATACATACATACATATGTATACTTACATACGGATTCGAGGTTATCTCCCCTCGCAGAAACGTTCATGTTATATTGTACACAGTGCATGCATACCTACGGTACCATGCATGGAAATACCCGGTTCACAAAACAAAAGGCGGGTTTTAAGATCGATGCCGTCTGTACGTACGTAGATGAAGTAACACTAAAACGTAATGCCGGGTCTAACCATGTCTCTTACTGCGGACCGGTTCGTGTCTCACGGGAAGGAAATTCAGGAGATTGGAACGGCTTTCAGGTTTCCATATGTGACTGGTATTCATATTGTTATTTACCGGTCATCATTGTACCTATACGGTCAGGGAGACCTTGTCTTGATAGCTTCGAGCACGACGAGGAGATTCTGAAAGAGAATGAGTGAGGTAGAATCGAAATTTATGAGCTTACATACATACATACAGATATACAATCTGAGACTATGCCTTGTTGTAGCTATATGATCTTAAGATCTTACTTACAGTATTAATATATATATAGCATATATAAGATTATATAAGACCTTAAAACCTGCTTGCTACATGCTACCTCCAATAACCGACCCCGGAATAACGAGAGCTTCTTTCGATTCGAGAAGAGCTTCTCCACTTTCTAGTTATTCCTTTGCCACGATATTCCTTGCTCGGAGAGGGGAAACAGAAAGAAAAAAAAAAAGTTGGGGCCCCGGGAAAGGATTGATTGTGTGGTTTTTGAGCTTTGGTGATATCTGACCAGAAGTCGAAGTTTCAGGAATTGGCACACCTTGCGGAGTTGACATTGAATTCATCCGCGAGCGCCCAAAACACGGCCGCGAATAAAGACGTGACAGAAGTTGACATGTGGGAAAGTTGGGAAATCATCCGGGATCGGTGTCATGTACTGGCATGCAGAGTTTTTTAGGTTTTTTTTTTTTTCTCCTTCCCCTCCCTTTATTAATTCTTCCCTTTCGTCACGTTGATATGGAATTAATGTGGTCAAGGGGAGTTCTTCGGAGGAAGAGAGAGCTATAGATTGTTAAAAAAAACGAAGCTTCATGAGCTCGCTGTTGATATTGATATGTGACGACAAAAGATATCACCTTGATAACTACTGACGAGCTCCGATTAACTATAATATCAATTTCTCTTTTCTTTTTCTTCTTTTTTCTCTTATTTTCTTTTCTCAGCTCGTTTCAGTTCATCCCATCTCTCAGACCCAAAATACCTAATTTCCACTTCACGTAATTCTAATAATCTCGAAACATTTCTAAAGAAACAAGAAAGGGAAAGGGAAAGGAAAAAAAGGAAACCAAGGCGATCTGAGAACCATAAGAAAAAGTGGGTCCATAAACCCGACGCCTCAGAAAAACCCCCCAAAAATTCGATGCCCAGCCGTAATTTCTTTCTTTGTCACTTCGAGACGAGGTGCAAATACGGAATCAATTGGAATTCTTAAACTTTATTGTTCCTTCTCTTTGTATTGAATACTATGTAACGTATCTTTCACCCCCCCACATCTTGCATGTTGTAATTAACTAGATTAGCCTATCGAGACCAGAAGTTTGAGATTTCTGAAATCTGCAAAAAAAAAAAAAAAAAAAAAGACACACAACTGTGGAGCCGATCCCTTGTCGAATGATCAAGTGGGAGTGCTGTCGCTCATACATACTCAGCGACACACCCCCAAATATTAAATGTGCAAATGTCAGAGCGTGGAAGAAGAAGGTGAACCGCGGCGCCCACGTGGGAAAGTGTAACGCCTGCAGCTGTTCAAGAGGGGGTCAATGCTCATATCTTCCGTCTGATGGTTGTACACAGTATCTTCATTTGTTTTACATCAGATATAGACTCTTTATTTCTAGATGTTTCATTCATATATATCTTCAAACAAACAAAAGAAATAAAAGTAATAAAAATAAATAGTTTTTATTATTGTATTGTAATACTCGATATGCCTACACAAGGGAAAATCAATATACCTGAAATCAATTATTTCCAAGCTCAAGGACTCGGATTTTCTTGACATCCGAAACAAAATACATTATGAGGCCAGGCGAGGTCATAAGATCTTAATAATCACCCAAGGATCGAGTGGGGGGAGAAACAAATAGATAGGCTTTATGCGGGCACAAGCATCTCGGTCACACTTTGAAGCGCGGGTAAGTTTCAATATACGTATGATTGCACTGGTATACTCTCCCTAGCATTTCGTCCGGCCGGTTGGCAAACTAGCTGAAAGGTCCTGCTATTTTTTTGTTAGATCCGTGCTTTATGCGCTCTGTGTATTGCATCATTGTATATTTTCGATCCACTTTGAATGCCAATCGTGCAATTTCAGGGTCAAGAAAGGCTTGAATGGAATTAAAATTCATGGAGCATGACGATCAGTTTTGATGGTACGCCCACGCACGGCTGAGAATTTCGAATGCGAGTCAGTGAAAATAAAAGGTTTGAGAGCTAAACTCCGGTAATAGTTCATGATATTATGATAATCGTGACCTGGTCACGGGACTTGGCTTTTGGGGACGTCGTTTGCGATCGATGTTGGCGGAATTTTTCGAAACCGTTAACCATTTTCCTTGAAGAAAGGCTTTGAAACCTGCAGGTAACGGTTACACCCTTACATATATAAGTGTGTATATGCATATATAGAGCAAATATCGAAAACCAGGTTATTAGTTTAGCCAAATAGAAAAGAAAAAAATACAATAGAACACCCTCGCAATACGCCTGGGGATGTTGTCTTCACAGGTTCTCTCAAAAAACAAAGCATTCTGAAGTTCAGTTGGAAAGAGAGAGAAAAAACATGGAATAAACGAGCGAGCAGAATCGAATCGCTTATTTCCTGTTCCTTGCTTCCTCACTGGGGGGTAAGGGCCTTGTGTAACTCTGCGCTTGCATGTAGCTAGGGAGTGTGTGTGCCCAAGGGCCGGCCAGCCCAGCTCAATTGCTCAACTGCAACTGCAGACCGGATGACTAGTCAGTCGAGAGCTGTTGCAGCAAATGAGCCGTCCCATTCCGCGAATTCCGGATCATATCATATCGTATCAGATCATATCATATCATATCACATTGCTACATCGTCCGTACGAACTGTATCCCACCAGGTATTCTCGGCCGGTTAAGATGAGAAGCGCAATTTACCATATATTCGCACCATTTATAGTCCAATCAAATTTAATTCGCATGCGTGTGTGGGTGGTATGTATGTGAGGTTCCCCTTCCGAAGATCAGCCAACAGGCATTCACGCCGGGAGAACATGGGGCGAAGCTGGTAAGGTCTTTTTTGTTCCTCCTCTTTCCTTCCTTTTTGTATTATTAGTGATGTTAGATATATGATTTTCTATGCAGGCGAGGTTTAGTACTGTTGTTTGTAATCAATTAATCATAAGCCGAATGCGCTCGAATGAAGTAAGTTTTGAATGAATGAATGAATGAATGGAATCCTGTGCTATTCCTTCTTCTTCTTTCTACCCGCCCTACATACATCTGCGATGCAACTAAGAATGAAAAGGAATCTTTGTGAGGGTGGATTCGAGGCTATGTGAGGGTAGTATACGATTACTTTCAATATACAAGCGTGCATGGGGAACTCGGACGATTGTACAATTCGAAAAGGATGCGTCGCATGGATCACCACAGCTAGGCATCACCATGTTCGACTTCCCCCAATGTTTTATATATCCCCAGCTTTTTCGCAACCCGAAATTCGACCAGGTTTCCATTTTACCCAAAATTTAACTTGGGAGTATATAGCAATACAACATATATATTAGCATAACAAACGCATAATGTAAATGCAGGGAATTCGGAGGAACTAGCTCGTTCGAGTTCTGCAAATATTTGGGTGAATTGCGTGTTTCTGAGTCGCGAAGAACATGAGCCTTGAATTACGCCTTCTTTTTTTTTTTTTTTTTTTTTTTTTTTTTGGATATCATTTTTATAACAATCAACTGCAATCGCTGCTGATTTTGCGGCTGTTGTAGAAAGCGTGGGGTGGACCGATGTTCAATTCTTGTATCCCGCAATCATTAATCACAAGCACTAGGCACTAGCACGGCGCTGATAACGGGATCTTACGGTACCAGCATACTCGGCAACTTCTACCCTCAATGCATCCGTTCTGGTTATATATAAAGAAAAACCCCGAATCGGAATCAGCCTGGTCAGAAAATTATAGATAGGTACACGCATGCGCAAGCATAAAAAAAATAAAAAAAAAAAAAATCCTTTTTCATGAACGAATCGTAAAATGACTAAAATTTCCGCTAAAAACGTCAGTATTGTTCCTTTTTTCATGCAAGATGTATACTCACATACCAGCCTGAGACCTGTCCTTTTTTTTTTTTTGTCGTTCTATAGATATGTGCATTGTGAAAAAGGAAAGAAATACGTAGCAGGGGAATACCCATGCGATTATCAGTGGCTTTCGGTAGCCGGCTGGCGTGCCACCCGATGTTTGGTGGTTCTTTTTGCTGGCGATTTCCTATAGAAGCGGGCCTATCATAGCTTCGTGATTGGGTTGCAGCATCTGGCTGATAAGCTGACTGACAGCTCATGTAAGGGATTGGAAAATGGAAGGAGGGCAGACGAAAAGGACAGTGCGGAGAGAAGTGGTCTTCTTTTGATATAGGCCTTTTGGAGTAGCATGGGGAGCTTCAAGGGGAAATATGGAGTGGGCGGGCTAGCTTTTGTGGTTCCAATGTAAGGAGATTCTGGAAGATAAGGTCTCTTGGTTTTCTTCTATGGAGATAGCGATTTTTTTGGAGAACTTTCGCCATGGTATAGATTGTCAAATGATGTTTTCTTCAATTCTCTATCAATATCTGAGGTCGTGGCCTCTAGAATGTGCCGAGGATACCTTATATCGAGAGCACCTGAATCTACTTATCTAATTCATATTATGTATGTATGTACCACCTATCCAAGTCATTCTGTAGGGATAGAATCAAAGAGGGAAAAAAAGGGTACCGTAAGACCAAGATAGTATACTTTGAACGCCAGGCCGCTAGCATACTCTGATCCGGATACTTGCTAAATAACAGAAATCCTAAAAGGAAGAAAAAACAGCTTAACCAAGAAGTAATAGACATAACCCATTCCCATAAGCAATGTAACTCCACCGCCTCTTTTTAAAACAATGTCATCTAAAACCCATACTAAAGAATACTTCCTTATCGCTTCAAAAAGAAAGAAGGGAAGAAGGGAACCAAAAAAAAAAGACCACGTCGAAAATCTAGACAGGAAAGGAAGCTGTCGGAAAAGAAATAAGATAAATAAAAAAAACTCCGGTTACACATCTATAGTGTCTATGCTTGAGTCTGCTGCTTTCAAGTTTGCTTGTGATGAGGTGAGATAAGGATGAAGCCCACAAGATATTAAAGGGATATCATATCCAGAAAGAAAGAAAAAAGTGAGAAAGAGAATTGAAGAGCATCAATATGTCGCGGGGGAAGAGGAAGAAACTCATGTCGCTGTATTGGAGTGGGGGTATCAACGGTCGTCATAAAAAATAAGCTTTGTCGTCGAAGTCGTTAGAGAGAGAACAAATAGAAGGGCTGAAAATAAATCGAAATCGAAGGAGAATATTATGTGACTAATCCGTTGAGAATGCGCGAGTCAGAGGTGCCTATGGATGTCGTGTGAACTTTAGGGTTGAAGGGGTTGGTGGCTCGAAGCGCAGGCGACCGTTGGAAGCGGGAGGGGGCGAAAGAATTTTTAATTGTTCGATTGTGGGGTATAATTGCGTTATTTGTGTAAGGGGAGCGACATAATGAATTACGAGAAAGAAATGGGTTGCGCCTTTTTCGACTTGGATTTGACACGAGGACGCTTCATGATGACCGGGGCTTCAGTTTTGGTGTTATTGGTGATACTTCTTTTTCTACCGGAGCGGCGGAGGTTGGATGTACTGGAAATCGTGGAGGCTTCGGTGAGGCCAGGGCTTTCTCTCGGGCTCTCTAACTCCTCGAGAGCGAGAGGGCCAGCTTGGGGAGCAATGTAGAGTTTCTCCTGGCCATCAACTACGACGGTACAGTTGCTGCGTAGAAAATCGACAGACCATAAGGACGGAAATCCTTCGACATCCGTGGGTCGGTCAAGCAAGATTTGGCCATCGTCGGTCTGCGAGGCAAGCAAAGGCATCCACTGTTTGATAAGGAGGGATGATGGGAAAGATGAAGAGATAGCTTGCTGGAAGCTTTTGCATCCAGACCCTTCGACTTTGATATATTGATAACATCCAACCGTTTCACAGCGTGTATGTTCATGACAGTCTATAGGAGGAGGGCTTTTCTGGTCGGGATCCAAAACAAGATTGACATGTACCCACCACGGATTCTCTTTGGATATTGGCTTTAGAGCTGTGAGAGCTTCGTGAAGGCGTCTTTCAGAATCCTCCCGTAATACTCTGTCGATGTCTGGTATGGATGACCTTTCCACGGAGGAAGAGGCGGAGTCACGCCGTAAGTCCTCGTTCTCGTTGACAAGGTCATCCATTTCTCCTTGGAGGACTGTTGCTTTCCGCTCCGACTCCTCGAGTCGAAGTTCTGTATCCTCTAGTCGATCTTCCAACTCAAGGATCCGTTCTTCCAGACTTCCAACGATGTCTCCTACCGACCTAACATCTTCAGGGTTCGGCTTCTGTGAGATCTCCTGCTCCAACTTCGCCGTCTTCTGATAAAGGTGCCATATATGTCTGTTATTCTCTGCTTCTTGGGGCGGTACCGGTGTTAACGACCTAGGAATCTGCAAAGGTATTTGCTCTATTTCTTCCTTGGCAGCTGCCGCCTCCTGCTCCTGCGCTTCCATATCGCACTCTACCATAGGAGTGTCGTGGTGCCCCCCGCCGTGAATAATATTCGCACACTGAGATCTCGGCGGGTGGTACTGCGCATGATGCCCGCAGGAGCAAAAGTATCTATCCAGCGAAGACCAGGAGTCTTCTAGCCGGGCTTGTTGAATGAATGATCGACAGTTGCACCTATCTCTGACGTGCTGAGAGTTGATGATTTTTACGCTGATAAAACAGCAGGAACCGGCTACTGTTGCAAACTTTGGAAATATAGGTTTTAATAGTGGCGCTGCTGGTATTGGCTTCTTAGCCATGATACTAGGCTCTTCGAGCATGGGAGAGGGGTGTCTTTCTTCAGAAAGCTTGAGGTGAGGCTCTCTGAAGATCGGGGACAAATGTCGAGATGCTCCTGGAAGCTGTTGGGGGATTATTGTTAAAAATGTTATACAGTAGGTCTTAGCAAACAAGGCAGGGTTCGAACGGCGGCTTGAGAAGTTCGAACAGTGCCATAGGGAACCAAGTGATTCTTTTCAACTTGAAGTTTCAGAGAGACAAGGACCGAATCCGAGTATCAACTATCTACCTCCAACATGCGACTTTGGATAGGCTTGTTGGAACTAGTGTGTTGTGGTGATAGTATGGTGGTGGGTGGTGGTGGGTGGTAGTATAGTGGTGGTGGTTTAATCCAAGGTGGGACTGAACTGGACTGGACTGAACTGGACTGAACTAGCTTTCAATAAGGACTTTGTGAATAGCTACAAAAAGTAGAATCCTCAATTCAATACTCTTGAAAGCTTCTGGTTGCTAGTTGGCAAAGGAAATAGGTTGAAAGAAATCGGGTTCCTTTCGTAGCTTTAATATCGCCCGGCCGCACCCACCAACTTAACCAGTAGCTAAGTAGCTAGCGCCGGGTCGAGATATCCAACTTTAACAGGGCCAAGGGAAGCCGTTGTTCGGGGCGGATGATTTCTCCCTTGCTCGAAACTGTTCCTTCAACCGATAATACAAATGTCGCGAGAATTGCGTATAAACTCGAAAAGTTGCTTAGGCCGAATGCCGAATCTTTTGCGTAAGAGGGATGTCAACCTCGTTCTTTTCCTGCAGACTTTATTGTGAAGGTGTAGTAAAAATAAAGATATGGGCGAGGGTCTGGATAATATATGGAACCATCCAAGGGCTAGATTAGACCAGATGAGATTATCAGTGTTCGATAGGGTATTCCCAACTGTCGGGAAGCTTGAGGCATTATGAAAGGAAACTCAAAGCTGATAATCGAAACCCTCCTCTCTCTCTCAGGTCTTAAAAGGCATGGGCGCGACCCAGTAGAAGAAGGGCAAGGTGCTTTTTGCAGTGGTGGTGGTCCCCCCATCTGCGAGATATACTCGAGATACCCGCATGGCAGGCTAGTTGGCTTATCCGCCTTTTTTTCTTGATATGAATGGGATTAATATGCAACCTATGTTTTCTTCTTTTTCGTCTTTATTTCAACCTTTCTTTTTGAAATCAGAAGCCTGGCCCTGGTCTTCTTGTTCCCGTCGACACATTTTAACAAATGTTTCTTCTTTTGGATAATATCTAATTTTTCCTTTGCCTTACCCTATGCTATGCTCGATCTTTGCACTCGTTGCGAAGGTAAAGCAGGGTCAAATGGGGAGGGAAAAAAAAAAGAAAAAGGTGGGAAGGAAAAATATGTATGTCAAGACCAATCTGCTAAGGGGTACGTGCTTGAGCCAACTGCAAGTGTGCCGTGGGGGGTCTGCTTGGGTCCCACAACCGAGGAGAGAGGCTCTCTTCCTGTGTATTCTTTTTTTTTTTTTTCCCTGGCCATGGGGCCTGGGAAGAGGGTGTGGCCTCGTAGATTAACTGGCCTGTCAGAAAAGAAACTTCCATCACACACCCGCAGGCATAGCTCAGACAGAACGGTCGGTTCTTGAGATTCATGGTTTCCTGACTTTCAGCGGTCCGCTGGCGGAGTCTAAATCACGGGTACGGCATGGGGGGATCTGGCGAGGAGCCCCAAACCCTTCCTGTTGGCGATAGATGATGGTGATGATGATGCTTGCAAGAGATAGCTAGTCCATGCCAATTCATTTAGCTAGCGGCTTTGCTTTGTTCGTAAAAAGAACGCTAAGTGTACTTCGTAACATTAACAGGCCAGACAATGATGGGGGCGGCTTTTTGGGGCCATCCAACATCTAGTTATCTATGGCGCACGTTTTGTCGGAAATTGTCAAATTGATATTCGACCACACGTATTTTTGGATTTTTCTGCTGTGATTTTGCCGGAAGAAAATTGTAAAAAATTTTCTTTCCTTCTTTTTTTAAACTCGACTTGTTCTTTCCCTATTAAGGATCGATAGAGAACGTTCGAAATGCATCGGAGTGGGACTCGACCGAGTGGACCCGCTTTTTTCCCTCGATTCAATTCTCTTACACTTCAGAAGAGAAGAAAAGGGCTCGTCGAGCAGGCCGTCCTCGAGAGAGATTCACCATAGATTGGAAGGGTGGGATAGAAATGGTGGGATCGTCCAGGGTGTGGGTCGAACCGATTGTGGTGGTGGTGCGTTTGATGGTTTCCCATTTGGTGCTCGTTCGGTAGGTAAGTATCAGAACAGAGGGAAGAAACATGGAACAGACACCAGATAACGCAGTTAACTTGTCGCTGGAGCATGTGTGTAGTATACTATACTTTCACGATACTAACCGGCTCGGGACAGGCTTGCAATTGCTGCTATATTCATTCTTTTGTGAAGCTTCATGCATGAGAATAACCTTGTCGGTGACCTGCCTTCCCGCCCATACTTTACGATCATTCGCTATAGCGTTTAGGAGAATCGGTCACTCGGTCGTGGACCTTCTCGATTGACAAGCCAGCCAGCAAGAACTTAAGACTGACATGTCGCATGATTCTGCAAGATGATGAGCATGAATAAACCCGAATGGACCTGGCTCTGGCTGAATCTCTCTATAACCGTAATAATAATAACCCGAACTTGTGCTTGTCAGTAGGATATACTAACTACTTTGAATCCTTGATGTCATACAAGATATCACTTCAGATAGCCAATTAGTAGCCCGTTCTGTATATTTCGTGATAGTTTTCCAATTGGGCGATATCATGTTTCTAGATTTCTCTGAAGCCTTTAGGGCCTTCCTCTTTCAAGTGTTCAACAGTAACCCCCACTATACCATAGTCTTGCATTGCATTATCGATCAATCACCAACAATGGATGGAACTCTCACGCGCACGCCTGGAATTCCTCAATCTCTGCATTCGCGGGGCACCGGAGAGGTCTCCTTTTTTGTCTCAAATAAGACAAAAGGGAAACTCGATCACAGAAACATGCAAAAGTTTGGGGGGGTTTAAACCGTTTTCTCATCAATTACTGGGGGGGTTTCGAAGACTTTGAATGTGCAATGGTGGCGATTTCGCATTTGATATCGCGATGTCATGTAAAATAATATGCTTCCCCTCAGCGTAACACACCGCACTGGCCTGGCCTGGTTCTAATGCAATGATTTATGTACTTACATTATTAAGTATGTATGGATGTGTGTATGTATGTAAGTATGTATGTATGTATCTTGGGAATGCGCAGCAGATACCCCTACATATGTCCTTGCAATGCACTGCAAGGTTCACAGAAGCAGAGATAATCAATCCAGTGACGTTGCTACTCTACTTGCACTTGGTTGAATCCGATCAGCGGCAACGGACCAAGGTGCCCGTGGGGTGGGGTTATGGTCATCCATGTAGCGGGTAGTGCCTGTATCTTCCTTCCGTCCTCGCCAGGTTAGCCTCTTCGTCCCAAACATGCTCGAGTTCTGTGAAGTGCTCTCCAATCAACGGTGTATTTTTGTTTGTTCGACCCTCGTGCTGAAATCGTTGGCCATCTTATGGCTGTAATCGGGGCCCTGTTCAAAATGTCAAGGATTTATTTGGGACTAATGTATGTCAGGTAGCGCCAGTTTGTCGACAAGATGTAAAAGCGCACGGGTTTGGAAAGTGGCTTTCTCATTCCATGAACGAGAACGGTTTTCTGTTATTACTCCGAAATATCGTGTGCAATCTCTAATATATTCTTGATACAATCAATACGGGTTCATGTTCATGGTCATGGCCATAGTGCTCACTCTCTTTGTAACTTGGCATATACGACCCCTCCTAGTCCGTGTCTTCGAGTCAGTGTCCTCCTTGTTCTACCGCAGCCTCGACATTGGCCGCATTTCTCATTACCCACTTTTTCGACTAAAGGCTGCTTGTCTCCTGGCAAATTCATGTGAAATATGCTCATCGATTTCCTCATTCCCTGGCCTTATCGCGAAACGGTAGCTGTGCGGTGTACATGTGCAGCAGGTCCCCCCTCCCTTCCTCCCACCCACCACTACACATGCAGACACCTCTTCGCCATTCCCTTTGAGACTCTGGACTGCCTTTGGGTTTGGGGTTTTTGTTTTTCGCTCCCTCCATACATAAATAAGCACTTTTTTTCGTTGTGAGGAAGCAAAAAACGTCCATGTCCCTGAAAGTCATCCGCAATCCGTAGCACCACGTTATCGGAAGCTAGAAAACGTGTTCCGATTCGTAGAACCAGATTCCTGCTGGCCTACTTTGTAAGGATCTTGCCTGTAATTAGAAGGTATTGTCCTTCCCTATGCGACTACGCACTCGCCGTGGGTTTTTCTCCAACAATAGTAAGAAAACCGTCGTTGCGAGCGAAAATGCCTTTTTTTTGGGGGGGCGAGATATCATGTAGACGGTAAGCTTCATTTTTCGCCTCCAAGAAAAACTTCAGACGATTATGCAAACCCAGGGCCCTGATCATTTAGCAAGCTCAAGGACCATGTTTTCCCGGTCGAATAGAATGAATTTCGGGTATTTCGAAGATGTTAAGTAAAAAAAATAAAAATAAAAAAAGGTTGAATTCAATCTTAAGCTTGCTGCTTGTTAAACATCGCCTACAGCTTTTAAATTTTCGTTGTGCAATTTTCCCGCTGGTTTCCGTCTGGGGGCCAAGCCTGAAAAGTGGGGGCTTGTATTTCTACCGTTGCCTGCTTGCCAGTAATTGCTTCCTCGAAATACTGTGGCAAGTACAAGTATAGAGTAGCATATCATGCAAATATGCAAAAATACCTGTCATCGAATATAGAATTCGAAATTTGGAGGTACAAAAATCGTGAATTTTTAAGATTTGCTACCTAGTGTAAGAGGTCATTCATCATCGCATAACCTGGCCCAGGTTGGTAATCCCGAAGATGCAAGAGATAGTAATTTCTCGGAAAACCCCCATATTTGCCTGAAAATATTTGGAGGGAGACCCGAGGTTTTTGGGGATGAAGGTGATCGAAAGGGAATCCAGACCCTTCATCCCTCTCCCCATGATGCATGTCTTTGATTCTTGAAGGGCTGCGGCCCGTTGTTTTTTTTGACATTAGTACCAGCCCGAGGCTCGCCAGCCGCCGTACCGTCATATGATTATTAACGAGGTCGTGGAGGTCGCCTTGGTATTATTAACAGCTGAGGGGAGAGGTCGAGAGTCGATAGTTTAATATGTATATGCAACTTCTCAAATGGCAGCCTCCCTCGGGCACTACCGTATTACGTGCTCTCGCTTTTGACACGTTCTTATTTTAAACATCCTATTTTCTTATCATATATATGTCCTCTTTGCCTGCCTTGCTTGCCCAGGCAGTTTCGAAACCTGCAATACCTTAATTGTTTTTCCGTTCCGAACAATTCGAATGACAGCCTGGTACGGGGGCGAGTGGGGGCGACTTGGGAGTCCAGCCCAGCTATCAAACCACGGATGTGATATACATCAAAGGACAATTTGTGGTGACGACGGTGGCCATGCTGTACGATGCAAATGCCAGGGAGAGGATGGCAGAATAGGCAAAGTTGAAGCGAACCACCAACTCTTTGTGCAACAGTGGGACGAGATAAGGGCAAGGTCTATATTCCGTTTGCGGACCCAACCGCTTGAGCGCATTTGCGCGTGGGAGTTTTGAACTGACGAGGTATGGTCTCCTGATGAACGACTCTAAATCTCGTGACTTGTAGCAGGTTATCTATGTTACAGAAACCCCTCTTATTTCAAAAATACGACGGGATCAATGCAAGGTGGTGACGACAAAACATATTCGATATTCAACCGGCAGCAGCTGGAACCTGGACCACGCTGCCCACGCTTGCCCACGCTTTCAGGACACGAAGGGTTTTAAATCATTCATTGATATTAGGCACACGGCCAGCTGAAAAATAGGAGACGAGGTATTTGCTTTGGGGATTGCGAAATCTCGCAACAAACGACGTGGATATATTTTAATTTTTTTTAGTCATCGATTCAGTGTTTGGTTTGTCGTTACATTCCTTTTTCATTCGACCGCATATGGTCTTCAGTAACTAGCAGCTCGGGTGCATCCAACGCAGCGGATGCAGATATCAGAACTGGTCATTTCTAAGAGAGGATGATTAGATGTCTGGCGTGAGCTATTATTATTACTATCTCAGTTTTGAAAAGGAGAAATGCAAGGCAGAAGATCTAAAGGGTTGCTTTACCTTAATCGAGCTTATCAGGACAATGTTGGCGAAGGATGATACGTATTACGAAATGCAGGGTATCCTTATGCTGAGCGGGAAGACCCGCTCGGGGAACGCCCTCCCGATGTACGAAGATGTGGGATGTGCAGAATCCCGTAACCTCGCCGCCATGGTTTCTTCTCCCAGTCAACAATGGAGTCGAATCAAAGGACAAGTTTCAGTTTTGGCGAGGCTTGACAATCCCATCATGCATGATATAGTAGACGACCGTGCTGTCTCCAGACACAACTGCAACGACAATCCGTTTCTTTTTGGCATCTCCTCCTCCTTCTCCTCCTTCTGCTGCTCCTGAGGGCGTGGGGAGGTTATCAAAAACGGAAGCCCACGTCCTCAACGTCAATTTCTCGGTGAGGTGAACTGGTAAGACATATTCCTTGTCCGCGGGAGGCTTTTCTGACGAAGAGGCCTCGTTTGTTGAGGAAGCTGGTTCTGGATTGTACAGCTGCTCTGGAGGCCGTCCATAGATCATAGGTCGGGGAAGCGGGTCATTCTGTGTGTTCTCGTCGATGTCCACCTGGGTATCGAGCAGTTTAATATCAGTCCAGTAGTGCTGATGCTGCAGATTGGACAATACGACAGATCGTAGGTTGAGAAGATCAGACGTTTCCGCGGTTGTCATTGTGAATAAGAAACGTAAACCGGTCAAGACTGCGGTTTGAACCCGCTTGGGAGTCTCACAGGCCGAGAGCCGACTGATGACGTTGTTTAATATGATGTCTCGTCGCCACCTGAACTCGAATTCGAACTCAATGTGATGTATGATATGATGGATGAATGGATTAAGCTTAAAACTCTGCGTTTCGCTAAGCCGGCTTGAGTGAGAAACGTTCGAGACCACAGCCTCACTCACTAACCACTCCGCACCGCCCAATTACGTTGACCCCTGCATCGAATTCCATTCCACCAGCATTCTGTCGCTGAAGAAATCCCAGTGAGGAAGCAGCATACGATCATATGCATGTACGAAGAATCAAGATGTTTGGTTTGAGAAAGTTCTTTGGATACGACATACGGGGTACGCACGCTCTCGTCGCAGCCAAGCCTGGTCGGTTGATATCTGCCGAACGTGGCTAGCCAGCGCAAAAAAACAGGCGGCTTGTTTGAGGGCGTATTTTTAACTTCGAATTCGTCTCGATCATCATCACCCACTCAGATTTTAGTTAATTCTGCCAGTGGAGGCTAACGTTGGCCACCGACAAACACCATATTGCTCAATTCGAGGAGGGTGTTATATACTCCGCCTAGCCCTTGGACATGCAGACGGGTCCGAATCCGCTCTCTTCCGCCTATTAGACAGAACAATCGACAAGTTGTATGAGTGTTTGACAGCGAAACTGCGAACTTGAAAGTTCAATTCAATTCCTTGGTGGTTACGTACTTTTAGTTAAAGGGGATCTCGGGAGCAGGTTCACGAGACCACGGCCGGACGTTCAATCACTGACTGCCCGGAAAATCAGCCGACTTTGCTTCTACATCATTAATAAACGCTCGCAAGACCGGAATCCTGCTGTTATCCCACGCGAGCAGCGCATCATAATCTACCGCAGCCATGGCAGATCAGATTCCGTCATCGCACTCACCCTCAACTCCTCACCCGCCCCCGTCGCCCGCTACGGCTTCTGGGAATCGACCGCGAAGTAACTCTCTAGCACAATCAATAAGGCGCGCATCGATATCATTGTTGGATGCACAAGTTCCCTCAGGTTTCTTCCAAGTCGCAGGGGAGATCTCGGCCCAGTCAAGAACTATGACCGATATGGAGAAAGATGACAAAGCTCACGCTAAAAGAATCGAGATGATACGTCGCACCACAATCACAGAAGAGGATCCGAATGCACCGGAACGGCCGGAACGGGCTGTCCAGGAGAATAGTCACTTTCTCGACAAGGAAACGGGGTCTAGCTCTTCGGAACCGGACGAAAGAAGAATTCTGACACCCGAAGAGATCGCGGCTGGTGTCTTATACCCCGGCGAGGAGGAGGTTAAACTAACGAAATGGCAAGCGACCAAAAAGTTCCTGGCTGCCTTTTGGAAATGGTTCCTGACACCAATGGTGGGTTTCCGTGGCTACATCATATATGGAATAATAAGCTGATGACTCTGCAGGGTTTCCTTATCACCCTATACTTCTTACTGGTTGTCGCATGGGGTGGTATGATCTTCTTGCTCCTTTGCAATGCTGCCCCGGCTATGAGAGGTCCCTATGGCGCCAACGACAAACGATCCGCCCGTAGTATCTGGATAGAAATTGATGCCCAGATTCTCAACGCCCTCTTCTGCGTTACAGGCTTCGGTCTAATCCCATGGCGTTTCCGCGACTTCTATTATCTAATGCGATACCGCATGAAACACGATCCAGTAGCCCTGAACCATCTCGCCAACATCCACCGCGGGTGGTTCCGGATGGACGATAAGGGACCAAGGACATACCCAATCCGACACCAGGGCAGCGATGAGGAGGATCTTTCACAATCGCAAACTACACAACTCACGCAAGCTACCCATAGGACCATGTCCCGAACAAGGACAGGACAGTACGCCAGTCCGACCGCACTCTGGAAGCTCGATCTCGTTATTTGGTTCTACGTTTGGAATACAATCTTCCAAGTTATCCTTGCCGGCGGTATGTGGGGTATGAACCGATATGTGAGGCCTGCCTGGTTCACAGCATTATTTATCGTTTTGGGATTCGGTGTCGCTATCGCCGCTGGCGTCGTTATTGGCATTGAGGGGAAGAGAATTAAGAAAACCGAGGGTTCTCCGTTGAAACGATTGCCCCTATCTAGAATCAGCGACGAGGATAAGGCGGAAATTATCCCCAAAAAGGAGGGAAGGAAATGGTGGAAGTTTATCGATCGGGACAACTAAAAACTTGGAATCAGTACAAATTTCAAAAGCATATGTCGACTTGGAACATCACCTACGACGAAAAAGTTTAGGGTTCAGAAAATGCTTGTCCGCACAATATTCTCCTGAACACGCACACATAGCCTGCTATGATTATTGTTTCATTCGGTAATGATAACTACTTGCCTCTTTTTGCTCTTTTTACCTTTCCAATAATGTATTTTTGTAATGCTCTTGTATTTTTCCTTCTTTTCAGTGGCCTCTAATAGTCGCTGAAAGTGTACCCATGATTGTCATGCCTGTATTCACATAGCACAAAACGCTGAACTTGGGAAATTGGAGTTACTGTTTTTGTACCATTAACGGCCCTAGTTTAATAGGTACTTAGTTAGTATTATAGTATTACCATTAGATCAATGTTTTAATCTCGCAGGCTATATAATGGCCTACGATCCCACTTTTATAATGCTCTTCTAAACTAGCTGCTGTGCCATGCATGCTAAACGGCTCATGGCTCCAAGCCTCTACAATCGCAAGAGCTAGCGGTAAGGTTGCCAATCTATGTATATAGCTAGACTATTCAGCGACTAGCCCCAGTCATACCGCAGGATTCACCGTCAGACCGAAATTGGTTGAGAATTTTGAGCTGGTACCGTGCCGCACGATAAATATCACGCCCGGGTGTAGCTTGCAGTGGATGGCTGATAAATTACTTAAGGTCAGTATTATGCGGTTTTGGTGAGGCAGATTTCACCTCTCTAACGGAACAAGACAGAATATAAACATTTACATCAGATGTTCGGCCTAACTAGACTAGCTCGGCCTTGTAAATACGCAATGTTCGTGCGGGGGATGATAGAGCTCGATTCCCCAAAAGAAGTCAGCTTTACAATTTTGATTCTAAGTTAGGCATAAAGTCCATCAATTAGTTAGCTACGCCAGTCGACATCGCGCGGTACATCAAGACTAGAGGGGTCATGGCCATGGAGAGCATAAGTCTAAACTAGCTAAAAACTCGGGGAAGCCTCAGAACCTTGATAATATAATGCTGCGCTACAGTACTATATGCCCAGACAATCTCAAATCGACGCCTTGAATAATTAATTCCTGGTTCCGGCCACGTACCGGTCGATCGATTTAGATCAGAGCTCGGAGCGTTTACGTAGCTAAAGGCTTTAGTTTATTTGGTCGAATTCGCCATTAATTTTGACCACGTGCACATGGTTTTCATATGAATATACGCGCACTACCCGAGCGTAAGCATCTACATATTCTATTTCGAAGCCATAGAATCGATACTCTAGCCTATAGCCTACCACCTATTGTATTAGCAAATTATATTTCGGCCTGAGCTGAGCCCGAGCGCTAGCTTCACTGCAATGCCAGACATTTGAGGTACCCCAGTAGCGCCTGTGTAACAATCCCAAGTACCCCAAAAATTCCAACAGTTTATGTCGATAAAAATGCGTTGTATGACTTCTCGAGACTCTCGAGGATCGCCGCCAAATTCGACTATATTAGCAAGAATTTGATGGAAATGATTTACTTACGCATATATGCATATAAGCCCACTTTCATATGGGATTTCTGCTACCCATCGCTTCTGCGCGCTTGTTCATCGCACAGCGCCATATCATCAGCTTATCGATCACAGCCGCTACAGCCGACTCACACAATGATAGTACATATAGCCTTCCAATTTTCCGAGGGAACAAAGATCGATATCCTCTCACCCCTCCCTTAGACTTTACTTTATATAACTGCCATGCTATAATTATCACCTTTCTTATTTTTTGGAATCTGTCTGCAATCTAAAGATCTACGACCAATATATAAATTGATCGAATACTAATTAATACTAACCTTTCGGCGACATCGCCTCTCTATCGGCACCTACTTTATCCCACCAATCAATCAATCAACAATATAGAACTACGAATCTAGAACATTACACCTTTCCCTCCTACGAAGATGGTTAGGGCGAGAACGATTTTCCTTATCCTTGCTGGAGGTATTGCTTGCAGCGGAATAGTAGCCCTTTGTGCTGTATTTGGTGGTCAAACCGGGAAGAAAGATGTTGTGCCTAATGCACCTCCTTTGAAGAGCATGATGATCCCTGGTGGCGGTATCGCAGGGATTTTTCCGGGAGACAAAATTTTCGGAGAAGATGGGTCTTTGAAGGGTGGGCCGAAATTCGAAGAGAGTATCATTGTTAAGGATGGGGTGACGAGGACTTCCACGGGGACTCGGATCATAGTGTCTACGAATACGGCTATGGCTTCGGCTAGGAAAGGGGAAACGTCGTCTAGTTATAGACATAGGTACATACCGACGACTTTGGAAAAGGTCATTAGATCTTCTACGACGACGGATGCTGCGCTATCTGAAACCCCTACGCTAACTAATGTTCTGGAACATGATGTTACTGAATCTCAACCGGCTGTAAAATCTACCTCTGAAGCCGTAACCGCCACCGAAGCACCCCAAAAATCTCGAGAAGCACCTGAAGAAGAGCCCCAAGAAACAAGCCGAGAGATGCCTAAGGGAGAACCTCAGAAAACGGGTCAGGGAGCACTCGAGAAAGAACCGCAGGAGACATCTCGGGCCGATACACCTAAGGGGGCACCTCAAAAAGCACCAAAGAAAAAACCACAAAAAGGGACTAAGGAGGAACTACAAGATCCCCACGAGAAATCCCATGTACCATCTGAGGGGGTATTCCAAGAAGAGCCTCAAATGATACCTCAAGAGGTGCCTAAGGAGTCAAGTCAAGAGGTACCTCACGGTGAACAAGAGGTGGACTATTTACCAGATGAAGAAACAATGACGGCCCCCAAAGTTAATCCGGAAGACCTAGAGGATGTGGAATCCCAACCCGAACTGGAGCCCGCTGGGCTTCAATCTAAGACAGAACCCGAATATGATCAAAAACCTGTGGAAGAATCAACTACAGAGTTGGAACCAGGTCTAGAAGAAGAAGATCCAGTACTCGCCGATGCCCGGAAGGGGGCTTCCAAGGGACCCCAGCCCTATATTCTTGGAACGACAGAACCGATTACGAATGATGACGAAATTATTCCGAATTATTTTACCAAAGAAAAGGGAAGAAAGTCAAGCCAGGAGATGGAAGAGCTTAAAAACGATATCGTATTCTAATTTTTAATTTTTTATTCTTTTATCCCTTACGACCCATTGTTGACTGACATTTATTATCGCATATAGATACCTAATCTTAATGGGATTTTTATCCTTATGTATTTGAAGTTTTAAAGACATCGGTGTATATAATGCATAGCTTCGGCGTTTTCATGGAATACCATAATTGCAGTTTCCTACGGGGCTCAATGAATCCTCTTGGAATTAATCCGACGGGTTTGGGGGAGGTTTTAGAGAATGATGCCGTTATACTCTCGATAATAAACATTATTCTCTCGGAATCAGGAGTTGAGCACCTATAGTATCTAGTGATCTACTGTTACATTGTGCATATCGTAGTTAATATATCGCGCCTGTACGTTAACACCGCGAATCCCCTCCCAGCACTGCGAAGCGAATATCGATGGCTTCTCTAGGACCGCATACCAGTCCATGCATGGCCAGTAGAACGAATTCCCAGGCCCAGGCCTACTGTTAACCACCAGAACCGCATTGCAGATTCCAACTCACACGTTCAAGTCTACTATTGCTTTCCGCCGCAATTTAAACCCCTTCAACATGGGGAACAAATGGCTCTATTTCCTCAGTTACTTGGTATCGATAGTTACGCTCCTAAAAATGGGGTCTCCCGAATTTATAGAAGCATTTGTTCTAAACCTCGGGTCTCATTAAATCCAAGTATACGTTCACGATCGAACCTGCGGCGTGAATGGAAAAACTCGAAGTCATGAAGGAGGAGGGCACCTACGATCCAACGCTCCGCCTCGAGCATCAATCCTCACCGGAGGAAAAACGACATGAAACCCTTCGTATTGGGTTCACATACACCCTTCTAAATGTCGTTTCTGTTGTCTTAATCCATCTTTTACTCGCCCCTATCCTCGCACCGCACGATTTTAACCAAGCAACAAACTCGAAGACTGGTATGGTTGTATTTAAAATATTCTGCAGTATATGGACGATGATTACCGCGTTTTATAATTGTATGCTGGGGGCTTTTGGTGTTAGATGGCTTCATAAAAAGTGGGAGAAAGAAGAGGCGGAAAGTCATTGGAATAAATATAGAGATTCTAAGGCTGAAGAAGGGGAAGAGGAGGTGGTGGAGGACAGTGAGGATGGGAAGAGTGAAGAATGGGATCAGAATGGACCTGGGTCGAAAGTATGGTTCGCGAATAATAATCCTTATACGGCGGCAAGACGGACACATTCAGGACATTTTGCAGCGGCGAGGAGGAAACAGAGGATATCTCACCCCATGGAACAATATCATATACACACTGAACACGAGCCGATTATGGAAGAAACTGCGGATGGGGACATAATTAAAACGGGAAAGGAGGGCACCGCCCATTGGAAAGACCAAAACGAGGAACGAAGGGTCAGTTTTCCGAATTTGAAGAGCCCTGGAGAAGGAAGCGTTTCGAGGCATGCGGAGGCCTATCCGTTTCCTAAAGACGAGCTGGATACTGCACCGAGTTCTACGACTACATGGTCAAATTCTGCAACATCGGCCGGGGAATTCGCGAGGAAACGGAAGAAGGGGAAGAAAAATGGGAAGAAAAAGGACGTAAAACCGAAAGACGGGTTTACTTGTAGCTCTCCAACCTGCAGGAAGGCGAAGTATGCGGACGGTCAAGGAAGCTCTGGGTCATCGAGTTGGGATACCTGCGCTCACTGCAGCTCTTCATCAACAACGTCATGGGAAAAGAACAAGTATCCCAAGGATAGAAGAGTGATGAATCCAGATCCTCAATCTTCAAGTGTATCCGGAGAGGGCTCTTCAAAACAGCAGAGTGACAATTCGAAAGACCAAGACGCAGTTGAAGACGGCTCTGACAGAGAAGATAAACCGGAGAGGAAGCCTAGCCAGCAATCGAAATCCGGGGTCTCATCTGATCGGGAAGAATCTGAATATGAAACCGTTCTTGAACAAACCAGGATTGTGAGAGATATTATAACACACGGGACATACTATGACCAGCAGGCAGCTTTGCAACATATGAATACAGTCATCTGGTCTGAAGTTGGGGGCCATATGGAGAAGCAAGCTACGGTACAAAACCCAGTAACCCCTATTGCTGAAAACTCGCAAGAGGAAAAATTAAAGCTGTCACGATGGTGGGATTTGAGGAGAAGAACCCCGTCTTCTCAGGCCGTCGATATCGAGATGGTTGAATTAAAGGAGCCCCAGCCGCCCAATGCACAAGCTCCAAACATTCATAAAATCAAAGAAACTCGCAGAAGGCGGTTTTTGGTTGCCTTGATCTTAACTGCTTGCATTATCATGACATTATTTCCACCGTTCATTGCAATAGGCGGTGATGTCGTCGCCCATGATTACCAATTCCACCATGCATGCGACCAAATGCGCTGGGATATTAAGCTAGATGCTTCCGGTCTCCACCCCGAGCAAGACAACAGATTCAACAGAGCCATCTTTAAAGACAGTCGGGGAAAGGGTTACGAAAAGGAATTTATGATGAACCTGGAGGGTATGAGCACCTACGGAGGCGGTCTCGATCTATCTCTTGTCAGCCAAAGAAGAGGCTACGTTTTCTACCTCAGTAAAAAGGACCTCGCAAACCAGCCTGACGGAGGCGAATCTGTGAAGTTCCCGTATCCAGTTGTAGTTGCGTATGACATGCTTAAACATGCTTATTACGCCCATCATGATATCTGGAAAGATCTCAATGACGAAAGCTTTTTTGATAACGGGGCATTCATGAACGGGACATTGGGAATTTTCCCCAGCGAGGGCATTTGGTTGGAAAAGAAGGAAAGAGACGGATATTGTGGCCAGCCAAAGCGAGTTTTGAAGAACGGAGCAGACCAAAGGATTATTTGGACAGTGGTTGACGATCGCAAGGATTGCACTATGCTCAGGGTTTGTGCTTCGAATAAAGCCACGAGGCGCCAGGTTGTGATTGCAACGGGTATGATTCTGCTTCGGCTAGCCCTGTCGGCAACATGCTGTTCGGGCAAGGCAGCTGGAGATTCGGGACCTGCAGGGACCTAAGGCCATGATGTTTAATCCAGTTGATATAATACATAGCTATAGCTATAGCATGTTCGGAGTATTAAAGCTTGAAGTTATGGTTATACATCGTTCGTTGAGTTGCATTTAGTCTAGTTTAGTTTAAAAATACCAAGTTAACATCCAAGGCCAAGCGTCGAATATAAACCACTCACCTTCGAATTCAGTTTCCCTTACATTTAACCCAAGACGGGCTTGCGATTTTTTAGCTAATGCGAGCTGGTAATGAGGAATGCAAATGCATGGGTTCATGCAGAAATCCCACCTGCCAAGAATTCTGGGTTGTCGGTGAACTGGGAAGGTTCGGAAACATAAGCCATCCGCCACCGAGCGAATTGCACCGCTTGTTTGTGCACATGCGAAGTCGCGTTCTCGTCGACCCGTTCCTTTGGCTTCCATCGCCAGTATCACCATCCAGATTGAGCTAAAGAATGCATCCGGGGAGTAATTTTGTCGGTCGTTTCTGCTTCACCCTGCCATTCGCTTTTGCTATCTTCTTCCTACCAAAACTAGGTACCATCGCTGCATAGAAATATAAATTATCGATGCTGGCAAAGTTATCGAGCTTCGGTTTCATTCCACAAGGTCGACCACGCATCCGAGATAGATTCGCCCCACCTAGTTACGTCGCCTACTTGGTTTTCATGATGCTGTATGTGTGGATCTTATACCCCCTTCTTATGAGGTTAGCGTGTGGGAGATGCAGGTTGACACTCTTGTTTTCCTTCTGGAGATGCATATTAACGTCGATATCGATACAGTATCCTTGCTTTAGTTCTCCAATATTTGTTCGCCCTCGCCGATGGGCATGGTCCTCATGGAGACGATGAAGTAGAAACTGGTCCCGTGAATGTGGCACTTGTGGAGTTCACAGCATCGGGTCACATCGGCAAATTTGTACAGGAGTGGCCCGAAAAAACTGGATTGTCAGAATACCCATCCAGCTTCACTCGGGGCATCGAGCCGGTAAGTATCTGACCTGAAAACTACCGCACCCATGGCCAATCTGCATGTGGTTAACACTTTGAATGCGCTGCTTATTTATGGAAAACTGGATGCTGATATGTGATTCTTGGTGCAGAAGAATATCCACTCGCACAATGACTATTGGCAGAAAGTGCCTTTTTACCAGGGTGAGTCCGGATCAGATTGGAAGTCGTCTACAGAAAGGGAGGTGGCTAACTTTATATTGATTTCCAGGGCTTTCTGTTGGGGCGGTCTCGACCGAAGCTGATGTATGGGCACACGATGGGGGTCTTCTGGTAGGTACAATGCAGAAGTTCTGCTAGATGTGTCGATTCTAATAGGAGTAGGTCGGCCATGAAAAAACTGCTCTCGATGCGAAACGTACATTTAGATCTCTCTACATAGACCCAATCGTAGACGTTCTTGAGAAACAGAACCCGGTTACCGAATATGTCAACAATACTCGATGGTAAGTTTGATCAGCAGACCTCCCTGACAGCTTCGTTTCATGAAATTAAAAAAATTGTTTTATTAGTGGACCGTTCGATGAAAATTGCTTCCAAACTCTTTATCTCTGGGTCGATCTTAAGACTGGCGCAAAAGAAACGTGGCCATTGGTCGATGCTCAACTTGCCCCCCTCCGCGAAAGAAATTGGCTCACGAGATGGACTGGAAAGGTCATAATCCCTGGACCTGTGACAGTGATTGGGACGGGCAGTTCGAACTGGGAGGTCCTTATTGCAAATAAAACTCGCCCGAGAGACTACTTTGTCGATGCTCCTCTTCTGGACATTGGGACCAAGTCTGAGCAAATGCACACAGACGGGAAAACTCCACTATACGACAGCGCATCCAGCCCTTTTGCCACATCCAGCCTCATCACAGCTGTCGGACCCATCAAAGGGGAACTGAGCGAGAAACAGTTGAAGAAGATCGAAAGCTTGGTGAAGGCTGCTAAGGAACGGGGAATTTTGACGAGATTTTGGGAGACGCCGAATTGGCCCACCCGACGAAGACACAATATATGGAGACAGCTGTTGGATGTACCGGTCGGGTTATTGAATGTCGACGATCTTGAAGATGCGGCGTATGGCGACTGGTAGATATTCAATTTCACATCGTTTGGTTTACGGGACAAATGAATAGACCCACATGGCTAGTGGATACAAGGTCTCTTTTGGAAAAGGTTAAACTTTAGAATGGAAAACTAGCGCTATAAAGGTACATTAGAGAAACCAAGTATCACGCTTTTTTAGTGTAGTAATTGATAATGAATTAATCACGAAGCTATATAGCTTGTAAAAGTCTTGATGTACTATCAAATATGTAATGCATACGTACTAGAAGATTGGATCGGATCCACAATCCGGGGTTGACGGCCTCTTCTGGAATTTAGTCCCGAATGAAAAGAAAGCCTTGTTCATCTGATACTGCAATGAAGCAATTTCACATTAATACGACATGACAAGGGGACCACGTCTCTAGTCGCAGACTAGCAAATGCACGAAACCATGTTTGTTGGCGCTTGAAGGTACCAGCCTCAAGAAAATTCAGGAGCTCATTTCACATGCACACTGGCCCAATGCAATCCAGAGAAACAGAGAAATCCCTAAAACTGTTTGGTGGTAACGTGCTGACCACGGCCACGTTGGCACAAGTTCCAGTAGTTCCACTACTTACCTAGTATAGCCTAGCACTAGTGATCCAACACAGCAGGGCTTTCCGACTGCCACTACGTGCTAATCGCCCACCCAAGCTTTTTGGGCCCAGCCGGCTGGTTTTCCCCAGCGCCATCCAACACTCCCAAGGGCAGACCGCATCGTGTATTGGCCTTACCAGTCCGGCGCATCCATATAGACGCATTTGTGCTGGTTCCAACATCTTGGTACCGACTATGCAATGTCCGTTACACAAAGCTTCTCAGCATAGGCGCCAGACTGGGACGCCGGTCGAAGACGACACTGTTCCAACAAAATGCAACACCATCATGATCAATGCATTACATGAATCAGAATATATCCCTCGGATCTGGAATTTCTAGGGGAAATTCATGTATCCGACATTTGCTCCGGCTTTGCCAATTATCTGGCCAGTTCACTATCAGGCTTACCCCTCCTTAGCTCGAATTGCTGATTTGGTCCCCACATTGCTTTAGTCGTCCTGCCAAAAAAAATACGCTAACGTAATGGAAATGTCCGTCATATTTTTTTTCTGGGGGCCGGGATCATATCAATCACTCAATTTCTTGCTGTCAACCTGATTCTTCGGGTCCTCGTCATTTTTGATCTGAATCAAACGGGTGGCCCTTGTTTGCCGTCCGCTAGCGTCATTTGGACCATGCCTATGGGACCCGAACAATTCCCTGATCACCTTCGTTATCACCAAAAACGAAAGGGCTAGAGGTAGAGCAAGCCATATGCGCTGGCAGGAAACCCTTTTCCAGCGAAAAGTGGAGAAAATTTTAAAGCGGTCCCCATCTCAAGTTTCGTAACTTCAACTTCAAGATGTTCTTCTTTTGTGTGGAACATGCGCACGTTTAGCGCGCGAGCCAACGACAAAAAAGACACAAGCTGCATGTTCGGGGTTTGCTTCTCACCCTCTGTTATGCGGGTATTACTTTGCCTAAACATTTTTTTGTCATCATTTTCTTTTATACCTTTTTTTTTTCTTTCTGAAAACTAGTTCGACAAAGTCACGAGAATTCTCCTGCAGATGGAGGTAGTAAGAATGAGGGGGTGTATCCACAGTTGGGCAAAAGAAACCTGGTCAGCTCGACCGCCGGTCGACTCAGCTTTGCAGGAAATATAACTCCGAACGAGCATCGATTATGCTGCTCGCTGCAATGAGAACGTTTCCACAATGAAATTGTTACAATCGTCTACCGACACCCTGTACGTGCATATGGCCTGACGATGAGGATCCATACACCTGCCGCGGATGATACATGGTGCTTCCGGACCTGTTTGGGAGAATGCGCAGAAGAGGCACAGAACAAGAAAACCCATCCTAGTTGCTCTTTTCCGACCGCTTCCCTTACTACATAGTAGACGTGGAGGCATATTTCGACCTATAATACCCTGTAAAACAAGCATCCAAGTTGACATGCAGCTGCCAAACAATGGCAATGTCAGGTAGCCAAGGTATTATTTTGGATGAATATTTAGCCGAAGATAATGATGTCCCTCTGCTATTTCGTTTCGCGACGGCTAGCCTTCGAAATAGACGCTAGAAGAAAAACCTACACTCCACACCAGCACCCTCGCATATGCGCGTAGTTGTCACAAGTGGGCATAGCGTGTCTACCTAGGATCCATCGGAGCCCACTTTGCCAAAGAATTGAAGGGGAAGAAGAAGAAAACAATTCTGGAAAAGTAAAAAATAGAATTCGTGATAGAGAGGCAGCCCGGCTGGCCATTCGGATAGCCCTTGTCCCAACAAGTAGGACGATACCCCACTAGCTCACGGACTGGCGTTCGTCCTAACAAAATATGAAATGAAACAGTATCTTCTTTCATCCCTTCTTGCTTTTTTTTCTCAGCCAAAGCTGCTGCGATGACATGGCCCGCTCCGGGATGAGGTCCTTCAGTCAAGCAGCTTATAAAAGCGAACCGATTGCCGTTAACTTAGTCGCCGATGAAGCTGGAAAACCTGGGATTCGGAACTATAATATAACCTTTCAGCCGGTCCGCTAGCTAGCCTCTAGACCTGCCACTTCACATTTCCTCCTTATATTCTTATATTTTCCCCATTCTCCTTATTTTAATATCCTCCATCCGATCCGTGTTTTGACGGCTCAGGTCTTCCCAGACCTTTCATTCTTTAATATCCTCCTAGTAACCTTTACCAATCCCTTCAATATATAATATACTTTCCAAAATGGTCTCCAAGGGACAGAAGAAGATGTCCTTTATTAAAAAGGCCAAGACAAAGGCCGCCATCAAATATAATACAGTAATGATTGTTGGAGTTAAAGTCTTTATTGCCAAATATCTCTCCCATCAGAAACTCAAGACTGCAGACCTCACCGGGAAACTAGCCATAGTCACCGGAAGCAATGTAGGATTGGGCAAAGCAACGGCTCAGCATCTCGCAGAGATGGGGGCTACCGTATACATGGTCTGTCGCAACGTGGAAAAGGCCGAGGCAGCAAAGCAAGACATCCTTAAGGCTGTACCAACGGCATCCCTCCACATTATCCAGCTCGACACGTCGACACTGGATAACTGTCACAAATTTTGTGAAGACTGGGCTGCCAATGGTGGGAAGACTATTGACATACTCTTCCACAATGCTGGCATTGGATGTCCTCCTACCTCGGACAACCCTTTCGGCCCCGACGGCTTCGAACACATGTATATGACGAACTTCCTCTCCAATTTCATTCTAACACATGGCTTGGAACGATTCTTCGCACCAGATGCCAGTGTGGTTATGACATCCTCACCCGGTGTCTATGTCGCCGACTTCTCTCATGATTTTGCAAAGCAGTCGACCAAGAATTTCATGGAACCAGGCTACAACTATGCCAAAGCCGCCCACCCAAAGCCGGCTTATAGCGTCGTGTATAGCAGTGGAAAGCAGATGCAATTAATGTTCGCAAAGAATTTGATGGCGAAGTGGAAGGCGGAAGGCAAGGGATATATAGCCCATGCTTACAACCCGGGGTATGCTGATTCCGACTTCTTTTCGAAGGAAGGAGTCAAGTCAGCAAAGAGGAAGGACGACCCGATTTGGTGGCTCTTGACTACACTTAAGTCACCAATGCCGCCCGCGGAAGGCTGTAAGACCGGAGTTATGCTGTCAATTGATAAGAGTAAGAAGGTTACCGATAAGGCAGGGCGTTTGTGGGATAGAATGAAGTGGAGGTCGAGCCCTGTAAGTGTTGTTTTGCCCTTTTTGAAGGTGCTGCGAGTGTTGGATTGTTGGTATTAATTGTATTATGACAGGTCGACCTATACAATGACGACTTCCTCGAAAGGATGTGGGATAGATGGTGTATCGATACAGGTATCGAGTGGTCCATGCGCCCGCAAGAATCGACGACTGCCTCGAAAGCTAGCGTCGATGAATCTATTACCGAGAAGAAATAAAGGATGGCTCTTGGTTTTTCGAGGCGCTCTCTAATGCAGACCTCGAGTCGCGTTACGCTTTGGGAATCCTATCGTCTGGATTATCGAGACATACTTGAGACTCGTTACGAATTTACGACTATATGGCCTTTCTTTCAGCATACGATTCTCTTCTTTCTTCAGCTTTTCTTCAGCTTTTCTTCAGCTTTTCTTCAGCTTTTCTTTTCTTTTTTTTCCACTTAGCGTTCAGCTTTTTTAGCCTTCCAGCATTTCCTTTGCTTTTGGTTATTTTACCTTTCATTCCCCTTTTTCGCATTTCATCCCGGCAACAGGCTCCAGAAACTGTGTCAAATCTTTTGAGGATATATTTCCTATAATTTCCTCTCTATACATAATTTCCTTTTTATTTTTTATTTTTTATTTTTTATTTCTTTGCATGGTTAGCGATTCCTTACTTTTCTTCTCCTTCTTCTCATTTTTAGGAGGTACAACGGATTGGGTTCGGATATGGAAGGATGTAGGGTTTGGGATTTCCTTACATATTACTTTTCCTACAAGGCCCTGCTTATCAATACTCTGCATTTTTGGTTCAACATTGGTTTTGGTTTTTTTTTCTTCTCTTCCTTTTTTTGAAAACATATCAGCCCTGCGGGGGGAGCGCCGTAAGCGGACTCCGACACAATATATCTTCGGATAGCGAGATAATATAATCCTAGATTTGCGGCTTCAAACCTCAAAAAAAAGAGGTAATTATAAAGGAGGAATTAACTTATCGTGATTAAATTTCAAATAATCTATTACTAGTATGATATGATACATTAAAGACTAAAACAGGACGCCAAACTATCGGTGTTGATATAGTTATAAAAATACGTATTGAATAATTCCCACGAATCAAGGTTCAAATATACTCCTAATGAACGCCCGCTCCCTCGCTAAAAAGAAAAACGAAGTACAAAACTTGATGACAAAATAGTAATGCTAATACTTTTTTGGATGTGTATAAAGTTCGTAGGTAGCGTGTAAATCCTTATCCTCCTCCCAAGGATGTAGCGAACGAATGCGAAGAATAGAAACGAAAAGTAGGAAGGAAGGATTTTGGTTATTGAAATTTTTAGAATTGGCGAAACGATTAAAAGAAAAAAACAAAAAACAGAAACGCCTTTGAGAACGCCGGTGAGGATATATGTTTGTTGGATTATTGTTAGGTGATCCTGATAGTGTGTTGGTAAGCTTTAAGGTGTGCGCGGAGGAATTGTCAACTCCCAAATGTTTGCGTCGGTGGGGCTGTTGACATAGCCTACAAAGTGTGGTGTAATATTGCATTGCCTCAAATTGGAATTTTCAAGGTTTCAGTTAGGCTTTTGGTGGAGGAATTCCTTTCTCGATGTCGGCTGGCTTAGAGAATGGGCTTATGGGAGTAACGTCATTTGAGTCGTCACCAACAACGATGGCAGGCATGGGAGCTGCTGGGGTGGAAAGAGTAGGGGTATCCTTCTCATCAGAAGCGGGATATCTTTCTTCTTCCTCGCTTTCATCGGATTGCTTTCTCTTGCTGCGGCCGAAAGGCTTCTTTGCGGCTCTCCAAGTGTTCCTAAAGACCCATCCGATAGGATCAAGGACCCAGCGAGCGAAGGTAGCCCAGATACGACCGATGAAGCGGACGAATGGGAGACAGAAGACCCAACCGGCACGGACAGCTTCGTCTGGGACGAGTCTGATGAGGACAGCCCATGGAAGTGAGACGGCCGCGCAGACGATACAGATTGCCCATTGGGTGCCATTAATACGAGTGATCGAGAAGGCGGCGCCACCAACGTACATGATGAGGACCTGGCCACCAATCATGATGCAGTTGATACCAATGAAGAAGTAGTTTCTGTGGATTCCAGCGAAGATGTTGAGCTTGTTATCGAGACGACGGTTATTGAACTCGTTGAAGATTTGCATCCAGACGAAGGTGTTGAAGACAATAGTATTGAGTTCGTTCATCTGCTCCTTGGTAGTGTAGCCTAGGATTCTAGCGCCAGCGAAGTAAAGAGTGAAGGTAACCACAAGTTGGAAGATAGCTTGACCAATGATCATCTTCCACATACGAAGAGTGATGAGTGGTGCCTTCTTGCCGGCTGGCTTTCGGTCAAGGATTTCTGGGGTTGGAGGGTCGGTGGCCAATGCAAGAGCAGCGAAAGTATCCATGATGAGATTTACCCAAAGCAATTGAACGGCGGTGAGAACTGGCTTCATCTGATCGTTGGATACGGCAGAAACGAATGCAAGGAGGACGGCGGTGATGTTGACAGTAAGCTGGAACTGGAGGAACTTCTGAACCGCGTCATTGACAGCGCGACCCCACATAGTAGCCTTGACGATGGATGAGAAGTTATCATCCATAAGAATGATAGCGGCAGCTTCCTTAGCGGTCTCAGTTCCAGCGATACCCATAGCAAAACCAACATCAGCAGCGTGAAGAGCTGGAGCGTCGTTTGTTCCGTCTCCGGTACATGCAACAGTTTCTCCGAGGTCCCTCAGTCTACGAACCAAGATACGCTTGTCTTCTGGAGAAGAACGAGCTAGGACTTGAAGGCGAGGAAGAATAGCGTCCATTTCTGGCTGTGAGAGTTGACGGAAATCGGGGCCTTCCATAACGACGCCACCCTCACTGTAGATACCGCATTCGGTGGCGATGGCTTTGGCTGTGACCACGTTATCACCAGTGACCATTCTGACGGTAATGCCAGCTTTTTGACATTGAGCAACAGCAACTTCAACACCTGGGCGGAGAGGATCTTGGATACCAACCAAACCGATGAAGACACAGTTGTTAAGGATGGAGCCAAAATCAACGGCAGAGGCATCATCCTCGGAGAACTTTGCTTCTGCTGGTGGCCATTGGGGGAAATCCTTGTAGAGCATACCGATCGTACGGAGTGACTTCTCGGCGTAAGAGTTGATAAGTTGTTCAACTGTAGATCTGTCCTGAGCGCTGAAGGCGATAGTCGAGACATCATTCGAGGAGGAAACATCAGCAAGGTAGTGAGAGGCGGATCGTAACATGATCTCAGAAGCACCCTTGACTAAAAGGCGGTATCCAGAGGCGGTCTTGATAGCGACACCCATACACTTGCGGCCAGAATCAAATGGGAAGATCTGAACGATATTGACGTTCGACCGTTCTTCGGCAACTGGCTGCATCCCAAGGAAATCGCGAGCGAATATCAGAAGGGCAGTCTCAGTCTTGCTACCAATGAATGTCTTGACACCGTTCTCTTCACCCTCAAATGCCGTGGAGTTGATTGCAATGCTCTTAACCAAGAGTTCTTTTACTGCTGGGGTAAAGGTCGAGACGATATCAGTAATCGACCGATGGGAAAGCTTCTCTTGAAGATTTTCGGTCGCAGCGAAGCCCTTGCCAACTCCAATGGTACCAGCGACGACCGTCATTTGGTTGGTGGTTAAGGTTCCGGTCTTGTCAGAGCAGATAGCAGTGGCATTTCCCATGATTTCGCAAGACTTCAAAAGTCTAACCAAGTTGTTGTCCTTAAGCATCCTAGTTGTGGCAAAGGCAAGAGCCAACGTCACAGCGAGTGGAAGACCTTCAGGAATAGCAACGACGACGATCGTGACGGCAGTGATGAGGATGTCCGTGAAGACCGATGCCTTTTGAGCAGGGGATTCATGGTTTCCAGGCAACTGCACAAGGAACTTAATCAAGAGGACGAAGAACAAAAGACCAGCAGCCCTATATTTCCGAATTAGCGTGTTTCGATATCGTTGTGATGCGGGATAAAAACTTACGAGCCACCAAGTTTGGCAATCATACCAGCCAAACGATTAAGCTTCTCTTGGAGAGGTGTAGCTTCAGCTTCCGTGCGGAGGGCCATCATGATCTTGCCAAAGCTAGAGTTAACACCAACTGAGGTAGTCATGTAGGTACCAACACCCTCGAGCACTTTAGCACCAGAAATAACGAAGGGATCCATTTTGGCAGTAGCAGTTCCGTTTCGAAGATGTCTCCAAACTTCCTCGCCGGGTGTCTTCTTCATCATATCAGATTCACCGGTCGCGCTGGATTCGTCGCACTTGACATTATGGCCCTCAACGAAGATACCGTCGGTTGGAATGAGATCACCGGGTTCGATGTGGACAATGTCGCCGACCATAAGATCATAGACAGAAACCAAGATTGATTTACCAGACCGAACAACCTTGATCTCTCTCGAGTCCTTCTTCTTGTTGAGCTTGACGAATTGCTTTTCCTTTTGATAATCGTTGATGGCCCCACTAAGCGACTTGTTAGAGTTGTTCAATCAATATAACATTAGATGTCAGGACACCACTTACACTAAGACGACAATGACAATAGCCACGATGATAGCAACACCTTCTATCCAATCCGCACCCCTAACACCACCTTCTTCTTCCTCCGACTCGGGGTGTTTACGAAAAGTTTCATAAAGACCAAGAGCTAAAGAAATAACCGCAGCTGCCGTAAGAAGTAAAAGGATCTCATCTTTGTAGGCATTCCACATAAGCCTCCAGAGTGGTGTCGCTTTTTTCTCCGGTAATGTATTATCCTTAAAAACCCTAAGTCTATCGGCATAATGGCTATTATCGCCAGAGTGAGGAATATGAACCGCTTGGCTGTGAGTTCCTTTCTTGGGTTCATCTTCACTGCTAGTAACAGCTTCGTTAAAACTTATCGGTGTATCGATGGTTGTCTCATCAATGCTTAAACCGGTTTTTAAGTCCGTTTTTAGACCCTTAGCGATACCAAAAACACCTCCCATAGCCTGGTATGCAGATAACGACTTCGGGTTTAGCATTTTATTGAGATGGCCCGGGGTAAATGCAAACGGATTATTTTCGATTTTGAAATCATCCTCTGTTCCCAAATCCGGTTTTAGGGCTTCCTCCGGGCTGACCCCGTCGAACATGCCCACGGAACTTGATCTAGGTCGTAATGTGGATCCGCCAATAGACGAGGCGGTACTATAATGTCGGACATGATGGGGCCCCGCTGTTAAATAAGAATTTGTCGGAGTGGTAGGAGATCCAAAACTCTCACTTCTCGAACGTCCAGTCAGAGAAGTATCAACGGGTGCTATTGTAAGATGTTGGTCGGTGCTGACCGTCAAAGACGGCACCTGTTGCGCCATGATCGATGGTATAATGTATAGCGGACGCTATGTATGTCTGTATGTATGTAGATATGTGTTGTCTGTTGTAGTTCTGTTGATAGATGTCGACTCAATTGACTGGCTGACCCTTGTTCGTTCGTTCGTTCGTTCGTTCGTTCGAACTTTGTGCAACGACTGGTCGACTGAATAAAGTAAACGCTTCGAATCTTTTGTCGAAGGCTCAATAATTATAGCTATAGATTTAACGCCGTTTCAGTTCTGGAGTTCAAGGCTGTTGAAATTCTATTTATGGTATTGTAAGAGGAAAAGGACGTGATGGCTAGGAAAGGGGTATATATCCAGAGCCCAGAGTGCAGATGCAGGAGGAGAAGATCGAGTTAAAGTTATGCAGGAAACGATATACGGGGACAGATGCAAAAGAAGGCTCAGACGGAACCTCGTCCTTTAACTAGCTGACCCTTTTAATGGGAAAAAAAGCGCAGGAGCTGTGCGAGTGAGGCGTTCTTTTGAAGTATCGGATATTTCAATAGCCGCGATCCTGCAGAAATGAAAAGGGCTTTGGAATATATAAACTGATCCCCTCAATACGTATGTAGAATTAAATACGATGACGAAAAGGAAATATGGACTGGGCATGCTAACGGGCGAAGTAAATTGACTGACTGCCTTGACCAGCTCTTGCTTGCGGACAGAAGAATCCAAAAGTGCTTTTGGATTGGCAAAAGTTGTGCACATGGTTTAACATCTCCACGTATCTGACAAGAAGGCTGTGCAAAAGTCTTGGGACAGGTAAGTAAAGACATTACGGACAGGGGGGGAGGCTGTTGGGTTTTCTATGATCTGGTTTGGTTCAGAGTAATTCCGCTTAATGAGCCTTTGCGGGCAGGATCTTTGGCCACCCATGAAAGTAAGTACAGTGCTCCGTACCTGTTTTCGATTTCGATTTCCAGTCGAACCCTTGCCTTATTACATTATTCCTCCAAATTATAAAAGAAACGTTAAACAGGATCACCAATAATTCTACCCTTCTAAGTTCTTGTTATTTTCTTGGTGCCAGTGGGGGGGAACTGGCCGGGGTTCAAAAAAATAAAATAAAATAAAATAAATAAGATTCTTGTTTAAACGACTCGATTCGAACAGGGCGCCTAAAAAGTTACACTCAACGCCCTCTCTCCACACTCCAAGAAATCGAAACCGCCTAGCTAAAGCTAAGAGCTGGCATCGCTAGCAAGATTTCAAAGAGCATGATAGTCACCCTTATTCTTTAGTCGCCTAGTTCTCCTTTGCTCAGGATCCTTTGGCGCCTACTTTGACAGCTAAGACCGCGGGTAGGTCTGGTCTCGAAACATTTATTCGTTTTCGATTCGTTGAACCTGATTGAGAGGATAGTTATACCATACCGTCCTCTTGCGATTGTCAACCTGCCAATGTATCAAAAAGTCTCTTCGACAGCTTCCTGAGCCGTTGATCTTCTGGACGGGCGGGATTTCATGATTTTACCGCCAAGGCTCTCCTTCCTAAACTATCCCTCTCACGATCCTCCAGAGCTCGCCCCGTACAGCAGTACCGAATACTATCATATGCATCGTAGCATCCAACAATTGGACTGCCAAGTGCAGCCAGCACGGATGTACTGTGTCGATTTTTCTTGGACAGGGACGGGCCTAGGCACATGCTATGCTTTGTCAACAAAACGGTTTGCAAATGGAAGCTGGTAATGGGAATCGACGGAACGGAAAGCTTGCACTATCAACCACTTGGGGTTAACGTTGAACTTCATGATCAAAACGACTGGGACAAAATGGACAAAATTCCCGATAAGCTTCACAGCCCCTCGGCCACCCGCGGGTTCTTGGAGGACTGCTTTCAGTTAGAATTTCTTTGATGTCTGCTGTTTCAACAGATGCCAGACCTCGCCAATTCTCTGGCTTGCTCGCCAATGCAAGACTAGTGACGCACTAGCATCAATCAATGAGGTCGGAACTCTCTATCTCGTTGGAACACACTTGGCATCACATATTCATGATCAATCATCGAACTGATTCTTGATTTCTGATACGTTCCACAGTGACCATCGATGCATCCAAGACGTGGGGAAAGAAAAGTCTAAGTCTACACAGCCTCAATCTACCCTGGAACTCACTCCATGCTTGCACGATTCGATATGCACACTCAAGGCCTTGGGAATGTTCCAAGACGTGTTCGATCACGATGATTATATTGCTTGTACTCTCGCCTCCATGTTAACGGTCAGAGGCCTAGAGGGGTTTCCCGCCAATACTTTTCTTACGTTACACCGTTCGATCCCGCTGCAAACTGCTTAAATCCTCGCCCCAACCTTACGCAAATGTGTTGAGGGTTTGCAACATTTGGTTGGCGTCATCAGCCACACGGAATTGTGGCTAATATGTGGCTGTGTCCAATCAACGCAGGTTTTCAACCAAGTGGCAAAGCATATACGTACGCCAGAGCCGGGCCTCAATACCTTATACATACTTATGTGTCCCAAGGCCCGGCTGTCCCGAAGAGCTGCGGCGTCGACTTCAGATGATACGTACCCACCCTATGATGACTCGCAAGGTGACTCGATCATTCCAGATCTTGAAATGGGGCGACGCTGTTGGACCATTCTGAGCTGAGGTGGCTAGTAACTGTGGCTTTAACACACATGGATAACCTCACAAACAACACAGCACCAGCTATTAGCTTTAGGCAGCTTTCCAAAGAGGAAAGAGAGCTCGTGAATATTGCAGAAACAGAAAGAAAAAACACCCTTGGCTTTTTTTTCAATTCTTTTGAGTATCTTGTAATCGATCTCTGTAGCTACCTAATCGTCTGATGTCCCCCTGATCATAACGGCGATTTCAAAGCTTTTTTTTCCTGTTATCAAGGTTTTTTTTTTTTTTCTTCCCAGTTCTTCGGGAATTTTTTCAAGGGGTTCCGGGTTGTAAACTTTTTGCACTGCCTCAGACAGAGTCTTGATACCCGCTTGGCCTGGTAGGTAGCGGCCACCAAGAAATCATCATCATAAAGCATTACAAATGTTTGTTTGAAAGATATGTTGACTCGCTGCTCCGGAATGCGATTTACGGACCTTCGGGGTGGCTAAAAGGTTTGACGATACATCTAAGCCCAGATCTTGGGCCCGACATTCAAAACCTAGATCGATCACGAAGGATCAGGTTTTCTCTCTTCTCTCGATGTCATCTCCACGTGTCCGTAAAATACGGGGAGATACAGGGCTGAAATATCCCTCTCTTTCTGGTATTCAACAAGAGAGCTGTGAGAATCAGGGGTGTCAGTTCCTCTCTAAGCCTTACAATATTACGAATCGAATCTTCGCAGCTAGCTGGACAGCGGGAGAAATTATGCTTATTTCCAAGCGAGCGCGAGCAGAAGGAGAAGAAGAATGAGGAGGAGGGTGGATCAAGAACGAATGGCAAAGGTATCAGAATACGGATCTAGCACGGCGCAACTATCGGCCTTCTCCTTCAGCTATCCTCCGACAGTATGCATATATGCACATCACTTCATGTTACACCGAAGGACCAGTCTAAAGAAACGGAAGCTGTGTCGATATATTTCCCTCATTATCCGCTGAAGTTGGGAACCCGTGAAAGAGGGCGCAGCAAAAGTCGGCATATGCAGGGGGCAAAACCTTCCCTTTTTCTTTGGCTGGAAACTTTAACATGCATCTCGCGATTAGCGATATCTTTTTTTCTTTCTTTCTTCTTTTTCTTTCTTGGAAAAAAAAAGATGGAAGTTACATCACATTCTCACGAAGAAGACCTTGCATGTTCGATAGAATTCGTTTTGGCATGATTAGATCATATTCAACATTCCCCACGGAAAACCTTAGAACAAAAGGAAAACGACACACTCCCCAACCCGCTCCTAGACACTATACAAAAAGAAACATAAATATCGTAAAATGCCTCGTCATGAGAATCAGCACCGCCCGCTATCATATGGTTTTGAACAATGAAAGCAAGTGCCAGGCTGCTTTCAGGGCTTTGATCTCCTTTGCGAAGAAGACAGCAATGAAAGAAAAGAAAAGGGGGATAGAGGGAAATGAGATCCCCCCTTCCTCAGTTATCCTGTTGCAAGTGCTTCTCGTTGACTAGGACAATCCTATATCGCGCTTCAGAACGGTTGAAAGCTTTGATGGCCTCATTAACCTGCGACATGGGGAAAGGATTGGCCCAAGTCTTGAGTCCTTGGTCGTTGACAAGCTGTAACATTTCCCTGATCTCCTTGCGAGAACCGATGCATGTCCCGGTGAGATTCCTGTTGGTCATCAACAGTGAAAATACGTTAAATCCTGGGAGGTTGCCGTCTGGTGCTCCGAGCTGCACGAGAGTTCCCATAGGCGCGAGAAGGCCGAGATACTCTTGAAGTGGCATATCGGTCGAGTCGACCGTGTTGAGAATAAGATCGAGTGTTTTCTCGTATTTAGTGGCCCAGTCGGGTTCGTCTTTGGTAGCGATGAATTTGGTAGCACCGAGTTTGAAGGCATCATCCTCCTTTGATCGACTACGGGAAATGACCACAGCCTCGGCTCCCAATGCTGTGAAATGCCGGATCAATAGAATTAGCTCATGTGTCTTACAAGAACTCAATGAGAGAAGAGGTTACCTTTTGCGAACATAACTCCAAAGTGACCTAGCCCACCAAATCCAATGATTCCGACTTTCTTTCCAGGTCCCGCACCATATCTCTTTAGTGGGGAAAACATTGTGACACCGCCACATAACCTTCAGAACGACGGGTCAGTATATCATTCCTATAAAATGGGAAAAAGACTTGGAAGCCTGGGCGATTAAGGTCTAGAACACACATTGGAGCTAAGATTTCCGAAGAAACATTAGGATATGGAGTCAGATTGATGGCGAAGTGTCCAGGAACACGAGCATGGTCTGCATATCCACCCATTGACCTGTCTCCATTCTTATGTCGCATATCATACGTTTGAACAAAGTTATTGGGACACTATAGAATACAATATCCGTTAGCTATAGTCATATGTTACAAACCCTACCGCAGGTTTCCATGAACCCAGGCAATGGATACATACGTAGCTCTCATTGTCAGTCTTGCAAAGATTGCAGTCCAGGCAGGAATCACTTTGGGCACCAACGCCGACTCGGTCGCCAACTTTGATACCAGTGACTTGGCTGCCGACTCGAACAGCTCGCCCGACGATTTCGTGGCCGACGACATATGGAAATTCAGGTTCATGCCAGCCACCCTTCAAAGTATGAAGATCAGTTCCTAAAGTTACGAATAGAATATAAATATTAGTATCATTAAATAAATACAAACACATATGTAAACGCGGCCACACGCAAACAATCGCGAATCAATGGTCATAAGGGCAGCTTTCGAGTGCATATATAATTTCGAAGCTGTAGGAGGCTGTTGAGGAGCATATATAGCAAATAAACATTTTACGTACCACACATTCCGCAATGGGTAACTTCAATATCAACATCGGTCTCTTCCCAAGCTTTGGGAGTAAAGGCCTCCCAAACAAGATTGCCGTCGGCTGAAGAGAGGTCCTTTCCGACCCACCCGTTGAAGGTTTCTTTGGCCATTGTACTATTTGAAAGTATTGAGACTAGACGCTAGCGTTATGTACTATAGCTCCGAGAGATATCCGGAATGATGTGTTGATGACGTTTGATTATGGTAGTATAAATGTAGCTGATGGTTTTCTTAGAATTAATAACGATTCGGTTCAATTGATGAACTATCGAAAAGAAATGCGATTGCTGGTTGATTGTGAATGTTTGGAAATTGTATTTTGTGATAGCAGGTCGAGTCCGCCCTTCATATAGAATTCTATAGATCTATCATGACTAGACTCGGAGCCAGCTCTATATATCTAACCACTAACGTTACTGTACAAGCTGGTCCGTGCATGCAGATATGATTCAATTAGTATAGTACTATAGCTATAGTACAATTGTACAAGGTATCTTGAACTCTAAGTTTATCACTAATATTGTAGAATCTTAAACTCTATTGGGAATTCCGCTAGCGTCTATAGGCCTGAATTCGAAAAGGCTTCTACCGGAACGTTGCGATAACGGCATTCGAATTCCTGGAAAAAGAAAGAAGGCTGCCTCGAGGCTGACGAACGGGATTGTACCGATGAGCTCAGTAAATCTAAGCGTTTACTGTGGTTGTATATGCTTAGTTCGATACATATACGTACATATACTCCGACCTACGGTGCGCGGCACAATCACAATATGCATATGCACGATAAGGTAGACGGTTAAGTCTTATGGAAGAAAACTTAAATAGTACCTATGTCGATGCATGAATACATACTATACTATGAGTAGGGGTATACAAACGGCCCGCACGGGTGAGCTTGCCTAAAGCGGGTCCGAAAGCGCCCTAAGCAAGGCTTATTGCGTCCCCCAGACTAAGCAAGTACGTCCCCCAGACTAAAGCGGGTCTAAACTATTATCTCCATTTTGAAAAGTGCCCTTTCTTAGCTTAGCGAGGGTTATTAATTGATATTTTCTCGCCACGCCGGTGACGTATTAGAAAGATCGGATATCCTTTTGCTGTGAGGTTGCAGATTGATCCATAAGCTAGAAGCCGGAATATGGAATGTACTTGAGCGTAGCTATAGAAGCAAATTATTTCGATTGAATGCCGACATTCCAGACATAGCATAGCTATAGGAGACTACAGACATGACATGGATAGTATGATTGGTTAGCTTCACGATGATGGTGCATAGTATCATCCGCGTCGGGTTAAACCCCTTCGTTAGTTCCATGTGGACCCTTGTTCAAACGTTTCGTCCGCTTGAGAAACCTTAAAAATCAGCCGGAGTTAAACGGCTTAGTCAGAACCATATCTCCATCCACATCACCACACCTTAATTACCACACACGTTTTTTCTTTAGAAAAAAACATCAGGATGAGATCAGGCGCGCAACCAGCTTGCAGACCTTGAGTTGGAATACACTGGTTTATCATAAAGCGGTTCTACCGATAATGATGAATAATAATCACAATCAGGTGCTTATCCCCGTTCGATTCTCCGACCTTTTGCGCGAGCGCGCGCGCGCATGTACATGTCAGTGGCTGTTTGCATTGTTGTACTTACAAAGCTTGTGTTCCCAGATGTGGACTCTATAGCATGTAGAAGAAGGTTGAATAATTAATAATATTAAGGATACTTTCCAGGTCTGGGTACGAGACAAAGGATACTTGAAGTTGAAGAACTTTTGTGCCCAAGACCAAGGCCGAATTGGCCGAAGCCAAGTCCAGACATTGCATTTGAACCTGCAACTGATCCTCGAGCACTTGCATGACTCTGTTATGCTCCACTATGATCGATACATGCAAGTACTTAGCAGAGTACGTACTTCTTATAACACATTTTGACACTGCATACCAACGCGCGCGCGCGCCACTATGGTACAAAACTACATACAAAATCCCGTAACTTATGGAAACTGATTCAAATTTTCTGTACGTTGCAGGGTTTTGCCACTTACTAAAAATATTTTTGGTACAAAATACATTATTTACGGAATATTACCACCTATTGTGTTTATCCCGGATTGAATGCTTACTGCTAACTTACAGGATTTAATATTTCCACGGGTATATATATATACAATGCCCAGATTAAATTTGGAGGTAACACTTGTGGCGGCATTACAAAAAATGGTACAACATACTGTCTAATTGTACTCCTAGTTCTAATATTTTGTGGTTAAACAGGTGAAAATAGTAATTTGATAATCCGCGGCAGCAGCAGAACAGGCCCCACTGTAGAGTGCATGATCCCGTGGCTTCGCGTTCTAGGGAGAATTGTTGGTGTTAAACTCTAGAAGTGCGGAGGTGATGGAGGAAGCGGTGAAAGTGGTGAGAGCGCCGAACAGCGACATGACACTGGGGAAAATGCCGAAGATGGGTAAAAACTATTAGAGATGATGAAACTTAGGGAGGGTGGAGATGCGAATGGACTGACTTATGGACAGAATTTAATAAAAATGAGGTGGCAGCTAGCCAATCAGAAGCCGAGAAAATGCACCAGCTTCAACGCAGGATCCAAGTATCCACATGCATAACCCAGCACTAGCTATAACTACCTAGGTAGTACTACACCATAATCAATTATTGGCCAATATATATTTGGTTTTTATAAACTCTTCAAAACTCTCCTATCCTCATCTCTCATCACTCAATACTATGGTATAAAATGACTTCTAAATTGGAACCTTTTCCTCCATACCCTATCTGCGGGGTATGCTCCTCCCGCCTTTCGTTGACCCAAGTGGGTTACAGACTTGGAAAATATCAAGAGAGTCGGAGATGTTGAAAAATGGCTCATTTCAAGGTTGAACTACGATGTCGTTCAGATGATTACGGATTCTCTGGTCAAAACCGAAGCCGTACGCTCTAAGCGTCGGGCAGGATTCCGGGGCCAGGACGTTGCTCGGCTGATCGAAAAACTCAATGCTATAAGATTTCACTGCTTTAAAAGATATCTGCACGGTTCCCCGGGACACTGGTCTTTCATCCTCCGAATGATGGGGGTAACCGATGCAGTCGGTATGATACCGAAAGGTAGAGGAACCTTGGTATGGCCTGATGAGGAGAGGTTTTTAAAAAGCGAGGTTCCATGGTGGAAGTCTGAACCGGGGTACATGGAAAGGCTCAAGAAGTGCCTGGAAATATATCCGGACGGGATGCGCTTCGAGAGCGATCAACAGCAGTACGAGTATTGGGTAATCCAGTGAAAGGTACCCGCCGGGCCCCTACGGAGGGCATGGCATCCGTTTCATGGCGCTAACCAGACTTCTTTGCGATGTGGGATGTTGAAATTGACGCTATTGATCAGATGATCGAAAGTGTAAAGTTTCAAGTACCCAGGACTAGAGAAAACACATGTACATTTTTGGCAGAATACATTAAACCGACCTGGTTCCTTCAGATTCCGGGGAAAACCTCCGCATCCACTGATAACCCCACTTTTCCTCCGATTCCGGTCCCAATCCGTGATACAATTCCTGGTGGAAATCCCACGCCCCATACCTCTCTCCCTCAAAAATTCGTTGATCCTCAACCGTCAGCCATACATCTACGGATTCAATTCTCTTAATGTCCGGCACCCACAGAGTTTCGCAATGCACGAGTTGGCGGCCCCCTCGGTTCCACTTCATCGTCTTTAGCTTCGGTGGCAGTAGCAGTAACTGCATCGCACTCAGAAGTTGACTAGTCGTATGTATCGAATCCGGTCCAACTTCAGCGTCAAGCTCAGGGGAAGTTTTCTCATGAATCTCGAGCGTTTTCAAATTCGTCAACTCGCTCAGGAATCCCATATCCTGTTTTGGTTTATTAGTGCGCCCGTAACAAATCCGGGTTGAGCAACAACCTTCGCCGAAGCCTGGGATGGTGGGCTTATCATGTACACATGGGTCGAATACCCAGATCCCGGCCTTAGACAACGTTAAATGGTCCAAGTTTGGAAAATATTCTTTCAATTCATTCAGCGTCTTGGGGAACCCGAGTTGGTGATGGTCTCCGCTTTCCAGGCTTAATTTCGTGATTTTAGAGGTTTGCGCTGCTACTGCTGACGCAGGATATGCGGGGGCTGCCATCGAAAACCAATTTCCTATCCTTCCAAAGCCAACAAACGTCTGCACGTTCTTGATCTCCAATTCCTTGATGCTTCCCAATAAACCCAAGACCAAGATGCGCCAGAAGTATCTCATGGAATCTACCGCGTGCCTATAGGAATGACCCTTGAGCCCTATCGAAAACCTTGAAAGAACCCGGTCGCCCATATCCTCCCTCCATAACCTCAGATCCCGGTTCGGCGAGTTATGCAGCCAGGACGCTCTTGAACCTGCCCATACTTCTCCTTCCGAGGAAATAATCTCCGACATTAGAAGATTGCGCACGTTGATGCTCCGCTCTCTCGGTAAGACGTAAGTATAGGATTGGCCAAAGGTACCGGAGTATTCATAAAACACTGGTTCTATCTCCACCTCGATATCGTCTAAGAAGGGACAATTCTGAAGCAAATAGGGGATCATATCGTATGCCCACGAATGCCTTACTCCGTTCCCCCAGAATGCCCGACCGCATACGTTTACGAGCTGGCTGTCGATGTGAACTCTTCTAATGTTGGAGAGAAGGGAGGGTGGGATTAAGAAGATGGATGGGAGGTCTTTGTTGATTCGGGTGACGGAGTCGAAGAGCTTGTCGATGGGACTGTATATCTTATGTACTGGGTCGGCAATGTGGAGAGACCTAAATTTTGAAAACGAGGGAAGTGCTTACCTGTTAGTATCCAGAATCGTTTTCCCTTGAACAAAATCGACATCGCGGAAGAAACATCGCGGAAGAAGGAGGAGAAGCAGTCGTATGGCTTGCAGAGTGCATGCTAAGGATTAAGAAAGGGTGCATTTATCATTCAGACTTTGGAAGTATTCCCGCTTGATAGTAAGTATCCCATCGGCGAGTGTAGTTATATTTGAAAAGTTGTCCAAGAATGGGAATCTTGAAGTCCAGGCTGTCGAGGATGAGCGGGTAACCGGTGGTATACCAGTCATAGCAGGCGCCGAGGAAGGAGAGGCGGTCATGTTGGTTCAGGGGCGTGCAGATGAGATAGAGGACGTCGAAGGGGAGATATATGGCGGGTTTGGAGTAGTTTGATGGCATTGATACTACCTGCATTGCTATGAAGATGGTCCTGGAATTTGATCACGAATCTCAATGGGATGTGAGATGAAGTCGTCTTTAAGACGCGGAGAACTTGTCTCAAATGAGTCTAACGAATCTCAACACATTGTGTCTCTTGTACCAAGGAAAAGGTTAGCTGATAAAGCAATATAATAGCTCTTTGCGAAAGAATCAAATTGACCGTTATAATTATGCCTGGTACAGAGCTTTATCTCGTAAAACAGAGCTTGACTCAAACACTTGATTGAGTATTAATAAGGCCGCTGTGTCGCCAATAATTCTATTACGGGCCGGGCCGGCCAGGCCGTTATGGCGATAGAACCCGCCAATTCAACAGGTCTTTAAGACTACATTTCATAGCTTGAATGCATGGTGAAGGATCAAGTGCAAGAATGAGGCGTTGCTCATCAGACTCTTTTTCTTCTGAAAGTCCCGTTACAACATACAACGTACAACAAGGCATATTGGAGAGAATACGCATGTACCTTGTGACGGCCTTCCCTGATATTTACTCGGACTCGTTGCAATTATTTGTCAAACACACTGGGTATTTAGGACTCTAGTAAGCACGGTTCAGGATAACCTGTCAATGCGATTGGGATCACTAACGAAGTGGTAACGGAATAGAAAATCGAAACCAGTTCCATCGAGATTTTCCTTTGGAATATTTATCATACGCATACTCCAGCGGCTACATTGCCTGAATATTCTCCAGACTAGATCGGTCCTATTCGGAAACTCTCTCTTTCCGAAGGAAAGGACGCACTGAAGCGTCAAGTCTCTGGTTGGGTAGTATCCTCCAGGGGAATCCAAAGACTGCCGATATCGTTGGCTGATAATTTCGACGGTCTCTCTTACCTTAGCCAGGTCTCTGAGAAGAGCGTACGGATCTGCCTTATCCACACTGTTGGCTTTGAAGATTCTAAGCATCCGGCTTTCTCCGAGGGATTTACTCTCGTACAGAGTCTTCCCGTAAGGCCCCGTCAGAAGTTTGTTCTTGACATCTTCGCTTTTGTAAGATTTGTCAATCTCCCTGGTCTCCCACCGGGATAGACTGAGGAAAGAGCGTTGGTATTCCAGTGTTGGATCGTCTCTCAATTTCTCGATGTATTTCTTTTTATGGTCAGATTATAAAACGCCATTTATGGGTCCCTCCAAGCCGGTGAGACGGTATTTTGGTGCCTAGTATTCACAGTATGTAAGCCGGTAAATCTATAAGCTCGGTCTTAAAACATGATAGGGAACTCGAAACTCAGGACTCAGTAATTTCACCATCGTTAGAGCTCCTCAGCTCTTTTGAATTAATATATTTTCATTGTTATTAACATGATTTTTTTCTCTTTTGCTGGCCCTCGAACTGGCGACATTATGGAAAAAAGGCATGAATGGAGAAGCGTGAGGAATAAACAGATCGAGGGCTAGTTAAATCGAAGCAAAAAAACAAAGGATCGCTGTTAATAAAAGGAAGTAGGAGCCGATTCCCATCCATATAATATCCCAGAATAGAAAGGAGGAATGAAATAAAGAAAAAGAGGAAGAAAGATGATGCCGATAGCTGGCGAAACAGCGACAGTAAACATCTTTTCTCGATACAGAGTAAGTTCCAGAACAAGCATTCGCATAGCATAATGTATAAACTGAACTCTAGGCGCAAGGTGGTTCGAATGGAATACCGTTTTGAGCCGTTTTGTTAATAGAATCAACTCGGTTGACTTCAATCATGTAGTCAATGAACTCCAATTGGCGGTCAATAGAGAAGGAGGAGGCCCTATTGGGACAATCGCACTCCTTGAAGTTCTTGCAAAACCCAAAGAAGCTGAGGCATTTTTTACCGCCATCGGGCCCGAATTGTTTGTTGGGTCTTCCGCCATTGAAGGTCGCGGATCTTTGTGGACAGTGTTTATAAAAGTGTGTAGGATCTCCACAATTGGTGCATGTCTTGACGCGGGTCTTTGGGGCGTGCAATCCAGTAGCATAATGTTCATACCGATGAGAAAATGGCCCGAAGGCGTGAGGGCCGGCAGCCGGGCCAAAGGCCCCTGGATGTTTAGCGCCTTGCCATTGCCCGGCAGGATGAGCGTGCCAAGCTGAGGGACCGACAGCGAAGTGTGGATGTGGCTGTGGCCCACCTTGCCAGCCATGAAAGCTGTGTGTAGCGGATGCCCCGAAAGCATTGTTATGCTTCATATACGGTGGGGCAAAGCTCCCAGGTTGAAAAGGCATTGGTGGTTTCTTAAAGGAATCGGGGCCTTTGATGGAGCTCGGGATGGCTCGAGTTACACCATTGATCGAGACTTTCGTCGTTTGCTGCTGCTGCGGCTTTTGCTGTTCTGGTTGTTGAACAGTAAACTTAGGCTCGCAGTCGCTAGGCACCTCGGTTTGTGGCCTTATCTGCCAAATGCTACTTGAGATTGAAACCCCACCGCTGGAATCGGGGCGGGTTATCTCATCGTCGTTGGCCAAAGGGGTAGACAATCCGTGAAGAAAGTGGTTGTTGTCAGGCGAAGGTGATTTGGTAGCAGCGTTTTCGATGTTGCTGTCACTATCGTTTTGATTGTTCGGCTTGGGGCTCCCCTGAAGAGAACGAAGGCCCTCCCCCGAGATGTCCGATGAGGAGATAGCGCGGGGCTCTGTTGAATGCGAGACATTTGTCAAACTTGCACTGAGGGTATCACTATTCCCTCCATCCTGGGAAGCGTTTGTCTCAGCTGATAGTTGACGAGGTGGAGAGACATCTTTTGATATGGTGATTCTCCGTTAGCCATGCCAAAATTTGATAAGATCGATGAAGGCCGGTTAGAAGCTTACGAACCTTTGGCTCCATTGTTCTGCTCGGATGGGCTGTTCGCCTGTTTGTTGGCAGCTCCAATAATATAGCTAGTATAAGAAGCACCTTGTGTTAGTATTTCTGCTGCTTCTAGTAGTTGCAAGTTTATGGTTCCTTGATTACCTTGTCAAGAGAGCTAAATTACTTTTGATCTCGGCAATATCCGCTGACTTCGAATCCAAGTCCAGCCTCATACCCTCCATCATAGAGATAATATGCTCTTTATGATTAGGGGAGTCCATCTAAACACGCAAGGACCCTCGGTTAGCCCATATTTCCCACCACGAAGTAGTATGGCTCGACGAATCCACATCCAGTCAAGAGTAAACTAGGATTAATAATGCTTGCCTTTGCTTAGTCTAGTGCCTTTGCTATTAAATTGCTCGAGAAGGATATCCTATTGATTAAATCGACACAGAAACGAATGTATAGATATTCCCTGGAGCAGGCTATAACATGCGAGTTCTCGAGAAAAGATCACAGGAAAACGAATGCAAGGGAGCCGATACTAATCTGCACCCCTTCAATGAAGAGAATGAGAGCTTCAAGGAGATAAGGAGCCCCTAGGAGAACGGGGGGTTTTATTTGATGAAATGGTGATAATGACGACGATGACGGTGAAGGTAGTGTGCGATGATAGGACGTGATGGTAGGTTGTGTGCGAGAGAAAAATAAAAAAATAAAAATTGCGGGAAGCGTTTGAGTCCTTATATAGACGTCAACACCGACCCTCCTCAGCAACAACACCACTGACATTCTTCCACTCACTATTCCCACTGCCATTGTATCTCGAAATAGTCCCAAACCCCTGGCAAACAGTATTGCCATGAGGCCTACAAAAATTTGGGGTATTTGGTCTCGGTACCAAGACCGGTTGGGTTTGGCTGGCAATACAGGTCTCCCTACCAGATGTTTGGAAGATGCACCGAGTATATATATATCCATACTGGAGCTTCAATCAGATGACGCGGGTTTCGATTCAAATATCAAAGTCCGTCGCCATGTATATTCACGGTACATGTACAATAGAGACTTGGTCCGAATAGCTCTGCAGGCGTTTAACTGTTCCGCTCTTTAGTATATTGTGTACGGGGATCAAAATTATACAAAGAGTCCGAGAGCAGCCTGAAATTTTGAGCTCTGGAAGGATTTGCAGCCTTCTAATAACTCTCCTTCCGTCTAATATTGTGACTGCTCTCTGCCATCCAAAATCTTCTTTCTATTTTCCTCACCCTCACCTCCCCAATCCCTCTCAAACCCACCGACCATCACATAACCTTTGGTACTCCTAAGCTGCCCCAAGGGACTCCCTAACGTGTCATTAACAACCAATATCTCTATCACACTACGAACGATGAAGTTCTCGATAACTTTCGAAATCACGTTCTGTCAAGCCGCCGGCGATCAAGGCCAGACGGAAGAGGGTAAGTTCGTTATCCAACTGCCTTGCTATTGGTTAAACTCCCTTGAGTTTTGCTCTTCTTTCTATATCTACGACACTCTTCTCCTTCCTCACATGTACAATTGAACAAAGACGTCCTTTCCTATATGTCCTGTATACACATGTCGACTCCGCGTTGGTTTCCGTTGCAGTTGTCGTCAACCAATAAGAACGCACCAAAAGAACACACCTTGCCCAATCAGGAAGTAAGCCACTAAAAATATTGCAACAAAGGCAACACAAAGTGTTGCTAGTTCAAGGCTGTTATAGGGAGTTTGCTAATATAGTGTTGTGAATTAATAGGGCGCGGGGATACCAAATCCTCAGCGGCCACCCCCCGCAAAAGCTGGCGGGCTAAAGCACGGGAGGTGTGGGCCCGCCTGAAAGGGCCCAAAAGGCAGCCGAAGACAGATGGGACGAAGGAGGGCATAGAAGCCCTCAGGCGAATCGTCGAATTGGAGGGGAGGTTGGAGGCGCAGGGGGCGGAAATTTTGGACCAGCTGGAGTCTCTCCAGACCCAACTCGACTCTATCCAGAGGTATTTTACTAACCTTAATATCCTAGATACTCTAGAATAATCTGGACTAATATACACATCATGGGGTTCACAGTCTTCTTTGGGCGACCAACACGAGGAATATCGAGACTAGCACGTGCAGCGACGATGATGCGGCCACCGGGGAAGGCGAGAGTTCGGATGACACCACGACTTCTGACTCCCAAGATAGCCAGCCCTCTACTGCTCCCATTTTTGGTGGGCGGCATGAGGCAGCTGGCCATTGGAGTGGAGGTCGGGTGCTCAGTCCGGACAGCCTTCCCGCTAGGTTCCGGTGCTGCCGGTCAGGGTCCTGCACGCATGATATCGCGGTTTCAGCGATAGGAGGCGTGCTCAGGCCAGAAGTCTCTTGGTCCAGCCTGAGAACCTACCGTACGGGGCTCTCTGGCGGGTCTGGGACGCCTGATAATACTGTCGCTCCGAACTCCAACTATCATTCTGCTAAAGGAGGTGCCTCCGGAGGGTAGGGACCCACAGCTTGCGACCTCCTTGGTCTTAGGTCTGGTGTCCCTAGTCCAATGGAGGTACTGAATGATGCGGATGGTAGCGGGGGGAAGGAGTGAACCGCAAAGTCAAGGTCGGGGAGGTAGATAAAAGCTTTTTTTGTTTAATTTTTCTCCTAGTCAGCTCTAGGGGGGTGACAATTGCAAATGTGATAGATGTTACTCTAGGCTTTTAATACCATCGACTGTGGAAGTCTGGTGTAATTCAAGTTCCAACTAAGATATCCTCCGCACTCCCGTAAAAAATTGCTAGAGTAACTAACACACGGAAGCTTAAACAAATATTACAACTAGTCTAGAAGCGGGACGGACCCGGAAGTATCCGTAGATAGGGCTCCTTAGCCCTCTGTAATCTATAGAGACCCTCAAACTAGAAACCCCCCGTTGACTACATACCCGCTAGAACCAAGAGACGGAAAGGCTCTCTGTAAAGTCATATTTGACAGGAAACGGTACAGTTTGGCATGCTTTCGCCTAAATTTATTATATGGCTCTTATCTCGCAAATCGCTTAGCTGCTGGAAAGGTTGCTTCTGGTTAGGTTGTAGACTCGAGACTAGGTTGTATATAATTTGATCAGGTATCACATTCGATTAGGTATCACATCTACATTCCTAATTTTTTTTGAACAAAAAAAAGATATCACATCTAAGCTACAAGTACAAAGCCATCTAGGCATATATGTGATATGGTGTGGTCGCCCCCAGAATACGAAATTTAAATCGTAAATCACGCACTCGGAATCCCGCAACTATCACACTGGTTAGTAAAATACTAAGAATTCGCTTGCCGACCAGCCTCAACCTAATTCTCGATGATATCGATACTCCAAAATCCCCGAGAGCGGCCAGAGTGAAGGTATTTGAACCCTAAGGTATAGGGCCGGGTTATACTTACATCCGTGGGTGCCAATAGCCTTGTGGGTGCCAACCCACCTAACACTTTGTTTCCTAGAGGTACATTCTGTCTCCCTTCTAGGACCCGGAAATGTAGTCCCGTTCCTAGGAAATGCACTAAATGCCACAAGTTAGCTAAGTTGTATTCTTGAAAGCTACGGCAGTGAGTCTAGATAGACCGGAAAGATAATATACAGGATATTCCGGTTGGTTGTAATGCGTCTTAGAGAAAATTATTTTGTAATTTATGTATTAATATATATGTCGGTACTTATTTAGTGGCATAAGAATACCACGAAGTTTACCTTCATTGAATTTCAACTGTTATCAATTCCACCCCCAAAAATTAAAATCCCCAGGTAATATATTTAATACGTAAACTTATGCAACCCTGTAGCGGTCTAGATACAAACGTCAACTCTCTGTCGTATTGCTTGAAATGCAAATCTTACCATCGTACCGTTTTCATCCCTTAATGTAAATTATGGAATTCACTGCGGATTTAATGATATATCGATGAGCGGTATGCGGTATATGGTCTTCTGAATCTAGATCTTACAGTTTGCCATATTCCATTGGTATGCGGATTTTGTCAGATGTGGGGTAAGGCCATCCAACCTTATACCCCCCTCGGACTTCGTAAATTCCTGCCACAGAAACCCTACATTAGGAGTATTTTAATCAGTAAGGAGAGTCGGAGAATATTCGATATTTACGCCAAAAGGAATGCTAGATCATGTGCATTCATACCCCACACCATCTCTTCTCGAACTAAAATATTTTGTGGCTTACCATTTAGTATCCACACTGGCAAAAAAAAGAGGGTTCCAACAGGACGGTCTAAACCCCTTACATGATTATATCAACAAATCCGGGGACAAATTTTTTGAAACCGTTCAAAGAGTGGGGGTTATAAATATTCCCATTAGTCTCGGGTTTTCCGTTTCCAGGCACAAGGCTTCGCTAAAAACTCTGCGATGGTGGTTGCAGCCTGCGCGCTGCTTGTCCGATGAAACCTGACTGGATTTAGAGATATAATAGAAGATTTTAAATTTAAATCTAGTAGGGGTGTGGTGTATACTTAAAAAATTTTCATCAAAAAAGAGGAAGAAGATTGACCATACGACGCACTAGAAGAGATCTCGATGTTGGGTCTCTGGGCATGCCGATGAAGAAGGCAAATATCTGACGGCTTAGGGAAACTCTCCTCATCGAATTTTCTGAATCAAGGCTAAAATTTAAAAACCAAACTAACAGCATTTTGTGGGGTAATTGGACTATCCTGTTGAATGTGGACCGAGTACAGTCGGAGTACTAGCGTAGACCATACCATTCCAGCTTTTCAGGAGTAACCCAGGAGTAGGGGGTACTTAATGTCGAGGTTACCCGACAGTCAACTTGGGAACTTTTGATTTTGGAGTGCTCGGGAGCCTTCAAACTCTTCGAACGGATCTTCTTGCACCGATGAGCTGATAACTTGGCCTAGCCTTCCATTCACTTAATCAATTAACCCTCGTTCAGTCATTCCTTGGTTTTATTCCTCCCCTTGTCAATTGTATCGGTAACTTCCATTCCGTCTACCGAATCTCGTATTTTGTATTATCACCACACTGTTGCAACACAAACGGGCGAGAAAAACCACTCGATCGAGCTATTCCTCGTCACACAGAAAACCGGAACGAGAAACGACACTGCAGACGACAATCCTTGCGCTTGCAGATTTAGCTCTCCACACGCTGTTCCCTCAGCTCAAGCTCCAAGAAATCCGCGGGCAACTTTGATTTTATCCAGTCGAATTAGACCCAGCGTTGGCCGGCAATGGCATCCGCTTCACAATTAGATCTATTCCCTCTGGTGGCTCCGTTCCACGACCAGGTAAGGATTCTATATCGCGCTTTTTGATAATAATCTTTCCCTCTTTCGTTCAACGGATGCGTAATCGATATCCTTGGAATCCGATCACGCTTGATATGCATGTTGGACAAAAACTTGGTTGGATAGATCTGGGGTACACTCCTAGATCCCACAAACCGCGGGTATTCTGGTCATGGTTTTGCTTGAGTGCATTTATGTCGAATGTACATACATGTAATGCATATGCAGTATTTAAAGCTAGCTTTATCTTCTCCGCATCCCCCTTCTGGTAACCAGTCCAGCTGACTAGATTGCTCCATTGCTCTATCGTGGCTACAGGTCTTTAATAAGCGTTCGCCCTTATCGATTTCCCACTCCCAGAGGAAAGCACTTCTTGACCGGCTCCTCGAGATCTCATTTATGTTCCAACAGCAATATTCTGCGGGCAGAGGTATTGCTATTACTACCAGCCACAAGTCGAAGGCTAGCACCCATCAATCGGATTCGAAGAAGCCTGTTGCCGCCATCTCGGGTGCCACAAACTCATTGATCGCAAGAAGGGTTGCTGTTAAGAAGCTGGCAACCCGTTTACCGTTCTCCTCGACCAAAGCCCTACACCATGCAAGGAGGATGCAGTTACTAGGCAGGAATAGTTGGGCTCGCGGACGACACCAACAGAGGAGTTTGAACCTCCTGAGGTTTACGGTATTGGGGTTTGGGGGTACGGATCCGTGGGGGGAACTTGCATTCTCGTGTGGGGAGACGCAGTGGTTTTGGATGGGAGGGAATATAATTGGTTACCTCATGGCGGATTCCTCCCTTGGTGGCTTGATTGAAGAAGGCCCTCACTCGGTTGGCGAACCGGCAGCCATAGAGTCTTTGCCTTCGTCAAACCCGAATGGATGCCGGTATCTCGAGGATATCGCCCGGTACAAACGGGCACCGACTCCGGATACCGGATGTTTCAATCTGGAGGATCTCTTGGATGACCTAGACGACTTTGCATTACCCGCAGCGGAAGATTCTGAAGCCGATTCCTGGCATCTCAGTTTCTGATGAGCGTGTTTGGCTAATGTGCTGTTGGTCCGAACCCGGCTTGCTGCACTGTTGCTCTACCTTATCAACGACGGATGTCTTAAACGGGACATGGTATGATTGATCATGAAGGAGTTCTTTCTTTTCATTATTTCTGGCGGACGGGATTGTTTTGCTCGCTTACGTTTGCTCGCTTTGTTTTTTCTGGAAAAAGTCCTGTTCATCATTCACATTCCATTTATCGAAAGTCGGTCGGTGAATGTGTAGTGTGCACATGCATGTGGGGGCCTTCTTGAACCTCCTGTCACATTCCCGGACGCACCGAGATATTTCATATCATTGGCGTTATATCACATCAGCAGCATTTCTTTATATTTCATTAAAGGTTGTTGGGGTTTCAAAGTCTGCGCTGGGCTGTATAATACTTTATATCTGATACATATTATTCTTTTCGTCTCTCAATTTCTTGAGCATTCTATTTATCGTCATGACAAGGGCATCGCGCGATATGGATCCATGCAACGGCCATGGCGTCCACATCTTCTGCAAGGAATCGCCACAGACGTGATGCCGTGGCTCCCCGGTCAATGTGGCTCGTTTGCATGGAAGCACATGCAATGGTCACCTGGACCAACCACCGTAATTTGAAAGCCATCAGTGTTCGGAAAGTACGCAGAGTATGAAAACTTGAGGGTTCCACGAACCAGGAAAGAAATATATCTTCGAAGGGGGGAAGAGGTAACCTTTGAAACCCGACTAGTTAAGGCAACCTACGAAGTAACTTGTACTGCAAGGAGACCGAATCGAATCGTAGACGGATCATACAGACATCGACAGCATCGATTCCAGCATAATACTTACCGCAGACGCAGCCCCGACGCAGGAGACTCGATTCGATACTATACTGCCGGTCAGCCAGGAAGCCAGCTAGTGCCGTGCTGCCACACCTTTGGCTGCCCCCAACGGCTTGTCGTCTTTGGTTGGACTGTCTGTGGGCCAACCCCCCAGATTTCAGATTTCTCGCTTTTCCCATGTCGCGGGATCTTGAACCATCGTAATTTCCCTCCCTTTTCCCTGCATGATCTGATCGCCTACCAGCCCAGATTTGCCATTTGCCATTTGCTGTTCCTCTCGTGTGTGCCTACATACGACCGACGCTTCGTCAATTTTCTTTGATTCCCTTTTCCGCTCTTTTACCATCCAATTGAATTCGTGAAGTCGGATTGAATTGAACCGGATAAAGTGCAGTGAATCGGATTCGAAATTTGTCTCGGTCTTGTGGGCTTGTCATTTGAGTCCATCCCCCCAAAATTAAATCTTCATAGTCGAACTGCCGCCAATACCAGACACCACTGTTTTGATAGGTCCTCTGTTGCCCTAACAGCGCCCTCACACCCAACAACTGCAAGGGCGCCTGGTCGCGATCGTTCGACTTCAACTTCTCATCGCAGCCCGTCCCAACCAACCAAGCCCGATCCTCCGTCGCCAGCCTCCTCGCGGTCACGTACTCGAACACGCTCAACATCATCGCCGAACCGTCGCAATCCACGTGTTGTTCGGATCAGGATCCGGCGCAACTCATCGGTTTCATCATCCACTGCGAACTCGCGACCGGTTTCGATATCGAGAACCGCTAGCACAACTGCTACGCCGAGAATGGCTACTGCCACTGAATCTGTCCCCGACGTTGCTACGTCCGAGACACCAGACCCACGCCGTGCATCTACCGCTCCTACCGAAGAGTCTGCCTCGGGAGTTGGTCTTCTAGACCACCGACAGTCTTACGGCCCACAAGACGAGGACGATGAAATGCAGGACCAATATCAGGATTACGTGCCTCCGGAAGAACACCAAACACCTCCGTCACGCCACGGGCAGTCGAAGCGCGCCCAGGCTGCGGACCCAAACCTTTCTCCGGCAGCGGATTACTTGATGGGTATCATGGCCGAGTTTCGCAAATTGGAAGGAAAGCTCGCCAACCTTTTGACGGAACAGGCAAGATTGAAGGACGAAAACGAAGAGGTATGTCGGTTACAAAGGCCTCGGTGATCTTAGGCAGATCTATGCGTTGGGGTGTCTATGTAGGTGTATGTGTGCAACACTGACTAATCGTACTTTGATATTGATGCTATAGCTCCGAAATCGTCCTCCGGCGCCTGACCCAACCACGCTGCAGGATCTCGAAAATCTAACTACAAAGTACAACAAGGTTAAGAAACTTTACTTCCAGAAGGAATCCCAAGTCGAGCAATTGGCGAAGGAGAATGAAACCTTGCGGGGCGATGGCGAAGAGCTTGAAAACCTTCGAAATGAAAACCAAGAACTGAACCGTGACCTAGATATCCTAGTGAAGGAACGTGACCAAATTGCACAAGATCTGGCCGCCGCGGCCAAGGACAAGGAGGCACTAGTCCAGCAGCTTGGGTCTTTCGACCAAGAACGAGATACACTGGAACGGGAACGTGAATCGTTGGAGCAGGAACGGGATTCGATTCTACAAGACCGTGATTCGGCTCTCCAGGAACGAGATTCGGCCCTCCAGGAGCGGGACTCGGTCCTACAGGAGAGGGAGGCTGCTTTGCATGAAAGAGATTCTGTTATACAGGACCGAGACGCCATTCTACAAGAGCGAGAAGATATTATCCGCGAAAAGGAAGAGGCTCTGCAAGATAAACATGATGCTTCCGTTGAAAGAGATGAGGCCAGGCAAGACCAAGAAAACCTACAGAACAGGGTCAAGGATTTGGAAGACGAGGTCGCTAAGCTGCAAGCACAAACAGCCGCCCAAGCTAATGGTGTCCGTGACAAGAGGATATCTGGGCCACCTGCCGGGCACGCTTCGACTGGATCCGATTACCCACAGGACATCCTAAAACTGAAATACGACAAGGTGAAGAGATTGTATTACGAACAACAAAAGACAATCTCCCATATGGAGGAGAGATTAAGGAGTGCAGAGACGATGAGAGCAGGTAAGCCCATCGATTCTTAACCTGTTTCCCATATCATACCGCCTTGGTCTTTCTTCTGCAATACATACCAGGGTGCCACCGTCGGAAGGGAAAGTTCGGTCTTGTTGATTCTTCAATCTTTGTGCCTTCTGCTCGTTTTATTTTGGATGGCAGAACCTATAGCATCTCATCGTGCCACCAATGGGGTTAAAAGCAAGAAAGCCACCCGCGCTCATCAAGAGCATGAAGAGGGGGACTACGAGCCAGAATATTTCTAGTGTTGTGATTGTGGCTAGAATTCTTTCCCCTCAGAACGAACCGTATCTAGAGGGAGAAGGGTCGTCTACAAACTGCTAGATTATGTCTATTCTCAAGTTTCTTTACGAAGTACACGCAAATACTAAAACAGTCACCCAAAAGAAGACGAATTCATCGCCTCCCGCGGCCCTGAACCTCTCATCTCGAGGTCGAACTCAAAGGGAAAGCAAAGGGCGTCATATGTCTCGCCCGAAAGAGATAGTTATAGGAGTGAAGGTGGAAGTACGAAGTCCCCGTCATCGACAGATGCACCTCCACAGCGGAGAAAAAGTGTAAGGAGCAGCGGAAGGCGAGGTGCAAGCTTGGAAAGGGACAGAAGGAGTACTGGAACCGATGACGATGTAATATAGACGACCCATTTGTTTGGCAACCGGAATATAGGCTCTTTGGGTAAAAGTTAGTCTCGTATTGCAAGTATCCTTGATTGAAAGTTTTCTCCCACTTGCGTTCTTTTGGTATAGCCCGTCTCTTTTCGAATTTTGTTCTTTATGTCTTGATGATACGAGTCCCATGTTTCTTGATATTGTTGAGCCTTCTGGTTAGCTGCAGTGTGTAAAGTATTGTACGGTGGCACTGATGATATAAAGCTTTTGATTAATGACCAACTTCTGTGTTCCTTCCTCACCACACACTATCAAAAGACCTGTTAAAAGCTAGACCTCCATTAACCAACCACTCTCAACCAACTTGTCGCCACCAAATTCCTCCATCTCAATCTCTCATCCAAGGACTACAATCGTTCGCATCCCATAACTATAATTAGTTCGAGAAAGTTAACATTCGAGCTAAACCTACAAGCTAGAACGGCATCAAAATGACGGAGTGGGCAAGTACCTATCTCACCTACTTATTTCACGTCAAGTGGGCCTCACAGATTTCCCGTAATCTAACCCCGACTATGATAGATGGATTGCATCATCTTTGATGCCTTTTCAACGTACTTGCTCATCCTGACCGAGAACAAAAACAACAAACCCAATTCCTGGACCCCTCCCAACGTTCTCGTTGTGCCTGTCGACTCCAAAGATGCGAATCCGAACAGCTTCAGCCTAGACGCCATGGGCCAAATAGAGCACTACAAACGAAGGTGTCTCGTTGGCATGATCCATAAGTTGAATGAGAGAGACAATGGAAAATGCATCTGGACGGCCTACAGATTGACTCTCTGTGATGACAAAGGCTTACTTTTCACAATCAAGGCGACTCCTTCAACCACTATCAGGCAAATCGCTCCGTCTACTACTAAGCCCGCCGCGCCAGGCAACCAACCGAACTACGGCATCGTTAATGCTGCAAATCACGTTGCTAGTCCCTTTGCTCAGCCTCAAGGAAATCAACCCTATGCCAATGGAAGTGGGAACCAGCAGCATAATTTCGGTACAAACCATGGCTTTGGAAGTTCAAACCCAGGCTTTGGAGGCGGCAATGTACCGGCTTTTGGAAGTGGAAATGTGGGCTTTGGATCCGGAAATCAAGGCTTCGGAGGCCCAAATCAACAAGGCAATGGTAATGTTGGCTTTGGGAATGGAGGCACTGCAGGAGGCGAATTCGAAAATCCGTTCGGTAGGTTCATGAATACGAATGGCCTTGAGGGTAGTCTATTTGCCCAACGTCCTAGCGGCCCCAACTAGCATACCCCCCATACCGATCCCTAAACTTTAAGGGCCTGATCTCTAGGAGATATTTTATTCTCCCGGCAGAACATATCTACCCTGAAATTCCATTTCGGTTGCTCTGAAGTCCCCCTCTTTTTTCAGACTACATACAGGCTCTATTGTCCGATTTAGCCAATTTATTTTATGAATTGACAAGCTTTCTGCCTTCTAGGATTTCATCACTAGAACCTTACTCTATGTCTTGTGAATTTCAAACTTCACCCTCGGCATTAGCTACAAATAGTTTCTAGCTTATCTACATAGGTAAGCTGTCTTTGGAAGCTTTGGCCAGGGTTATAGACAAACTCAGTAGATTGACACTTCATGCAGGCTCCCGTTCACTTGTTTTTGTGCTTTTGTCTTCATGGTGCCCAATTTTTATTTTGTTTCTCTACTCCAAATTTGCGTCTATCATATTGCATAGTAGCTCTAGTTTGATACAGCTTGAACCGCAGCAGGAGGAATAGTCTCTCCTTATCTCAGCAGTCTCATAACCACTTAAACAACTCTTTAACTCCTTACAAAAGCAAAGCTCAAAGCTTTCAGATCACTCCTCTCCCGATCCTACAATTGCAACCAACCAGAAATACCTTTCTCGACTAACCCTTTCTCCAATCCTTTGTTATCAATCAGGTTAGTCTAATCCGCGAAATCTATTAGCGGCGTGTATTCTATCCTTTATTTTTCGAACCAAATCTAACGTGTTCTCAAGCCATCCAAACCGCGTTCTCGAACGTTCAAAATGGAGCCAACCTTTGTCAAAGTCAGGGGTACAGATTCGATGCTCTTGATCGTCGATTCTCTGACCCATCAAATCGATATTTTGCAGATCGTCGATGGCTCAGAGACAATGGCGAGGGATGACAGTTTTGACCTCAAAGAAGCGGCAAAGATCCCTCGCAGCGCAATGAAAGCCATCATCAAATATGTTGAAAAGGAGAATAATCGTTTCGAAAGGACGGATTCGAATGTCGCGTATGCTGTCGCACGTCTACAGCTGTGCGATAACGGGGACATATTGGCAATTGTTCGCCTAGTTGAAGCTAGCCCCGAACACAGACGTGAACGTCGAAAGGCTAAGTACTAGCTATGTAATACAGTTGCTTGTGTACGTTCAATACTGCCCCCGCGCCCCCATACCATCTCAAATGCTAATAATTTTTAATTAGACTTATTTAACGGAGATTCTGCAACATTATCTACATGCGCGTTCAAAACTTTTGGGGGTATCGCAACCATGTACCTCATCGGCGTCAACGAAAAAGACCACTTATTTACATTGCATTATACTGCTTGTTTCAGACATTCTCACTGTTCCAAATAGTAGTCATCATGTCCACCGCAAACAGCCAAATGCTGCTCACCCTCGACAGTCGTCCAAGGGAATGAATCTACCATATCCATCCTCATTCTTCCGTCCATGCTGGGCTCCATCAGTGTTTTTGGAATCATCTTTTCTCCTTCGTTACTTAAGACACTAAGAACATGTGCCGCTGCTTTCGCAATTACCTCCAAGTGTGTCCCATTAGCATTTGAATAGTTATCGCATCTCCTATGGTAGCACGGGTCCTGGGCGACTCCTGTCCCAGAGTGCATTCCACCAACTGGCTTCTTGAGCGTGGACATGAAACTTGCGTAGTCACTTCCACCTGTGAAGACTGCGGCAGTGATGGGGATGCCCTTAGCAACTAGGTGATCGATAAAGAGCTTCTCAATTACGTCAGATCCGGGTGGGCCAGCCAAACCGTGTGTTTTGCCATCACCGTCGAAGACACCATAGTAGCCTCGAGAAACCATGTCGAAGTTAAGGTAGAGCAAGATCGAGTTTGCTTCTGCCTTAGACAAATTAGAGGTATAGTATCTAGAACCCACAAGTCCAAGCTCTTCAGCACCCCACCATGCGAGGCGGATTTTATTTTTCGGGAGGTAGTTCTGGAGGGCATGGAACATGGTAATGAGGAGGGAGGTTCCAGAACCGTCATCATTGATTCCAGGTCCATCTTGGACAGAATCAAGGTGGGCTCCCAACATGATGACATTATTCGGGTCGCCAGCGATTGATTCGGCAAACAGATTCTGGGTCGTACGGACGTCTTCGACAAATGTCTGGACGAACCTTGCGGGCACAGGTTCACCGGTCTCCAGCAGGGAGAGTAGTGATAGACCATCTTTGTAGTCCATGAAAGCGGTAGGACGGAAAGTCTGGGGATCAGAAACTTGGAGGATACTATTCCGAAGAACATCACTACCCTCCTGTGTATCCATGTGGATGATTATGGCGGCAGCACCGGCAGATACTGCGGGACGTAGGCGCGAGACAACGGATTGACCATCAGGGCAATCGCCACGGCCAACAATGACGATTTTGTCTTTTACATCAAGGGAAGAATAAGCATCTGGGCTGCATGCAGCGGTGCCAGTTGGGCCCTTGACAACTGCGGCTGTAACGTCGAAGGTTGTGTCCGGTCCATTGGAAGAGTAGTTAATGCTGGCGACAAAGTATGCCTTTCCAGCGACAGTGAAGCTGACGGCTTGTTGGCGGAATCGAGTTGTGAAGTCCTGTGTCCATGATTTATATTTATTGGAGGTCGCTAGGTGGGACTTGACGTAGTTTAACGACGCAGTGAAGCCTGGGAGGCCAAATGCACGGTTCCCGCCATTGTCATAAGCGATGCTCTCAAGATCCTTGAGATTGCTTAGAAGCCTAATAAGCTGAGATTAGATACGAAACAACGCACGTAGGTATTTGGAGGATGAATAGATTATAATACTTCTCCTTGGTGACGAGAGCCTGCATTCCCTCTGAATCCAGGGGTGGTGTCACCACTGCCGCATTTGCGCAGGCAATGCAGCTTGCAACGATGCTGATATATTTGACCTTCATCTTGAACTAGCGATTGCCTTAGGTCTGATTTCAAGGGCTCGAGTACACAACCGTCTATAGAAGTTCTTCAGCAAATTTGAGAGGGGCCGGAGCTCTTATATATAGAGAAACTTCTCTGGTCCTTGACTGGCTGCTGCGATTTTAAAACCTCATTCTCCTGCATGACGAATGACAATTCCACAGCAGGACAGCTAACAAGAATGGCCAAGGACATCTCGCAGTTGTTAGCATTCCAAGTCAGGATGGCGACTGGCAATCGCTCACAGACTTTGAGCAGCACCTGATTAGCTAGGATCTCGCGGGATATAGCGCACGCCCGCAAGCTTGAAAGCCCAGTGTATAATACCCCAAGACCTTCCCGCGTAGGATGGTGGGGCATTTCTTCGACGGTTACACCAAGACCTTGAGTAACTCTTGGGAGGGTTTTGATAATCCATTACCCTTGGCTTTAGGTCTCCGCCTTTCATTCTTTGCATTGTTGATCGGCCTAGCCAGGGTAGCTGAGTTGTTCCCCATCAGGAAGCTGCAAGTTGGGATTCGGAAGATTACTAAGTCGGGGTCGAGAGAACACCAAAAATGGCTCTTGTTTTAGAGAAATGCCGAAACTTCCTAAGATTAAGTACATCAAAGCTTTGGACTCTGCTCATTTCTATTACCTAGAATGTAAACTTCGAATACCGTCTGTCTACTTGGAGGGTTAAACGTTAATGCAACTACTAGATATCCCTCAAACTCGGAGTTTGTTGCAGATTTTGCGTTGTAGCTGAATCGGGTAAGCAGCTTGATTCGGCTCACGCGCCCGCGAGGCCATCCCGAGCACAGGACACACCCGCACCATCTAGCATCTATGCACATATCCCTGATGGTTCGATAGAAATGTCTCCTCTACCTCGAGACGGGAATGACCCGGATCATAGCGACGCCCGCGATGATGACGCCCTCCTTGGGTCCGATAACGATATTGAAGAAGCATCCAAGTTAGTGCGTGGAGAGCCAGGGATTTGGGTTTGGTTGCTAGTTGTGAGCGCCGGGATATCAGGGCTACTGTTTGGCTGTAAGAGCTATTTGTATTCCATACATGCCGGTGTTAACACTTTTAGAGATTTGACTAAACCACAAGTGTAGATGATACTGCAATTATAAGCTCCGCTCTTTTACAGCTCGCGAATCCTCCAGAGTCATCCCCGATACCCGCCCTGACCGTGGCACAGCAGTCGCTGGTCACTTCCATTACATCCGTATCTGCACTTATATCGTCCCTATGTTCGGGACCAGTATCTGAGTATGGACGAAAGAAAGCTATATTTGCGGCTGCGGTAGTGTTTATCTTAGGCGCTGTTTGGCAGAGCTGGGCTCAATCGGTCCAGGGGCTTGTCATCGGGAGGTTTATAGTCGGTCAGTAGTATAAATGGCTGTTGAAATACTGAAGAGCGAATCTGACCTAATATACTTTTACATAGGTCTGGGAGTGGGCGCCGGGAGTGCTGTGGTTCCTATGTACATTACAGAACTATCTCCCGCCCATCTACGGTCACGGCTAAATACTCTCAACACTGTATTCATTACACTTGGTCAGATTGTGGCATATCTGATTGGTTATTGGTATTCTCGGACACCGTTTGGATGGCGTCCCATGTTCCTTCTGGGTGGCGTCCCAGCTGCTGTTCAGATAGGACTACTATTCTTTTTGCCTGGTATGTATCTATCGCCTGACCTTATACGTCTACCGAACGGAGCTCACATCAGGTTACACAGAGTCGCCCCGGTGGCTAGTTCAACACGGATATGTTGAAAACGCTACATCAGTCCTTGCTCGCGTGTATGGGATCGACCAAGAGCAGTCAAACGTGGCTGACCGGCGAATGCTCTCACACCTCGTGCGCAGCATCGAGCGGGGTGTGAGGAATGAAACCGAGCTTGCTAGCACATCTGCCAAATGGAAAAATCTATTCGGTAAAAGAAGCAACCGACGAGCTCTTCTCATCTCCGGTGGCCTCCAGGGCTTCCAACAACTATGCGGTTTCAATGCTCTGATGTATTTCTCAAGCTTGATATACGCCATGCTCGATTTTAAGAACCCAACTTTAACATCATTATCAGTCGCAGCTACGAATTTCACTTTTACGTTAGTGTCGTTGGTATTGATACCCAGAGTTGGGAAACGAAGATTGCTGTTGTATTCGGTGCCACTGATGGCAGTCGGCCTTTTAGTCGCGGCATACGGATTCAATAACCTACCGACTCAACAAATATCCACGGCTCAGAAAGAGAATTCGGCCACCGATGCCGAACCAGCAGGCGCATCCTCGTTTTATGCATATGTCATTTTGTTCTCGACGACATTTTATGTTGCATCCTATGCATCAGGCATTGGAAATGTGCCGTGGCAGCAGGCAGAGTTCTTCCCAATGTCAGTTCGGTCTTTGGGAACTGCCATCGCCACAGCATGTAATTGGAGCAGTAATTTCATTATCGGGGAGACATTCCTAGGTTTGATGGACAAAATGGGGGCAGTCGCTACCTTTGTGCTTTTTGCGATCATTTGCGCAGCGGGGTGGGTTGGGATATACGTGATATACCCAGATACAGAAGGCATGAATCTCGAAGAGATTGAAGCATTATTGAGTCGTTAGAGTCGCATACATGTTGGTAGAATCGATTCAGAAATTCAAAGCTTACTGCTTTCCTTCTAGTACTCTTCCCACCATATCACATAACCTAATCGCGACTAACTATCACTCGCATCAATCGAATCGAGTTGCATGAATGCTAAATATACACAGGTCCTCGATAGCCAATGGGAGCCAACAGCGCCCAAGGGAGCGGGCCATGACGTCGCAGCCGAGAGATGCCGGCCCGGCGTAAACCCGAACAGGCAATTGACGAGCCGTCCCAACCCCGCCAACAACACGGCAACACATTTTCCTGCATAACGCGCACATAAGAGCTGCAAGCAGGCTAAGAAAGCTCAAGATTCTTGGTTTCCGCCGTTTCCGATGATCTGACAGAACTTTCATATTTCACATACTCTGCCCCCATGTCGCGTCTACTCCTCACGGAATACGGATTAGTCTTGTCCCCGGTTCCTCCTTGACGGTCCCGTCTGCTCGCGTGACATTCTGCCCTTAGCGTAGCTTGGTGTGTCTTTTTTCCCACTTGCTTACCATATCCTGTGTGCCTGGTACCTTCTTTAGCTGGCCTGCCTGCGGAATTCCTGTGTGTATTGGTTACTCCTCGTAGTATTTCAGTATCCAGCGAAAAAAACCCGGTGTGCAGAGCCTACGGAAAGGTCCAAAAAGGGAGTGGAAGCAGTGGAGGACTACCAGTTCAAAGGTTAGAATAGTTTCGCTAGTAGGCAACCGTCGAGATGACAGGCTATGCGCGTGAAGATGAAGTCGCATCAGCAGCTGATCTCGAATCCGGTTCACCGCCGTATTCAAGGTCAGATTCCCCTTCGCCTGATCAACCTCTGATTTCCCGTCAACCTCGGAATGAGAGAAACCGTTACAGAGATGACGACGACAGTGCCCCTCGTCAATCAATTGATTCATACCAATATAGCGACGACATTGAACGTCTAGAAGGGGACTCACAACGCTCACGCACTCGGTATTATAGTACTACGACTTCCACGAGTTTAAGATATAAGTCGAAGAAATATACATCCGCGATAGCGAGATGGATAAAAGGACCGGTTCCACCAGAAACTTTGAAAATAAACCCAATCTTCCCAGATATACAAGCAATTCCTATCAGGATCCTCGATAATCTTTGTCCTAAAAAGCGTACAAAGATTATTGCCTGGTTGCTTGCTTGCGCGATATGGATTACCGCGTTCGTTCTGGTCGTTCACTATTCATATTTCGCTGGAGATGAGATGATGTTGGGCTGTAGTACTAATCTCTGGTGAGTACAATGCTCTACTGTCAATACTGAAAAAGGTATTTAACATGGTACCTGTAAAAAGGTCGAAGAATAGCGGATGTGGAATCAACGGCATCGATTGTCGCTCTTTCGCTAATTCAACCTTTAAATTCCGTTGTCCAACCGATTGCGGCTCCGCCAGATTGTTGGAACCATACACTGTTGGTACCCAACAACTTAACTACCAATCACTGGTCGTGGGGGGCGGCCTACCTTCACTAGGAGTTGATCCAGAAACCCGGTACTACCGCGCGGACTCCTTTATTTGCCTTGCTGCCACTCATGCCGACATCTTACGACCCAACAAAGGAGGATGCGCGCGTCTTCGCAAAACAGGGATGCAGGCCGCATTCCCAGGGTCGATCTCCAGCGGAATAGAATCTGTTCCGTTTGACGCACCATTCCCGTACTCCTACACGGTTGAAGGTCTTGAAGACTCTGAACCCTGCACCGACCTCCGATGGACCGCATTTAGTGTAACTTTGGTTTTCAACATTATCATATCCTTGTTTACGACAAATCCCACGGTGTTTTTCTGGACTCTTTTCTGCAGTATATTCTGGGAAGTAGCCATGGCAGGCGACCCGCCAGGTCATGCCAGTCCATACGACCTCATAGCTATTGGTGCGACCAGGTTCCTACCAACGGCATTTGCCGCATATGTTATAGAGCGGATGGTAGTTCGTCGTACTCTTCGAGATCTGAATGCTCAATTCGAAAAAACGGTTTTATGGGTCGGTGCCTGTTGGTTCGGAGCGTTGAATAACTATACCTTTGACAAATGGATACCGATCTCGAGACTCACACCGCATGACTTAAATCAACAACCCGGAGCCAAAGCTGCACTAGCAATTATCGTCATAGTGTTGGTCGGTGTAGCTGTATTCCAGGCTCTGCATATCAGAAGGGAAGGGAATATGCAAAAATATCTATGGTTCTACGCCGCCGTTGCCGTCGGGTTGGGATTACTTATCGCCGTTCCTGGTGTGAATTTGAGGATACATCACTACATTCTATCACTGCTTTTATTACCTGGAACGAGGATACAGACACGGCCGTCTCTTATTTATCAGGGGCTATTGATGGGATTATTCATCAACGGACTAGCAAAATGGGGCTGGGATGGAGTTCTACAGACAAGTGCTGAACTGAGAGGGGACGCACTTCTTGGGAGCATATTACCCCAAGTCGAGAATGTTGTCGTCATGGCTGGAAACGTGACGATAGGATGGACAACTATCGAGAAGCCCTGGGACGCAGTCAGCGTAATCGTCAATGACGTTGAGAGGTACAGGGGCAGCGAGAGTTCTGTTGTGTTACAGCGGCGGACTATAGGGGAGATTATGCAGCAGAGTCTTTGGGATAATCCTGGGACCGAGAACTTGGCCGGGGACCAAAGTCCCTTCGGGAACGAAGAGGTAGAGAAGATGTATATTCGGGTAGGATACGTGAGAGGCAGTTTTGTAGGAGACTACACGAGGGCTGGAACGGTGTTTTCGAACGGTACTTGGGCTGAAATGGAAGCGGGTGCTAGTTGAGGGCGTTTTGCGGAGGGTAGTAACTTGTCTGGTGCCCACCAGATCAGTTATAGCCTTATGCTTTGGGATCTATTAGCGGTTTGCGATCGTTTCTCTCTTGCAAATTTCTCTTTTTGATATCTTATATATATAGCCTTTCCTTCAGATTAACTACGTAGTTTATAAAATTTGAATTTTTGCGGCGAATTTTGATTATGCTCGCGAGAGCACGGGTCTCGTATTCACGAAAACCCATCTAAATTTTTCACTCCATTAACCCAGTCTATATTATACCCAAAATATTCATATATGTGAAATTCGATTACAACAGTATCAAACCGACATTATCCGTGAACCCAGCTCCATTACCATCTAGTGCCCCAACAACAACTTTTTCACCATCTGAATCCTTCATCCAGCTTGCCATATTTTGAGTCCCAATTGTTACCAACCCCATTAGCCAAATATTACTTCTTGAAGAGACTATATCACTCTTCCTGTCTCTATCTATTGACACCATTGTTTGCTGGCATTCCCGTTTTGCAATACAATCTATAAGGATACATTAGTACCATAGTAAAAAGCTGAAGACAGCGTAGTCTAGTCATAGGTTCAACTCACCAGTACTGTAGTTTTCAAAGAATGAATATAATCCGGCACCGAAGGCAAACACGTCCGTCGAGTTCAATATTCGCAGTCCCCAACTCTTCTCACACATCGAAACCTTTTCCTTTGGAATGTCCGCACCGCCACAAGTTGCTTCAAAGTCTGGATCAAAATATTCTGCGACGGGTGCGAAGGGCTGTCTAGCCCGCGGGTTTGACTGGTAATACGGTGTTTCAGTTTGTATAACACCCATAAATATGTTTTTGGCATTGGCGAGCTGATAGTTGTATAAAACGTTGTGCTCGACGGCATGACCATACATCCAGACAGGCCCTAACTCGGCTTCACAAAGAAGGCCACGTCCGGTATAGATGGTTATTTGTTCATGCTTTGGGGCGTCCAGGTCGTGGTCACTAATATCCTCTTAGAATTAGCTCCGGGTCGTGATTGTATACGTATCATAACACTGGGCTTCGGGGGAAGGGTACCTAGTCCAAATCCACATATTTTCCATCATCAAGCTTGCAGTTTTACCGATGTGTAGCAGCATGAAAGCGGATACACAATCATCATCAATCTTAGGGTCGACTTGGTCGTCTGGCTTTTTCGTGCACTTTGGAGCTTGTAGGTTTGTTCCTTCAGAACCTCCTACCCGAAAGTGGACATCCCACATGCCGGATACATTTTGTCCTTGAGGAGATCTCTTTCTAAATTAGCCGTAGTTCTTGAGTACCTCTCCCATCAGAGCGATTCTTACCTAATATTCCACTCCATAAGAATGGCACCAGCGGCAGGGCCCTGAGTTTGGAAAAGCATATCTGAAATTTCGACAATACCTTCCTCGCCTGACTTCCCTACTAGAAACAATGGCTTCGGATTTTTGACATCATTGAAGAAGCTACCCGAAGACATTATGACACTCCACGTTTCCCCAACGATATAAGTATTGGGAGGTACGTAGATCGTTTGTGTAACCCGATAGACACCATAGTCGAAGAATATAATCTTTTTCTTCTGTCCCGCTGGTGTGTTACCATTGGCACTAATTACCTCCTGGATCGCTGCGGTATCATCCGCCACACCGTCTCCAACCGCTCCAGCTGCCCTAACACTAACAAACCGACTGGGTACAATATGTCTATAAAGCGGTCTCGGTCGCTCTAGAATCTTCCCTGTCGCATCTTTCAAGGCCGCCGGGATCGCATCGACGGTTTCATCCGCAACAACGTTGATATCGCCTCCCTGAGGAAGATGGTCCGAGTAGCCTTTCCCATGACCCCAGAATGGTATCGTCGTATTCCGGCCCTTTTCGTTACCCCCGAATATTTCCTCATCGTTCCAACCGGACACCGTAGTTTTAACACCCGAGATTACAAGATTTTGGATGACAAGGGTGCCTGCGGCGGGAGGCTTCGATTCCTGGGTACGAAAAGTTTTGATCGCAATATCTGTGTTTTGGATATAACTATCAAGCAGAAGAACGGAACCGGTGTGTATGTCGTTCGGCCCACCGTTGCTGATGTCGATACCGATACCACAGTCGTGTATCTTGATAGATTTTAGAAGCCATACCCAGTCCCAGTTCTTTGAAATTGTTAGCACCACACCCACATATTGCATATCATACAAAGAATCTTACCATGTAAATTGCAGTCTTGCAATTGTAAAATTCAAGATTAAGGGTTGTGAACTGCTGATTCCCAAAGAAAGCACCACAATCTCCACCATAGAACTTTAATGACGACAAAAATCCACCGGATCCGTTATCCATAAATATACCTCTTTGCTTTGTATTCTCTCCGTCGTGCATTTTAAAGATCACGTTATAGATCGAGGTCGCCTGGGCCACCTGGTGGTGTATTCTCCTCACACGTTAGTACTTAAAACTTCATGTATCATTCCAAAGTCCAGAATCCAGACTCATAGGTGTCTATACCTAGAACATCTCTATGGCGGAACACAATCTTCCAAGATAATTATATAACTTACCCAACACCACTACTCGGATCCATCAATGTCAAATCAATCACAAAATTCCTTATCGCTCGGAAGAAATTATTCTGGTTGATATACCAATTCCTCCCGGGCGGGTCGTATGGGTCCGTGTCGACAACCGCCCACCCGTTAAAATTCTTTGACGCCAAAAGAACCGGCAAATCTAAAGGGTCTCCAACCAGTTGTGTATAATATAATGCCACAATTGGCGCCGAAACTAGATATTTCCCGGGTGGAAAGAACACTAGTGCTGGTGATATGGTAGAGGAATCACATCCCTCACCACAGCGCTCACCCGCTGTTATGGCTGCATTGATAGCTACTGTATCGTCGGTGACACCGTCTCCTTTTGCTCCAAAATCGAACACACTCCGAAAGACTAAACTGGGTTTAAGCAGTCAGTTAGCAATACTATAAAAAAATTACGGGATTAAGTCTTGCTATTGGAATTTATATACCTTGATACTTTTTATCAGAATGATAAGGTGCAACCCCCCTATGCTCCATATTTGCTAACCAATAGTTTGTTTTACCAGGCGTCGACGTCGGTGCCGCCTCAAACACCGTTGATAGCGTTTTAGTGACATCAACCTCGACTACCGTCGTATGAGGCGCCGGTACCGCGACCGGAAATTCCGCATTGGGTGTCTTAACCGTCCCAAATATCTTGTACTGGTAGCCCTTAAACCCACTGCTCTGGTATCCATAGTACATATAGCAAATTATCGTGCCAATTGTTAAGATCGTGTACAGACGGACTCGCGTGTTCATAATTTTGGATGGAGGATTGGATACATCGGATTCTTCGGCATCACTGTAACCGCGATGACGACGGGAGGCGTCCATGATTTCGGACGATGAAATGCCCGTCTATTAGGCCTGTAGAATCATCAATTGCAACGATACGATACGAAGACTTGTACAATGGAGCAGATGAAGAGCGAGTCCACATTCCTCGGGCTGGAGCTCAACCATCAGGGATGCGTGCTTGGCCAAGCCGGGAAGTCGCACGGCCGGGGTTAGCCGATTTGGGAACACATTTAAATACCACAGCTGCAACACTTCTGGATCTGCCGTTGTAGTGTAGCCTCTAACCTGCCCAAGGCACTGAAATTCAAAGCCCCAAAAAGCTTCATTTTCCTATGGAACTGTCTTCAAAGTTCTTAAAAACTATTCAGGTACTTAGATATACCCCACAAGACTATTTTACACTAATCCTAGTGTATTCGAATAACATGGATTTGACAATTCGTCGTGCAAACTTAGAGCTTCTAACCGTTTTCATGTCAAAACAGTTCTACAAGAAGAGGACCGGTTTAAGACACCGCCACAAGACCTCCCGAATACTGAACGTTGTCGCTATTCGCTCTTGCCAGGCCCTCAAATTCACAAACTCCCTCCCCTTCCTCCCCAAAACTAGCATACATTTCTTCTTGCGGGTGTCTTTTTGCTGTTTGATTTCCCTTGATCGTTCCCCACATCATCTTCAACGCCTTCCGCAGGGTGAACTTTGAATCGTCCTACAATTCAAAGGTATGTGTCTGGGGAAAACCAAGATAGATCCTAGTATGAGTCTTCTTGAAGTTTCCGGTTATCGACTCGACTATAATTTCTCGTATCGTTACCTCATCCGGGTTCCCCACTGACAAGTACTCGAACCTTCCATCTGTCTTCAAGGTCAATATATTCAAGTCAGGGTCAACATGTGCAGAGAGGGTGATCATCGATATCTTAGATGAAAATGTCTTCCCATCGTCCAAGTGGATATCGCCGTTGGCTTTGCCCTCAGAGTCAAGGTATATCGCAAGCGATAGCCCTCCGTTTCTAAAGTCAACAGTCGTCTGTCCCGACTTATTATAATGCATCGGAATTATAGACCCTCCACGGAAAAATAGCTTGAGATAGCAACTGTTAGGTTCTGAATCATAAACCCAAAATGAAATATCGAAGGCAATACGAACCGGAATTGTATCGAGCGGCGCAGATACCGTTCGCCATATATCGCTCCCAGAAGAAAAGACTTTCCCAGTCAATGCATCATACCACACACCCCTCGGAAACCAGGCGTTAACCTCCCTCTCGTTCGCACGAACAACCGGAAGAACCAGCAGTTTCTTGTTAATCAAGAAAGCGTCATTGCTCTCTTCATAGATTTTCTTGACTTCCTCGGTTGTCTTCTTTAGGGTGGGCGGATATACAGCCCAGACTGGTTGGACGACGCTGCCTCCACTCTGTTTAACTTTGGCAAATGCAGTATACCAGAACGGCAAGATCCTATAGCGGAATGTGAGATATTTTCTTGCTACAGTGGCGACAGCTGCTGAGACATATGCTTCTTGTGGCGGCGTGTTAGGCATATTGTGGTTCCTGTCCAAGCATTTTTGTCAGGAAGGTCAATAGTTGAAAAGTGGTTACTGTATTAACATACCGGCAAAATGGATACATAGAACCTAGCTGAAACCAGCGGACTAAGAGCTCTTCAGACGGGCCACCATTGAAGCCTCCAATATCAGCACCAATGTGTGGAATACCGAACATCTGCATGTTCAATATCCCGGAAATCGAATGTCTCATGGATTCCCAATGACTAAAGTTATCTCCCAACCTGTTTGACATTTTTGTTAGTATCACGTGGAGTTCCCGGCAAGTTTGTCAGAGTTTCGAGAGCATACGTACCATTTTGAAGCATATTTGCCAGTTCCCGCAAAAGCGCTCCGAGTCAAAATGAAGGGCCTTTCGTCTGGTTTAATCTCTAGCATCGAATTGTATGAAGTCCTGCAATTCAAATGCCCAAACAGGTTGTGAACGTTATACTCAAGCACCCCGCCATAATGTGTCGCATCCACCGAAATGCTCCGAGCGTGCAGTGGCCAGTTCACGCCACCATGGTTGACACTATACGGCGGATTTGTAAGACCTGCTGGTCGCGTTGGATCAAAGGCAGGTGGTGGCTCGGGTTTAGCCTCCCCTCGTTGCATTGCGTTCGGGTCGATTTCAACACCTTCAGCAGCGGCCTTGGCCATATCATCAACCGTTTCGGTGTCTGTAGGAATTAAAATATCGTCGATTAATGCACTTCCACCAGCTTCGTGAACATCTCCATTCGCAAAATTGCTACATTCATTCATATCTTCGCAAGGTTAGCGTAAGGACTGCCTACCATACTCCGGGGATATAAAACGTACCATGCCAAATACCATCCACAGGCAACCTTTTGAACCATTCTCTGAGCATTTCTGTCCAATATTGATGGATTTTTGGGTGGACCCAATCTGGGAAAACGACATGCCCCGGCCAGACCTAATCAACATTATCAACAGGTTGTAGTCATCTCAGGTATTACGGTTAGCTATACACACCTTTCCGACGAAGTCTTCCCCGGTGTTCCCGTTTTTAAGAAAAATATCCAGCTCCTTTCCGCGGGTCCAGGGGTAGTAATCGTCAACTTTGTTCTTGACACCAGGGTCCAGAATAGCTACAAGTTTGTGATTGTCTTTGTGAATCTCTCTTTCGATATAGTCGATAAAGGATGGGTACCTCTCTTCTTCGAGAGTAAAGAGTCGATATTTGATCATGTAGTCTGGTAATTGTTCCAATTAATTAGCCAATCATTCGTATCTCTAAGATCTCAAAAACTCTGCTCTTACCGATGTCAAGCCAGAAGACATCGACTGGGATGTCCACCTGCATACTCATCTGTCTGACCTCGTCAAGTTTCTCGGTGGTGGTGTAGTACCAACGGCATTGATGATAGCCAAGCGACCCTAAAAACCATACATCAGGATTCGCTTGATTTTCCGGTACATGGAAGGATTATTTTATTAATAGATCACGAATTCTAGAACTCACAATAGGGTGGTAGCTGAGGAAATCCAGTAACTTGTTGGTACTGCTTGACAACGTCTTCGTAACTTTCGCCAAGGAAGACAAAGAAGTCTACGATACCCCCGACGATTTTATAGGTCATGACATCTTTGGTATATATCATATCCAATGCATTGGAGTTGTGCAGATACTGGTACCGCAGTTAGATATCTTGCACTTATGTTTGGGCATAGGTCTAGATCTCAGGATCAATTCTACGGGGACTTACGATACCGAAGGCTTTGCCATTGTGCATTCCAATAAACATCGGCATACTGGAATACGAGTTTTCATGTAGCGGTGTTTGAGCGTCTAGAAAATATCACTTTTCGTTAGAAAACACTCAAATGCTATAGATACCATTTGGATTGCGGGTAAGGCTACCACGTACCTCGAGACCAGAATGCATATCTATGCCCAGTTTCACGGCAAAACGGCCCAACAACTTCCCCCATCCCGTATACAAATGTTCCTTTAGGCAGCTTCGTCCCGATTTCGATATATTGTTCAGTGTAGGCAAGTGATATACCCCGAGTATCGAAGACTGGGACATTGTCCGACCTGCGGAAAATTGTGAATCCTGGGTCTCCATCATCGGCTTTTATTGAGACGTCGAAACCGGCGACTGCAGGGCGCTGTACTTCTGGGGGTATATCGGCTCCGATAGGAACATATTCGTCCGGGATCTCCCATCGCGTCCTGTCCGCATCTGTGATCCTAATACGAGCGATCTGCGTCGTGAAAGGCTCAACCTCGAGCTTTAGTCGTGGGACGGAAGCTCCGTATTTGGTAACGTGGGATTCCGGGCTTTGTAGATAAGCAGTACAAGAGCTAGCAGACTTGTGTTCGAATTCCTTCTGGAGTTTATATTCTCCCGAGATACGTTCATTGATCAAGGAAACTACTGGTGCGGGTTTTGCGCTAGATCTAGACTCGCCCTGAGAAGCATCCTTCTCAAGGACTGCTCCAGCTAGGCTGTCTACAACAGCCTGGATAGCACCGGTGCTTGAACTCGCCATTTTCAAGGAAGTGTCGAAAAAAAAACTAATAGCCTAGTTGATGTAAAATATTGGTCGTTCTTGTGGAAATTAAGGGACACTCGGGATCTGAACGAAGAAAGATTGAACTGGCCCTATTTAAGCTTCAGAATCAGTATTCCGCAGCATACATACTGGTCGTAATTGCAATTCAGGAGTTCAAGAAGTATACTTAACCTACCTGTTGAGACGTTGTATAGAGACAGCCCTTAGCGGGGATTCAGATCAGGATACAGCAAGAGAGTAGATCAGTATTGATCTAGGAGTGGACAATCCAGAACTTGATTCTCCAAAGGCCCGTTCCTTAGAAATACTTCATATATAAAAAAAAATATCGGCACAATTTGCGTCGACAGCCAATCTTCTCGGAGGGGGAATTCAAGGTTTTATCATCTGGGTCGCCAGCCTTGATTAATAGCTCGATATCTAGCTGGAAACGTGGCAGTTGTCCCAACAAACCATTCAATTGACCAAACGCTAATTGGTGGAAGGTGCCGAAAGAATGTTTTTATGCGGACTTCATGACACTGTTTCGATGTCTTCTGAGCTCGTCACATACGAGGAAGGTATATGCTGTGTGTTCTATGCACAAGTTCTCAAAGTTGTGCCCGTGCATGGGGGTGGGGCAATTCCGATATCATCATGGCTGCAACCTCGCTTTCCATCATCCCCGCAAAATAACCATTTTAGCCCCGAAAACGTAGATTTTCGGGCTGCAGAGTGCAGCAAACAGTTAAAGCATACTTGCGGGCGGTTTTCAGCAGCATGTGCCTTTTTTTTGTCCTTTCTCAAAGGGCAGGCGAATCGTAAGCTTTCCTCTCTGGAATGTTGTTTCTCAAATCTAAGACATCGTCGACAACAAGGATCGTTATCCAACCCTTGTTCGAAATTTCTTATCGTTGACGGAGTCTGGACGGCATCTCGCTAGTTCTTTCGCTTGGATGCATGAGGTCATCCCGCAGCCTAGGTTTAAGCCGAGATATTGCGAATCGACGGGTTAGATTCGTCCAAAGCCACGGGTTAGCTTTAAGCTTTCCCGACAAGATCTTAGGGTTGTGGAGTAATTGCTGCGTTTTCTAGGCCGTTAAGCTGAAGCTGACTGCCACAGATCCAAAACTTTATTGGCTGGGTCCAGAGAGCGTATCCGCAGCTGAACCGTTTTGAGTTAGGCTTCGTAGCTTCGACGGATACTTAATTACTTAAGTATTTAAGCTATCCGGGGAAGCTATCCGGTTTAGGGCCTGCCAAAGGCATTTGGAAAGAGCATCTACCCGACTTTCTTCCAACAGTAGTATCTCCTAGCTTGTGACACAGACAGTGCAGTCTTTTCGGGGCTCCAAGGTCCGACGCTGTTGGAGCCTAATTTTATAATTTAGAAGTCCGTGTTTGGTTCCGAGCTGCCTGGTCGTCTGAAAGGCGAATAAATTGTGCGAAGCTAAGTAAATTTATTAAGAAGAGAGGCTAAGTATCAAACTTCTCTTAAGATCTATACAATTAATTACGGATTTGACTAGAAACAGAAACGTCCAAACCTATTTACTACTGTATGCCAATCAACCCTGGGGACCCCACTCGCTAAGTCCTTCAGCCTTCACCAGAGTCTGTCTCTTCTGAGTCTTCCTCGAAATCTCTACATAAATCCAGCACCACGCCCCATCCCTGATCCTCGCCAACCAAAGACAGGATCTTGGCCCACCTTTCGTCTTTTATCATGCACCTGGTCCGCCAATTCGGGATCAGGGAGTTCTGTTCATTGAATATAATGGTGTCCCCGCGCACGCAGCCGTGCGTCAGTCTAAGGATAGCTAGTACTACTATCTCTGAGAAACGTTGCAGATATCTCCACCTATCAAACAAGACAGGATGAGTCATGTGCAGACTCAAGGTCCTAGATAGCACTTTAAGAATTTCCTCGCTCGGGTACCCAAAGTACGAGGAGCCCGCAGAAGTTGGATAAGGCTGGTTATATGCATGTTGCAGCTGCCCCATGCCATATCCAGTCGAGGGGGCCTGCCCAATCGGATCGTCCATCATTGTGCCTTGTTGGCGGAGTGCAAAGTACTTAACTGAAAAGCCTAGGGGGTCTTGGAGAACGAAAAGTGATAGGACGACAGAATGCAGCAGCCTCAAGAAGGCCGGTGGGTCGAACGGATGGGTATAAGAATTCGGTGAGGTTGACGGATAGATTTCGGCGAAATAGAATCTTTCCCAAGCCGCTAGAGCTTCTAGTGCTGTTCCCTCTACATAAACACCAGTAGAGTCCGGGCGAATTAACAGCCGCATGACCTCAGATATCCCGATGAATGCTGAAAAGAAGCTCGGGGCGCCCTGGGGCTTTGGTACATTGAATCCCATGTAATTAATTATGGGTGGCACGCCGGAGGCCAGGTATAGCCTATGGGCAACCCTTGTCAGCACATGGACAACCTATAAATGGCGTGGCGACAATAAGACATGCTTACCAGATATCCTTAGATACAAGGGCCCACCACAAGTAATTGACCGTGGTTCGGTCTTCGTCCGCCTGCTCCGGGGGACGGTTCCAATGCATCGAACATGCCATTCTTATAGCCTAATCCAACTCGGTTACCGCGGATCAGCAAGATAGTTTTCGGCTAATGAATGCAGATATATAAATGTATCGCTAAGGGAAGAGGGAAAGATCGATCTTGGGGTGCTAACTCACCGTCATCAGCTTATTTCCTGCCCCAGAGCCAGGTTCGTCAATGAAGAGACTCAGAAATAAAAGACTTTGAACATTATGGATGGATGGAATAGTAATCGCATTTTTATCCTTAAAGTACTTTCGAATAGACTCTTGGATATTGTTATCGGCTGCAACGTTGCTCGGTTCCGTAAAAGATAAAACCATGCGACGAACACTTTGGCTCAATAGAACACTGGTAGTATTCGAGATTTCCTTTGAATTGACAACTGGCAAGCAAGTGTCTAGGAATTCTCCGAATTTTGCCTTCGACCTTAAAAAAAAAGATTTAGACGATAAAGATAAATATGGTTAACGAGGATACTCACTGCTCGACAGGGTCTAGCTGACTAACTGGCAAGGGTGCCGCAGAATGCTTCCTACTCATTGTGAACCAGGTTAAGACTTGTTTGAAGCAAAATTATTTTAATTTTAAACTCCTATTTACCTTACTATACTAGGCCGGGATGAAGAAGAAGTAGGAGAAGTACTATCCTCCACTACAGATTCCCTTTAATTTTCGAGTAAGTTAGTTATAAAATCCACTCCACTCGCAACCGGCCCCATACGGCTAACAATAGATTCACTTACAATGCTGGCGGAACACTGGTGCTAGCATGTCTGCGATCTCTTGTCTCGGTGATTGGTAAGATAAAAGTGCAGTCGATGTTTAATCTTGCACAGCGCGTGCATCTTCGATCTCGAGACCCCGCTGCATCGAACGCAGATGCGCTCGGGCCATCTTCAGGCAGCTGGCACCTACGGACAGCACAGTTAATTTTCAAGGCTTCTACTTTTGTCAATGACGTGAGCAGTACGGAATCCTGCCGGCATCATGCCGAATGGCCCTATTGGTCCATATTTCGACATGCCGAGGATATATTAACAGGTATATAGCAAAGGATCTTTGACATACTTTGTTCGTAGCCTTCTACATTCTAAATTCCCCACGACCACCAATATTGTCAGCCGCTCGCCGTATATCTCCGACTCTTGGGCCTTTCGACCGTATCAAGCCCATCAGAGAGGACTACCCCTCATCATTGTGTTGTGGAATGTTGCACTTACGATCACAAGCCTTCTTTGCTTTCAATCTTTTGATCTTTTGTGGGCCTTCGGGTTCCGGCATTTGAACGGTCCTCAGTGATTAAAAAGTGAGGTAGCGTTCGAGATGTCGACTGTTGATAAGATATATTGGTAATAAAGCATGATATCGGAAAATTCTAGAAGGACCGTTTTCTTCGAGGAAGAAGGTTCTTGTTTAAATTTCAACGTACAGCAGCCGTCATGATCATGAATCATGTATATTTCTGGTTGGAAGAAACGTCGTCACGATTGTAATCCCCGCCCAGCAGCTCGCAGCTCCGTAAGCATCGAAACGTTGATTGTCGAGGCTCAAAGATAGAACAAGAAGGGGGGAAAAACGTAAACCATGCAGGACACCCAGTATATTTCCGAAGATAGGATTCCAAAGACGCTTTGATCCTTCTCGAAATTTATTCAACTTTTGATGCCAAATATTTTCGCGGTGTAATTTGTTGACGTCAAAGTTAGTCGACTCGCCTCCAGATCTGGTGCCTGAACGCTCGAGCCCAGCTTTGAAACCACGGTTCCTGGGCTTCGCGGAGGTGCCTGGATGCAGCCGCAAATGCAATTGATGTCCCGTCTGAGCACAAACTGGCCGTCTATAGAGACAGAAGTAGAGGTACTTTGTTCAGACGATCGCCAGGAACAATATTACCCGAGGAAACTGGAGAAGATATTGTGGAGAAGGCACGGCAGGCCGGAGGCCATTTGACCTGGGGTTTTGTGTGGATGCAGTTGGGCGGAAAGCTGAATGCAATGTTGGACAAAAAGGCTTGAGGCAAGCTTAACGAATTGCGAATTTAGCTAGCCCCGCAAGCCCGGGGTATAAATTCACATGTCGACATGTCCATGTCTGTGGGGTGTTTTTTCTGAATACTCAATTAAATTAATCCTCGGATGACATGGGAAGCGAGTATATTGCGCAGGTACTTAAGACTTACTTACATCCATACCCGGTCTCGACTGGCTATTCTATGCTAGTCATTTGAATCGTTGCTAATGCACCTTAGCTAGCTTTCGCTCAAATTTCGAGCCCGAACCCTAGTTTATACCAGGTTTCTCAGGCCACCTGGACCGCCTGACCCTTCAGTTGCAACCAGAGCTAGAACTGATTGAGGTACTGGCTTGGTAAAGTCGTAACCAGGATCCGATGCCAAAGGCGGAGCCGGTACCGTCAAGCTCATCGGATCGTGGAACGCCAATTAACGTCAGCTGGAATTAAGCTGCACATCTATCAGTTATACCAAGGCTTCTCACATTGATCCATGAAAAGTTACCCGCAGCCCAAAATTGAGGAGGTCATCTGAACAGTTCACGAAATAATTCAAACTCACATATCAATACTAAAATTAACTGAAAAGCTATCATGAGTGTGATAGAGTTTGCAAGCCGCATATGCATGTTCGCGTCGACTAATCTAGGCCAAAGCCCTCGTTAAAGTATACGCTAACAGGTATCCTAAGCACACTAGAGAGGCGAAAGTCCAAACGGTTCGTATCGACAGACTATTAAAGGAACTCGAACGTCTATACGGAACAAGTTAACAGGCACTGCCACATTTCCCCGGCTAAGTTACAAGTACAAGTCCATATGTGGATCGACACAGCGTGGTCTTAAGATCTTCAGCGGGGGGGAGTTGAGCACTGACGTCTTGGACTTGCATTGAGGAACTTTTGCGAAATTAATTGATTTCCCAGCTAAATTATAAAGCTAGCCGGTTTGATGTTTGGGCAGCTGGTCTCGTGAATGCTGTTGATATATCCAGCCGTCTTATAAGCTCCTAAAATAAGGAACTGACTCGATTTCAGTTGACTTAATTACTATGAATACATAAGTACTTACTGATTTCAATATATTATTCTACTATCAATCTAGTACTAAATTGGAATGCAAAGTGAGGAGATAATTGTAAGTACATGTAGGTTCGAAATGTGATATTCTTTTGCAATTGCATTGTAGCATGTAGCCAGTGGCCAGCCTCCCTCGTACGTGCTCGACACAAATATCGCTCCAATGCAAGGCATCGGATCCTAAACATGCCGCAAGACATCATCAATTAAACATCATCAATTCAATTAATTAACCGTCTAAAATGATCCGATTTGATGCCTCGATGCAATACCACCCAATCCCATATTATCCAGCCTGGCGGAGCCCGGCTCATGCCTAGCCATCGATACGCAATATGCTGCAGGAACAAGTTCCAGAAGCCGCCACTTCCTATGTTACACACGTTCCCAACAGTTCTTTTTGATTAAAGCAAACAAACTCTCGAGCTTAGCTGCAGGCAAGTCTATATATCCGTGGATAGGTGTCTATATTACAGGCATATAATGACATTTTCGTCTTAGATATCTCGCCAGGTACGTATGCAGTTTCAAATCAGCTGTACGTTTGGAACCACATCCACGTCAAACAACGAAAAAGTACCATAAGCCAAGAGCTACCGAGTGGAGTTTTGAAGCGAGATTCAGGAACAGCAATATATCCGTTATGCTCCATGCTGAGACTTTTTTTTTAAAAAAAAAAACTTTGCAAACGCAAGGAAAGGATGCTCTTCATATCAGCTGGGTCCAAAGCTGCGATGTTACTTAAATCGAAGCTATCTCGAGATGCTCGGATGATTTCTCCAAGCCTCCCTGCAACTTTGACGTTTCTCTCCAGAATTCCTCGTCGAAATACCTTTTGCCCTTAAGCCTTCCCCCCTCGCCAAGTAACATAACCAAAACGGCCCCGGGTGGAGATTTATAACCGCCCATGCAGCAGAGCACAGTGCACAGTCAGCGGTCTTGAGAGCCGACTCCACTTTCGCCGCTCCTACTCTGCCGTACATTTACAAGTTGACTGTGGAACTCAGTCCAGTAATCATTGCTGCCTTCCTTTTACAGTCCCCGAAAAATCCCCCGTTATACATTGAATCCCCATAGTACAAGCTCGGTGTCAAATGGCTCTAAGCCCAGCTTAACAATCCTACTGCAACATGGCCAACGACGGCGTACATACTGCCTTTGCCAGGGCATCCAGACGACGCTCCTGCAACGAATGCCGCACCCGTCGGACACGATGCGAACTGAAGAGCCAGCCCGATGGGTCCATGAAATGTCTCTGGTGTATTAAGTACGGTAAGGAATGCGATCTGCCGGACGACGAGTCTCTCCAGCAGAATACTCCAAGACCACCAAATGACGGGTTAGTATATATACCAAGATTCATAATTTCCTTAGTTTGTCCCCATAAAATGTATGTAAGGCAGGCGTGGCTAAATAATTCGTCTTAAAACCCTCTATGAGTAGTTCGATGATTATGAACGGACAAACGTCCGCTCATGCGGGCTTCCAGCTTTCCGATCAATCTTTTCTCCCCACTGAAGAGTCGAGAGAAAAAATCTTACGAATCCGTCAGAATATCACGGAAAATAACTATCAACCCTGGACAGATATTGAGGGCACGGACAAGTTGTACATCGACCCGCCGCTCGCAAAATATATAGAAAACGAACTCTTCTTTGCGAAAGTACAACCCTACATCCCAATAATTACCAGGCAGTATGTAAAGACAAACAAAATATCCCCACTCCTGCGCGCCGCCATGTACGGCGTGGCTGCAAGATTGAACGGGGTGCTTGTTTCAAGTCGAGACTTTGTCCACATTAAGCAAGTCCTACATGCACAGCTTATGAGGTTGATGAACAATTATAAGCCGTCTCTACAGGCATTGATGGCTTTAACGTTGATTCATCTCACTGTCGAGTTACAAACCGAAGGAATCCATGATACAGAAGCATGGCCGATCAGGCTTGGGATGGTGAGTAAATATCACTCATAGAATTTACCATTAATGTCTTTCGAAAGTTAATCTCAAGATGTACGGGTACAGGCAGTTCGGATGGCACTGGAGCTGAAACTTCACAGGCGGTCGGCGCAGAGCAAGTATTCAGAGGATATGCAAGAGATGCGAAGACGGCTATTCTGGGCTGTCTTCATCAAAGACCGATGGTATGTTCTCCGTATCGGAGATTACATTTTCCAACTAAGAACTGACATCGCAATTTTTTGCCAGGACGAGCACAGGAAAAGGGTATCCTCTAATGATATCCTATAATGACATCGACCTCGACTTCCCAGACGTTAGAAACCTCGATCCGGGTTTTGAGAACACAAAACATCACTTCTTCGTTGAGTTAATACAACAAGCCATTGTACTTGGTAAATGCCACTCAGTTGCATACCGCGCGGATAGATTTACACACGTTGAAAAAAGAGACTTCCGCGAAGTCCAAGATTCCATAGCAGAGCTCGAGAATCGTCTTCGCAGATTCCAGACAATCTGCAAAGACTATGACAGCCAAGCGACACTCGCACTAAACTACGCTGCACTTAAACTAATATTCTACTACCCTTTCTTTCAGCCAGCCAATGCCGAAGAGAAGGTCAAGGCAGCAGGGTTCTTGCAAGATACCGTAAAGGTTCGACGAGAGCTAGCTGAAGCTGCAGTCTATGCTCTCGGGTACGCAAGTAAAGAATTGGTCCATAGCTGTCCTGCAATATGGGGTATTGGCTACTATGCCCAAGTCCGTTGCTTTCTGGCAGCATTGAGCATCAAGCTAGAGACAGCCATCGATTACCCCCAGGAGCTGCGAGAGGAAGCCAACAAAGCTTGTGACAAAGTTGTGGATATCGCCAGGCACATGTGTGAGGAGAAGCGGTGGAGCTTTAGACTGATGTCTGGAACATTGGTACTATTCTGCGAAAACGTTGCCGACGAAAGAAAGAAGGCTCTATCGCCATCCATGCAAGACACTGGTTCGGATGTTACACTCAGCCCTCAGCAGACCGATGTCAGCTCTACATCATCACAAAAACCAATACGGAAACCAAAAAGAAGTCGAGAAGAATATCATCATCATCCCTCACACGAGATACATTCGCTCTCGCTCGATGTTCAAAGTGCGCAGAACTATGACATGCGCATGCACATGGCGTTCCAAGACCAGAACGAATATATATCTCCTGTGGACCCGTACGCCAATGCATATACACCTTCATTTGCTAGCGCCCCGATGGTCGACGAATCTTTCAACATGATGCCAGAAGGAGCAACGAATTATCCCATGATGACCAGTGATGGGTTTGGAAATATGAACAGCTGGGACATGGGAACTATGTTCCAACAGGATTTCAATATCTTCAAGTAGGTGTTTACTAGTATTTAATCATCAGGTGGGGTATCTAACATGTGATACAGCTGGGGAACAATGGAAGAATTCCACGATTCGAATGGGGTTCCGAAAACCCAATATCCCTGAAATTGTACATGCGAAAGCATTGCTACCGTTCTAGGCACATGCCGAGGCGGGATAATCCTCACGACCCTATTGCTCAACGCTGAATGTTGGCAGTTTACGTTCGTTGGTTCGTTCGAGCTCATTCCTTTTTAGCTACATCATGGTATCGGATCTGGCGCCAAGGTTCAACAGCATCAGTTGGGTTTTTTTCCCTCACATAATGTTTATATTTAGGACCCAAGATTCACAAGATTGGGTTCTTTGTCTTTGTTTTTCTTTCCCCTCACACGGGCAATGTTGGATGTAGTATGCTTACTATGTAAGTACGAAAGTTTGTACGACAGCGACGTTTTCGGTTATTTTGTAGTACGTTATATTCCAATCTCCTTAGGATTCTTCGCAATTGAAGAAAACGCCCGGGTTCAAGTTTTTTGTACAATTATCATGCAAAGTATTAGTAATTGACCCTCTCTCATGCACGTAATCGGTAACTTGGCCTAGCGAAGTGCATTGCGTCTAGGGTGGAGTTCTGTGGAGTTCCGGTTGGGATCCGAATTGACTGCGGTTCCGAATTCCCGTCAAACACCGACTAAAATAGCCCAATGGTTGATAACGCTATTGCTAACGCTTTCAGGTAAGGGACTTGGGGCAAGGCGGATATAAATCGGCATGTGGACAGCTGATTATCAGATAGTGATCCTTAAGTCTCAAAGCTAGAAGCTAAGTTCCTATATCCCTCCCCAGCTTCTTCAACTTGCATGCTTACGTAGATCCTAGAACGCCCATAGTGTTATGTAGGAAACTCTAGAATCCGTTAATATCCACGGCCAAGTTTCTTAACTGCGGACTCACAATTGCAAATTTCGTGTTTGTTCGGCTGAAACCCACAAGCCTCTTGGCCCCAGAACAAGCTTACGAGCTGAGAAAGAACCCAGCCGAATACTACCAACTTGGCAGAAATACCGAGAGTATTGGCAGGATACAAGCAAAATGAAGCATCGATAAGCATACCTAAGAAAATGTATTAGTTGGGTTTGTTCGATGGGTTTAACCAACTGTGTGGTCTTGGATCTGCGAGTGGGATCCACTGCGCATGGGACTAGCATGGGTTTTATTTCTGGGCATCATTCATATCACAGCCAGAATAACCTCGTTTTGCCGCCTTTTCTTGCTCTGAGTATTTGGCAAGACACTTGCAATTGCCATGTTCGTCGGGATTCTGTCGAGCGCCTCGCACATCATATCCCATTGTTTTGACTATTTCCTGTATACATGGCAGGGTAGCATGTAGCATCGCGGGTTCATTTTTCGTGGCCTGCAAAACAACGAAAAAACATGTACAATGAAGACATCAAGGCCATGCTTGATGATGTCTAGGCTCTGCAAGGTCATCCCACGCTCTAGGTTCATCCTCCGAAATTTCTTCTCGGTCCACGGCCGGAAAGTGAAGGGGATAGAGCACACGGCGCAGTGATATGCAAGGGTTTGGCTCTCGGCACCGCCAACAAGGCTAATCCATTGGCCATCATAGGTTTGTTGGATGAGAAAAACAGGCGAATCTGGGAGGGTAAAAAAAAAAAACGTGTAAAGTCACTGCTTGATCTGTGATCAGTCGAAGTCCACCAGACGTGTATGAAGTATTTATCTGTATTGCTTTTCCCTTGTAGGAAGTGTGAAAATTTTCTTCTCCTTTTCTCACCGGTCGACCCTTTGGTCTCCTAAATCTTCTCTTTTCAATCGACCTGCCCGTAGTCGACAGACGACAAAAGCCCTTTTCTTTCTTTTGTAACCGCGAATTCCCGGGGTACTTGACCAGGAGGCTTGAAGGTGCACCTGGAGCGGCTGTTTGCTCGCATATTTTATTCATCGTCGCTATCATTTATCGATTGGTTGTGCATTACACATAACTTAATTCTCGACCGCTGGCGCAACGACGTCAACCATTCATTTTCTTCCAACAAACCAAACCTCAATTAACTAACCTCTCTTGGAGGATCACCATCGCGATTTCCCGTCTCCTTCTCCTCATTCATCAACCACGCTCCCACGTCCTATCATACCATCTCATCCCATATTACCTCCGATTGTTCGTCCGTTCGGCCTAGTAGGGTAAGGAGTTCCCTTCGACTCTCGCTAGTTTTTCGAATAGGCGCTTCTCGGTTCATACCGGGCTTGAACAGGCAGTTCAGAACTCTAACTCTTGCTGATAGTGACGTTCTGTGCAACTTGTGCAAACCACATCAGCCGTTACATCGACAAGGAAAACCGAGAAAGGGAAGAGAAGAAGAAAAGCTTAGTATCTAAACAAAAAGAATACCATCTGTCTGCTTCTTTTTTTTCTTTCCTTCTTTCTGTTGCTTTATTTCCTTATTTCTTCCTATCTTTCCTTCCATTTCATTGCGAACCCCCAGAAGGACGGCAAAAGCGGCATTAGCGGCCAAAAGCAACCAAATACCTGTGCTATTCTAAACGCATCCATTCCTTGCAAGGCTTTGCGCAACAGCATTGGACGCAGCTGTCACTCAGGTAGCTTTGTCTCAAACCCTTCGAGCTAGTCATACCTCTGTTTGCCCCTCACTGTCTGCCAGTGATACGGTATTTCTTAAGCCCCGAGTTCCTCCTAGCGCATGCATAAACGTCCACAGCCCTCGCCGTCGCTAGAGTTGGTTGCTTTTATATTCAACAAGCCCCCATAAGGACGTCAATCAACTATCCCCCACAATTCGTCACATCATAGGAGGAAACCCAGAGAAGGAAGAGGCAATTAGGAAGCGGAGGATTTGTAGAGAGGGAAAGTTCTGTTCAATAGGTCCCAATTAACAGAGCGACAAAATGGCCTGGGATCACTTAAGTGTAAGTGAACATACTTCTGTTGCGATTTTCGTGTTGGCCCTTTCAACGACGTCTATGCCTTCAGCTTCTCGGCCTGGATGTTGCTAGAAAGGGAAAATTCCAGATTGGGGTTTGTCGTGTTACACGATCGCCGAGCGGGACTGATCAATGCACTGCAATGAACAAACGGATAGCTAATATTTCCTCTGTGTCTTCCAGATCAACCGGCCACATCTGGCATACATTATTCTGGGAGGCTTTACCTCCCTTTTCATGTTGGTCTCTTTGTTCGTTAAGGAAAAGCTTTACATCGGTGAAGCTACGGTTGCAACCATCTGTGGTGTTATATTTGGCCCATACGCCGCAAACCTATTCGATCCGAACAGTTGGGGAAATGTGGACCAAATTACCTTGGAGTGTAGCCGAATTGTTCTTGTAGTACAGTGTTTCGCTGTTGGTGTCGAATTACCCAAGGTTGGTGGAGCTCCCTTCGGAGGAATTGAAACAAGATTGCTAATCATATCGTAAACTTAGGCGTATATGACTCGTCACTGGAAATCCGTCGTTTATCTCCTTATTCCCGTTATGACCTTCGGATGGCTTGTCGTATCTGTGTTCATCTGGTGGCTCATAAAGCCTTTGTCATGGCTAGACTCACTTTGCATAGCAGCTTGCGTCACCGCTACAGATCCTGTGCTTGCATCTTCGGTCGTGGGTAAGGGTAAGTTCGCGAAACGAATTCCGAAGCATCTTAGAGATCTTCTGTCCGCGGAGTCCGGTTGCAACGATGGCATGGCTTTCCCATTCATCTATCTTGCCATATATCTTATCCACTACCGACCTAATGCAGGCGAGGTCTTTTACCATTGGTTCGTTTTTACCGTTCTCTACGAATGTGTCTTCGGAGCGGTCTTCGGATGTTGCGTGGGATACGCGGGACGTCGACTCATAAAATGGGCCGAAGCCAAGAACATCATTGATAGAGAAAGTTTCTTGGTGTTTTATTTTACCTTGGCTTTGTTTTGTGCTGGTGCAGGAAGTATTCTCGGTAAGCCATAAGTTACCCAAAATCTTTTTTTTTTTTTTTTTCATGAATTGGCTGCTAACTAGTAGATAGGCGTTGATGATCTCCTTGTGGGCTTCTGCGCTGGAGTCGCGTTTAGTAACGATGGCTGGTTCGCGCATAAGACTGAGGAATCTCATGTGTCCAACGTCATTGACCTGTTACTAAACTTGGCATACTTCGTTTACTTCGGCTCAATCATTCCATGGGACATGTACAATCGACCAGAGTGGGGCTTAGAACCCTGGAGACTGGTATGTATCTCGATATTGGTCATCTTCTTTCGCCGAATACCCATTATGGTTGTACTACGGCCTTTCATACCGGACATTAAGACTTTCCGAGAGTCTCTTTTCGCTGGCCATTTTGGACCTATCGGCGTCGGTGCTATTTTTGTCGCTATTCTCGCTCGGTCAGAACTTTCAACTGGAAACGCTGCAACGCCACTCGCTGTACTCCCGGACCCTGACAGTGACTTTGAAAATCTCCTCTTGATTGAGGTTATCTGGCCCATTGTCACGTTTTTGGTAATATCTTCGATTATTGTTCATGGATCTTCCATTGCCGTGTTCACGCTGGGTAAGCGCATCAACAGGATGACTCTCACAATGTCATACACCACTCAAGGTCCTGAAGAATCCTGGGTTAGCCGACTTCCATTCCTAAACCGTGGCCAATCAATGTCCATAAGGAAACCAGAGGAATCGGACAACGAAAAACTCCCCGGCGAAGGGCAATTCCCTCCTGGTGCTCTGCCACCTGCAGGCGGTATCCCTGGAGGCTTCGGCGGCGCAAGGAAATCTAGTGGACGCATGAGCGGCTCTGAGGCCGCACCTCGACGCCGTAATGGTCTGGGTAGACCAAAGAACCACCATGGAACGTCGGTATCTAGCGAACGTCTACCACCTCCAGAAGCTGTCAATGTCCATATTCCACCCGAGGGCAACGCTTACCAAGAAGGCAATGAAATCCTAGTCGAAAACGCAGAGGGCGACGTGGTCAGCCAATTTAGAAGGCTCTCTGACGGCAGAATCGAGGATACATTCGACGAATCAAAGGACACACGTGCAGGTAAACCTGGTACAGCACTACCTCACCCAGCAGAAATTGCCGACGAGTTTGTCCACCAAAATGAACCTCCTCGTGGCAGGGAACGGCGTGGATCTGATGCCCACCGAAAACGTGGCACTGCTACTGCTTACCAAAGCGGTAATGACGTCATTGTTGAGGATGAAGACGGTGAAGTTATCAAGGTCATTCGCACAAACACGAACACCGAGCGAAGGGATACCATCTTGGGCATTCCCACTGGTCGTCGACCAAGCTTGCAGAAAATCGGATCTTGGTTGACTGGAAAGTCGACTGCTGGTGAAACGAGCAATCCCCCGCACCGAGAGCAAAATGATGAAACTATGTCTATCAGATCCAATGACGAGCACGGGGTTCACCTTCACAATCCGTTCCACGGTGGACGTATGAGTCGAAAAGAGATTGTTGACCATTTCCAAACCATTGATCCAAGATACCGCTCGAAAATCGCAGAAGCCCACAACATCCCCCAAAAGTTAGTCGCGGAAGCTGACCGACTTGACGACGACGAGAGCGGCACATATTCTCCAGGGAACGCTAGTCGAAGCCGAAGTGGAACTGTCACGGGTCCAACAGATCAAGTTATCGAGAAGGCCGTTGCGTCTGCTCGCTTGCCTGATCCAGGACTTGCATTATCGAAGATGCAGAGCACCACTAGCGCTGACCACCCTGAAAATTTCGAGGAGGAAACTCCTGCCGAACGTCGTAGAAGGGAGGGTGCCCTAGGATTGGGAGGTGAAAGGAGTGACAACGGCGGCTCCTCGCAGCATCACCCAGAAACTGAAGCTGAACGCCGACGTCGTGAAGCTGCACTCAGCTCGACCGCCGATGAAGACGACAGTGAGGACGATGGTACCGAGCGCCAGCAGCCCACCAGACGTGGTATCCGCTTTGCCGAACAGGATAGGAGGGGAGGTTAGGGGATTATGAAGGTCAGGCTGGAGAACATGTCTTGAGATGGTTTGATTTTTCTTTTTCTTTTTCCAATATTTATTTTCCTTTTTGACAGCCTTGGTCTTGCAATGAACACCAAGCAAATCAACAAGGCGCGCACGCACTACTATTACAAAGTACTAGATATCCCTCTACGTTTGTTCTTATTATTTTTTTTTTTTTTCTGATTCCTGTTTGTCAGAACTGTTTGCATTCATATTTGGGGTTGTGGTCATGATAATGAGGGGTTTCTGTTTTTTCTGCTTATACCTTGACCTTTATTGCACATTATGATATCCTATTGTTCCTTTTTATTCTTCTTCGTTGTTTATTATTACCACTACCACTTTTAGCGGGGCACGTTCATACGGGAATACCTCCTGATGTCTGTTTTTCTTACTATGGTTCTCTTGTTATTAATAGTATAACTTGATGTGGATAAGAAGAAGCATGGATGATGGCGCCCAAGTTACGGCGAGAACATTACCTTTAGCTTGTGTAGCTAAACTTGATAGAAATGCAGTTGAATGAAATTTGAAAACCCATGTAATGTGCAATTCGTGGTAGAAGATTCGCTGATGATGAGTGTTTCCTGTTGCCGAAGTCCATACATAAAGCATTCATACCGAGACTTAATATTAATAATTGAAGCAATACAGGGTCTAGCTGCCAACCAACCAATTAACCAACCAACCAACTGATACCCTGGATCTTGATTGTTAACATGCACGTTTCGAACTCTCTGCCCGCCAAACGTGGCAGATGGGGAAATAATATGCGGCGTCGCGAATCGCTGCATGCAAGTGCAAGGTTCCCAGATGTCCAGAGCTGGGCTAGGCATAGACCAACTACAGATGCCTTAAAGGAACAACCAACTTGACAATCTAACTCGCAACTTTTTGTGAAAGAATGTAGGGAATCTTTTGAAATATTTCCAATCAATACAAACGGACACTTTCCAAAGGAGACGGCTAGAAGCAGAATAATTACGATGACTCGTCATGTCAGACTTCTGAACGAAAAAAATTTCCTCGCGATACAGGAGATGTCCCTCCTGATTCATGGCCCAACCGAAAATCTCTACCACAACCATGGCAAGCGTTTTTTATTTATTTTTATTCTCCCGCCACCAGGACGCCATGGATGATGGAATTGAGAAGTTGCTGAATCTGGAATTTCGAAGGTCCTCACCGTCTTCAAGGGGCTCTTTCCCATTCGCTGATGAGTAAACTTCGGGACGTCGGGACGTCCCCTGTTCGAACATTCCCCCCGTTTTATCTTCATGACTTCATAATCTCCTTCTGAACGCCGGAATAAGACACGAAATGGACCACCTTCCTTGGCTCTTTGGCCGTGAGTGGAAAGACTCGATGAGATCTTGCGGTGCCTGAATGGTCCGGGTTGCTGGAATGGACCCGGCTGCTTGGATCATGGGCCGGTGCTGTGCATAATCTCCCACCATCCCCTTTCCGCTGCACTAAACCCTGTTACAACAGCTATTCAGCTAACCAGTAGGAATTTTAGAATTTCTTGACGATTCATTCTCACCACAAAGCATGACCGGCGGCTCAATTGTCAGCTGGCAAACACAAACTGCATTCGTGGCTTCATCTTTCCAGCGCTTGTGGCACACAAAGGAACGAAGACTAGCAAACCTGCCATGCCGTGCCGACACATATGGCACAGTATTTCGGCCCGCGGTGTTTTGGTGTCTACCTGTTTCAGGTCTTCATTTGACGGACACAAGAGAAGAATTCTTTAAGATTACACCACTGAATCCAAGAAAGCCGCTTACGAGAGGAAGAAACGGTGGATGTTTTCTTTTCTTCGCCAGTTGCTTTCTTGAATTGTCCCACCAAGGAAAACAGGCAACTGCAGGTTCAAAACCATGAGGTCGATAGGGAAAGGATCCCTTCCTCTCGCTCCGGCCCTGCGTGCATGAGATCAAGACACGCTCACACGTTTTGATCCAGCTTGCTTTTTTGACTGCTTTCACTTTCAGGGGTTAAGCTCATCGCAAAAAAAGAAGAAAGACTGGCTGCTTTTTTACAACCCTCGCCTGCTCCAACAGTTATTACACAGTAAACATGGATTGCCCATGGATAATGATGTCCATGGAAATTATATCGAAGTAGTCTAAGTTGGAGCGTGTTTGAGACGAACCAAAAAAGGGAATCCGCCCTTGCTTCTGGAAGCTTTCCAAATTAATCTCCTGGTGTGAGGCCAAGGCTGAACCAGAAACCCCTTGGCCCCCACCACTCTTTTCTCTCCTTGATGTCGAGGGCATTGTTTCCTTGGTCAGCAGCAATGTTGGGAGAATTGAGGGGGCATTTGAATTGGAGGGCATCGCGGGTTCCTGGTTCCTGAGCCCGCCGTTATGATGATTTAAAGAAGCAATTTATCTGTATCGAGCAAGTCATTTTGCTTATTCCTTGCTCATCTCCCCCTCCAGATGCCCTTGATCCCCCCTCCTCTCATCTCTCCGGTATATATACAATACAGGACGACCAAAGGGGACGAAGAGGGACTTTTTTTTACTTCCTTTCCCAATTTTTTCCCCATCTCCCCCTCTCTCATCTCTAAAAACGAAGAATAAGAATATTTCCTTTGCAAGGAATTTTCGACTTTCTCATTCAATTCCAGGCTTTCTTCACCCAAAATCAAAAACGGTCTTGCATACATCTCACCCAGCATATCAACCGACACAGTCAGTAAAGCGTAGGATCTGATACTGCACTGCCTTCTTGCATTGCGGAATCCCAGAAAATATCGTGGTTCAAGATCTTTCCAGACAACCGTGCCCAACCAAAAACAAAAAAAAAGAACCAATTCTGCTACCGAATTGAAATCCCCAGTCCACCTCGGAAATCACCCGCCTTGAACCGGGGCACGGAATCTTTTTCGCTGTTCATCATATTTTTCGGAGGGCACACCTTTCGGAGAGAGAAGAAGAAAAATATAAAATAACGATTTATCGCCGTATCAGGTAGTGCCTGATCACACTTTGTTAACCAATTTAAGGAATAAACCGGTAGCGTAGTACCTGGTTCGCATCGAGGGTCTGTTTAGGAGGACCGCCAAATTTTGGTTTTTATTGTTCGAATTTCATCAAGTCTTCTTGAAAAGGGAATTCTCCGATAAAGTAAGTAACAGATATTTTCAATTCCTTCGAATGAAGTCGAATAGGTTTTTCGGGGCCCTTTGATAAGAAGAGAGAGGTTCCCCGCTGCAGTCCATTATAGTTCCCGACATCTTTGAGTCTTCAACGACGTATGTGTGTATTATAAGAGGAAAGCGGCAGGATACACTTTCTATATCACTCCTTCGTCGACATTCGGAATAGGCTAGCCCCAGCTATTCCTCTTTTCTTGACTGGTGTATCCATCCCAGGGCAGTACACATACTTACTAACAAATAGCCTAGTGTCAAAGGTATCGACACGCCACTCACCAATCCATTAGTGCATGTGCCTAGCCCGGGCGGGGTGATTAAAAAGCGGGACCCGCCAACAGCAGTAGCAAGCAATTAGCAGGAGTGCCGAGTTCAGCAAAAGAGGAGAGAAAGATCAGAAGGAAGGTTATTTCAAGAGAAGTTCAGCTTTGAGCTTTTTCTTCCAGAAATATTCTTTTCTGATAACCCGGAATCCAAGATATAAAATTAACGTTAACGCCGGGAAGTGGAGGCTGTCATTTTATATATATTTATATATACGCACAGTGTGGTACATATAAGTCCGGATCCATTCCATCACACAGGCTAAGAGCCACCGAGAAAATTCCAACCAATCGAAACTCCGACTCGTCCACCGAACCCGGTACGATACGCCCTTCTTACTTTGGAGAACCAGCACATCGACACTTCATCCGCTGTGCCTGTAGCCCCTTCCATCTTGCATTCAGCTGCTGCCACGGATTATTGACGACCACGGACGTACATACACGCACGAGTTTCCACGACTAGAGGACCTCCTCAATTCCCCGGATTTTACTACTGTTAACCATTACTATTACTATTACTTCCACTTCCACTTCAACTCTCCTCTCCTCGCTCCATTCATCGATCTCTCTCCTAAATATATCACACCGGCTCTCTCACTCACATCTCCTTTATACCCCCTGTTTCTCTATACCTCCTATTATCACGAGTTTATAATAAAAAAATGACGACAACGCCTCCGACAAAGCGAGAAAGCTCGCCAGTCTCCCCCCTTCGGGCCTCCTTTGCCAACCTCAACGCAGATGATCATTCTTCCGCTACTGCCGCCATAAGAGCTGCTGCCGGTCATACAAGACACGAATCTCTCGAAAAATATACCAGACGAGATTCTACCGCCAGCGAGAATAGAAATGATGAGAGCTATAGAGACCGTAGCAGTGTCAGCAGCCAGGGAGGGTCCGGAGCCAAGAAGAATTCGTACGTATTATATCTTTGTTCTTTAAGGTCATATGTAGACGATATCAAAGGAAGCACTTTCTAACTGGAAGAAAAAAAATTTTTATACAAACAGTGTTGTCATCAAAGTCGGAATGGTTGGAGACGCACAGATCGGAAAGACCTCGTTAATGGTCAAATACGTCGAAGGAAGTTTCGATGAGGATTACATCCAGACATTAGGTTCGTTCTTCAACGCCGATAAAGGGATTGACGTCAGACCGCTCCCCTTCCACGTCCTCAAACCACGCGAATCCAAAGCAATTCTAACTTTAAATCAAAACCTAAATAGGCGTTAATTTCATGGAAAAGACGATATCAATACGGAATACCGAAATTACATTCTCGATTTGGGACTTGGGTGGCCAGCGTGAATTCGTGAACATGCTGCCGTTGGTGTGTAATGACGCCGTGGCTATCCTGTTCATGTTCGACCTCACCCGGAAGAGCACACTGAACAGCATCAAGGAATGGTATAGACAGGGACGAGGTCTCAATAAGGTACATCTTACCTCCAACAATGCGGAGCAGAACAGAAAAAGCTAATCGTAACATAGACCGCTATCCCCTTCCTCATCGGCACGAAATATGATCACTTCGTCAATCTCTCCAAAGAAGACCAGGAAGAAATATCCAAGCAAGCGAAACGTTTCGCCCGCGCAATGAAAGCCTCCCTAATCTTCAGCTCGACATCGCATAGCATCAATGTCCAAAAGATTTTCAAGATTGTATTATCGAAGGCCTTCGACCTAAAATGCACGATACCCGAGATCGAAAATGTCGGCGACCCGTTGCTGATCTACCAAGACGTCGAAGCCGGCAACCGGTGATTGATAGCAGCGGCTTCACAGAACCAATCGTCTCTATTATTACCTCCAGCTTACATCCACGCACAGCCACTCCGTTACTTTTCCATCTCGATATTCCTCACAACCGTCCCTGAAACCCATTCGATCCTGGCATGTTAATTCTCTTTTAATACTGCCGCATATATATTTCCCTATATAGCATACCTCTTTCCTCTTTCCCTTTTTTCCTTTCTCCTTTTCCTTTCTTATATATTATACCTCTTACAGGCATTGGGTCAACCGGGGCGACATCTGCGTTTTTCTTCTTTTGTCCTTGCAAAGCACGTTTTTTGGTTTTTCTCTTCAGTGTAACGGTGTTATTACGGCTGTCGTTGGCATTCTCCTTTTCATACCATTTGGTCTTCCTTTTTCTATATCTTTTTTCCTTTCCCTTTTGATACCACCACTCTCGCTTTTCCTTCCAAAAATATTTTCCACTGTGTGATACGCTTTTCTTTTTATTATATTACTATTATTTTTTTTTCCTTGGACATGATGACGATATATATATAGTCATATAACCGGTACAAGTAAGTATTAATAGCCTTTCGTTTCTGATGACGGAATTCCATCCCTTTCTCTAAAAAAAAACTAGCATGGCGACTCTCGTTTTTATTCTGTTACTGCATCTCATATCTATTTTCCTTTTTCCTTTCCATTCGTTTCCTTTTCAGATGGGTTATTATCCCTCCTACCATTGGTCTTGATGGCGTCATATTGCTTTCTTCTTGTTTGTTTCTTAAATATAAAAATCTCAAATTTACGTCTTGGATAGTCTCGGGGCCAGTCTATATCACTACTCTGCGTACTCTTTTTCTTATAAACTTCTTTAGAATAAAATTTCAACATTTATTAAACGGTAAATTGATAAATTATATATATATTACTGGAAATGGAATCGAAGGCATGATCATAATTATATACTTAATATCATGTATCAAATCGCACCACGACTAGTACGTACACTACATACACATACGCATACATACATATCCCTCCATCTCGTATTTAACCAAGCCTCATGCATGGCGCAACAGTCGATTGATCGAGACCTCCATATAAGTATAATACTTTATAGGTATATAAAACCCCCCAAATTATGACGGCACGAGGCGTTTTTAGCGGCATTCATAACATTTGGGCGAGGCCGAAGGGAGGGGATCTCGGACCGCAGGGCTTATCGGACCAAGGAAGAAAAAAAAGTTACTAGTGGCTCGAAACGAGTCAATGCGAGGGGGTGGAAATTCATGCATGCACAGAGACTCTTATGCATCGGCTCTCGCTCTTACTCGCACGGTGTCCGAAATGTATTTTACCTTTTATCTAGCCGTTTCCGGAGGACTATGTGTATATAAATATATATATATATACCTTACGTCCAAGCGGGAGTGTCGTCGGGTTAGATAGATAAACGCACGGATGGGGTAGATCACGATTTACGGGTTTAAAGTCCGATCTGAACGGTTGAGGCAAGGGAGTCAAAGGGCTGAAATGTATGAGTCTATACGTACAAAGGGAGTCCGGTGAGGAAAAAAAAAAAAAAAAGAGACAGCAAGGGAGAATCGACCCCGATCGATATACAGGAACTTCCCCTTCCAATCCTTCACGCCGTCGTCCACCAGGGATAAAAAAAAAAACTTCCAAAACGTATCTTCGGCATATTCCATCCTGTATATTCCGCACGCTTTTCCTCGCAGCGGTCAAGCTGAGATGACGATATAGATAGCACAGCTCGGTATGCAAGGGCGGAGGCAGGTAAGGGAAGGGCTTATCTTTCCTCGACACATAGAAGCAAGGTCTATGTAATCAAGGAAGGGGTTGAAGAAAGTGATAGAAGTAAAACCCTTCCCCCACACGGAGCGGCGTAGGATCCCCTTGCGGGATCTTCCTCGGATAGAACGCCATTATCGTCATCGGGAGCCTCACTCGCGTGAATACACGATAAAACGGGAAAACAAAACATGAATTTCTGATATGGTGAGCAAGCAAGGGTGTCAAGTTCAGACCAGCTCTGTCACTGGGGGCCACCTCTCACTTCATAGATAGCAAGATATACACATCAGCCAGGCATTACCCTCGAAAGCCCAGCGCCTGTCCTCAGGAGCAGCTGATGCCTTAAATGGATATCTGATAAATGGCAGGGAAATGAACACAAAAAAGACACACACACACACACAAACACACAAAAGAATGGGCAATCACTTCTTCAAAACTTGCTCCAATGCCGCGTGAATTTTCTGATACATCTCCCGTTGAACCTCAACCGGCATCTTCCGCCACATCTCATCTTCAACTTTGTGTAAAACCTGGTGGTAATCGGAAACAGGTTCTCCGGAGGAAGAGGTGGCTTGTCCACCAGCGTGGGAGCTTTGTTGTGCAAATACCGCTGCTGAGGCTGCTCGACGGGCTTCTTCGTACCAACCGCAAATGTGGAGTTGCTCGACGAGGTGGCTGAGGAGGCTATTTAGATTTTAGTCAGCATTTTTAAATCGAGAATAGATGAGAGAGGAGGAGTTATATGCTTACCGCTCACGCTGGCCTCGCTCGCTGAGCTTGAGATTGACTTGGGCTTGGAGGGAAACTTGTGGCGCCATGATCAATGTTGGGAAGGCTGTGATTTTGAAGTGGTGGCGGTTGTTACTATATATTGATGGTTGCTATCGTGGATGAAGGAGGGAGGAAGAAGTAGATAGGAAGAACCCTGGAAGAGGAAGGGACCCTTTGTAACAGATAAGGCTCAAAGAGTGAGAGAGTCTTTAAACAATCAAAGGAACTCGGAAAGCTGCTGGATGCTATCTTGACGCGTTACCATGGAAGTTGTAGATGGAAGCGCATCCACGTCGCATGGCGATCAGGTTCAGGGATCGCATCTGTGTTGTCGCGAGGTGATGAGCGCCAAGACACAAGCCAAGACTTGTTGCAGATTTGACGTTGAACCAACACTTTTTAGGAAACGAACCTTTTTTTAAAGAAAAAATTAATTGAGCCAGTCCGTCGCAAAGAAAAAAAAAGTAGCACCCCGCCAGGACCATAACTTCTCAAACTCCCATCCTCCTACTCGTTCCCTACCTAACCATCCACCCCCATCCATATCTAATCCCGACAGACACCACTACCACGAAGCAATGGCAAAACGACCAAACGAATTCACAGAGGGCGACCTCGATAACCTAAAAAATGGTGAACGAGCAGGCAGCACCGCCAGACTAGGTGAAGCTACGACACCAGTAAAGGACGGCATGGGCGAGTTCGAAGATCCATATGAAGACGAAATGGAAAGCGACGAGGACGTCGTAGAGGCCGGCACAGCTTCTGAAATGGAAGAAGACGAAGATGAAGACGAGGGTAAATGCCATAATCCAACCTTCAATACAAAAGCTATAAGCTTTCGCTAATACAATCGGTCAAATAGCAATGGATGTCGATACAGAAGCATACAGAATATCGCGGCCTCAGGAACCATTAAAAGAAAATGAAGTGCTAGAACCAGACCCGAGTGCTTTCCACCTGTTACACAATATGGGGACAAAGTGGCCGTGTCTGTCGTTCGATGTCTTACAGGATAGCTTGGGTGATAATAGACAGGCCTATCCGGCGACAGTATTCCTCGTTACCGGCACACAAGCTTCCAAAGCTAAGGAAAACGAAATAACAGTCATGAAGTTGAGCGGGCTGTCCAGGATAAAGCAAGGTATGCCCCTCCCAATCTCCCAAATTCACCTCATTAAGCTTCTCTAACAATGCCATACAGACCCCGAAGACTCCGAAGACGAGGACGAGGATTCCGATGCAGACGAAGACTCCGACCCTATTCTCGAATCCCGCCATATCCCACTAAATACAACCACAAACCGTATCCGTACATCTCCATTCTCCCTTCAAAACTCCGAGTACCTAACAGCCACAATGCTCGAAACCGGTTCCGTAAATATCTACAACGTAACACCTCATCTCACATCTCTAGAATCCCCGGGAAACCCAATCCCTCCAACCTCCAACCAACCAATCGCAAGTCTATCCATGCACCGAGGTGTAGAAGGTTACGCAATAGACTGGTCACCATTAATCCCCCAAGGCCGTCTCCTAACCGGTGATAACTCCGGTAAAATCTTCCACACAACCCGTAACGAATCCGGAAAATTCATCGCCGAAACCTCGCCATTCACAGGCCATACCTCCAGTATCGAAGAAATCCAATGGTCTCCATCGGAACGTACAGTCTTCGCCTCAGCATCCGCGGACGGAACCGTTAAAATCTGGGACGTTCGACAGAAGAACAAGAAGTTCGTATTAAGCGTTGACGTCAGCTCTTCGGATGTCAACGTAGCCAGTTGGAACCCTGGAACGCAACATTTACTCGCTACGGGTGCGGATGATGGTGTATGGGCCGTTTGGGATTTAAGAACTTTCTCTAGCAGTGCTGGGAATGTTAGCGCCGTTGCAAGCTTTAGTTGGCATCAACAACCCATCACAAGTGTGGAATGGAATTCGAATGACGATACAGTTGTGGCAGTTGGAAGCGCTGATTCGACGGTTACGCTGTGGAATTTGGCTGTGGAGGAGGATACGGAGGAAGGTGGTAAAGCCGGTGGAGCTGGTGATGCACCCGATCAGCTGATGTTTGAGCATTTCTGTGAAGGTGTGAGGGAGGTGCATTGGGTTAAGCAAGTGCCCGGCATGGTAGTAGCAACGGGAGAGAAGGGGTTCAGTGTCTTCAAGACAATCAGTGTATAGAAGATTACCTAAATGTAATAAAGAGAAGTCATATACAGGTCAAGAATATTTGGGGCATATAGCAAGTACAATGTGCGTGCAGGAGTTTCTGGGAGGCATCAAAAGTTACGTTATATATAGATATTCAAATCATCTGTTCCGAATATAATTTTGATATTAGAGAGTATACTATTTAGATAAACAAAGCGGGCCCGTGAGCCCGTGAGCCTAGTTCCAAGCTTGTAGGTGGTGCTTTTTATGAGAGCCCAAAAATGCAAGAGGGATCTGGTAGGTAGGTAGTAGAGGTAAGAAAGAAATGAACCAGACGCCGGTACATGTGTGCTTCGCGAAACCCTCACAGCATCCTCCGTACAAAAAACAAACTCCCCAATCAATTCGGAAAGAGAGTTATTGACAAAGGAAATGGCTAATCTTACACCCCCAATATGCTAACGTAGAATTGCAATGCACATTCCAAGTAAAAACGGCGACAGAAACTCCAACGAACGCCAAAAAAAAACCACCCAAAAAATACTATTAATATTTTTCATTGTTTTTTATAAAATCTTTATCCTGTTCCCAATTGTAAAAAGTCTATTAGTCTTCTCTTGATTTACCTTTATTCTTCGTTATACTTGGATATTGTATTTCGCCTTCATCAGCGCTATGGTCTACACCTTTTATACTCGCCATTGACGAGCCTTCTGCTTCTTCCGGTATCACTGTTGGATCCAACGGGCGTCCCAGTAGTTTAGTGGGAGCTGCACTCTTCGACGACAGTGGCAAATTTGGGCCTATACCCTCCGGTTGGTGTGGGACCAGTTGATGTTGGTGTGAGTGAGAGTGTGAGTGAGAATGCGAGTGCGAGTGCGTGGGGCCTTGTACGTGATGACCTCCTTCATTTGGATTATATGGTCGTGGGTTCACAGGTGTCATCCTTACGCCGCCATTATTAGGACTAGCCCGGTATTGCCAAGAACCTGTTGAGGATGTTCGAGCGCTCCCGCTAAGAGAAGCTGTCGAAGACCTAGTTACCGGTGGTGGAGGCGTGATGTTTTGTGTCCCGCTGGCGCTGTGGGTGTGCATATGACGTCGTGGTGAAACCGGTGGCCCCGCTGTACTTCCTTCTGGTAGGTCAAAATCGACTGAATGCCGGAGTCGAGACGCAGGTGATGCCGATGAGCGGTTAAGAGATTCTGTGCCCGATGTAGCCCGGATACTCTTTTGGTTTGGATGCTGTTCAAATCTGGTGACCATCACATCGCTAGTATTGGAGGGACTACTAGATGTGCCTTCCGAGCTGCTTTGGTTACTACTACCGCCGGCGCGGATCCGCTCGAGCTCTCGGTTGCGCGCATCCTCCACATCCTGCGGGTTTACTGGATTACTGCCTCGGGCTTGCGCAGGGATGTATGTAATTGGGAAGGGTTCATGGGGTTTGACTTTGTCAGTTGAAGGTTTCCGCTTCCAGATGCTTTTGAAAAGAGATGATGTCGGTTTCTGTTCTTCGTCTTCTGCATCCTCCTGATGCAGCAGGTTGGGTTGCTGCTGTTGCTCATCGACTTGGTCTGGCGGTGTATGTCTTATATGAGCTGGTGAAGAGTGTCGAGAACGACTTTGCACTTCCGGGTCTATCGAATGATGGTCTCCGAATGTGTCATCTTCCGTTGAACTCTGTGCAGATACATGATTTGACGGTGGATCAAACAAAATTACTTGTTGACCAAGCGCAGATTCGTGCCTTATATTCCCATCCTCAACATCCGGTATCTTCTGAGCCGGCCAGTTCGGCTTGCTATCTTCTCCCTTACGAAACCACTTCAAAAACGCTAAACCCTTCCCAAGCCCCAGAGGCCCATGAGATCTTGAACCCTCAGGCGAGAAGTCCTCAGGATTAAATGGTGCCTGCCCTGTCCGATAAGTATGGGGAAGTGCTTTCGACTGTCCAAGACCTGGGGATTCTGTTACTGGGCGACTAATGTCCGAAAAAGTGATAGCTCGTCTCGGGCCACTGATACCCGTTTCATTGGAAGGGGTATTCGCAGGGCTGATTGCAAGGTCGCTAATAGTGCTCGTCCCACGGTTCGTCTCACGTGCTGACGATGTCGATCTGCTGACTGTGCTGCTCGGTCGGGCTGTCTGACTCGGCGGCGTCTGCGTTGGATGTACCCTTATAACATACGTCGTAGACCCAGAAGCAGCCATCGATAACGGCGGTGTTGGGCGTCCAGGTGAATTATCGGCAAGTTTTCCTTTCTTGTTTGCTTCCGAGTTCATGACATATCCCATCTTTTCGTCTGAATTGAGAGGACGACCGAGCGCTCCTGTAGCGCCGCCTCCACCGCCTCCACCGCCAGGTCCGTCGTCTTTATCGCCGCGACTACTGCCGCCCCAATCCACTACCCGCCCCCCAATTCCCTGGAGCATCTCGTCTCCTTCAAACACTTGACGGCCGAGTATACCAGCGTGTATGGTCTGTTTTTCGAAATACTCTATTCTATCGGCCATTTCCCAGACTATAACACTTGCAGCACAAGCACCAATCTATTCCCCTATTAATATCGAGTATAAAGATAGTTATCCACGCAATCGATATTGGAAACTTACCCATCTTACAAAATCACCCCAACCAGCAAGATCTTGATTCGAGATATCAACCACAAAAAAAACGAGTGGAACAAATATCGTAGCCGTCGTAATTAGCGCAATAAGCGGCATTGCAACTTTGGAAGTATCCCCCGCATATTTATGCCGATTATGGATCGACCAAGGCATCATGACCGAAAACTGTCTGTGGCTGAACATATAGTACAACACACAGCAGGCGTATAGTAATGACAGTGCGATCTGTAAAAGATACGATAGGGCTGGTATTGCATCTAGAAACCTTTTCGGGGATCCTTGTTTTGAAAAGAAGTTGTTGATGACGTTAAAGACCGTGTCCAAGACTATCAGAACCAGACCGGCCCATTTTATGACCAGCTTTTCGCGGTGCCGGGGGAACAGTCGTATGAGGGTTTGAACCTGCGCCAGATATAAAAATGTGTCAGATATTACTCTAACGATTTGTATTTTCAGCCCTTTGAGGATATGAATCCGAATTTGAGCGCCATTCGAATATCCATGTGCGTGTTGGTATTCCACAATCTCGTTCAACTCGGCCCAGGCAATAGTAAGAGATATAACAACGGTAAGGGTGGCCGCTTTCTGTAAAATAGGCCGCGACCCAGGAGGCGATATTAAAAGAATTATAAGTAGGATATAAGCCAGTACTGTAGTGCCGCCGATCGCGTAGGCCATAGGTATCGAACCTATTTGTTTTTTATGTACGTCAGTTCATCGTTCTTCCAAATAGGCAGCTCTAGCCAGGTTCCTGCATACTTGAGTAGAACGGATCTCGCAAATCGGACTGCGGGACTCGAGGCCCTAGACTATCATTGCTGTCAAGATAGGATAATGTGTCGTTTATTAAGCATATCGGAGTAAACGTAGCATCGGCTTCTAGAGTAATTGTGGAATTCGGTGCAATTTTAAGGAGTCCAAGAGACGGAAGAATCTGTATACGTCGCCCAGTGTCAGTATACACATTTTTCCTTCCAATATAATTCCTCCTAGAGAACTCGGTCGAACGTACGTAGGGTGTGCAAGAGGGGTCGTAATCACCGGGGGTCGGAGATTCTCGCCATATCGCCGCCGCCACGAACGGCGTAACGCCCGGAAGATGAAGCGAACCAGTTGGTGACGGCGCGACGGGTACCGAGCTGGTCCACAGAGTAGTCGGAGTAGGTGCCTGCAGCGCCATATCCTCTCGGTGGTGAAATCACGAATTAGGGGAGGGGTCCAGGGGTTGGTTCAGCATTTCTCTCCGGCTGCATCGATTCGTAGACAAGATTCAGTTCATGGGATTCGGTGCCAGATGGTTTTGATAAGGATAGTAATAGGTAGGTAGGTTGCGGGGCCCTGCAGGTAACAAGGTGGTCGGAAGGAAGCGCGATGTCTTTCTGCAAAAGCGTGATGATTTGATGGGTAATTTTAGAGACTGTGTGCCTGGACCAGAAATTCGAGTTCTTGGGTTTCTTGTCCTGATTCTTGTTTTGTGCCAAGCGCATGCCTCAGCTCTAGGCAGGGAAAGGGCCTCCGGACGGGCCTCTCTCCCAAATCCGGCCAACCCTATCGAGAACCGAAGGTAGCTACGGTCCAGCCCGGTCCAACTGCATACGTATTTGGGAGGTCGGTTGGGCAAATCATAAGTGTGATCATAACAGCTGGTCAACTATGAAGTTGTGCCGTGTGTCTAGACTTCACGATATTCAATATCTCCTTGCTCCGGTCCCGACGGTGCAAGTATCACATCACGTAGCAGATTAGGAATGTCTGCATAAGTGCGGCGCCTCAATGGCTCGTACCCGAAGACAAAGCTGTCTCAAAAGTCTCACACCAGGTGTCCTATTCAAAATGGCGAGAAAGTCAGCTGTGTACATCGCCATAAACGCCACCATGTATGTAGTACGTACTTGTCTGTCGGTGGTATCAAAAAAAAAAAAAAAACTAGCGCATGCATTCACTCACCATACCTAATACTTATAAGAGCCCCACTTCGCAAAGGCAACAAGCATTCGAAAGGAAGACCACTAAATTCGCCTCTATCAGATTTATCAGTTCATACATCGGTACCAAGAATCCCATCCCGACTAAAAAAAAAAAAAAATTAAGAAAAAAATTAAGAAAAAAAAACTAGATCCGATACCGCCAAGGGAAACTCGGGAACAGTCCGTGTTCCCTATCGATAACGCATGGATCTGTAAGTGGTTCGGTTCCAAAAAGTAAAGTTTTCGGTTTCTTGATCCCGTTCCCATTTCTCTGAGCTGCGAGGGTCCGGTGGTGTGCATAAGTATAGTACGGGACCCTTCGCGGATTGGACTAGATCGACTTGCATGATGTCGTTGTTGCATGTTGGAATGTGTGTGGTCTGATATTGCGGAAGACTCTGCAGAACGACTCCACTTCAACACGAAAATTAACCAGCGCTGTCGACGTAGCCTCTTAATCTTCCTCACAAAATAAAAAATAAATTTTTTTCGTCGAAATTCTCTCATGGTGTATCGATCAATTGAACTGCCAGCTCACTCTCTATCTGGGTTAATTTGAAGCATCTAGGGTCTATAAACCTCTCATCTTACGTATCTACAACTAGATACAATGCAAGTATATGCATACTAATCCTCGAATCTCATTACATCCAAGGGCAGCGAAGCGTCTAGAAAACCACAATCTTCGAAAAAGCGAGGCGAGAACATCTGCTTTATAATTATTTTGATAACTCTTCAAACCAAAGAAGTCGAGATATGCATATATCCCTTTAATCCGTTCAATACATATCGGGTCTTCCGAAAACGATTGTCTTACAGAGCTCGTCCAGTCTAATGGCCAATCGTCCGATATCTGATGCACGGAGCGGGGTAATCAAAATTCCATGCATGGCATGCATATAAAAAAAATTGAAAAAAAAATAAAAAAAAATTCACAATTACCCCTCCTCTCTTATCTGATCCGATATCGATCATAGGAGATTTCCTCGAAGGGACCCCTCTTATCTAATAGCCCGGTATTCCAGACGCCACAAGGCCTCAACGGCCCTTAGATCGCACAATGTCTCTCAACCCCGCATTTCGATATCGTCTTGGAGGTTGACGTCAAGACAGGTCGGACACCCACAAACTAAAAATAAAGAAAAGAAAATAGATAAAGATTCCTTTATCACGACCGACCAAAAACATCGGATGAAAAGCAAAAGGAAGCCCCAACGGCGGCAAGGATTAAAAATTCTCCGCGGGAAGTTGCCAGGAAAAAGGAATATCAGATTGATCCTGCATGATGCTAAGATTAGATAAGGCTCCTTGGGTCAGCTTTTTGACCTAAAGGCTCGATACCAGCGATCGAAGGGGGGGAAGCCGCAAAGGATCTTGGGTCAGGCTCTCGTTTATCGTGATATGAAGGTGCATACGTTAAGTATATGTATGCTTGAAGGCTTTAGCACTTGCATTACTTTTCACAAGGCAGCATTTACTTCTATCGATGTGAAGATTTATACATCTCGCCGATGACACAAATCGATCCATCTTGTGATATTTGTGTCCTAAGTATCAATCAACCTCCAATGTTCAAATCCAGGAGGGTGGTATGTGCGATTCGTCCAAATAATCTCTCTCTATCTGGCATCCACATTTTCCAACGGCAGTGAAGATCCAAGGCAGATTCTGGCTATATCCCAAGGCTTGGGAGGATCATTTTACCCGTCCCTCTGGCTCAAAATTTGCGAGTCCCCGTTACCCCGGATTTTGTAGACAAGCCATCCATGGCTGATGGACTATACCCGCTGATAGGCTATAGTAGATCCTAGCATTAGAGAGCACTGCGGAATTTTTTTTGGATCAGAAAGAGGTATTTAGGGAACGTTGATCAATGATCAATGATCTCGATCTCTTCGCGATTGCGGGAAAACTTCTAAAAAGTCAAGATGCATAGGTATATACCAATTCCAAGGAAAACTATCGCGCAATTTTGTGTTGATGTGGGTCAACTTTATTCTTCCGATTCATTATGTAAAACAAGAGCTGCTACATTCGCTCATTGGCTTGCTCGATGTCATTGTTCGGCTTCCTGACGTTAATAGGCCATGGCATCGTCTGCTGCTTCCTTATCGATATTCCAACGCCACCCCAACAGGCATTGACAAGCTTCAACAAGCCTGTGCATCCGAATTCATGCAGTAACTTATGTAGCAGGGGACGATGAGAACTATATCGCCCCGTTTCTTTCTGGCCTGCATGTCAAAAAAATCAAAAAGAAACCGAGGTCGTATCACAATTTCACAACCTTCCACAAAACGCTCGTTCGTCTCGGACAGAATATCTGCTCGCGAATTGGATGTTCCCATCTTTTTTTTTGTGGAGTCCTTTTTACCCCGGACTTACATACCTTCGTGCTTTCTGGAGGGGGATTTTCGGGAACTATCTCCTACGAACGAGTATCCGTGCTCCTCCTCAATCCCATCAGCTGACCAGTTTGAAGAACGATTAATCTGTTCCCCTGTATTGCCAGTATATGTAGTGGAGCCGTTTTTTTTTCATTCGTTTTTTTTTTGTTCTTCAAAGCACTATGTACTGCGTACAAGCCGCATCATGCAGCTCCCACCGATCTTTATGTATGGCTAGAAAAAGCGAGAGCGTGCAGTTTCCTTTTCTTTTCCAGAAAAATGCTCCAAAAGGCCCACTGCATGCATGCATTGGCTTTTTTATCTTAGTTTATAATAAAGGAAAAGAAAAGAAAAGAAAAAGAGGATTATTTGGCGCGAAATCCGCCCGTATTCTAAGGTTTCCATGTGCGTGCCGTTCTATGCAAGAAGCAGCAGCAGCAGCTAAACTAGCAGCGAAGGAAAGCACAAAGCAGAATGCAATAAAATGTGACACGGAGGCCGGCAAGTTAACAGTCTACATCATATGTAGCTAGCTAGAAGGTTTAGAAGGAGAATACGATTGCATGCCTCCGTACATACGGGCTTGCAGTAGTTTAGTTCGCTACTAGGAGATCTGATAGGCCGGACAATATTTCACGCACCTTTCTCTTGCACAAGGCTGCAAGCAAGCTGCGAGAGAAAGAAAAAGCTCACAGCAAGATGGGCTGCACTCCGGCTCAAGCCGTCAAGGATTCGTCTGATTTCTCTGCTAGTCTTGGATTCGGAGATACTTTTGTGAGGCTTCATCGGTGATGCATTGCATATAAAGGTGTTGGTAGAGGCAGGTTGCTTTGACAGCTCATTTGTCCCTCACTTATATGCAATGCAATGGTGTCAATAGCATCGTATCGTATCAGTATCAGATTACCAGAAGCCCAGCTGGCGGTTCTAGGCAAGTCGATAAGCTAACGGGGCTCTCTGCTCCCAGGTTTCTCCGAGAAAATATTGACAAACTAGCTGTTAAACTCTATGAGCTAACAAAAACGGTAATTCAATCAAAAAAAAAAAAAAAAAAAAAAAAAAAAAAAAAAAAAAAAAAGTTGGGGGACTTAAGTGGCTATAGAGAAACAGTCTATAGAGAAGTCAAGTAAGTTTTTGGATAATAATAGTATAGCGTTTGATATTGAATTGGACTACAGTGCTGTTGTCTGAACCCGGGAGGGCACGTTTGCTGAACGAGCTGCAATGGCTGGGCCAAAAAAAAAAAAGTTCCGGAACGCGTGATCAACTGCAGGCAGGCAGGCAGGCAGGCATGGCTAGGATTCAAGGGCAGGACATCGATGCGAGCCTTATACATAAGTAAGTAAGTACTTACTTACATGCCTCGACACTGTGTGGGAAGGGAAGCTTGGGCAAGCCCACCTACCAGATGTGGATCTGAAAAAGTGGGTGCAGTTTAAACGCTTGATTGTTTGGTCCTGCAGGGCACAACACCACCCCCAAAGTCTTTAGCCTCCTCCGCCAGCCCAATAGTCATTGCGGCTGTCTCGGTAGTACGATGATGAGAAATACTTACATGTAACTACTACTTAGTAGTGAGGAAAAGAAAAACGGTATTCTTCAAGCGAACTCGCCGGGAAAGGTTTTCTGGAGGCAAATCGGGCCTCCTTATGCAGGGAATCGAGAAGTTCGTTGGGAAGCTAGAGAGGGAAAGAAAAAAAATTCGTTCCATGGCATTTTCAAAAACCTGAATCGAAAAGGAAAAAAAAGATATTCAAAACTGAACTACATATCAAAAGCCCCGAGAAAGGCGTTGGAAAGAGATTTTGCAAAATTCTACGAAACGA